TCGCATTTTAGTTTTGGGCAAACGGGAAGCGAAGCTCTCTCTTTTATTATTAGATGTTTCTTTAAGCAGACGCTTTCCTGAAATTAATGCTCGAGAGATCAAAGAACGTCCTATGTTTTGTTGTTCTGCCGATTCTTGTTTCGCTTCATACACCAATGTTTGTTATATTAACAAATTGCGCTCAAATACCAATCATTCATCTTCGCAACTTTCCTATTTTCTTTCAACCTCATCAAATGTGCACTTCAGAAGTAATTCTTGAACTATCATGCTCCCGCGCCTGCAGTTTCGTTGCCGGGCGCTACTTTCCTTCTTGCTCGTATGCCTCTGCATCTATCTCTTCGACCCATACGATAACCCTGCCATCCTTTTCCTCAGATGGCATGGAGGGAAGGTTCGCTATCACACCAAGTCCGTCTTTCTTCCATCAGGATACCCTCAACATACCAGAGACGTTTTGTGCAATATCACTTCCGACGACATAGGGCTCATCATCAAAACTGGTTATGCAACGAAAAGTCGTCTGGAATCGAAGTTGAGAGTTATAGATGGGAGATGGAAGAATGAGAATGTTGCGATTGCAAGCGATTATGGGAGCTATGGGGAGATGCGCATGAACGATCAGGCTGTGCAAGTTCATGATGTGCTTGCGGGATTAATCGAAGAGGTGGAAGATCAGAGTCCTGTGAGGGTGAGACTATACAAGAAATTTAAGAAGGCAATCAAATACCAATCGAGTATGCCTCAAGAGGACATTTTGAAGTCTGGTTGGGAGTTGGACATTATGAAGGTATGTTGCATTCTATTCCTTGTCCTTTTGGTGCGCATACAGATAACTGCGAACAGCACATCCCCGCCTTGGAACTTGGTTTGGAGCAATTGCCAGACAAAAAATGGTACCTCATGATAGATGATGATACATACATCCGTAAGTCAACAGTACAGTTGCTATCATTCATCCTCCAGACATCTATCCGACTAGACTAACAACCCCGCAGATATTCCCTCCATTATCAGTATCCTGTCCACCCTCTCTCCCTCAAAGCTACACTACCTAGGCAAAGCCCTCGGCTCCTACACTCTCCGCTTTGCCCACGGAGGCTCCGGTGTTGTCTTCTCTCACGCAGCTCTCGCCCACATCTTCCAACCTAAACACGTTCCACTCCTTGACCAACTCAAGCTGAAGTCTCTTACCTCCGAAGTAGAGCTAGGGGATAAATTGATAGGAGAGCTGGCGATGGGGACTGGGATCTACTTGAATGAAGAGTACAGCACGCATTTCAACGGAGAAAGTCCATGGAGAAGCAAGGTTACAAAGGAGAGTGTTTGCAGCGAGGTGGTGGGCTTTCATGGTTTGGAGGTCGAGCAGATGGGAAAGGTCAAGGAGGGACTATCTGCGGTACAGAGCGTGGTCCGATGGTGTGATTTGGGGGGGTTGTTTGGGGGAGGAGAGTTTGAAATCGAAAATAACAAGACGCGAGACGGAGCTCTGACAGCAGTAAGACAGGGTTGGGACTTTGTCGGGCAAGTGGGTGAACAACCCATTATACTTGAGGGTGGAGATGCAAAGGATTGCGAGAAGACATGTGCAGAGCGAGAAGAGTGTTTGAGTTGGAAATCAGAGGCTCAGAAGTGCTGGGCTGTACCGTGGGCGACGGGTGGGGAGAAAACTGGAGATAAGATTGTGAGCGGGCTGCGTTACGAGAGGCTGAACCATTTGATTCAGAGCTGTGTTCCTTAACACTGGTCGAAAATGCAGAGAGGCGCAGTTGCATTTCTCCCTAAAACCGTCGACATTGCACTACTCGGTGCCAATCAATGCTTTACTTCCAAACATTCTCGAGGCTGCAGTATGTCAATAACTTTCCGAACATTTCAAGGACTTACAAATGTTTTAAGCTTCGCCTTGAAATCCCTAATATACCTGTTCAGAGAAGTGATCTTGGTAGGTATGCCAAGCACACTAGATCCCAGCCCCTATATACCCCTGTCACTACCTCGCTTAAATGACCCCGCATCAGCAGCAGTTCCTGCATCGTGGCCTTCCCAGACTTCGGATCGTTCCTCCGCATTTCCATTTTCTGTTATCTGCCAAGATCAGATGGTCCCTGTATCGATGCAACCCCAATATACTTTCATTTCGCGTCTTCGGGACCCGGAAACCCAATACTCCTGTCATGGAGCAACAATTTTTCCATATTGCTATATATTGAAGTCATGAGTATCCCTCTCGTGAGTCGAACACAGCTTTGTCCTCTTTTTCAAAATGCGTCTCTTCTCCTTGCTAATCCTACTAGGGTCTGCTGCAGCAGTCATATTTGAGGCTGAGAACGCAACTCTGACGGGAAATCTTTACGTGGCTACCAGTATCCCTGGCTTCACGGGCACCGGATATATCGCCGGCTTCCAAAAGCGCGAACGAGACTCTCCTCTTTAATGTGGTTGGCCTTTCTGCTGGTATCTACGATATTGTCATCAGATATAGTGCTCAATATGGCAACAAATATACCTCTGTCTCGGTCAATGGTGCTGCGTCCATCGAAGTTGCAATCAGCAACGTCACGACGAGCAATTGGGCAACTTTGCTTGTTGGTTCATTTACCTTAACTTTAGGCACCAACACCGTACTTCTTAGTGACGACTGGGGCTGATACTTCATCGATTCAATTACTGTCAACCCAACTCCAGCTGCCCCCATTGTTGTTGATGATGTCACCAATGGTGCTACTGTCGAAGCAGAGAAGGGGATCTTGAATGGAGTTACAGTAGCAACTTCTACCGCTGGTTATTCTGGCACAGGCTATGTTCAAGGCTTTGTCGCAAGCAATGACAATGTCACACTCACCATCTCGAACGAGAGTGAAGCTTTGTATGATATCGTGGTAAGATACGCAGCGATATACGGAGGAAAACAGACTACTATGTCCTTGAATGGTGGAGGCGGTGCTGAGGTTGTGCTTGCGGATACGACGACTGCCGCCTCGCCTTGGGCAAATGCTACAGCAGGACAAGTTCTCCTCAATGCTGGAAATAACACTGTTACTTTCATTGATGACTGGTAAGATCATTCGCTTCCTCGGGTAGTTCGGTTCTGACTGGTTCAGGGGCTGGTACTTCATCGACTGCATTTATGTAACTCCGTCACCACCACCTCAACCCCACAAAGTCAGCAAAAAGCTTGTGGCTCCAAATCCATTACCTGTTACGCAGGCATTGTTTGAGACGTTGCTGAACAAGTATGGCTCTGGTGAGATATTTTCCGGTCAAGCAGATCCTACAGGTGTTACTTGGCTTGAGCAGAATGTCGGTAAGACGCCAGCGATTATTGGCTTAGACATGATCGACTACAGCCCAACTCGTGTTGTAAGTGCAGTGTTGGTCTCTTTCCGAATCCTCCTATAGCAGTCTAATGTGGTCCTAGGAGTATGGTGCCAATAGCACTGCTGTTGAAGATGCAATAGAATTCGATGCCAGAGGTGGCATGGTCGCGTTTCAATGGCATTGGAACGCTCCAGCGTAAGATATCCTCTATTCTTGATTGATACGATAGAAGCTAATGTAAACAAGCGATCTCATCAACAATGCCACTGTTCCTTGGTGGGACGGAATATACACCTACGGCACAACTTTCAATCTCACAGCTGCCTTAGCCAATCCCAATGGAACAGACTACGGGTTACTTCTTCACGATGTGGATGCCATCGCTGTCGAACTCTTGCGCCTTCAAGCAGCAAATATTCCCATCATCTGGCGACCACTCCATGAAGCAGATGGAGGATGGTTTTGGTGGGGAGCATGGGGGCCAGAAAGTTGCAAGACGCTTTATCGCCTGATGTTCGACCGCTATACCAATTACCACGGTCTCCACAATCTGATCTGGCTTTGGAACTCTGTGACTCCAAGCTGGTATCCGGGCGCAGACGTCGTTGATATCTTAGGCTATGATTCTTACCCCGCAGTTGGTGATCACGGCCCTGTCGACGCCCAATATCAAGACTTGATTGCTCTTGGGCTTGATGAGAAAATGGTGACTTTGCCGGAAGTGGGAAACATACCCGATCCAACACTCTTAAAGCTATATCATGCCGACTGGAGCTACTTCGTCACATGGGATCAAGACTACATTACCACGGATACTTACAACAACTTGACCTTCAAGAAAGCTGTTTATGACGATCCGACGGTGTTGAAACTTACTGATCTGGGTGATTGGAAAGGCACAGCGACGGTTTCTCATACCGCCAGTATTCCTTCAACAACAGTCACACAGACTCTGTCCAGTTCGAGCAGCGACATGCTTTCGTCCACTGTCGCTTCGGCATCGAAGAGTATAAGTAGCAGCGCTACGCTTTCGTAAACTTCGGTCACACCCGAAATCATTTCCACAGCAAGTTCATTGGCAAAGGCCAGCTCCTCTTCAGTTGCTATAGTGAGTCGTTGAGCCCAATGTGGAAGGATTCCGGATCGATCGCCTCTGTAAATAGCCCGACTTGCGCTATGTTGTGGCGCCTTGTGGTATCAATTCTTATCACGCTCCCTTTCTCCATTTGAAAAGACATCGATGAACGAGTATCAAGTTTGTACATAGTTTCTGGAGGTGATTTTACATTGTAAATAACTACGAGAATAATTTAAGTGTATGTACTCTTGAAAATTGAAAGTTCCACAAGTCGGCTTCTTCTTCAAGATATCGCCGATCTCGCTGTTAATGGCAAGTTTAAAGACTATTGTCAAAGCGCCAAAAAAACGCAAGGCCCTCGCCGAGGAAGAATACAACGGTGCCGTAAAAGAATTAGAGTCGGAGGTTAACTGAAAGGGGCGAGAGTTAATAACTCTCAAGCGCCAGGAGAAGATAATCTCGATGATATTGATGAAGTCTTGCCACAATACTCTACAATCGAGGGTTCATACTCTTCCGTGTTGATGGCGAAGATCATGTCTACCTCTATCAAGCAGAGGATAGAAAATAAATTCGATCAGAGTGCATATTCAAAGGCAGTACTGTCATTTTACGCAGCATTGATGGGCAATGGCGCCACGATTCTATTCCATTAATCATTAGAAAAAGTTAATGCCTTACGATGCGATATATCATGCGATGGAGACCTGCACAGGTCGCTTTAGCCTCATCAAGACTTATAACGCAATCTCCGACTTCTCGGCCGCACCTGCCGAGCTGCCCAATGTCGGGCTCAGGATCTTATTCACATTCTAAAAGCCTACTTTATTGTCAGGGCCATTTGGAGTTTGAAACTATGGTCTTTCAGCTTCACTAGAGCGTTCTTTTATAAGTCCGGAAAGCATTGCTAACGCGTGAAAGAGCGATTTTGATAAACACAAATTTATCTTAGTTAGTCGTGTGTCGACATAGAAAGTATATGAAGCCTAGTACTATTGTCCTCGAGAAACTGGAAAGGCTTCTCTAGTTTCTTCGCAATAAGGTTATTCCTGTTGCAAATAGTATCAAGACTATAACGGAGACTTTCTGACCTGAATATCAACAAAGCGATGCCAACAGCATATTGTGGCTTCCTGAGATGTTGGGAACTTTCTCGTAGTAGTATAACCTCGTGGGTACTTACAATCAGAAGCGAAAGATAAAACAAAGAAGTCAAAAGAGCTTCGATGTAAAGAATCACTTTGAAACATGGTTTCCAGAATAGCCTGAACAAACAAATTTTACCTAATCAATGATTAAGCCGAGGCCTCTAGATTACCAGGCAAAGGTAGCTGTTGAAAGATAAGCACCGTGGTTACTTGTAATAATGGCGAGCTAGAAGCACAGCAAGATTGAAATGGTTATATATATATGACAAACCAATAGCTACATTCATCGTTCTCTAAGATAGATTCGTGGACAGGACATTGGGGTTGCTCAGTTAACTCGTGGGTCGAGTCATATCTTATATTCATGTTCAAGTTGTGATTCAAGAAGCACATGTCAACCCCCAAGTCTTCGCGCCAAGAATCTGTGCCTTCTTTATCCAGGTCTCGAGCTTTCTTGATTCATCAAGATTAATGTTTCTATTCACTAGTAGCGAAGTGACAAAGAATGCTCTGCATTTGACTCAAGTGTACTAGAAATCAGGATTCACAGGCTTCAAAACGGCTACATTCACACTGAGATGCATTCAGTCAAGCTTAATAACGGAGTCACTTCCCGATATTTGTTATTCACAGTGCTTGATTTCTGTCTATATAAGAAACCCCAGTGCCTATTTCTTGTACATTTTCCATCATCACCACCAGCGTCATACACACATTCCAACATCGATCGACTCAACCACTCAATTGAATTCGAAGATCAACACAGCATCTGCTTTCACAAAAACATCTAAGTACAACTCCAACAATAAAAGAAAGCATCACACAAATCGTTAACATGGGCTTCTCCACATATCAAGCAGAAAGCATGGCCAACTATGCCCATCCAGGATACTGGTCGTGTGGCAGTGTAAGTGACGACTCATGAATACTATTAACTCAGGCTTATTAGGTTATCGGTGCAAGAATGAGACAAATCTGAGGAATAACAACACATGTGCAGTTTGCTCGCACCAAATGTGTGGTACAACTCATTCAAATGGCAACTATTGTGGAGTTGAGAATCTGTTCGTCGACTAGATCTGGAAAGGGAACCACTTGAGGTAGTTATGCATGGCTTTCAAAACGTTGATATTAAGTTTGGGTATGCGAGCTTTGGCTGCAGGCAGCAGGTTGCATATTCTTCGGTTGGCTAGACTCTTTACGCGGGCTATTGTTGGTTTTGGATAAGTTGACACTAGCTGCAGGCAGCAGGTTGCATATTCATGGGTGGGGCTAGACTTTGTACGTTGGATACTTATTGGAGAATCCATTTTGATATTCTATTGAACAACTCTTCAAAAATCTCTGTTATGAATGACTACACCATGCGAGGTTATCAATTGTACTTGACCATCGAAAAGGATATTCGCCGCAACTTGCTGAGCGCGATGTGAGTCCCAGGGGTACAATAGCCATTGTGTAGTACAGCATTTGTAGCAATGCCTTTCTCCTTCCGCCACAAATAACCACATCAACCAAGGCGCTAGGCTCCTCCAGCCAAATACCTTCTCAGACATCTTTGCCATGATCGCCGTGATCGGTGTCATGATCCTCTTCTGGCTCAGTGCCAGTTTGGCTGCTAGAAATCAACGCAAGCGTATGATTCGTCGCTTGGTTGACGTCCATCCCAAAGATCGCAGTGCCGAGATCAAGAGGCTTGCTGATGCTGAACGCATCGTCTCTGTGTACCAGGAAAGTAACTACGAGACATACTCTGATGTTGTGGATGAGAAGGAGAAGTTGGCTAGTGTTGGTCCTTAGATATCTACTTTAAGCTTGCTTCAGTCGGACTAGAAGCCTGGATAAGTAGCTTACATTACCTTTGTGTCAATTCGAGTAGATTAATAAAAGCCATCTCGTCAAACATCCAGCAGATTTCAGGAAGTCAAACAAGTCAAGCGCTCTCGTGGAGTTAGACATTCCCAGACTTCACTGGATACCTCTGAAACACCATCATTCATAGAATCCATGTTGGGACTGCCACACCTAACCCCACTGTCTTCATCACCACTGCTCCATTATTGCATGAATGCGGAAGAATAAAGCTTACATGCTTCCTACATCTTTGGAGGACTTTTTCTCCTACGCCAATCTATACTACGGATATAAGACAAGTTTGGTATTGATTTATTCACCAAACAACAAAGACCACAAAGTATTGGCAGTCACCAACTTATTGACAATATAAAACCGAAACTATATTGATAACCACTAGACCCAAGAAGCAGCAACCAAAGACCAAGAACGTCACTCCCTTAACCCTCAAGATATCTAAGTTAGTAGTCCCAGCTCCATCAGCGATCTGCTGTAGGCGAGGCAGCGTACGGTGTTCAGTTAATAAAGAAAGGTTCTGGGAAAGGAGAGCGTCGATTTCTTTTATACCTGCAGCAACACTCATTCAAAGCCCCGCCTGAGGCTGGACAATCGATTCACCACAATGTCCGGCGCGATCTTGACGCCTCAGCCCCTCACAGCGCTTCTATTCACTTGGACGTCTCAGGGCTATGAAAAGCGGGACAGAATTTATGGAACAGTTAATTTGGCTAAGAATTTCAATAGATGTTCTTAAAGTATACGAGAAATTGGACTGGCTCGAGTAAGGCATTCATGGTGACTCTGTACTGTATTGTGCACAAGCTACTTTGATCAAGCGCAGGGAGTACCTCTTGTTTGTGGACTCTGGTATGAACTGGGGGCTGTTATGTGGTTGTGCAGATTGACTAGAATTGCTACCTAGATTGAGCTTGATCTTGAGTGAGTTAGGCCTTGATGCAGTATCGGGATTCCGAAGACAGAGCAGCGAGGATCTAATTCTTTTGAGTTGCTGCTTCTCAGGTCTCAGAAATTAGAGCATGGAGTTTAATGTACTTCCTAAAAGATACTGAGTGAGAATGAATTTGAATCACCCCGCTTTCCGCGGACATTGCGCATTTTGCGAATATTCCGCATTTCGCCCATTTCGCACATATCGCGTGATTCGCGCAATTCGTCGCTCTTGAAAAGGGGAAAGCAACTAATCATGTAATAGCATATCAATTATGCCCAGGCACCTGGTGCAACACTTCCTAAAGATAAAAAGAGTAGGTTCTAAAAGCACAGTATTATAGAATACCTGTACAATAAGCCATTCTCTCAAAGCTTCAAGTAAGAGATCGGGAGACATGATGAGTTCTTGACACCGTATCTACTCAACCGGAAGAGCAAGGAGATCCCATAAAGGAAAAGGGATTGAGCCTCTGACACAGGGTACCCATTCTCGAGATAGAAATTATCAAACAAAAACTTGCCTACTCTGGGCGTAGCAATGGTAAATCGTGAAGCTGACACCACAATCTCCCAAACGAAGAAGAAACTCGAACTCGAAACCAACAAGAAACACAGCTTTTCAATTTTATATAAACACCAACATTCTAAACTCCTATAAGCAGTAACACCCCATTACAACAAAACCAAAGCCAACGACACACAAACAAAAGAGATCACTACCCCAAAAGTCCCCACGCCCACGGTCGATCCAGCACCCGTAAACGGCACCAGCGACGGCGTCCCTGTAATCACGACCGATGTAGCCCACACTGTCGCATTCCCATTCCATTGCGTTGTCGCACTAGTAGTTTCCACCACAGCACTCATCGTTGTCGAAGCACCGGCAATTGTCGAAGAAGCACAAATCGTCGAATTCCCACTCGACGACACCGCCACTGAGACGGGTATCGATGATGTAGTCCACACCACCGTCGTACTACCTGGCAAACTACTCGTCGTAGTTCGTCCCGGACAACTCTCCACCTCCACGCCACACGAAACAACCGTATCCGTGACCGTGGAATACAGCGTCGAAGTATAACTCGGATTCAGCGCCAGCACCACGGTCATCGTACTCGTTGCCGTGACCGGGCTTTCCGTTTTCTCGTACAAAGACCACCACTCGGAACCTCGAGCGACGTCGTTTTGGTAGCCGCCGCAGGTCTCGGCCGGGTTGCCGGGGCAGGGAGTGTTGCATTGGATGTCCTGGCTACTGGGCGCGAAGGCTGTGAAGGATTGGCCGCAGAGGCATTGGCTGTTGGTGTTAGGTGAGGAGGAAGGGAGGGGAGGCGAAGAGAGGGGAGGGGAGGGGAGGATTACCTTCCGTAGAGGGCGGCGAATGAGTAGGATGATGAGCATTGGGAGGTGCATAGTTCGACGGTCATGGATGTTGAGTTATCCACTTGAATGAATAGCGGGCTTAGCTCTAGGAAATCGTATGCTGATTGACAGGATGTGTAGGTGAAACCATTTGGATCGGCTGTTTTGCCCGCAGAAGAGAAAGTGACTGTGGAAGCGAGAATTGCGAGGGAAAGACTGAGAGAGATAGAAAACATTGTGATTAATTGGAGACGATTGAACGAATGTACAGCTCAAAAGATGAGGGGTGAAGAAGAATAAGAAGAAGGAGAAGAGGTAGACAGGGAAAAAACGAATGAAATTGGAATTGGCCAACGGGGAGATCCCGAGGGCTTTTTCTTCAGCCATGTCTTTGATGGTAGGACAGGTAGTTTTTCTTGCGCACAACGCATGCAACATGTCTTGCATAATCGTACATGTGTAAGGTCCCATCTGGATTGCGAAGCTCGAAGGAACATTGGTGGTGAGACGGGATTCGGTTTGTACCAGTATGGATGGTGACTCCGCATTTATGTAGGGCCAGCACGTGAAATGTGAGATCTTTTCCATGTGGCGTTTGACCACTGGTATTCTCTATTGAGACATCGACAGCTTTATCGATGCAATGGGTTCATCAGATGAAGGTTCAGGAACTTCCAATCTCTGCCTTCATTCATCACACCACGTGACCAGCAATACCCAACAAGAAATACCATCAAGACAGCGCATCTGGCACCAACAGAAACGAGTTACAAAAACACAAACTCTGCAAAAACTCAACAAAATCTTCACCCCTTCATCCCGAGTCCAGACTGAAGCAAATCACGTGCAGTCCCACACCACTCTCACACCACGTTCCAGACCTCACGGCAAATTCGAAAAATCGAAACCAGCGCTCCCAAACTCCTCCTTCTCTTGCGCGTTTCAAGTTTTTGCATCCTCAGTCCTCAGTCCGTAAAGGATGACATCAAATCCCTCAAAATAGAAACACCCATCTTCCTGACCACTCATACGCACGCAAGCACACTCACACACTCGTACCGTAAACGAAGTCATCGTTCCGCAAACAAACTGGCAAACAAACAAATGAAAACTGAATCCGAGGGAAGGATTGCGTGGCACGAAGGGAGCGAGGAGAGAGAAGGATGGCAGTGCAAAGCTTATGCGCGGGTTGAGAGTTAAGCTTGAAAGGTCGGGCGGTCGCAACTCGCGAGCGAGCGAGATCTGAGTTCCCGGCGTTCACCCGGGAGGGAGAAAATGCGGCGCAGAAAGATTACCTACATTCTGATTCGAAGCTTCGTAGATGCGGAGCTTAGATAATACGGTACTGTACATGCGCGGGTTGAGAGTCGGTGCGAGGCTGAACGATGATGGAAGAATAGAGTTTCAAAGCCACTCCAAGAGAAGAAGAGTCAAAGAGCAAGTAAGCAAGCCTTCGCGGTAATAATCCGAGGAACGAAGACGAGGAGCCCTACCTATTCCGTTGGTTCGGTAGTGACAGACGGGAAGGGAAAGCATCGTGACTGATTAGTCTGCGAGTTTGAAGTCTAGAAATCCGTCGCCGTAGTTCATCAGTTGTACGAGCGGTACGGCAGTGAAAGGAAGGGAAGGGGAAATTTCTATCTATCCGTTTATGACAGCATCGTCGACTCAAGTTTGAGTTCTAGAACCTCGTCGTCGTCGATCAGCAACTGCCGACCGGAACACGAGCCCAAGCTTGAGGGAAATACTACATACTACTGGGTGTACTTTGTACCTTTGGTAAACAAACCTCACCAGTGATTTCCCTAGATCACGGTTTTTGAAGGCATATTCGAAGAATACACAGACAGACAGACAGACCATCCACGCATGATCTGTTGAAACCTCCCTCTTCCCCACTTCCATCCAAGAAAAGGTCCAGTCCACATCATAAGGCTGATTTCACCTCACAATCCATCAAAAAATCGCCCGTGATCAACCTCTCTCACTCCACCGTCCCAACTCATACCCATCCCCCGTTCATTCGTATCCACCCCTCCTCAGCTCTCCCAGGATTTTTTCCTCCACTTGCGAATCGTCCCCTTTCAGAAAAGGGGACGCATAAGGCCAAGACGTGTACAAGATGAGGCTTTGCGGAGATCTTAAGGCTTCTCGTCTTTGGTGGGTATGGATGAATAAATAAACGGTTATGCTTTGCACGGAGGAGAGGTGCACAAAGGGAAGGGAGGCCCGGAAACGGGGGACGGACGTTTCAATGTTGATGAGAGTTTCGGGAATGTGGGCGTTACAGTACTGTACTTCTCTGAGGCGATCAAAGGGGGGGATCGAATGAGGATCGAAAGCCAATCGTCTGATCAATCAGTGAGTATGAGTGAGTCTGACAATAAATCGCTGAAACGGTGTGTCTGTCTGTCAGTTCGCAAACGGCTTCATGTAAATGAATTTCCCCAGAGAAAAAGCATAGTTGTCAAACAATGGTTGAATAGACGAGAGAAGATCACACGGGTTCCTCATCTGAAAACCTCCAGTAATCTACTGTATCGCAGAATCGGATTTGTTTCCACCAATATCGTGAGATTCTGCTCACCTTGGACAGTTGCCCCTATTCTCACGACACATGAGAACTGACTCTGACCGGCACTCTCCATCGGAGCAGCATCCAGAAGAGCGGCACTTCTATTATGCCATTCACACGCCGACTGAAAAGAACCCTCTCCTCCGACATCACGGACCACGATCTTCTCTCCCTCTGAAAATTCGCCCAGTGGTGAAACATGAAACAAAAGTTTGCACACCCCCATATGCCGATGCTATTTTGAGTGCGAGCGTCCACCAAACCTCGCATCTTCTCCACTTCTTCCACTCTCACGTCCAGAAGTGGAAGAGGGCTAGAAGCACAAAAGAAGCTTTCCACCTCTTCTCGGACTCCACTCCACATGACGCAGGGGGCTTGATACCTTACCTCAGCACGACCCGTACGCAAGCCCCAATCAGCGCGCAACGGACGTTGGGCATGGTATCGGCCGGCGTATCTCCACTCTCAGATTCACGGGTGTGATTGGCGCATCGTCCGGACCCGAGTCCTGATTGGGGTTGTGGCCTCAGCCAGACGCAAAGTTGGCAGAGCGGTCTTTGCCACGCGGCGGGTCGGTCCTGGAGGGAATCGAGGGCTGTGAGTGGTGGTGCTGGGTGTTGATTTCCGGCAGAGTTGAGGCAGTGAGGCAGTGCATGAGTGAGGGACCGGCTTTAGGGGCTTGTCTCCTTGTCTCATGGAAAGGACCAGCTCAGGATGTGGATGTGGATGTGGATGTGGATGTGGATGTGGATGTGGATGGGAGCAGGATGAAGAGTGAGTGAGTGAGGATTGCATTGGATTGGATTGAGGGGAGTGGACTGGCTGCTCGCACGAATATAACCCCCGGGCAATCCGACTCTCCGAAGACTCGCTCGTTCACAACTCTTCAATCTCGCACTGTTGTAGAGACCAGACCAGACCAGACCACTCTTCTTCAAACCCTCACTGCCTCTTCTTCTCCTCTCTCCTCCTCTCCTTACTCTTCTCTCTGCTCCTTCTCATACTTCTCTCAATCCACTTTCTACGTACCTCTCCCCATCAACCAAACATCAACACACCTCGTCGTCCATCCATTCTCACTCCATTCCAGCCTCGCTCACGGTTGATCATTCACTTGCATCTCAGCCCCCTTCAGCGACAGCCAAAGGAATTCTCATCGAATTATTATCTCGTATTGCCGTATTTTGGCTGCGGCTTTCACTTGCTTAGACCACCGCCATCCTCGCTTCCGTCGGCCATAGAAACTTGGCGCTTCCGCAGGCCACGCGTCCCTTTTAGCGAGCCTGAACCACCCTCTTCAGGCACCCAGATCCCTCTTGACCTTCTCGGGTCCCAAACAAACACTTCTCTCACTCACACTCCATCACCCAAAAGGACACCGAACAAACATCAACCCTTTCGATCATCCGAATACCCTCATCTCGACACGAGCTCTTCATTGTACATACGCTACTGAAGAGGCAATCATGTCTCCCGCCACCCAGCAATCGACGTCCATGTCGCACTCCAACTCCCAAGCCAGTTGCCACGACCCCTTGGACTCGCTGGTCGACTTCTCAGAGTACGACAAGATGTCCTATCAATCCCCATCCATCTCGCCCTCGACATCCAAGAGCCAATTCACCGGCCGAGCTGTCTCCAACACTCCCTCCACCCTCCCATCGAGTCAATCCGACCTCAGCGGTCCCAGCCACAACTATGGCATGTACCGACAACAGACGGGCATCCCCCAAGGAGCAGTAGCTAGCACCCTCGCAGTGAACCAGCAGATGGGACAATACAACTTCAGTGAGAGCTACCTCACGGGCTTCGGTGCCAACGACGACTTCGTCGACTTTGGCACGGCACCCAGCCGCAACGGATCATTCGACCCTTCCGTCGACATGGACTTCGACTCTCCCAAACCCGAACCCGCGTTCTTCTACCCCGAACAATCACCCGAGTTCGTGAACCCATCTGCCATCGGCGGAGGAAACCTATCCGTGCCTTCAGCCGTCCTCCCAACACAGTCGAGCAACGTCGGTCGTCTGTGGCCGGGCATGCACCAACAACAAGCCGCACTGGCCAAGGCTCAAGCCCAACAGAAGCAACAGCAACAGATCATCCAACAGCAGCGACAAAACGCCATGGGCGCCCAACAAAGACAACAGCAAGCTCAACGACCACGAGGATCCCATCAACCCACCGACCCTATTGTCGAGGAGAAGATCTCGCAGCTGCTTAACTCGATGAGACAAAGCAGTGTTGCAACGGATGGGGACGATGGCTCAGCGGGTGCCAACCACATGGCTCACGTCCAACGCATGCGCAAGGAAGAAGAAGACATGGACGAGGACGAGCGACTGCTCGCTTCCGAAGAAGGAAAGAAGCTCAGCAGCAAAGAGCGCCGTCAACTCCGAAACAAAGTCTCCGCTCGTGCTTTCCGCTCAAGAAGAAAGGGTAAGCTATCCACATCTCGCTGTCATCATCAACCAATACTAACATCACCTAGAATACATCTCCCAACTTGAGGGCGAGATCGCCACCAAGGTAAACGAGAACCAAGACCTACGCTCGCAAAACCGCGCCTTGATGGAAGAAAACACCCGCCTCTCGGACCTAACCAGAATGCTCCTCTCATCACCCTCCTTCTCCGGCTTCCTCGACACGCTAGCCTCCAACCCCGCCGCTGCTCAAACAGCTCAAGGCGTCGTTCAGCAACCACAAGCCCAGCCCCAACAACAGCAACAGCAGCAACTCAGAAAAGACATCAACCCCTACGCCGCACAATCACAGATGCAACAGCAACAAATCGGCATGGCCATGATTCCCGAGCAGAGCATGGACTTCTCCATGCTCGATCTCGGAAACGATGGGTTCCCCGCCTACCAACCACAAGTCTTCTCCGTGCTCAGCATCCCCGAAGCAGTGATCGACACCGAAGTCCTCTCCGGCAAGCCAAGCATGTTCTCCCCTCTCTCGTCCGACGATGAGAAGGTCGAACTGCCAAAGGTAGAACGCATACCCGTCTCTACCACCACCAAGGAGGTAGAAGTCGTCGAGGAGATCGTCGACGAGGAATTCGATGCCGATCCCGCATTCGCTCTCTTCTCTGCCCCCGCTGCTACCAAGTCCTCCTCGCCATCAGCCCCAGCTTCAATCGACCTCTCCTTCCTCGCCAACCTATCCATCAAGCCCTCTGCATACGAACTCGTCGTCATGGACGATTCCTCGTCCCAAGCTGCCATGCGTCGCGTGGATAGACTAGCTGCCGAGATGGACGCTTGCGTCGAGAGGTTAATGAGTTTGACTATGCATATGTAGTCTACTTAACTCATTGCTGTCCTGGGAGGAACCTTGTGATTTAATTGCTGCGATTTAGCGGGACTAAGAGGGCTACTGGCGTTCATCTATCTATCTATCATCAAGAAGCTATCTGTATTTCCTTTGTCTGACTAGGTATGGAGGGAAGGGATGGGATCATTGTAAGAAGGGAACTGCGGCGAAGGAAATTGGAACATGCATGATTTTACGTGGTATGAAAAACCTACTCACTTACCTTTGCTTCAACTTTATCTTCATTGTGCGTATATTTATAGAAAGAGAGAAATCCCAAACATTTGAATCAACCAACCAACCTATCAATTCTCTCCTTTACTCGCATCGTGAACTGCATAAAAAAAAGTGATGACGTACAACGAAACCCAAAAACAACGCAGATAATATAAACCACACACCAATGAATTCCCCTCACTTTCCCCTCTCCTCTTCGCCACTTGACTCCAATCCAATCCAATCCATTGAAGTCCTAACAACCACTCATCACCGTTCTCACCAACACACCACGCGTCCAATACGGATCAGATCACGCAATGGAGAGGAGAGTTTGTTGCACGTCGCAATGTAGATAATATAAATTCTGCTTGCTGATGCTGTTGCGTTCGCCCCACTCATTCGTGTTGAGCTGAGCTGAGATGAGGGTTATTTCCACCATTCATGCGCTTCCTTGATACGGTTTTTTGAGCGGGGGCCAAATTTATTGATGCACAGAATAACGCTCTCTTTCTCTCACTTAGAACCAAGGGTAGAATGCCCAATTCGGTGCTAATTTTGTGTATATCTTTACAATGATTCATTGCTCGTGGTGACTGCTGAGGAGAGAGGAAGTGTGAGAAGCACATAATTTATTGACTCGTCCAGTTTTTATGATATGGATCATTTGAACTCTACTCTTTGCCCATTCCATTCGCTTCCTCCTGAATCTTCAGAACAGAACAAAACATTTCTAAGAAAGTGAGGGCGATGATTAGGTGGTCATGAATTTCAAGACGAGGATATAATATTACACCCCGCCCCAGACCAGGAAAGCAAACCCAAAACTCAAGACCCAAAGAAAATTCCCCGCGTGAAATGAGCGCTATGCCTTGAGGATGCGATATGCAACATTGACCTCGAATAGGAAATATGTAAACAATAACAATTTCAGACAGTGGGTGAGGATATAAGATGAGGGATATGCGTTGTGGTGCGATGTGCAACGAAAGAATCGAGCTTGGTGTACCTTATGTGTGGTGGATGGGGGTTGATGGATGGGGGTTGATGGATGGGGGTTGATGGATGGGGGTTGATGGATGGGGGTTGATGGATTGAGGTTGGGAAATTGATCTGGAGGAAGTTGGATAAGTGGAGAGTATCTTGAAGAGCAGGATGAGGCTTAAGATGTTTCTTATGAAATCCACCTGCGATGTGTGATTGATCTTCTTGCTCCTTTTGAAGAAGACGTTGGAAGGGTTCTCGTTGTGGGGGAAGGCCACGCTCGAGGGTGAAGGGACAGTTGTTGGAGCTCAGAGACTCGGGCATTTCCCCAAAAATTGTGAGTTTTTGTAGGTCTGAGAATAGAACAGTATGATGTTTGCTATTCACTCCACCTACAGCTTGCAATATCTCTCTCTACTTACGTTCTGTTCTCCTTCAAAGAATAAGGCGTAGAGAAGAAAGTTCGCAAGCCTCCTCAGCAATTAACTTGACAATCATAAGACACTCTCTATTCACTCCACCTGCGACTTGCAACATCACACTCTTCCTCGCCCAGAACGGGAGACAAAAGGATCTCTCACTCCTGAAAGTGGAAGGCGACCCATATTCGTTGCACATCGCACGTGGACTACTTCTGCAAAATCGCGGCGCAAAAGGTGGAAGCCGTCCCGAAGTGGAAGTTTTGAAGCCCCGAAATGGTGGAAGAGTGGGGTCGTGATAGATTACGGCGTGGACGAAGAAAATATGATTGAAATTTTTCCAGGCTTCTGGGCCAACAGTAGTGGACTGCGATTACTTGCACCAAGAAAACAAAGTTCATGTCAGATTTGGAACTCAAATAGAAATGTTGAGGCTAGACCGGTCGAATGCTTCCGATACCAAGATATTGGTGTTCTTTGGAATCATTCCGCGAGTGGACGTCATTCTGAGGCGGAATCTTTGGCTGGAATTTTTCCACAACTCTGTGACGGACGGCGGAATTTCTTGTCCACTGCGACTTGCAACAAAGAACACGAATAATCCTCAAATAGAAGGGCAGATAGGATAGGATTTGAGGTGAGATCCGGGACCCGGCACGAAGCCGAGAACAGACCTCTTTCAGAGCTTGGGATGTTTGGAAAAGAGTGGCACGTGTGGACGTGCTTGTTGTTTGTCCGCTCCGAAGATATTTCGCCACTCTTTTTGAATCCTAATTGAGACAACGGATGCAGTCAGTCCACCTGCGATACGCAACAAAAGATGAAACGTAAGTTATTCGATAAATGTGCTCAGAAGAAGAAGATAGAAAAACCGGGTCGGAATGCTGAGGTGAGCGTGGGGTGTGGGGGTTGAAGTGCCGGCACGTGCGATCTCACGAAACCAGAGACAACCTAGAAGAGCAGATACAGTCTACCACCCAGATGAAAGAAACCGCAAATCTGTCGCTCTGAGGTTTGCACGAAACTGATGATTCGCTTTCCACAAGCAAGTGTGCGAGTACGAGTACAGTTGATACAAGTACGACTGATACAACATGCGCGAAAAGTTTCGGATGTTGGCGGGACCTGGTGGACGTGCTGCAGGTAGTGGACATTTGAATCCCAACATTCCACTTGAATTGATGAATGTCCATCTAGACTTCGATATTGGTGTGATAATTTGTGGCGAAGTAGCGTCGTTATTCCACCTTGTCGACATGCAACAAAAGGCGCTGACGAAGTGGACTTGAAGAAGGAATGTGAGGGAGAGAAAAGTGGTGGACATCCATGTGCTGTGATAACAGGTCAAAAACAAATTGACCTTCAACGACGAGCTGAATGGATATGGGTTTCGGGCAGGACTTCGCTCTCGACGCCAACGAAAGACGATCAGTGGTTGTTGTTGTCAATCCTGGACTCCGCTGGGTCTGATCAATGGTCATCGTCGGGAAAAGCAATATCCAGAATTGGTCCAGACATTCAGATCTTCGAAATTTCCGTTTCCAGCACAGAAGTTCGCAACGGTGAGACATCGAATGAGGAGCCTAGCATCTATCACAGCGTATGTCCGCATACCAGAGCAGCCAAGTTGACCATTGCCACGGACAGCGATAGACGTTCTTCATGCTCCAACACTACCGACGGAAAGCAATGTCGTGGTATCGAATAACACTATTGTCGACATATCTCTGATGACTACCGACAGTAGTTCATCAGATATGCCAGCCACTTCAATCGATATCGAGTTCCGAAACCTGTTTGAAGTTGATGAAAAGAGGCCGATCGAATGAGGACAGGATACCAATCGACGCCCATAACCCTAAGCGCGAAGGCTGAAAGAGACGATATTGTGATCGCATCTGAGAGTGGTTGTTCTGTGTATGATGTCCAAGTTTGAAGAATCCTGCGATGCTCATAAATTGTTGTTTGGGAAGAAAGCAGACGAGAGTGGAGGTTCTTGAGCGAGGCGAGTCACTTCCCAGATGGGAAAGCATCGGAAGATGGCAAGCGCGACTGGACGCTTGACAGTAGAGTAAATTAAAATTGTGCGACGACAACAACAAGATTGAGTCTAGGGGAGCTGGAAACTTAATCAGATTTTGACTCTGCTGGCTTTTCCGATTTTCCGTACATTTCGAGGCTCACCAGCATTCATCTCCCGCCATCTATGGGTCCTTGGCCACTCACGAGTCTTTTCCGACAGCTATACTATGACAGCTGGAGATCTGGACTCCCTTCTTTGCGAAATTTACATTAGAGAACTTCCCATCCTGTCCTGCCATCTCAATATCCAACATTAAGTCGAACAAATGGCTGATCATGTTGTACGTTCGCTACGCAAGTAGTTTCTACTTGAGGAGACCATAGGTGACAGTGCAGCGAGAGCCGGCATCTCATCTGAAAAGTAGCCCCAGATGATTAATGGTAGTCAAGTGACATAATCATCCATCAAAATGTCCCGTTATGGCTCTAGAACTCCGAAGTGTTTCGATCTTTCGTGTGTTGTTTGTGTCTGATGTTACTCGACTCATGTTTAACACTGGCAAGACATTTTTCTTGCTTTTGCTGAACCATACATTCGAGGCTTGTCAAGAAGCCATAACCGCTATGTCTGCTATGTGCTCTTTTGGTAGGACTCATTTGAGTTCTTGCGCATAGATGTTGATGGAGAGCTTTCGTAACTATTACTATGAGTAATATTAGAGGTCGGGGAATTTCAAGTTTCCCACAAAGGCGAATCCCTCTCTCTCTGTGCGTTCCTTTGTGCAATTCTGACCTACTTCGGCTTCCCGTCAATGTTTGAGCAGTGACAAAGCAATTATCATTAAAGACGGCTGACCGAAGCTAGTCTCGAAAATGCAGGCTGCAATATGTGTCTACTTCGTCTTAATTGGCTTTGTCAGATGATTCAGTTTTATTGCAACGTTAACCTTTCTTTTCCAACAATCTTGAATCTCTCACGGAGCATCGGCATCAATCAATCCATGGAGGAAGATGGTCATTCTGCCGAAGTCGCAAAGACACCGACTCCCGACACGGTAGCATTGTTCTTCCGACTGGAGTGTGTCCCTCCAATGGCATTCATTGCGTCGCATAATTATGATTTCGACGTGATCTCAGAGTAATCGTTTCGGTGCCGACTAACCGACTCACAGGACGAGAAGCATACCCGAAGCGTCGATCGGAAAGATGTTCGTCCACTCCAAAAAGAACTGGAAGTTTTCGAGGTGAGAACCATTGATAACAACTGAGCAGGGCAAGGTTAAATCAGAGCTGCTAGTATTACACACATGAAACAATGTCAGTCGAAAGTTCATGCAATCAGAACCTTATTCGGATTTCAGGTCGAGGATTGGCCATAGAACAAGAGACATCAATAAGCGTACGGCAAAGTGAACCCCACAGCCAGGCAATTGGGACATCGATGTGCAACAAAAATCAGCAAAGAGGCGAGCATCGATGTCATAACAGAGGTGTTTGAGATTTATCAGGAGCCGAAAACAACAAGAGCCAGGACGAACACATCCGCAAAGCATTCTGCACGACATCCCCTTGAAGGCCTCGGCTGCCGGGACCCCTAGTCTCGACTTGCAACAAAGATCCTGAAGAAGAAAAGTGAGTCTGAGACTGAGGTGCCAATATGCGGGAACCATCACATCGCGGGACATGGCCCTAAGCCCAGCACTGTTATCTCCTAGCATCCACCACCCGAACGGGTACAGCACCGTGTTGACGATGTGCAACAGAAGGCGTCGACCGGAGTCCAGAAGAAGGCTTTTGGGGATGTCCGGGAGCGCTTTGGCTATTTGGCTGCAGGGCCCAGCAGATTAACGAAGTCATGGCGCAAAGATCAAAGACGCTTAAGCGGAACTATCGAATGCGAGGTGGGGTACCATCGTGAGGCTCTTCGGGCCATCGGCCTTACACAAAATGTATTGTCGTCGGTGAGTCGCTGTCTGGACTTCCGGTTACACAAGCTTCAGCCCCTCACTTCATCGATCATAAGAGTTGGGGTGTTGCCAGTGAAGTCTCGAGCAATTACACCCAACTTTCGGGGTTCAGCCTCCCGTCTCGGCACCACCCGCTATTCCTGTTAGTTCTTCCAACTAGTGTTTTCGTTACAAGTCAGTGCGCGACAGGAACGTTGTCTTCACGGACCTTAGTACATGTTCACATAGTGGAACTTGCAGTAACCTAAGCATCTTCAAATTACCCAGCATGGTGAACCATAAGCTTCAAGAGCGTATCGATGTTCATTGTCACGCTCTGCCCGCCAGATATCGCCAACACTTGCTCGATAATGGTCACCAGCATGTTGACGGAATGCCAGCTATACCAGTAAGTTATCCTACAATTATACTCAGCCATACTCACTACTTTCAGATATGGGATCCCAAGGACCATATTCGAATCATGAAAGAGCGCAACATCACAAAAACAATCCTAAGCATCAGCTCTCCAGGAACAAACTTGACACCAAAATCCAGCCTCGAAGCTGCCGCCACAACCCGTCAAGCCAACGAAGATATCGCCGCCGTCTGTGCCGAGTATCCCGAGCAATTCTTCTTCTTCGCTTCCCTTCCTCTCCCTCTAGTTTCTGAGTCCCTCCTAGAGATAGACCACGCACTCGACACCCTAGGAGCCGTCGGCTTCTGCCTCGTCTCCAACGCCCATGGCCTCTACCTCGGCGACCCATCCTTCACTCCCATCCTACAAAAGCTCAACGACCGCAAAGCAATAATCTTCATCCACCCCACAACCTGCAACCTCCTCCTCCCCTCTCCATCCGCTCAATCCCAAGCCCCCTCCGCACAACCAGCAACCGACGTCCTCCCCGTCACCGTCCTCCCCTACCCTCGCCCCATGATGGAATTCATGTTCGACGAAACCCGCGTCGTAGCCAACATCCTGCTCTCCGGCCTCTTGGACATGTATCCCGACATCACATTCATCATGTCGCATTGTGGCTGCGCGCTCCCCCCTATCATCGACCGGATCGGGGCATTTGACTCGATTCTATACTCTAGACCGGATTCTAGCCAGAGATTCAAGGATCTGTTGAGAACTAGATTTTATTTTGATCTTGCGGGGAAGCCGTTTCCGGATCAGATTTGGGGGTTGGTGAGGATGTTGGGTGGGGGAGGGGAGGGGATGGGAATTGGGGAGGCGGAGTTGGAGGAGGTTAGCAAGAGGTTGGTTTATGGGAGTGATTTCCCGTTTACGCCGGAGCCGGCGGTGGTGAAGTTGCAGGGTTTGATGGATGAAGGGTTGGGGAAGATTTTTGGGGAGGAGAGGAAGAAGGAGATTTATGTTGGGAATGCGAAGAGGTTGTTTGGTCTCTGAAGTGAGGGACGGAGATTACGATTTGTCTTGAGGGCAAGATTGCGGTATCAAAGTCGAACCTGAATTTCAACATCTCGGTTCCGTTGTTCTTCGACCATGGATTGTTTCAATCCACTCTACCTCTCGTGTGCTTTCATGCCATCACAGCTCATTGAAGGCTTTGGGATGTTAGGTCGTCAGAGTTACTATCAAGCGATATGGACTTTGGACTGATCAGAAGTGCTGACCCGAGCTGACACAATGAAGACTCGAATTGTCTCAAATTCTCGTTCAACTTTTGAGCCATGATGTCTGGTCACTTTATAAGACTCTGTCTTGATCCTTCGGAGCGCACCATTAGTCAAGTTATATTTCATACGGAGTACATACATGTTAACCACCAAAAGTTAACAATGACTTCTCTGCATCGGCCCAATTCCTTCCCACTCATCTCCGCACGAACAGTCTATCATCTATTTCATCAACATCTCGAAACAATACACAACATCACCCAATTCTCCAGACAAGCAAACACCACCTACAACCCTATCCCTCACCATCCAACCCACCACTCCTCACAACAACCCAACCCCCAAAACCACCGCCCCAAGCAGCATCCCCATAACCCCCCACTGAACCACCAACCCCGCCGCCCCGCTCCCACTACTCGGCCCCTGCGTATCACCTCCACCCGTACTTCCCGTCAGCGCTGTCGCCGTCGCCGTCGCTGCCGTATAGGAACTATGCGTCGAAGAGCTTGATGATAGAGAGGAGGAGACTGAGGATGCGGAGAGGAGGGAGGAAGCTTCTGATGAGATGGCTGCGGAGTCTATTGATGATGAGGGTGAAAGAGAGGTGGTGGATGCTTGTCGGATCTGGGGGGGATTGGGATTAGTTTTTGATGGGGCTTGAGGGAGAGGGGGAGGGAGGGGTACTTCGAGTGGATCTGCGGCTGCGAGGACTGAGAATGTTGGGACGCAGATGTTGGCGATGGAGAGGTACATGTTGATGTTCTGGTATAGTATAGAGAAGCTGGAAATATGACAGAGAGGGAAAAAAACAGGTTCAAGAAATTAGGAGTTATGTTTATTGGTATTGGAAAATGCTCACTTGCAGCTCCTCCGAATTACCATTCATATTAACATCACAAAATTCAGCTACGTCAAGAAATTACAAACATCCAGCCCTCCCGCACTCACTAAATAAACAGTACCACCTCATAATCTCCAAAACCGCACGTTGATAAAGAGAAGCTTCGCATTGGCAGAGATGCTTGCCATCAAAAGCAAAGCGATGTTGAAGCAATGTCAAGCAAGACAATTATGATTGGTACGGAGATGGTTCAGAGATCTAGTAGTACGGGTAGGTCAAGATTAGGTGCCGATCTAGGGCGGCGGGATGGTAGAGCTTGTGTTGCCGAGCTGGATGACGACATGACTTTTGAGGCTCATGATTCTTTTTCTCTTGAAGAGGAAATCATGCAGGTACAAAAATAATGATTCCTTGCATGTTCGAAATGCAAATTCTGAAGTGCTACGTTTTGCTCGCATCTGGATGCTAGGAGTCTGATGTGATGGCAATAATAGGTGACTTGCCCCGAGAAGCCGATTCTATCTATTCTAGGAATGATCTTTGCAACGATTAAGACGTCGCTCGACATGTTTTGAAATACAGAAGTCTTGTTCTTGCAAACATAAACTGCCCAGTTCTTCTCCTGTTGAGCTTTGCATTCACAACTGCTATGCAAACCGGTCGCAAGTGAAGAGTTTGGTTTAAAGCTCATCTGCGTCGCTCTGAGGTCGCATCTAATTTTGACTTACATGCAGCCTTCAGTAGTTTCATAGCCGCCTACAATCTATGCCGCAATTGCTTTCGTTGCTGCCCTTCGCATATTGTGGCTCGCTTATGAAAAGGGGGAAGCGGGGTAGCACAGTCTTGTAAGCGAGGACCGCTATTCAAACATTTCATCGTGAAAAGAAAGGGCTGAAGTTTGAGGACCTTGATTCATTGAATCAACATCGAGTTCGAGTAAATTTGTTTCACAGGTAGCAACTAGTTTGAAGAGTGCTAGAGTGCTCTGCCAGCTAGCAGTTCTATCAGATTCAAAAGCATACCAGGACGTTTGAATATTTGATGATATTAAAGAGAGCATTTCTGTGGTTCGTAAGAAGTTACGCATTCAGCATAGTTGGTCACTATGCACTACTGAATAGTGGTTTTTACATTCCTCATGTAAACAATCGAGCAATTTTAAGCATGCAATAATGAACTATTTGCCTGAGAACATAAGAGAGCCAAATGCACCACCTTACAATACTCTGCTGATACTTTGTCCCAGGGAAATAAACCGTTAGCGTATGACTAGGGCAAGGGTTTTGATTTTGGTGCCATCACAGCAATTCTTTCCCTTGTCCTCGTAAATCCGCTAACGTTTATTTCCCCTGGGACGAAGTAGAATCTAGCACTATACTAGATCTCTTCTGTGAAATACTTGTGAAAGCCTTATGCATTGTTTCCTCAGATCAAAGATCTTCAAAGATCATCAATGATGCGGCTAGTTGGCAGGGGCGGAGACAAGTCCTACTCGCGTGGAGTAAACTTCTCCCGGGTGACCAAACAGACTCTCAGAGCCCCACAATCCACTATCTAGGCGACGTGGGGGAGAATCGATCCGCGAAAGGTACACGTAGAGGCCTGTGGATATACTTCTAGGAGAGACTCGAATTTCAAAGTCACCTCGTTACGCCTTGCTATAAGGGGGAAAGTATCGGCATTGCACGAAAGCTTGAAACAAAAATAAACATGGAAGGAAAACAAGTAACTGCCGTTGCGAGGAGCGGGAAGAAAGTGGCTCTAATGTAATTCTGGGGAAGTTTAAATGTGGACGATGTAACCTTCCACGTCAGTCCCGTCCCTTCCAGACAAAACAAACAATTTCAACAACACGGCACATGCTAAAGCGCGTGAAACGACTTTCCCCTTATTCGAGCTCTCTTATAAACAGTCTAGGTTGTCACACTAGCCACGTCTTACAAGCCACGTGAGCCAAACCTTGTATGTCTCAGTGACTTCTAAATATATATCATGGTACGAACTGTGCTACACCCGAGCCATTGTCTCGAACCTTATTCAGACGGCTTGTCTGTCGTTCAGCCACACGTCACAAAGACACAAGCCATGAATCTTCTCGCTCCCTCGCCTCCATGCTAAGAAGTCATTCGTGCTCGAGACGAGGAGCCTCAAAGACATTATGCAATTCTTCACCTTCCGGGATCTCAAAGCAGCAACCGTGCGATGTTTTGCGGTGATTGTCGTCCGATGTCTCGTCGTCCAAGTTGGTAAGGCTTACATCATGATTAAAATAAAGATCTGCGTCGTCCACCGCAAGGGCCTCTGGTTTGAGGAACACGTCTCGAGCATAGTATTCCAGAACCTTCAAGCCATGATGATGATGAATACTTGCGCAAGCGAATTACCGACCTTCAAATGCAGCCGCACACATCACCCTAATAATGATCGCTCGCAAGATCCCAAAGTTCCCAAACATCCCTCCACGGACCTTAATCGGACGATCAATATAACCTCCTTGCCTGCCAATACATACCCCCCTCCCCATCCCACATCCCCGCTTTCTTGTCTTACCAAACTATATTGCTTGACCTGCCAGCCTCCCTGCTGTTGTTGCACGAACAGCTGGACAAAACCGACCTACCACTACTAGCTCACCCAAACCCGTCACAACTCTGGATTCCGTTCGGCACGTAAACCTAAATCCCGATCCACAAACCGTCTCATTTCCTCCGAACCGGCTACCAGCCACGTATAGGAGTAGTTCCTGCCCTAGTGCCTATTCAGAAAAACCAGCCTCTCTCTGCATCAGTAAGTATGCCCACCACGTCCGTCCACTCCACAAAAAAAAGACTCGGCAGAGAAATCCCAAAAAAAAAAAAAAAAATATTTCCTTCGACGAATCCACTATGACAATCAATCACTGACAAACGCCTGACAAAACCCGTCTCGTCTAGCATGAAATCGCAATACGCCTACGTGCCGTTTGTCTGATCGCCGGAAAACACCCAGCCAGGATCTACATACACACTTAATTACCTGCCTGCTTCCCGCCTGTCAAAAAAAAATTTCCGCTTGCTCGCTCGCTGCTAAAAGAGAAGAAGGGGGGATTCCCGAGGGGGAGAACAGGTCCGTTTCAAGTGCCGCACTCCGCCTCCCCGGCCACACAGACGCATGACGAACTAAGGGTCAACCATGACATGCATGGGCCCCCCCTCCCTTCTTCTTCTTCTTCTTCCCTTCCCTTCCCTTCCCTCCCCTTCCTTTGTCCTCCTCTGTTCCCCCCATCCTGCAGGCTAGGCTGAGCTGGGCTGGGCTGGACGTACAATTTCTTCTGTCTGGAGCGTTCCTTTCCTGTCTCGGCTCCTTCCTTCCTTGCTTTACCAAGTCAGGTAAAGTACCAGATTCCCGTCGCCGCCGCCCATCGCATCCGGAAGCTGGAACGGGAAAGGGGTGTGGTGTGGTGTGGTGTGGTGTGAACGAACGGACGGACCAGGGCCCCTCACTTATTTAGGCAGGACGTTGTTAGAGGGAAGGCTTCCGTATGGATCTGGGCTGGGCCCGTCGAGAATGTCCCTCACATATTGTCTATCCATCGTTCTTGTTTCCTTTCTTTGCTTTTTTGAGGGGGTTGCACCTAGGATGTAGATTGCGCGATTATAGGTGTGCGAGATGGCATATTTCGCTCGGGGGATGATGGATCGACGGGACTTGCAAATCCCCAAGTTCAGGCCCTTGATCTGACGAGGGACGATCTGGGCTTCGCCTCATGTTGGTGGTGATGTTGGGTGAGTGCTTGCTGCTGCCGTTGATGTAGAGAAGAAGTGTTCTGGAACGTCTGGAATGCTGCAGTTCATGCGGTATGCTGTGCATAGAGCATGAAGAGATTGATGTGATGACGACGATAGGTATCGAGGTTGGAGGGAGAGGACACATGTCCTGCATCAAATCTTCGTCTTCGGCGGGTTCTAGAAAATACAAGCCATACGCACGAAAGATGAGGGTAAATAGCCACTCAATGTTTTGGGTCTAACATTTACAATATTACAAGATTGATTCCAGCAAGACTCTCCTATGTCTTTCATGCTCTCTATCCGTGCCGCCATGATGAATGCCAACGCCAAAGCCAAAATGGTCTTTCCAGACAGTATAGCAGCGCAGCCTTTTTTTTCCACCCCTCCTGTGCAATCCCATTCCCACCCATCCATTTCCATCCCTTAAAAGCCTTATGCTACAATATGTATACACAACCCAATCCAAACCCAACCCAGCCATGCAAATGTGCCTCCTCGTCTCCCAAAGTGCTCCTAAATGATGTTCGTAATACTCATACGCTCATTCCCCCTATTTCTCTCTTGACCCCGATCCGGTGCCAATCCACCTGCACTACCACCAGAACTGCCACTTCCATACCTCGAATGCACATTCGAATGAACAGGCTGCGCATAACCACCCTGCTCCCTCGCCAAAACACCAACAAAATACTCCACCCTCTCCCACCCACCCCAATCCCTCGCCTCGGCATCCGTAAGAATCGTCGTCCCTTCCCGCCCATCCCCAAGTAACGTAGCACCAATTTTTGGTCCCCCAGAAGATCCAGAACTCACACCTCCGATGTTCATCCCTGTCTCACTGCCCGTCCAAACCCAACTATTTTCCGTACTTGCTTGCAAATCGCCAGAAACGTACGCAATGAGCTCTTCGTCCATTTCTCGTTCCCCGCGGTAACCTGTACTCCCAATGAGTCCTCCTGCTCTCCTCTTCTCGATCAAGACGCCAAGGAAGAAAGCCAGATTTCGACCACACGCTACATTGACGTCTCGAAGAGCGGCGATGCTAGACGAAGCTCGGATGCAAGTTAGTGCTGCGTCGAAATGGCCACCGAAAAGGAGGAAGAGAGTACAGCGCCAAATGTGCGTACAAGTCATGGAGTTGGCTGTAGGTCCGAAGGGAGGCGTTGAAGGATTCGACGAGTTAGAAGCAGTCATTGCACGAGCTAGCAGATTCGTGGAGTCTAGAGATGCTCGGATGCACTGTTCAATAGCGTTACTGCGGATTTCTGGAGGGCAGGAAGTGGTGAGATTGTGTCGGTGAAGAATAAGACGTGCATTCATGAGATGGAAGACTGGAGCGAGCATTCTTGGATCCAAAGGTTCGTGTGCAGAAATTTGACAGGATGGTGGAAATGAAGCCATGCAGGCATTGAAGTGAGTATCAAAAGTCTGCAGTGTCGAGGGAGAAATGACGGGCGATTTGAGTGTTTTGATCAGTTGAGAAACGGCTCTTACAACGTGTATAATTGGCAGGATAAAGTTTGTGAGAGGTGCAACGCCGTTTGGAACCAGCATTCCGGCATCGTGGATGTAATGGTCGTCAATGGCAGCTGGAAGGCTTACATCGCAGTCTGCGTCTTCGATCAGGAGAGGTCGTCCGAGCTCCAAGGACATATGCCTATCCCAAACATAAATTCCCCACCATACTCGACGTCGCATTTCTCCTTCTATCATTGGCCAAGGTCCCGTTTCGTTGTGCAGACCTATATCCTGGGAAATTCTGACCGCTGAAGCTAACCACGTCCATGCAGCAGATTTGAGGTTCATCTCAGTCAGGAAAATGCTAACCAGAATAGCGGACCGTGCGTGATCAATAACAAACTCATCATTCCAGGTATCTATCAAGACTCGCGAAGTCTCAATGTACTCTTTTCCTTTGTGAGGCCGCTGAACACTTGGTTCCGAACTGAAAAGTGTGCCAACTGCTAGTACCGAAAAGAAGAGTGAACTCCACACAGGAGGCACTCCGTGCAAGCTTCCGGCTTTGTAAACAGCCTCGTATTCCTGCTCAAACGTGGGCCAATGAAGTATAGGTATTATGATGTGGACAGAAGCGTAATATGAGCTAAGAAGATGGTCGGCCAAGTGTTTCGGGGGAAGATCCGGTCGAGGTGGGTTGAAATGTGCCTGTGACCCAATTTGCCGGTAAGGTGCAGGTGGCTTGAATATCCCCCGGCCAAAATTCCGGATATTGGAGCGTACCCTCGACAGATCTTGAGGCGGTGGAGGCCGTTGTCTTCGCTTTGGATGCGAGCCGATTTCCGGGAGTTGTAGGGCAATTTGCTGAGGCCCTTCAGTGTCAACGTCCATCTGCCCTTCCCTCATACTCAGCATGGACCTCAGATGTGAGTTTTCCCTCTTGACTTGAGCAATTTGTTTCTCCAAGTCCTGCACTTGCTTGATAGATGACATGCGCCGATTTGTCTCCTTGGTGAACTGACACTTCACGTTCCGGCTGGAACATTCCGAGCAACTTGTTGTCTCTGTCGCATCACACTTAACTTTGCGTTCTCTGCAGGCATCACAACTTGGGTCTTTCCTTCTCTGCCGATAAGCCCTCTTTTGCGCTTGCATGTTCGCAGCAGACATCTGCCCTCCTGTGGCACCTGGCGTACCACTTGAAGATCCCGTGGAGGCCATTGAATCCATGCCTGGTGGTCCAGGAGATGTCGTAGCAGACCCGTAGGGATTTTGGAATGAGCTATGCCCCATAGGGAGCCCGGTTTGCATGTTCATATGCTGAGGATGTGGTCCGCTCAATGGTCGAGGAGAGGCACCCATAAGTCCTCCTTCGTATACTCCTTGTGGTCGAGGTGACGCCGCAGACGAGACAGAGGAAGAGTCGTAAGATTTCGTCGAAGGCGCTGGCGACCTTGAGTATGTATTTTGTATCGGCCCCGCCATCTTTAAAGGCCCGAAGTCGCTTCTGTTTATCCAAATGGCACTACCCGGTGGAGAGAGTCTGAGATATAGGATCGAGAGAGGCGAAGAGAGAGGTTCACAGTTCCAGCCTCATTTCACGGAGTTTTACGCACCTGCCACAGAAAATTCGGGGAGAGGATTCGAATCCGCAAGCGGAAGAATTGCAGCGAAAAGGGGATTTGGGGGCCTTGGGATTATACGATAGCCAGAAGAGATTGCGTTAGTCAGAGAATAGGATTTTCCACAAGGACTTGTTCTTTGGTATCTCTCCTAGGATCTGGGAGATCCGCGACACGCCGCCGGGTTGCAGTTTGGTGCCACCTCAGGGCTGCTAAGTTCCGATGCAAGTAGTAGTGCAGCGTGGCCTGCCTTGAAGCTTTCCCCACTCGATACCAAAGGCCCAAGGTACCAGAAGTCGGCAGCTGATCCGTACCGGAGAAAGTCAATCTGTGACAGGGAATCGATCAGCTAAGTGCACCGAGAGAGGCGCTCGTTGGTGGTGGTGTTGGAAGTGGTGGTGGAGGAGTAGGAAGAGGCTAGTTGTGGCGAGAAGAGCATATTGGTGCGGTAAAGAATGTTGAGAGGAGGAAAAATGCCGACAAGACAATGATAAGAATTTAAGTGAGGTATGACTTTGACTGGTGCGGGATGAAATAGCAGCGACGAAGGGGAGGGTATATGACGGAAGCGCAAGCATTGGCCTCCGCTTTAAGGCTGATTGGGAAATCTGGAGTAATATAATGCCAAGCAAAGCAAAGCAAGCATATGAGGCAGAGTTTCGCGAAAATATTTCTCTCTGCGCTGCGCTGTGCCCTGACGACGGCCTGGCTTGCCTTGCCTTGCTACCCGGTGAACCTTGTACGCAGGTGAGTTGCGGTGCGGTGTGCAGTAGTAGTGTTAAAGTAGCGATGGCGGTTCTCGACCCTGGCCGCCCACGCCCACCATCACTTCCTCTTTGCAGCTCAAGGGGGGAGGGGGGTGTGAGGGGGGACGGAGCATACGTCCAGGGCAACGTCAAGACGTTACGGAGCCCAGTTAGTCAGGACTGAGAGGGCAGCGGCAGAAACGAAGATTCTCCGGAACTCCTGCAAAACTTCCTTTTTGGGAGCCCGAAACAACATGCAAACTTGCAGGTGTCCTGAATGCCAACCCTATTCTGATTGCCGGGTCGGCAAAGTGACAAAGTTTGACTGTCATACGCCGGGACATGATGTGCATTGCTCCAGGAACTCGTGCGGGAAGCAGGCAGGCAAGCAACCAAGCAAGCAGCTCGGTACTGATGAGCCGCCCCGAGAGTTCAAGCAGGCAGGTGGTTGTAGGGGTTGATCATCGTCAGATAGATTAAAAGACGTACCGGGATTTTGTTTGGGCTGGAGCGTTGGATTGTTCAGTAACTGGCCACTTTGGTCACCTGCAGGTCGGTTTCGCGGGAGGAGGCGTCTAGAGGTGTTCCTGCGACGTTCACTGCATATGTACGTCTGGATTCCAGTCTGCTTCGGGGGCCTCCTGCCGAACCCTTCGGCTTGTTGATAGGACCAGCTCGTCCAGCGGATCGGAAGTATCGTTTTGGAGGAATCGAGGCAGTCTTACCAAGACGACGCGTGGTTAAGATATCGTGGGAATACCGAGATGCTGTGAGCTGGTGAGAGGCGGCTTGCTCAGCTCGAAGATGGCGAATGGAGTTTTCTGGTATGTCTCGTCTGCACGTCAGAATATGCAGCAGCACGTGTGCAATCCTGCGTGGTTGTTTTCAGAGAGCGATGGTAGTGGGTATATATCGGGACAATAGCACCTCCTCCTCCTAGCTACCTCGTAAGTCTCGCCCGACTCTGGACAGCAGGACTACAGTAGTTCGCCCTCAAGGAAATTTATTAGGCGATGCCGTCTGCAATCCTGGCTTGCGGAGGGGAACAGGTACGGGGGTTCTGGAAATAGTCGTGATTCGATAAGAGGTGGTACCTGCAACCCTTGCCAGAAGACGACTTCACCGTGGTGGACAGGGTGATGAGGAGCCAAGGTTTGTCACCAGGGGCCTTCGGAGGATGTCTCGAAGCCCATGCCGCATCCAAGATCAGCAGTGCCAGCGTCGCCGACGGTGCATGACAATGTATGCAAGGCTGCTGTGAAGTGAGCTTTCTGCTAGTCGTAGTTAGTGGTGACAGAATCCTCGCAAAGAATGTTATCCACATGGGAAAAGGAGCTGCTAATATCACTATGAGGTGCCGCTGTCTCATGCGAAGCTCATGCCGTGCTCTGTAGTAATATAGTTAGTAGTTGATTTTCTGATAGTCGGACAAGCATGTCCGCAAGACGCCTTTGCCTAATGAGGAAGTAGATAAACGTTTCCTAGTGTTTCAGGATTTTCGATTTTGCATCTTAGATAATTTTTGCTTTTTAGCTCGAGGACGGGGGTCTGGAAAGGTTTACCAGTATTGCCTCCTGAGGATCACTGGCCTAGAGGCCCAAGTGACCAGGAAGAGGAAGGTCCTGGGACCTCTAAGCGTACGGCTACGAGTACGTACTGCCGTTCGTCTACTTTGCTTACTTGTGGACTCGCTCCTGGAATGGCGTGTGGTGTGGTTGGCGGCTATGGGTATGGAGGTGGACTGGATGTCGGCTTGGTTGTTGCCGCAGCGGGAGGATTGGGACGGACTGACTTGGGGGCCTGTTTCACGAGCATACCCTGCCAGCCCGGAAGAACAGAATCATGGTTTGGAAGGCAAGTTCCGACGGGATGAGCAAATGCTGCGGCAGCGGCGAGCTGCCACATGTGTGTGGGGTGGTAGAGTTTAACAGCCAGCGTGGAGGGTCCCTACCGAATGGACAGAAAGGAGAGCATGGCCGCGGTACGGTTGGCATCCCGGAGCGCCTCGTCCAACAGGAAGGTCGATGTTCTGAAACCTTGCGGTGGCTTGCAAGTATTGCTGGAAGAGAGTTTAGGCGTTGGAGGGCTCGTTACTGGACCGGGGACTGTGAACGATCTTGCACCGCCGGCTCGCATTCGGTGACTAACTAATTCAGGCCCCCTAGACAGGACACCATCATTATTCTCACCACCACCACCACCACAACAGCGGAGTGCACTCCTCTCCCCCAAACCCCCAATAACTCCCCGTGGTAGCACAATGCCTAGCTCTCTTGCTGACTTCGTACTGACCCGCATCGCATCTTCGCAGCTCCCTGTAATTCGACTTCCAGTCTCCTCTCTGCTCCCACCACCATAAATCCTCAACCGTCGACCCGACTGCCGCGAACCAGTGAAAAGATCGGCCGCCGCCTGCAGACCGCCTGCAGCAGCGGGCCTTGCCCCAATGCAACGCTGCTTTTTATTCTGATATGATATCGATATTTGAAAACTTGCTATACCTCCTCAGGCTCAGCGCGACAGTAGTCCCTCGTCCATGTCGAACTTGGCCTTAAGCTGCCCATATCAATGGCCGGACACGAGATCACGAGATATTTCATTTGCGCCATACGCGCCAGACTCAACAGCCGACAGACTCCAGTGAGTGATGGTCGTGGATTAGAATCCACTTCGCCCGACTTTCCAAGGCCCACCTCTCCATCCCCTATTCAAGGCGTGGCACCGGGCCCAGAAAAATCTGGGGACGACACGCATGCGTGTTTAACCTATTCCATAACTACATATTCTGGATAGTGAGTCGAGAAGGCCCTTCGTTGTCTTGTATTGAGGCGCCCCAATCGAAAACAGTTAATGCCGCTGTGAGCGCTTCCACGTCCACTTTCTTGCAGTCTTCTCTTTGCATATAATTGCATGGCAAAACCCTTTCCAGTCTCGGATGAACGCTTACCGGTAAGTTCCCCAGAAAAAGTTTCGAAGGTCTGAAAGGAAACGGGCCTCTAACGCATAAGGCCGAAGTCTAGGAAGCGATCTTGTTTCAAGACCGCTGCAGAGACTAAAAGGGACATATAATACAAGAACGACGTCATTGGCACCACCCGAAGCTTTGGTCAGCATTTATAAGACGTATATCGAGAAACATATGAAAGTCTAGCACAGAACTTGCGTTGATAGACTTCCGAGCATACGTCCTGTCGAGACTGTTGGCAGGTCTGTTTGAGAGGTGACGTTGAGCGCGAATACCAAATAGCTCTTGGCGAACGTTCGTGCGGTCCGATGGTAAAGATCAGCAAGTTTCCAGATCCCCACAGACCCTTTACCTTGTCATGATAAGGTTTGTTCTACTGCGGCATCAGAACCAGGCAATGACAGCGGTCCCACTGCTAAAGGATCCAGGGAATTGTGTGCATCGGATGCTACCGCGGTCTGCTTCTGACCGGATTTTCGAGGCAGTTCGGATCTTTGCTCCTCTAATCAATCGCATAGCTAAATCCCAGGACGCACGAGCAAGCTCGTTCAGAACTCTGTGCGGAACATTTCTTCGGAAGTCTGCGGCCGCATGAAAGTTTCCTGTTGACCATAATAAAATGTTGCTGATCACTTGTCTAGTCTTTTTCTCCATAACATAACCGCACAGATATTCCCTTCCTATCTACACGAAAGAGGGGCCAGCACGATTCAGCCCGTTGGTAAATGCAACCTAGGAGGTGGTCACAAAAGCGGAAGCCAGAAGTGAAGCCGAAAGTTTGCTTGTTCCGCGGCGGGCGCGGGTAGCAGAAATGTCGTGATGATCCCCTCAAAAGGAATGTGTTAAACTCAACCAGATCTAGATACCACCTTGTGATTACACGTGGAGCCCTGAGCAAGATTCCTCCCGTCCCAGTTGATCCTTCTGCAGTCGCCAGCAATGACTCGTCGAGCTCGTCAGTTCTAGAGCCCGAATGCTTGAAATGTAACGCTGAAGTGAAGATCTAGTTTCTTCACGGGAAGTCACTCCCAATTGAGATTATGGCCGTCACTTTCGGCGATAACCTGACTTGAGTACTTTGCTCACACTTTGAAACCGTAGAACGCTTGTTCAGCTACCGGCCAGAAGGCACTTGGCAAATTGCACAGCGTCAATTGGTCTATGGACTACCGTCTGCTATGGAGCCTGCACGACGCTGGTTCTTGAGAAGCTTCTTTGGGACCGTCGTTTTCCACCAGGCCGTTAGAAAGGTCAGACGCCGACATGGTGAGGATCCTCCTGCTGGGTTCTCTCTCAGCTTAGCTTTTTTTCCAGCGTGGCCCTACAATCCTAGCAGCACCGCCAAAGCCCAGCAGCACCAGCACTTTGGGCTGGGGACAGTGGGTGGACCGTGTGAGGCTCCTGGCATGGCCTGCCTTGCCTTGGGCGTGGCGGGAAGAATTACCGAACAAGAGGTAACCCGGGAGGTGGAAAAGCTGGCGTCGTGGAAATTTGATGGTGCGCAGTGCGCTGCAGAGCAGATCCATGGGCCACCAGGAAAGTCCCAGCACTTCAGCACCCGCTTCAGCACCCACCCAGCACTAGCAAACGTCACAAAATTGACGCTGGGTGTGATAGGGCTCTGAACGGACGATCATCTCCACTGCACTCACGATGGCCAGCGGGATACCCGCAGCTCGGTCTGAAACGGGATGACAGGTCATTTCCCACGCTGGTGGGCAGATGAGATCTCGAGAGAGGGGCCCGAGGAACCTGTCAGTCATTTTACTCTCCGCCCGAGTCCGAACAGAACATGGATTTGTCCCCTTTGTCTGCTGCAGATTGCAGATTGCAGATTATTGCAGCACAGCCACAAACAGATAGTGCCAGCAGGGAATCGCTGTTCCTGCTTGGCAGGATGGACGCAGTGCTCCCGAATGGAACGCCTCGATGATGATGATCTCCAGAACAGAGTTTGAACGGTGTGTTTCCCTCGTCTCCTCCTCGGGGAATGGGACCGAATTGGACCTGGCACGACGATGCTCCGGTTTCGAGGTCCAGCAGCGTCGTATCGAGAACATTACACTCCCGAATTTCCACGTCGTCCTCGCCCATGTTGAGGCTCAGTATCAATATGTCTGAGTACCTTGCTCTTAACGCCATCGAATCTGGATCTGGCCCTGGATTCCGAGGTTGCCAAACGGCAGCAACTCGCTGCCCTAAGACACAACATGGTGAGTGACCGAGTTGCATGTACAGGTACAGGACCCTTCGAAACATGCGGAAATCCTCCTCCTGCAAATCCGATTCGCAAACATTTCCTCAACTGCGTCGGGGAGCGCACCAAAAGGGACAGTACACCTACTTTATGAAGCTACCAAAGCTTATCTGCATGAAGCAAGCTCGTGGCAGCAATGAGACGGCTCAAATAAAGCCGCCGTGACACAAGATGAGGTTGCTACCCGCAATCTAAGACATTATTGATATTCCTGTGCGACGGGTGTCTGCGATGACCGCGACGACTGTGTGATGAGCGCGTCGGGGCATTGCTTTTGGGCTTCTTGTCTTCTTTGCTGTGCATTTTCGTGTCTGTGTTCGAAATGCGATGTTCGTGCTTCCGTACGAACCGCAAAAGAAATACGAAATAATGGCATTCAATTGTCTTCAAGGATGTTCCATCGAGTTCGTTGACGAGGCATTTCGGAAGGCGCCGAGGTGCTGAAGGAAGCTTGCTACACCGCCCGAAGGGGCAGAATACTTTCCACAATTTTTTCCTAATTGAATTTGGGACCATCGCAGAGATTTCCATTCGATGACAAACCGAAAACGTCTCCTAAAGGAGGCATAGTATTCGCCTCGAAGTGAAGTATATCTTTTATGAGCTACTGCTCGTCTATATTCCTTTTCTCATCCCTTCTCCCGCTTCCAAGTTCCACGAGCAAAAAAGGAACATTCTGCTTGGAGGACTCAGTGACACGAAGATCCAGAAGTCAGTGAGACAAGACCACTGAGGTGTAGGAAACCTAATTCAGACGTCGAATAGTTTTCGATCTCCGGCATTGCCCCTCTCTGCGACGGAGAAGCTTACACGAAGACTGCACTTCTGCTCACTCGAACCCAACCCTCACTTCGCTGTCCGCCCCTCAACTCAAGCCTCACCTTCAAGATGTGCAAATCCGCCCACCACCAATTCTTGCACGATATGCCAAAATGCGAACACCATCTGCACATCGAAGGCTCCCTCTCACCGACCCTTCTCTCCTCCCTCGCCGCTAAGAACTCCATCTCTCTGCCAGACTCCTCAGTCGATCCCTCCTTCGCCTCTCCCACAGCCCTCGAACAACGATACGAGAACTTCACTTCCCTCGATGATTTCCTCCACTATTACTTCATCGGGATGTCCGTCCTGCTCCACGCTTCAGATTTCGAATCTCTAGCCTACGAGTACTTTACTCGCGCACACGCTGATGGGGTCCACCATGCTGAGATATTTTTCGATCCTCAGGCGCATACTTCGAGGGGGGTATCCTATGGAGTTGTAGTGGAAGGACTTGTTGCTGCGCAAAAGAAAGCAGAGAAAAACTTTGGGATCAGTTCGAAATTGATATTATGCTTCCTGCGACATTTACCCGCGAGTCACGCTGGAGAGACGTATACTGAAGCTGAGGCATTGGGACATTTCTCCGATGGGACAGTGGTAGGCATTGGACTCGATAGCAGCGAGGTCGGTTTCCCACCAGAGATCTTCAGAGAAGTCTATGACGCGGCTGGGAAGACGACTTTGAGAAGGACAGCACATGCTGGAGAGGAGGGAGACCATACATATATCTCACGAGCGCTGGATCTCTGCAATACAGAGCGAATCGACCATGGTATCCGACTAGTTGACAACGAGGAGCTGCTCAAGAGAGTAGCGAGCGAGAAGATCTTGGTCACCATGTGCCCGTTGAGTAACGTCCGGCTGAGATGTGTGACGAAAGTTGCGGATCTACCAGTCAGGAAATTCCTGGATGAAGGAGTGAGGTTCAGTATCAACAGTGATGATCCTGCTTATTTCGGAGGGTACATACTTGATAACTATTGCGCCGTGCAAGAAGCGTTCAAATTGAGCCTCGTGGATTGGAGGTTTATTGCGGTCGCTGCTATTGAGGGGAGTTGGTGTGATGAGGAGAGGAAGAAGACTTTGTTGGCAAAGGTTGATGACTGGGCGGAGAAACATAAGAGCATGGCTTGAATCTCAGCTACGGCAAGGGGTAGTAATACATGAAGAACAGGTGGCAAGAAAGTTTATGGCCCCATATTGTAGAAGTGTATCTATTGACAAACATACCCATCAAAGCACGGACGCTTTGCTGTACTCTAGTCACCTGTTAGAATACTTAGAATCGAAGAATTTTTACAGTAATACCATTAATTGCATGTGTCTAAGACAGAGTGTAGGAATCTGAAACATCATGTAGGACAGATTCTTTGAACCATCCAGCTCTATTCCAGGAAGTGGCACTGTAATCGTGTTAAACAGCACGTCTTAATGCCATCCTAATTACTGAAGGAAGACAAGCCCAACCTTGCAAACATCCTGATTCAAGAAAGACTGATTCACTCACCATACTCCAATAACCCAAGTGTTCCACAGTGATCCACATAACCCACCCTCTGTCCGTGATTCAAGCTCCGGGAATCACCTCCATCAAACCCCACATCTTTTCCATTTAATCCACTCCAAACAAACAAACAACATATCCTTCTTCCCAACCAAATAAGGAATTCACAACTCAATGTGCCTCTTCCACCCCAAAGCCCCTGATTCTCCTGAGCTTCCTGCACGACCAGCTAAACCCCATCCTCCATCTCCAAAAAGATACCATTATCCACGTCCACGGCCACTTTCAAAAGGGAAAGTACTAGTCTGTCCTAGCATCGATACTAGCGAAGCTATCGATCCACAGACCCCCGAAATATAACAAGAGTCTTCTAAGATCTAGTTTCTGTGCTTGAAGCTGGGGCGACTATCTTCTCTTCTCAGTTCCTTCAATCGACGGGGCAGCAAGGTCAAAAAGTTGCCTTATTCATACAGCAACGGAGCTGCGCACGAGTCGAGTCGTATACGAATTCATGTTAGCCAGAAAGAAAATGCTGGTTGAAGAGGGTGAGTGGAGGCAGGCTCACGAGCAGTCTTTCAGTCACTGTCCCTTTTCTGAAAAAGCGGGAGGTTGATGAGGAGCTACTAGGTAAGCTAGAGATATTTTGAGCCTCGGATAGGTATGATACGACAAAGTGAGGGGAGCATTTTGGTACGGACTTGGTGTTTGGGGAGAGCGGGTTTGAGGAGGGTTGTTATCGAACGTCCGTCAATGAAGGGGTTCTAACTTCTGAGGAGAAGGCCAAACATTACCTACACCACAATAAAAGACCCCATGACTGAATTTATGTATTGCTGAGTTGCGCATTCATCGTTTGGGAAAGCGAAGCTTTACAAGTGATGCGTCCAAGTGGTGGTCTTCCTCTGTCTTCCAGCGAGCGTCCAGAGTCCAAGACACTACCAATATTTTTCTTGTACAATTAAAAGCGTCCAAATATGAGGAATCACTCACCGCGATCTATTTCAGGAGACTCAGAGCCATATTTCGGATACACTGCTTTCATGTTCTTACAAATCGTGTAACTACAGCGGCGCGCCGCAATTGGCCCGCGAAGCGAAGCCCCTGAATTCGCCCGGTACCTCACTTGGACATTGAGAAGATGCGCTCTGAGGAGACACACCAAAAAGATCTATTGTAAAGTACTCAGATAGTAAGAGAATAGATGTGCAGGCGTGAACGATACTTAGCCATGCAGACTTTTACAATGTGGGGTTGGCATATTTACATATTTTCCTCTGAATGGCTAGCTTAGAGTGTTGTGATGTCTATATACTTCAATTCTTACTATAATTTATTGGATGTCATAGTAAATCCAAGGCCTTGAAAAGCTTTCCTGTCATATGTTTCATATGCTCCTTAGCTAAACTATCTTTGTTTTAACAAAGTAGAGGGAGTACATTTCTTGAAAGACTTTGCGCTTATTCACTGCACTAATTCGAAATGACAGTGTGATTCAATGATATGCGAGAAAGATTCAGCGCCTAAGACACAAATATGCTACATAGGTGCTATGCATCTGGGTGTAATGTAGGACTTTATGTAAATCAGAATATAATTTACGAAGAGCGGTCCTATTACCTATTGCGCGTCTCTAAGTATCTTGAGACTTAGAGGGGACATATGTCAAATAGGCATTTACAGCACGTGAAGGCACATGAGAAATAGTTTAACGTGACATTACGAGTTATGGATGTGAATGTTCAGTTACTCATTTCATTAAGTTATCTCTCCTCTCCCACGCACTTCGTCTTTACACGACCATCAAAAGTATTTCAGCACAATACCACCGAACAAAACCATTTCCACCCATAAACAAGATGGAACCACGGCCCACCGCGGGATCAAGTTTGGCAGAGCGCAGACGCAGAACTAGCTTTCAACTTCCGGAATTTCATGCAGTGAATCGAAGTTGGACTGAGTTCTCTGCCAATGTCCAGCAGCATGTTGCAGCCGGTACACCCACCAAACTTCCTGACAATGTCAACTCTCCTGTCAGTACTCCTGATGCTTTTAAGCATCTACAGCAGCACCGAAAATATCTGAGTGGGGACCACTCTACTAAAGAGTCCGACATTGAGCAGTATATTCGAAGTTCGAGAACGCAACGGACATTAAACGGGAATCAAAGTTCTCGCGGCATTGGGCATTTTCTTCTAAGTTCAGGATCGCCACCGTTATTTAGCGGGAATCAAAATTCTCACAACATCGGACATCACCTTCGAAGTTCGGGAACGCAACCGCTATTTAACGGGGGTCAAAGTTCTCACAACATTGTTCCATATTCCGCAAAAGCTACTTCTATGCCAACAATGTCCAATCTCCGAGCACGCTGGGAGATGCAGGGAACACTTGGTGAGCCGATATCGAAAATACTACCATGACTTCCCTTCTAACAAGTACTTAGATTCAACGCCAGAAAGCAACATGTCAGACTTGACTAGCACAACACAACCTCGCCTCGAAGCGAATCACACTCAAGAGGATTCCGTGATCATGGACCAACCGCCTGCGAAGCGAAGACGCACTACAAAGGCTAGTGAGAAGAAGCCTCCAAAGCCAAAGGCGGAGAAGAATCCCAAGCCTCCAAAGACACCTAAGGCGCCTACGCCAAAGACTCCAAAGACTCCCAAAACCCCCAAGACTCCTACAAATCCTACTCAAACAAAGATGAAGAAAGCCAAGACATCCAAAGTCGACGTCCACGAAGACGATGGAGCTATTGGTGAAATCAGCGGCAATATGCAAGGACAAGACGTGGCTGCGGAAGCAGGCTCGAACGTGCCGTCTACCTCACGCAACGGTGGCCTGAATCAAGAGATATACGCTGCGCTGAATAGCCAGTATCAAGATGAGATGGGGGATGACGGACTTGCTGACGATGGTATGAGATGTTCTGCTTATTTCAGTCGTCACTTTCTCTTTCCCCAACTTACTACAAGCTTCACTTCACGTGAACACGTGGATAATTACGTTTGGGCTCTCTTTTTGGATATACTATTCTTGCAAGATTCACGTACTAACATGGTCAATGCTCTTTACAGGTCCATCCCTCCTCAATTTGCTATCTTATTCTAAGACCGGAGAGCTACAATACACCTACAAGACTGATGACCCTGAGCTCATGCTCCGAGAATATCAACGCATGAATACCGAGGTTGCCTCTCAACATGCAAACATGCCATCGCTACAGGGCTCTCATGATCAATCAGATCTGTTGCCTCCAATTCCGGATGTGTGCTTTCCTCAGCCAAGCTTCAACTACCAAGTCTCATCATCACCAATGCAAGGGAACAACAGCTATGAACAGCAAAGCTTCAAGGAGGGTACTTTGACACCCCAAATGCAAGGGAATAGTGTCTGCCCGAAACAAAACAATGGCACAGGACATCAAACAAATCATGGAAATGGTCAACTACGCACACCTCAAATGAGCCAGAACTTTAACCAATCTCCGAGACACTACGCCAGCATGATCATAGCATCCTCGATGCCAAGGAGCACCAACAACAACAGTTCATTCAACTCTCCATCTATGGAACAGCCAGGCCCATCCACTTTCGATCCCAGTGTCTTCTTCGATCACTCGAATCTTCGGTCCATGAACACTTACTTCTCACCCAATACGGTAAGTGACCCTTTCGGAGCATGATCTTTGAGATGTTATCTAATATACTATACTGGCATGAAATATACTAATGCAATGCTTTTGTAGGGCCCTTTCAATAAATATCCCCCCAACTATAACATGGATCATATGATCGGTTACTCCAACCAGGTCAACATAGCCCCAATGAATGACTATACTGCCATTGACAATGGTTTTCAAATGGCTCCTGGTAATGCTCGACCAAGCTTGGCCCCTGGATCAGTCACTGCAAGCAATGGGAACTTCATGAGAAATCAACAAGCAAGACTGGCGACCAACTATAGCAATCTGGACCGCGCCCACCAGATAGGTGGCCGTCCACGACCAAGACAGAATCACAACCTTGCCAATCCAGATAACATGAATCGGATGATTGGTCTACCTCCATCTGCTCCTATGCCCGGCAACTTGGGAAACGGAAATCAAATGCACAATGGTGTTTATCAACAAAGATCGACTTCTGCTTTCGATGATATGGGCAACTCTACGCACATGACTGGAGACATGCAAACTCGTCCATCTGCCACCTCAGAGAACATGGAAGATACCAAGCAGATGAATGATAGCTTACTACAACGACTTGCTACTGCGTTTGAGACCAACATCAATCAGTCTGGTAGCATTCAACAAGAACCGACATCTGAGCTTGCTGCCACGAACTTCGACATGACGATCTTACCAGAATCAGGTCTCGACAATGATCCCTTCGGAGATGCTGCCGCACTTCGCTCACTTGGCTTGGACCCAGATGCATTTATCATGCAAGACGGTATCCCAGACTTCTTGCTAAACCCGACAATGACCAGCCTCGATGCTACTGTCGTTCCGACCCACAATGTTGCTCCATCGCCATCTGTTGCTGGGTTCGACATTACTATCAAGCCAGGAGACTCCCTTGAAGTACAGACATTGAAGCGTATGTTGGCAGAGGCTCTGGGGTCCAACAATCACAATTACCAACCACAAGACTTCACTGTCCCACAACAAGACTCAACTCAATCTGCGGACCACCCAACTCAACAATTTACTCTACCAATATCAGACAACAAACTCCTCGAAGAACTCCTCAACACCACCTCAAACCTACAAGAACTCAATCAAATCACTCCCCTCGACCTAACAGGCTTCGTCACTCCCGGCATGCCAGACCCCTTCTTCGACGAATTTCGAGCCGCTGGAATCGAATTCGACGAAACCCTTGCATCAACCCTCGAACCCCCCGGATCACTCAACTAGGCCGAAAACCAGTTGACATGTACGAATAACGAAGAAAAGTTTTTCCTTTCACTTTCATGCATGGCTTTCTAATTGCGTTGTTATTGAGGATGCGAAGACGGTGCGGTTCTGAATGGTAAGATAGAGCGATTATTGCGTTGCGTTATTAGCCTTCTGAATGGATCAAGACATTCAAAAAGCCAAAAAAAAATGAATATTTATTACTTCCATCTTGTCGTGATTCACATGATTTCGTGTCGAGTCCAGGTAGTATATAAACAACCAGGATGATCTCCTTCTTAAAATTAACGTCAAGCAACTCTACGAGCCAAACAAGATGTGCACGTTCGGTAAGAGACGATGGATACACTACTGGTGTCAAGACTGGTTCGTGATGCAGCGAGGCCGTGGCAAGAACGGGTTCTGCGAGAAAGCGAAGCAGAGTGGCAAGAGATGTACTGAAGTGGATCACAAGGCTAAAGAGGGCCCCGAAGTGGAGTTTTGGGGATCGTGTTATATGCATCGAGGGGGGAAGAAGAAAAGAAATGGTGCGCTGGAGCCTATGGATGAGGTTGTGGAGCATCATTTGAAGAGTAGAGGATGGATATAAGGGGATGGCGGGTATGCGAGGTCCGTCGAGGCGCATCTAGGATGAATTGGACGAAGCTAGACTTGACGACAGAACACACTATAGAGGGGGGCAAGACAGCAAGGGTTGATGCTCAAGACAATGAGATATGTTGAGGATTTAAGGTTCGAGTCTAGGAGATTGTATTTGTTTCGAAGCTGGAGTTCCATGAATCGCCTTCAGCTACCGAAGACTTCCAGTACATGACGGAAGCGAAAGTCCACCATTGAGTCCATATTCAGTGAAGCTTGTGGTCAGCTTTGATGTGTGAACCTGACTTTCTAATTTACCACTTTCGCGCACTTACGCTCTCCGAGGAGAACTTTTCTTCAACCAAGTCGAAGTCAATTTGCGGAGGGACTTCCAAAGTTGTCTCATCCACCTTGACCATCTTGGTGTATGCGCGCAAACCCAAAGATCGGACGACATATCAACAAATCAACTTTCGACGAAATTTACTGCGCCAATAACCAAGTACACGTCGGACACTCTCGATCTCTGTAAGTGGAAGGAACGACCGCCTCTCGCCTAACACCTCTCTAAGCGATTTCACTAGCGCCACCAACCTCTTAACTGCACTCAACCTTCGACGCAATGTGCAAATACATCTTCCTCCACCACAAAGGCTGCGGTTGCCACAGCTGGACGAAGCATGAGACATGCATCAAAGCCTGGAGAAACTGCTACGACTGCCCCATCAACCTAATCAAACCAGTCCGGCGCGCCTATGAGAATGTGCGATGCGGTTTATGTCAAGAGGATTGGGAGGAGAGACAGGTGGAGGTTGTCGTCAGAGTTCAGCGCAGGAGGATTAGAGCAATGTAAGTTGGGGGAGTGAGTGCAGAATTTCTAGGATGAGTGCTAATATGGATAGTCTTTCGGTTAGAAATTGATATGGTCTGCCTCCGAACTCCTTTCTGGCTTGGTTTCTAACAATATAGAAGCAGATTCGGATCATTGATGGACATTCTGCGGCACGACCGGACTTAAGTTGTCAGTCTCAAGATGCAGGAACTCAGCGTGGATATTGAACAGAACACGGAGGGACAATTATCGAGGGAATATGAGTTGAAGCAATGAGGACACCTTGGTCCGACTTTGTGTAATCCGCAGTGCTACAGATCCACACCCAGAAATGAATCAAGTCTCAACAATAGCCTCTTGTGTCTGAAAGTTGCTTTGATATGGAAGACATACGATGACAGACAAATATCTGTGACGATGCTGAAAACAGATTCAAGGAACAAACAAGCACTAACATAATACAGGCATACCAAGCTCCTTGATCACTTTGTTCAAATGAGCAATGATCCCTTCTGCCGTGGAAGACAAGGTGTAATATTCTGTCAAGAAAGCAAATAGTGGGTTTAGATATTGCTCCTTGATCATTACTTGAACTCGTTCAGGCTGATTTCGTTATCTCCGAACTATGCACTCCAACGCCGATACTACTATCACCATTATGAGGTTCTTTCTATAGAGGCTCGATGTAAGAAGAAATAGGTATGTTCGTCACAACAGGAACAGATGCATCACGAGAAGTAATGTTTTTGAAGTTGATGTCCCCCGTTACCACAAATTCCTTCTCAAGCAAACGCGGAATCTATTTGCAGCGTCAAAGCGCACACGTGCGGCCCTAATTTGCTGGCGGTCTTCGATGGAGCATTTCTGCCTTATATCCGGCCAGGCAGCATATGGCAGCCGAAACTTTCCGAAAAGCGACGCTAGCCCCGAAATTTTTGAGAGATTTGGTCAATCTAGAAATCCGAGCTTCTTCATCAACTTCCATCAAAACGCCAATTGACCATTATTCATCCTTCGTGAAGACATCGCATCTTCCACATCTGCCCTCACTCCTAATATCCTCTTCTTCTAGTCATACACACATATAACATAATGGCCTCACCCGCAACCTCCACTGGCTCGTCCAAGGTCGATGCCGTCGTCCAAAAGGTCGCAGCAAATACCCCCGAGAAGCTCAGCGGTGTTGCTCTCTACTCCAGATTCGCCTTGGCTGGTGCAATCTGCTGTTCAGTAACTCACGGTGCTCTCACACCCGTCGATGTGTAAGTCTCGAGTTTTTTTCACCAGCCGATACCTGTCCTGAAATGGCCCTTTCGGCGCGATAACAAGACCTCTCACTGACATTCTATCACTACAGCGTCAAGACTAGAATTCAACTCGACCCCGTCACATACAATAGAGGTCTCATTGGTGGATTCCGACAAGTCATTGCCAAGGAGGGGGCTGGTGCTCTCTTGACCGGTTTTGGCCCGACTGCTGCTGGATATTTCCTCCAGGGCGCATTCAAGTTTGGAGGTTATGAACTCTTCAAGCAACAGTCCATCAACATCCTCGGATATGAGACTGCCTCCAACAACCGAACAGCCGTCTACTTGGCCTCTGCCGCCATCGCTGAATTTTTCGCCGATGTTGCCCTTTGCCCTCTCGAGGCCACCCGTATTCGTCTCGTTTCCGAGCCAACATATGCCAATGGTCTCGTTGGCGGATTCAGCAAGATGCTGAAGAACGAGGGTGTTGGTGCTTTCTATGCTGGTTTCGGACCTATCCTGTTCAAGCAGTAAGTATGATAATTTGCCGGCGAGAGTGGGATACTAATGCAGAATTAGGGTTCCATATACCATGGCTAAGTTCGTCGTCTACGAGAAGGTTGCCGAGTTCATCTACAGCAAGGTTGACAAGAAGACCACCTCCGACGCCATGCAGACCACCATTAACTTGGGATCCGGTCTCGTTGCTGGTATGGCTGCTGCTATTGTCTCACAACCTGCCGATACCATGTTGTCGAAGATCAACAAGACCAAGGGTCTCCCAGGAGAGGGAACCACCTCCCGTTTGATCAAGATCGCCAAGGAGCTTGGTCTTAGAGGATCCTATGCCGGTATTGGTGCGCGGTTGTTCATGGTGGGCACTCTGACCGCGGGACAATTTGCCATATACGGTGATGTCAAGAAAGCTCGTAAGTATCCCTGAGCTCTTTCGATAGTCGAATATTACCACTGCACATTTACTGACTTTGACTCGTTTAGTTGGTGCTACCGGTGGTGTGGAGATCTCGAAATCTTAATAAGTGAATGAAGGATGGAATTTCGGTGGGAAAGCGAGCGGGCAATTCGCTTGCACAGTCTTCGCATGGATAGAGCTGCACTTCGTTTGGGTCTGCATCGTTTGGGTTGGTTCTGATCGTTCTTCTCAAATTCTTCTATTAGAGCATAGACGTTCCTACTGTTGTTTTGAAGGAGGGGCGAGCTTGATTCCCAAAAAGAATTGGGCGTCTGTACAATAGGTCTTCTCTCTCTGCTACACGAATAGACGACACTGGGAAACTGAGTCTCTAATGAGGGCGAGCTTAAATGATTACATGCGTGACCGATTTTACCTGGCAGTGAATCTCGTAGATAGTGCCCGAAGGAGCCGGTTATGGAGCTTTTGATCCCCACCAATCACCATTTTCCTTACAAAGAGCCAATGGCGGGATCTCCATAAATCTATCTTATCGAGCAGACCTATCCATCACAACCCTCAGCTTCCACACTAGGACATGACGATGGGGTTTATGCATGCAAGCTACCCACAGGAAAGTTGCGTGGCTGGCCCAAACAAATCATGGATAGCCAGCCTATGAAGAATCCAGCACCCTGCACGGTGCCTGCATCATCGAATATCGATTAGTGTACACCAGCCACGGACAGTCGTAAAGTCATCCGTAGCCGGGAAGCGATAGGGGCGTCGCCAAAGAAGAAAAGAAAGATAAAGAGAAAGAAACGAGCAACATCCCATTATCCATTGCAACGCTATGTTGGTCATGTGGAGAGATGTAACTGGTGATCCGTAGCACGACGTAGCACGACTGTTGGGACTTGGCGTGAGTTACATTCTTTGGCGTGGGACGAACACTCACTCTATCGTCTTTGACTTCCGGTCGATATGGTATTTTGAGAGACCTGGGGAAACGTTGGCTTGGCATGAAGTGCAGGGAATGATGACGCAGTGTTCTGCCAGCGTGAAACGGATCCCCTCTTCAACAACAAGGTCGATGGAGCGCAACCCTAGGACGGAATATACGGGAGCTATCAGTTTGAAGCAGACACACGGCCAATAGACCGAGTTACACAGTCGTGCCAGCGAGCAATTGGTCGTGTCAAGCTTTTATGCCAAGGAAGTGAGACAGCTCATCCTGGTCAAGGGTGAAGCTTGACGAGCTGGAGCTGGAGCTGACCCCACCATGTCCATCGTCCCTCGTCCCTCCCTCGCCTGGCCAGCCGAGTGAATCCAACCCAACGCAAGTCTCGCGCTTTTAAGAACCACTTTGCCCCGTTCTCGCTCTTTCAGGAAGCTCTCTTCGTGTTTCCCCTTTCTACAAATTGCCTCAAAACTGTCCTCTTCGACTTCTAATTCCTCCGCAATCACTCCACGACCTCACATAAAAGCTCAGCCAAACCACCGCAATCATGGTCCATCTAGCTTCCATCCCCCAAGACAAGGACGTCAATGCTCCACTCGTCGAAGGTATGGCGAAGTTGAACCTTGCTCCCGCAGGTGCCGATGATTCGTTCACCACTACGGTGTATGGCAGCCGATTTGCTGCAGAGGATCTCCCCAAGCACGAGATGCCTGAGTCGGAGATGCCAAAGGAGGTGGCATATCGAATGATCAAGGACGATTTGAGTCTAGATGGCAACCCCATGCTCAAGTACGTCCGATCTCCCCACGTTCCATCTCCTGATCCTACCCGCAGCAGCATGATTGGATCTAGCTAATGTCAGGAACACAGCTTGGCAAGTTTCGTTACCACCTTCATGGTAAGTCTCCCGCTCTTCCGGAATATTCACCTCCAGTGGAAGCTAACCTAATATCTGCGTACAGGAAAAAGAGGTCGAGGACCTGATGACCGAATCCTTCTCTAAGAACTTCATCGACTACGAAGAATACCCCCAATCCGCAGATATCCAGAACAGATGTGTGTCCATGATCGGCCGTCTGTTCAATGCTCCCGTCAACTCCGAAGGTGCGGCCGCAGTTGGCACATCCACTGTTGGATCCTCTGAAGCTATCATGCTCGGAGTCCTAGCTATGAAGAAGCGCTGGCAAAACAAGCGTAAGGCTGAGGGCAAGCCGTTTGACAAGCCAAACATTGTCATGAGCTCTGCTGTGCAGGTCTGCTGGGAGAAGGCGGCGAGATATTTCGAGGTCGAGGAGAAGTACGTTTACTGCACACCGGATAGATATGTGATTGATCCAGAGGAGACCGTCAACCTGGTGGATGAGAATACCATTGGTATTTGTGTCATTCTGGGTACCACCTATACTGGAGAGTATGAGGATGCCAAGGCTGTCAATGATCTCTTGATCAAGAAGAACATTGATACTGTGATCCACATTGATGCTGCTTCTGGTGGATTCGTGGCTCCATTCGTTGTTCCCGAGCTTGAGTGGGATTTCAGACTGGAGAAGGTGGTTTCAATTAACACTTCCGGTCACAAGTAAGTCAAATGATTTTACTCCGGTCAGCAAATATTTCTAACAAAACTAGGTACGGTCTCGTCTACCCTGGTGTAGGATGGGTCATCTGGAGAGCTCCAGAGTACCTCCCGAAGGAGCTGGTCTTCAACATCAACTACCTCGGTGCCGACCAAGCATCCTTCACCCTCAACTTCTCCAAGGGAGCCTCTCAAGTCATTGGTCAATATTACCAATTGATCCGTCTTGGAAAGCACGGTTACCGCTCCATCATGACCAACCTCACCAGAACCGCAGATTACCTCTCCGAGTCCCTCCAACAATTAGGTTTTCTCATCATGTCCAAGAAATCTGGTGACGGCCTCCCCCTCGTTGCATTCCGCCTCGACCCCAAGGCCGACAAGCACTACGATGAGTTCGCTCTCGCCCACCAACTTCGTCAACGAAGCTGGGTCGTACCGGCCTACACCATGGCTCCCCACACCGAAGATCTCAAGATGCTCCGTGTTGTCGTCCGTGAAGACTTCTCGAAATCCCGTTGTGACCAACTCCTCTGTGACATCAAGCTCTGCATGCAAGTCCTTGATGATATGGACAAGGAAGCCATCAAGAAGAACGAAGAGTACATCCACAAGCACGCTACCCACTCCGGCAAGAGCACCCACAACCACCCGCATTACAGAAATGAGAAGCACAGTCTGCAGGGCAAGAGTGGAAAGACGCATGCAGTGTGTTAAGTCCCTTCCCGCTTTCTTTCACTTACTACTCCTTTCCAACTTCGCTTAGCGTGTTAGGAGGCTGCGGTATACCGATGGACGTCTACGCTTGGTTGGGTTTGGGAGGGTGGGGATCTGAAAAGTTCGGATGGCTGGATGGTGGTGGGAAAATTCTGCTCATTGATACGATTTTACGACTACAAAAACAAAACGATACACTGAAATTCGCTTCTTTGATGTTGCTGAATATTCATGGACTTGATAGATCATAGCTGCAAAACAATGCATGGCCTTCTATTGCGATTTTCCATATGTGATATGCAACAACAGTGAACAAAACTCGAACGTGGTCAAACAAGTGGGCGAATAGGACAGGGCTCTGGGCAAGCGCTCGGGAGGGAACGGTGAAGCATCCTATGGAATCAAACCCGTAACGAAACAGTGAAATAAAGTCGAAAATTGTCAACAAACCCGGTGAATGGAGTGGAGGTCTGGGCAAGTGCTCTAGCACGCTTAGGAGCGAGGTATATAAACACCCCAACTCCCTGCCAGATATTCCTTCAACAACAAGATAAACTACAAGATAAATTACCTTCAGCACCACATTGGTTGGAGATGTGTAGAACCTGGCGAAGTAACCCGGCTCAATGCATGCTGTTGTGTTCAAGCTTTACTATAACTTAATGTCGTGAGTGGGATTGGGAGTTTGTTGATTGTTTGTTAGTTTTGGGTTTTGTTGTCAAGCACAAACAAGTTCTCAACTAAGTACTGCTGTTAATTTTCGTCTTGCTCTCGTTCTTGGTTTTACTAAAAGCATATCTACGGTAACACAACTTGTATGTAGACAGAAATATAAGGCCTCAGCAAAGCCGGGAGCAATGGAACTATTTCGAATGGAAGCCCATTGTTCATGGGGTTTTATGTTTGAGTGAGGATACGAAGGGAGCTTATATACTACCGGTACTTTGAAGGGAATTTAGTTTTCGAATTCGAAAGGACGAAGGTGCTGGGTGAATGGCACTCTGTTCGTGTGACTGTACTGTGGAAAGCTATCAAAACGAAATGATGTGGGTGAATTAAATAAGTTCCTCGAATCGTTGAAGGGAATTCTGAGAGCGTGGGGTATATAAACACCGTTTCTGCACTCGAAAACTTTCTCAACGATAAAGTACTTTATCAACTTCCAACTCAGTGCCAGTACCGCGTTAGTGACGTCACGATGAGCCAGGTGTTACTAATGCTGTGGCACGGTGACATGTAGATGTGGATGTTTCCGTTCGTCCTAGAATAGGTTATTGTCTAAGTGTCGGTTCTTGCTGTTAAGCTCACAATGTTGTTAAGGTCTTCGGTTCTTTTCGTCTCAGGATTTTGCTAGAGTTTGTTGTCAACTTTCTCGTTTCCAGAGTATCTCAGTATGCACGGTGATAGACCGACATAGCATTGATTTATTGATTAGACAATGCACAAACTTTCGGTTTCCGGGCTACCACCAAGAAAAGCGAGTCACATGTCATTCTTCTTTGCTAACGTGACGATTGTGGTGCGTTTTGGAAGATATCGAAAGACGGATCATGACGGGATTATATACTCATTGAGGAGGACGAGGTTGGTCGGTTCGGAAAGAAAAGTGAATAACAGAGTCAAGGTTAACGCTCGATAAATCGCAAGTTAGGCGTGAATGTTCACTTTCTTCGAATCACTGGTTCTTTCTTGAGTGTCGAAACAGGGTTAGACGTTGCGTGAATATAAAGTCGGGAAACAAGACTGAAAGTGAGGGGTATGTAAAGATCGCTCCACCGTTCTTGAATAGTTTTTTCATAACAGGGATTCGATATCATGTTGCCCAACATTGGTTGTTCCGCAATTGTTCTGGTCGTGTATATGCATTTTAGGTAGATGAGAGTTCAATTTTACAATTTTTTTTTTTGGTTCAGTATTGTCTAGTTTAAAGTAGAAAGATTTTTGTTTTATTTCTGCTGTCAACTCATCTTTTATTGTCAACTTGTCTTCTGCTATCAACTTGTTTTCCTATTATCAACTTATCTTCTGTTTTTAACTTAACATATTCCCTCATTTGTTGCCATTAAGAGCTCTCCGCGTGTCGTTCAGGCCGAATGCAGTAAGAGTAACCCCATAAGCTCTATGAGGTGTGAAATGGTGCCTCCTACCTCAACTTGCACACCATCAGGATATGATAGTTGAACAAAGACGGGCGGACGAATAGTTTATATATCTGTTGAGAAGTTTAGGACAGTGGGGTAACGGACACGCAAGCCTGCCGGTAAACGGTGAATCAGCCGTGCACTTCAGCGAAAAAGAAATATCGAAACTTCACCTTTTCTCAAATCCCGCTGCAACTCTATTGTCCTCTTTTTCATGTCTATTAACAAGCAAATCTGCAGAAAACCAGGGAATTGGCTAAACACTTCGGCGAAAAGGAAAAATTAAAAAGTTAAAACTTCAATCCTTCCCAAATCTAACCTTAAATCCCGCCACCTTCTCGTCTAAATACAAACAAATCTGCAAAAGACCGGTGAATTGGCCGTACACTTCAGCGAAAAGAAAAAAAGAAACTCCACCCCTTCCTAAATCTAGCCTCAAATACCACCAAATCTTCCTTCTCTTCTATAAAAAGATTGCCTTTCGCCAATCTTTCTGTTTCCGCAGAACAACTGTGAAGGACTATTCAAACACTGGTACATGTGGTTGGTGCGGCCTGGTGTGGCTTCTGTGCGGACATAGGTGTTTGTGGTTTCCTTACTAGTGTTGAGTGTTAATGGCATTGAGATTGAGATTAAGTTATAAGTTGAAGGTTAAAGGTTAAACCTATCGCAGTCCAGCATTTTTGACCACTACACCTTACTGCAATAGGAAAATTCGGCCAGATTAGGCAAGGCGCTCACACCCAAAGGTTGTCGCCACCGGGGGAATGTTCATGGTCCGGGTTATTTGTGCGAGACGTTCTCCTTGCCAACATGTTGGATTGATGCGCCACACGGACGCATGTTGAGGTTAGGCTGAAATGTTGTACAGCGTCACCCCCACTCTTATGTTAGGTTCTTGTCAGTTGATTATTTTACTTTGACCTGAAGAAGAAAGAACTTATGCCGCTTTGAAGTGCGCGATTGCCGACGGACTTTAGATCTTCATTTAAATTCTGTTTGTGTATTCTCTTCGATTTCAAGCAGTATGTCTCCATATCTCTGGCAAGCGAGCATATGATTAGGCACACTGCATAACATAACATGTGACAACCGAATAAGGAACGAATCTTGTGCGACTGTGAAGATTTAGTGAATCGCTGCTGCGTCTGAACCTCAAATCAAGAGTCCAGCTCTATCGAACTTCAAGATGAGTGAATGAAGTTTTGGTGAATGCCTTCAGTTAACGCGGAAAGGCTCAAGGAGCACCTCTCCCGGGTGTAAGCTCTCTCACCAACCACTTGTTTACCACCACTGCCACCACATGGGTTGTGACTTAGAAGACTGGGAGCTGTGGCTCAACCATTTCCTCAATGGTTATTAATCATTCCTATACGCCTTGTGCAGAATTAGCATTCTGCTGTCAATGAATTTCTGTTGTCAAGTGAATATAACGTTTTCATCTCATGTTTTTATTATTAAGACACAGCTAATTGTTGGAATTCGACATTAATATATTATTAGATTGTCAAATGTCAGAACAGCTATCCGACTGACCTGGTTGTGGTTGTGGTCCCCAACATTGATCAGTGTTGCTCAGCATTCTACCACCTTGAGACGTTATTTCCCCATGCCCTATCCGGGACCAACATCCATCATGTTGCCGGCTAAACCAAAGATGAACATGAAAGAGACCAGTTGGCTTACCTCAGCTGGTTTCATGCTGGCCATGGAACCACTCCGGAATCTTGAGCCCATTATTTTCTACTGATCTTTCGAAGGTTGTAAATGAAATATTGTCCATACACTCACTAGAGCTTTGCTCCATAGAGATTCTCGTATAATTCACTTTCACTCGAGTCTACCTACTAGATGGCCACCAATGCCACAAATATTACTCCAACATCGCAAGTGTCAGAAAAGCTATCCTTGACCGATCTAGGGCTCGTCAATGATGGGATAGAGTCGGCTCCTAATGAAGCCGATCGAGTCACGAATTATTTGCGAGGATGGGCTCTTCACTTGACCACAATAGCGCAAGTGAACATGCTCAGCCTCAGCCCAGGTCTCAATGTTATTAACATTAGGATACGGTGAACGATTTCCCGCACAGCTCTCCCTTCTAATTGACGGTCTAGTCACACGAAGCGGTCATCGCCTCCCGAAGCCAGCCACTGTGTTCTTGCTAGATAAAAGTCATCGCAGTAGACCTTCTACAGCCGGAGACATGGCTATCGAATAATGACTTGACCTTTTAGTCGACACCACATGTGATACAAATGAATATAAACGATAGAAAAACAAAACTTCCGTATCGCTCTACCTAGTGCATGGTTTTAAAAAACGGGAGTAGCAAATTCGAAAACGAAAGATCCGTCAAGGGTTCCTCTATTGCATGCACCTAGATATTGTCGAATACGTGTGGACGATAAACGTTTAATTCGTTGTAAGCTCCTTCGATGAACCGTTGTCTCGGCTAGTAGCTAATCAGCCCGTGAAAGCGAGACATACCAGATCCCGAAGACTGGGCGTCGTCCAAAACGGCATTGCCGACCTTATTGCTCATCCCGTGAAGTTATATTTCGTCTTAAAGCCAAAAGTCTATATACTGTAGAATCGAGTCAATTAGTGTATTCATTGTCTTAAGCCAGGTAGGTACTTATATTTGTGACTAAAATATGTGTCTCTCGATTTGAAGATTTTGGTCACGAAGCAAAGTTCCTCCGACATGTCCTCCAACATTCGTCTAGGAACGCCAAAGACTTGTGCAAGTTTGGACAGTGTTCCGACCTGCAAAGCCAGATAGGCTAGAGTTCAACGATCGGCATAAATGGAATCATCACCTAGAAACTAAACACAGCCTAACCACGTTAAAAGCAACGTCTTTCCTCATCTTCTTCTCATTTTATGATAACTACGTCGTGCTGGGGATCGAAGGTCCGTCATCATGAATCGCTCAAAAAAGGTTTAGAAGTTAGCAGTAATATTATTATTAACAGTGAAACCCAGAACCTTAACAATTCCTTTCTCTACATCAGCTGTAGCTCAATACAACATCAACATTTTCAACCTCATCAACCTCATCAATCTTTCACTCTCAACTCTCTCAAACTCTAACCCCTCTATCCCCTTTCTTAAACTCGGTTTTTATTGTATTTTTACCTCTAAATTCATAATTCCTTTCCCCAACATTTAAATGCCTTACTATTATTCCCAATACCTTATCCTCATTCATTTATTCCTCCCTCACTCTCACCGTCCCACCTTTCCACCGTCTCCCTCCTTTCCACCCACCCTCACTCCCATCCTTCCACCCTCATTTCCACCCACCCGAGTCACCTCACGCTATGACGTACTAAAGGTTTCACCAAAAAGTTGGAGTTCTCGCTCAACAACCCTTTTAAGATTTAGGCTAAAGTCTAAAACTTAGTCTCCCCCTCACTTATATATACCCACCCTCTGCCCTCTCCCTTTCCTTCTTTCCTTCTCTCCCTTAAACACTGCAACTAGGTAAGAATGTAAGTCTCACCCTCTCACCCTCTCACTCCTTCATTAAATTGTTTATTAGAATTTATTAGAGTTTATTAGTTTTTGAGTTTGACGTGAGTACTAGAATAGCGCCCAAGATTTGAAGTGAGAGCAGAGTTTGACGTGAGTACTGGAGTGGCGCCCAGTATTTCAGGTGATAGCAGAGTTTAAGGTGAGTACTGGAGTAGCGCCTAGGATTTGAGGTGAGGTGAGTACTGGAGTGGCGCCTAGGATTTGAGGTGAGAGCAGAACTTGAGGTGAGTACTGGAGTGGCGCCTAGGATTTGAGGTGAGAGCAGAACTTGAGGTGAGTATTGGAGTGCCGCCTAGGATTTGAAGTGAAAGCAGAGTTTAAGGTAAATACTAGAGTGGCGCTTAGGGATTTTAATTAGCATGCCCTGACTTGTGATTAAAATTAAAATTTTTAATTTAATTTTTAAACTCGTGATTAACGCCTTATTTTGGCACGTGCTTCTAGTTAGTGAATTATATTTTTATATCAACCCCGAAAACCCGTTCACCGTCCAACAGCTCTCTTCAAAATCTATATAAACCCGACCGCCCGAAGTTTCTCCGGATTCTTTAACAATATTCGAGCACCAAAAGAAAATGTATTAGGTGCGTGGGCCCGGTGCGTGGTGCCCGGTACGAGGTGCCCGGTGCGAGGTGCCCGGTGCAGACGCACCTAAAACATTTTCTTTTGGTGCTCGAATATTGTTAAAGAATCCGGAGAAACTTCGGGCGGTCGGGGTTTATATAGATTTTGAGGAGAGAGTTGTTGGACGGTGGACGGCTTTTCGGGGTTGATATAGAAATATAATTCACTAATAACTAGAGTTTGGTGGCAGGAGTTTTGGTCACTGGAGTGTGCTTGCTGCACGTATGCTGAGTGACATATCTTTCCTTCTTCATCGCCTCCTTATATTATTGTTGTCAAATAACCCTATTGCTGTTAACTATTTTTCTAGCTTTTCGTAGAACTAATATGAAAAGTTCTTTCCTCTCCACAACACCTCGTACCGGGCACCTCGTACCGGGTACCCCTCTCACTCACCCTCTCTCTCGCCCTCTCACTCCATCATCAAATTGTTTATCAGAATTTATCAGAGTTTATCAGCTTTTGAGTTTGAGGTAAGCTCTGGAGTGGGGCCTAGGATTTGAAGTGGGAGCAGAGTTTGAGGTGAGAGCAGAATTTGAGGTGAGAGTGGAGAGGTGAGTACTAGAGTGGTGCCTAGGATTTGAGGTGACAGCAGATTTAAGGTGAGTACTAGAGTGGCGCCCAGGGATTTTGGTTAGCATGCCCGATTTTCAATTTAATCTTAAACTCGTGATTAACGCCCTGTTCGAGCGCGTGCTTCTAGTTAGTCTATATCTTTGCCAGCCCTCGTGTTCTCTTCAATTACTACCTTAAAGTTCTTCTCCAAGCATCAGAACTGTCTTCACAACCGTCATGGGCAATGTCCAGTTAACACGCGCGCCAACTCCAAAAGAAGCACCACTCATTCGGCCACCATCCCCGAAGGATATCCCTGACGGCCTCAAATCATTCACCTCCTTCACCAAACTTCCAATAGAGTTGCAAGCAAATATATTCTCGCTCGCATTAGAGAATCATGAGATCATACCTCGTCTTATCAAGACTATTTTCGACAAAACCACGCGCTCATACTCCTACAGTTTTGCGATGCCGCCTCTGATGATAACCTGTCACCTTTCGCGACAGATTTCCAAAGATGTATACCCTTCTTTGCTTCCCAACTCAACATGTCCCATATACTTTAATCCAGCAACCGACTTCCTCTACTGCACATCCACAGGCGATTTACCATATGCCATGAACGAACACGAAGTCGAGCCCGTCATGTCATTCTTGGAATCCTCTCCAATAGTAGCGAAGATTCGCTTCCTCGTACTCGATTCATCATACTGGACCTCCCATATAAGCGACATGTTCTCGCAGCGCGATTTCGCTTCAATGCCTGAGCTCCAGTTGTTCACTGGCATAGAAGAACTGTTCCTTGTAGCACCGTCCTTGGAGCAAGAGCTAGCGAACAAAAGAAGAGCCTATGGAAGAATTATGACCAACAATGTTGAATTCCACCAGCAGCGCCTCGACAGAGCATGTGCGGCTGTGATAAAAAGCGATGTAGAGAGCCCTCTCTCGATTGTACCAGGCTTTCGTGTGTACAGTATTGGAACACCCTGTTTTAATAGGCGGTGGGAGTTGGAACGAGCCTTTGGGATAACAACTTTGGAATTGTTCGGTGGAGGATGGAGTAAGACTTCTAATAGCGGGTTGTTCAGAGCAGGGAAACTAATCCCGAGATATAATGAGATCAGAGCTCTGTTGAAGTAACCATAGCCTGTTCCGCGAGTGACTGATGCTGATGTCCTTCGAATTAAGGAAGGGGAAATGATCCTGCACTTGCCCGGAACTAATGGTGCCGACATTTAACTATAGATACCCATCTGAAGTGGCATTGGTAACGTTTGCTGAATATTGCGAGCTACAATACACATTAATTTGGAAGAGATTGCATTTATATGTAACAAATTATAAAAAAGTCTTGGATGGCAGATGCAACTTCAAGAAAAGGCCAGCACGTTGAAGATGGTTCGCCAGAACCCAAAAGGAGGAGAGAGAAACCGTTTAACTTTTGAGCGAAAGGCAAGCAAGATTACTGCTGTCAAGATATTGCTGTCAGGTCCCCTCGATTCTTGCCCGATTCAAGTTTCTTTTTCAGGCCGAGAGGAAAGGATCTACAGCTCGAGAATCAGTTGTGTGAGTGGCCTAGAAAAAGTGTTGGTATCCCTATTTGGCTGGGGTAAGAGGTATCAGCCGGGCCTTTTGGAGAGTCCGCGTCTGCTCGACGATGAGGCATCCTTACTGCTTTTCGATACTACTTCTACTGACATCCAACCGTTATAGTATCCGAATAGATGGCTTGTATGGCCTTTTCAGTCCCAATTACATCTCGGCTCCAATTATTTGCAGGGTTCAAGGTTGCAAAATGCGAGTTGTCCTTTTGGAACAAGACAGCGGACGTCGCGTAGGATTTTAATGTCCAACTTTCAAAAACTTTTGTAAAGGGGGAAAGAGCTTGTGTGTTGCTGCAACGTCTGATATAGAGGCTTCGTATTTCTAGAAGTATCTAAAAAGAAGTAGCGTAGGTGTGAGGAACTGAATAACACATATGTCTTCATGAATATGCTGAATCAATGCACATAGTATGTCAGTCTGACAATCATTTGTTGTATTTGAGAACCTGAATCTGATTCGAGTGATTCACAACTTCACTTTGTATATTTATTCTCCGCCTCTACCAGCTGTCAACAACCAAACCACTCTTCCTCTGCCTGCAATCCTCAAGCTTATCATCATTTTTGGCTTCAAAAGTAGCGGAGAACATATTATTACCATCAAACCCCGTCTCCTTACCATCTTCGACACAATGCCTTCAATCACCAGTATTGTGAAGCACATTCTGCTCCTTAGCCCTCTGGCTACAACTTCGCAAGCCTTCACTGTGTCTATCGAGCAGCCAAATGGCGTCTACATCTATGATGGTTCCACCAATACGCACATTCCAGTCTCCGTCCCAGATAATTTAACATCAATACAACCGGAGAGCGGGGTTATCATCGAGACCTATAAATTGGCTCGCAGGGGTGACTCGCTAATCTCTTGCGGCCACACGGTTCTGGCAGATTATGTTTCTGCTAAGACCGCTTTTCTGAGCCAGTGTAATGGCCAGATGCTCTCTAGCAAGAGCAATCTTTATGCGGTGCATGGAGATGCTATGTTCTTCAGATGTGCGTATTCGGAAGGGACATGCTTGGCATCCGACGCCTCCGCTTGGTTCGGTGCAGTGGATACTCAGTGCGGGTCACGAATGACTGGTATGTGCTCTCAAATCTTTCTATGGGTGGAATGGAATAAATAATTCAAAGCAGGATGGGTCAAGGTGGACCATGGCTTGTGTCGGGAGTATAGGCCAGGCGCCACCCCATTGGCTGAGACCGGGCCGGAAGATCAGACAGGATTAGCGGGACTAGCCGTTTCGTATGGAAGCACGTGGTGTAAGCAGATTTATGCAGTAGCTAGTATATAACTCGTACGACGTAGTACGAGTTAAAGGGTAGACGCAATACCACGATTAGTACAGCACCTGCTGCTTGTTGTAGCCGCGTCTCACAGCACATGCAAATATCACGTGATTTACAGCTGAATACTGTGCTTCCAACAGCTTGTCTTACGGTGCAACAACCGCAAAGTCCTCCGCTTGTTAGAGGTTGATAGCAGGACTCTAGAAGGATACCTTCAGGAGTCTGGGTTAGGAATTTCAGGTCTATTCCTCTTCCGCAACGGAATCTGGCATTTAATCGAGTTTGGTTGTGGTTGTGTAATCCTTTATTCTGTTCTTTCGCATGGCGTTGATTTCTTTGCGTCCCCTTTCTTAACCTAAGCTCTAATAAATCACGTTCATTACCTTACCCAGATACAATCTGTTATCCGCTCTATGGAAGGTCCAACATATTCAAATATAAATCCACATTTGAATTGCTCATGTTAACACAGGGCTGATGACAAGATTGACTCTATTCTAAATTCCTGGCTTTGAGAGTCTGAGACGACACAGGAATTCGTGCCTTCGGGCAAAGCTAATGCGACGTTTTCTCACCAAGACAAATCACTCAGGATGACTACGCCAAAGAAAAGGAACGTTCATCCCCAGTTCGTTCCAAAAATGACATCAACATTTAATGTCGATTTCCGGTCAGTGGATCAGTAAGTCTCAAAACCTGGCTTGTCGCGAGGTCAGTGAAGCCGCCTCCCAACTTCGCCTCCAATCTTAGCAACTATCCTCCCTGACACCCATATTATGCGATCCCACATCGAAGATCTGTCCTCCAACCTGTCAATGCTGTCCCGGAAGCTACTATTCCGTCCAATTACACAAATTCTGCGCATAATTGCCAGTACCGCCGCAAGCGAGAGTCAAGTCGTTTGGATTCTGCGGCTTTCATCAGCTAAGTACTAAAGATTGCGGAATAGAAAGCTTGACTCAAACCACTGTAGATATAAATAGCTAAATTATGCGAACAGCTAAGTCGGACACAGTTCCCTGTCCTAGGACCAACATTGCAAGCACCTGAAAAGTCGTCAGATATTGAACTCTTTGCTGAGTAGTTCTTTCGTCAGCTGCTCACCAGGTTTGGCTAGGGACTGAATCGTAGATCTAATTAGAGCGATCACGAGCTTCTATGAGAGTGACATCTTTGCGGATCAAGACATTCTTAGTAGTAGTTGCATTAGCTACGATCTCGTTTTCAATGGCATAGAGTTAGTATATTTCTTGCGCCCATGGTGGAATTGCCCTGAGGAAGGAAGTTTACCTCCAGATAGTTCCTAGAGAACTCAGAGTACATTTCCTACATAACATTAGTATATTCGGAACTCAGATTCGTCGGGTCGTGACCTTACCTAGACAGTACCACTCGAGTAGAAAGCAACGCCGTGGACAGTGCCTTTGAAGCTCATGGCGCTAAGGCTAGGACTTTCATGGCGGTATCTATGCTTCGAGGAGCAGAACGCGAAGCCAGCGTCTATTTATATGCAAATGAGCTGAGGGAACTGTAATCAGATTGAGAATGTTAGAAAGGGAACAACGATGAGCAGAAGCGGAAGTGCCTTCAACATAATTTGCGCCATTGCGATTGTTGATTTTCAGTGGCATTTGAAAGTACGGAAAGAGGTAAGATATCAAGTACTCAAATTTGTTGTGATGAAGAGAACTGATCTATACCAAGGAAACAAGTGGGCGTTTTTCTTGTGGGGATGTGGAGGTGTAGGGAGTCATCCGCGGAGGAAGAACTCATGGTCAGACTCAACGTCTCTTTCCGATTCAGCAATTCAAAAACATCAGATGAATCGCTGGTAACAGAAGGTGAGGTTCTATTTACTTTGGCTGGTCGGACCGCTAGGTCATCATACAACGGAGTTAAGAGTAACAGCAGCAACACACTAGACGAATCTATAGTGACCAAGACTTGGCTAAACAGGTATCGTATAGTCAGCCCGATTAGATATAATTGCCCTATTATATACTCACCGTGAGATCTGGCCATCGTAACAGACGCCCACCCTCTTCATAACTCATATATATATTATTTACCTTAAATTGACTTAAATATAACTCTATACTTCACTTCCTCCTTCCGACAGGGCTTTGAATATGCCTTCTTATTCAAGCAACAAAAGTCTCAGACCATGTTTGATTGTTGAGTGTGCCCTGGGCCATTTTCCCCTGAGATATCTGGAAGAATCTGATTTGGTTCTTCCATCCTACAGCCGTGATATCGGCGCCGACATAATCAGCATTTGACCAAAGGCGTTGGCTGCTAGGCTGTTGTGACCAGGAAGTGCTCGTTGTCTGAGAAGCGTTGGACCCGATGTATTGGTAGATTCTCTGGTCGAGGCCGGTGAAGAAGACCTGCAGCTGGTCTAGTCCCACACTGTACGCAGCGCCGAGACCAGCGAATGGGTTCCAGGCGTCGAAGCTCCTATGTGCCACAGGTAGTGCTAAATACCATCAGCCAGAACTTACTAGGCATATATGTGGTATGGAATGGCTTACGAGTAGTCCATGCACCATTAGTGAATTGCATGTTATATAGATTCTCCGAAAGGCTGTCAACGTAGAACAGGTTGATATTATTCGTGGTCGAGTTGATGTTTACTGCAGCGATCGAGGTAGCATTCAACCCCGAACCACCGATCCGCTCCCCCATATCGAATCCGGACGAGTTGCCTTGTAGTTGGGAGATGAAACCTTAGTTGTCGTGATAATAGACTCTCCAGTCTTCAGAGTCATTGACATTGACCGCTGAGAGGCCGGTGTACTCATTCACGGGTATGTTGGTAGGAAGCAGGCAATTAGAGATGGTGTTGCATTTCGCAGAACCTGATGCACAAGTGATAGCTGACATGGTGATATTGTGTTCGCCAGAAAGATAGAAGAGGTTGATCTGAGAATCTGAATGTTAGTGAAGCGAACGACGAAGGAGTTTAGAACATCACCCACCATAACTACGCCAGTCGCTTCATCTTGTTCCGCAGTTGCCGCCATAGGAGAGCCAATTTTAGGCATGATAGTGAGAGGAACTTTCTGAGGAGGATTGAAGCTGTTTCCGTCCAGTGCGACTTGCAAGCTAATACCGCCTGTCGTGTTCTGGGAGAATATATGCATGTTCCAAGTCCCATCTTTCAAGAACAGCCCGGAGCTTGCAACACTATTTCGCGTATTGTTCACGACCATTGGCTTCATCTGACCACTTCTCCCATTGTGAGAAGCCACAACAAGTCCTACCAGGATGCCAATTAGGATAATCAGTATCACTACACCGGCCATTATCCACAGCAGGTGTCTCTTCCAGAATGGCGGCCGGTATTGTCGTTCTGGGAGCTCACCAACTTCGTATATTGGAGGAGGCAAGAGTCGAGAAGCATTATTAGGACCAGATTGATGTACTTCAATGCCTTCGCCAACGGGCATACAAATCTTTTCGTCAGGAAAGTAAGCTGCCTTCTCCGCCGGGGAGATGACAACATGCTTTCCATCGTCGATTGGGGTTTGTGCTGCAGAGAGCGAGGAAATCTCGGAAACCGGTGTCCCAACGTCGTCATGCTTAGGCTGAGCAGACTTCATATTGTAGAGGCACGCTATTGAAAGTCTGGGACTCAAGTCGACCTAAAGTACTATTAGTCAGTGTCGTCCAATGAGTCGGCATAAGAATATGATGTAAGAGAGGTGAGACAAAAGCAAAAGTTATGAATAGCATGAACATGCCTTGTCTTAGAGTCAAGCATTGGGAAGCATTCCTTTTTTCCTCTCGAGATAAGATATTGTTAAGAGACGAGGCTTACCATATTGTCAAAGGCTAGAAACACTAGATATGCAAAAGTTGTAAGATGTCGAAATAAAAACAAAGAGTGTAAGAACAAGTAGGATGTCCGAATATCAGTCAATCACCGCTAGGCCGCATACATAAAACTCTAATAATAAACACAACAGGGCCGCCACGGAAAGAATGTTCAAGAACGAGTGTGAAGATAAGACGATTAGTTGGGAGAAGAAAGAAGAGACTCCCTAAGAAGATTAGATGGCATGGAAAGGGATACACGGTTGTGTTCTACTTACATGGAACGAAGTTCCTGACGCATGAACAATTGACCAATCCGGGGTTGGTGAGATGTTCTGCGGCTGCAAATGTGGGTTTGACAAAGTAATCTGCACCAGTATCATGACGAGAGAAGTCTCTCCCGCAAAAGGGGTAGGCCTTGTATGGTAGGTTGGAGCCAAAGCCATCCCTGGATCTACCCCGTATCGTCTCATGCCTCGAGCTTGACAGCGGCAGGCAAGATACTTCTGACTCGTATCGAACGTTTTATAAGGCTGAGCATGTCTATGTCATGGAAACCTCCAAGTAATTTTACAGGGTACGAGGAGGGGCTGTTAACCGAATCCAAATAACAAGCACTCAGATTAAAGTTTGAACTGCTGCCGGAATTTCCACGGTCTCGTGTCGTTTGGGATGAGTGGGGTCAGTCGAGACAACACCATGCTCGATTCCATGAATCTCTGCAGCACTTCGCGATGGAATTGCTATTCCACTCAGAAGAGATCAACGTCCGCTGGGAGTATTGTATCCGTGGGGACATCCCGTCTTTCTCGTGAGCACAAAATCGGTGTCGCCGAGTGACAGGAACTTGGCGATTATCAAGAATCTCGTTGATCCGCTTTCATGTTGTACCAGTACCAGAGCACTGATATGCTTAAACAAGCACGTACCATCACGTTGACAACAATGACGAGGTTGTGATGCAACGGGGAGAATAGAGTTCTGGAAGCTTTCAAGGTTCTGTCTGACTGGAGTGAAGTCGGAACGTTGCGAGTGCACGGAATGGATTTTCGCTTGTCTGAAACGGGAAAAGTGAGCCCCTTTTCAGCTTCCTCCCAACGATATCATCGCAAATTACCCAGACCTTGGGACATCTTCCATGATCGGAACTTGGCAGCTGTACCCGAAGATCTTTCTTTCAAAGTCTTTTTTTCGGCGATCAACATATCCACACCAGAGCCAACTTCAGCACTACCATTATCAACGTATCTGGAGGGAGAGTTCCGGCTGCGGAGAAAGATACATAATTGTTCGAGGGTTCCGGTCAATATCGAAAACGGTGGTCCAGAGATTGGGAGACTCTTGATCCTATCACTGCCCAAAGACTTCCTATGTCGATCTGCACCTCAATCTTGAAAGTCAAAAGATTTCTTTGTATATGTCTAGCACGCGCATAGTCCATATTGGTAGAGCTCATCATGATTGAGTTCGTGTTCTAAGTGAAGTTGTGAAAGTTCCTGTTTGAACCTGCTTCGCAAACACAACCTGTCGCTCCTGCCCTTTTCATGTTGGCAGCCATCTTTTGCTCTTCTCTGTTAAGCTACGTCTTATACCATGAAAATGTTTCGAATCCTTGCTTCAGTCGCACGGATAAATCATTATTATTGGCTTGGATATTTCTTTACACTGCGCATATTGTTTGGCTCATAGGTGGTCATCATTTTGCTCGCTCTTTACCATGATAGCTCGAGAATTGCGTGCAGAGCCAACTTCTGCCATCAAGGTGAGTCACTACGACGAAGCTTGTGAAATCATCCTTCTTCGTCTTTAGATCAAGTTTTGATGTTTGGACCTGTTGGGAATGCACATCAGACATCGTCGCGCACCGTTCTGGGGATACAACATGCTTCCCAGGAATCAATCAGTCTACTGACAATAACGTAGTCACTTTCTGGGCATCGTATGGACAATTCAGATCAAACTTCGAGCGTTCCCAATACCCCGCGAGACCAATTTCCACGAAGCAGTTTAGGACAAGTTCCCCAAAATCACCCAACTTGGGCATCTCAAGACTCTCGGGATCTCAATCTAAACGAAACACAGGCGACAGCTATATCAGTCCCAGTTTCATGGACGTATCTTCCTGTAGAACTTTGGCGCTCCGTCTGCGATGTTCTCAACCGCGAAGAATGCACCGTCGCTGAAGAAGGGGATATCATAATCAAGAAAGACCCTGCGATCCGAGATGAGACGGCGACGAAGAAAGATTATGCTTCTATCAGCCTTGTGTGCCGTCTTCTTCACCGGATAGTCGAAGAATACTTGTATCAAAGCTTCTCATGGATTCCATACTTCGATAAAGCATGGCCTCCACTTGATGTCCTGAAGGAACGCAATTTGAAGGAAATCTCAAAGAGTAAGAGGGACAAAAGGGCACCATTCCCATGGAGGTGCGGACCACCGCCATATCTACTCTTACGTACCATTCTCAATCGCCCTAACCTGGCGCAATATTTCAAGAGTGTCAAGATTCTCGGTGCATCACCAACATCGGGTCTTTTCTGGAACATGTTCGAAGCGCGTGAAGGTTCTTTCTCTGGGAAGGAATTTGACCTTTGCGAAAAGACGATCTCCAGGATGCCAGATGTTTCTCGTAGGCATTGGCTCAGTGGTTTGCAGAAAGGAAGACTCGACGTGTTTGTTGGTCTACTTCTCCTTCGTCTGTCTCGGTCAAAGAAACTCAAAACGATCGACATTAGGATTCGCGAGTGCTCCACTCTGGAGAGTGTCGTCTTTGATGCTCTGGACATATCATGTATTATGCAAGCAGTATCCAGATACGCTAGTGTCACGTCTGTCACTTTTTCTATGGACAAAGATGAAAAAAAGAGTGCCTACGTTGACTTGGAAGATCATACTGAAATGGATATGTACCACGTCGACAGGCAGGTCTGGAAGCTTTTGAAATTTCCACGACTTGAGTCACTCGCTTTGCACTTGTGCTCTCCTTGCCATACATGGCAAACTCGATTGCCTATAGCCTCCCACTTGAGAAAGCTGACTCTGAAATATGGCGCAATGGAGGCAACAAATCTGGGTACTCTGCTTTCTTCTACCCCGCAACTGGAAGAGCTTGACTGTGATCTTGTCTATGATCGATCCATAAACCAGCGCTTGGATTGCGAGAAGCTTAACAGATCTCTATCGAAGGTCCACGATACCCTTGCCTATCTCACAATCGGTCTGAAAGTTTTATGGCCGGACACTGAAGACGGGGATGGCCCTTGGGATGTTCTAAAGACGATGGGGAGCATGAAACATTTCAGGAAGCTCACGTAAGACACCCCTGAAGATAATATCAGATCACCCTGACTTCCTACAGATGGTTAAACATGCCACTCATCACTCTTATTCCAAAAGTGCCTACTATTCCGGGGTTTCACCCAGGGCCCAACATACTGGAAAGAAATCTCCCCGAATCACTCATAAGCTTTTACGCTGATCGTGAACCAACGCCACCAGATGTAAACACTCAAAGAGAAGCAGAAAGAATTGTGGTTGAATACGTGAGCCGCAATGTCCGGCTTATGGAGAATCTTCGATGGGGTTCAAAGTCTACTACTGAACTGGGGTCGCAGGCAATTCTATTGCAAGTCTTGTACAATTACTACGATGACTTCTCAACCTCCTGAAAAAGCAGTCTGAGGACGAAATGAAAGGCTAAAGCCCTCTTCTGACTCATGTTATATCGGCATATCTAAGCGCAGTTTGTGTGTGAGTTGAGCCATCACTTGTCACAGATTCAAGTTTACTAAATGCTGTGAATCAACAACCTCTAAAGAAATATGCCAAGCCAATCAGACAGGAAAGTCTTCTTGAGTGCTCCTTCCTCAATTGATAGCTTTCCATTCACGAGTGACAACATCAATCGAAGCATTTAAAGTTTCAAATTATCAAGTGCCTCCATAGACATGCTCTTACAACCAATACATACTTAATCCGCTTCTTTTCTTTATATAGACCAATCCAACATGGCAGCATCCCAAAAGAACCCCAAAATGATATATCAACTTCAACAAAGCCAAGCCTCCGTCCCCTGGTGCCACGAATTCGAGAAAATGATCTCAGGCATGAAGTAAGAACACCTCACCTCACCTCTCCTCCTTCTCACTAACCAAAAGCCAAGTTTCCACGCCCCTAACGCACCTATCATGCTCGATCATAAATTCAAGGTCATCAAAGCATTACACTCTTTCAACAACCCAGACATCATAGCTTGCAGCACCTTCCAGAGCTTAAAACAACAACGCATGAAGATCGCAGCACAAATACTCGGTCGTTTGGGCACAGGGACGAATATCGAAACACCTTTCTTCTGCGTCTGGGGCTGCAATATATTCATCGGGAATAACGTCTATATAAATCGCGAGCATGTCTCCCCTTCCACCTTCTGCCACTCACTTCAAGCTAACAAGAACCAGCGTCTCAATCCACGATAATGTGCCAGTTCACATAGGCAATAATGTACTGATTGGGCCGGGGGCTTGTATCTGTACTGCTACACATGACACTGATATGGTGGTGAGGAGAGAAAGTGGAGGCTCGCATGCGTTGCCGATTGTGGTGGAGGATGACTGTTGGATTGGGGCGAATGTGACGGTTTTGCCGGGGGTGAGGATCGGGAGAGGAGCGGTGGTTGCCGCTGGGGCCGTTGTTGTGAAGGATGTTGAGGAAGGTTTTTTGGTTGGTGGAGTACCTGCGAAGGTTTTGAAGAGATTGAGATGAAGGTGTGGTGTTGATTGTTCCACAAAAATTGGATGTTTGACAAAGCTCGGGAACGGAGACTGCAATAATTTGTTGCACATCGCAGGTCCTCGTAGAGTTTTGACGTAGGCTTCTGAAATCCAAAACTGACTTGTGCTCTCTTGAAGATGACTGGCGAGTACGGACATTGTAAAGTGTTGTTGCACATCGCATCGATTGTAGGATTTTGACGGGAGCGTTTCAAATTCAATCCTGACTTATATAGTGTTAAAGTCGAGTCTTAGATAGGGACAATGACGACTTAGATGAGATGACTTTCACCTTCACTTGCATACGATATCGGTCAGAATCTTCAGTGCTATTCTCCTGGAGCTATGATCAGCATTTGAGAAGTGCTTTCTGGCGTCGTGGTAATTGGGAAAGAAAAGCTACTTGCGTCAGGATTGTGACTAGCTTGTATATCTCGCACTTGCGATCCGCAGAAGTGATGTGTGGACAGCATCTGATGCTCAGTGAGCAATCTTGAAAATTTGTTTAGTGGCCACTTCTCGTTTTCGAATCGTATTTCAAACCTGTAACTTCATACACACTCCATACGCTTCCCACACTCACGAATACCACACCGCATTAGCACAGCAACCCCCATCATCAAGATCCGCCCTCGCAACGACACTGGCACTAGTTCCATTCTCCGCAAGCTGCCAAATCTCCACAAAACCTACGCTACTATCCGTCAACGCCACGAAGGTATCAGTAAACGGACTCGGCGAGACGGAATTTGCTGTTCCTCCACTATTTGTTGTGGGGCTGAGGAATAGTTGAGAAGTGATACTTCCGTCAGTGGCGAGGGAGAAGGCGGAGATATATCCCGTGGCGTTAGTCGACCGAGCACGGGACGTGGCCCACAGGTAATTGGTGCTATAAGAGAGTGCGACTTCATCCGACCAGAATGAGGAAGAGTCCGAACCTGAAGCAGTTAGTGATGGATTTTTGGTCAGAGATGGATAGGTTGCCTACCTGATGGAATGAGAGGATACGTCACGTTTTGAAATGAGGGAATGCCTGTTGATTGATCAACGGTATATTGTGCGAGCTCATTCGCGCCCTCGAGGATCACATAGAGGTATTGTCCTTCTGGGTGAATAGCGACATGGCGTGGATCAGATCCCGTTGCTGGTCCATCAAGACTGGCAACGTATGTAAGCTCTCCAGTAGTATTGTCGACGCTGTGAGTCCAAAGTGTGTTTCCGGAATCATCAGCTGAGTACAAGAATGTGTTCTGGGTATTCATGGCCAAGCCGTGGACAGCAGAGGTAGACTTGTAGGTATAATTTTGGATGAGTTCGGACAGAACACCGCTTTCGTCAACTGATATGACGGCACCACAGTCCGCTGTCCCGCCGAATGGTGTTCCATAGACAGCGTAAGGACTTTCGGTTGCAGCCATCACGAAGATAGCTTTTGACGAGCTGCAATTCCCGCCCAAATCAACGAGGTTGCTGTAAGTGATGTCCGTTGCATTTCCAAGAGCATAGCTAACAAAGGCTGGCACGGCCGAAGAGCCAGAAGAGAGAGCAGTCCCATATAGATTCTTCTTGTCGTGCTAGACACGGTTAGACTAATTCGATTAACAATAGAGAAGACTTACACTCAAAGCAATCCATGAAGACGCAGTAGAGACTGTAAGATTTTGGATCAAGTTTAGAGTCAAAGCAGAGTCATCAAATTCGAGTGTATAAAGGCTTTCAGTACCAAATGTACCAACAATGAGGTGATGAAGATCTGCATGCACAGCTGAAAGAGCACCGAGGAGCGAGAGAGCGGTAATAGAGGCACGCATGTTTGCAGATAATGAGACGAAAGCGAATGAAGGAATGCCGTAAAGTGGCAGAACATTGTGAAGGGAATGCTACTGTTATATCTTCTTAAAATCTCAGTCTCCATAATTTAATTCTCTTCCCCACAAACATTTTCAAGGAGTCCCATCTCCGGCAGTCACTTAATGTCCACTACCCCTCGAAACACAACTTAGAATACACTTTCATTGGCCGAAATCGTTTCAAAACACAAGGGCTACTAAATTTTCCGAGGATCAAGCTTCAAAGCACCAAGGGATGACGACTAAGCTTCGCGAACCTTCGTAAAGCTCCAAATTGCAGGTGGACAGTGGTGGACTACACAGACCCAGGGACGCGTAGACATGCAGCCCAAGCAGAAACTTGGCAACTGAATCGAGTACAATAAAGCAGAACACTTGATTGGCGACTTCGTCCCTCCAGTTGACGACACTCAGGGACGTCTGCAATACCGAGACATGCGAGCCGTACCTGGCGCTACGGCATCGGGAAGTGGAGATACAGATGGAGGGGGCCGAACGATACACGATCGATATCTTTTCGTAGGTCAGATGAATGAGGATAGATATGGAAGAGTTTAACCCAATGCTCGATATGGGATGAAAGTGTGACATGTTCAGGCAAATGCCTTCTCGGTGACCGGTGGCTGGTTCGACAAGCGGTGGGCGTGCCCCTCTGAAATTTCGAGCTCGAACCCCACCATCAACATCTCAAAACACATCCAAAAATCCCAATTCACAACACCACGACCGCAGACTTCCTCCCGAAGTCAATTACCATCTGCCAACCATGGCAACACACGAGCAACTCGAGTCGACCTCCTCCCGACCGGTCCTCGACCCCACCGTCAACGTCCAAGAAAAATCCTCCAAAGAGACCGCTCCTTCCACAGCCTTAAAGCGAAACGCAGAAGAAGCCAACCTGGATGAGAAAACCACAATCCACATCGGCACACGACGCTCCGCGTTGGCCGTCGTACAAGCCGAGATGGTGCTTGCGGACCTGAAGAAAGCACACCCAGACCTCAATTACGAGATCCACGCTATGAGCACGATGGGTGATAAGAACCAAACTACTGCATTACATGACTTTGGGGCTAAGGCTTTGTGGACTCATGAGTTGGAAGCTCAGTTGATGGACGGGACGTTGGATCTTATTGTGCATTGTTTGAAGGATTTGCCTACGCAGTTGCCGCCCAAGTGTGTTATTGGGTGTATCATGGAGAGAGAGGATCCCCGAGATGTGGTCATCATGAAGAAGGGGTTGGAGTATAAGGGTTTGTTGGAGCTGCCTGAGGGAGCTGTGGTTGGGACCAGCAGTGTGAGGAGGAGTGCGCAGATCAAGATGCGGTATCCACATTTGAAGTTCAAGGATGTTAGAGGGAATGTAGGGACGAGGTTGAGCAAGTTGGATGCTGAGGATGGGGATTACTCCTGTCTGATATTGGCTGCGGCTGGTATTCTGAGGATGGATTGGGGTGACAGGATCACGCAATACTTGGATTCGAAGACCGAGGGTGGAGGACTGTTACATGCTGTCGGTCAGGGAGCTCTTGCCATTGAGGTCAGAGAAGGAGATGAAAAGACAACAGCTATCCTGAACAAGTTAGCAAACGAAGAATCAACACTAGCAGGCACAGCAGAGCGAAGTCTGATGAGAACACTGGAGGGAGGTTGCAGTGTGCCAATTGGTGTAGAGACCACTTGGATTGAGAAGGGAAAGTTGTTGATGAAGGCTATTGTTGTCAGTCTTGACGGCAAGGAGCATGTTGAGGCAGAAAGACTAGGAGAAGTTCTGAATGCTAAAGATGCGGATGAGTTCGGCTGGGACTTGGCTCATGTTTTGGTGGAAAAAGGAGCTACCAAGATCCTGGAAGCCATCAACCTAAACCGACCGATCATCAAAGACGGTGGTGGAGCATGATTGTTACTATAGACATTGGCTTTTGTATCGCATAGACTGGTCGGCGCAGGTGATGGGCCTGGAAAAAGTGCACAATATTCACCTCCTCCAAATACCAATAGCTTTCCCCAAACGCCGTGACTGTTGAAGTGGCCTTTCTATATGCACAGTAGACTTCGTCTGATCTTTCTTCAATGATCTCCTTCTTCCTCAGTGTACTCTTTGTAAGCCTTCGCATCCATCAAAGCTTCCATATCCTTGACACCGACTTCGCTCACCTCCACCTTTGCAAACCACCCACCAGCAGATGAACTATCCTCAGGACCCTTGTTGATAGTACTTGGCTTCTCTTCTAGCAGATCATTGACCTCTGTAATAGTGCAGGTAATCGGAGAGTTGATATCGGAAGCTGATTTTACTGATTCAACAGCGCCGATCGAATCGCCTGCTGCAACATCCATTGGAATCGTGGGAAGCTCGACATAGACAACGTCACCGAGCGAGTGAGCAGCGTAGGAGGATATGCCAATTACACCAGTCTTTCCATCCTCAGAGAGCTCAATCCATTCGTGCTCCTTGGTAAACCTTTTATGCAGAGCTAGAAAACATCAGTATCATGCTATCGGCGATATAGGTAGACAGGACTAACCAGCTGGGGAAGTGGAAAAAGCTCGAGCGTTAAATGGAGAAGGTCGCCATAAAGCCGCTCTCCTGCATGATCTAGCAGAAAATTGAGAAGCCGCAGGCCGCAGTGATCGTGCAATTGATGCCATTATGGAGGTTTGTGGCTGTAAAATGTGACGATATCGGGAGCTCTTAAGACTTTTGAAAAAGATGGACCTAAATTACAAGGCCGCGGTTAAGCGACCCCACCTAAATCCTTCCATCCCGACTAAGAACGCGAGATCAGGGTAGGGTCAAGGATAATAGACAATCAATATCGTTTTGTTGATATTGACAACAAAGCGCCCCTCAATTTCCTAATAGATCAGCTTCATGCACCAGTGAGAGATTCATTCTTTGTGCGCTGGGATATCTGTATTGACTCTTCGACTTCTACCTTTTCTGTCGCGTCAAGTCAGCTCCGATACGCGTTGATCCACTAGTTCAAGCGCCGACATTTGAAGGCGCGAGAACAGGTCTGTCAGGGGTCTCGACCAGGCCCGAATAACTTCAACTCGACCCAAACGGTACTTTGAGCATAGCCAGAGTGCGCTCTACCTTCACTTGCATAACCTTATTTCCTCCAAGACCAGATTCCACACATGTCTACTTCAGCATCTCTGTGTTGATCCCGACTATTCAGCCGTCCCTCATCAACCCCACAACATCCTACAAATTCGACAATCTGGATTCCTCGACGTTATCAGCGGGTTCTCCAGCCCAATTCCACGACACCGTAGAGACGATGGAGACAGACGGCGGATATGAACAAAGAGGGGAGGTTCAGGATGAAGCAATGGGAGGCACCGACGAAGCACATACCCCCACAAGAAGACATACACAATCGCAGTCTGCAGACTTCCCTTCACGCCACGGTTACTCTGCCTCTCCGACCCTAGACATCGACCCAAATGCCAGATATCCCACCCCGCCTACGTCTTTCCCACCATCAATCTCGAGACCAAACTCTGGCTTATCTGGAAATGGCGGCTACATGCAGTCCTCATACCAGGATCAGAGTGCTCGCGGAACCACAGACCAAAGTCGGAACAAGAATAGCGTTGTGATCAAAGTTGGCATGGTTGGAGATGCCCAAATAGGCAAAACATCTCTGATGGTAAAATATGTTGAGGGTAGCTGGGACGAAGATTATATCCAAACACTTGGGGTTAACTTCATGGAGAAGACAATCTCAATACGCAACACCGAGATCACGTTTTCAATTTGGGATCTGGGAGGACAACGGGAGTTCGTGAACATGCTTCCATTAGTATGCAACGACGCTGTTGCTATACTTTTCATGTTCGACCTGACGAGGAAAAGCACACTGAATAGTATCAAGGAGTGGTACCGACAAGGCAGAGGATTCAACAAGACGGCGATCCCGTTTTTGGTTGGCACGAAATATGATCATTTCGTCAATTTCCCAAGAGAAGACCAAGAAGAGATCTCGAATCAGGTAAGCTTGATTTTTCACTCTTCAAAACGGGGCCACTTAAATGAGACGGTTCTCAACACGGGCTGATTCCTGAACGGGACCGTTCTTGAACGAGACCACTTGGAACGGGGTGACTCTTGAATGAGGCTACCCTCGAACATAAAAAGATTGTTTCTCAAACTATATCAACCTCCACCACTTACTATCACCACTCACTAACAACACACTCAAGGCACGAAGATTCGCAAAGGCAATGCGAGCAAGCTTGATCTTCAGCAGCACAAGTCACAGCATCAACGTCCAAAAAGTATATCCCCTCCTCACTAAACCCAATCCTCATCCTTGACCTAACCCTCCTCTCCAGATCTTCAAAATCGTCCTCTCCAAAGCCTTCGACCTAAAATGCACCATCCCCGAAATCGAAAATGTCGGCGAGCCCCTCCTCATCTACCAGTCCGTCCAATAGACGCCCTCCTCCCCTTCCGCCCCCACCACGAGATCTACGGCCCGCTACGAGATTTCCTGATCGAGTTCATGTTCTTCGAATCCCTGCTTGTGGAATGAGCATCTCACCTCACCTCCCCCAACACAAAACCAAACCAAAACAAAACTACACGATTTACGCACCCTGAAATGAGAACGAATCATCACGAGTGGAACGGGGGAACTTGGCATCTGGCATGGAATTGACTTGAAACTTGCTCAATTTTCTTTTTTTTTGCGTTGCTGTTTTGCGGGCATTTGAACTGGAGCTGGAGCTGTGGAGCAGGGGACTGGGCACAGATCATTGAGGATTCTGAGGTTCTGATACACCAGACTTAATCGGTCCAAGACAGAAGACACATAATGTTCTTTCTCCTCTGTATCAAATGAAATCCATTCGAAGCTCTCCATTGCAATTGTACTGTATGTTAGTAGCAATGTGGGCTCAAGATCTTCACTATCAACTTTGAATCATGGACAGTAATTGATGCAGTGAGAGTTAATGAATTGGAAGGAGTCTTGGAAAACAAAGACTAATTGATGTCATATAAGCCTTGTGGACTAGACAAAAAGGAATGGATACAATGCAACGTCCTACTTTCAGCCACCCAACCTAATAATACTCTCAATCTGAATTCTAACAGCCTAACCCTTGAGCCGATCCTGTTCAAGATATATCAAACAAGTCAAGTATGACACTCCGATGATGCCTCCTTCCCCTTGGTGCTACCTGTCATCTTGCTCCAGAAGCTGGAACCCTTGCCGTCTTGACTCTCCTGCTCTACCTCAGTAACAACTATCTTTACAAGCTCTTTAGCCTGCTCGCCCTGAGATTTACTACTTCCCGCAATGATCTTGGTCTCTTCAAATTCACCGTATGGAAAGCCAACGAGTTTGCAGGATGTGCCTCCGCGACTATTCTGGCTGTTCTCCTTCTTGCCGCCTTGCGATGAAGTTTGTGAGTGGACACTTTGACCAGATTTCTCTGCTGACCGGCTGCTCTTGTTGTCATTAGAACCTGAACTGGTCTTTGTATCGTTAGTTTTTCGAAGTCCTTTGAAGCGACGTTGCTTCTGACCATGGCCACTTTTGCTTTCAGTGGCAGCTCCAGCACTGTTTGAGGAGTCAACGTCGCCAGCTTGCTTTGAGCTCGTGATCTCAAAATTCAAGGCGCATTTGTGACGCAAGCTACCAGTGAGACAGTTTTCATCATGGATGTGAAGAGCATTGCCCTGTTTCTTGGATCTTGAGGAGGCATGTAGACGCTTTTTATCCGGCTTTTGAGAGGCATGATTATCGTCACTGTCTTGAGATCGATCATCAGAAGATGATTTCACAGAGAACCCAGGTGGGCAGCTGACAAGTCGATGCTCTTTGAGACCGTTGGGAGATTTGGTCACAGTAGTGTCGGTACCAAAGCTTGCACTTCGATTTTGTCTTCCTGTCGTTTTTGATGAGCCAGCTTGGTGCAACTCCAGACATTCGAGCTCCGTGTGTTGACGAGAAGCATTCGGAGGCTGATGGGCCGTTGAAGAGCTTGCACGAGTATCCTCGGACAAGCGATGCTGCTCTATGTATCTACCACGAGCAGAGCTGACACGAGTATCTTCAGATAAGCGATGCTGCTCTATGTATCTTCCACGAGAAGAGCTTGTTCGAGGATCATCGGATAAGCTGTGTTGCTGTACCTTTGTTCCTTGACTTTCGTAATAGTCAAGCACTGCCTTGTCAACGGGACAGTCTGTGAAATCATGGACATAAGACAGCTCTTGAGTATCTTCAGATGATGACGCTCCGTGGCAGTCCCCCATCTCGTGTTGCTCTACCATTCCAGAAGTCTTGTTGTCACCGACCTCTACAATTGTACAGTCGATCAGAAGACGGCTTTCCTGCTTTTCGAGTTTATTGTCTTTCATTGCCGTCTCTACTTCCACACAGTCCACAATAGTATGCTCTTCCAAGAGGCGATCATGTCGAGACTTCTCTTGTATAGCCGCTACGTTCTCATGTGCGGACGAAGATGATGTGTTGGCCTTCTTTCCGGGCTCCTTCGAAGCTTCAGCATCATTAACAGATGCATGAGGCTTGGCACGAAGCTGCTTGGCATTTCCATAGTCCTTCTTGGTATCATGTCGGGATTTCTTGTCAACTGAGACAATGATCTCCTCGGCGTCCTTTAGCTTTTCCGCTTGTTGCTGTGGTTCACCACGCCTGATTGGTTCCCCGTTTCTGCTCCGGGTTGGCTGTGGGGCAGAGATCTGGACTCGTACCTCGTCGACCCGGTTTACTATGGCAGGTGGCGATTTGAGAAGTTTTTTCGGTTTTGTCGTGACCTGAGTCAGCTCCATAGCTTGCTCTGACGCTTGTCGCGATGGAGCATAGCTCATTAGCTCAGGCGGCTGAGGTTGTGTGTCGATATGTGTGTCTTGTAAGCTTGCGAGGTATTGCTTGTTATATCTCAGCGTCTTATCTCCTTCTCGGGCTCGGATTTCACGGTCGATCTGCATTTGAGTGCAACAGGAACACCAAAAGCCCTTGCAAAAATCATCGACAACTTTTCCTTGCATTCCATATGTTCCGCGGACTCGAGTGCGCTGCATACCAGTTACAATACCTAGCGAAAGGGAAAGTCAGTCAGGATTTCCTTACACTTCAATCTGTAGAAATTTGAGGCTTACCTGCAATGCACCATGGACCGCAACACGGAATGACAACTGCTGTCAGACAGCACAACCCGAACCAGCCCCAGCAATTACCATTACAGCCCATACTTGGCTTCCAGCTAGCATTAGAAGAGTCTTCTCCCATGGCCACTCGCTTTAAACGCCAATTAGACTTTCCATAAAGCGCACAAGGAACCCAAAACCCCAAGCAACACGTTTCTACATCTCTGTTCTCGGCATCTGGTGGCTCTTGACACCAAGGACTTAGCCAATCTTGAAATGTGGTTTCGTCTTCTGTTTGGCTACGATTCGCCTGCGAAGGACGTCGTGCGCCTTCAGCACCCCAAGCTGACTGCCGAAGAGCAGTACTATCATCCATGACTTGATGATTTCGTGGTACAATAAGAGTATACTGTGGTGTGACAAGAGCCTCTCGGTGGACAGGAGGAATGAGTGGTGGTCGCTTCACCAATGGTCGATAAACGGCGCAAGTTGGATGTTGGGATTCTTTGCACCTTGCTTTACCTCGTGCCATTCAATATTGATGATATCAGTGAGTCTGCGCAAACGAGGTCAGCAGATGATAGTCATACGACTAGAGAGACGCTTACGATGCAATTGCTATGAATGCTGCATTGCCAGTTGGCGTTGACGTGATATTTGTGTTGGTGATGTTTGAAAGGGAGAAGAAGCAACGTAAGAGAGCAATAGCTGGTAAGCGTCTTCCAACTTTGGCAGGCACGCTTCACTTCGTGGAACTTACACCCACGGAAAGTACGTTCGACAGTGAGACTCCTGAGATTATTGAAAAGGGAACTTTCGGATCAGGAACTTCTCCTTTTGCATCAATTTCCATGCAGTTCGGGCGTGCATTAATCGTTGAAACTGACTTCGAGGACAAATGACAAATCATCCGTACCCACAAACGAGCTCTCAGTGATCGAAAATGCATGGAAATCAGATACACTAATTATACAGCCATGACAAGTCTTGAAGTATGAACATGTGCACCCGTTCTACTAGCACTTTTCCAATTACCCTCAAGACAAAATCTACTTTTTTTCTGGCTAGAAATCTGTCGTTAGCCCACTTCTAGTCCTCCTAAAAGAGGTGATGTCCATGACACATTGCATGTGCAAAGACTGGCTAGGAAATTCGATGTTTTTCAAAAGAATTAGATTTATACCTGTGGCCTCTTGGGGTCGACAGTGCCCTTGACCTTAGCGGTATCTGGACCGCCTTCACTCTTCTTGCTCTTGCTGGGGTCGTTTGTGATGTCAGTTGAGTGCTTGGTATCAGTATTGCTAAGTCCTTCTTGCTTGCCATCCTGAGAATTTTGGCCTTTACTCTCTTTCGATGGCGCAGCCTGTAAAAAGTCAGAAAAGGGTCAATAATTGACTTTCTCCCAATTTACCTTGTCAGAGCGGTCACCCTCGCCTTGCTTGACGGCGTTGTTGCTTTCCAGTCTCTTCTTAGAACCGCCCTTCGCATCAGGAATGGACTTCTTGGTGTTCTTCTCGTCACCTTCATCATCTGAAGTATCGGGGGTATCGGCAGCCTTCTTCTCGTCGTCTCCGCTATCAGAGTCTTCAGACTTGTCACTGTCCTTGTCTTCTGATTCGGTGGAAGCCTTCTTGTCCTCGCCTTCATCCTTAGACTCTTCTTCGGGCTCATCCTTGGATTCCTCCTCGGATTCCTCCTCGTGCTCTTCATGTTCTTTGCCATGGCTATCACCGTGGTCTCCATGGCCGTGTTCGGTGTCTGGGGAGTTCGACAAGAGGTACCAGCAAGATGGAATTGTTACTGCAATAGCTCCAACGGCCCTTTATGACGTCGTCAGTAAAATGTGTAAACTTTGATGATTCCAAGACAATCCTTACCAAAGAGTGTCACCACCTGCTTGTGTAGTAGAGCCATGACCACTAGCATAGCCACGTCGAACGACCTGACGAAAGCATTGAGGCCGAGCAATTGAAGGTCGAATACCTCGGACGGCGGATCGCAAAGCTGCCACTCTTGAAAAAGCCATTGCGAGGTAATGTCTGAACAACAAAGTCCAGAAATACGATCACTGTAAAAAGTCAGATAGAAAGACAGTCAAAAGAGATTTTGCGAGGCTTACCGGATCAATTGGGCTGTAAATGAAGCTGTTGAAAAGAAGATGGCTGGAGGTTCTTCAAGGATTTAATCACGCCAGCACGGTCTTTGTCCGCATCGATTACTGGACATGACATCTGGGAGCTCGGAAAGCTAGGATCCTGAATTAGGTTAGAGCGTTGCAACTGACCCCACCAAATATCATCGAGAGTCAACGCGACCAAATATAAATCGGGACCTGGATCACAAGAGCTCGTCTCTTTCCCAAACCGCATCTTCTTTGCAGGGCTTGACTTCGCAAACTTCCAGGTGCACCTGATATCTGCGAGTAAGTTCATTCTGAATTCCTTCCTTAGGCAACCAGCTGCAGCCTCCTGCTCTTCCAGGCACACCATACATAGAATTAAAGCTAACAAATGAAAGGTTCACATTTTCTTCGGGTTCTTGACGACTTGACATTCCCGCTCATGATCACGATATCGTAACGAACTCGACGTCCTAATCTGCTGCCTCGTTCCCGCTTTCGGCGCGAGTCGTCACCATCCATCATGGCGACTCAAGTATCATCGAACCCGACCCCGCAACAGGTGGCGCAACTCCTCCCCAAGCTCCACGATGCGGATCCTGATTACAGATTCATGTCCTTGAATGATCTCTTCCAAATACTCAGCGTTGGCAAGCACGACTTTCTCCACAGTGATTATAACACTGCTGCTAGAGCAGTAGATGGGATTTTGAAGACGTTGGACGATCAAAATGGCGAAGTTCAGAATTTGGCTATTAAGTGGTAAAGCAACCTCGAAAATAACCTCTAGATCCTGACGGTATACTAATTATTTTAGTCTTGGACCCTTGGTCACAAAGATCCCCGCCAGTATTCTACCTCCACTTCTCGAAAAGTTGTCAAATCTCAATACGGAGAACTCGGTCGATAACTCTATCCCTGCGATGGCACTCCGAACCGTCGTTGCCACACTTCCTCGACCTGTCAGTGGTGTTTCTCCGGCAAAGGAAGTTGTGGAGGCATATGCTGCAATTAGCAGAGTCCTGATCCCGCGCCTTGTAGGCCGTCTGGTACTCAATAAGGCTCAGAAGGGTGTGAAACTTCCGCCACCGCCACCAGGCATGTTGGACCTAGAGTCTGGGAAGGATATTGATCCCGAGGCTGTGGATGTTTTGATCGAGGTAGTCAGATGCTTTGGTCCTATGCTTCATCAGAGCGAGGTTGAAGCTTTCCAAACCTTGCTTGCTGGGATCCTTGAAACAGATCGAGCAAGTTCTGTGGTCAAGAAGCGAGCTGTCGTAGCAGTTTCACTCTTGGCCATGTACTTAACAGATGATGGACTAAGCAGTTTTGTTTCTCAACTGATTGAGAGCTTGAGGAATTCGCATCTGACCCTTGTTCAAAGACGATTGTACATCACCATCCTTGGCTCTATGGCTCGATCAATTTCTGCAAGATTTGGGCCATATCTGAAGACGCTAGCCCCATTCGTTCTTGCAGCTTTAAGTCAAGAAGAACTCACGGAGCAGCTTGAAAATTCTGCAGAGGATGGTGAACCAGATCCTGAGACTGACGACGTTCGAGAGGCAGCTCTTGTGGCATTGGATGGGTTTCTCTCTTCTTGTGGCAATGAAATGAGAAGTTATACTGAGGAGACTATTGGTGCCCTCCTACGCTTCCTTAAATACGATCCCAACTATAATGACGACGATGACGAAGAGATGGGTGGAACGCAGCCCGAGGAGGACGACATGGACGAATTCGGAGATGACGATGACTTCGAGGCCGAAGCTGGGTTTGACGACGACGATGATGATGCTAGCTGGAAAGTCCGACGGTGTGCTGCAAAGGCACTTTATACCCTCATATCTACACGGGCAAGTGGAGATCTATTGGATGATGGCACTCTCTACATGCAAGTCGCTCCTGTCCTTGTCCAGAGATTCAATGAACGCGAGGAGAACGTGCGCTTAGAGGTCATTTCAACTATGGCATTACTTGTTCGCAAGACTGGTGAAGGTGTGGTCCTCCCATACTCTGACGAGAGTTCCGAGTACACGAACAATCCACCTCAGAGCCGGAAGCGAAGAAGACAAAGCAGCACCACCGCCTTCGACAGGAAGAGCGTGCTTTCTATGTCAGCTGGTCTAACTTCGCCACCCGCAGAGCCAGTTCCCGCCTCTGGCCCTAGAGCTGATCTAGCACGAATGAGTCCTATTCTTATTCGTTCGACAACAAAGCTCTTCAAAGGCAACTCGATTCCCACGAAGCAGGCATTAGTTAGATTACTAGACGATGTTGTGTCTGTTCAGCGTGGTGGTTTGGCAGACTACTTTGGCCAGATTGTTGATCCAATCATCGATGCTGTCAAGACAACTGCAGGCTCGACTGGATCTGCGACCACGATGTCGAGCGGCGGAGCCACTTCGGCAACCGCTAGCACACTCCGCATTGCAGCACTTCACCTATTTGGTGACATTGCTAAGACTCACTCATCCAGCGTCCTCCAACCGTATCTCGGAAAGATTGTACCAGGTGTTGTGTCGGCTGTCACTGATAGATACCATAAGATCTCCAGCGAGGCTATCGGCACAGTTGAACAACTTGTCAAGGCTCTTACACCTCCCCGGTCTAGATCGATGCACGAGAAGCATCAAGCAGATCTGCAAATGCTCTACAAAGTCATCGTTGGACGAGTAGCTGCAAATGATGCTGATTTGGAAGTGCGCCAGCGGGCAATCCAAGCTTTAGGTATCCTGCTAGCTCGTACTGCAGGTCCAGAAGGCTCTGCTCTTGTCTCTGCTGCCGATCGAACAGTGGCTCTTGACCTCTTGAGCGAGAGACTGAAGAATGAGACAACTCGCATTGCTGCAGTACATGCCGTTGATACCATCGCGGAACTAACCACGGTCCAAGGGCAATTACAGCCACAATGGATCCGAGAGGTCTCTCTCGAGCTTTCTGCACAACTTCGGAAGGCTAACCGATCTCTGCGAGGTGCCAGTCTTGCGGCTTTAAAGAACTTGGTTATTGTCCCAGCTAACAGAAAGGCTCTCGATGCTGAGACCATCAAAGGTCTTGTTAGTGCTCTACTACCCCTCCTTACCACTGTGGATTTGCACCTTCTTGGTCCAGCTCTCTTGGTTCTTTCAGCACTGGTGGCGGACAACGCAAGACTTGTTGTTTCCGATCAACTCAATACTGCTCTTTGTGGCCTGTTGAAGACTTCTCTCAGCGGTGCGACCCTTGACGCAGTTTTAATCTTGGTCGCAAACATTGGCAAGGGTAAGGCAGGCCAAAAGCTCATGTCTGGGCTTCTCAATGAAGTCAACGTCAACGGCGATCCAGCTGTTGTCGGTAAGGTCATTGGTACCTTACTAGTTGAAGGAGGCCCTTCCATTGGAGTTGATGTGAACAGTTTTATGGCAGAGGCAGTCAATCCTGATTCAGACGATGCTAGAAGATGTCTAGCTCTCGCTGTTCTCGGTGAAGCAGGTCTCCGCATGGGTGCCAATTCGCCATTGAAGCCCTCCACATTCACATCACAGTTCGCAACTAGATCAGAAAAGGTCCCTCTCGCTGCTGCAGTCGCGCTTGGACGAGCAGGTGCTGGCAATGTTCAGCTATACCTTCCCGACATATTGTCTACTATGGACAAAGGTGGCAATGCTCAATACTTGCTATTGCATTCGATTAAAGAGATTCTTCAGCAAGCTAGCACGTCTTCTCTCGATATCTCCAAGTACACCAAGTCTATCTGGGATCGTTTGCTTAGTGCATCTCAGACTGAGGATAACAAGGCTGTAGGAGCAGAGTGCATAGGTAGACTTGCAATCATCGACCCCAACACATATATTCCGCAATTACAGGTACGATCTGCCCAAATTACAATTAGATTATTGCTAACACCTTCCAGGCCTACCTCCAGAACAAGAATGCCTCTATCCGAGCCATGGCCATCCAGGCTACTCGCTATACTCTGCCTGAGAGTGACGCGGCCTTCGACGGAGCATTGAAGAACTCACTCATCGACATGCTCTTGGTCATGCTCAAGGACCCAGAATTGGAGAACCGACGTCTGGCTTTAACCACATTGAACTCTGCTTCTCACAACAAGCCTGACTTGATTATTCCAAACCTGGGTGTTCTCTTGCCACTAGTAATGAACGAGTCTGTTATCAATCCGAAGCTCATTCGAGAGGTCATCATGGGTCCATTCAAGCACAAGATCGACGACGGTCTGGAAGTCCGAAAGGCAAGGTCCCTCTCTCCCATTCCCTATCTGTCATACTGATACCATTATAGAGCGCTTACGAAACCCTCTACTCCCTCATGGAAACTGCCTTCTCCCGCATGAACATCCTCGACTTCTACAACCGCGTCGTCGCCGGCCTCTCCGACGAACACGACATCCGCGCCCTCTGCAATCTCATGCTCACCAAACTCGTGATCCTTGACCCCGAAGAGACCTCGCGCCGACTCGACACCATCGCCGACTGTTTCCGCAAGATTCTGTCCACGAAACTCAAGGAGAATGCTGTCAAGCAGGAAGTCGAGAAGCAAGAAGAAGCCAGCAAGAACGTATTGCGCGTCACACTGCTGTTGCATAGTGCGATTCCAGCGGCTAGTAGTGGGGTGGGTGCAAATGCGGGACAGCATCAGACTTGGAGAGTATATTGGGAGTGGGTTGAGAAGGATTTCGATGCGCAAATTAGGAGTCTGAGGGATGGTGAGAAGGAGGGTGGTCATTGACTGCCTAACTTGCTTCACGTGGTATGAAAGTTGGGAGGAAGGAAAATGGTTACGAGAAGACGATGATTATGACGATGAAGAACGAATAAATAAGCGAAACTTGATAAGCAGATAAATGCCTTTCACGCAGATCTTTTGATTTGGGAGGCTTGGTACTCCCGCATAGCTTGCGTGTGCGGTTTGCGTTGGTTTGCGTTGCGTCTGATAAACGGAAGAAAAATATCCATCATAAGACATTACATTACCTCCAAAGTGCTTGGCATACTAAAATGTGATACTCTTAAGATCAGGATGAACGTTGAGGCCTCACAGCAACAAATTCAAAGTGAAGGGGAAGCCTTGTTTCATTACCACGAATCTATGTACCTATCTCCTACAATATTCACAATTCACACACAAAAAGAAGTGGGGATGTCGAATGTCCGCAACGAACTCACGCACCCGATGCCCAAAAAATGATTTCAACGCCTTGTTTCTTTTTCATCTTAACGTGATGTGTGTATGCATATTTCCCTCCCTCCCAAACGCCTGATAGGAAATAGCGAGTGAAGGGGGTATTAAAGCCGAACCAAACGAAATGCAAACGAAAGAAATGAATCAAGGATCATAACCGCCGGCAACTCCGGGAGCAGGACCCTCGAGATCTACTGCCTCGACAGTATTTCTGATACGGCCTGTCTCGTTGACTAGGTTTGAGAAGTACTTTCTGGCGACGTCGCTTTCGGTGCGGATTTTCTTGGTTTCTTCGCGTTTAGTGCCTAGTTGTTCGACGGAGCGTTGGAGGCCGACACGGAGGTTGTCGGCTGGGAAGCGGAGAACGCGGCGTACTGAGGAAGAGATGCGGTCCGAGTTTGCGTGGACGTAGTCGATAGCTTGGAGTTGGGTTGAGATTTTGGTCGAGAGGCGATGTGGGAGCGAGGTGGGGATTTGAGAGAGGATGTAGTAGGTTGCTGCGATGGCTGCGATATATGTTAGTATTTGGAACGACAAACAAGAACTCTTTTGCTTACCAGTAACGACAACGCCGGGCAAGATAAGCTTGCGGAGATTGTTGTTACCAACAACCTTAGCAGCCCCCAGCGCACCATCAACCCAGCCCCAACCTCCGACCATTTGGCCACCGACAGCAGTGGCAACCGTCAAAGCCATACCTGTTCCTGCCATCTTCTCTTGTCGTTGAATGAGAGTCGACCAGTCGAAGAAATCCCAGATCTCAGTCTCAATTTCAACTTGACGGGCTAACACGTCACGTTTTCTCCTGAACATGACATCGCTTCTAAAGCTCAAATCCGTATACTCATCACCAAGATGCAAAAGTCCGAGTTGTTTGATAGCGCTGACTCCCTCGATTGTCTTTGTTCTCGCATGCTCCTCACAAGACGTGACGGAAGCTGAGATTTGCGAGAGCATGGCTTCCTTGATCTCATCCGCATACTGGAAAACATTCAAAAGACCAGGGTAGGGAACACCAAGATCCTCGTCTGCAGCTTGAGATATTGATTGTAAAAGAGTCGAACGAGTGTGATCGTAGATGTCCTTGCATGTTGCCTCGATGGTCTTGTCGATATCATCGCTGACCTCGGCCTTAGCTTTCTGAGATGCTTCAAGCAGAGGCTCCAAATCGTTGAGCTCTTTCGTGACGCGGTCTAGTTCTGACTGTGCGACTTCTTGATTGACAGTAGCCAAGGTCTGCACATCATTTAGAACATTGAGAAGGTAGGTTCTTGCTGGTGCAAGTTTCGATCGGGCACGCTTTTCTAAGACGAATCGTCGGAGTGATTGCTCAAGATTCTCGAAATCTTGTATTTTCTCCTTGTCTTTCCCCTTCCCTTTCGGATCTGAGCCGTCATCTCCATCTCCACCACCACCACCGCTAGAACTGCCACTGCCGTTTCCTCCGGGTCCGCCTGGTGGCATAGGGGCCGTGGGAATAGCATTACTTGACACGAAATGGACCAACTCTGTCGATTCCTTAAAGGTTCTAGGACTGAGTCCTTGGACTTGCTCCAAAATCATCTTTTGGCAACGCTCCTTGTCTCTAATGTTGTCGTAACCATTGACTACGATGAAAATGTATGCTTTCTCGGCCGCTGCTGCCCAGATGAATTCCTTTGCAGTCATGGTGAAGTGATTCGCAGCAGAGACCACGAAAACAACGACATCAATTTCCTCTTGTCGAGCAAAAACCGCTGTAGTTTTTGTGGTGTCGAGGTTTAGGCCAGGTGCATCGATGATCGAAATGTCCACGACACCATTATTGAGAAGTGACTGGTCAATAGCTCGTACATCCTTTACATACACCTTACACTGTGTGTAAACCTCGTTAGAGGTCACGAGCTTTTCCAGGTCGAGAAGTGTGTAGACGTCGTATGTGCTCTCATCGTGTCTGTCGTAATGCACATCCTTATGCACGGCATGAACTTCCTCGATACCCCCATTCTCCTTTGCATCAAGAACCTCACAGAAAATGCTTGTACACGGTTGTTGATCCTCTGGCAAAATCTTCCGTCTGAGAAGGGCGTTGCAAAAGGTCGACTTTCCGGCGTTCAAATCCCCAGTGATCAAGACCTTACTTGAAGTATCTTCTATCCGTTCGCGTAGAGAAAGGAGGTGCTTGATACTGGAGCTGATCTTGCCATCCAATAATGAGGCTATCGAATTCTTCTCCAGCGAGTGCACAAGTTCCGTCTGATGTAGCGCTCCTAGCTTCAAATCCAATTTCAATATCGAAAACTCCTGAGCAATTTGTGGGGTGACCAATCGAGGTTCAGGGGTCGTTCTTTGCTCTGCTGATTTGCTTGATTCTGGTTCTGCTCCATATGTTTGCGACCTTCGCAGTTGTCCTGGTCTATTCTCTGGAAACGATGTGGCACCTGGAGCTGTGGATTGTGTGTGCACCAGTCCTGGTCGCGGATCTTGCCTCTGTGGTTGTGCTGTCTCCGCACGCTGGACTGAGGGATAAGTTGCTGGCCATGTCGCGTTGAACTCTTGTAGACTTTTCAAACTCTCCATCACTTTCGCAATCGACCTTGACAAAGTAGCTCTGTGCGAGTTGTACCATAGTTGATGTATAGCATTGGCCTGTACTCTTCTGTCACTTTCCACCATGTCGTTCATCCCTCTCGGCATTGGCGAATGCGATGGTGTAGGCCTGTCCTCTGTCAGAGTAGGATTCCATGTAGGAGCGCCATTGAAGCTGTCGCCGGCTACACTTCCACCGTACCCAGAATCATTGTCCAGAAGGGCTTGTAATCGAGCAGCGCTCTCGGATGTTGATCCAGAGCCAACCGTCACATACTGAGGGCGATTCGATGCTTGTCTTCGTGGATTATTAGAGCTTGAATCTTCTCCTCCGCTCGCCTTGCCCTTTCCTTTAGCGTAGTCCTGGCTCATGGTGACTGTGGTCGAAACATTCGTGTTGTTGATGGCGAAGTTTTCTTGAATGGTCTGTTATGATGCTTGCATAACGGAGGCGAACAAATTCCGCTGCAATTTTGGCGCGGATTCCATGCACGTGCAACTAACAACTTTTTTGAGGCGATCTTTTGAGAACGATTGGACTTCTGAATCTACGGAGATTGTAGAAATAGATCAAGCCAAGAACTTATCCGGGTGAATCTCGAAATTCAAATCATTGATTTTGAGAGAACTCGGCGCCTTTGGGAAGTCCACCCAGAAAAGTGGTTGCCTCATAAGGCTAGCCTGCCGACCCTTCAGTACGATAGCATGACGAGGTCTGCGATAGGCATCTCATATCTTGATACCTGGTGTACCGTCTTTCACGAATCTTCGTACTTCACCACACAATGAATGTAAGTTCTACCGACCCGTCTCGAATAACACTTACTGATATTTGCAGATCGTCGAATGGGCTTTCGGAAAGCGCATGACGCCAGCAGAGCGTCTGCGCAAACACCAACGTTCTCTCGAAAAGACGCAGCGAGAGCTCGACCGAGAACGAGTCAAGCTGGAGAACCAAGAGAAGAAGCTCATACAGGAGATAAAGAAGAGCGCCAAGGCAGGGCAGATGGGAGCATGCAAGATTCAGGCCAAAGATTTGGTTAGGACCAGAAGATACATTGAGAAGTTCTATTCTATGAGGACGCAGCTTCAGGCTATCTCGCTGCGGATACAGGTATGCGCTATATATGCTGTTCGGAGGAATAAGCATCGGTGAAGAGTCATGAGGCTGACGAGAATATTTCGGATAGACGGTGCGCACGAACGAGCAGATGATGCAGGCTATGAAGGGCGCGACTGGAGTTCTGGGAAGCATGAATCGAAGTATGAATCTGCCAGCCTTACAAAGGATTGCGATGGAATTTGAGAGGGAGAACGATATCATGGATCAGAGGCAGGAGATGATGGACGATGCTATCGATGATGTTACTGGTCTAGAGGACGAGGCTGAGGGTGAAGAAGTGGTGGAACAAGTGCTCGAAGAGATCGGTGTTGATTTGAAGAACTCTGTAAGTGCATGATATCGTGTAACTCATATATTCTTGCTAACAATAGCAACAGATGGGCGAGACCCCTTCAGGCCTCCAGAACAATGCAGTGGCAGAGGGCAGAGTTGCACAAGCTATCGGTGGTGGGGGAGCTGATCCAGGAGACGATGATCTCCAAGCTAGATTGGACAGCCTGAGAAGATGAGTTTGGTGATGGTTGTATAGCCGGCGTTTATGATAGCAGGAGTCTGGGCAGCATTTACAATCCATGATATTCCGTACTGGCCATACATGCTTCATTGACGGTGGACCGGGTGAACGGCGGTCGAGTTCCGCGATGGTGAGTCTGCCTCTTGAAAGTGCCTACAGGGCAAGAGGGAAGAAACAAGCCTCGAGTTTCCAAACAGTGTCCATGAACATGATATGTGAGAGCCAGGGGAAATGTAGAAGAAAACCTCGTTACATATGAAATATGACTTCATCCCAATGTCTAATAGGCTTTCGGTCTTTCAAATCAGACCCTCGAATACACCGTCGGCTCCGATATTTCCATAGAGGGGCCGATCCTACCCTTCTGGTGCTCCCTTGCCCCCTGAAGACGCTGTGGGGAAAGCGCAAGCCGCCCGCGTGCGCGGAGGCACAGCCTCGACTTTAGATCAACAAGCACTGGTGAAGACTGAATCCTTATGTGCTGCTGCTGCTGCTGACACTCTTTCTTTCACTTCCTGCTGTACCTAACTCTGCTTGCTGCGGAAGCCCGGATCCAAAGTCTATTCCCCTCAACGTCTGTCAAACCAAAGAGCATAAATAGAATCTGAGGTTCATCCTTTGAAATACAAACAGGCAAGGGCCAGCATCAACCCCTGTAGCAATCCACTTCGCTCCCTCCAACTCTCCATCCATCATCGTGGGCCAGAAACAACCTTCGATTATCAAGCTCCTCAAGCCCCTCAATCCCCAATATCTGGGTCGCATCTTTTTCAGTCTATCCGCGCGTTCTAGTCTTTGTGGTCAACAAAGGCGCCAATATTTTCTGCAACTGAATCAACAGCGGCATTCCGGCACATGCAGCGAGCCTTCCAGCAGCAGTAACACATTTCTGGTTCTGAGGTGCCACCTTTTCCCAAGATCTTTGAGACACATACACAGCATCTGCACGGTCAATCGTGAGTTTGCCCATTTCCTTATTGGTACCCCAGGGCGCGTGCTACAAACAAAGGCCATTTTGTTTCGTAGCATAATACCCCACACCCGCGAACCAACGTCGTCATTGCAAGCTAAGACGAACGAAGGCAGGGCAGTTGGACATCCTCAACACCAACTCTCTCCACACCTCCTTCTACCTCCAACACTTCCACAAACGAACGACGATCTTGAATTCCTTCTTGTCGACTCGGCGAGGCCCTTGACAATATCTGCCGATCCTTTCCTGAGACCGGCGCGTATCGCAGCCCCTCTTCCGTACGCCCATACAACCTAGTCGAGTCTCCTTACGAGACATTCTACCTGCAATCAACAAAGTGGCAGGAAGCAAGCGGAGGAGTTTTTCCTCCCAGGGAGGTCTGCTAAACAGGATGTTTGGCAGCTCTGGGTCCCCTCCAAAGGACGGCGGTCCGGATCCAGTTGCAACTGAGGCTGTAGATCCAACCTCCACCGACAATAGCAGCGCATCCAAGACGATCGAGGAGAGTTCGAGTGCAGAGAAGCGCAGTGGTAATGGCAGCCCCCAAGGCAGGCAAACAGGAGAGCAAGGCGGGAATGGGGAGAAGAAGCGTAGGAGTAGTGGTGTCGGCACGAAGGCCAGCTCGTTGCTCGCCAGCGCGAAGAACTCATTACACTTCAGCCCAAGTCCGAACTCAGCAGGATTTATGCGGGCCGCAGAGACAAATACCCAAACGCCTTTACAAAAGCTTGGAAAGCAAGATCCGGCGCTGAGTGTTCCTCAAGGTCAACATAATAATTCAGCTGGCGAGTCTCTTCCAGGACCACGATCGACATTCACAGTTGGTGTATGGGAGGATAAGAACAAGAAATGTCGTCGTACTATGGAAGACACACACGCCTTCCTCTACAATTTCTTACATACTCCGGCACCAGCATTGGGAGCAGAAACGACGAGTACGAAGTCGAAGTCAAATGAGGAGTTGGCAATGACGGAGTCTACACCTAGTCTTGCACCCACTGTATCTGGTTCAGACATGATGGAGACAGATAACGGCTACTTTGCAATCTTTGATGGACATGCTGGTACATTTGCGGCAGATTGGTGTGGCAAGAAGCTTCATATCATCTTAGAAGAAACCATCCGAAAGAATCCCAACACGCCAATTCCCGAACTCCTTGATCAAACCTTCACGACTGTCGATGCTCAGCTAGAGAAGCTCCCTCTGAAGAACAGTGGCTGCACAGCTGTTTGCGCAGTTCTCCGTTGGGAAGACAGGATACCTAACGCCCAATCTGCTACAGGATCAACAGCCATTGCACCAGCCACTGCTGCTGCCGTCAAAGCCCAGGAGAATGAGGAGAAGTCTGGAGATAGTGGTGTTGACATGAGCAAGACTCCATCTCAAGTCAATCCGGCATCAAGTACGGCATCGGTATCCACAAATAGTGAAGCAACACATGCTCGGCTCCGAACTACCGCATCACGTCAACGAGTCTTATATACAGCTAATGTCGGAGATGCCAGAATTATTCTGTGTAGAAATGGCAAGGCATTGAGGTTATCGTACGATCACAAAGGCAGTGATGAGAATGAGGGAAAGCGTGTTGCCAATGCTGGAGGCCTCATCCTGAACAACCGCGTCAATGGTGTATTAGCCGTGACTCGTGCTCTTGGAGACTCTTACATGAAGGATCTCGTTACTGGTCACCCTTATACCACCGAGACCGTCATTCAAGCTGACTTGGACGAATTTATCATCCTTGCTTGCGATGGTGTAAGTCTTTCCACTCTTTCCAATGCTTAACCTACTAATTGAGTTGATAGCTTTGGGATGTGTGCTCCGATCAAGAAGCTGTTGACTTGGTACGAAATCAGCCTGACCCTGTTGCCGCTGCCAAGCAACTGGTCGATCATGCCCTCGCTCGCTTCAGCACGGACAATCTCTCTTGCATGATTGTTCGTTTCAACAAAGCAGCACTTCTGACGACAACCAAGGAGCCTTCTTCTGCCATTGGCGTTGAAGGTGACCCTAACTCTGTACCTGGCAAGCCCAGCGAAGTCGAGAAGATTGTTGGCGATGCTAAGAGAAAGGTCCAAGAAGACGGAGTTCCAGGCGTTGGTGTGAGTGGAAGCAATAGCGGAAAGGGCCACGATCCAAAGCTGCCAGATGAGTCCGCTGTAGACGATAGTGTCAAGCAGCGTATGGAGATGGAGAAGGTTGTCGAAGAAGAGCCCGGACTTGTCGAAGGCGACGATCCAGAAATGAGCGTGGAAGGCCTCCAGTCCGTGAGCCCAGATACGAGGACGAAATTGAAGCTCCCGGAAGGTGTAGGAAAGTGATGATTGTTAATTTCTTTCTTCTCCGACTTATAGACTTTGGGTTGCGATGACGGATTTGATTTCGTGGGATGGAGAACAGAGTAGAAGCAGCGGAAATAAGGAAGGGCTGTCTACAACGCAATGTTTTGATGTCTTTGCCATGAATTGGAATGAAGTTGGGGTTCTCTTCTTCTCTGCAGCTGGCCGACGAGGAGAGAGAATGATGCATGCATGGTTATGGAAATTGAGCGTTGCGTCGCGATGTGATGCGGTGTGGTGTGGTTCTTTGTTCTTTTCTTGGGATGGCTGGTGTGTAACGGAGATACATATAGCGAGCTGAGTCGAATCAGCGAGTCTGAAGAAAAGAAGATGTGTTTTGTAAACTGTTTTTGGTCCGATGTGATGTGATGTGATTGATGTGATCTGCAACCTTTTGATAATTCGCGCTGTGGACAGGGCTCAATGCTTAGGTACAGTTCACAAGAAGACTAGTTATGACAAGAGCTAACTCTTTAGAAGAATGCTTGCTACCTCATCATCCAGAACTTGAACTGTCCTTGGCAAGTTATGTCTTGTATTGACAGTAGATAGGATCTCATATGATTTCAGTCAATTGTATTCTAAACATCGATTTGCACAAAGCTCCACCACAGTTCTGTTAAGCTAAAGCCTCGGTCTCCACCTTAAAGGACAGTAGAGACAGTGTCTCGACGGGCGCTTCCTGATGAATCCTACAACTCATGTCCATCAACATCATCAGGAGCGCATTGGTCATCTAGACTTTTGTAAAATTCTTCCTCTGTCCAATGTCCGATACGTTTGACTGGTGGATTGATAGTATATTCTCGCGCGTTTTGAGCCGCTCCTCTTGCACCGACCCAAAAGGGATCGATTTCGTCGCGAAATCTTTCCGAGAAATTTGGTACGATCTCGACGATTGCTTCGCGGATCCTTTGAAATTCGGAGGCTGGTGCTGAGCCACTAAATATGATGAGCCGAAAGTCTTCTGGCTGCGTTTGGCAGTATTGGTTATCGCGAATCTGTTCTTCGAGGAGCTTCTGAAAGCGGTCCTTCAGTTCGGCAAGCTCTTCTGACTACAGTGCCTGAAGTTAGCCTTGTTGTTGGATAGTTCAACAATGACCGGTATCTTTTCTCACAGTTGCGCTTTTGTCGTTGCCAGATCCGCCAAATTTATCAATGCAAAGAATCCGTTCACGATTATCAACGTGCTCTGTTACTGACATGATTGAGACTTCAAGGAAGTCTTTCTGATAGTCGACATGCAAGAGTAGGCTATTATATTCGTCGAGGTCAAGGCTAAGCCCATAGCCCAAAGCTTCAGAAGTGTTGAGCCCGTACGCCATTCTGACACAGTCAAGATATGGTCGTACTTGGTATGGCGTGGTGACCTCGGGATACTCTCTAATGGCTATGCGTGCTAGTGTACTGACGTATGGTGTGCTTTTGAAGTGCTCAGGATAGCCTATGACTTTGATTTGTGCCGGCCGTCCCAGCTTCTCTTCGGTCGCTTTTTGAATCTGGGCCAGAGTTGAAACAATTGTTTCCTTCACACAATTCTCGTTGGCATGCGTCTTCTTTTCCCTGATTCTGTCAGATCATTAGAGGATTAGGGTGTAAGATTAACGTGCTCATAGTCCCGCTTTACTCTCAGTGTGTCAAGAAAGAGCTCGTTCCACGCTTGTTCAGACTCAATACTGACGACATTCACCACATTATTTCCAACATTTAAGTATGAAGACGTACTGACACAGGTCAGTGTTGAGCACTCTCGATGAGACAACTCACATATGACTGGGGCCGAGGTTGACGCCGATGGCTGAAGGTAGCAAAATTTCGTTAGCTGACAAGAAGTATAGAGTTGTAGAATAACTGTATTACTAACGGAAATCTTGTTCCATTTGAGACTGATGAAGCGAGACACGAATCAGCGGTGAGTTGATGAGATAACTAAGTATCTCTACATCGTAGCCATGAATCAGCTAACATAAATCATAGAAATAGTTTTAAGAGACGAAGAAGTATGTCGTACGTAGGCACGAAGGTACGGAACTTCTACTGTTACTGGCAACATCCACCAACGCAAAGGTCGGGCTTCCAAGCGTAAAGTGCTAGTACCTACCCAAGGCCCAGCTGCCTTAGGCGCCTGGAATGACACTAAGAAGACACTAAATGGAAAGTGTCCTGCTCAATCCTGTGCTCCGACCAAAAGTTCTGGTCAATTTGTGTTGGATGAGTGTTGGGGATTTGTTTCCTCGAAGCGTTCGAAGGACGGGAGCCAATGGACAGCCGTGAAGACGCGACCAAGTCTGGCCTGAGTAAAACTAACGGTTTCAGCCAGCGAGGCCTTTTTGAAGGCCGATTTCGCCCACAGGTACTCTGCTAAGCCTCTTTATCATACTCATTCTAGATTCGAAATGTTGTGCTTCCAGAGATTTCTGCTCCGACGCATCGCCTCAACCGAGCAGAAAAGCTGAGATCCAACCAACATCCCATTATGCGTAAGGTGCTATTTCAGGAAACTTGTTGTTTCGTTTGTGGGAATTATATCTGACTCCACCATTCCTAATCGAGGTGTTGGAAGAAAGGGACGTTAAGAAATTGCTTGATATGTGTTAAGTAGTTTTGTGTCAATCATTGTTGCTTTAGTTGTTGATGATAATTACACATATTGCGTTATTCTCTCTTGAGTGCGACTTGTTCAAAGATTGAAGGGACTCAGCTACCAACTTAAATTCTTCTTCAAGCCATTGGAACGGATATCAAAAGTTTCCAATACTCACAACCTGCTAAGAGTGAAGCAAAATCAATCCCCAAGAAAGACAAAGAATTGCAGAAACCACAAGAGAGCATCGAGATTTTATCAGCCACAAGTTCCACTTGCACAGCATGGAGCTCCGGTACATCCAGCTGCAGTGCAAGTGCAGCCACAAGTTCCATTTTCACAACAAGCCGGCGAATCGGTCGAACATCCATCTTCATTGCAATTGCACGCAGTTGATGTTGGAGGCGGGGAGGAGGACGTTTGGGTAACTGATGATATCTCGACGGAAGTTGGCGCCGAGCTTGGACTTGGACTTGGTGAAGTCGAAGTAGTATCATCTGGATCATCAGGAGGATCGTAGATACAAGCAAAATTGGTGTCAATTGAGTCCAGCTCCGGAATTGGCGAACACTGAGATGGCCATGAGATATCCGTTGTGTTCTCCACATCTAGGGGTAAGGCCGTGACGTTGAAATTCGCAGGGCTGGCTGAGCCACAATTCCCAGAGCCCTCAGCGGCCAATTCGTCGCTGTCTTCTGTGGCATTCTGTGTAGCCCATGGAGTTCCGGCATCTTGCCATCCCCAAAGCTTGCCGTAGTACTTGTTCGCGAAGTACCAAGCGTAGTTATCGGCTACCATTGGGGAGACGGAAGTTAGTTATGTGATTCCTGTGGAGGGTAAAGTACAGGAAATAAAGTGGAATCTCACCGTTCTACACAGTTTCCTTGTTGACGCTGTTTGTGCAGTCTATGTCGTCTTCTATTTTCCTCATATATTTCCATGCATAGTCTTGGCAGCGACTCTTGCCATAAATTTGCTGGAAAATTATATAATCAGGGCAAATTCGTACAGACGTAGGTAACGAATCTCACGTATTGGATCGGATTCAGCAATGAAGTAGAATCCACGACATCATCAACTGTGGCAATATCAGTAGTCATGGCTGAAAGCAGAGGAATGATCAGTACTATGTTTTTGATATCCCATCACATCAGCATGCATCCATTCGTGAAGTATCATTTGTTCGTAAGAAACTAACGAAAGGTCGCCAAGATCGGCTATGGTCTTTGGAGGTCCGCTTGTAATATCGTTGAGATACTTACCCCTGTTAAAGAACGATGGGCAGAATACAGTCGTAGTCCCTGCAATTTTTAGTATCGTGTTAGTAAACCACTTTCCACTCTCTGTCCAGAAGTACTGTGAAATGCAGATGTATATACTTACCTTCCTGGCTCCAAACACCTCCCTGGACCGTATACGCAGGACTGTCGGCAACAGATTAGCAGGGTGCCTCATACGGAGTGTCTCTGGTCAGACATACGCTGAACCGGCGCACCCCAGGGCCCCCGGAGGAAGTTCTGGCAAGTCTTTACATTGATAGGTAACTCTTACTTTCCGCCGTTTCGATCCTTTCCCTTGCACAGGAAAATTCTGTGGTGTCAAGAGATTGTCTAAGAGCTCGGGTCAGCTGAGGTCTTCATATCTGTATATTGAAAGATTGAGACAAGGATGAGAGACATACGGTGCAGCCTCCATCTTCGTTGCCTGCACCAGGGTAGGCTACTTCCCACCATATGCCTGCGTAATTCCATTGAAGCTCATTGAGGCGTTCCTGCTCAATGGGAGTGATCTCTCTCTGGACCAGCTGGCCCATGTCATCAGAGGAAGTATCAGAAACATTCTCTTGTAAAACGCTAACAAAATTCGCTTGCAATGTAGTAAGCAGGAGAATAAAAATGGCAGATACTGGCATGAAAGCCATTTGCAACATCCGCTGTACTTATTTTGGGCGGAGAAGAAGCTGATCTGAATTATATTTCTATGATGAAGGTTTCAATCTCGAGCGGATAGAAAGCAGATAGGTCAGGTACTCAATGCTTTATACTATTCAACCCTGTTGTGAAAAAATCAAGCCCGGACCTGCATGTTCTATTGTTGTATATATTTGGGGGTTGCAATAGACACAGGCTTTCTCAATAGGAGCGGTCAACCTAGCTAGTGAACCTACCTAGTGGTACGTTGCCTAACATAAGGATTGTTATACCGTGAGGATAACTTCCAACGTGGCCGACTTTTTCTGAGTAGGATCAATGTTGTACGGCACATACAGCTTAACTTTCGAGTCATGTGGGAATTTGCAATGAAAGCATGCCGTCCAACAAGCCGGCTGTGTTTTGTGAGCCGTTTGACTTCCTGTATTGTTCCAAAGCTGAAAGGTGCCTTTTTACAAGAATGGCTTGTCGAACGATCGAACGATAGATCAGCAATCTCAGTGCTGAAGAATAGACGAAAATTCAGCAACGGATGAATCAGTGATTGTGCAGCAAAAAAATACAGAGTATGTCAAAGGCCACGACAAGGTAACTGTTGGTCGGATGCAACATGGTCTACAGGGGCGAATGACCAACAGCGGTTAATCATAGCCCACGGCCCAACATGAGTGTTTCAGTTCTAGCTACCTCGCACCACTTGGAAGGACTGCAACGTTTTTCCTTCAAGGCGGACTAATACGAGACATTTTGGAGTCTACTAGAATAGAAATTGCTTGAGGCACGGAACTGTTAGGAGAGTTTCTGGCATAGATTGCAGATTTGGCTGATGCCATACAATACGACGCTCGAAATCCAACCAACATCCCATTGCATTTTTGAGGTAATCATCTCAGCGGGATCGCAGCGCTGCTGAGAGCAGCTTGAATCAGGCCTCAAAAGATCGGACCTATTCCTCAAGGCTCTCCTCGAACCTGCCTAGCTGTTTATAGCTCTCTCTGCATAATGAACAGCGTGTCTCTGACCCAAGGTCCGGGCTGAGATGAAGTGGTTCCGTGGCTTCTCTCCTCGTACTTCGAATAATATTTCGTGGACGCTCATTCTTCTCGATTTCTCTCTCGCTCTTTTGGTTTTTGTATCAGCTGATCTACGCATCGATAAAGTTGGCTTTCGACCTCCTCCAACAATCTTTTTGGGCCTGGAGGCTCCAACACTAACAACACACCAAAGATGGCGAAGAACTTCCGTGAGTTTGTGTTTTGACTGTGGATTTGAACGTGTGACTGACGATTTGTTTTCATCAGCTATCGGAATCAGTCTGGGCCTAGACCATCTGTCAGTCTTCCCTGAGATGAGTACTGAACGGCAACTGAAGTGCTAGCAGAACATCCGCATGCATTACTCACGACAATCAAAGTTTGCCAGTCGCCTGTGTCAAGAGTAGCAATGTATGGAAAAAGTTCTTCCTCGATACTCTTCGAGTCAAGCGCAGTTCGGAGTTCGTTGTACTGCAGATCTATTGAACATTACTGAAATTTCAGCAGAGAACAAAGAGAGTATTTAGAAAAGGAAGGCGCCGCAGATATCATTACGTCTGCTCTCTCTGAGATCCAGAAAGCTACCGAAGCACGCATTGGCAAGGCGTTGACAATCGAGGTGGTGTGTTACCCAGAACACTTCCGGCACGATGATTACGCTGCATTTTTAGCACGAACCGTATACAGAGAATACCCCATGGTCAAGAATTCTGCTCAATTAAAGTCGTACCTCTATTGCGCCAGCCTCGCATATGGCTTGAATACATCGGAAGCATTGGGTTACGACCCTGGTTTCGACATCGAAGACAGCAACAGTCTCCTAATTTATTTCGACTATCAGACTGAGTTCCTTGAGGTGTCAATTGTAGGAGTGGCAAAGTATTACCACGTCCGTGAACGATGGTTTCGAATTGAAGGTTTTGGAGGGACAGACAATATAGCTTCCGTAAGATGTGATCTGAAATCCGAGATGAATGGCAAAGGATTGACGCGTCTAGGACGAAGAAATTGTTGACATGAAGGCGCGTTTCCGAGATCTTCTCGACGCGCAGGCTCTGGACCACGGCTGTGGTCCAACACAGCTTGAAGATTACCGCCGCATCGTATTCAGCGGAGAGGCTGTGGCTTCTGAGTTCGAAAAGATTCGTATTGCAGTGACCAAAGTCGTTCCCGACTTTATTGATGGGTTTCGAGATTTCATTGACCCTCAGTGGGTGAGTGCTTTTGGAGCTGCGAGGATGGCGAAAGAGAATACTCTGAATCCACCTGTTTATGTCGGACACTGCTTTTAGTCACGAGATTGAGGAGTGAAGAGAAATCCAATGAGCACTCTGATGATAAATCCGCTTCCGAGTGCCATTGATGGGTGTAGATTTAAGAAGTATCAGAGGGTAGACAAAAGATATCATCCCTGGCTATGGTCCAACGCAAGGGCAATGTTAGAGGTCTTGAGTTTGATAGTGTTGTGGAGAAACATTGTATAAAACGCTTATTGTGAGCAGAATCAGGGGATTCATAAATTATATATTAATTTTCTTTACAAATGTTGGGGAATCCGCATAGCTCACTTGAGCATGAGCAAAATGAAAGCTCAAAAATAGGACTCTTAAATTTGATGCCACAGACTTGTCTTAAACAGGTTAGTCGAATACTAAGTCATGGTCACATGATGAGTGTTTACTTCAACTTTCAGGCACCCTTCTTCTCAGCCTTCGCGCAGGAAACTCTCAAAATGTTGAAATAATTACTTTCGGACGCTTCCGAACCTGGCTTTGTCTTTCTCGAAAGTCACTATGCCTCCCAAAACTGCGTCGAAAGTCACAAAGCGCTGTGATCATGCCGTCCTCACGTACTGCTCGACTTCTCACGCGGACGAGGTTAAGTTCAAGCGGCAAACATTAGAACAGAGGCTAGCTGCTACAACAGCGAGGGGCACTTTGAAATCAGCGTCCGATGCAGCTATTGAATGCTCAGGAGAATTTCCTGCCCCTCTCATCTTGCCAGATGACGACTTGGCACAGGATCCTAAACATCCAACTCAGAGTCTGAAATCATGGATGCAAGGGAATTATCGAAATAAAGTCACGCCAGAGCGAAAGACAATCTACTTGGCTATGCCGCCTGAATATGATGATGACATGGACTCCGTCAAGAAGTGGGCACATCCTCGCCAAAAGAAGATTTCAGGGATCGAGCAACCAAAAGCTCAAGATGTGCTAGAATACCTGCAAGCCTTCTACCATGGACTGCCTGTCAAGCTATTCCCTTCTGAAACACTGCGTTTCACGTCCGAGGTTGGAGATATGGATGACATGTCGGCAGCCGACAAAAAGCGCCAATTGATAGGTCTCAATTTCAAGAACGGCTACGCAAGCAAAGGAATACGTACTCGTCCTAGACCGAAAGGAGATTACTCTCATCAGCTGAATCTAGACGATTTGCTAGTCGCAGCTATATGGGCATTACCAGAAGATGCCTATGCTCTGATGATGCTCGTTGAGCATGATATGTATGAGGATGAGGAAGACGAATTTGTGTGTGGGAGAGCTTATGGCGGTTCGAGAGTGGCGGTCATCACTACTGCGAGGTACAATCCCGTGCTGGACAAGAAACAAGGAGTTACGAGAGAGCATGCTTGGCCTGCTTCTCACTGCAAAGCATATCTGGATACCATGCTTGACTATGAGGCAGATAATGGCAAGAAGAAAAAGGCAAAATCAGACAGTACCGTGGTAGTAGAGGAAACGCCCTTGCAAGCAGCAGTCGCAGCTCACTACTCGCGCCCAAGCCTCGAAGCTTCGCCCTCTCCAACTTCTTTATCAGGTCTGTGGCTAGGTCGAGTCTGCCGAACAGTAAGCCACGAACTTGGCCATTGTTTTGGTATGGGGCATTGTGTTTACTATGCTTGCTCTATGCAGGGAAGTGCTTCAATCGAAGAAGACGCCAGACAGCCCCCATACCTGTGCCCCGTGGACTTGGCAAAGGTGCTTCATGGTACTGGTTCGAATATGAAGGAGCGATATCATGCACTTTTAGGGTTCTGTGATAAGTATAACGATGTGCATCTGTTTGCTTCTTATGGAGCATGGATCCGTGGCAGGCTGAAGAAGTTGAAGGGAGTGGATGAAGAGGGTACAGAAGCGAATCCATTGATCTTGGATAGCGATTAAGAGACACTCGAAGGTGGTCTTAATATGGGCTTCCCATTTACGGCACTGATAAGTGCATAATTTACAATGAGCAGTCCCCCATGTTCAAACTACATTCAGACATTCAGTGAGATGAAAACACGACAAAACAATCTCGGACATTGTAACGCACCAAATCATTGCGATATTACTGTGATCTGGCGCATTTGATGCAATAATAAACTACGCAAAATAGGCACCTAGCAATACCAATAGCTAGTATGGAGTGATCCTGAAGACCTAGTACACTTGTACATCACAGATTGTTGCTAGGCGCGTAATCACTATGTAAAGGAAGAGCGTATAAACTTGTCCATCCAGTGGGACATTGGTAACAAAAGCTATGGCCTCTGCACTGTACACAATTCGGGAAGTATTCTCGTCATCTCAGTCTATATTGCCATTCGTAGCAACACTGTCAGACCCGAAGAGCTCGGTTCTGCTTTCGTAATTGTACGATGGTCATGCTACCGCTTGTGACATAGCCACAAAATCTACCCCTCTCATCTATCGGCTGCTAATAGCAGATGTTTGTACAAGAGTATGGTATACACATTTCCAACGCCGTCCGTACTGTACATTTTCGTTCTGAACCGAGTCAGTTAGGCCCAAAATAATCTCATAGATTAGACTAACCTTAAGTCTAGTATTCTATCTAGTCCTCTCCATTCTCGACCTTCCACTTTCCTAGATATGCCTCTCCGCTGAAAGCTCCCTTAGGATCATTCTCAAACCTCCCCTTGACTGGCTTCATCTTCCTCGTAACGAATGGCGTAAGCTATGAATCAATTAGAATTTATCCTATCTTTGCACGGTCCCATATGCATCTGTACATACCTTGAAATCTGCCAGATCTTTTGGCACCACGTATGTCCTGACTTTGGCCCAATCGATAACATAGCCTCCATGCTTTGTATGTGAACCAGTCGAACCCGTCCCGGTACCCTTGTAATAACCTTTATTCGTCATCTTCGTCGTCAAGGCGAGCCGCCTTATCCGCCTGGCGAGTATCTGTGTAGGCTTCATGATGTCGTCTACTCCTGAAGTTTGTTTCACCAGCTTGAGCTCGTCGAAAGGGTTGCAGAATATCGAGCACGCTAGCGGCCGCACTGCCAAAAAGTTTCCCGCAATTTTCGAAATTTTGACAGTCGGCGAAGAAATATTTCCACTCCACCGAGAAAAGTTTGAGGATTGTCAAAATGCCCGGAAGGCAGTCCCACGGTCGAGCGCCGGCGAAGAAACCAAAGTTGCAGAATAAGTCGAAGAAAAGAGCTCTCGACGCCTTCTCAATTGCCTCCCACGAGAATCCGGATAGGCTCAAGGTTAGACAACATCGTCTTGGTGCGCAAGAGGGGGGAAATAGACCGAATAAGCGGAGAAAGACTGAGGAAGATGGAGATGATGAGGAAGAAGATGGAGAAAGCAAACCCAAGCAGCCGCGCAAGAAAAAAGGCAGATTCGATGAGTTAGATATTGAGGAGGGGAGCGACAGTGAGGGGAATGAGTGGAAGCTTGGACAGGTCGACAGCGATGACGACAGCGACTTGGACAGCGACGAAGCTTTTGGAGAGAGTGACGAGGACCGGTTTCATGGCTATGCCTTCTCGGGGTCTACGAAGGAAAAAAGCAAGAAGAAAGCTCCTCGTGGGAAAACCTTGAATCTAGACGAAGACGATGTTGAAGAATCAGATTCCGAGCTCGAAGAAGGAGACCTGGGCGAAGATGCCGTGGATTTGGCCACCATGCTGGATATGGCAAGCGATGAGGACGAAGAAATGGGAGATCAGGGTACCGAAGGCTCTTCAGAAGACGACGAGGAGGATGGCAGTGATGCAGACTCTTCTATTTCATCTGCGGGCGAAGATGACGAGACTTCCGACCCTGCGAAACTTGCAGCTCTTCAGAACATGATTGCAAATCTACCACAAGCCGAGGAAGGTGGACGATCAAAGAAGAGAGGCAATGAAGTGGAAGGCAGCAAGTTACCTGCTCCGGCAAAACTCACATTGGAAGATATGATGTCTGGAATCACAGATGCGCAAGACAGGAAAGCCCTCAAGTTCTTGGAATCTGCTTCCAGCAAGAAGAAAGCTCGCGGGAAGCTGGAAGTACCTTTGGCGAAGCGCCAACAGGATCGCCTTGACCGAAGTGCGGCGTACGACAAGACTAAGGAGACTTTGGACAGATGGACAGACACTGTGAAGCACAATCGCAGAGCCGACCATCTGATGTTCCCTCTACCAGACAACGAAGCTGCGCAAGCCAAGTCCAACAAAGAATTGGTGCCAACCAATACCTCAAAGCCATTCAATGAGCTCGAAGCAACGATTCAGAGTATCTTAGAAGAGAGCGGACTTGCGGCGGCCCATGGAAAAGATGACGAAGATCACATTCGAGAATTTGAAGAACTGGAAACGAATAAGCTGTCCATGGAAGAGGTCAGGGCACGAAGAGATCAACTACGAATGGCACGAGAACTCTTATTCCGAGAAGAGGCCAAAGCGAAGCGTATTAAGAAGATCAAGAGCAAGTCCTACCGAAAGGTCCACAGGAAACAGCGTGAAAAGGAGGAACGTCTCAACCAGGAAGCTCTAGCAGAAGGCGGTTTCGTGCCATCTGAGGACGAGTTGGAAGCTCAAGACCGCAGACGTGCTCAGGAGCGAATGGGTGCCAAGCATCGTGGAAGTAGATGGGCAAAGGCTATGAAAGAGACTGGACAAGCAGCCTGGAATGAGGATGCGAGATCTGGAATCACTGAAATGGCCCAACGGGATGAAGAATTGCGCAAAAGAGTTGAAGGTCGAGCTGTCAGGAGGGAGTTTGAGAATGGCTCAGATGAGCCATTTGATGATTCTGATGATATGAGCGAAGACGATGATGCTGTGGAGCAGGATCGCTTGATGAGACAGCTGAAAAGCGTTGCCGAACCTGACCTTGTAGACGAGTCACTCCCAGGAGCAAGGTTAGCAAATATGGACTTTATGCGTAAAGCCGACGCGGCACGGAAGAAGCAGAACGATGCTATGGTTGAAGATATTAGACGAGAACTTGCTGGAGAAGACACTCCTAGTGAAGAGGAGGAGAGTGGACTTATCGGACGGAGAGTTTTTGGACCAGGGAGTGCCAAGGCAGCACAAAAGAAGACCAAATCTACCGTTGACGTTCTTGAAATACGAGCAGATTCGGAGGAGGATGAAGCTGCTGAGGTACAGATTCATGGCACAGACCGAACTACTCCACGGCCTTCTGTATCGAAGGCCAAGCCTTCAAAGCCATCACTGAAACCAACTCTTCGATCACAACCAGTGGAACCACCGGCAACAGAGGGAGGTGCCTGGTCGAAAGTGCCTCTGAAATCGGCAACCATCAACGATGCGGAAGCTAAACGACGTCGACATAAGAAAAACAATGCCATAGACGTGGAAGAACTGGATCTATCCCAAGCTGCAGTCATTGCAAGTAAGCCAAAGGCCAAGAAACCTCAAAAGACAACAACTCTCGAGGTAGAATCAGACTCTGATGACAGCGACGAAAATGCTGTCCACCTACCATTTGCCATCCGTGATCAGGAGTTGATCAAGCGTGCATTTGCCGGCGCCGATGTCGTTGGCGAATTCCAGAAAGAGAAAGAGGATGTTACCAAAGATGAAGATGATAAAGTGGTCGATGATACTCTTCCAGGCTGGGGCAGCTGGGTTGGTGATGGTCTCAGCAAGAAGGAGAAAGCAGAGAACAAGGGCAAAGTCCTTAGGAAAATCGATGGTATCAAACCGCAAGATAGAAAAGATGCAAAACTTGACCGTGTCATCATCAATGAAAAGCAGGTCAAAAAAGTAAGATGTTCGCAGAAATTTGAGTCCTCGCAGCTAATAGTATTCCAGAACAACAAATATCTTGCTAGCCAACTCCCTCATACTTTCGAAACCAAGCAACAGTATGAGAGATCACTGCGCCTACCTATTGGTCCTGAATGGACAACAAAGGAGACGTTTCAAGATGCCACAAAACCTAGAATCTTGCTCAAGCAAGGTGTCATTGCACCGATGTCGAAACCTCTTCTCTAGATATTTCCCATCAGAGAAGCAAAATATGAATCTTCTTAACAGGCTATCTTCCATATCTTCTTCAATATCGTCTGATATGTGTCGTGAACAGGTGTAACCCGCAAGACAATAAAGCAGACTAACCCATCCATCTTTTATGATCTAGAACCCAACATTTACAATCCAGGCAGGTAATACCTGCCGCCGTGACACGTTACGGTGACCCCACAATGTTCTACCATCGTGCACGACTTTTGCCGTTTCACACGACCCATTTTAACCCCGACATTTCCCCCAGCAAAATATCTCAGAAGTGAAAATTTCATTCTATGCTCGAAAGATACTCGAAACCTCACTTTTCATCCCAAATGCGCAAAATGAGGGTATTCCAAAGACCTTCCCTACTCGGCCGCATCCACAATGATGCAATCGTGCGCCAGGTCCTGCACGCTCGTGCAGCATCTGATTGCAACTCCGCTAACACTGTACCACCACAACCACCACCACCTCTGCGAGACGCGACCAACGACTTTATTTGGACTTCAACAGCTACCTGATCATGGTCCCTTGTTAGCCTGGTAATGGTCTGAGCTGTCAATCTGTTACTTATTTGTACGATTGCCCAGTTGCAACCTTTCGAATAGTCGCGATCATCCAGCATCACAGAACAATCTCGGTCTTCACTTGACACGTTGCGAACGGATTGCGAGCTGTTGAGGAATCGAAGGATTTCCGACCTTAGGACACAGGTCCACGTCAGTAACTACATTTTTCTATCGTCTCCCTGATATCTTTGATTGAAAAGTTTCTGCCGAAATGTTGTCAAAATCATGTCACCATGCTTCTGAGACAATGTCTCGGGGAGATCCCAGCTTCAGTATTTCATGCTCTCTTCTTTTTCATGTTAATACACAAGCTAGACTGTGAATGGGCTTGAATGATTGCCACAAGTGGCTGGAGAAGTCTCTTGGAAAGTCAAGCGCAGTGGTGAAGTGACCACCGCCGGACCAGACATCGCTGCGGGAGCATCCAGAGACTAGAATGATTGGCGTATCTCCACTATTTCATCCGCGCAGCACTTTCGAAAGCTGTGCAGAGAAAGTGCACATACAGTCTGAAGCCTGGCCCATTAAATGTTCAAATAAGTAGCTTGGGTCTTGAGACTCGTCAGGCTGTTCTCCGAGTAATGTCCATTGCTCATGATGGCGAAGTAAGAGTTCGCGATTCTACATTCCTCGACGCATTTCGCGTTCTAGTTTTCTAACGATGGTCTCCAGGTGGGCCTATTTTAGTTTAAGATGTATTAGTGGAAGTATTTTCATCTCATCTTCTGTATTTCTCGGCCGCTACCATGTACTTTCCTCCTTCTAGTATTATCTTCCCATATTGTTTGCGTCACGAAGACATATCCTTGGGACCCGGTTAGTTTGCTACGCAAACTTTGTACGTCCGGGTCTTCACAAGTGCGGCGTCGAATTCTTCCACACGAGTTTGTCATTCTCACAATTATTGAATTTCTCGCGCACAGCATATCATAACACCTAATCACAAGGTGAATTTATCCTAATTCAAATACGAAGCATTGAGTCCTAAATCAAAAGGGCCCTCGAAGCGAAAAACACATTTGGTTGTTCAATTTTGGCTGTCATCTAGGGCTCGGTTTTAAGTAAAGCGCTGCAAACTTGGCCTTTACATAAACCCAGCACCCCAACGTTTCTACATTCTTTACCTTTCACGTCGCAGCAAAATGAAGGCTACTGGATGGCTGACAGTTTTGCAGGCACTTGCAGTGTTTGCAGTGCCACTTCAAGGAGGTCACGAGCTCTGGAAGCCAGTCCAACTTGCGCCTTCTTCCGTGCAGGGGTCAGTAGAAACAGCCACGGTACTTCCTCAAACAAATCAGCAAACCACCATTCATGAGCCCACACTCGTGACGAGAATCTCACAAGAGTCTCATGAATCAGTCGACTGGGTCGACTCAGTTTCGGTTGCTCCTACCACGACCTTTGCTGGAACAACTTTAGCAGCTAGAAGCGCGGCGCCGCTTGCTTCGATCCCTATTTCGGATGAAGGGGAACACTTTGCATCGGTCAAGACATCTACAGTTGTTCCCAGTGTTCCTGTACGGACTACTCCAACCAAGTCTGGAACTGCTCAAGTCTTACCATCTCTGACTACCGCCATCCCTCACACTACCGGGAGCGTCATCACGAGCTTGGTCACGGAAGGAGAGCCAACCTTACCACCACTCCTCAGTACTAGTATCTCATCTCCAACTAGTTTGCTCGTACTAGCTGCAGGAGCAACATCAAGCAAACCTTCCTCCGCTACCAACAAGTCTCCACTTGTCATGGGATCTCAAAATATCTTCCAGCCAATTGCCACGAATGCACCACCTTCGGCCATTGGAACAAGACCGGATCATCCAGTACCCAGACTGGGCATTCAAGCACAGAGCTCTCCTATTGGAACCAATAAGTTCTACGCCAATTTCTTCCTCGGATCTCAGACCGCTGCAGCATGGACCCATCCATACTCGGTCGCCTGGTCAAAGGGTGGTGGATCATCCAAGAGTTGGGGTATGTCCATTCAGCATATTGATGCCAGCCAACGAGTTTTCGGCCCTGATCCAAACGCAAATCCGGCTCAGTACTTCATCAACCCTATTGGGATCCAATCTATTGTTCTTTCGGCAATGGAGCTTGGAGCATCGACAACCATATCGATGGACACAGTTACTGAATTCTCAGCTAATGTCAATCTCCTTCAGAGTCCCGGGGCTGGACCATCAGTAACCTTCCCTCTTGTGCAAGGTATGGGATTTGTTTCCGGTATCTACACTGGCTCTACGCCCATTTTACAGACCGGTGTCTTCTTCCGATCCATCACCAAGGTTACGACCAGTCCCAAGCCCGGCGTGACCAAGTACAGCATTCTACTTGAGGATGGAAAAGTTTGGCTACTATATGCCTATTCTCCATCTGGTGCTGGACTCGAGTTTACTGTCGTGAACAATGGTCTGGCTCAAGCTACATCAGGTTTCAATGGTATCATCCAGATTGCCAAGAGCACCAGCAGTATGTCGGAAGCTCTGTACGATGCTGCTTGTGGCGCTTACCCAACCACTACTACAATATCTGGAAGTGTCAATGGTGCCACAGGCTCCTACACGCTTTCATTCTCGGCAGCAGGCATGCTCAACACCGATCTTCTCATGTTCGCTCTACCCCACCATATCGAGTCCTTCGACGCCAACACCGCATCAGGAGTCACCAGCTTCACCCTAGACACGACCACCAAAGGAACAGCTACTGCTGTTGTAGGCAACTCCTGGACCATGATCGAGAATCTTCCAGTCGCCATGGGATTCGGACCATACAATCCCTCGGCTGGAAATCCAGGTAGTCAAGGAAGTACCAAATTCTCCTTCTCGCAATCAACTATGGCCGCTATGCAAGCTGTTGCCCAAAGTGAAATCTCCCAGAACATGAGTATCCAGACGAATCTCAATTCCATGTACTACAGTGGAAAGGTAAGTCTCCACCCCTCTATTTAAAGGTCATTCTGACAATATATCCAGGCTCTAGCAAAATTCGCCCAAATCGTCTACGCACAAGCCGCACTACTCGATAACCCCGGCCTCGCTCAAGCCGGCTTGAACGAGCTGAAGCAAGCATTTGCACTCTTCGCCCAGAACCAACAGCAATACCCCCTCGTCTACGAAACAGCATGGGGAGGCATCGTCTCAACCGCATCCTACGTGACCGGGAACTCGGGCGTTGATTTCGGCAACACGTATTACAACGACCATCACTTCCAGTAACCCCCCTTCCAAGCTATTCTCATAGAAGACTATAGTACTAACTCCCTTTACAGCTACGGATACTTCATCCTCACCGGCGCCATAATCGGCACCCTCGACCCAACCTGGCTCCCCGCCAACGCCCCCTACATCGACGCCCTCGCCCGCGACATCGCCAACCCCTCCCCCCTGGACCCCTACTTCCCCGTCTCCCGCAACATGGACTGGTACCACGGGCACTCGTGGGCGCACGGCCTGTACGAGACCTTCGACGGCAAAGACCAAGAATCGTCGTCCGAAGACGCCATGTCCGCCTACGCGCTCAAGATGTGGGGTTTCGCCTCCGGCAACGCGAATCTCGAAGCGGTGGGCAACCTGCAACTGGCCGTCACCGCGCGGGCGATCCAGAATTACTACCTATATACGAACAGTAATGTTATTCAGCCGCCGAACTTCATCGGGAATAAGGCCGCGGGGATCCTGTTTGAGAATAAGATTGATCATACGACGTATTTTGGGACGAATGTTGAGTATATTGAGGGGATCCATATGTTGCCTCTGCTGCCTTGTAGTTCGTTGACGAGGACGAAGGAGTTTGTGCAGGAGGAGTGGGATAAGTATTTTTCGAATGGGAGGGCGGCTACGGTGCAGGGTGGGTGGAGGGGAGTTCTGTATGCGAACTTGGCGTTGGTTAATCCCGCGGCTGCGTGGCAGTATTTTACCGCGGCGAACTTTGATCCGAGTACGTTGGATGGCGGCGCGAGTCGGACGTGGTATATGGCTATGGCTGCTGGTGAGCTTGTTTCTTGATAAATAAGTATTGGTAATGCTAATAAAGATGTATAGGTATGGGAGGTGCGCAGTAGGACCTTACGGACACACCTTCGACCTTATTTCAATTCTTGCAAGTACCTTCAAGCATCAACCTTTCCCAGCATTAGATTTTCTCACCTCACCCACTTCCTCCGATCAGGCTATCGGAGCAAGACAATGGGTTTCATTCTATTTTGGACATCGGCATCAGGTTCTTGCATTTTCTTCTCTGTGCATATTTCGCGCGTCGGGTTTTGGGATAGACGGGTATTTAGAGTAGAGCAATGGGAACGTGCTTTCTAGACTACAAAACCTCCTTGGGCTAGAATGTGATTAAGGCTGTGATGGTTCGAGGCCCTCGCTTACTGTGCAAACGACCCCTTTCCCCCTTCGGATGATGCGTTGTTTCTCGCTTCTCGCCTCGACATGTGGGGTATTGATTGTCTGAGACTGGGTCAGAGAATGAGGGATGTGTGGCTGAGACGTCTGTGTTCTTCACCACTGTCTTGCTTTGGAAGTCTTGATTGTCTCGCTCTTCTTCCGACATTCACTGACGAGAAGGCTGTGAATGTACGATGAGATATATGAACTCTGGCCATAAGATCCCGCAAATAAGAGAAGATCACAGCTAGCCTTCGAGATGACTTTTCCTGCTAGATCGATTCACATCCTTCTTCATCATCTCAGTTCCGCAACAAAACTTTCAGGTATTAAACTTTTCAATTCGCTCAAAAAGAAGCAACCAACCACACAAAACCATAGCATAACATATACAAAAGGGATATTCCTTCCTTCCAACCAACCATATTCATACAAAGTTCCATCGCCGCGCTCCCAATTCCAACACTCCAAGATCCTCAAAGATCCCAACTCCTCCTTCACCCCCGGCTATTGTGCATATGTACAACTGCTTCACATTTTGAATACTCGTCTTCCCAGGTGTACATATATTCGTGTTGCAGCCTCCTAATATCCAACCATAGCCTTCACCGATCTGACGACTATGCTGGGAACATCGGTGGCATCGTCTGGATATACTAAGAACGCAAGCGCGATGATGATATAAAGACCCAACAGCTATATAATATCAGTGACATATCATCTAATTAGATCATCTCAAAACTCACCATGGCACCCTCCAAATAGTTACTCTTTCCATCCTGAATAACATATGTAACAACCAATACACTCAAGAAGAAAACGACCGTCTCAAAGGTCTCGAAATGTAATGTCATTGGTTGGTCAATGATCCAGCCCAAGATAACCAAGAAAGGAGTAACAAGTAAAGCGATTTGCATCGAGCTGCCAATCGCAACACCCATAGCGAGATCCATCTTATCCTTCACAGCGACCACGACAGCAGTAACATGTTCAGCAGCGTTGCCGACAATCGGAAGGAGGATAAGACCGATAAAGGTCTTGGAAATGTGAGCCGTCTCAACGAGTGAATCGATCGAGTCAACGAGGAACTCGGCGCAAACGGCAACAGCGATAGTGACGACTACAAGAACACCAGCAGCTGCCCATGGGCTCAATTGTGGCTCCTCTTCTTCCTGCTCCTCCTCTTCTCCCTCAGGTGCAGTTTCAGCATCGAAAAGGGTAGAATGGGTTCGAAGTTGGAAAACGAGGTAGAGGACGTAGAGGATGAGAAGGATGATAGCGGTGCCGTGAGATAGGATGAGAATGTTTTCATCCGAGTTCTCTTGAGACTTTGATAGTGCGGCATAAAGCTGTGGAGGTCAGCTTGGGAGTGGGACATTACAATTAGGGACTTACAGTTGCTGGAATGATCAAAGACGCAGCAGCGACTGTCATCAAAGAGGACATGGTCGAGGCTACGGTTGAGTTGAAATCTTGCTCGATACCATTCGCAGTACCAGTCCTAGAATTGTGAATGCCACCTGCTAAGAAGCAACACCCAAGTACAAGTAGCATGTTGGAAAGGATGCTTCCCAACATACTAGATTGAACAATTCTGATCTGCCCCTCTCTCAATGCAACAATACTGACCTATGATTGGTTAGCAAAGTCCAGTCGACTTGAGAGATTTCTTACAATCAACTCCACTGCATTTCCAAAAGTAGCATTCAACAATCCACCCATTGTCTGTCCGAGCTTCATAGAGATCTCTTCGGTAGCAAAGGAAAGAACAGCCGCTAACGGAACAATCGCAAAGAAATTGAGAAAGAAAACAACCGTGGGGTTCCAGCCCATTGCACCAGCAACTATACCCACCGGCACGAAGACCAGGAGGATATTGACATAGTTGCTGTACAATGTGACTTTAGTAGCTTGCATAACGTTTGCAGGATACCTCACGAACTTGTTTTCACTCTCCATTCCCGCGGTATGATTCTTCTTGATGAAAAACTCGAAGAATTCCGTCAGCGAACTCTTCTTCCTCCCTGCTCCGCCATTCTCTTGCCCTGATATCAACCCCGTATGCTCGTTCGCTGTGGTTCCGTTCGGTCCTGCCATAGCGCCGCCTTGGGACGATGAACTCTTCTTGCGAAAACTTCCCCTCGCTCGTTGGATTTCTTTTCGAAATGGAGGTCCTGCTGCATTTCACCAAACCGCGGAGGTCAAAAGTCAGCCCAGCCGTCTGTCAATCAAAGAAGGTTCGTCTTGGCCCTGCCCTTGGCTATATGGCTGTGCTGGAAAAGTCTTGGAAGGAGCGTGTTGAGTGTAGTGGATAGTAGCTTCTTTCGGGCGTGATATCGCTAGCATCAAGCATATGCGGTGATCTGATTAAGAGCAGGAAAGCAACAGGCTGGAGAGGGGTACAAGAAGCAGATCGCACCGCACGGCGTTTGGCAGAAGTGAGGTTTGAAAGGGTCGGCGCAGACGGATGAGCTCTCCCTCTGGTAAGCTCTACAATCGATGCGGCGATGTGACCAATAGCAGAGAAAGCCTGAAACGATTGGGGGGAAAGTTTGGAAGAACAAGGGAATGGATTGGACTTACACACCATCTTGGCAATCTTTGCGCGTGGTTAATGGTTTCTGGCAATGGTTGTTGGAGCTCGTGCAAAGTGTAGCTGCTGCGCCTCGTTCTGCCGGGGCGATAAGTGGTGCTACCGCGGTCGGGGCTGGAGATTTGGATGGGAACACCAATTGAAAAAGAGGCAGGGACTCGGTGGGTTTGAGAAAGAGGGGCACAAGAAGGGTGATGATTCAAGGTCGAGTACTCGAGTACCGTGTGACCGTGAGTGACTGTGACGGAAAGAGAAAAGGATGAGTGAAAGTTAAACTTTGGAGAAGCGGTCTAGTGGTGACAAGATGCTGTCGAGGGAAGGCAGCTTCCTTTGCTTTCGAAGCTGAATTGGCTTGGCTTGGCTGGGCCTGGAAGGAGAAGAAGAAGAAGAATTGCGATCACTGTTCGCAATGCTAACCCCAAATGCGCTTGTCGTGGGAGCCATACACCGTTTATATGGAGTTGTTAGCTTTTCAGCTATCATGGCGATGTAGGTTACGGCGTAGGATTATTGAATCTTGTTTTGTTGCGTTGGCGGGAAGCTGTGTTTCAAGCGGAACTTACTGTACACTCTTCCCTGCATCTGCCTCATATGGTCTCAGCCCTCTATTGTCTTAAAATTATACTTATCTACAGAAAATTCCCCTTCAAGCTTCTCGCACTGCTTTCCTAAACCCCACTCACATCATGATACTACAGTAAATGTACGAAGTAACAAAACACGCCTCGATCGTCCGAAGCTATGGCCACTCCAATTGGCAGATATCGCTGACGTATGACCCCCCGCGGTGCTTCACTTGGTCCCTTGCACAGCCACGCTTGGCACGCGACAGCACATTATATGTGGACCACCAGCCCAACATTCGCTGCACTGGACAACACTCAGCATTGCCAAGACTGCAATTGAGAGCTGATATCCGATGATGCCGCTGCTCTTTCATGTCGGCATTTCAACCAATTGATACAGAGGCAAAAAAATGATCGAGAAAGAAAAACCTGACAGTTGCAATAGCCGTTTTGAGCGTGGAGAATGATGTGGAGATTATCCCCTGATAATATGGAGACTGATGTCTCGGCGGAACGAGTGGAAAAATCCCAGTTGTTGGTGCGAGTAAGAAGCTTGGGAAAAGCTTGGCATGACAACAGATGATGAAGCTTCGAAAGACAGATTTGGAGAAGGCAACTTGGCAAGCCGAGAATCGTCCTATCGTCGAAGAGAAGTCTGAGCCACAAGAAGGGGCGACTTGGCAGGCAGTGAGAGTTCAAAACGACTTTACCGGTCCGAAGATTGCCACTTTCAAAGTCTTCGTACTCGGAAGCTCGATTACTAAGTACTGAGGCGACTTGGCAGGCAGAAAGAACTCCACACTCAGTCAAAGTGAACATTGCCCTCATAAACACTATCTTGAAGAAATGTCGAATCGACAAGAAGTCTAAGCTGCAAAGAAACAACTTGGCAGGCAGAAAGTCGGACAGGTTTTGGGAATACATTAGAGCCTGAGAGTATCAAATCACTGAAAGTCTGACAACGAGAACGTCGAGAAGTCAGACAACTTGGCAAAGAGGAAAGTTGTTCTACAGCAGAACAATCATCCGAAAAGAAGTCTGAAGCCGCAAGACGAACAACTTGGTAGGTAGAAAGTCAGATATGAGTTGAGGAGGTTTTGTCGGTTTTCATAAACAAAGGCATTTCCGACTTTCACAGTGGTAGTTTGACAGGCTCACATTTTAGCAGTGTCATATTTGAGTATTTCCAGGGTCATGTTGACCAGCTGACACAGCAGTTGTTCAACTTTGAATGTCTGAAAAATTCTGGCAACTTATATACGAAACAAAGCTGTGTCAAGACCATGGATATTGAGGCAGAAATGTATGCCGGAGCATGACATTGACAAAAGAGTCCTTCACCAGATAGGGGAAATAGCTTGGGCAGAACTTTTTAAGATTGGAATGATTGCATTCAACATTCATTCACTTGCTCGGCCTATAACTCCAATGCTCGGGAATCATCAATCATAGAGCTCGTAAAGTCATAAAGCCGTCAACAAAACCCAGCCGAATCATATCCCCAAAGCATCATACTTCCCAGCAGCAGCTTTCCTCACCGCCATCGAAGGATAATTAATCTTGTTCTTCGAGCCCAGACTTTCGCCCTCCGTATCTTTTCTCCTCTTAACAACCCCATCCAATTTCTGCACCCTCTCCAAATCCTTCCGCTTCCTAACTTCCCCACCGCGCTGCACTTTATCCTTCCTCTCCTCAACACGCGCCTTCCCCTTCTCCTCCCTAGGCCTCTTCTTCGCCCTCCTCAATTCCCTCTCCCTCACCTTCCTACACCTCTCCTCCTCCTCCTTACCAACAACCCACGGTACCCCCAAAACCGTCTCCCTAAACTCCCTAACCTCATCCCACGCCCTAACCTCCGCATCCAACCCCCTCACAACCTCAATTTTAACCCCCTCTACCTGAAACTCCTTCCACCACATATTAACCCTCCCCTTAACCTTGATCACTGTCCCGACATCGATCTCCGCCCACGGCACAACCGGGTTCTCGGTCGATGGTGTAGAATCCTCTTTCTTGTCGCCCTTCCCTTCCTGAAGCTTCGCAAGCTGCCCCAAATGCTTCTTCCCTGCATCAGGAGCTTCGAAAACAGGCGGAGCAGGAACTGTGACTTCGACACACACCCCACTGCTATCATCTAGCGTGAAGATCTTTTTGTCTTTATTCTCCTTCTTCTCTCGAACCTCGTCGATCGCGACCACCACGCCGGTGATCTTAACCCATTTTACAGGGTGGTTGAGGAAATGGTACAGCTTTCTCTCTATAAATCTTTATATCAACTTTATCCCTCCCAAAGACATCGCAGTATATGAGAGGAGAGGAGATGAAACTAGGGGAGGAAGACAAACGTTCACAATACACCCCCACGTCTCTCAATCCAGAGACATCTATCGCGCTCAAGGGGACCCATTTCCCGATCGTGGGCGAGAGGCTTTGGCAGTAATCGGGGTAGATGGTCAGGTTTCCAGGTTCGGGGAGAGCGGATGTCATGGCATGATTGGTGATGTTTCGCGGTGCGGAGGAGTGGTTGAGATGATGGATGTGGATGTTGATGTTGGTGAGGAGACGCGTCGTCGAAGCGCGACGGGAAAACTGGGCACGTGCTACCAGGTAGTGGGGGCGAGAATCACGGGGATAGAGATTTCGGGGAAGGATTTGGGGTTCGAGAGGTTGGGCAATGTTGGGAAGAGGGAGAGGAGTTTAGTGGGAAAATTGATTCGTTATTGTTCCATACTATGTAGACGCCGTGCTCATATCCCTCCTGCCGGAAACCCTTCCATGATACGCCCCGCAATGCATGACTATGAGAACTGATATTGCGGCACTCAAGCCTTTTTTCTCTTGGTCTTCTTCCCATCACTCTTCTTCCTTCCTCCATATTGATTTCCCTCCTTCAGTCTCTTCGCCGCAGCCTGGAACGCTTCTTCAGAAGGCTCACCATCATCCATTTCCTCGCTTCCCCTCTTCGTTCCCCTCTTATTCTGCCTCCTCGCACTAGAACTCGCATTGCCAGCATACTTGGCCTCCAGCTTATCCAGAAATGAGGCTCCTTGCGAGGCATTCTTCTTCTGAATCAATGCCATCAGCTCATCCTCTCCCTTCGGCTTGCCCTTCCTCGCATACAACTTATCATGCACCCCCAACTCCTTCGCATACTCCTCAGCCTCCGTGCCCTCGTCCCTCGCAGCCTTCATCCTCGCCTCCTTCGCGCTCTCACTCTCACTCATATACGCCCTAAAAGGCTTTACATCTCCCCTCTTAATCGCCTCGTCAATGTACTCCCTAAACCTCTCCTCATCCTCCAAACAGTTGCTCAGCATAACCGTCTCATAGATCCCAGCCCACTTGCCCTTGAACTTCTCGTACGCCGCGAGCACATCGTCTTTCTCTTCATCAGATTTCTTGTACTGTTTGGCGAAGGCGTCGATGGCGTCAGGTGTGATGATATCTCTGAATTGCTCGGAGTAGAACTCGGCCCAGCTGAAGTCGTCGTCGATATCGATTGACTCGGAAGTTGAGCCGGTGACATCGTAGCGTTTTCTGCGGATGGGGTCTGAGAGGACGGCGTATGCGAAGGCGATTTCTTGGAATTTGGCGTGGGCTTCTTCTTTCTTGTCTTCGGAAGCCTTGTCTGGATTGGATGTTAGTAGATGTTGGAGGGTAGTGTTTGCGCGAGTCAGGTAGATGGATGTATGCTGTGATATTTGACTTCAACAATTTGAGTGAAGCTTGAATCTTCAAGTTGCAGTAGGGAAAGGTATGCGCATACCTGGATGATGCTTCAATGCAGCCTTGCGATACGCAGACTTGATGTTGTCAGGCGTCGCGGTCTTCTCGATGCCCAGGACGGTGTAAGGCTCAATCTTAGGCGGCTCATCATCCATCATGTCCTCGAGATCAATATCTTTCTTGGCTTTGCGCGGCATCTTGTCTAGTCGATGGGTCGTGGGAGGGAATTGTGTTGTTGGACGTTGTCGAGTTGGAGAGATGTTTTGGGAGACGCGCCGGAACTTTTTGGCGTCGAGTCGGACCGAACTTTCCTCGACTTCCAAAGTTGACAGCCTGAAAAGATTTTGAGACCTGCAACTTCACTGCAATGAGGCCCGTTATTGAACAGCCTCCAATGTAAAGACGCAAATCAAACAAGTGTCTTGACTCAATCACAATCTACGAAATCTGTCCTAGCATACATCTCACCATCTGCGAACTTTCTAAATCCTATAGAGTACCTTTTCTTCTCTTCGTGGTCTCGAAATCTGCTCAGTAGTGATGCTGCAATACATCGATATCTGTGTCTCCAGCTTGCTAGCGTAAGCTGTGTTCTAGCAATCAAGGTCGTTAGAATAGTGTTTTTGATCCATGCAATTCGTAAACGTTGCGAGATCTGACAATGGAGCGGCATCCATGCCAACGACGTAGTACTTCTCGTACGTTTCAATCTCCTTCAGCTTATCGGCTCTCGAGTTAGCTTTCCAACATCTTGCGTTGCTACTAACAACATAAAGGAGCTGGATGAGTCTGGCTGTGGGTAGATTATCGAGTGGACAAGCGATTAACAGCAGACTCCAAATCCTAGTACATACTGCCTTATTTGTATATTACTACATGCCATCTTTGTCTTACCTGCTCGACTTCTTCATTCTCAGACTAAATGTCGAGGATAATTGAGGGCCAACGGCTTCAGATGGATCAGCGATTGCTCAGTCAGCTCGATAGTATTCAGATAGCACAAGGTACACCTAGTGAATGACCTCCAGAGCTCAGGAAAAAGTTCCAAAATATCAATCTTCTAGGTCAAGTGCCCAACAAGAGACAGGCAAAGTCTAGTCCTTGCTTATTCTCGAAACTAGATAACAACTTGAAGAAGCACAGTATCGAGTAAACGGCTAACTCTTTGTTTCAAGCTATTAATTATCAATCACCGCCAAGACAAAGGTATCGTGTACAAAACGCTATGCAGCAAACAAGAATATCCCACAATCCCTTCAAACAACACAATATCTTAAACCCCATATAAACAGCTAAACCGCCCATGCATGCAATCAATCAACACCCATAAAGAATAAACCAAAGTATATAGAATTATACATGACCCCACCCCCTCCTCACCCTCGTCTTCTCCAACCCCAACACCAAATACGGATTCCCCTCCGGCCCATCACCTCCCGCACTCCCCAAAAACACACTCAAATCCCCCCTCCTCTTCTCCCTCTCGTCTTCAATCACTTCTCCATCCTCTCTTATCCCTCCCGTCGGACCTTCAATCTCCTCTCCCGCTTCCCTAGCATTATTCCCGCCCGCACTAGTGCCCTCAACACATTCCTGCACACGAGGTGGAGCGAGGCCGTAGACTAGCCCGAGCCATTGCGCGGACCATTCTGTGATTAATGGAAGTCCCGGAGTGAAGAGGAGGAGGAGAGTTAGGAGGGAGAAGAGGGTTATGCAGGCTTGGAGGATGGTGCCTAGTAATGTCTGTCCCGTGCCGAAGTCGGAGATTTGACCTGAGACAATCCATTGCGGTTGTGGTGTTGAGGTGCTGTCTGATGCTGATGTGGGTGTTGATTTTGAAGAGAGGAGTGAACAAGCAGGTGGTGCGAGATCGGTGGGGAAATTGGCCGTAGACGTTGAATTTGGGTTCGAGGTCGAGGAAGAGTTGGAGTTGGAGCTCGGATCGAAATTGGGGTGCGTTTCTGTCGTCGGAGAAGGTAGAGAGGTCGTGTCTAGTGTGGCAATGGAGGATGTGTGATCGATTGTTGAGAGTACGATGTCCATTGCTCGTTTTGCTAGGTCGTCTGATGTCCAGCTTAGGCCTTGGAGTAACCTAAGGACGAACTCGGTAGTTGATGCTGACATCCAAGTATCGAGGTCGAATGGCTCCATTATACATGTTATATCTATTGGGGTTTGGAGAAGTGGTGTAGTTGAGATGGCAGATGAGGAGGGATCAAGGACATTGTTGATAGCCCAGGATACGTAGCCTTTGCAGACTGATACGTTGGCAGATAAGTAGGAGGTATAGTGTGGTGTGACATCAGTCTGTCCAAATATCCCAGCCATGATTGTTATGGTACCGTTGGCGGAGGAAATGTCGATCAGTGAGCCGTCGGTGTTGGTTATTCGTAGACCATCTCCATTGGAGTCCGTTGTCAACATTGGTGGGACCCAAGATGGCGACGACGAGACGATTGTGTTGTCAGAGTAGAAGCTAGGTGCGCAGAAGGTGAGAGTGCCTGTTGAGACTTGATTTGATGGAGCTGAAAGAGTGATGGGGTTAAGCGAAGGACCAAATATCTGGGTGTAATTCGCATTCGAGGAATTTTCCGACGATAATGGAAAGACGAATAGACTCGAGTGCGGATTACTAGGATCTAATGCATCGACGAGGTTGTTCGATACAGTGGTGATGTGCCCAGTCGCATCGTAGCCGAGTGGAATAGGCAAGTTCGTCGTAGATAGGGGGAAGGTATCGAATCTGCTAACTTTCACAAAAGACCATTTATATAGTATACTGAAAGCTACAGTAGCAACGAGAAAAGGTATGCGGAAACAGAAAACTGCATTCGACCCATGTACAAGTTGTGCTCTTAGGGGAGCAGTTGTCTGCGAGTTAAGGATCTTTGCCAACCCAAGTCCGTGGTATACGAGTCGATGTGTAAGATATTTCGACACGAGAAGGCGCGAGACGCGTGGTATAATGATGCCCAGGGCTCCGGACTCGACACCAACTATCGCAAGCCATGACTGAACTGATAGATGTCCTCCTATACACACGGGCGCACTTGCTGACAGTCCGCGAGAGTGAGAGCAAGTTCCGTTAGAGATCAAAAGTACAGATATTATTATGAAGATGAAAGACGCGACGAGAAGGAGCCAGTCCATCGTTCCGAGCAGCGACACTCTTGTTGTTTTCTGATCTGCTGGGTCCCATTTTGAGCGTTGCTGGGTCCGTCGTCTGGATTGTCGAAGGTTTCGTATGCGCATCTTAGTTGGTGTGAGGTGAATTGTCGTCATGGACTCCATAGTATCGGATACATGGCCTGGTGGGTGTCACAGTGGAAGGTTGCTAGGGAAAAGAGATGATGTTGTGGTGGTGGAGCTTGGAGAGTGATATTCGCTTAGCATCCGAGAATGCGTTGCCAGTCTGTTGCTCATTTTATGAGGAATGAAATCTTGAATTTTAGTGAAGCGCAATTTCATTGTATGAATGAGGGATACCATTCTACCAATCATTGTATCAATGCCCAAAACAGGCCCATCCTTCGAGCCTAGATTCGCGTTCTTCACAACAGACGCGGCAACGCCTCCTTGGGTTGTCTTTCAGCAATCATGTGCATAGGCAATTTCATAGATTTCTGCCCCCAAAACTCCATCATGTGGAGGGAGATGGTCTGCATTTCTTGGAAAGCAATCATCCTTTCCGTCTCCGCTCTCGCTTCTTCCGACTCTGCCTCAAACGGATTGCCACGATACGGATGAAATGGCCACTCATCAGCTTCGCAAATGGTGTGGCCTGTCTTGCTCGGATGTGGAGGCACCTGTCCTAGCAGGAAATAGCCTCTGAGTTTGTTGATCGTACACTTCGATACCGCCGAAAGACTGCAATGTCCTTCTGACTTTTGCTCAACGATACCAGCATTCACGAATTTCTTGGCCATAGCAATGCCAGCACTGAGAGGTGTGACTGGGTCGTATGTGTTGCTGACGAAAAGCACCGGAAAGGATGTATTGATCGGTTTGCGCTTATGAGCAGGATGGTCGTCCCACCGCATAGGAGGATCAACAGGACTGACTCCCCAACTATCGCATCCGATCATGACTGTCATCCAGACATCTGCGAACGACGAGTAGTTCGATATACGATCGAATCGATCTTGCAGGTTAGGAATGGTTTCGTTTAGCTGTACCGTGTTAGTAACAGGCCAGCACCAACATCAAGAAAAGTAGAAACCTCACCGTATATCGCTTGTCGCTACACATTATAGCATCTTGAGCATCGGTTGGGTACGCCCAATATGGGAGCAAATCTTGACAAAGCAAGGGTAACTCTGGCACGATGCCAGAGTCAAGAACACTGTCTTGGCCCCTTGAAAGGGCGTCAAAAATCGTTGCTATAATGTTCCATAACCCTGTAGGACTATAAAGAGTCCCAAAGATGAGCCTCTTGAGGTCACTGTGAGTGATTATCAGAGGCATATTTGAGTTTTTGTTCGCAAACATTAGAGGCGTCTTCTTGATTCTGTCCATGACAGACTCGAACCGCTTCGTGATGTCCTCGGGCTTGTCTCCATCTCTATACATTGCGCATTGGCCTTCGGCCTTGTGGCAGTATGTTGAGAAAGAGTTGAAGATTGTATCAGCATCCTGGATACTATCTTCCCACACAGGTTCAACATAGTGGTCTGCGTGTACGACTCCATCTGCATTGAGTTAGCGGATCTTCGAAGTACCATGTTACAGAATAGAGGATGTATCTGCTAACAACATACCTAAGACAACTCGGCCAACTCGATCTGGAAACATGGCAGCGAACGTCGCACCGAGGAGAGTCTATGCTTGTATTAGACCACCATCACCAGATACGTGATAAGGATGACGTACTCCATAACTGAATCCCCAATAAACTAACTTCCCTTTGGTATCCAGAGCTTTGCTATCATCTTTAGGGTCCTCGGACAACTTCATCTCTTCTGGAACTGGATGACATGATTCAACACGCTGTGTCTCAGTCCATTCGTCCCAAGCATCAATGATGCTGAGCATGTCTCTTGCCACGCTCGGCGTGTGCACATATCTCAAGATACTATCTTTGCCATGCAGTTCATCTTTGTTCTCACACAACTTTGCCAGAGCTCTTGCCCGAGTGTCCAACTTGGCCAAAGAGTCAGAGCTGGAATTCACAAGACCAATTTCTGTTCCTTGAAGCTGCCACATCAATCGATGGAATAAACCACGAGCCTGGTCTTCATCTTGCGTTCCCGGTGCAGGATAGGAGAAGCAATCGGCCCTAGGAGTTGTGGCTCCGATACCACGAGGATCGAAGCCGATAATGTCTTGGGACTCGCCTACAACCTTCTGGATATAAGGTCCAAAGGCCAATGCAGCCATAGTTCCAGCACCACCCGGTCCACCAGGGTTGATCAGCAAAGGTGATTTTGATTGCTTTTCCCATATTGGATGCTTTCCTGGGACCATGAGCAGTGCAATGTGAACTTTAGGATTATCTTTCGACTCGTTCAGGGGTCGATGGTAGTCCATAGACACAGTGAGACGAGCACAGAAATTGCTGGCGAAACATGGATGCCAGACAAGTTTCTCACTTGGTACAATCTGTCAAATTGTCAGTGCCATCATTCACAACTCGAAGATTAGAAGTTCGCACGTCAGCGAAGTCCACATCTCGTTCAATAGCTTTCTCTGTGAGACGGCGTTGTGGACTAGGCCAGACAAGACTCATGATACTATCAGAATACCACCAGGCAGAGACGAGAAGAACCAGAATCACTCCGTGTAAGAATTGACGACGCTTCCGATGCGTCCTCAATTGATCGCGAGGCTGGCTGAGAACGGACTTCTCGCCATCACGAAAAAGCTCTTGAGAATCCATTGTGAAAGGAAAAAGACGATCTGATATGGAGGTGGTCATTCAAGTGAGAGACCTGCTCAGAAGATGTATATTGCCAACAGCACGACTTGGTTTCAACCAAATCGAGGTTGGAGAAGAAATGAGGGGTCGATGTTTGGTATATATCTGTGCTCAAGGCAGCAACGCATCATACTGTAGTACAGGGCTGGATTGCGACCGGGTCAATCTCTGGCCGATGAAGGTGCTGTGCCTCTCAAGTACAATTGAAGGTATCAAGGGAGAAGATCTATCGGCATACGAGAAATGTTATTGGAAGTTTATGCATGTTCGAGGGGATAATTCACCCGATGGCTTTTAATTGGTCAATTGTGACGTCCGGGGAAGCTCTCTTCAAGAACAGCTCCGCTTACTAATCAGTGACTGTGCCCCAACCACCTGTTTCTTCTCCAAGCTTGGGGACCGCTTCCTTCTTCTTCTTTTTTGGAAAGCCTGGACAATGAAGATCTCTTCCATGGCCGCATCGAGTGGAGTGTTTAGAAGGGTCGTAGAGTTACGACTTTATATGTATGAACATTGTACAGTTCTTTCGTATCAGCATACTTGCTTAATCCATGCCCTTTAGCTACCTATGGACCAGGGTCTTTGTGCTGATCCGTCCATCTGCTCAAAGCATCAAAATCAACGCATTTGTGCGCTACACCCCATCCACTGGAGCCTTGCTTTCTCAGCGTTTCACCGTCTGCCTCCAAGAACGCTTCCAAAGTCGTGTCTCCGGAACATATGAGGCTTTGTCTGATATAATCAAAACAATGTGCAACATGGCCGGCGAGTTGCTTGTAAGCAGGGTGACCCGGAAGATCTACTGGTCCGTTGAGCCTCGTCACTTTCTTGTGTTTGATTCCAAGGGTTGAATCGCTCGTCTGGCATGAACAAGTTGGCGATTTTCTGCTCTGTTATGACTTGGGACAAATTAGCCCCATGGATTCGAGAAGAATGTTCATTAGGACCAACCATCAGGAATCACTGATCGGGTAGAGAAAAATGTAGCCCAAATCCATATTCCCACCACAATGAATACCAGCAGTGTGAAAGCGAATATGGAACAGATTTGCCATAGATTCATTGAGCCGTCCTTCACTTTTCGTCTTCCGCATCTGATGCATTGCTCAGAATGTATGCCTTCTGCATCCTTCTCTGACTCAGTCAGGATTTCGACGTCGGCATTGCTTGATGGAAGCCTGTGGTACTGATGTTCCATTGTAGAGCAAATTTGAACCGATGAGAACTTTGTAAAGTGACTTATTGGTGTGAAAGTTCACGTGCCGTAATGCTTCTGAGATGCGAACATAAGTGGGAAGTTGAGAATTGCAGGGCTGCTGTTTCAGGGCAGGCAGTGATACGTACAAAAATACTTGCGCGCTGGGTAGAGAATTCAAAACCAAGGCTTGAATGTGAAAGGACTGCACCAGGCTACACACAGCAAAAGCGCCACTGTACCGTACTGCGACTCTAAAATGATGGCAGCGTTGTACACAGTTTAGTACCAGGTTGTACAAGACTATCCAAAGCTCTGTCCCAAATTCAAGCTGTCGAATGAACTATAAAGCCAGTCGGCGCGAAGTTGGCCCCAAAGCGAAGAGAACTAAGTTTTAGCTCAATTGACTTCAATCTTTAGACTTGTACGCTGAGAGTGTACACGTGGTGTGGCTCTCTTGTACCAGCGTGCAAAAGTGTTGGACTATAGCAACCAAGTCATCACTTCGCACTAGCGTAAATGCGTGTCATGGGGCTCAATCTATGGTATCTAATCCGAGGCGTAGTCTTATCCTCCTTACTTTTCTTGTGCTTCCGGCATGCCATCCTGCACTCATTTGACTACCGATAAGCAACTTCCAGTCGGCGAGAAAGACTCGGCCCATGAATAGTAGAATACATTATCTAGGTTTTGTAGGATTTGAAGTACATTCATACTGTAGAAGCTCCATCAAGAGTTCGACTTCAATGTTCCCTGCACGTACCTCTCACGTACAACCACCGGGCTACTTCAACACTTGGCCGATCAACGAGTCTCTCAAAAACATCTGCCCACCAGAATACAACTGGAGCCACCAACAGAAATCCCAGAATCAAACCGCCTTCATACTTGATCCTTGTCTCTTTGCCGATTACAGTCCAGATAAATGAAACCGTGCCATATTCAAAAGTGTGTAACGCAGACCCATGGACATGATACAACGCATAGCTGATCTTTCCAAGGTATCCTGAGAACGATGAGGTAAACATATTCTCTAATACCTCAGAGCTGTTTAGAGACCACAGTACCAACGTAGCCCCAATGGTGTGCCAATTTGTATACTTTGCCGTGATCGAAGATAACCAGATATAGCCCATGGTCTCACCACTGTGTCGAATGGGGAAGGAGAGGAGATGAAGACCAAGAATGAGGAGAGGCAATATGTATACAAGGTGCTTATACGATGTTCGATTCTGCAGTGAAGGCCGAGTCTCAAGCGAAATATCAGCAAAACACATGCCACTGATGAACAGAGCGACATGCCACTTGTCGCAATACATGCAGTAGATCCAAAGAGCAGAGGCTAAGACCGATCGGAACAGTAGTTGGAACCTGGATATGCATATGGGAAACAGAAAGAGTATCATCGATGCTCGGAACTCGATCGGGAGGGTCCATAGGTGAGAGTCATAAGCGTAATCGTGAACTTTCCAATCCCATGGATTTGTCAATTCTGCAACGAAGAAATGACACCAGTTGAGAAGCTGTTCGTAATGGCCTGCGAAGTGCCGAGGGCGTGGTTCGATGACTCCTGGCAGTATCGAGTAGCCAGGAAAGTCTTGGAGGCGAAGTCGGATGCTAATCATGACAAGGAACGTTGTCACGAAAGCGGGCAGAAATAAACGTATTCCTCTGCGAAAAATCGCGGAGCCGATACTATCCGTAAGCTGATCCCATGATCCGGAACGAATATGAGACAAGGGCTTGAGAGCCAGGGCATAGCCCGAAATCATGAAGAAGATGGCCACCATTGGCACGCCACTGTAGAGACGGACAATGGGAAGCTGAAAGAGCCAATTGTTTTCGTGATCGTAGCCATATCCGAATCGCTTGCCAGGCTGGAAAGGATCCAAAAAAATGAGATATGAAGACTATCAGGGAGGCATATCCTCGAAGGCCGTCCAGGAAAGCAGTCCGAGGGACCTTGTCGCGATGTCTCGCTTCTTGAGCTGCGACCTGATGAAAATAGTTGGGCATCAGGGCATTGGTTGCATACTTGGTGCAAGTCCGAGTGTAGCTACACAGCTTTCTCGGAGTCATCATGTTGCTTTCAAATGGGTATTGTGGCATGTGAAGAGCAGACGTTAACCAACACACAGGTCGTATGTTACTTACTTATATGGCACAATTAGCTGAATGGATATTAAGTCTTGCAGTGAAAAAGCTGAGCGACCTGCTGTGACATGCTTGGAGAGTGGAGGAGAGTTCTTAGAGTATGTCCTTTAGATGACCATTCCTAGTCACTTGGGTCACAGTGTCTCTACCATGGTTCTGAATGTGTACAGAATGTCCGAGGATAAGGATGGAGCAGACTCAGTGACACATGGGCACAAGATTCAATCGACTATAAGCAAGAACAACAGTAGTGCACTAGACTGTAGGTCGAATCTCGGGATGATGTGAGAACAAAGAGAAAAAAGGTGATGATGGCAACAGGGGCTTTGCAATGCCTTCATTCGGATTGTGTAACAATTCTCAAGTTACACATCGTGAACAAGTGCAGTCTATGTTGCTAGCATAGTACCGGCTAAGCTAAAGAGTGGTGCGCTATTATTCAATAATGTCCTAAACCTGGTGACTGAATGTAACACAACTACTTGTAGGCGTTCAACGGGCTCAAGGTTGGCAACATCTAGCAGCAGAAACCACAAAGTTCAAGTCGGCATATAAAGGTTTTCCTCCTACTCGACATATCTCTCATCACAAACCACCTCATTAAATCCAAAACATACCACAACAACGCCAAGAAGTCCCAACTCAGAACGCAATATGAAGGTCTCCCAGTACTTTGCCTCGATTTTTGTCCTTTCAGCGGGGTTGAGCATGGCTGCACCCACCGACAGCCTTCAGACGAGAGTCCGTATACCCGAAATTCCTGACTTAAGTCAGATTTAACGTTAGAATTATAGCAAGATCGTCCTCCGGCCCCAGGTTTCAAGATGCTGGTCAAGGACTCCGCCGGCACCCAAATTCAGAAGAGACAGGATCGCCCACCTCCTCCGGACAAAGTGGATGAGGTCGAGAAGAGACAAGATCGTCCACCTCCTCCAGATAAGGCGGACGAGGTCGAAAAGTGACAGCACCGCGATCACGCATTGCAGAGAGACAGAGAATTAAACAACTTTGTTTTAGTCAGGATATTCCACAGTTGAGAGTGATTAATGGAAATAAAGCAATGAATCCGATTTTTTATACATCGCCGAAGTATTGCATGTGAACACCTTGAAGTCATGGGCATGACACCACTCTGGATTAGACCAGACTCAAAAGACGTCCTCCCGAGTGACTGTAAAGTTCTCACCATTCTCCCTAATATGTTTCGAATCCCTATCTCTTCTCAAGGGCTTCCGCATATCGAGTCCGTCCTCTGCATCACCTGTAAGGCCATCGACGTAATAATCCAGTACTCTCCGGTACACACTATATCCCATTTTCCCATACAATGCTTGCGCGATCTTGTTGCTCCTCCTTACATACAGATCCACGAACCATGCGTCGTACTCATCAACACCACGTTCTAGAGAGCGTGTGAGGATTTGTGCGAGAACTAGACGACGGGCGTGAGGTGCGACGGTCAGGGCAGTTACGTGAGCGTGAAAAGGCAGATAATGCTCGCTAAATTGCAAATAGGAGGGCGAAGACTCGAGTTTTCCCATCACTATATCATGAATAAGCCTTGCAACACCAAATAAAGTGAGGCATACTGTAGCCAGTGATAGTGCCATCTTGTGCCTCAGCGGCAATGAAGAGATTTGGCCAGCGTGCGAGATAGGAGAAGTAAAATTCGAGGTCGTATGTCTCTGTCAAAGGGTCCAAATTTGTAGCATTGAATTTGAAAACATCCATAGCATTGAAATGGCGTAGAGAAGTCATCTCGGAGAGTACCAGCTTTCTATACTCCCTAGATTGCTCTGCTTTTCATTCGGAGCTATGCAAGCACTTTCGCTCGAGCGAGGCCCTTGATATGGCGGCTGACTTTATCAGGTGCGATAGCCGACAGCAACTTGGTACCACACTGCTCAACTCCGTGAAAGTGCTATCACACGCTGCGAGATTCTATCCTCTTACTGCTCCAGACACTAGCACTTCTCGCAAAGCATCCAAAATGTGGGGTTGACGGGAGAGTGAGAGTACCAGCCTCGTAATTCTGTCGGTGGTGTTGTGTCTTTTGTAGCACGACTGTCAGAAATTGCACTGGCCAAATCATAAGTCCATTACAATATATCGCGCTTCGAGGCTGCGAAAGGAGCTCCTTCGAACAGCTAATATCTCAATAAGGCTGTTCCATAACATACCTAGCCTACGCATCGCTTACTAATCAAATTCACGGACTTGCGAGGGTGGACCTCCAGTTATCCGAGCAACCTCTGCAATGCAATTGGCAGTGTATCATGCTTTTGAGCCACCCCGCCCGCCTCTTGAAGCTTCATTCCCTGAAGCAGTTACTACAAACAGTTAGAAGACACGCAAACAACCGTGGAGGTGAGTCTAGTCCAAATTCGGGATGCTATTGCGATTGACGCTCGGATCCATTGAGTCGTTGCCGTCAGGGGAAGTATATCTCCAGTCTGTTGTTCAAGTGTAACGTTATAGCTCTGTACCACCAATTCATCGGAATCAAGTTTATGTATTTTCTTATTCTGCAGGCAACTCTACAATTGACCACACAGAAGTCGGCAAGCAAGACATGGCAAACTCGCTGGACGCCACGGCCCCCGTCTATCTGAGACACTTCTCTTTCTTTCAACGTCTATACTATGGCATCCGAATTCGTGTAATGAAATCGCTCGCAACGGCCTTCTTCAGCTTGTTTAGATTGCCAGGTGTTCGCGATAACTCGATTCTGCCAACCTATACGACAGTCTATCCATGCCAACCCAAGCTCACAAATCGAGTTTTCTTCCCGAAATCATACAAGCCCGACGATGCGCCACTACCTTTATACCTTGATATACATGGCGGAGGCTTCGCGTTGATGAGTCCTTGCGTGGACGATTGGTTCTGTACCGAGTTCTGCAATGACAACAAACTGCTAGTTATCAGTCTCGATTATCCGAAAACACCCGCGCATCCATACCCCGCAGGAGTACAAGCAATTGCAGATCTTGTGGATGCGATACTGAAGGATGAGTCTTTGCCCTTTGACAGGAAGAAGGTTGCCATTGGCGGATTCAGCGCTGGTGCGACCCTTTCTCTCGCGGCACCACAAGATGCAAGATTGAAAGGCAAGATTGGAGGAGTGGCTGCATTCTATCCCCCAACCAATTGGACCACCAGCATCGATTGGAAACTCTCAACGAGACCAAAAGATGCAGGACCGGATGGGTTGAAAAGCCAAGCGGGCATGTTCGACTACGCCTACTTCAAACCAGATCAAAATCTGAAAGATCCGCAAGCCAGTGTTGCTTTTGCTTCTCGAGAATCACTCCCACCTAAGCTATGCATTGTCGGTTGTGAATTCGACATGCTTTGCCGCGATTCGGAGCTGATGGCTGAGAGTTTGGCAAAGGTAGGAAATGGCCCAAGAACAGGAACAGATACTGCCTGGGAGCAAAATGGAGTTCGTTGGGAGAAGGTTCTGAAAGAAGTACACGGTAGGTGGCAGAAATGGTGGCATCTTCTCTGACTGACAATTGCGTAGGCTTTGATCTTATCCCTGCACGGGGCGAAGAGAAAGCCCGGACTAAGGCGAGGGGAAAGAAGATGCATCAGGATGCCGCTGAATTTCTCTTACGTGAGGTGTACGTGTGAGGTATGGCGCAATTAAACACGATATCAGGCAATGAAAGCTTGAAAGACTTTGAAGCATTGTCTCTATGCTGATGCTCTGTCATGAATTGGCCTTTTATTGTTGACAAATCGACCACAATGCAGAATATTCTGGGGCTTGATTACTGTAGTATGCCTTTTCTTAATGCCACAATCATATACTTTGTTGTTGCTAGGAAGCGTAGAAAGGGCCAGAAAGGGCTCACCTGGAATGATTGTTGGTCGCGGTTGCTTTTTTTGAAGCTTGAGTCGAACTTCCTTCTAGTTTTGCCGAAGTATGTCGACTGGTTCATCCTCCCACCTTCAATGCTTGATCGTTTTCATACACATTGAAGAACTCGGGAGGAGATATTAAAGCTCCCAAAACAAAGTGTTCGAGAAAGCTTCATTCCTGCTCCGTTGCCAGTTACAGCAATGCCTTTGATGAGTCAAGGCAGTTTGCATTGCTCGTGATCTTATTGCACACAAGTCAGTACAGATCAATGCTTCTCTATAGATACGATTTCTCCTCGTTTCAACGGTCTAGCATGTAAACACTGTTTTCTTCTTGGCGACGCCTCGATTCTGCCAAGACGAAGATATAACAGATTTCTTTCAACGATGGGAGTCTAGACCCCGAGAGCTTCTCTCAAGTGTGGTTGCACATGTGAATTGTCATGACCCAGGAAGGAGCGGTGGCGAACTCTAAGTGCGAGATTCATTGATTCTCTCCAAGGTGGTAGTTCAGCTCGATGAGACGTCTTCTATACATGTGGCGTTCTCCGATAGCCAAGAGACAAGTCTGTCGGAAATGTTCCGACCTTGTACCTCGCAAGAAGGAGATCCTAAATTTGCAATCTTTGCCTACAATACCACAAGGAACTTCTAAATATGGAGAATCGTGAGTCTCCCGCGCTTAGTGGTTGAGATTCGAGAACTTGGAAGCGGCGCTACGACTCTTTCGGGATCTGAGACCAGTAAAATACTGACCAAGAGATTGGCAGGTCTCAAACTCTCTACCAAGAAAACTGCGATGACTTTTCGCCGCTCATGCAAAACGTCGTCGCGACCTCGGTTCAGCAGCCAAGATGCCTCGCCAAAGGCTTGAGATCTGTGCTGAGGCTCAAAGTGCCCCCTTGCTTTCTCTTCCATGGTCCGCGTCGATCGTGTCACTTGGCGTTTGATGAAACATTGGCATTTCTCCTACAGTCTAACTGTAAGATTCAACCACTCAGATGAGGAACAGGTTATCATGGAAAATATCCATCCTGGTTCTAGATGTTGGGGTCGGGCCAGCCCGTGCAGCAGAATATGGCTGACCAGGCTTGGAGAGGAGCGACTAGTCTCAAGTTGGGGCCCCTCCATACTTTCATATAAATGTCTTGTCCATCATGCCCGTCTCATCCTTTTCTGATTCTCCAGCTGCGCTCCTCCATTTCTTTTCATTTCACTGTGATTGACTTGTTATCAGAAGCTTGACGCCTCGGGATCTGGATCTCTTTCTAATCATTTAATACTCCATCATTTGTTTAGTCCTGCGACCCTCATTCAAAGCAATCTTTTCAGCAAGACCAAATTCCATCACCAACATGCAGCAAAATCTTCTTGTGGTGCTCGGCCTTCTCACGGCTCAGCTCAATGCTCTACCTCTTAACATCAATCTGGGAGCATACTCGCCTGCCTTGGTAGTCGGTGATGGTGAAATCTCATTCGGCGGTAAGCAAGATGTCTCCAACCTGATGAACGCACTCGAAGGCGCCGCAGTTTCAGGTACGCCGAATTAAACAATTCACATCTACACTCACAATCACACTCCATGCTTACTCTCCCTTCACCGACCTCTTGTTATCGCCTACACTTACACTTACACTTCTTATCTGATCGAAAGACATCAAGCTTACAACCGACAATAGGAGCAACCGCAGCAGCAGCAGCCGCGGCCCCAGCTGCTTCAGCCGCACCTGCAGCTGCAGCTCAAGCCCAGCCGGCCACACAAGCTCAAGCCCAACCTCAAGCGCAAGTCGTGCCCGCAGCTGGAACCACCGACCAAACAACACAGATCACCTCCTTGCAAGGAATGGGCAAGGAGATCGCGCCCCGCGTCGTGCCCCTCATCAAGAGCACCACTGAGAAACGAGACATCGCTGGCTTCAACGCGGCATTGAACTACGCAACTGGAGCACTGAAGACTAGCCCCGAGGTTGAGCTCGGCACTGGTGAGGGCGGATCCGGTGTTGGTATTACGCAGAAGGCCGGTGGAACTACGAGTACCACTACGAAGGCGGCGAGGAATGTGGAGGAGGGACCAGCGAGGAAAATGAAGACTACTGTTACGACTATGTTTGTCAGAGGTGGACCTGCTCAAGCTGTTGCTGGTATGTGATTTACTCTGAAGGAAAGGGTGGATGAGGCTAATAACGAGGAACAGAACGTAGCGAAGAGAACTCCTCAGCACCCATGGAAAAGCGAGCTCCTTCCCCAAGCAGCATCGATGGTGTCAATCTTAACATGGCTGAAGGACAAGTTGCCGAACTCACATTCGTTGAGACGCGAGCTGTTGAGGATGATGATGAGGAGTAGACTCACTGTCAATGATTGATGAGAGGCGGAGATTTGGAAATACATATTTTCTTGTTTTGTAAGCTATAAATTTGTTGCGATTACCATTCTTGTGATGAAGATGAAGGGCGTCTTGATACGGATTTTACATATCCTGGAGATACGGATTATTTAGATGGGAGGGAATTATACACTGGATCTACCTCTCTCTTTCCTTCATTCTTGTCCTTGAGTTCTACGGTATAGTAATCTCTTTCCTTTTTGGAAGTAGATCAATTCTTCTCTATTTCTCTACAATGCCACAGAACCCACCTAACAGCACTTCATCGCTCATTCATTAACTCAAACTACCAAGACCAAATCCCCATCACACATTAACTTGGCGATTTCATCCATGTCCCAGCACATCTGGGCAAAGTCACAGCTTGCATTATTGTTGACCCACCACGCGGACAACGAGTCGCGGCCCGTGTTGAAGATCTTGTTGCAGAAGGCTGGGCAGTCCCGGCAGTTTAGAGCTAAGAAAATAAGTTTCGCCAAGATGTGTTTGTGGTTGTGAAACGGGGGGGGAAAGCCAAGATGGAGAGGTGGGGCGGGAAAGGATAGGGGTTGCGAAGCGAGAGGGAAGGTTGGGGAATGAGTTCATGATGAAGAGTGAAGTTCGAAATAGCTTATTTTCTGGGATTCTGCTGTTGATTGATAAGTATATTTAGAAGAACGTATTCTTGGATCCACTGGCGGTGCATGCTACCAGGTTGTGGTTAGTTATGTCATACACGCTACTATGAGTCCATGGAAGATCTTCGATCGAGAGCATAAAGGTATTCTTAGTATTGGATCTCACGGTCAAAGACAGAGAGTTGGGAAATTTTCGATGGGGCAATAAAGCTGATACATCCTTATTTCAGTCATCACACTAGGTTGTCTTTGAAGCACGGAGAGAGGTCCACGTTTGAACGTTTCTGCTGATGATAGTCTTCGTCACAGTCTTGCGTACGCTCAACAGTCCAGTCACTGCTCAAGTATCTCGAAATGGTGTGAATGTAGTCTAGAAAGCATTGCCCTGCTCTAAGTATTCATCGAATCCAAAAAATAATCAACGCGAGAGGTATGCACTAAAAAGGGATCGAGGGATTGAATGTAGATATTCAAATAACATTCCTTAGATAAAAGTCTCGTTTTTTTGTGTGTTGCGCTGTTGACCTGATCGAAAGAAGTAGAGGGTGAGAGATCTGAGACTCTCATGCGGTTCTGTTCTAATAGATGACTAACTATGTCTCGAGAGATCAGAAGCCATGGAGAACCTGTGCAGCGGAGAGTCTTGGGAAATCGAAGGTGGTTGCGAAGAAGTATGATCTTGAAGAAGTATCTCAGAAAATCCAGACTGGAGGTTGGCTTTGTCCAAGCATAGAATTATACTGCGGAATGGGTGATGGGAATATGGAATTGAGGGGTTGGATTTTTTGCTTTAGCGGCAAATACAGTTAGGAGGTACTGCTTTCAACAAAGATTTTAAGGAAGCTTGTAGAAGAGACTTAGGTAGCATACCTCTCCCTTTCAATTGTCCTCGGCATTGGTATCTGGTAAAAGTGAATGCGCACTGTGTAAGTGAATGATTCCCAGAAGCGGCGCACTTTTGAAGCGGCGACTTTGACTTCGTCTATAAAAGAAGGCGTACTGTCAAGGAAATGAGATAACAAAACAAGAGACTCTTCGACAATCGAAGGCGACGGGACCGAGAACTAGACAGTGCTGAAACATTTCACTTCTCTCTGTCCACTGGAGTCAAGACCCTGGCACTAAGACGTTGTAGTGCCCTGCATGTGGGTTCGTTGTCATGTACTAATAATTGTCGTCAACTGCTGACAATCAGCGAATGACATATCTTATCCGAAGACACTGAACAACTGGAAACTATTTTGTTTTCGTTCGTCCTTGACAGTAAAGTAGAAATCAGACATGAGCAGACAGCAACACAATTGGAGAAGAAAGGACGATAGATAAATGTATGCGGAGATTGCAGGCTGCACTTGCACACCATTTCAAGGTCAATACCGAAGCGTATAGCTCTCTATTGCATGAGTGATCTACAAACATGATAGCCATAATTCATCATAGTCTAGTGGTATCAAATCCCCTCCCATGATTTTCCCAACCAGAACGCCCTTCCATGCAACGATCGTGACTCATCTACAGTTCTTCCTCATCCACCTCCGGTTGGGGTAATGGGACCGACTGAGCAATCGAATCTGTGGTAATCATCTCGACGACCATCGTTTCGGTGACCGTGGCCTCAGCAGCAGGATCGTCTTGGACCTCCACATCCTCCATATCATCCTCATCCTCATCCACCCAATTCTCTTTCTCCTTCTCCAATGCTAAAGCCTCTTCTTTTGCCTTCTGAGCCAGCATCTTCTTGTTCAGCTCATCCCAATTCTTCGCTCTTTCTTGAACTGTCCGGGCTTTTCCCTTGCTCTTCTGAACCTTCTTCTCTGTCTTGTCCATTACTGCTTCTGCCCGGTCCATTCCTTTCTCCTGTCTCCTCTTCGCTCTGGCACTCAATACCGTTTTTCTGCCATTCTTCTTCTTTGTGACTCCTGAACCTTGGTGAATGGCTAGGACGGAAGGTCGTTGTTTCTTGGTGTCTTGGGGAGGCTTCAAATCTTTCAGCGACTTATCGAGGTCGATTCCAGGAGAGGATGCTCTTTTCGCAGCGCGAGAGTGCACTGATGCGCCTGAATCATGTTAGACGTGAAGAGTCACCAGGCCAAAGCAAACTCACCACCTTTCTTCTTGATCGGCGCAGTCTTCCCCATTGTGAATGTGCGTTGTCTTAATTATGATGTGGGGTTGAATGGATTTAAGAAATTATTGACAGATCGGGCGGACAAAAAGCCGCTTCCGATCTCCACATGCTTGCGCTATCTAAGTCTGATGTACAATTGCTTTGTTTGCGACGGCCAACTTTCAAGAAACTACAACTCACACTCTCTCGAGAATCTCCACTCTTCGCAACAGCACCACAGCCGGAACATCGAGCCCATATGCATTACCATGAATCCACACGGTCAGCAAGTAAGAGCTTCATTCCACGGTGATCCCAACACATTCGAGTACCATCAAGACTACCTCGAAGGCAGACAAAGCCTCGCAGGCGGAGGAACATTCTTCGCCGTACTGGTTTGCCTTATACCTTTTGTCTACCAGATATTTTCCACCCTTGGCTACGATCTTCTACCTATCCCAGAACTGCTCTGGAACGTACTGGTCTATGTCACGCCCTCTCGACTGCTTGATGCTGTTGAGAACTATACGAACCCTTTGCGAATACAAAATCCTGCCTTGAGAGGGATTCCGCGGACCCATGCCTCGAAGAGTGAAAGCATGCGACAATTACTTGGGTTGGACACTGCTGGTGGACTCATAGGGTCCGTGGCGCAAGCCTCGAGGCGAAGGCTGTCGACGCTTCCGGGTGTTAACATTACGAATCTGGATGCAGAGGGAAAACCTGCTGGATTGGGAAATTGGGATAATTCATGTTATCAGAACAGCGTCCTCCAAGGGCTGGCGTCGCTGGACACTATAACAGAATACCTCACGAACCCGAGCATGGAGGTCGAAACGATGGAAGAATCCTTGAAACCGGAGTTGAGGATGGCGGAAGCTCTGAAAGGGCTGATCGAGACTTTGAACGATTCGGAGAACAATGGAAAGAGAATATGGACGCCTGCAACGTTGAAGAACATGAGTAGCTGGCAGCAGCAAGATGCGCAAGAGTACTTTTCAAAGGTCTTGGATGAGATTGACAAGGAGATTGGAAAAGTAGCGAAGCTGGCAATGTCATCACAGGGCTTCGAGTCGGACGATTCCTCAAATTCATCTCCTCCTGCACCATCAACCACATTTCGAAATCCTCTAGAAGGACTCATCGCACAACGGGTAGGATGTACGAAGTGTGGATACTCTGAAGGACTTTCTATGATTCCTTTCAACTGCTTGACGGTGCCATTAGGCAAAGCCTGGGAGTATGATATCACGGATTGTCTTGACGAATACACGAAGCTCGAGCAGATAGACGGCGTGGAATGTGGGAAGTGCACGTTACTCAAATATCAACGGATGATATCCACAATCTTAGAGCGGTCGACGATGCCTCCTGACAGCCCAGCTTACCAGCAAGCCAAAGCGAGACTGGAAGCAGTTGAGCTTGCCCTTGAAGATGATGACTACGAGGACAAGACTCTGGTTCAGAAATGCAAAATACCTTCAAAGAATCGCGAATCATCAACGAAAAGTCGACAAGCTGTTATCGCAAGGCCTCCTAAGTCAATGGTGGTTCACTTCAATCGGAGTCTTTTCGATGAACTTACCGGTGAGCTAAGGAAGAACACCGCCATGGTCAGGTTCCCCAAGATCCTCGACATCGCTCCTTGGTCATTGGGTAGTGCCGAAGATGGTGAGGATGTCTCAACAGAGGAGTGGAAGCTCAACCCAGATCAGCCGATGATTGCCAGTACTGGAAGGCCATCGAGATTGCGAGGCCCACTCTACGAACTTCGAGCTGTTGTGACGCATTACGGAAGACATGAGAATGGTCACTACGTCTGTTACAGGAAACATACTACAACGGAAATTGTAGAAGACTTGACACCAGAGACAGAAGATCAGAAATCGCCAGAGCAATGGTGGCGCCTCAGTGACGAAGATGTTATGAAAGTCACAGAGGAAAGTGTTCTGAATCAAGGCGGAGTGTTCATGTTGTTCTATGATTGCATCGCACCTGCGACCCCAATCCCTTCAGTCCCCATCACACAAATTCCCGAGCACGTTGCTATGTCGGAAAAGATTGTCAATACTCTTCCTGTGAAGGCAGACGAGGTCGTCAAATCCACAGAGCTACCAGATCTCGACGTTGTAGCAAGTATCCCTCTACCTGATATCGACGACGAAGATCTCTTCTCCAATGACTCTCAAGATCAAGATTCGGTCTTGACCACCAGAGACGAGAGCATTGCCACCACAGAAACCGACATATCAGAATACGACGAGGATGAGAATCTTGACAAAGACCAAGTTGAAGCAGAGGATTACCAGCCTGCAAAAGCGATACTTGTCCCTCCGTACATACGACAGCCTGGAATAAACGACGAGAATGAGGATCCGACAAAACAGAAGATGTTAGGCCCAGCCTCGTCGTTGGTAATGGTTTGAAGCAGAGAGGAAGAAATGGCTGTACACTGACAGGAAATATGGATTGGATGTCTGATTTCTACTTGCTGCGATTTCGATGCATAGCGTGGCGTTTTGGATGTAGCTGCTAGGCTGGCGCGCATGGTTGGGATTCCAGGTGTTTGATTATATTGTAAGAATATAGAATTGATTTGATAAAACAACATTCTGCCTTACTCTTTGCGTGCAAATACCATTGTGTATACAATGGTGAGTTCTGGGTGCCTGAGGCCGCAATTCTGGAATATTAACAGCCAAAATGAGATTCTCGACGAGAAATGCGCTAAAAGTTTCCTGGCTTCTGATTGGTCGGCTGATTTTAACTTCGAACTTCTAATTTTTGGATTTTTGATAGACACCTCTCGTTGTGTGATAGCTAGGCACCTCTGTCATCCAGTTGCGACGTGCAACAAAACTTTTTCTGCGCTCTGATTGGCCGAACTTTCGCCCACCCTCAACATGTGCAATTCACCTTCAAGAGCATATGCATTCAATCCCAAGTCAAATCGTGTTTATATTTATGTTTATTTAGATGCAATATTTAATCTTAAATGCTCTCCCACTGAAATGTCACGCTCACGCTCTTTGAAGAGGTGTAAACTGTTGCTTGAGTTGAGCCACTTGGAACAGCTGTGGCATAGAAAGTCGTCGCTCCGTTGTATGCCAGCAATCCATTGCTTGCCTGCCATTTGTTTATCAGCTTCTACTTAAACTTGAAGCTGTTTGGATCGGAGTAGTACGTACCGTGAATACAGTCGCAGTAACGCCAGATGCACACGTGAATGTGCCGCTCGAGATCCCACAGCTTCCTTTCGAGGACTTTAGGGTGAAGCCAGATCCTGTCATATTCTGTTAGGAGATGGACGAGAAGTGGTCAGTGTGAATCTCTTACCGGAAGCTGCAGCCGTATACGTAGCACATGTCCCAGAAGTATACCACGTGCCCGCACTGATGAGACATCCATCTTGCGAGCCACCAGTATAAGCATTGAGATATCCCGAGCCTGAGAAACTGCCTGTAGGAGTAGAAGTAGGAGTCGTGCTAGTCTTGGTTCCGGTACTAGTCGAGGTCACCGTGCTACCGCCTGACTTTGGCAAATATTTGATTCCAGTCGAAGAACAGCTGGACGATTGTCCGACTGGGGCCGCAGGCTGGAAGGTTCCTGTTTGTACAGAGCCTAAGACGTCGTATGAATACCAGATCTCGTCGAGAGCACCTGATGCGCATTGGATTGTGACTGCGTAGCCGAAGGATGCTTTTAATGCGCTTTGAATGGCAGCTGCGGTGTAAGTTGCGCTGGATGATGGGACGATGCCTGCATTTGCTAAAGCCTGAGAGACGGTCAGAGGCCGGGTTTAAGCGGATGATGTTCCTACTCACAGTATAGCTGTCAAGCGTCTTGAACAAGTCCACAGTCTTTTGAAAGAAGTCTGGGACTTCCTCCTGGGCAGTGTATCCAGTGTAACAACTAGGCTTGAGAGTACTGATACAAGTACCATGCTTCCCCCACTCATGCTCCCAGAAACTTTCATTGTCGCCATCGATGTCGACCCAATAAGCGTTCATGTATGAAAGCAGATCAGTCTTGCCGTAGGACTGAAGGATGGCTGTGATGTTGGTGTATGCTCGTGAGGCATCGCAATTGGAGTCGTACGTCCCATCACAGTGATCAGGCCATAGACCATGAATTGTCCACGAGTTTGAGGGGCCTGGGGAGAATTAGCTGCGATACAAAGAGTGTTTTCACGTGGCATACCCGTGCTTGGGCTTGTATCCCAGAATTGCGTCTGGAGTAGTTGACCTCCTGGCGCATTGAAGCAGCAAGTATCAGCCACAGCAGTGGTGTTATGACAGGACAACGTTGGGTTTGAGCATGTCTTTGGGGAACCAGCCAGAACGACTTGCATGAATGCCATAGAGGCGAGAACGACATTAGAGAACGAAGCCATGATTAGAGATTATACTGAAGTACTGATTGCAGTTCTCGTGTCACTGGACAAAGACTGTACGACGATACTTATGGCATTCCGTTCACTTTGTACTCTCTAACGTCCCACAAAGCGCAGTCTGATAAGGACCCCTCAAGTCTGCGTGCTCTCGTTCGTTGGCGGTCATCAATTCAAAAGAAGAAGGCGAATTACCTCGGGGACGGCTCCTCCCAGCGCCATCTCTGCTCTCATAGGATAAGAAGGGGATTAAGGTGCACTCAAGAATAGACTAAGAAATATGCTTAAGTCTTGGCTGGTGATCGGCAGTCGAATAGGAGGCCTTGATTCATCACCGGCAGAAGTGAGATCTCCAGGAACAGAGAAGTACTCCGGAAAGATATGATATAAAGGGACCAATTCAATGTCGCGCATACCAAGGCTACTAGGATGCGGGATGCAAGTGCATCTTCTCCAATCCTTCTGGAACGAGGTTGATGAGCCGGTGCCCACCTGCTGCTTCTGGAAGGTCATTGTAAGAGGAGTACAAAAGCCAAGAAGTGACTCCGAAAGGCTGCTTGCAATGGCTTCTCGCATTTCGCCGTCTGCCTGAACGTGCCTTATCATGAAGCTTACACTTGTCGCTTCGTGGAAGCCTCAGAGTTGATAGAATTGAGTTGAGCGAACAAGTGGTGAAGAAGATGTGAGCAAGGAACAGAAATGATTGCGCATGCGACGGCAGCAGTCTTCCGAGCCGAATCAATGACGCGGGGTACAGAGCAAGACTCGACGTCTTCATCTCCAAATTTGAGATACTGGATATATCTACCTTTCATGTTCATCTATTGATTAGTTTCCAAGTTGCATCTTGTGTTCTAAACCCGACAAAATGAAATCAGAAGAAGTATGCTTATTGTCTCCACGCCTTCCCTTCCTGCGCGCACTTTATGAGGGGTCGATCAACGCAAATGCTTGCCTAGGAATATTTTCTTTACTTTTTTGAAATGCATGCATTTACACTTTACAGCTTGAGACTCTCATTCGCGCGAATCATATACTCCATTACCAAGAGGTTCTTGACGCATACGGTCACGTGTCGTTGAGACATCCAGACAAACCAGATGTCTTCATGTACGTATTATCAGATGCTCTCAGGCGTTCACTTCAAAGTAATGTATATTTTTGCTGTAAGTCATGACGCTAACAAATTCAGAATGTCGGGCGATCGAGCACCAGCACTAGTCTCCTCTCCTTCCGACTTAATCGAGTACAATATCTCAGACAGCTCTCCCGTAGATCCAAAATCCAAGAGAGGTTATCAGGAGCGCTTTATACATAGCGAGATTTACAAACGATACCCGAATGTCAACAGCGTAATTCATAGTCACTCCGATGCAGTGTTACCATACACCATGAACGGAGTCCCAATGAAACCTTCTTTCCACATCGCTGGATTCCTGGGTAAGTACTTCTCGTCTACCCACGAGAAGACATATACTGAGAAAAATACAGGAACACACGTCCCAGTATACGACATCATCCCTCTGTACCAGCCAGGTGACCAACAAGACATGCTCGTCAAAACCGAACGTCTCGGCTCTGCTCTTGCATCGACATTCTCCTCATCGTCCGAGCAAAAGGAAGAGCACGATCATAACGTCGTCCTAATGTCGAATCACGGCTTCACTGTTGTCGGTTCATCCGTCAAACAAGCCGTCTATCGAGCAGTCTATACCCGCGTCAACGCTTCTATCCAGTCGCAAGCTTTGATCCTTCGTTCGGCTGCGAGCTTCATGTCTTCTGCTCTCTCAGGCTCAGGTACGATGCCCAGCTCGGGACCAGGATCCATTTCTGGATTTGGGAATTCGGGACTAGGAGGCGAGGGTGGTGGTGCAGGATTGGGGGAGATGAGGTTCTTGGATAAGAAGGAGTTGAGTGAGGGATGCATGAAAATGAATGATTCAAGTCAGGATCGGCCTTGGGCATTGTGGGTCAGAGAGGTGGAGGCTTCTCCTTTGTATAGGATTGAGAAGTGACTTTGTGAAGATAGAAGTCAAAAGAAGATGGTTGGCCTAGCCATGTAATACTTCTAATAAATACGGATGTTCCTTTCGTCGTCCATTAACTTGAAGGCAGACCAAACTGCGGAAATATTGCCAGGTAAATGTTGGGGACATACAATGCAAAGTCTTCGAATTTGACCTTCTGAAGGATAGATGTGCTCGGTGTTTCTCAGTCCAACCAACCATCTTGGCCACTGAAACTCAAAAGCAGCTATTCGCGCGATCTTGAAAGAAGAAAGGTGTTAAGCGAGACTGTTTACGTCTGATCTCCAATCCAGACTGCTTTTACCTTACCTTCACAGTCTTGACACTACATCCGCACACCAAAATCTGGATCTTGACCACAGCTGCGCCTAAGAATCAACTGGTAGGATCTCACGATGTCCGTACCTCCAGTCGAAGCCAAAGTCGGCGCAAGGAAAAACTCCTCTACCAGCACCGATCTCGCAACGAATGGACACAACTCCCAAAAAGTCGAACAATCCCTCTCTCTCCTCTCGCCTATCAAATCAGAAGCGGGTGAAAGACAACCACGGCTAGCTGAGCAGGAGGCATTACTAGGCATTGACAGAAAGGTCAAGAAAGAAGAAGAAGATCGAAAGGAGGATTTGGGAGAGGCAGAAGTCTTAGAGCAACATCATTATGTCCTGAGATCTCACGAGCAGAAGAAAGACTGGGACGTTACTGGGACTTGGAAGATCTCCTGTGCTGCTATTCCGGACGAACCAGATATGAAATTAACAATCTATATTGCCAAGTCAGATGGCAAGAACCAGATGTTTGCAGAGTTCAACTTCGGTATTGCGGAGGGCGTGTTCAGGTTCGAGAAGCCGACCAGGAGGAGAAGTCTAAGGATAAAAAGCAAGAACCAGGATATGGACGATGATCAGGAAGACTCAGAGTACGACCCAACGAACTTCTTCCTCGCCAAAACAGACAAACCGACCCCCACCAACCCGACATGGAATTATCGTTGGCGGGGCGAAGAACCCAAAGGCCCCATTTATTTCGGCGCAGACGAAGTTCTGTACAGCATCATATTCGAGGAACCTAAAGGTACCAAACTAACGGGAACTCTGGGTGGTGGTCCTTGGGGTGAATGTAGGTTTACGGGTATCAAGGTCAAGATGGGTCGTGAGTGGGATGATGAAAGCATCGAGGATGAATGGTATGCATATGGAAGAGCGGCATATGAAGGGGGTGAGATTCTTCGATTATATGATTAGGCTGAGAAATGGCCTCGTGGAGTTGGGGGTTTCAAGGGGAGTGGTATGGCGTAAAAGGAGGTTGAGATTTTGTAGGATAGTAATGAGGCGCATGAAGGGAGCTCTGCATCGCTGGGACAACACTTCAACTCCAGAAAAATCTGCATGCAGTCTCGAGACAAGGAATACTAAAGCCTCCTCAAAAGTGCGTTCAACAACGCACAATAAAGTGTATTACCTTCAAGTCGATTGCATATTTGATGCAATGTAGTATGAAGACCAGACGGCTCCGAAAGTTACACATCACGATGTACAAAAGCCTGGAAGTATTATCAAGCAGTGAGGTAGGAGCAATTAACGAATTTTTAAATTAGCATTAGTACTACCATAAGTATCTGACATCTGCAATTGAACAGAAACAAAGCAATAACCATTATGACGCGGATGTTGATGCTGAGTATCCCCGAGCTAAGCTCGATTTTTAGCCAATCAGCTCGCAGCCTTACTAGCTTCGAGAAGGGGTGTTATAATGTTAAATAAGCAAAACTTTGGCAAGAATTAGTAGATTTAATTAGAGGGATACAACGGACCTGTTTAGGACGCCTACGAAAGCAACTCTACTAAGGATAAACAATGGCTCGCCCTTGTACGAAGCAGCTTCGAGCTGACTGATCCTGATAAGGCCCCCCGCTATTTAGGCACGACCTAAGAAATGAGGGTGTTACTGGAGCTTTCAGTTGGGAGTTTGTGAATGTTTTGCCATTCTGTTCTATACGTTTTAAATCTTTTTGGGCTTTTTCGACTCAATATTTTTCTTTTTCATGTATCCTCTTTTATGGGGCTGGAAAATAGCCGATTGGCCAAACGGGAAGTCTAGCCTTAATCCATTCTAGCTCTCAGCCTTGCATCAACTTCAGACCATCATCTCCAAAATTTAGCCTTCATCTCTCCCAACTTTGAACTTCCCATCTTTTCACCACAAACGACTTTTAAAATGCCTCCGAAACGCATGACTGCGAATCCAATTAAGGCGCCGCGTTATAGACCCGGCAAAGTCGTCGCAGAAGCAGATTCATCCTCTTCAGAATCCGAGTCCGAATCCGAAGCGCAAGCTCAGAAGCCAATTTCTGCACCTCCAAAGGTCACCACTGCTGGTGGCATAACGAGTAATCTCTCCAAAGTAGATCTCAATGAGCGACGGAATGCCGCTGCTGCGAAAGAAGCAGCGAGGATTGAGGAAGAGAAAAAACTGAAAGCTGGGGAAGAAGAGGGGTTTGTTACCGAGGAGGAAAGTGAAGAGGAAGATGGCAGTGGCGAGGAGGACGAGGATAGTGAAGAGGAGAGTAGTGAGGAAGAAGCGCCGAGACGGGTGATGATGCGACCGACGTTTATCAAGAAGAGTCAGAGAGGGATTGGGAATGCTGCGAAGGAAGCATCTAAGACTGAGGATGAGTTAGCGAAGGAAGAAGAGGATCGGAAAAAAGCTGCTGCGGATGAGTTAGTGGAGGAGCAGATTCGGAAAGACATTGCGGCTCGCGCAGCAGGAAAGAAGAATTGGGACGATGAGGAAGAGGTTGATGAGGTCGATGATACAGATGATGTCGACCCTGATGCCGAATACGCAGCATGGAAATTGAGAGAGTTGAAACGGATCAAGCGGGAGCGAGAAGCTATCGAGGAACGAGAAAAGGAACTCGAGGAAGTCGAGAGGAGGAAGAATCTCACAGAGGAAGAACGAAAGAGAGAGGACGAAGAATATATTGCCAAGCAGAAAGAGGAGAAAGAAGGCAAGGGCAAGATGGCATACATGCAAAAGTACTACCACAAAGGTGTCTTCTACCAAGAAGATGCGCAAGCTGAAGGACTCGACCGAAGAGATATTATGGGAGCAAGATTTGCAGATGATGTCAACCGGGAGCTTCTGCCACAAGCTTTACAAATGAGAGATATGACAAAAATCGGCAAGAAGGGCGCTACGAAATATAGGGATCTGAAGTCCGAAGATACAGGCAAATGGGGTCAATTTGACAACAGAAGGAAAGGAGATTTTGGAGGTTTTAACAGCGATGAACGATTCATGTCAGATAGGGATCGAGATCGAGCTGGAGCTAGTGGTGCAAACAGTATGCCAGTAGGAGAGAGGAAGAAGGTTGTAGGTGCCCCTGAAGGTCCTCGAGCTATGCGAGAAGGGAGCGAGCGAGACGGTGAGCGTTCTCGAGATGGAGGTGACTCGTATCGACCCAACAGAGATCGCAGTCGCTCAAGGTCACCAAGACGAGATCTTGATGATCGACATCGTCGGAAACGAAGCACTTCAAGAGATTCAGACCGATATGAGAGTGACAAACGTCGAAGAATAGATTCGAGGTAACGCTGTATGATGAAACGATACATATCACATTATTGATCATTACTCCAATTCCTCTGCCGTGATGCCATAACCTCGTAACAAACCCCATCCCAATCCATTTATATCCTTACAATGTCTACACGCGCCCTTTCGAATACCTTATGTGCAACTACAGATGATCCTCTCTCAGTCTCTGACAGAGAATGCGGGTATACAGTGATCTTCGTGTAAGTCCCCGCCGCCTTTCGTTTCGAAAGATATCCTGGATTGATCACAATAACGCTTTCCACGACCTGAGATTGTTAGTTGAATGTCTCATCCACAAGACGTATTCAGATGACATACCTTAGCAAAAGGAGGCAGAGCACTTGGGACGATGAGAATGTCAGGCCGGACATTGATCATTTCCCCAAGTTTCAAATAGCTTGTATCAATCATGGCTCCAGCCGGCTTTCCACTTGGCGTCCCTGTCTTCGGCAAGTTTTCTCGGTCCATAGGTGGAAAGAGAGGGAAGAAATTCCGTTGCTCAATCAGATATTTTGGTAGACGAGCAAGTAAAGAGGAATCTTTTGGCTTGCCACCAAAAACCTCCGCAGTGCGTAATTCTGTCAGTATATCCTGTGAAGAAATTCCAAAGGCAATTTCGTTAAGTGATATTGTCATTGGATTTCCCACGACCCTAACAGACTTCGGCAGACCGAGTTCTTTCTTCGGAAATGGTTCCTGCGGCCAAGACACATGTTTGTTGATAGCGTCTTTGACAGAAGGCACGAGTAAAATGGTGATGTGAGGATTAGAAGCAACGAGTTGAATGAAAGTCGGAGAGACAAGATATTTGAAGACGGTAGATAATGTAGCCGTATCTGGTTCTTTCAACGCTTCCTCGGGGAGATCAAAATCTCCAGAAGCAATAAGTGGATGATCTATATCCAGGAAAGGGCCAGTGAGAATGAGTGCATCTGCGTATGAATCTGCAGCTTGACTGCAGAGGGCATGAAGTGGCTCGAAGTCTAGATTGTCGTCTGCCGTGTAGGGACCCGAACCTAGTATTATTGACAATGGAGCTGGGTCTGAGTCTGATTCCATCGCATCTGGGTCTCCCTTTAGCCTCTGGATATGTGCTTCAATTCCAGAGGGCGTGGAGGCAGCACTGGCCAGCAGAGGGACTTCCAAGATCTCACTAACGGTGAAGCTCTCGCCTGAAGCATTGATACCTCTCAAAGCCACAATCTGGCCAGGGAAGAATTGAAAGCCAGAAAGAGCTTCGAGTTTTAGTGGTGTTCTCAATCCAGCACCCATTTTGCGTGAGGTCTCGAGGACAAGAGATGCTTCATTAAGCTTTCCTGTCAGCGAGTCCGATGCGATTCTGCCAACCGCTACTATCTCATTTGTGCTTTGACTTGCTGCACTTCCAAACGCGGAATCCTCAAGTTTGTGATGGGATTGAATTAGACCCATGAATTCATCTATCCTGTCGTCCAAGATCTCGGAAGCTTCAGATGACTTCATTGCCATTGGTTTGTACGACAACTTTTTCATATCGGAGTTGGCAGTTAGTTTGATTCGAGGTTCGCCAAATGGTGCAATTGGAGGTTCTGGTCCAGCAAGATGATCGTTAAGCACTTCAACTGCTTGACCAGCATTCGGTCTGTCGTGAAATGAGGCACTTGTAATTCGTCAGCGCATCCACCTAGCAGAACAAGTATACAACATACACTGGACCGTTCTGTTCTCCTGGCTTGTATGGCGTTTTGAACTCCGGCGGACTGCTCACGGGCTCTACCTTCACCCTGCTCATGGAGGGTGTCTCAAGCTTCCGTTTCCCAGTACCGTTGGTTCGATTCGCAGACCCAACCCTTGGTGTATTCGGTACAAGACCATCCAGAATCCCAAACACATCTGCATTGCTGGGTATATTTCGCGGTGTAGCCCCTCCTGCACGTTTATTCGACTGCAGTACATGAGCCTTGCTCCGACTCTCGCGCTCCAAACTGTCCTGGACATCCTTTTTTAGGGCTCTGGCTGTCTCGATATTCAGCTTCATGTCATCAGACCCCATCTTCATGCTGTATGATTCCCATTTGTACCAGAGCTCCTGAACGTCGATTGAATGCAAACGCATAATCGATTGTAACTCAGCGAGGACATCGGGCTCCAATTCTGAGCCAGCGGGAGCAAAGCGCTCCGTAAGTTCTGTATCTGTGAGATCAGCCATTGCGAATGATTGTGGTATTGTGATCGTTGCAGAGTTCGATACAGTTTCTGGATAACTGCTGAGTGGGGAGACGCGTCGAGTCGCGTTGATGAAAGATTTCGCGTTTGCCGAGCGGGCGGCCACTGCACGGGCCACGAAAATGAAGTCTCACTTACACATGAAGCACTTCGCATCAATCTTTCAAATGGATATCTTTTCTTAAAGCATTCAAGTCTTCATAGTTCTTTTGTCCATACACAGGATCGCCCTAAAAAATTACATCATCTCACATCAACAGCACCTTTTTAACCAGAGTTCAGTGGATTGCTTTGTCAACGCCTTCTGTCTCCGTACCCGAGTTCGTGATAGCTATTTGGTAACGGACGTATCTCCGTACATGACACTAGCCAGCTGTTTTCGTGTCTTTCAAACCAAGTGGCCGGTAATTTCTTGAGGTTTATTGGTTGCTTCCTTTGTTGTGGCTGTTGAGCTTTTTATTGTTACAATGCCTTGTCTTACATTGCGTGCAGACAGCAAACAAAGGCATCACCAAGAGACTACCACAACGATGGAGCCTTGATCTTATGTCGTAATCAATTCACAAATTACCTTTCTTAAAATTCGTGTTATTCTTATTTATTGATTCTTCGCAGGTCACTCCATGTCCCCGGTGATATGGCTATGATGACTGCTAAGGTAGGAAATACTACAATCCGTCCAACTATTCCAGTCCAGCCTACAACGACACCCATCAGTCCATATGAGAACATCGAAATCAACGATTCCCTCATTAACTTCAGTCCCTATCGGCAGACTGCATGGCTACAACGTAGTGAAAATTGGCTTAACCTCCCGAAAGACTGGTTTCCTAGAAAAGTGCTTGGAAGAGGCACGTATGGAATTGTTGGACGATGGGATTATAATGGCGACAACACTGCTATGCCTCGATCCATTGCCGTGAAACAGACCGGTGTCACAAAGGCCGGACCACTGATGCTTGAGTCCAAGCTACTACGTTTGCTAACGTTGGTGGGTGACGAGCATATAATCAAACTCTACAAAGGTTGTCATCTGGTAAGTTGGCCATAACTCTCCAGCCGCTCCGCTCGGTGCCGGTGTATCCTCAACTCCAGTCACCGCTTTGCGCAGAAGGCAAGATGCTTACTCTACCAAGGAAGGCGGCAGTGGTACTGACAGGGAGCTTGACCCTCTGCCTTACTCGCCAGATACATTCGCGGGACCCAAAGAACTTGATGTATCAAAGATCTATATTGAGTTCATGCCCGGTGGTGATGCCAGACAATGGCTTAAAGAACTCGAAAAGGATAAGAAATATGTTGTCCCTGAAGAGCACTTGTGGAGAATTCTTAATTGCCTCGCAAGAGCAATTCTGATCCTTGGTAAATTGATCCCACTCTAGGTCACTTGTCAGAGTCAGATACGAGCATTTTCTAGTCTAGATACTGATATTGTTCTTCTGGTTCATAGAGCAGGGATCCGACAATCCTGCTGTTCCTGACGCCGATTGGAGTAAGTCTTCTCTTCCATGCAATATGCCTTCTACAATAGCTCAGTTTTCATCAACCTGTTCTGCCTTTAGGATGGCTGTCGTCCTCAGTGATTCTGTGGCTGACTGCTTTTAGAACGACCGATCTGTCATTTTGACATCAAGCCTGAAAATATCCTGATTGGAGAACGACATTCAGGAGAAGAAACACACCACCTCCTTGAAGTTTTCAAGTTGGCAGATTTTGGTCTGTCCTTATTTGAGAGTAAAGATTACAACAGCACAAGTGACACACGCCTCGAGAAATGGCAAATAAGTTCGGAATGGAGAGGCTCTCCAAATGTAAGGACTATCCCCAATTGCACCGAATCCGTGCTCTCCAAATCATGTTTCCTGTTCTCCATTTATCCAATCTGCCATTGCCTACTTCTTAATAGATATTCGTTGCATTTAGACCTTTACTGACTTTTCACTATTAGTTTACATCACCTGTATATCCAAATCTTTCCAAGGCTGTTGATCAACACTGACTGTCTGTAGGAGCAATGGCACAAACAGCACGAGGAACGTTACATTGGTCGCAGAACAAATGTCTGGGCTGTTGGGGCCGTCATCCATCGAATTATTTGCAAAGGAAATATCAATATGAATAAATGGTATCCACGTCCATCTGAAAGTGGTGGTATTAGTCTGAGTAAGTCTGTTACTACTTTTCTCGATCCATTTCCCTATGCGATTGCACTTCTTCTCGTCATTAAGCCGCAGCTAATTGGCCCCTTTTCTAGTGACAACCGGAGAGTCTAAAAATCTTTGGAATCCAACGATCTGCCCTTACAGCTCTAAATTGATTGAGACGGTTGCCTCTTGCCTCAGCCAGAACCCCAGTGAGCGCATGACAGCAGCCGATCTGTTGACAAAAACGCGATCTGTTCTCGAAGTTTACGATATGGGATTCCGAATCCCCAATCCTGATGCTTTAAGATTGGAAAATACGCCCTCTTTCAACAAACCTCCTAATGCATCCTTCGATAGATTCACGGGAACACCTCCAAAAGTGACTGATGTAACGTATGCCGATGAAGATTCTGGAAATTTTTCGAACCGATACCGGCCACCAATTGCAGTCAGTTCGGAGCAGCCTTATGGTCCTCTCTTCCCGGATTTTAAAGAAGAAATCCGGGTGCCAGAGTCCAAATATCGGTTCCAACGGCTGCCCAAGACGCCTCCACCACCATCGAAGAACCCACCACCAAAACGACGCCTCACTCTGGCATCGCGTCAACCACTCGCACCAATCCAGGAAGGTGTGGCCAGCCTTGTCTATGGAAAGAGAAGGGCGCCGCCCGTGTCACCAGACGTTGCCATGAAGAAACAACGTACGGACGACTTCATACGGAGTTCATTTGAGATAGATCCAATGACTTTCAAAGTCGTCGAAGTTCCAAAATTCAGTGTGGAAGAGAGTCCATTCAAGCCCAAAACTCCGAGCCCATTGGGGAAAATACAACCTCTACTGCTATCTTCAAAGTCGTTTGAAGAACGACTGAGTGCAGGCTTCAAGAGACCGAGTCCGGGACAAACACCAGCCTCATTTCATCCTAGCGATGAATCTATGGCTTAGATAATCTGAGATTCACGATCGCAGTCGACAACGATACATTTCACGGACTGAAGGAGACTACTGGATCTGAGCGCTGCTCTAAATGATATGACTAAAAAAACTCATCACTGGCTGGCACGAGATAGTGGATTCCGCTCGTGTATCTTTTCAGTCTGGCCCTAAATCTCGCTGCACTTTGGATTGGGGCATGAGGTCAAAGTACCTCCAGGGACAATCTATGAGAAGTACTTTGAAGACATCTCTAAATACACTTTAGTTCTCCTACTGTGTGCTGTACGTACTTCGTGGAAGCTAAAGTGTGGCGATTAAAACTACAGTTGCTTGTGCGTACTTTGTTACTCGGGGATTATGTAGTATGGCGTTAGAGGAAGTCCTAGATATGTACTTTGTAAGACACTCTATTGTCTGTGACATAGTGAGACGTCTTTGAAAGATAGACAAGCCGGGATGTAGATAGAGTTGGAGACAGGCACTGTCTCGGGGCAAAAATGACGGAAATCCCTGAACTACTGAGCGTACTAGCACGCAGTTGTTGGATTCTTGGGCCACAATAAATCTGTGTCACAGTTTAAAAAGTTCGAAGTGAAATGATGGTATGTTGGCAAGACGATAGACCTGAACTTCTATCCTGCTGCCAATGCCAATCCTTCCATTCGTCTCCTCAATGTTGAGCTTTCTTCATCCTCAACATCGACCTCAATTTCCATCTTCGGCCTGTTTTTGTTGAGCCCTTCCAGAAGCATACATGCCTTGCAAATATCCTGACTAGACATGTAGCCACAATTCTTGCAAGTACCAAGTGTTTGCCTCGTGAGCTTGCGGCCAGGGTCTTTCTTGAGCCCGTTTCGGCCTCCTATTCTATCGTGGCGTTGCCCATTTGCTTTTCTCGGTGTGATCGATGCGACATCGAACTCCCTCGACGAGGCCTCTTCATCTTCCTGCAACTTCTTCTCCATCTCAGCCATTTCCCCACCACTCGATCTTCCATTCGACCCACAGCCACCAGCGCCTTCTTCTTCGCCATCAGCACTTGACAACGAAACTTTCTGGCTCTTGCAATGACTGATACCGGTGACCTCTGCAGGAACCAACTTTGCCATGTCCTCTCCACTCCGTACGATATCCAGAATAGCGCTAGGTCGGATTCGTTCTAAGCTCTTGATCAACGTCCTTGCACTTCCTCTAAATGCTTCTGGGCTGTATATGCACTCGGTACTGAAATAGTCGAGTTTTTTATGCAAAGCATAGAGCACAATCTCCTTTTCGTATGCATACTTCAGAGGTTTACTCCGTCGAACTTCGCTTGACTCATCGCCGGTGACAATGCTTGTACTTCTTGCCAGTCGAGGTAAGTCTCCCCGTAAGAGATTCATTAAGATGGTCTCTGCCACGTCGTCGGCATTATGTCCTGTGACCACATGTTTTATTCCCAGCATTTTTGCCCCTCTATCCAACGCCTGCCGTCTGAATACCCCGCAATATGTGCAATTTCCCTTCTTGCCGATCGTTTCCACGACTTGGTCCATGGTCCACCCATATAGCTCGTCGTAGCCTACGATCTTCAACTCCATGTCGTACTGGATAGCGTTCCTCTTGACTGTTTCGAGTGAATCATCTCTGTAGCCTTTGATTCCTTCGTCGATACTGAGTAAGACCAAGTCTAAACCATAGTTGTACCGTTCGTTGAGGGTCTTAAGTACCGACGCGAGGACCGTCGAGTCTTTCCCTCCCGATGCGCCTATTGCTATCCTGTCTCCGGGAGAGAAAAGCTTCGTAGTTGTGATTGTGTGGTGGATTTCTTCTTCGAAGATGGTGATAAAGCATGCTTTGCATAGTTTCTGGCCGTTTTTGGGTCTCTTTACTAAAGCTCTAGCATTCTCGCAGATGGCACATAGAGCCGGCGCCATCTTCAGAGCTGTTTTTACAGAAAAGAGAGCAACTTGCAAGGAGTATGATGTCTGAATTCGAGTCACCAATAATTTTTGGAGCTGTCGCCAGATCACGTGAAAACACTAGCGGGTGCCAAGATTTTTAGCGTCCTTTCTTTTCGCACACATTGTCGCGAATTTCGAAATCTTTTTCAAGACCTCATCGACAAACTACGACGCCAACTCGCTGCATCGTCACCATCAGCGATCCATCAATATGGTAAGCTTTTGATATTATTACGTTCCTTACAAAGTGAAATACTCGCCACCGCTCTCCTACCTCTACGAGCAATCGCACGTCGAGATGCGTTTTCCGTTAATCACCTTCGGGTGTTGATGAAGACTGGCTTGAGCTACAACTGCGCAGAAATGCCAGTGTAGTCTCTTTAGAGTTCAAAGAAGATTATTAGTGAACATATTCGCTGATGGTTTCTTTTCTCAATGATAGCCTCCCAAAGCCGGAAAGAAGGCTGCTCCAGCCCCATTCCCCCAGTCCAAGGCTGGTGCAGGATCGAAGAAGGCCCCAAAGGTAAGCACATCCCTATCAAACAACCATTGAGTCTATGCTGACAATATTAGAACCCTCTCATCGAGAAGCGAACCCGTAACTATGGCATCGGTCAAGACATCCAACCAAGACGAAATCTCTCCCGTATGGTGAAGTGGCCCGAGTATGTCCGTCTCCAACGACAAAAAAAGATTCTCAACCTTCGCCTGAAGGTCCCACCTGCGATCGCCCAATTCCAGAACGTCCTCGACCGAAACACCGCTGCTCAAGCTTTCAAGCTCCTCGACAAGTACCGACCAGAGAGCAAGACCGAGAAGAAGGAGCGTCTGTTGAAGGAGGCTACCGCCATCAAGGAGGGCAAGAAGAAGGAGGATGTCAGCAAGAAGCCATACGCCGCCAAGTATGGTCTCAACCACGTTGTCGGACTCATTGAGAACAAGAAGGCCGCTTTGGTTCTCATCCCCAACGATGTTGACCCAATTGAGTTGGTTATCTTCCTCCCAGCTCTCTGCCGAAAGATGGGTGTCCCCTACGCCATCATCAAGGGTAAGGCCAGACTCGGCACGGTAGTCCACAAGAAGACCGCTGCTGTTCTTGCTTTGACCGATGTCCGATCCGAGGACAAGACTGAGCTGTCAAAGCTGGTCCAGGCCATCAAGGAGGGCTACGCTGAGAAGTATGAGGAAGCCAAGAGACACTGGGGTGGTGGTATCATGGGTGCAAAGGCTGTTGCTCGTACCGAGAAGAAGCGCAAGGCTCTTGAAAGTGCTATCAAGATCTAGATGTTTTCTGGACTGGTTCGTGGCGTTTTTCATGATATTATGGCTGGGCATGGATCGTAGCTAGGCATGACACGAAAATTCCAGCTGGATGATACCATATGTGTTGTGCTTCCATTCCTGTGACTTCACATATTGTTTTTGACCAGATGCGCTTGCGAGTGCTTGTCCTTGCGAGTGCTTGCGCTTGTGTAGGCCGGGAGCCTTGGTGACTGAGTAGTGATACAAGTCTAAGGTCTTGGTACAGAGTACAAGAAATCCACCGAGCTCCCATGGTTAGGCAATCACTCTACCTACTGCCAACGAATGGAAATTATCCGGCTGACCACCAATTGAGACACTCGCATCTAGTCACGAGAATACAGAGGAAGCGGGAAAATCCATCGAAGCCTAGAAGCACCTTCATTTATATATTTGTTTTTTGCATCGCACCTCATCTCAGAGAAAAAGAATTCTTCGTCCACGATCGTTTCAATACTAGCATCCCCCAATGCTTGATCTGTTGGTCCTTGCCCCTCTTGGCAGATTCATTGCTGCAGGATCGCCAGCAAGGATGCTCCTATCTTGAATCCCACAGAAGCTTCATTTTCCAAAGAGGTTGCGTCAGTTGACCTACCAAGTCTTCTTGTTCTCCTTGTACACGCATACTCTCTCTGTTGACCACCCAGACGGCTGAGAAAGCTTTGACGAAAATTTTCTCGCGGCAGTGACGGTACTCAATGAGGCATTTGATCTCAAGGCCCTGTGGCGGGGCGCCACATCTCGAGTTCTGTCTTTGCTGATGGAGGGGTGTCTCGGACACCGATCCATAAATCCATAAATCCTAGCGGAAAGAGTCCGTCATGTCCCACGTCCCATCAGCAGCGATGTTACATTAGCATACCTAGCTAGGCGCAGGCAACGCGCCGAAAGATCCCAAAAAATGCCAGAATTAAAATTTGGCGTGACTCTCGGACGAATCCGTTGAGACAGTTCCCTGTGTTTTAAGTATCCCGTCCTGCCGGACCGGGTGTTCCCTCGCTCTTCCTGCGTTGCTGCTTCATATACCCACATACATCCTTCTCTCCAGCTTTTCCAGCTCATCATCGTACGTTTTTTTTCGTTGTGGTATATCTCTCATCAGCTGATTGTTTCCCCGGGTGTTCCATTCTCATTTCTTCGATTCTCCTTCTGGAAGCCCGGCTTGTCATTCGAGAGGCTAATCGAGAAGGACCCATCAAGACAATTGGGGCCTGTGATTGGACACCGATAGCCCGTTATCGATCCCGCTGCCGGAGAAAGGACCACCGCGGTTCAAGATTCAACAAATATTCACCAACCCTCACTTCTTCCTTTTGAGTTTCGAGATCCTTGTTCTCTTTCCTCACCACCTCAGCGCGCTTTGTACATTTTTGAGTTTCAGAGACGGTCTTTCCCTTCATTAAACATATTCACAATGGCTTCACAACGTAAGAATACCCCCACACCGACTTCTTTAATCCAGCTACTCGAGCGGGTGCGCGATCAACACAGAAGAACATGGCTGATCAATCACTTTCAATTACAGGCGGAGATGCGTTCGACTACGCTCTGAAGTCCAACGAGGCATGGGCAAATTACAAAGGTCACCAAAACCCAGCTTTCTTCGAGAAACTCGCAACCGGACAATCGCCTTCCATCCGTAAGTACTCTCCCGATGACACAAGTATATATACATGCATCTGACGAAAACAAACAGTTTGGCTTGGCTGCTCCGATTCTCGTGTCCCTGAAACCACCCTTCTCGGTCTCCAACCTGGCGATGTCTTCGTCCACCGCAACATCGCCAATATCATCTCGCCCACGGACATCAACTCCAACGCCGTCATCGAGTATGCCGTCGTCCACCTGAAGGTCAGCCACATTGTTCTCTGCGGCCACACATTTTGCGGCGGTGCTGGTGCCGCATTGGGCGATTCGCGGGTTGGTGGGGTTATTGATGCTTGGATTACACCATTGAGAGCTATCCGCAAAGCCCACGATGAGGAATTGAACGCTATCAAGGATAGCGCCAAGAGAGCTGTTCGATTAGCGGAGTTGAATGTTGAAGCTGGTGTCCAAGTTCTTTTGAGCAACTTTGTTGTCGAGGAGGCTGTTAAGGATAGAGGATTGAAAGTCCATGGTGCCGTTTACGATATTGCTTGTGGCAAGGTTCGGGACCTGAAGTGTGGAAATTCCGGATCACTTCCTGGAAGTGCTACAGAGGAGGAGCTGGAGATCATCAAGGGCAATCACGGCATGTTGGTCTTTGGTGGAGATGGAGCTAAGATGGCTATTCGATGAACACAGTTTTCACAGAACGAACGACAAAAATCTTGGGGCTATCAGGTCACGGTCTAGAGTGATGAGCGAGGTGTTGTAGAAGGCGTGAATGGCGTGTTAGACCGAATACCCTGCAAATAATGACGGGAGGTGTTCTGAACATTGGCTCAGCAGATTTGCTTGGAGCTGGGCGCTCACTTTGCTTCCACATTCAAGAACTGGCAATAGAATTCTTCTGTATGCAATCCCGAATCCCGAATGCTGAAGCCCCTTTCCCGTGCCTACGCGGGGCGCGTCCTACATTCTCATGCAACTTTCTTCTGTGGTATCATGCCGTACACCCGTACATACCTCTCATCTATTTCGTATCTCGTCAACATCCAATCATTAGTGACATGCATTCCCGGCAGTCCGGCGTGCTCTATTTGCCGTCCGAAATTCCCGTATCCTAGAACTCGTCCACAGTGACACCAATATTCTTTTCCCTAGCGAGCTTTATGACATCGCTTCCAACGACCAGATCCATCAATCCCATGCCTACAGATTTGTAGATCACGTTACCTCCACTCAGCCACCTACTCATCTGGTCTTCTTTCTCTGTCTGTATCTTTTTCCTTCTCAAAGATGACATGCTGCCACTTCTCGAATGTAGCGAGAAGGATCCCTTGCGCGAGAAGGATGATTTCCTCGACACACTAGCAGACTTAGGACCGCCATCAATGCTATGTTCCCTGAATGCTCTCGCCAGACTGCGAGAACTATCTGGAGACACGGGAGATACATTCTCATTCGTCGAATCCTCCGGGCTGTCGTCGATAGCGGAGTCGTCTTCTTGAGGCATATGCATTTGCTCCAGCATCACCAGCTCACCTAACTCGACGGTGCGGTCTGGGGGCACACTGGCTTGCACGAGTTCTCCTGCCTCTTTGATGCACGCCAGTGTGTCGACGACAATCACGCCACCTTCTTCGGCGTGCTTGTGGAAATGAAAACCTGGTCCATGGACCTTAATAGCCTGCGTCAGGACCTCGGGAGGAACCTCAATCATATGAGGCTTGTAACTCCCAATAGCGATGATGAGCCTGGCTCTCCGTCTGCCCTCGGTATTCGTGAGGATCGTGTGGTCGAACAGCGGCTCGGAACTGGGCGTCGTGCAGATTATGACATCCGCGGCTCGAACGTGGTCTTTCAGTATGCGGCCTATCTCGCCGTATTTCAGGGATGTGAGGTCGAAAGTTGTGTCGAACCATCCTTCTGCCCTCTTCTTTGCGGGATCGTAGCCTACGAAAGATTTCATGCACATTGCTGCTCGGTGGTTGAAGTCGCGATTTAGGAAGTGGACTTTCTTGATGGTGGGGCCGCGAAGGAGGAGGGCAAGGCGGACGTGCCAGTATGCTTGCTTGCCAGTTCCAAACACGGTCAAGGTCTTGACTTTCGTTCTTCGGTTTATGAGGAGGGAGGATGCAAGTGCTGTTCGGAAAGCAGTGACTTCTTCGGCATTGAGGAAACCAAATGGTCTTCCGGAAGCGTCCATCAAGGTGAGGGCTCCTTGAGGGGTGGTAGCTTCGCTGTCAATCTCGGCATCTTTCTCTGGTGATGCTGGTGGCGCTGCAAGCGTGACAACTGGGTAGAGTCAGTATCTGAGTCAAGAAACCGGTGCCATTGCAGCCTACCTTTCATCCCAATGCCTGAAGAACTCGTGGAGGGCATGAACAGCGTTGTAGTTCCATTGCTCGACTCGATGACAGTCCGATTTGGCTGATTGGCAGCAGAAGCACCCGAAGACGTGGTACCCGTTGCATACTCATGAAGAGCTTCTCGCATTGAAGATTGCAAATCAAGCAATTCCTCCCTATCCAAGCTTTGCAGAATATCTTTGACATTCGCATCGGTTAGAACGGTGAGAGGCATCTTGGAATGTTTGAGGGGCGAGTCGAAGTTTTGCTTGGCATCTATTGCTTGTCTGGAGTCATCGAAGACAGCAGCTTCTTTATGTTCGAAGCTCTCTCTGCTCGGACTTATGGCATCGCGGAGTTTTTCCTTCAAAACCCAGATTCTTGATGGGAGTCTGGACGGCATTCTTCTTATCTAATCTTAGCGTCTCCACTTTTTGTCAGATTTAAATGCTCGGGTTTAAGAGGGGCGAAAGTTCGGGGCTTGGCGGAGTAAGTTTCTTTAACATCACTTCTGCTCTCGATCATTGTATATCTTCGAAGAATGCTTTCTTGAGATACAAATTCGACCAGCCGCTGCTGTGACAGGCTTCTCTAATCCTAGAAAGTATGCTTGGCGGATCATTGGCCAGAATGTCTCAGTGTCTCACCGCATTTCAAGTTTCTGGATTTCCTTCTCCGAGATGCGCATTTGGAAAAGCAACCCCCACGATGTTGCACAATGATTCTGCATGCACGGGATGTCTGGATGGAAGACGCATCTCAGCCCGTGTAAGCCATTGGGATCATTGGTTACAGGAGATGCCCATGTGACTACGATGTCTGTCTCTGCATTAATATTAGGAGGAGTAACCAATGTCTGGACTGTTGGTTTTGTGCTATTCCAATTTGAACGTGAGGAGTAATTGAGCACGAGGACAAGCTTTCTGACTGCATAATATGTGCGTACACGTGTTTGGGTGAGCTTGTCTATTCCAGGTTGTTTTCCTCTGAAACTGATTTGAACAAGGCTCTCAGCTCATGGATGACCCGAGTCTAGAGCGAGATACTACGGGTATCACCTTCCAAGGAAAGTTGTGTACCGTCCAAGTCCTTCATTTTGTTGAAATGACTTCGCGTTCGAACATTGGCTCTCCTCTCCTTAAAATTTGTCTAGCATGAAGGGATTCGAGCATGTTATTTATTATTTTACAACGTCATTGCGCGTTTCTGTGCTACTAGATAAGAAGCACCGTCCTCTTGATTATGCTCATAAACAGTAACATTTATGTGGCTATCACGATCGGCATTGTTATTGCGTCTTGTATGCAATGTTTGTCCAGCAGCGTGAGGCTTATTTCAAGAATAAGCAATCTTCGGAAGCATTCACCAATCATGCTTGGCGACTACCCACTGGTTATCGAAACTTTAACGCATGTTTGGATTCTAATATTAGACTTACTGCTCCCTTCGATGGTCGGCTGGGGTCTGGGAATCAATTACAGTGTTCTGTACTCGACTCTTCGTTGGACGAATTGTCTTGATTTCAAAGTGTCAAGCTACTAGAAATGTGCAAGAGGATTGACTACACTAAGATGTACTTCTCTTGGCCAATGACTATAATCTAGAACAGATTACATCCGGTCAATAGCACATAGACGAAATTTATATCTTATATTTTTGCCTGTCCGAAATGAATCAACTGGAGCATAATTAGAGAGATGCTTGTCCCATGAAATTTCATTCTACAAAATTGACCAGGATGTACATAGATGAGATTACTGTGAGTCATGATCTGCTGTATTGAAAGAGGTATTGTAATACATGTGATACCATATCTCCTGCGTGAACTGAGACTCGATCATAAAACCGTTCGGACTTGGTAGAAAACTTGATGTGGCTAACGCCGACAAATCTGGAGCCCCGCACCGAGACGAGACGTTGTTGGAAGGAGATAAGGGATCCTCCGAGAGCCAGTGGAGATAATGCGCGGAGGGTCATTGAAGCTCATGGTGTAACATAAAACCTACTTGCCTCCCACTATCTGAATTCTCCCTCCATGTTCCGCGTGTGGAGTCTGTCATCCTACAACCTCGTCTCACAATTCAGGGCGGCTCACACCACAACCAAAGCAATTAACCCCACCCTGAAATTCCACACCTCAACAACGACAATGTCCGAGAAAGCAGTACCAAAAATGGAATACACCCGCCTGGGTAACTCTGGACTCAAAATCTCCAAAGTGATCTTTGGATGCATGTCCTTCGGTACTCCCGAATGGCAAGAATGGGTCCTCGACGAAGCAGCAGCTCTACCCCTCCTCAAGCACGCATACGACGTCGGACTTAATACCTGGGACACAGCCGACATATACTCGAACGGCCAATCCGAGGAGATTATCGGGAAAGCATTGAAGAAATATGAGATTCCGAGAAACAGGATTGTGATTCTGACAAAATGCTATTTCGGCGTTGCTGAAGATGGGACTCAACCTCCGATTGCGGCGGCGAGTGTGAATGATGGCCTCATGGTCAATCGAACGGGGTTGAGTAGGAAGCATATTTTGGATGCGGTGGATCAGAGTGTGAAGAGATTAGGGACGTATATTGATGTGCTGCAAATTCATCGGTTGGATAGAGATACACCAAGAGAGGAGATCATGAGGGCCTTGAATGATGTTGTGGACAGTGGGAAAGTGAGATATATTGGTGCTAGTAGTGTAAGTTTGTTCCAGCAATTGAGAAGAAGAGAAGACTTACTAGTCTTAGATGGCTGCTTGGGAGTTCCAAACTCTGCAAAATATTGCAGATAAGCATGGATGGCATAAATTCATCTCGATGCAGAACTACTACAATCTACTGTATCGCGAGGAAGGCATGTGGTTTTGCCTTCGAATTTCATGATGCTGAACTGACTTTTTAATAGAGCGAGAAATGATTCCTTACTGCCGGGACACAGGAGTTGGCTTGGTTCCCTGGTCTCCACTCGCCCGAGGAGCACTTGCACGACCATTCACAGACCGCTCTACTCTTCGAGAGAAGAGCGACTCAGGGCTTACGAGATTGATCCGTTCTAAGGAGTCCGAGATTGACAAGCAGGTAAATGAGCGGGTTCAAGAAATTGCCAAGAAACATGGAGTCTCCATGACTACCATTGCTACTGCATGGTGTCTAAGCAAGGATAAAGTCAACCCGATCATTGGACTGAGCTCCAAAGAAAGAATTGATCAGGCTGTGGAGAGTGTGCAGTTTGCCAGTTCTGGAAAGTTGACAGCAGAGGATATCGCATATCTCGAGGAGGGCTATGCACCAAAGGAGTTGATAGGGCTATTGACAGGAAGCCAATCTTATGCAACACACCGGGGATAGTCGCCCGCAAGCTCTGGAGAGCCGGGAGGCGAAGAGGTCCCCATATGATCCCAAGGCCGGTAGCTGAGTTGGATTGATACGAAGCCAAGAAGCCAAAGGACAGAAATTAAAAGTTACTTGACACCAATGTCCAATGTATAGTCGGAACTTTTGTATCAGGGAATCGCTCTCATTTCCCTTTAAAAAAATTTAAAAAAAACTTGAAATCTCATTCTGAGGCAGCAACGGCTTACCACAAATGAAAATAACACAAATGACAGTAAGATCGTACAATAATAGCATGTGAAGGAACACTTCTCATATTGCAAGACATGTGACCAAAGCTGCACAGTGCGTGCCACTGACAGCTAGAAATTGACCAAATCAAATTCCATCACAGATCACGAAAAATTTGGTCTCTAAAAGCCTTAAAAGTGTGGTTTTGTTGCAGTCTTCCCATTTCTGGTCCTTGAATGCCGCCACCAATCATATTGGTTTCGATTAAGCTTGTCTCCTTAACTTTCCCTTTTGGGTCTAAGTTCGCTCCCCTTATCGAAGCAGTGCGATTAGAGTGGGGGATTGTGACGAACTGTTTCAACATCATAAATTCTTTTCGCCCACCTTCCATTAACTAATTTACATATTCTAAAATACCATATCCTTTCCTCTTTAAGAGTTCCTATCATTGCACAATCAACTTTCGAAGTTAACTTTAAGTTGCGTTGTTACTCCTCCATAGAAAAGCCTGCTCCGCATCGCTTTTTCATCTCAGACACGCCTACCCTTTGTTAAGACAGCGCACAACACACTCTTGCCTGAAAGCAATTTCAAGGGTACCCCCCCATTGAAGAGACCAAGGCACAATGTTCTCCTCGAGCGTCTTACTTCTGGGGGTGGTTTCTATCTCATTCCTCGCCATTTACAAGCTCATCATCTACCCTGCCTTTCTCTCGCCATTAGCAAAAGTTCCCAATGCACATTGGTCTTCGCCAATCGCACCAATCTGGATATTATGGACTCGATACAATGACCTGGAGAATCGAGTTCTACATGCAGCGCATCTTAAGCATGGAACTGTCGTTCGTCTTGCCCCGAATGAGCTGAGCATCAACGACCTTGCCGGTCTAAGAACGGTCTATGCTGGTGGATTTGAAAAGGGAGAGTGGTACTCGATATTCGACAATTATGGGTTTGTTGCTTGTCCAGCGATCTTGAATTATTACCTGACTTGCTTTCAGAGTTCCATGCATGTTCTCATCTTGGCATTCCCGGACACATTCAGCTCGGAAAAGAATGATCTCAAACATCTACTCTAAATCCAACATCCATAATTCTCCTGCTCTCGCAGCACAAGCCCAAGCAATTCTGTACGACAGACTTCTTCCCAAGCTTACATCCGCCTCTGGACCTCAAAGCCATCCTAATGGCGTTGACGTGCATGACATATGGAACGCCACCACCATGGACTTCATCACCGCATATATTTTCGGTCTAAAGAATGCAAGCAACTTTCTTGCAGAGGAAGTCTATCGCAAGCATTGGTTTGGGCTTTACCATGCCAGGAAGGTTTACACCTTCTTCCCGCAAGAGCTTCCTCATTTGACCGTTTTCTTCAAGAAACTCCATCTTCACCTCGTTCCCACTTGGGTCAATGATGCGAATCGAGAACTTGAAGTTTGGACTCAAGAACGCTGTCATAGTACTTCCGCATACATTAAAAATGGCTTAGCAGCCAAGGACAATGATCCTGCCAACGTACCAGTGGTGTTTCAGGCGATGCTTGCGGGCATCGAGAAAGAAGAGAGAATGAAAGGCGCAGAATCAGTCCTTAAAAACGAAACACTCCAGTATCCTGAACTTAGTATCGCGAGTGAGATGATCGACCATATCGCTGCGGGTCATGAAACATCTGGCATCACACTTACCTACCTCTCTTGGGAACTGTCCAAGAACATCCCATTACAGGATGCCCTTCGAGCCGAGCTTCTTTCCCTGTCGCCAAACATGTCACTCTCTGGATCAGGGTCCTCAAAAAGTATTCCCAGCTCCAAGGACCTTAACATACTCCCTCTACTCCATGCTATCCTGATGGAAACTCTTCGTCTGCATGCTGCCATTCCAGGCAATCAACCACGCATGACACCATACCCCTCATGCACTCTCGGTCCATATACTGATATCCCAGGAGGAGTCCGGATCGGTTCTCACGCTCACGTCCTCCATCGCAACTCTGAGGTATATCTCGATCCCGATAAATTCGACCATGTAAGATGGTTGGATGATCAGAATGGATATACCGAGGAGCAGAGACGGGAACGAGATAGATGGTTCTGGGCGTTCAGTAGTGGTGGAAGGATGTGTGTCGGAAGCAATTTTGCTATGCATGGTATGTCACTCTTCGCTGTTAATATGTGATGAGAGAGATGCTGATGTAGCCCAGAGATCAAGCTCACTGTTGCAGCTGTATATGCCAATTTCAGGACACACATTGTGGACGATGAAGGTATTGAGCAGACTGATGGCTACACATGCGGTCCAACAAGCAATAAGCTCTTTCTAAGATTCGAGAAAGTAGTGGATTGATCCTTGGTCGATGAATGAGATATGGGTACGGAAGTAGGAATGATACCAAGAAGCTCTGCGAATTGTTATCTTGCTCGAGAAATTTGCGGAATTCCAACGGAATGATGAGTGGGGATGGCCACCGAGCATTTTTGGATGTTTAGCTAATCTATCTCTAATTCAAGACTCCAAATGACAACGCACAGCACTACTGAAATATCCTCCCTGTCATCATCTGAGTCGCCTCTTCGACAAAACATCTTTACCTTCCCCTATGTTACCACCTGTGTCATCAATTCTCAACATTCTTCTCTTCAATTAGTATTGTTTTCGGTTCTCAATATGACTAGTGCCTCTGAGGTAATCTCTTACAAATGAGCTTCTAGAGATTCAAGGTCCTGAAATTGTGCTTCCAGATTGTGCTTCTATTTCAGGGTTTGTTGCATATCGCAAGTTCCTGCCCCGAGTTGCTGCCTCCAGTTTGTGCTTTCCATTTCAGAATTTGTTGCACATCGCAAGATTGTGCTTCTACTTGCTGCCCCAAATTCCTGCCCCCTCCAGATTTCATTTCCACTTTCTGGTTGGTTACATATCCTAACCCTCTTCATCAAAATATTCTAAACCCCCTCTTGATTGGTGGTGTCAATAAATCCAAATGACGTTGTCTTGACACCTTCTTGATTCTGCCTCGAGGAAAAGCGTGATTCATTTTGCTGTGAAAAACCTACCTACAAGTATCTAATCTCTCAGAGAATATGGTCCGTTCTTTCTCTGCTCATAAACATGCTGAGTTGTCACCATCCAATTGACAAGATCCAGAACGAACAAAAGCAACTTAGCTCTATTCCGCGCCAAATCTGAAAAGTACTTATCCATACCCACTCTCCACTACCACCTGCTACCTCAAGTTTTTTCGACACAGCAGAATATTCAACGATAGTACTGCGGATCATCGAAGCTTTCTCTGAAAATCGGTGCAGGAGCCTTCGAAGCAGACTTAGGAAGACTACTAGACTGGGATTGCTCCGGGCTCTGGAGTGAAGACACTACAGAAGTGGAAGGCCTCGAAACATCTGGTTTGGGCGACGATTGACTCTGAGACTCAGCCTCTTGGGCAGGTGCGTCATTCATGGTCAGGTCGAGGGGTTCTTTGAGGACATCTAGTGAAGTGGATACCGAAGCAGGTGTCTCGGAAGAGGCATTATCACTTTCTGGACTGTTGGGAAGATCTAGAACCGCCCCGAATCGGATGCTCTCGATTTGTGAGTCTCTCTCTGCTGGAGTTGTTGGCTTGTCAAGCATGGGCCTATCTAGTGATTGATCTTCTTGAGCGAAAGAGATCGTCGATGGTTGAGCAAATTCGAGTCGTCCAGACTGGTTGGATGATGGAGGGAGAGTGGCTGTATGGGAAGGCGAAGATCTTTGCTTATCCTTGTTTATTTCGTTTCCATCTCCGTCGATGTCAGAGTACAGATAGTCGGAGTCATCGAGCAGGCTCATTGAGGTAGAAGGGGTGGGTTTCGTAAGCTCCTCGTTTGAGAGGGAATAACCAGGACCATACCGAGCTACGATAAAATTTTCTTTCCGAGGCGCTTTGACGGGCTGCTCAGGTTGCTTTCTGAGTTGAGTCTTAACTAGAGCCCTGGATTGAACGGGATTGTTGAAGGTAGTTCTTTGAAAGCCGGACTCAGTCTTGGAACGTTTGGCTGCATTAGAACGTTCTTTCTTTGACTCGGGAGCAACACCATCTAGCACACGTGTACCCCATAAAGCAATCATTCGAGGCGCTTTGAGTGGCGCCAAGCCTTTAGCTTTGAGGATTTTCTTATGTGCATGAACAATGTGGCCTAAGATCGACTGAAGAGGGTCATCAGTCCATTGAAGGTAGCCAGGGAGTTTTTCGCACCAAGGACAAGCGACAGCCCAGATTCCGGGAACGAATTTTTCCTCCTCTTTGCAGAATTTTCTGTCAGCAGACAGATGGCCATAGACTTGATTTTCCTTCAAATCATCCATCAAGCATGTGCGCTCGAATGATGGCATGGTATCATCTTCGCTTTCATCCCCACTTTCATCATCTGCATCATCATCGTCATGTTCTCCAAGATACTTTCTCTTCTTGCTGTTTCGTGCATCCAACTTGGGAATAAAAGACAGGGTCCGTGTTTCAGACGAAAATTCTGCTTGAGCAGATATTGTGACAACAAATTTCATCTCGCTCGTTGTTCTCGAGGCTGTACCATAGCGCTGCAACTCTTCGAAGAGCTCTGCAAACACTACTTTTGAGACTTCGTTGATATCTTGCGTGGATCCATCCGAGCTCTTGTTGTGATCGTTTCGTCTTTTGCCATGAGGCTCTATTGCTGTTGAATATCGTCGAGTATCTGCAGTGATCTGGTTAGTCTCTTCGTCAATATCGTGAAGCCAAGTATCCTTACCACGGACCTGTCTCCTACCTTCATTATCATTCATTTCGATGTTCAGGTGATCCTGAGCTCCACTTCCAAATTGCTGTGTTGAGAAGGAGAGAAATTGTTTGTTGCTTTACAATAAAAAGACCAGAGGGTGTTGTCTTCTCGATATATATAGTCTATACTTGAGACCAAGGGTATCTTGCGACTTCCGACTTGCTCATTCGAGAAGCTTGCCTAGGAAATTACCATTTCATTCTACCGCTCGAGCTTTCTCGAATGCCTCGTGCAGCTGTGCTTAGGCATAACAGTAAGGGAGGAAAGATGTGGCAGGATATGTTGATGCTAAGCTCAGGCTTGGAGAGAACAAGGCAAGCTTTGGTACATTTCATGAACCATCTACGACCACGAGGTCTGATATGTATCCATTTGACTTGATGCTGTTGTTGGCGAGGGCCGATTGTCGACTGGGGAGACATGTTGAAGCGCAACCAGCGCAGCCAGCGCAAAACGTCACACAAGAAATCATCTGACAGTCAGTGGAATCGTCATCATAGGAGAGCTGTTTTTGCTGTAATTTAATATACTTGACAGGAAACGAATGACGTTGTCTTTCTCAGTTGTCGGCTTTCGAGGAAGCATCGTATTGTCAACTGAGTGACGACGGCACCGACTTGCCTCAGTAAGGGAAGTTCTGGGCTCGAGCATCGTTTTTGCGTGCTGGTGCTGTGAACCCATCTTTCGTATGCTTAATCTTCCGACCTTGTATCGATTTCTTGTCCATTTTGCCCATTTTGCCCGTCCTCTGCCCTTGAATTATGATTTCGGTTCATGTCGTCGTTGCAGTGACCTTGTGTTCATCAATAGCCGGACATTTGTTGAGACAATGACAAACGACAAGTTCGAGGAGATTTAAGCCTCGTTACAAAGACCAAAATGAGTTCTGTTTGTACCTAGATAGCGTCTTTAGAGTATGCATTGCCTTTCTTTTCTGGTGGCAAGGACAAGCGTGCAAAAGGAGCAGGAGGTCGAAGGTCTTCATTGCATAGAAGAAGCGTTGGATGCCAACGGTATATCCTGGCAAAAGAAGTAATCTGTTTCAGACCTCCAGTGCATGGCTCTTCGGAACTGCTGAACGAATCGAATCGACTGAGGATTCACCGAGGCTAAGGAAGGCTTCTGGTTAGGTGACATACATTTGCAATGGTTTGCGCAGGAATGGAACCTTCCTCGAAAGGTCCAATGAGCGAGCTGGGAGTTATTGAATGCCGTGGGTTGAAGTAGAGAACTATAGAAGCCTATTTAGTCGTAAGAAGGTCGATTTTTCATCGAAGTTGATTACCCCAAGGCCTAGCTGCTTTAGAAAGATCGATAAACTTAATGCGCTGTCTGTGTACTCGCAGCTTAAAGATCTGGAAGACAAAATGCACGGGAATAGTGACTGTTCCTGAGCGTTGTGAGAGAAAGCTACCTAAAAAAGGATGGACGAGGTGTGATTAAAGCGTGAGAGGGTCGTTTTCCACATGACGCAAATCAAGAGCGCCTCATTCCCGTGCTGGCTTTCAAGTCTTTGGCATCGATCAGTGGAAAGATTGACTGAGACTCGATGGCCCTGTCTATACCTGACATACACACTCTGTGACCGGATAACGGGCTATTCGAAGTGCCGCAGTTCTGCAACCGTTTCTATCTGTTATCACCTGATGCTTCGTTTCTGACTTGACAGCACGTTTCATCTCATCTTTGATCAGGAGCCGTTGCCATCCTTCTTTTTCGGTCGCGAGGTCGTTGTGCATTCTTTAGGAAGTTCGGCCGAGTGGAGATGTGGATTGTGGGTGCGAGCTCAAGGCGTTCCGGGTAAGGATAGGGGTAAGCTGCTTAAGCGAGAAGGGAAGGAAGAGGCTAGCTTGGTGACGGAAGGGGCTGGGTTATCCCGGTGAAGATCGCGGAGATTAATCATGACACGGGGCAATTGGCAAAGCATCCTTGTCATGCCCGTGTATTACTGTATTGCCGTTGGTGGCTTTTCGTGGCGTCACAAGCCTTATGTGGTCTTTGCTACCATGCACGTCAATTCGTTAAGCCTCGATGCAGGGTCCTCAGGAACAGTTTCGCGGCTTACTTGCCTTGGAGGAGAGGTGTACGCCCACATAAGCCCAATTTGGCTTTCTCGCGGTAATAAGCTCTGAAGAGCCGCATCTACCATGTGCCCAGCTTGACTCTTGAGACGAGAGGGTTTGAATGACTCGGATTCCCTAGACTCATATAGCTTCTGGCAGGTCTGAAATACACCAAAAGTGCTTGTTTTCTTGGCTATTTCTTACTTCCGCTGCTTAAAGCTGACTGAAGTTTGATAATTAGAAAGTTTTTGAAGTCACTGCGCTGTCAATCCACTTTATTTCATGAACTTTTGAAGCGGGCTCGTTGAGGTTGTTTTCAGATGTTCGCAGTGCATTGATAGTCGACGACACCAAGAGTTCTTGGCACTCCACCAAACTCAAACTACATTTCTGAGACAAGGAGTTAGCTAAACTAAAATAAAAATATGCATAGTTGGTGGATGACGTTTCTGTGCTCTCGCACGTTCGTAGTTCGCAAATGCAAAAGGATTCCGCTCGACCGTTGCGAGGGCAACATCTGATGATGCAGAGGAGCAAGCAAAGAAATAACAGCACGGACATGTAACCTGGCTCTTTTATGAGCAAGTAGATGCACGAGATCACTGTAGGTGTGGAATCAGTATTTTCAGAGTCATGTATTTGCTCAATGCCGTCAGTCACTGTTATTCGTCGTCAATAGTGGCTTGGCCTTTCCCAGGAGTTCTGAAGTTTGAGGTTTAATCCTCAAGCCGTCTCGTTGTGCACATCGTGACTCTTGGTAATGCATGGAATTATGGAGCGATGCATCATCCTCGATATGGTTGATTTAAACTTACTGTACAGCAAAATGATTATCCGGCTGCACTTGCTGATCCACAAACACAATGTCGCTTAATTCAGGGGTTCGTCGCCCTTCACCAGTCGGCTTGCCACTCTCGGCGTCTCCACCTCGACTCCACCTGCCAAACCGCAAATGTTCCAAAACCGATCTCAGAAACAACGTCTTCGTATCCTTTCGCCCTGCCGCTCGTTTCAGAGCCAATCTTTCTGGCCTGATGATTCTAGCACAAACGATCCCAAAAGCGTCTTGGCGGCGGGTCAAACGCCTCTCTGTCGCGGGAATAACTTCTCATGAGGGCAAAGGGCTACCTACCTTGCTGCGAATCAGATCCGAATCCCGGTCCAAGCAGCCCTTCTAGCCAAAGATCCCACGAGCTGCCATCCGATGATCTGATATCTGCCCGCTCGTAGGCGCGGGCATGAGCTGGGTACCTTGTCATTTGTTTCTCGTTTGTTTTCAGTTGGCGGACAACCCTAGAAAGTGGTCTGTCTCTAGGAGATGACGGCCATCAGATCAACCAAGTTTGCAACGGGTCTTGCTCCACGGCTCATTTTCGGTGTTGGCGGTGGCAGGAACCAATGTGTATCCTGAATTTCCTTGCGAGGCTTTAAAAGTGAATCGGGGCGCCTCTCCTGATTTTTCCTTTTGATATTCCACTTCATTCGATAATTTCATTTCTCTCTCCAGGATCCGGGCGATTCCATTGCATTCTAATTGCCATCCATTCATTCATTGCTTTGTGCTGGACACTTTTTTTTATATCAATATGCTTGCCTCAATCTTATACAGTGCAGCGCTGCTGTCCCTCGCCAATGCTCACGGTCAAATATTAGCCGCAGTGGTAAGTATTCTTAAGAAGCAAGGTGGTGTAAATACTAACAGTAGTAGGGTGAATCAGGAACCAGTGTCGGTTTCCAAGGTATGTGATTATCTCTTTTTGATCCCGCGTATCTGACAAAGGTTCTAGTTGATCCTTCTATTCCCAGAAACTGCACGACTATCAGCCCTTGCCAACAAGACGCCACCATCATCAGAGATGCTGAGATCAGTGCCAACATCGTGAATGAGTGTGGTCGTACAGAGTTGACTGGTAACATCGACGTCGGCGAGAACACTGAAAATGCTCTGGCAGCAGGAGCCGTGACCCAAGTCAAGGCTGGAACAGTCATGACTGTCACTATCCATCAAGTCAGTCTCGGCCATAAGCAATGGACGTTCAAAGCACTGACCATGGTTAGGTCAATGCCGATGGAGCTGGCCCTTACGTCTGTGATATGGACCAGACCGGTAACTCCCTGGCTACCGGACAAACCAACTTGACTGTCACCAACAATGTTCCTGGTGTCAACGGTTTCTCTCAAGCCAAGTTCCAAGACTTCAACATCTCTGTTGCTCTGCCATCTGATCTTGCATGCGCTGGAGGTATGCTGCACCTAAATCACACTCCAACTGCCTCTTGCTAACGAGCCACCTCCAGCTTCAACGGGTAACGTCTGCACCATCCGCTGCCGTAACAACGCTCTCGCAGGACCATTCGGTGGCTGCTTCGCGGTCCAACAAACCGATACCGCTGCCAAGACCAACGTCGCCAACACAAGTGGGTAGACCGTTTACTTGATTTCAGTCCTTGCATGACCTCTCGTCCACTTTCTCTTATCCTCTTCACACATAATGTAGTAGAAAGAAAAAGACATAATCGAACATCATTCAATCCTGCTTTTCGTCACTGCCGTTCCTTCTTCCCGTCTCATATTTAGCACAACATCATATCGAGTGTATGCTAACATTTCAAAGTTTCAACCGCTCAAACCCTCGAGGGAATCAATGAGCAGATTCAGCACAACCAAGCTGACCTCGGTGCTGCTCTCACCGCCAACGCCAACGCTGGAAGCACCGATGGTCTCGCAAACGCTAAGGCGGCTGATGCTTTGGCTGGCCTTTCAGTCACTTCCAAGGCTGCTGCTGTTCAAACTGTAGTTGTCGAGACTAATGCAGCGGCAGCTGTTGCTACTGCAAGCGCTACTACAACTTCAAAAGCTTCCAAAGCTACCGCAACAGCCGCCACAGCCAAGAGCGGCAAAGGAAAGAACAACAACAAGCGAGAAAGCCCCTTGAAGTGGGCGAAGAGAGTTGTTGACGAGAGCTTGTAGGTGGCTGAGCAATGGTCGGTGATTGGATTGGAGAGGTATTGGGTGGGATATGGGCTGTATTTATGTAGATTGGTTCGGCGGCGTATGTAGATGAACTTCTTGTATCAATTTCTTATCGAATGCTCTAATGTTCCAAAGACTTTCAAAGAGAAAACACCATTCGTTGATGAATTTCTCTGTCTGTGATGTGATATTAAATGGATTTTAACACTTGTTAAGGTTGGTGTTGACCGAAAACTGGGTACCTAATTGATTAGCTCAATGCCTCGTTATATTTCTCACGCAGAATTAAACAAAATGATGGATTCGTTGTCCGCAGCATTCCAGGACTTTCAAGAGTTGAGCAATGGTAGAACCCAATGAAAACAATCAGTAACAACTTGAAGTAATATGTGCAATGCCAGGGACATACCTGGAGCTATGACACAAGTAAACAACACAATAAGCATCGAAACGTAATTTGAAGCAGCACAGAAGCAAGGTGTTGAGCCATGCATCCAAGTTCGGTAGAGGCTGTGACAGAAGAAAATCGGTATGTTTTACTGTCAGTGTGTTGTCAATTCCTTTCCAGCTCGCAGTTATCTTTCTTGGAATAACAATAAATAGCGACTTCTGTCCTCGGTTGTTCACAAGAGATGGATCATTATGAGTGGCTCGGTCATTGCATTTCTTCTCCAGACATATGTACAGTTGTGACGCCCATTGCCCAACCTAAAGGATGCGCTTCTCGAGCTATGAATACCAGTTAACAGATGTTCTCCAAAGAACCGAACGCTATAACCTACTCTCCACGGGTTGTTGAGCTCGAAACCAGCTGGTGCGATTGGGTTATCCGTTTGTCCTCTCAAGAATCCCGTTAATCTTCGATCGCGGTCCATCACTACCACATCATTAGCACCCTTCCTCGATTGTGTTTCACGTTGAAGAATTACTTTGCTACGGAAGCGTTAGCCATTCTGTTCGCACCGACCGGGGAATACAAGCATCGGACGTACTCTGTCCCATTGATCCACCGAGTGTCGCGCTCTCTTTCCACCGTTCTGCATATGTCTGATCTTCGAAAGTCCGGCTCCAGTCACACCGAACATCTGCAATTCTCAGCATTGGCTCTTGTACCCTCATGGAGATCGTATGGAGTGGAGATCGAGGGGGAGGGACTGACGGCAAGCATGATCCCATAGGGAATGAGAGCTTCGAAAGGAACGCCCATGGTGGCAATTGTACCTCGATCCTGATGGTCTGGTCAATATCCTTCACTTGGCTAATCTTCGCAGAGCTGTTTGTACCTGTCCGTTGTTGTTATCTGGAATTGAATGAATTTTCGGTCCTAGCTGACGTTGTGAACAGTTTCTCGCCTGAGGCTCCCAGCCCGTGCAATTTGAAGCCTGAGAGCTCAGGCGGCTACCAGAACGACACCTTCAAGGCGATGTGCGAGGAGGCGAGCGATAATACAACTCCACGACAAGATTCTGATTCAATTCAAGCTTGATCTACGCGTCGGAAGGCTATATGCTTTCTATTTTATCGTGTCTTTAATTGTCCTGCCCGAGTTTGGACTTTGAATCGCGCGTTGGTTCCCATTTTCCCCACACACATCATCCCCATCGGTCTCCAGACTCACTCATTTAATCCGCAACGACTCGAAGGCAACGTTCGGAACCTCAAGGGCGATACTCTGGCGATCAACAGAGATCATACTTTTAGAATATCGATCGTACACCCTCTGCGCGAAGCTGGAGTTGTGTTCGCGCATACTTCACGCCCCCAACACGCCCGTTACCTTTCGCGTCTGGAACAAATTACCTCAGACATATCGTTCATAGCCACAATAGTACCATCCACGGATGACAAGAAAAACATAGAAGATGGCTGCAGCGGTGCTCATGGAGGAGGAGCTCCAGCATAGCATGGCGACTTCGGAGGAAGATGCTGAGTTCGAGGAGGACGACGAGTTAGCAGCAGACATACTAGCAGAACAGGATGCTGAGTTTGAGGCAAATAACCAACTTCATAATGGAATGTTAGGAGAGCCAAGTGAAGACGGAGTAGAAGAAGACGAAGAGATGCTTTCAGACGAAAATGCTGAAGGAGAGGACGAGGACGAGATGGCCGATTCGGCGCTCAATAATGGCGAAGATAGTGAGGAAGAGGAAGAAGACGAAGATGCTGAAGGCGTAGGAGCTGTGAAAATACAACCTGGTCTTTTGGAAGACGATGAAGAAGATGCAGAGTCGGGGTCGGATGACGACGATGATCCTAGTGTTGCCAGTGTGGAGGACGACGATGAATCGAAGGCTTCAAGTGATGTGGAAGTGGAGGGTGAGTGGGAAGCTGCTGCTGAAGAAGATGAAGAAGAACCTGCGAATCCCAACCGGTGCATGTCAGTATCGCCAATTTTGCTTGCTGTGTCATATCTCTAACAACCGTGATAGTTTCTGTCAGCAGGATGAGGAAAACGATCCTAGTGAGGAGTTCGAGTTGTATCTGGCTTGTGGTGTTTGCGGCGACAATGGTTTGTTTACTCAAAAATATATCTAACGAGGCTGACAAGGCTGTAGCTCATCGGCAATGTGCCCGTAACGCCGAAGCTCTCAAAAACGACGAAGGCGAGTAGCGATTTCGCGAGTTGGACTCAATTTGCTAACGATCTTGTTTAGATGCGGAGAATTGGTATTGTCCAGGTTGTGTGGAAAACAAACTTGTGCCCGCAGACGCCGACGCAGATCCAGAAGCAGAAGTTGGAGAACCTCTTGACCCAGCAGCTCGACGCATATCACGAGACAGAATTGCTGGTGATCTTCTTCCGCCTCAGCGCGCCATCAAGCCGGATTCGCATTCAGTCTTCAACCAATTAATCGCCCCGGACGATCCAATGGACGGTTCACGACTTCTACGGAAACGAAAAACTTCTTCTGGAGACGCAGAACCGGAAGAGACTCCTGCGCCAAGAGCACGAACGCGTGACAAGGGGGGCAGCTCCAGCCAACCTAAGGCACTCAATGTTGATGGACAGATTGCGGACCCAGATCGAATGGATGTCGATCAATCAGAGAAAACCAATGGTCTTCTGACAAATGGCAATAGCAAAAAGGAAGCTCCGATAAGCCCACGGGCGTCGAGATCACTGCGACCAAAGTCTGCTACACCTCACGTCAAAGTCCTGGAAAAATCATCTACGAGCATCAAGATACAATTTCGTCTTGACTCAGTGGAGCTTCGTCGCGTCCTGTCGCAGCCTCCCAAGCCAAAGAAGAAAAGCCGAGCAACATCGACAGCACGCTCAACAACAGCGCCATCTACCTTTGTTCCCACCAGCTACTCTCAACCGTTCTATTCCCTCCACGATAAAGAAATCGACGAACTTAAGTCGAAACCCTATGGTGGCATCTTGAAGGAGGCGGAAGCAGATACTTCGTTGACATTACCTAAGCCAGAACACCGTCGTCACTTTGACGAAGCAAGACAAAAGGCTGAAGAAGATTGGAAAGCTCGTGTAGCGGCCGCTGCTGAAGCAGCTGCGGCCTCTGGCATCAAGAAAGCTCGCAAGGTCTCGGGTCCTGCAAGTCAGATTGAATACATCGAATTTGGGCAATATCAAATCGACATCTGGTATGCAGCCCCATATCCAGAGGAATACAGTCGAAACAAAGCACTCTTCATTTGCGAATTCTGTCTGAAATACATGGAATCAGACATTGTTGCCTGGAGACATAAGACGAAATGCCCTTGGAAGCATCCTCCTGGTGACGAGATATACCGCGATGGCAAAATCATGATATTTGAGGTCGACGGCCGCAAGAACCCGTTGTATTGTCAAAATCTTTGTCTTCTGGCAAAATTGTTCTTGGGTTCGAAGACACTCTACTATGATGTAGAGCCATTCCTGTTCTATGTCATGACAGAATACGACGAACTGGGTTGTCACTTTGTCGGATATTTCTCAAAGGAAAAGCGCCCAAGCAGTCTGAACAATGTTTCATGTATCCTGGTACTTCCAATACACCAACGAAAAGGTTACGGTCACTTGCTCATCGACTTCTCCTACCTCTTGACCAGAGTCGAAAAGAAGACTGGCTCACCGGAGAAACCTCTCTCTGATATGGGACTAGTGTCATATCGAAATTACTGGCGACTGGTACTATGCTATTACCTCAAGGACTTTAAGCCTGGAGACAAGATACCCAGCATCAGGAAAATTTCGGATGATATGGGTCTGACCCCTGACGACGTGATCTCTGCACTAGATGCTCTACAGGCTTTGATACGTGATCCTACTACCGGTACGTACGCGTTGAAGCTTAAGACAGACTACTACCGCGAGGTGATTCGACAACACGAGTCAAAGGATTACGCGAAACTCAATCCGAAAGGTCTAGTATGGACACCTTACATTATGGGACGAGGAAATGCTTCAACATTCGAGCATGGCCCACCTCTCAATACTGTCGCACCGCGTGAGGAAGACGAGGAAGAAGAGTTGAGCCCGTCAGACACGAAGCTATCGAAAACCAGCAAGCGTGATTTCGACAGTTTTGTCAATGGCGATGCCGAGGCCGCTACCAAATCTCTCGGCAAGCTGACTACAGAAACCGGAGAGCTAATCAAATTCGGCACACCAAATGGTGATTCCGCCGGATCTCCCTCCAAGTCAAAGGTCAATGGTATCTCTAAGAAGCTCTCATACTTTGAAGCCGCTGGTACAATCCCCGCTACACGCTTCGAAGTGTTTCCACCAGCTCCTGGCTCCAAGAATCGTGCCACACCTCGGACAGTTCTCTCACGGCCTCCTCCATCACGGTCAAAGTCATCGTCCTCCGCTCGACCCAAGCCCCGACGTTCCACAGGTAGCTCTTCGCGGCGCAGCTCGGCTGCTCGACCCAAGAGCGGTTCCTCCAGACGGAAAAGCGGTGGCACAGGCCGTGGGCCAGGTCGGTGGCCGAAAGGGACTAAGAAGTCTGACTTTGGCAATGCTGATAGTGGTCCAGGGTTACCACCAAGATTACTAAAGCAGAGAAGTAAGCTTGGGAATGAGGTCCTCCTTGGTGACGAAGAAGAGGAAGAGGAGGAGGAGGAAGAAGACGTCGAGGATGAATTCGAAGACGGCAGTGACGAAGGAGAGGAAGGAGTCGCTGAGGATGCCATCGTCTACGAGACTACGCCTTCGTTGAAGAAGAGACGCGATCGAGATTTGCGCGGCAAAGGACAGGGACTTGGCAAGCCTCCGTTGCAAGGCAAGCCAGGCTTCGGAAAGGGCAAGGGATTCCTGACGGCAGATGACGAAGATGAAGAGATGTTAGATGCTCCGGAGATCTCGGGAGATATCGAAGTAGATGCTGAAGGAGAGGATGACGAGTAAGGATATTCATTCGAGCTATGTTTCAAACAGAGGAGAGGGCGACCATGGCGTTTGGGTAATTTTCTCAGCATGTGAGATGCATTCCTAGGGTTAGGATGGCGTGTTGGGCGAATTACTTTGGCATCAATTGGAGGACTGGGACGAGTATCTGTCTGTGTACATGTACAACAAGTATCACGGTAAAGGCTAGCCATTTACCTGTTTGCGCTCAGTTTGAGTAATATCCTAGTCGATACCCTCAAAAATTCTCTTCAACAAAATGTACTCTAATTGTGATGTGAAAGCAGGGCACGCTCTAGCGACATCCATCACCCTATTCATGTCTTCGTAATGGTTCTCTATAATTATACCTGAAATCTTTTCGTTCATTCATCTTCCGGTTTCCCCTTCAACTCAGTCACCATTCCCTTAATCCCATTCCTTTCCTGCACGCCAAGCACAATCCCAAAATGCTCCTCCAGCGCCTCCCACCTATCAACCTCACTCTTACACACCCTAATCGTCTGACTCTCCCCCCTAACAACCCTCTTCACCACCCCATCTCTCAAAACCACTGTCCCCACCACATCCTCCCCCTCCATCTCCGTCCTCATACAGATAATTATATGATTAAAGAAACTCCCCCTCAAATCCCTCGCCGTCTTCCAATTCATAACCCCCACATCCGCCTCCGTGAACTCCACCTCGGTAAAACAATAAACCTCCTCCCATTCTCCACCTTCCCTCCTATGCTCCAACACCCAACACTTCTCCTCAGGACTCTCAAACTCGCCTATGCCCTTCCAAAGCAACCTCACTTCATCCCCGGTACTGCCCCACTGCATCACATTCCCATCCCTCAACTCGAGCGGGGCCGTCGGTCCATTCCCGCCGAAGCCGACATCGACTAGATACCGTCTCCCCTCAAACATGACTAAATTAACAAGGTGATTCCAGCCCGCGTACACACCTTTCGGACCCCCGGAAACCGACAATGCGACCCTGATGGACAGACGGATCAGCATACATCTTTATCAAAAAACCCAAGAGCTCATCCGAGGAATCAAAACATATGTATGTCCAGCTCCCCAAGATACCTATCAACTCTTCCAACAAACACAAACAACAAATCCAGAACCCAACAAAATACATACCTAGCACCGGTCCTCTTCCCCCTCATCCCCAAACTCCTCATCACGACGCCAAAAAAAACCCATTATTCAACGTACAACTGCCACCCCTCCCACCCCCCGCGTCCCTATGTTCCCACCTCCTCTCCCTCTCTCCCCTTTTCCTCCTTCCCCATTCCCACCTCTCCCCTCCAAAATCTCCTCCCCTCCACCCCCCTCCCCCTCCCTAGCAATCCCCCCCGTCTCAACAAGATACCTATACAAACCCCCCGGCATCCAACGTGCCCAGATGATGGTGCGAATAATGCAGATACAGATTCGCGAACGGGATTTTTTTTCTGCTGGAATTTCTGCAGGTTTCCTAGGGCAATCAACGCCTCGGCTGATGAGGCCCATTCCCTGGCTGCCCGCGTTTGATAAGAGGGGGGTGCTGTGGTGAGAAGGGAGGAGGATGTGAGAGGAGTATTTTTTTAGGGCCGGGAGGGTGTATATGTTGGGGGATTGAATTTTGCGACGAGCGTCATTGCTCTTTCTTTCTTTTGTTTCCTCTAATGTTCCTCTCTTTAATTTCGAGGTGTATGGAATTGAATTGAAAAGTGAGAGAGTGAGTGAAAGAGAAGTAAGTCGTGAAAATAAACTTCTCATCTCATCTCATCTCATCTCATCACCATCCTAAAATCGAAGTAGCCATCTTAGCGCACACTAGTAACTGTACTTTAAAAGCCCTTCGTCGTCGTTGCACGTTGCCGTTACCTATCCCGACTTCGTACCGTAAGCCCGCCCGCCCGTCGTCTGTCCCGTGCGTGCGTGTATGTATCCTTAACCCCTGATCCCAGCTCCCCCTCATCCTCAGCCTCAGCCTCAGCCTCAACCTCCTTCCTGTCCTCTTGTCCTTGTATCCCATCTCAAGAATGGCTGGACGGGAAAGAATAGATCTGGGTACAGTAGCTTCGATCAGCCTCGGAAATAACCCCTTATTCCCACCCACATGGAGATTCCCCGCTGCAACCCAAGGACCCCCGTTATTTATTTTTTTTCCATTTTCAACCCCACACGTCCGTCATGCTGCAGATCATTCCCCCTTCCCTCCGCTCCGCTCCCGCAGCCACAATCCCTCGGGCGCCGGGCGCTAAATTTAAGTTTAGCTTTTCTTTTCCTTTCTCTTGCTCTTTCCATTCTTGGACATGTACAAGATACATATCTTATCGGAGTTAAGTTCGGTGAGAGGTATAGATATAGATATAGATATTTTCCTATCAGATAGACTATGGATACTAGCTAGCTAATGTATATTTGCGATATTTTTTTGCTGCGAATGAAGAACGTGATGTTGCCAACTACCACCCAGGTGTGTAACACAAGTACCAACCAAGTACCCCGTACTGTACCACCAGAGACAACACATAAGGAAAAAGCAAACAAAAAATACTTATGAAACAAATACCAATGCCATGCTATTATGTCTATCCAATACCGGGATAGTCCTGTGCCCGCCGCCGTAAAGTACACTTTCAAAAGCCTCCCAGGGGTATACCAAGTCAAAAGTACAAATGAGCCCTTCTATAATGGAAAATAAAAAGTGAACGAAAGTATGTGTATGCATGCCCCATTCCAACGCCCATCGCTGTGCTGTGCCATACAACCACCACCATCTTGAACCCAGAAGGCATGCGACCCTAAACACTCCCTATGAATGTAGTGTACCATTTCCTTTCCAAACCAAGAAGAGAAAGACCAAGACCCATGTTTCCATTTAACAAACGAAAAGAGGACTTTCGAAGAATGTCCAAAAAGAACGTAAACACTTTTGAATTGAAACGCCACCATAAAAATATATGCGCCACCATTGCCTACAGGGGTATCACCGATGCCGTATCACATTTGCGGAACTTCAACGAATGCTATCGATCGATGAAACCACCCGAAGAAGGAGGTCCCGATCGGACAGGAAAACTCGCAGTGCCGCCAAGAGACATGTTCTGATTGATATCCGGATAGTTGGCATAAGATGCGGAGTCCCGTCTTGGTATCGATCCAACTGGGTACCCCATTCTACCGCCAGCCGGAGGTGCCATTGAGTTTACTCCTTGCAGAGTCATCGGAGACTGTGACATCCTGCCTATTCCCAAATCTGCAATAGCAGTTTGTGCATGTTGCATGCGCTGTCCTACTGTTGTTGGTAGCATGGATGTTGAATATGGCGATTGTGGCACTACCGGCGCGTAGGTTTGTTGGAAGTACGCTGTATTAGGTGATCTTTGATTCTCATAGGGAGACAATGTGCTCAATTGGGTGTTGAGTTTTGGAGCGGCGAAACTAAAGTCTCGGTTGTATGGATCTCTTCCTTGAATGGGGGAAGTGAAGCCACCAGGGCTTGTATATGTGCCATACGTCGAGGGTTGAGTGATTTGCGCACCATAAGAGCCGTAGCTTGGTTGGGGATCCGAATAAGTACGACCACCGTAGTGTGAAGCATCACCAATTTGAGTTTGGTGATTAAAGGAAGGAGTTTGACCGTGGTCGGATGCAGTTCGAGGTCGTTTTGTGGACTCTTCATAACTGCCGGTACCAGCATAGACTGTAGGAGACTGCTCAGAGTAATGACGACCCATTGATGGTCGGTGTTCGAAAGCGGCTGAGTGTGCTGTCATCGAATCTACTCCTTCGTTCTGACCCTGACTCGTGGAATCTTGGGAATCAGGGCTCGTCACAGGCTGTCGTTCCACGTCGTTGTTCTGGTTCCGATTGGAGTTCTTATTGTACGTTCTCGGTTGGTAGTTGTCGTCGGCTGGTCCACGTTTTCGCAGAAGAGTTCGAGGTTCCTTGCGCAGGCGTAATCGCACACCTTGATCGCTGAAAGTTCGTGTCAAGAAGGTCGACTCGGCCATACCTGTGAAGTTCTTTGCTGAGTGAACTGTGAAAGAATCGGAGGTAACCGTTGCGATGTGGTAGCAATGCTCATCTCGCATTTGGTAGAGGTTGAATTGGAGACGAAATTGGCCCTCGACCTTGACTGAGAGATCGCCAAAGACGAAGAAGGCGCCATCAGAATTGCTGTTGTCTTTGAGACGATGGAGAGAGGATACAAGAGTGCCTGCAAGAGCGGTTCCAAGGGTCCCTTGGCTGTGCTGATTTGGTGAATCATTAACAAGGCAGCACGAGAGGAAGAAGTATGGACCTGCGACAAGTGGAGTGTCAGTATAGCTGTCGACTGTCGGTGCGTCTTTACATACTCTGCAGGAAGTTTTGGTGGGGATCGATCTGATGAGGAATCTTCAACTGGACGATGGGAGGCGGATCGACTGGCTTGCGATCTTGTGCGATCAGTTAACAAGTGCTCCTGATCCACCAATGGAGGACTTTTGACTCACCTTTCTCTTTACCAACTGCAACTCGAGCATTGCTGGGTTGCTGACGAACTTCCAGCTTGCAATCATCCCTAGAAATGGATAACATGGTTAGACTAGAGCGGTAGGAATGGTACGAGCCAGGTAGCATGGCAAGAAAGAACAGATTGTAACACACCTGTGAAGGTTGGCGATTTGGGAAGTCGCAGCGGCTGCAAACTGATGGCTTGTCTGAACTCCGCTCATTGTGGAGGTAGGAAGGAACGAAGGACTCGGGTCCCCTTCGAGATGCTTGTTTGGTACAATCGGAGGATGCTCGAACCCAGGCACAAGTTGGTAAACGGCTTGAACGAGTAACGGATTTGAACAGATGCTGAATGATAATGGTACTGGTTGGACGCGGATGAGTTATATAGCAAGCCAGTTACCAGAGAAGAATTGAAAATGGCTGCAGCTATGGATGTTCTTGAGGAAGTGACTTCTGTGTGCGATGGACTAGTCAATTAGGGTCGTGCTTTCCTTCTGACATAGATGATGAAAGGTTTTGACTTCAGGAAAGTGTCATCGAGAGAGTTCGGCGGGGTCTTAGTTCCCACCCCAGACCTTTGAGTTCCCAGAGCCAAACCCGGTTGGGGTTGCGCCTTGACGACTGTGACAGTTTGATGGCGTCAGGACCGTCGGAAGTAGCGCCCGTCTAAGATGGCAATTTAATACGGTTCGAGGAAGGCGCCGCACAAGTGAGGATGTAGATACTTTTTGGGGGTCCCTTAGGGTTCTCTGGGATGTTCGGGGTCGGCTAGTGGGAGGCTCTTTCTCGGTAGGGCTCCGAGCTGTCTGCAGAAGTCCTTTGCTAATCCAAAGTGTAACCACGGTACACTCGAGACAAGCGCGGTCGAGGATGATGGTGATGATGCAAACCGGTGCCAAGGCCAAGGTTGGTGATGGACGTTAGTGAGCAAGTCTGTCGTGTAGGAGGAGAAACTGGTCACTCTGACTTGAACAGAACACCGCAATACTCGTCTCGTCTCGGATTAGGGTAGAGCCGTCCAGAAACCCGCCGCACGCAGTTTTTGGGGTTGGCTGCAGCTGCGGTGCGGTGCGGTGCGGTACGGCTGTGGATGGATGGATGGATGGAGGGCTGGGCGGGAGTGTGTTGTGTGGGAGAACAGACTCAGTTTGCGAGGGGTGATTTGATGTGGGTGGTAACGTAAGGGAGTTGAGGTGAGGTGAGGCAAGGCAAGGCAAGGCAACAAAAAGATAGGGTACTGGGTAAGTGATTGGCGGCAACACAGCGTCGAATGGGAACTCCAGCTCCAGTCCGGATTCGACAGTGGGTGCAGTGTGTGCTGTGCAGTGCAATGCGGTGCGGGTAGACGAACGAACGAACAGCAGAGCAGCAGTTCCTCCTTCCGCTCGGCACTGGGAGAAAGGTACGTACTTGCGGACTGCGGAGGCGGACGATGTAACAGCAGCACGAACACCAGAATGGACTGAAGTGATGTGTCGTGTCGACTCAGGTACAGCAGCAGTAGTAGCAGTATACAGGAGTAGTGGGTGAGATGGTGCGTAGTGTGCCAGGCTAAGGAACAAAAGGGCTGACGGTGCGAGTGGGCAGTAAGTAGCTATGTAATAAGTATATGAATGATGGGGACGAGAGAGGATGCTGTGATTGGAGAGTGACGGCGCAGCGTGCAGTGGTGCACGTAATATGTAGGAAAGTTGAGTTTGTTTGGCGGCCACCAGTGGATGATTGGATCTCCAGATCCGCGGGACTCGATGGGATCAGATCTGAATATCCAGCAGTCGAGTAGTCGAAGATATGTCTTGCCTTATGAGACGTGGGCCGTGAAGTGTGTCTCCAGGGTCCGGAACAGCCGCGGCCTTTTCTCGTTTGCCGCAAACAGACAAGTGGAAATGAGGGAATGATGCGATATTGGAGACCTTGGAGACCCTATAATGGTGATGATCGAAGCTGGACGAGGAGGAGGCAGCCGTGAGATGAAAGGTACACCGGCTTCGGGACGGAGTATCAAGATTCTGCATACGCACCGCACTGTCGATATCGGCGTGGCCTTGCAGAGCTCGTGAACCAAACGCGGGAAGCAGCTCAGGATGCCGGACGCGAGCAGCAGATCAGAAGGTTGTGTGCCAGGAGTTAAGGGCTGGGACAATGATAGTAAGCTCGGACAGTACGACTCGACGACTTTGATACCAAGTCACACTTATGGGGCGGCTGCTGTCGCTGGGGTGCGAGGAAGGGACTTTTTTTTTTTTTCAAAGAGCTATAGCAGCGCCACCGCTTGTGGACCAGTCACAGAGAGACCGACAGCAGCAGTTCGACCAGCATTAATGGATGACAGGGCATACGTCCTGGGCAGCGCATGGCATCGCATATGGCATGCCCGGGCCCTTCTGGTGGCGGTCTGGGTTCGACAGACAGTGAAGGACCGTTCGTTGTCGAGTCCAAGGGCGATGGAAGATAGATGGGACGGAAAGAGAGCAGCGTTGGAATGGGATTGGAATCAGAGGGGAACCACTGCAGGGTACGTTGGATGACGGTGTAGGGTGTGAGATGAATGGCCGTGGATGTCTGGCGGGGTGGACTGTGCTCAGCTGGCTGGCTGTGGAGTAGGTTTAAGTCGCTCAAGAAGCATCAAGAGTCTGGAGACGAGCAATGCAAGTAGTCTTTTTTTGGCGTAGCAATCTGCAGCAGCAAGAGAGCAAGACGACGGATCATTGAGACTGGGGAGGGGGCCGTGGACTGGGGAGGGGCAAGGGAGGCGTTCTTGGTGATGATAATGATGATGATGCTATGCTGGTGGAAGGGTTCAGTCATGGAGGTAGGGTATAGGGCAAGCAGGAGAGTGAGTAATGGTGGCGGTAGCAGCAGGTAACAGGTGCCAGGTACGACAAGAAGGGTTAGTTAGTAGGTAGGTAGGCGTTCGTCTGGCAGTTCTCGAGACGCAAATGCAGACCAGGTTTCGTCGTCCCCTCGATCTCCGAACGTCGTGGTTGCTTGGACTGGATCGTCTGAGCGTGCACAGGTACAGGAGGAGGAGGAGGGATACTCGGATGCTCGAGAGTTCGTCGGAAGGGGAAAGGAAATCGAAGGGAAGCTTTTCAATTACTTACTCAGAGACTCGTTCTGGCTTGGTCTGGTCTGGGCTGCTGGTGGTTTGCTCGAAAATCCCCCCCTGGTCTGTGGCAGCTTATCCCGGGCATGACTGAGCATGAGGAAGCCGGACGCCTCTATGCTGACCCCTGGTCACCAACGTCCCTTGTCTGTTGCTGGACCCGGCATTGCCAGACGTCCTGGAGATCGCACGCGAGCCTGTGTGCGAGACTTGGAGATGGTGCGCCATGGAAAATTAAGTTTTTCATTCTTTGCATTGGCTTGAGTTAGGCTAGCTTGGCTGGCCTCGGGTAGACGTCGTTACGATTAAGATGTGGTTGTGGTGGTGGTGGTGGTGGGGACGTGTTGGAAGTGTGGATATGCGGTAGGTAGGGTTCTGGTTGTGTGGATGTGGATGTGGATGTGGATGTGGAGCGGGACGATGAGCCAGGGACAGGCGCCGCTCGTCTCTTCCTGCCGTAAAGGAGACCAGGAAGAGCCCAGAAGAAAGGCCCTGTTACTTAACTTGCGCTCCCAGATCCTCCATCTTTGGCCGGAGAGTTCTTACCGTTGCGGCACTGATGGACGATGGATGACCGGCCACCATACCCATCCTGACCTGACAGCTAGCAGCTAGCAGCCAGCAGGGCGACGGCGGCATCCGTGCGTCATCGAGATCTTAATTTGCACTTTGCCCTCTTGGCTCGTCGGCTCCCACATTTGCTGCATTTGTTGCATCTGCTGCTGCCACCATCATAATTACTGTACAGCACAGTCAGTGCAACAACCATCTGGTGTGCCTGGCCTGGTCTGGTCTGGTCTCGTCTGGCTGCGTTGCGCATGTACAAGCTTTTGTACGTACATCCACCCGCCAGATGTACCTGTGTACTTACGGTGCAGAAGATGGTAAGTAGGTAGATACAGTAGATTCTGTACCACGCCCCGTTGTTGGTACTGTACGCCGTACCTCGCAGCCATTCATTCTACCATTCTAGACGGTGTTCACAGCCACTGTTCGTCCCCAGGGCCAATCACCGCTCCACCGAAGTTTGGGCTGCGTTCCCACGTCGTACTTGTTGAGCATTCTCGACAACCGAAGCAGGCTGGGCTCGATGTGTACACCGTGACCTCGTGTGGGTGGAGGTATACAATCACAGGACTGTGGGGTCCGCAGCCAGGGAGCGTTAGGGAGGTTGATTGATTGATTGACTGAGTGACTGACTGACTGATTGATTGCTTGATTCCTTTCTTGCTTGGTTGCTCTTGCCTGCCCTATTGTCCGGGAGCGGCCGGGTCTCGCTCTCGCTGATTCCTATTTCTATTCCATGTAGGCAGGCAGGCAGGTAGGTAATTTAGGTATCGCGATCATAAAAATACCTTTCCTGCAAGGGGAAGTCGTATGCAGCAATACTCGTACATTACATGACCGCGTCTGTACGTACAGCCCAGACGCTCGCCACCACACCCGCCGTCGTCGTCTTATTGCGCCGAGCTGCCTCCAGCGTGATGTGTAATAAATTTGCGGTCGAGTCCTGCTGGTCGCTGGTAGATTGCGATGCCGCTGAGCAATCAATACCAGCCATGGGAGCGCCTATCTGTCAGTGGCTGCGGCGGGGCCAGGCCAGAAGAGGAGGCCATTCATTGAGGAATCGAGGGCAGAGGCATCTAGGCTCGATATGGCTGCTTCATTGGGATGGGGATGGGGATGGGGTTGGGGGAGAGGCAACACAGCAGCACTTGCAGCCAGCCAGTGCTGGCATGGACGTCGTACAGATGATTTGCAGCAGGTTCGCTCAAATCCCCGTTCGCAATATGGAAAGCCGATATTATTGACAGCGGCACCTGTGCTATTACCAAGGATTTGGAGTTGGAGCTAGAGGACCTGCATGCAGCCTGCATCTGCATCCCGCCCTGGCGTTACAGTAGGGATATTTATTTTTCGACGATTCAACAGCAGCCCGGCCCACACCACGACCCGCTGCCTGCAGATGGGAATGGCAATGGCAGATGCAGACCCCACCGCCGCGACGAACCTTACTTGACTTGGAGTCCCGGATGGAGAACAGACAATAATAATCATAGTCATCACGGTTCTGGAGATGGAGATGGAGGAGCGGTGGATGTCGGTACGGAAATACCTGCCAGGCCTGGCCTGGCCTGGCCTGGTTGTGCTCGTGCTCGTTCTTGTGCTGAACCGTTAAGGTTATCCGTCGTCCTCAGGCTTCACCTCGTTTGTCGTCGAATCATCGACGGCGGGTATTCCTTTCGTGATTAAAGTAGGTATTTCCGTACACAGAGACTGACTCTATTCGACCATTTCGACCCCCAATAACTCCGTCGTATCGTGCACGGCTCGACGCTCGTGTAAGAGCAGAGTAGAGAACAACACACTCACACACACGCGAGGCCAGATGCCACTTGCCTCCTCCTTGCTGCGTGCTATGCCCAATAGTCACTTGTCGAACATCGCCTGTATCACCTTCTTCGCGCTCTCCGCCGCTCCAGTCAAGCCATAATGCGCCGTCCCTTTCTGGCAACAAAACTTTCTGCATCTGGAGTCTTCAAGCCGTCTTGTCAGGTTTTGCGCCCAGACAAAAAGAAGCATGGCCGTTGCGTTCGAAGCGGCTGCGATGCCGGTTGCGAGAGGGTTTGGTTCAAGGATTTCAAGCAGTCCAGGTCAAGCAAGGCAAGGATCTTGCACAATGTCAGAAGAGCTTGGTCCACCTGCTCGTGCACCTTAACTGCTGCCCTGGTCACGCTCACGAACAACCTCCGAAGAGATCGCTGCTGAGCGGCATTCGTCCGAACTTCTCGAACGATGGCCCAAGAAGGTCAATTCTCCGCCTGGGGTCGAGCTTGCGACGGATCAGACCTGCTACCCGTCCATCCGGATGCAGCAGCAATGCAGCAAGCAGCTCAGCTCGAGTGAGTGAGTGATTGCCGCTGTCAAGTTCTCGCGATTGCTTCTGCGCGCGGCTCCGTATCCGACCTCACGTCGCTGGGACAGGAATTTCTCGTGGCCAACATGTGCTCTGCTCCGGCCCAGACCTGGATAGAGACGGGAGACTGCATGATGCATCCGCTTCAAAGTCAGTTCTGCACGCGGAAAGCACATGGCAATTCCAATTGAAAGCGACTGGTCAATTGTTGTTTTCTTCTCACCATGGTCAAGTGTTGGCGTGTTTGAGTGGTGGGTATCGAAGTTCCAGACAAGTTCGATGAAGCCACAGGATGTTGTGGTCCTTTGTTCTCTGTCACACGATGCAGCCAGCCCCTACATTGGCAAAATTCGCCACGTGCGATCTTCAGGCACATATTGCTTTTCGGTCTGGACACCCAATGCAGAGCTTCAACCATGGCTTTTTGAAGATTTGCGTGTTCTGACGCCTAGTGTGGCTGCTGCAGCCTCCCTCCGTCTCGGCACGGCGTCGGATGAAGAGTTTTCCTCTGAACGAGCATGATTAGATTGAATTGATACGACAGCTTGCGATCATTCGCAGTACTGTACGTATCATATCATATTGCTTATGATAACAGCGACTGCTTAACGACTAGGTTAAACGCATAACGGTTTGATTATGATAAGAACGGCGGCGGTGTTTCAGGTTGCCAAAAGGAGACCAAGCACAACGCATCTGGCAACTTCTGCTGACGATACTTCTGCTACTTTCTCGCAAGCCTGTCCATATCAGAACTCACACTATTAGGGCTTTCTCGTCCACAACCAGTCGGGTTTTCAAGATGCAGACTCGAAGAACGCCTTTGAAAAACTAATGCAGCTAGGCATTGCCTGGCCAGTTGTTCGTTCTCTTGATCCGAGTGTGCAAAGTCTTCCGCTACTACAGGTTTGGTTGGGGACTTCGGCAAGAGCAAGTAAGTCAACTTGCATGTGTATTTTTTCTCTCCACACAGAACCGACGATCGGTTAAGTCCGAATATCACATCCCCATCAATTCGCAGCAAAACAAACTCACTGGCTCGAGAGCTCTGGAAGTGCAGCAATGATGCATGTCTTACTGCGATAATTTTAGCGGGGCTGAAAAGTTCAAAATTGTGTCAGGTTGATGCTGGTTTTGCGGGGGCCGAGACCCTTTTCCTCGAAGTCGAGTTCCACAGCACCTCGCCTCGACAACGCCTCAAAATTCTCTTGGGAAAGACGCCAATCTCGAAGTCGTGCTTCGCAAAAGTCGTATGATTATGATCGCAGTGGCTGTAACGACTATTTACGAGGTGTCATTTTGTCAAGAATTCTTCCACGAGGTTGAGGCTTTCAGCACGGGAAGCACGTTTTATCCACGCGAAACTTTTTCCACTGGTCATGTTGTACGACGATACCAGCTCTGCAATGGATACCGACTGAACTTCTGAGACCTAAGAAAACAAAGTTCAGCGGCATTTACCATATCCAGCTAAATTCGATTAACTTCTTCTTTTCACGACACTCGCCACCTGCAGCTCTTAGAAATCGACAGTAGGACAGGAAAGCCATCTTCACAAAGCTCAAAGGTGTATCTACTCGGTCTCACGAAGAGCTTCCTCTTTTTTTCTCTTCAAAACTAGGAAGGGCTGAAGGTTTCTCCAGCTAATCCTCCGTATTTAATGAGGGGGCTTTCCAAAACAAGTCTGTCACTCAATTACTCTTGCTCGATAGGAACACAGAAGAGTCCAGACCGAATTGACAAAACAAAAGTAGAGGTTAAAAGCCATCACGGGCTTCCTACATTTGAGACGTGCCAGCTGCGGCAACTTCCCTCACTCGGACTTCCCATGTTTTTTCGGGACCGGTGCAACCATGGAAGCAGCAATGATAGCTCTCCAGTGTTCGAGCTCGTGCAGTACACTGCATGTCTGAGGTGGTTTGCTCTCAATCTGATATTGTTCACCACCCCACTGATGGAGGTGGAGGTGGACATGAATCTCTAAGCGAGGGCCCCTGAGGTGGAACTAGGCACTAGGCACTAGGCACTGCAGCAGCTAGTCTTAACTCAAATTCCCAATCTGTGCGCGATGCCGTTAATGCCGTCATCTGTCTCAATGGCTGGGACATGCGAGGCGCCCTACTGAAAATCGACGACAACCGCGCTTGGGCAGACGAGCGCAGGGAACATCACATCACTTCTCTGATATCTCCGTTTGCGAAACTCGCTGCTGCTGCTCACATATTCTGATACTCACCGCATCGTCTGAACATGTTCATCCTATCTCATTGCATTTCATCTCATCTCATCTCACATCCCAACATGGCTTGTCACTGGTGAACCCATGGTCGGACACGGCAACGGCCGCAAGGCATGATTCGGCTCAAGCAATGATCGTGCCTCTGTCATGCTGGCTTGACTGGGCTCACCTCGCTCGGCTCGTGTTTGATATCGACTGCGGTTTGTGTTAAGGATTTCAGCAGGCGCGCTGTATGCACATCTCCGATGCCAAACGTCGACGTCAATGTTACAGTAAACGCGCTTGCTGCGAGCTGTCTCCGTGCGCAGGAGAAATCCACCCCCCTCGCCGCCGCAAGTCAGCGTGCTGGTCGGTCGAAGCGAACCGGTAAGCAGCCACAGCGCGCAGATAATGTATCTGTGCGGACCGACCCCTACCTTACTTCTCTGTACTGTGCGTGCTCCAAGCTTTACACTCCACATATACCATGGTGGGCTGAGTTAGCTACCATTTGACTCCACTTCTTAAGGAACGTCTGCCTCCGACCCTATGAACCATTTCTCTGCTCCCTCCGGCCTGCTCGACGTCCTGGGATCTCGCAATCTTACCTGAGCGTCACCTGGACACTGACTATCGCAGGGGCGGGCCCGATTGAGCGAGCAGATACGCTCGCGGACAGTGGGCCACACAGAGCAGAGCAGGAGGAGATTGAGAAAAAAGGTAAGCGCCGCTTCGTGTTCCGGAAGCTCTTCCTTCTCGAACGTCTTTTAATTTCCGACTGTGGCGAGGCAGGCATTGTATCACGACCCCAACCTCGTCCACATTGACTTGCTCGTCCTTTGACTTAACCTGGTGACACTCTCGGAGCCATCCAGTAGATCTTATACCCCCATCTCAGAGCGTTTACATGACATATACCCTATACTGCATGATTTAATGCATGGCGGTTTATCAAAAAGCCAGACCACATCCGAGAATCGGTTCACCACGAGATCTCGACGCTCGTTTGCGGTGAGTCCTTTCATTCATTCATCTATTGTACAGTACATGAACGTCCTCCTCAATAAAGTAGAGCATCATACAAATGATGTCGGAGACGACGTTGCCTTGCGATCCATCACATGCTTAAGTCAAGGATCTGAACCCCAATTGCTCTGCACCAATGCTTCACTTGCGCAGCTATCAGTTTCGGGATGGCGTTCAGGTTATCGGCAAGGATATAAATTGACTTTTGCTATGTCCCGCTGAGCTTCATCACGGCTCGAATTGCTAGGATTTTCTCTGGCTCACCTACTATGCCATTCCTAGCTACCTACGTACCGTAGGTGGGGTGCACCAAGAAAGTAGGGCCAAGTGTGCCTGGGAGTATTGGCGAGGGAAATGAGGCCAAGTCAGATGATGAAGAACATCGTTACCAAAAGGCGCTCCCGAGTGGGAGCATACGATTCTTGGAATTCACGAACCAGAGGGGTTTTGGTGTTCTACAGTACCTTCAATCTTTCATGTTGCTCTCTCCTCTTCCACGTTGTCGGCTTGCTTCATTGAGGCGTGGTACACTCTCGGCCCGTTCCGCCATGACTTGCTGGTGCGGACCGTCGATGAAGGTGGTCTGGTGGGTGGTGGTATGAGACCGCTGATGGACATCTTCAAGCGATGTATGTATGTCAAACGTCCGAGTCGGCCTTCGAACCACCACTAGCAATGCCAATCATGATGATTGTGGCGGGAAGTGCGATTTCTGCGGGTTCACACGCTGTCGTCTTGTGGCAAGCATGATAGATCGGCTGTCAAATGAGTTCATTGCTCCCGATCAAGTATACAAAGCCATTTCGATACAAAACCACATCCTTCGGTATCGGGACAAACACGGTACCCCGCAGTGGGTTGCGAGATGTATGAATCTGAATTCGTGCAATAACAATATCAAAACGTCCCTACCTATACTATACTATACTTCAAGGTGACCTGCAACATATTGAACGCGCACACATATTCATTCCAGCACATATATCTCCAGTAATCTGCTATTATATGCGACGCTCAACGCTTGACGGAGGTGGGGCCTGGGGAGGAGGAGGAGCAATATAGCAGAACTCACTAAGCTTTGCGTTTCCCGTGATTCAAACAAAGTTCAACACACTTCCAGGACCTGGGATACTATTACCATCCACCCGTCCCATACGGACCCAGATATGGAAGCGGCCTATCAAACCCGTTATTAACACCCGTCGATAGCACCGCCTCGTCACCCACAGCGGGAGCAGAACGTTGAAGCAAGCCATCCCCTCTCGCCGCTTCCAAAGTTCCTCCCTCCCCTCCTGAAAAAACAGAACTCCTCTCCACCACCATCCACTCACAAGGCACACCAAAGATGGGTCGACGGACCCTATACGTGGATGCAGCTATGATTAACTGAGCAAATAACCACAAGCAGACCAGCACGCAGGCCAGATTCGGCCATTTTCCTTCGCCGCCGCGCGCGGCCAATTCCCCTCCTGCTTGACAGCGGAAGCTCGTCCTGAGGTCCCGAATGGATCGATCGCCTGCCTGCCTGCCCGCCGTTGCAAAAAAGCACAACAGAAAAGATGAGGTTGGTTGCACGTTGTTGTTGTTGGCGCACTTACGCCAACTGGGGGTGACCGAGATGCAGCACGCAACCAAGAAAGAGGCTTCTAGATCTACGGATAGATCGGAAGGCCCGTTTCGTGATGAAGATTGGGAAGGATTGATGAATGATATGTAATAATACCGTTGCTGTATACTACTTGTAAGGATATACCCCTCGTTCATAGCAGTGCATAGCATAGCAGGAGCAACGCAAGCACGCAACAGGCTTCATCCAGGTCTGCTGCTGCTGCTGCTTCTCGCGTACAATATTGGCTCAAATCTGGAGGAGAGCGGTAACGCAGAAGAATGCGAGCCAGCGCGGAGACGCTGGCTGGGTTTGCATCCAACTCTGGAGCAACCCAGGTTCGCAAAATTCGTAGACGAGGAAATCTCTGCCTGCCTCCCCCGTACCGTAACCCATAACCCATAACCTTCTTTCTCCAGCTTTCGGCACCATCGTCCGAGCTGCTGGCTGTAAGATTCTTTCTTTCTCTCAACTTCTTCGATTTCTCTTTCGCTCAGATCGAGATCGTGCTGCGAGCGCTCCCCCCTTTTTTTTTCGCGAGCGCACGATTCCACGAACGAAGGAAATGCGACGACCCCCAACTTCAGCACCACGACGACTACGACGGTCGCAACGATCTCGCAAATTCCTTCCTGACATCAAAAACTACATCTTCATGCCGCAGCAGATTTCCAGAACGGTTTTAAAGAGGCGCGAGATTCGGAAACGCGGAAAAATGTGCGACGCATTCGCGAGCGAGCGAGTGAAGGGAACACTTGATCATTTCAGGATGTTTTGAAGCTGTAAACAAAAATTTGCTTGCTCCATCCTATTGTTTCGCGCTTTCCAAAGGAATATAGTCTGAGAGAAATATTGACGTACCTGCAGATTCTTCGATCTCCTTCATCTCCTCTCTGACTCTTCGATTCGAATCTCATGCTCTGCTACAAAGACGCGCGATATTCGAACACACACTCGCAATGATACATACATACATACACAAGCATAATCTGCAAGTCGAGCTACTCCGATCTTTAAACAATCAATCAATCAATATGAACAATAGCAGCCACGGACCTCAACTCGACGCCACCGCTCTCTTCTCCTCATATCCCATCCTCGTCATCAAAAGCAAGCAAGCAAGACATCTATCTATCTATCTATATACACAACTCCTCCTCTACCTCCGCTGCACAAAAACCCTGAAACACAACCCGCGACCCTCCAGATCCAAGCACTAGCTGCGCGCGCGCTGATTTAGTAGCAGCGCCGTCGCGTCCGCGCATTTCGTTGTGTCTGATGAACGACGTGTGAAACGGCGTCTGTGCAGACAGACAGACAGGATTGCTATATATATGACTGAGGATGGAGGATCGGGGAGGGAGAATGGGAGAGGGTTGCATATGCAAGGTGATCTGGTGACGGTGGTGGAATGGAAATACTATTCTTCCACAGTGTGGATGGATGGATGGGTGATGAGAATATTTTTCGTGCGGTGGATGAGGTGTGTCGCTTTGACTTTGTATACTGAGGAGTTTCGAGTGTTGCTTTTCTGCGGGTTGGAAGGGTTGCGAGTTGTTTAGTGTTTAGAGAAAATTTTGATTGTTGTTGCGCGTGTATGGCTATTGTACTCAGTTATGCTCTGTTATTCTGCTATCCTTACTGAGTGCCATATGATTGTCAATTAGATATGTCTGCTTGCTTCTTATCTTTGTCCCAGTCTAGTTTCTTGCATTGCACTGGAAACAGTGTATCTACTATTGCTCTCTTGGTCCGACATACTTGCTCTTCTATTCTTGCCGTCATGATCTCTTATTTATGCAACGTAATTGTTGCCTTTGGCTCTTCTACAGCGATAAGGAATGTGAAAACATTCCTATTTCTCTCTACTACTATCCTCTAGCATCACTATGAAAAACTATTGCTACAATGTAGTATCAAAAGTAGACTCTATTCTTGTACGCCCTTCATCTAAGAAGAGCAACCTTGTTTTATCTCGTTCCAGCCACTCTAAATTGATAGAAGAGTAGATAGCAATTGATTTTTGTTCGGGAACTCTACATAGTACTTTTAAGCATAGTCGCGTTCTTTACGTACTTGAACACATGCACCCACTTTCTCCTATCAAGCATTGCTTCCGTATTCCCATCAAGATACTGTGTAAACTCCTCTTGACTCAAAGCCTTACAATGTCCACCATCACGATGAGTCGTGGAGCAAGTTTCGAACTAATAGGCATGTCGATAGCAATTACCTTTTTCAATTCAAGAAACTCTACATAGTAGTACCATTACACCCCTAATCTCCGTCGTCGTGTGCTCTAATATTTTTTACCAACCCGCTAAAACGAACAATTCCTTTCTCCTATACCCTTACCTCGATACGTACTATCCAATCTCTAAACATTCATTTTGTTTGTTTGACCCAAACCCTCGCAATTCTAACCACAATAAGTACAACCTTCCTTTTCCTTAGCAACAGACAGACAGAGACAACCCCTGCACAATCACGGACGCCCTCTCCATGCAGACAGATAAAGCGCTATTGAAATCAATCATCTAGCGCAAACTCAAATCCTCTCCGCGCTCGCGAAGCGCTAGAGGCCTTTTCCGAACGCAAACAGTACGATACCGGTAGGAGGCGATCCTTATCTTGCTCCAATAGTGCCCATTCTCTCAGCCTTATGTAAGAAGTGAGGTCGGCACTTGGGTTGGCACTTGAGTTTAGGTTTTTTTTTTGCGGTCCCGGAGGTGGACGGGGATGATGCATGTATGCGGGTGAGCGGGCAAGGATAGGGATAGGGATAGGGATAGGGGTCGTTGAACTTACTGTAGCCTTGGTTGGGGAGGGATTGGTTGAGATGGTGGGTTGCAAAATTTTACTTTGGTGATGAGAAGGTTTGTTTTGAGGATTAGATGGGGATTGGGGGGTTTTATATTGCGAAGTCTTCGATTATACAGTTTCCTTGTTAGGTATCTTAGTCGTTAGAGGGCCCGGAGACTGGAATCGAATATTTCCAACTAAGAAACTCTCCCATCAGAGATCATGGAAAGATGTGGGGTAATCAGTGATATGGAACCATGGTGATGTGCTTCACTTTTTGTTTAATGCCCTAATGATCCAAATGTTCTGATCATCCAAGGCGGTTTTGACATGAGGGCAAATAGATGAAGTAGTCCTCTTGGTTTCCAGCTTCGGAGTAGCGGCCCTTTTATTTTGTTTCTTCAGCTTGTAGCTTGTACTAATGAAATGAAAGATGCATAGACTGGCAATTCTGAGCGTTGCTCCTTTATGAGCAAGGTGCTTTGTTGACGTCTACTGTCTGGATTGATAGAAGTAGATGTCCTCTGCCGAAAAAGAAAAGAAGCAGAAATAGAATCCGACTCCTTTCAATAGATTAGGACAATGATCTCTGCTGAAATATAAGAGACATGAACTTCAACACTTGGTGACCAAAATGTTCATTAGCCCAAGGAAAATCTCGCACCATGAAATCATCCGGTAAAGGACGAGGGTTGGGTTTCTCAACACGAGTTTTGCGGAGAGACCAGTGTTTACCAGCGCAGATCCCGTCGTTGCCGACACTCTGCTTGTAAATTGGTATATATATAAGACATCAAGTACTTATATGAAGGTGTGATCCTCCCAAGGTATTTTCACTCCGATGTACCTTACATCTAGGAGTCCTGACTCATAACGTATTCCCACTCCAACGTATTTTAGCCTATACGCATCCCCCACCGCCCCTATAATTAAGTACATGATACATGATCTCCTCCAACATTTCTTTATCGTCTCCGTGAGCGCGACCAACTTCGCCACTCAAATCTAGCATGAACAAATGTTCTCTGCTTACATGGCACGAGGCTGGAATCGATAATCGTTATACCTCGGAAGGACGAGAGGATTTCTTCGGACTGGAGATCTTGAACGTTCGCCTCGCGGGTAGCTGTGAACTCGTCCCTCGGTAGCAGCTCCAGGTCCAAGTAATTGAACGAGAACGAGAAATACAACTTCCCACAGAAAAGTACCGGGTAATAATCCCATTGTCACAGAGGTCAATTGATTAGAATACCGCTCGCCTTCTTGAAAGGTCAAACTGGATGCAAGAACAAACGCCGTCAGCATTCCCAGCATTGCGATTATCAAAGCCATAAGTCCGCCAGTCCTCATGTGCCTTCGAAGTTTGTCTTTCACCAGTAGGATATTGAGCCCTGCCGCGAATAACGCAGCGACGGCTAGATCAGCGGCAGAGATCCTGCTGTCCATGCCAATAGAATAGCACGCAATATTGACTAAGCCGGTAGGTATTACCAAGCGACTTGTCTCTCGCCAGTGGGGAAAGTACATGGTGCCAGCGAGGATACTCCCAAGTATCGCGGCGAGGGCGATAGTTCCTGGTATAGACGACGCTGCTTCCGGAGATAGAGGCCCTGTTGGCATAGCTGACACAACTTGCATTTGACTCAGGAGGACGATCCCAGCTAATGATTTTGGAAGACATTGAACCGTCCGTCTTGCAATACACCATAGCTTGCCCAGAGTAAGAGATTCGGAATTGTAAGACCGAACTTCTGCCTTTTGCTGAAGAAAGAGGATGTCCGCCAAGTATTCAAAGGCTTTCTTTGCGCGCGACAGGAACGTTTCCAATTGTCGTCCACGTGAGCTCCTATTTGTATCTGCGAAAACTGAATCCTGTTCGTCCTCGCGTGCAAACATAGAGGGGCGCTCAAGAGGTTTGTCTTCTTCTTCGTCGATCTTTTCATTCGTGAACCACTCTGCAGGAAAATAATCCTCGGCCCATAAAAGGCCACGGATCGCAAAGTCTTCTGGGAACGGACGGACATCGGCTGCTGGTATTGGGAATTGCTCGGCTTCAATACGACTTGAGCTTTTATACTGTGCCCGCGACGTATTAAGCATAATCGCGAGGAAATCCCAAGGGAAGTCCTTTTGAAGCAAAACCATAGCACTGGCACTAGCACGACGAGTCATATTGTGCATGAAAACCAAGGTAACATGGATGAACGGAAGAACGTTTGGGTCGCCAATCCTTTGAAGAACGATCTGAAGTGTTGCGTTGATAGAATATGAATCGCCAATTCTTGGAGCACCGATCTGGGGTGTCCCATCGTCGAGGCCGTGCATGGAAGTGCTGCTTGCCGTGTTGGAGTTGACGATTTGCATCAATATGTTGTCCTTGGGAGCGAAACCGGTTAAAGCAACGCTGTTCGCAATAGCTATATGAAAGCCCTGCTCCATGAATTTCCTGGTCACTCGGCCAATCTGATTATCCAGTAGGGTAAGAAATTCGTCCTTGGCCGAGCTGAAATGATCAGTCTTGTTAGTAAACAGGAGACCATGAGCTTTGACGAATGCTATGTCGAGAGGAGGAAGTCTATGACACATGGTGCTAGGATCTGAATCGAGGATAGGATCGAAGAGTGTAAGTATTGACTCGCGAGCAGATGTGAAAGGTATAGCGACACAAAGTGATTTCGAGTAATAAAACAATTGCTGCACAGCGTTCGGCCGTGCTAGGACTGCAAGATGGTGGTAAAGCCGGCCTATTGTGGGTGCTTTGTCTGAAGCCTTGGAATACCAGTGTCGCGCTACTCCGGTCCACACCTCTCGGTCTCTGATATCATCATCCTCAATCGCCATCCGATATCGTCCCAAGTCCCCAAGGCACTCTATCCATGCGTCTTCGAAGGCTGGAACGGTTTCATATAATAACGCCATCATGGAATAAGCTAGATATATGAACGCAAGCATGTGATCTAGCGATGCAGGTAGCCTGTGTCGTAGTAATTCAAGGAATGAATGGATTCCGTGCCGCCACATTCTAGCAGGCATTGCATACTTCGATGCTAGTCTACGCAAGGCCGGGCTAGCTGAAGGATGCTGGGATGCGAGAAAGAAGTCATGATGTTTATGTAGTAGGGTTCTATGGAGAGCAATCAGTGCTTGCCACTGCTCGTTGTTGAGCTTGGGTTGAGAGGTTCCTTGGGCCAGTATAGCTTGCTTGTTGTCGACCTCGATACATTTGGCTTCCACCATGACTAGACCGGCATAGATACCTTTCACTTCTGCCACTAACTGTTCTTGTGAGATAGGTCGGGTTTCGGGTTGGGGGATAATGTCATAGCTGTCATCGCTCGCAGGTGAAAATAGGTTCTGAGAAGCAGCAGGGCTGCTTTGTGCGAGGGGCGCTGGTGACCGGGTGCTTTGAGAGACTTGAGAAGGCTTCTGTGGTCGTGGAGAGCTCAGAAGTTTTCTTGCCTTCTGAACCTGAACCGAAGCAATATTTGAGGAATCTTGTACTGATGACCTGGTCAAAGGTGCATCGCGCTCTGTCCACAATTGCCGCCGGGTACTCGAAGTAGGCCTTGGGACGTCGAACATGTCTCGCGTCTCCGCCTCAGGGGAGGCAAACGGAGCTGAAGTTGGCCTTGCTTTTGACCGTCTTGGTGGGGGACTTGCAGATGAGTCTCTAAAAGGGCTAGCAGAGCCTGCAGATATACCATCGCCAATTGCAGCTCGTTTTCTAGGCTGGACACCTGCGGCTTCATCGGACAAGTCTCTCATATCAACATCCTCAGCAGGTGTGCCCAGATTTAGTGCTCCTAGTCCAGAAATTGATCGAGCGCCGGCAAGGCGTGTCGGTGTAGAAAGCGGACGGTTTGACGGTGGTGGCTCTGGGCTAGCCCTGTTTGCTTCGTTCAAGTTTGGTTGTTCTTTGGGGTCATCTCTCGAAGGCCTGCTCGATCAAGTAGGTCAGCCTTGTAATCTCCATATAGGACAGTTGGTACAAAGACCTCGAGGTCTTTTGAGCACACTCAGCCTCATATTCCTCTCGGAATTTCTGCAGAGCATTGAGCTCAGAAGGAAAGGATTGTAGATGGTCGTGTTGAGCATGCTCCCATAATGCGTCATTGGAGTTGAATATTCTTCGTTCCGGGCATAGAGTACACGCCCAGGACGGAGTAATCTTGTTCTTCCGCCGGAGGTGTTGATTCCAGCGGTCCGCTATCTGTTCTACTGTATTTGGCAGTCAGCGATGCAAAGACAGTGATCAACGCGAGGGAAGGAGAGAGAGAGAGAGAGAGAGAAAGAGAGAGAGAAAGAGAGAGAGAAAGAGAGAGAGAGAGTCGTACTTGGCGGCTTGTTTGCCATGATCGTGACGCAGTAGTTGAGTCTCGAGCGATGGAAAACTTGATAACGACTTGAAATCAGAAAACAAACAATTGTTCTTCGGACAAGACTTGCAAGACGCAAGAAAAGACAGAATTGGGGGGGAATGAGCGGAGGCGAAGCAGGAAAGAGGCGGATTGATGTAGAAGTGTGGGCGGGACGCCCTGTGAGGCTGAAGCTTTGGGCGAACCATCATGTCCAAAATGCGAACCGTAAATCGCGCAGGCGACCACCTCCCACCTGAACACACGTACTTGAAGCTTGACAGCCTCAATCCACCCATCCTTCTTAACTTTCGATCGCTTTCCGACCTCAGCCAACGCCGCTCAAGATAGCCAGTGTCAAAAATCATTGCTGGACATTCAAAGATGTCCTCTTTTCCCTCTTTCTATGGCCACCCTTATCTCGAAAGTTCTCCAGACGGTGGCGACAGCAAGACATATTACATACAGCAGTACAGCAAGGAAATCCAATGTAATATCGATTCAGAAGCAGTATGTGCGACGAAGAAATTGGGCAAAACGAAGGACGGTCCGGATAGAGGGATTCGAATTTTCAGCATTTTAGCTTCTCTCGCGTCAGCTACAGCAGCTGCAATCATTATGGGAAAATACCATCCGCGCCCATTTGAGACTGCCGAGAGTGCCTTGCGTACTGAAGAACGACGTCCTAGCTTATGGGATTTTCCCAGGCGGCATCTAGAAAAACTATCACAGTTTCGTGAACTGGATTCGATGAACCCTGGAGGCAGAGAAACGAAAATGCATAGAATGGGTTGTACTATTGCAATAGAGACCATCAAGGCAAGCAACTCAAAAGGATCGTTGGCAGAAGCATCACTAATGCTCGTGCAGTCAAAATTATCTCCTCTGGTCCAAAGACTACAAACGAACTTATCAGATCCTCCGCCACTGCTTTTCTTGGCCGCGTGTATCGTCTTCTCCGTTGCAATTGGAAATCTTTGGGAGTCTCAAAAGCAGAATGGTTACCGAGCATGGATTGTGGGCCTCGGAATGATGATTGGTACAATTGCGGCGTTGCGAACGGAGAACATATTACAAGAGGGAAAAGGGATTTTGGCGATGTCTGCTATTGTCGCACTCGCGATCAGCTCGTGCGTGCATAGCATGATGCGCATACACATGATACGCAAGCGGTTCAAAGCAATGTTAGCTGAACATACAGTTGATGGCCACATTGAAGGAGAGAAGAGACTTGCGGCAAAGGCAGGAATGGACGAGAAGCAATCAGATTTGGCAACAGCACCAGAGAAGGAAAGAACGACAACAGAGACAGTCGGAAATTAGCTGCTGCTTCCAGTGACACGGATTGCAAGACGGAGCGCTGGAGGAGAGAAGGAACAACAGGAGTTAGATGTTGTTTGAAGAAGTAAGCTCAGCAGATTGCGATGGAGTAAGGCGAGGTTTCCACCAGATGGAGACTTTGGCCGCGTCGGCTATAACCAGCCGACTCCTCACGTATCAAGCAGCATCTCGGCATATCGAGATGGCAGATTGGGCATTGGCCTTGCTGTTCATATACTTCACAAGTAGGGAGGATGCAAGAAGAAATATTCGCATGTGTAGGAGAGGCTACCTCTCCGAATTTGCAGGGCGAAAAAATGTACATAACCATCAAATGAGCCGGGTAAAGGCTTCATGATATTATTGTATGAGATCAATATTCCCGAAAAATCTACCTAGTAGCGGGTTCCCTTTCCCTCTCAGAACGCACATTGAATATCGAGCTCTGACCACAAATCCTGCCTCTGAGACACCATTCCTCTTGTATCCGCGGTACGCTTTCGAGGCAACTTTGTCTCGGAAGGTATGTACAATACCCAAGTGGCGACGAGTCGCAACCCGGCAAGCAGCCCAGAGTATTCGTTCCTTCCTCTCCCCTTGCGCTAATCAGAGCTCAATATCATGAATCGGTAACCAGGGAAGGGGGACAATCTCCTAGGCCAGCGGGCTAACCATCTTCGCTTTCTTGAATGTCCCTCAGTCCTTGGTATATACCAGCTTATCAAAATTGTCTGCAATCATTTTCACCAAGATCATGCTCTCCCCAACCAGTGTGTCCTACATCATTGTCCTAGCACCGTTCCAATGTTCGTTCTTATTTCCAGACTTTCGACAGCTTGAAGTTCCAACTTTGCGGAACCCCAGAAAGCTTTCTCCTCAATTTTAATCTACCCACAATGTTGATGTTCGTGCCCAGCTGCGAAGAACATCCGATGTAGCTCCAGTTCCAGACATTCAGGAGATTATGTATCTTCCACTCTGCGAATCATTCTTCAATGTCTGTGTCCAGGCTTATCTTTTACCTACCGAGAATGTTTACCTTCATTTCTGGACATTGAGAAAGTCAATATCTCACAACTCATGATAAAATTGTTCGTAAGGGAACTACTATTTGCCCATTGTATTCTTGTTCTCGATGACACCCAAACCATTAAGCATCCTCTTCGTCCGCTTCATCCTCGTTATCCTCCTCATCCTCCCATACAAGATTATCGATGTCCCCAGCCATAGCATGTCGCACAGTAGAGCCGGAAAAGCACCTCGAACTCAACTCTGGTAAGCAGGTCATCAGCTCCTCACTTTCACAACTACCTCACGAACCCTTCCTCTTGTCTATGTACATTCAGGCCGAGCTTTCAGCTCTCGTATAAAGTCTGTCGATATCTCCACACAAAAAGCAAAACTCCCTGTACAAGCTCACTGAATGTGGTGAGGTCTTCCACGGGGAATAGGCACGTTATATACCACCACCAGCCAAAAGCTTCATCTATCCCTCTTAAAGTTCCACCCAGGAAGGTGATTTGGATTTGGCTCTTTGGGCTTTTCTCCAAAAGTCCCTTCGATCCATTCTCCATTGATGACCTATATGGTCGTTTGCGTTTGATTTGGTGAGCCGGGCACAGTTCGCACAAATCCATCATATCCTTGTGGTCTGTCAGGTAATTGAAAAAGTCTGAGCGGATTTCCGTCTCTCTCTTTGTCGGTATTGTTTGGCTCGACATTGTTCATTGATGATTGAAGAATATCTGACTCCAGCTCCAGACATTGAGAAGTCGTAAATCTTCACACATACAAAATACATTAAAAATAGTTCCTGATTTCCGTCTCCCAGCTAAGCTTTCAGATGTTAAGAGTTTCTGGCTTCTCTTTGGGACATCGTAAATCAGCTTCAACAAAATTCGCCCAAGAATCACGATCTCACAAATGTTCTCAAAAATGCCCTTCAGAATATACTGGAAATTCAAAGCAATTCATAACGTCACTCCCTACGTAGCGAGACGCACCCTGTAACGAGACAAACTATAGGTACTTCAAGTTCAAGCGACTTCAAATCTGTGAACGCTATGAAATTTCCATCCATTTTCATTTCAGTACATGATATACCTCCCCCAAACACTCCTAGTATACTAGTCCCAAAAAATATTATTATGTCGTCGCCGCCCCTTTGAATTTACAGAGAGCCTTCTTTTATACCATAATCGGACCCTTCGAATTGGAATACTACTACTAAGCTTTTTCACCTTTTAACATATGGAAAGGTTAGATATGAATGTCCAGGTTTTATTATACGGCTATAAAGCTATTGCTACAATTGTGGCGGGTCGGGCGTGCCCTGTCATTCGACGTCGCCACATGAGCTGATACCTGCTCTAATTAAGCGATCATGATCATGGACAGTAGCGGTGTGGTTGTAGTAATCTCGGTTGAGTTTCTGCTAATCGTGTGGCTGCGACGTTTTTATGGCTGTGCGTACCTTGCCGGAATATTCCTTGTTTCCCGACATCTTCCGATTGCGTTAGAGCAGAAAGTGGCCCTGTGCCGAGCCAACGAAATCGGCCTCCCTGTTCCTGGGGAAATGCTTCAAACGCTTCCGAATTTTCACTTTCGGCTTTCACTTTTTCTACAGTGATTTGCGAAATTGTTGTCAGGTTGGAAACATTAATGAATGTTGTTTTGGCCCCACATTCCGATACACTAAGCTATTATGCCTAGCATTTCACCCCACGCTCCCGAATCTTACACGTGACATTTATCTTGGTGCCTTCCAAAATTGCTGGCATAAACATGCACTTGAACAGTTTAATCTACTATCAAGGTATTCGACAGATTCATCAATATCTACTTCGTACTTTAACTCTCAAATAGTCCAACCCCCTGTGATCACGCTAGCGTTCCATCACCATTACCTTCAACTCGAGCTTTTAGATTTCTGCAATGTCTATCAGAGTCTTGTAGAAAGCCTTGCCTCTTAGTTGATATCATGCAGTTAATTGATTATGATCTCTTGAGATCCGCTCAGCTCGAGATTAGGGTTCTAACGCTGTGTCCTCTCAAGGTAACGGCATCCGAGGACGACATCACCAGTTCGACTAGTGCTACACGGATTAAGTGTATACTCCATACCGTATCACTACATGCGAACCCTTCGTACATTGCTCTCTCATACACCTGGGGCGAACCAACCCCTTGCAAAACAATACAAGTAAACGGCAAGGCTGTCGCTGTCCGAGCAAATCTTGAAGCCGCCCTTCTACACATTCGAGAGGAGAATCGTCCAGTAGCTCTCTGGGTTGATGCAATATGTATTGATCAATCCAGTAATGAGGAAAAATCCGAACAAGTGCAAATAATGCGAGATATTTACGCAAAGTCTGAGTATGTTTTGGTATGGCTTGGAGTGGCTGCTCAAGACAGCGATACTGCTATGAAAGTACTGAAGGAAACCGGTGAGCTGGCTATCAAGGCTAGAATCTTCGATCTACGAGGAAAGGACCTGGAGAATTTATCAAATCCTGAAGGAGACGATCGCTTGAATAGCATCAAAACATCACTCGATGCTTGTGCCCAAGCGGCTGACCTCACGCCATTCCATACATCCCTGAACGACTTTTCAGAGCGAGAATACTGGACGCGCACTTGGATTGTGCAGGAAGTGAGCGTTGCTCGAGATGTAATGCTTATGTGTGGCTCAATGAAACTACCATTCGAAACTTTCGCCGCTGCTTCTAATTTCTGTGGATTTACCAGATTGAGGCTTGCGGAGAATATGACTATTGCACAATGGATGGACCCAATTCGGGGGCCTCTTATCAAAGCTGCCATGGCGAGGGCACCTAGTGCCGCTCCAAATATCATCATTGGGATACGAAGGAGATACCAGAGGGAGACTGGCAATCCGGAGTCCTTCTTTGGACTTTTGAAGCGGAGCTGCTTCGATCGAGGAGCCATACACCCACTCAAAGCTACGGATAGCAGAGACAAGATTTATGGCCTTTTAGGACTAGATCCCTTTCCCCTTCAGCTCGGTATATTGCCCGACTATTATAAAAGCACTAAAGAAACATACATAACAACTACACGGGCATTGATTGTCAGCGGTAAAATCAACATTCTGGCGTGGTCACAGCAACATAAAGTCATCAAAGGTTTACCAACTTGGGTTCCGGATTTTTCATCTCCTCTCCGCGACCCCTGTGGAGAAAATGACCGAATAGGATCTGAGGAAGCTATATTCTGTGCATCAGGGCAGCAAGCAGCTTCAATACTCTCCCACGAAAATGAAAATGTGATGAGCATACGTGGAGTATTGATCGATACTATTGACTCCATGGGATCCCCCTGGCGAACAAGTGATAGTAACGAGTTGTTTAATTATGAGGAAGCAACACGCTTATTCGATGAAATAGAAGATTTCTGCAAGCTTTCAGAGAAATGTGGGTCAACCCTGACCCAAGACAAAGAAAAATGGCCAGAAGCAATATGGAGAATCCCATGCGCTGATCAAGAAGGCAAGTCCTCAGGGCGAGTTAGGGCTTCCTCGGCAGTTCATTCAGCTTACCTCGAATTGAAACTACCGGATGCAAAATTTAAACACGCGTCGCTGGATCGCAGACGTTACCAACGAGTAATGATGTCACTTTATGACAGACGTCCGTTTATTTCGACAGAGGGTTTCGTTGGACTTGTACCAGCGCACTCGCAACAAGGAGATCTGATTTGTATCATTATTGGGGCGAATTTCCCGTTTATACTGAGAAAAACAACAAATGAACAATACGAGTTGGTTGGAGAGGCGTATGTTTATGGGACTATGGACGGAGAAGGGCTAAAATTGGGCAAGGATGTTGAGGTTTTAAACCTTTGCTGAATGTTGCACGTTGACATCCACAGTGTAATTATATCGCATTATTTTAGATATGAATCTTGGCTCAACACTTCTTTACATATGACTGGAGAGTGAGATAATCCAGTTGGGTGTAAATGAGCTCCAAAGAGGCCTAGACATGCTCATATATGCGAATGGAGTCGAAGACGTAGTTAACCTAAGAGTACTTGGAAATCTTTCAAGCTCTAAGAGAGCAACCGGGAATTTTAACTAGGGATCGTCAGTCTCACAAACTACTCTCTTGGCAGCGATTTTGCTGAAGTCCATCAAGAGTGAGTATAGTATGGTGATCTATATCTTATGAAAGGTTAGTTGTAGTCTGAAGCTTCCTTCCTCTGACAGTTTTTCTGGCTTCCACTTGCTTACAACGCGCTTACAACGCTGTAGTGTATTCTCAACAACATTTTCATAATCTCAAGTACCGTGCTGGGAACTCCCGCACCTAACAAGCATCCCTCATATTCTGTCACACCAGTTTGACGAACGCCGATTGCCATGCACAATGGTGATTCTTCAGCGATAGTCTAGATATCACATGTGATAATCCGGAGTGTGGGTTTGTTGAGGTCAAGACTCTAATGAATCCACAACGTAGCAGGTTGGTAGTAGAGACACACAGTAGTACAATAAGTAGGGGAATCAAGTTCGTATTGTTCGCTATGTAGGAGTCAAACTCCGGGCCTCACGGTCGGTTTTACAGGTGATACGTGTTCTTAGTGTGGTGTTTGTGAGGTCTGTGACCTGATAATCTAAGGCCACACTTCAACAGAAACCTGCTCTTACGCCACACACGTGATGAGATCTGAGAATCGTGGCCAAGTAAGATATAGCGAGATCAGGCGTGAACATAGTAAATCTATCTCAGCTAATATAAATTACTAAGCACTAAAACATGTTGCCTCTTCCCTCGCCGCCCAGGAGTAACTCCTAGATTGTATCATTTTCTCTTTGAGCATCTTCAAAACTTAGAGCTATGTTCTTCCTTAGTAAAACATTTTATCAAGTGCTCCGAAATTTGAAGAGATCTCGATAGTCATGATAAAGTAAGGGAGTACTACCGAAACGGCGATAAATACCATGTTTAAAAAGATCGACAACATAATTTAGCATAGTCCCTTTCTTGCTATAGGGTGGCCCCCAAAGGAGAATTAGTTAAAGAATATAGCATGTTAATAACAACTTTGTAGACCTGCTAAGGAAAAAGTTGTAATTGCTAAACTATGGATTTGTCTCGTTACAGGGTGCGTCTCGGCACGCAGGGATAGACGTTATCATGGTATACCCATCCCATCCCACCACCTCGCTATGCAAAATCACTAAAAATAAAATCCTCAACACCAAACGCAATGCACCTAATCAAACCTTCCCCTTCCCTTTCCCCTTCTTCCTCCCACCACCACCACCAGCCTTCTCCTTCTCCACCACCGGCACAACCAAACTCCCCCCCTCCAATTCCCCCCTCTCCAACCCCTCCTCCCCACCACCCCCATCCATCTCCCGAATCTTCTCCTCGGCACTAATACTAAAAAGCAAATCCCGATTCTCCTCCCTCAACTCCGCATTCTCCTCCTTCAGCCTGCTGACCTCCTCGCCCAGGCCCGCAACACTCTTATTCACAAACTCAATCCTCTCCATCAGGCCCTCGCTCACCTTCTTCTCCTCCCGTAGACTCTTGCCAAAGCCGCGCGCGACCTCGGAACTCTTCTCCGCCTTGCGCTTCTCGCGCTCCAGGTCCTTCTCTAGACTGATCAGGGTCTCTTCTTTCAATTTCCTGTTCTCGATTTCCAGGGTTTGGAGCTTGGAGAGAGCTTCATCTGCGCGCTGTGTAGCAGTTGCGGCAGAAGTACTGGCCACACTAGCTTTCGCGACTGCTTTTCCGACCAATTCCTCGAAATAGACGCGTTGGCTCTCGAGTTGGCTTGTGAGGAGATGTGTATACTCCATGCCGATCCTCTCCAATTTCTCGCGCGGCACCATGTCATCTCCACCGCCCGTCCGGGAACTGGAGGGTAACTCGATAACTTTACTGTCTCCTTTATCGCGGATGAGTCTGTGAACCCACATATCGCCCGCATAATCCCATACATGCTGCGTCTCGATCTCCAGCGCAAAGTTGTGCGCGGAGTCCTTCCAGTGCTCTTTGGCGTGGCCGCCTTTGTAGCGTCCGCAACCTACGACGCCGCAGATAAGGCAGATCCAGAGGTCCTCTGTGGAGTCGCAGACGCTGCAGAGTGAGGCTTCGCCGCTGCCGAAGGGGGGGTTGGCGGGATCGTAGGGGTACGCGGAGGTATTTGATGGGGAGGAGGCGGCGAGGGAGGGGTTCGTGTGTCTGCAGACGGGACAACCGCTTCCTTTCCATTTTTGTAGACAGTCGCAGTGGAAGACGTGTTGGCAGAGGATGGTCAAGAGACCTGTCGTATCGTCCATTCGCTCGAGACATACAGGGCAGGTAGGTAATTCGACGAGGTTCGGCGTAGGAGGAGGGAAGGGTTTGAGGAATGTCGAAGCAGATGTTGAGGGTGTGAAGGGGTCGTGGGATAGCTCTGGGAAGCTTGTATTTGGTTTCGAAGAAGCAGGAGTTTGGAAGGTAATCGACTTGATGAACATAACATGGCAAGTTTCTGGCTTTAAGACTGTCAGCTCATTCTCTTCGTCAAGATAGATAGAGGAAGCTCTCACCTCCATAGTAGTAAAAACCTTCCCATCAAACTCCTTCCTCCACCTCTTCGCCACCCCTTCATCCCTAAACTTCATAAGCACCATATACCGATTCAACCTCCCCGTCATAACCATCCTAAAATGGCTAACCTGCTCCCTCGTCTTCTCGCCCACAAACCCCAGAAAATCGCTCGAGGTAAGATAGCTCGGCACAGCAGGGACACACAGCACCGTACAATCCTCATCCGACGTGTCCTCCGCAGCATAGATCTCCTCCCTCTCCAACCCCACTGTCTCCTCCCCATCCCGATACAGATGAACAATGCCCCACCCAACCTCTGTATTCTTGCCCTCCACAGGATCGAACCTCGCTTTCGTGACTCTGCCTCCGCCAACGACGCTTGCTGTAGCAGCGTTCAGTCCAGCAGAACGTCCATTGGACCCCGCGCCCGCAGAACTGCTCTCCCCTCTCATCCGCGGACCAGGTGTATGCGTAGACTCCATGTTGGTATCCAAGTCCAAACTCTCAATCCTGACCCTCCCAAACCTCCAATCCCTCTTCGCAGTCTGGAAACCAGCGAGGGGACTCTCTTCGTCGACAGCTCTCCCAGGCCCACAATCTCCTCCTCCAGACCTAAGTCCTTTCCCAACTTTTTCTTCACCACCAACTCTCTTATGATCAAGCCACCCCGAATTCTGAAAAACCCCGCTCCCCTCACGCGGGATCCAGACTTTTTCTTGCTTTTCTTTACTCGTCTCGGATGGATAAGGATAGAGCTCGAATTTCAGGTGGTAGAAGTATGAGGGCATGCTTTTACCGTTGGGAGGTGGGGATTGCGCATGTCGGAGCTTGAGCGGAAGATGGATAGAAAGACAGAGAGACCGGGAGATGGGAGGAGTTTCTAGAGGATTCTGAGTGGCGACAATGTGTCCTGGGCAATGTTGAAAGAGTTGGAGAAGAAGAGTAGATGTGGGAGTTTCAATTGTGGTTCGCTGTGAAGAAAAGAAAATCTACAGTTCAGCCTTGCGCTCGCGTCATTTAGTGCTATTTGTCATAAAGAAGTTTAAAACACAAGACTTTACAGTCACAATAACGAGGTATCACGATCAAAGTGGTCAAGAACGGTTTCGTAGTCTCCGAATTTATATTCATTGGACTCTTGCAGGTTTCAGCGCACATGCCAGTGCGACCATGCCTATCTACGACCCATGGTTATACCCGAGTCTCGACCAGTAACGCCATCGCAAATCATAGATCCCATGCCATGCACACACCTATTGCCCACCACGGAGACGGAGAACCAAATGGAGAGTCGACTCCTTTTGGATGTTGTAATCACTCAGTGTACGCCCATCCTCCAATTGCTTACCAGCAAAGATCAATCGCTGCTGGTCGGGTGGGATACCCTCCTTGTCTTGGATCTTCGACTTGACATTGTCAATGGTGTCCGAAGACTCCACTTCCAATGTAATGGTCTTTCCGGTCAAAGTCTTGACAAAGATTTGCATACCACCTCGGAGACGAAGAACCAAATGAAGAGTCGACTCCTTTTGAATGTTGTAATCTGACAAAGTGCGGCCGTCTTCAAGTTGCTTACCAGCGAAGATAAGTCTCTGCTGGTCGGGTGGGATGCCCTCCTTATCCTGAATCTTGGACTTGACATTGTCGATGGTGTCCGAAGATTCAACCTCCAGAGTGATAGTCTTTCCAGTCAAAGTCTTAACAAAGATCTGCATACCTCCACGGAGACGGAGCACCAAGTGAAGGGTGGACTCCTTCTGGATGTTATAGTCGGAGAGAGTTCGGCCATCCTCAAGTTGCTTGCCGGCGAAGATGAGACGTTGTTGGTCAGGGGGAATGCCTTCCTTGTCCTGAATCTTCGACTTCACGTTGTCGATGGTATCGGAAGATTCGACCTCAAGAGTGATGGTCTTGCCAGTCAGGGTCTTGACGACTGCGGAGGATGTTAGCAGGTGAAGATAAGGCTGAGGCGCAAAGATGAGAACTTACAGATTTGCATACCGCCACGAAGACGGAGGACGAGATGGAGGGTAGACTCCTTCTGAATGTTATAATCAGAAAGGGTGCGACCGTCCTCAAGCTGCTTTCCAGCGAAGATCAAGCGTTGTTGGTCGGGTGGGATTCCCTCCTTGTCTTGAATCTTGCTCTTGACGTTATCGATGGTATCCGAGGACTCAACCTCAAGAGTGATGGTCTTTCCGGTGACTGCGCAGATGTTAGTTGGTGTTGAAGGCGAGGCGGCGTCATAACCAGAGGGGTAGATAAGGGCGCAACTTACGGGTCTTGACGAAAATCTGCATGATTGCGATGTATGAAGTGTTTCTGTAATGAGATATGGGTAGGCGTGAAGGATCTTGATGATCAGAGAAAGTGGTTGGAAGTTGAAGAAGTTGGAGTTGTTGCGAGATGGAGGAAGAGGAACGGAAGAGTGGAGGTGTCTGCCTTTATGTAGGCTGGGAAGGCACGCTAAGCGAGTTTTTAGCGCTCTTTCTGGCTTTCGATATGGAACTGGCTGGAAGAGGAAGCGGCAGCCTTATTCACCCAGCAGCTGAGCCACGGTGAATGACTGCGCAGGAAATTTCGAGAGGCTTCCTCTACGCCCGTACGATTTCGATTTTGATTCACATATTATGGCATCATTCACACAAATTTTGAGGTTATCAAATTTTTTCTTACAGCATGCGCCGAAATCCTCTCTTCTTTGTCATCTCACGTCCTGCTTTCAGTTCATGTCAGAATCATGCCACCTTCACCTTCCATGCGAGATAAGAGTCCAAGCAAGGCTCTCAAAGGCCACCATCCCCAAATCGCCTAGCGTGAATATTAAGTCTCGACCCCGCCTCCATCATCAGCGATGGCTGGCCTCTGGAATGCTCACCAACCTCTCCGTGTCTCGGAAGCCTGCTGTCACGAGCCATGCCTCCCCTCAACAGATCCGATTCACGATGCTCATCAGGTCGTGGGAATATTCGCAAAGGTTGAGTGAAGCTGGCCTGGGAATCGTGTCTCTTCTTCCTCTGCGCGGTGAAAGCGCGGAGAAGCGGGCTGACCGAGCAGGATTCGTGCGTCATCGGTTTCAAAGATTGCGACGCATCCCCGACGACGGATTGCAAGGTTGATTATTCAATTGCCTCACTTTCCCGAGCCCCCTTTTGACTTGCGGTGAGTTGATGGGAGTATTGGATAGGAATGTTGCGAAAAGATCTTGGTACATTTCGAACTTCTCAGCTACATTCTAAGAAGTTTGCCTCCAAATCGATGGCATGTGACGCGATTGGAGGGTTTAGAGAGAGTTCTTACAATCACTGCAACCTCATTTTTTGGAAGCGAATCTCGAGAATTTATTTTTCTTTTGACATCTAATGTCTATGTCTGATCGAGGGTATACAGCGTATCCTTCGTACATCTGTTTGGCTGTCATCCATGAAAGAATGCGAGCATTGCCGAGTCGGCGAACCCCGGGTTTCCAACGCCCAAGAGATGCTGCCATCCCATCTCAAAAATATCTCCATAAGCTAAGCTAAAACACAACCGTTAAAAGCGTAAAGTCCTTGATCTTCGTGAAAAAATCGATCATTCATACAGGTCCTGCCAAACATCATCGTGACGGGTCGTTAAATGACTGTTCACATCGCTATGCCGTTTCGTAAAAATGGGAAAAAGATAAAAAGTTGCCCTCGCTGTTGGCTTTCCTTCCGTGTGTTGTGTGGGAACAAATGAGAGGTTTTCCCCGATTACAAAAGGAAGAAGAATAGTTCGAAATAATGGCCCCGGAGAGCCCTCCATGAGCAGCATCGCTGAGTTTGTACAGTCGAATTCGCAAAGTGGATATATAGAAGGGTATCTGCAGAAAAAGAAAACTAGTTGGCACGGATGACAAGTTTCGACAAAAACTTATTTGACAGGCAGTCAAAGTCTCTTCGGTCGAACTTTGCATCGGGACGTGTCTTGAGGTAGGATTCTAGGAAGAGGTTAGTGCCAGGTTTTCAAGCGAAGCATTGAGAGACTTACCGTGCTTGGTGACATGTTCTTTCATTTCAGTCATTGCTTCGCAAACGGCGACGTTGTTGTTCAGGAGTTGACCGTGTCTTCGGGTATCCCACTCGGTGAAAGAAGGAAGCTTCTGGGAGATGGCGTGGAAGAGACCGACGATAACACCAACTGGGGTCGTCTCCATGTCACTGCAGAATTTGTTGACAGCGGCAGCATCGGGAACACGGTAGTGGCAATCGAATTGCATCTCCTCCCAGACAGCAAGGAGGATAGAAGCAAGCATGAAGATGGTGGGCCAGTTCTTGAGCCTGTCACCACTGTAGACACTCGAGTAGAGCGAAGAAAGTTCCTCAAGAATTTCCTTTTGCAGCTCACGCCACATGTCGGCTAAGGCACATTTGATCTGGAAGTTGATCATGACGGGTGCGATAATCTTGCCGTTGTACTTAGAGTCCTCATCATCGATATACCCTTCCATTGGGTGTTCGTCGCCACGTTGCTCGACCATGGTGACATGGAGAGTGAGGTTGTACGCAAGAACAAGCTTCAAGGCTTTTCGGATCACTGGCACCTTCTCCTTGACATAGTAGCGATGGGCAGTCTTCAGGATCTCAGTGATGAATGGGGTTCCCTCAAAGTAGTCATCAATGAACTCCTCGAAAGGTCCGTCCAGATGCTTGTCAAGATACTCCGACAGTGCCTCAGTAGAGATACCTTCTGATCCAGCCGACATGCGCTCAGTGCGAGTATCGAATTCGAGAGGCTCCTCGTGCTCGGTCTCGACCCAGTCGACGGTGAAGCAACTGTCGTCGCTAACGTATACCTCGCGAGCCATGATGGGAATAGCGAATCCGTAGCCATGGGTGATCCAGATAAGCTCTTCCTTTTGAGCAAAGCCCTTGATGTTGTAGACAGAAACCCCACGGCCGGCATGTCGCTCGTAATCCGCTCTCCAGTCCTTCATGAAATAGCCAATATCCTTGATATCAATCCGAGTACAAGGCACCTGCCAGAGTCTAGCATGCGAAGGCTGGCAGCCGGCACATGGTTCTCCCTTGTCACAAGTCTTCTTGAGGAACTTGCATCGTAAGCAGGCTCGCAACTTTCTGATTTCACTCGCTTGCTTTCGCTGCTCTGGCAATAATGGTCCGCGTCTTCGTCCAACGCGCTTCTCAGTATCTTTCTTTCCATTTGATGTTGTTCTCCGAATGACGGCCTTGGTGGCCTTCGCTGTGGGGCTTTTCCTTGGAGCTGAGTTCCTTCGGGCGGGAGGGGACGAAGTGGATGATGGAGTGGTACGGCTTGATGGCGACATCTTGATAGGAACAGGTGCAACAGCGGCGGCGGGGCTAACTGTCTCATGGTTGTGGTGATGCGACTCGCCATGAAAGCAGTTTCGGTGTCCAGAAACGTCGAGGTAGTTGTCAGAATCGGGTGAGTAAGGCGAGTATGGATATGAGATGTCTTCGAAGCTGCCCACGAAGGATTCGATGGTGTGGCCTGTGCCGTCTGATTGAGATGAGTCTGAGTGAGTTCGTAGATGAAGTGTCTGTCCAGGATTGAAAATAGCAGCATTCTGAGCTTGTTGGTATGCCTCGAAGTTGGGAAAGTGATCAACCGTAGCCCATCCATTGTCACTACTCGAGCTTGGGAGCGACAAAACCTCCAGGTAGGTTCCTGTCGGGGAGTTGCTTCCAAGGCTTTGACGACCTATACTGGGCAAGCCATCGTTGGCACCCGTGAAGTTCATTGCATTCTCAATCTCATGCCAGTTCGCCCACATCGCTGCTTGAGCTTCCACCGACTGTGCAAGTCCATTGAATGGGGCCTCCATTTGAAGTCCGGCTTCAAAAGCTGCTTGCGTCGACGGGAGGTGATACTCTAGAGGTGATTGAAAGGTGCCTCCGAAAGCATTGAATTGCGTCCCCATCAACGAATTGTCCTGTATATATTGTGGGAGTTGCTGAGGTTGTTGCTGTTGCATCGGCCAGTCGGTTAGGAGGGTCGGTGAGTTGTGGTGAGCAGCGTATTGCTGATTGTGCCCGGGAGAGCGAGACTCGTCATCAACAGTTCCTGAGGCCATAGTATCGAGAGGCATAGGCCACGTCGAGCGAGCTGCCATACTGGTCGTGAACGGATATCTGGGATCTCGATGGTCAAAGTTTAGATCCAAGAGACCTTCTGATGAGAAGTCAAGATTCGAACTCATTGTCGCGGATGTTCTGTGACAGCAGTGGTCAATAGTATTGTACGGAGAGCGTCCTTTAGACCGCCCTTTCTCTTCGCAAAAGAGGAAGTCTTTTTAGAAGTCGGTGTGTCTCGTCACGAAGTTCTAAGGAAACTGGCGGTGAGGGTGCTCTTTAGCGTCCCCAGTGGTCTCAATTATCCCAGCCAATAGGGGGCGACGGTGGTCGTGCACGAGTCTCACTGCATGAGGCGATGCTGATTCGGGGTGGATAGGCGAGCAGGTAGTGAGGGGTGGGCATGGTGACCACTAAAAGACCCTGGAACAGACCACTAACAACCTCGTTTTTCAGCGCGTTGAGAGAGCATCCCGCCTCCTTCCACTCCCCTGTAGGTGAAAGTGGGATAAGTCTGGATACGTTACGCTCCAAACGTATCTGCCGACCAGCCACTCCAACTGAGGTCTCCGAAAGGTTTTATTACTTAAAGGCTGGACCCATTTCATCGTTATTTGCAGCTCGTCCTCCATGGTCTATCCTAGCCAGAGTCAGACTGAGGTCTAACAATCTCCTCAACTCCTCTCCGTTTGCGTGTGCACGTATCTGCATCTGGCCTCTCATTTCCAGATCGACGGTGGGGGAGCGGGGGACTATCGATCATAAAGGTTGATTGTGCTATACCTAGGTTTGACGACCTATATGGCAGGGACAATGGCTTTCCTGAGACTGCTCGAGAGTACTGTACAACCAAAGGAGGCAGTGCTGTGTTGCGATCCCGTGGAGAAAGGCGGGGGCGTCTCCAAACCTTCAGCACGCCATCAATCGGCACCAGCGCCAATCGAACGACTGTTGAGGAAAAGAAACCCCTTCGGAAGATTCGCGGATCTAAGACAACCTAGACAAGAATATCTCAGGTAGTCAGGTACGCTACGTGTATCATGATTCAAAAGAGAATGCACCGTGATTGCGAGTCAGTTTGCCCCTCATCATCCAGACTCCTCATCGCGTTTCATACCGAGTGAAGGACATGTAGAAATGGATACACGGCGACTTTGCCACTTTGAGTGAGCAGGATCGTCTGAATCTAACGACAAGCTGCATGCCGATATTCATGCGGTCCTCATGTTCGGCAAGCAGCGGCGTTGCATATCCAGCGTGGTGCCATTGGTCGAGTTCGAGAAATGTGATGCAAGAAATATGTCGGTATGCGCCGATTCGCATTCTAGCCGGCTGAACTGGATATCCACGCGCTTCACAGTATCTTCAGGCGAAATCTGTGCGACGATGACGGACATCCTGTCTGTCAACGGCTGGTGCTTTGAACACAGAGTGTCGTCTACATCCTTGATGTTTATCAGCCCTTGACAGTGATAAAACGTGCGATGAAGAGAACGTGGGGTGTGAGGGGTAAAGTAGTTTCAGGGAGCTGACTGCTACGCTCGGCAAACCACATATGGTAACCCTCTTGAAATCCACATGAATTGATTGAATGCATCGGATCTCTCGTGATTTTGAAACGAATTGAAGTGAGCTTTCTAGTGAGACGCCGACTCGGTCTTTAATGTTTGGAGACAAGTTTCGAGATTAAAGTTTCATTCATCGTAACACCGGAAAATAAGCTGTAATTTTGGCTTGGCTGACGAGAGAAATATCGGCGGTCATACTGTATTACGGTGCCCAGGAATGCATTCGCATGTCGCAAAATTAAGGTTAATTAAGTAAGCGATACTAGTCCCGTTTCGCAGGAATGGGCTGTGACGACGAAAACAACAGAAAGAAACAGTCAGCGAATCAACTGTACGTTTCTTACAAAAGAGCCTCATATGACATTCCTTAGAGGAAAGAAGCAGAGAGTGCGCTTCGTAAGACGTGCGGTAGCTGGTCATGATAGACCCAATAATCAGCAGATCGAGCAGCCTGAACTTTGCTCGCAAGGCAGAAGCGATACTTTGGATGAGATTTTTGAAAGCTTATTTCCCTTCGTGTTGCCAGGCAAGACAGCAAGCATGATTCCCGATCTTTTCACGACACTCCCTCCTATTCGAGATTTATTGCACACGGGATCATCCCAAGTCCAAGACGAGACGATACAAGAATGCCTCCCATTTCTTTCAGGGCTGAAGTTGGACATTGAGTGCAATGAACATGGCATTCCACACCTTGACCGGAAAAAGCACATTACTTTTCTTCACCATAGTCTGAGGAACCTACCAGCGCCTTTTGTTGCGGCAGACGCAAGCAGACCATGGTTTTTCTATTGGGCGTTATCTGGACTCGTTGCCATGGGGGAGGATGTCTCTCAATACAGAGAAAGATTGATTTCTACACTTGCGCCTATACAGAACTCTGGTGGCGGTTTCGGTGGAGGTAACGGCCAAATGTCACACCTTGCTCCTACTTATGCAGTTATTTTATCTCTCATCATAGTCGGGGGGGCGGAGGCTCTCGACATCATTGATCGAAAGGCGATGTGGAAGTGGCTTGGCGCTTTGAAGCAACCTGATGGTGGATTCCAAATGTGTGTCGGCGGTGAAGAGGATATTCGGTGAGTCGCTATGTTGGGTTTATCTACGAAAATATAGCTTACACTATGGAGGGGTGCATACATTGCTGCTGTCATTATCACGCTCCTCAATCTGCCCTTACAGCTTTCGAAAGAATCTCTTTTTTGGTCACGTGAAGCTACACTACTAACAAACCTGCCGGAATGGATCTCTAGGTGTAAGTCAAGAACTGCTTTACTTTGTCAAAATACTTATGTTTTCAGGTCAAACATATGAGGGTGGGGTGTCGTCTCGACCAGATGCGGAAGCTCATGGTGCTTACGCCTTTTGCGCCTTGGCCTGCCTTTCCATTCTTGACGATCCTCATATCATAATTCCTGAGTACGTGTCTTGGTGTATGATCAATGCGTCATAAACTAATCCTTATTCAGGTATCTTGATGTGCCATGTTTAATCTCATGGCTATCGGCACGACAATATGCACCAGAAGGTGGTTTTTCTGGTCGCACAAACAAGTTAGTTGATGGTTGCTACAGCCACTGGGTGGGCGGTTGCTGGCCTCTGATAGAAGCCTGTCTCGACGGACCCTCCATTTCATCTGGGGACCATCTATCAGCTCCACTCACATCGGTTGGACATCTTTACAGCCGCGAGGGGTTGATCCGATACATACTTTGCTGTTGTCAAGAGCAGTCCAAGCGTGGCGGGCTGCGAGATAAGCCAAGTCAGTACGTAAATCCTGCTTTGAAATCGATTGGTTCATTCAGGCTGACTTTTACCAGTAATTCCGATTCATACCATACTTGCTATGTTCTTGCAGGCTTAAGCTCAGCACAGCATAAGTGGCACTTCAATACTTCTGCAACGAAAACCGAGAGCAGTGGAATGCTCACCGCTGCATATCAATGGACCTCCGACCCCATCCTTGAATACTCACAGATTTTTGACGAAGAAGATCGTGTCAATACCTGGCATCCTATCTTTGCGATACCCGAAGGTGCTTCTGAACGAGCCAGGTCACATTTTGAATCAAAGGGTGGCTTTTAAGCTACTTAGAAAGGAGAAGATCTCGCTTTGCATTGGCGAACGTGCCCACTAGTAGTGCAGGTGTCATGCAGAACACTATTTGGAACCCGTTAAACATTGCTGTGTGAAGCACGGGAAGATACTCGAGAACGGAGTGGCGGTTTGGCAAGGTCGGAAAGCGAAAGCCGCAAGCCACAGTTTTCACGAAGTCAATTACGGAAGAATGCCACTGATGGTTTGTATATGGACAACGTATATTGAGAGATACGGGTCTGGCCCTTTGAGTAGTTGCACGTCTCGTATACTTTGCTATTAAAAACAAGAACACCTGCCATCAACCTACCTTAATCTTGAGCTGTCTAAGTCAAATATGAATCTGCACAACTTTTCTGCAGCATCTCAGAACAACTCCACGGAATATCCGTCTCGCAGCAATGTAAGAAGGGGTCCAGCAACAGACCCTGCTCCTCAGACATCATCCATTCGATCACGATGCGGCGTTGCTCTTGGTGGCCAAATATCAGGCCATTGTACACCGGACGAAGATCAAAAGTAAAAAACGGTCCGTTGACGGCGCATGGCGAGAACACTTCCATTGCAAGGATGTGCATCCGGCAGCTTGAAACGTGACTCTGAAATGATTTGATTGATGGCTAGACGCTGTCGTTAAAGTGACTGGCCTGATCCTGCCTCTGGACTTGGTCTTTGCATCCTCCTTTGCAGAAGTGACAGGTCGATTATGCTCGTGTGGTGTTCGCGGGTCTGTGCTTGCTCCCTTGACTCTGATTCCGTGCATCAGACGAGCATATTTTTAGGCCTCGGCGCGCATTCGTGGGCATTGATCCGAGGCGGTCGGTTCGTGTAATTTTTCCAAAAGATAAACAACGACGACGCTCTTTGCCTCCTCTCACTCAACAACAGTGTGTCAATACTATGCGACCTACTCGGTGACCGCGGGGGACGACACGATTATATGCAACCGTCCCAAGACGTGATTTGCCGCCGTCTCGAGATACGTTCGTGCTCGATTGATGGCTGCCGGGCGAGTTTTAGGCTTATGCACCTCTGCTGCAGAGCCCACGAATTGCAGCCCTCGACCAATGCCAGAGTCTCGGAGCCAGAGGGAAAAAGCCTCTCCAGATGCCTCTTCCAGCCATAGCACGATGCGAGATTGCCAGACCAGGTCGCGAACCATCCAAAGGCCGCACTGACGGTTCCTTGGCCGTCCTCTGATGTGCTCCTCTGGAATCTGGATCGTGCGGGCAAAACGGTACCTGAGCGAACCCTGGAGATCTGGAAGCCATTGACACTCGTGGACGACTTCCCAATTGAAGGGCCTTCGATCCCCATGGCTACGACTCCCGCCCCTCCATGGACGTCAAAAGGCAATGGCACTCAAGGCAAGGTTGGATGTTCACTGTACTGTCCAGCACCGCTCACATTGCTTAATATACTCTGCCGTTATACCTTTTTCAATCTTCACGGCATATGGCCTTACCACTTAAGACGTCAAGCGCCTGCCAACTCATACTGCATACGGAGAACAACCTGGTCCAGTCGGCTAGTCGTCGGTCTGGCTGGTTCGCGAGTTTTTGCCCTCTCCTCTTCCCACACTTCCACTACGCTGCTCGATATCCAGCAAGCACAGTGAGATCTTTGATCATCCAGCCACTGTTTATGCATTGTATGGCTCACCGACTTCGTGTCAAGTCCTGCTCCAGTCGTTCAGCGTCAAACGCGTTGGTCGCTGCCAGTCTGTGTGTCTGCAAAGCGAATACCGTTGTATCGTAGTGCGGGGAGTGCAGCAAGACCTTTAGCGATCTGCTACTTTAGCCAGTGGGAGCCTTCAATTGTCGTTCTTCCGGTCTTTCCTCAGCATTAAGGATCGTGTCCCTGGACTAGCAGCACTGAACCCTCTGACGTTTTGCTTGCATTGAACCATGCTGCACTCGATTGTGGTGCATTAGCTACCAACCGGGCGGATATCTCAATATGAAATTAATGTCTGGAGGTGCGTTCGCAGGAGCCAAGTCCCAGTTCTTGGTTCTGCAACAGACCAGAAAGTTCACCCGAGACGGCGAGACCTATGGAGCTTTTGCCACAACGGCTGCGTCGAGAATTCGGTACAGTATCTGCAGACCTACATCGAAACGACGAATTGACCTCTGGCCGCCCAGAGATCGTCCCCTAGTATGCGTTCCCATGTTGCTGGTGGATATGCCTAATCTCTCGACAGGCAATGACACTGCCAACACATCGATATGTGGGACAATGGAAGAGCCGCATCATGACTTGCATCTGGTTCAACCCTTCGTCCTATCTCAACAGCGCCTGAATCTCTCTACGGGAGTCCAATCCATAATCCTTGTCCTGCGCTAACCGTACACTCTGCAATAAATCACACATGTCTCGCCGTCGATGGACGAAAGTCCTGCACAAACCCCCTAGACCACCCACTACAGTCAGCCTTATTCTTCTTCACCACGACGCCGTCCATACATCACTGTCTTCACATACACTTCATTGACTGTGTGCAGCTTGCCCTGTATATGGGATATTGGGCTCAATTGCATCAGATCACATATTCGGGCATTCATTCATCTCTGATATCCTGGTGACGTCGGGCTGTTCTACCACACTCTCAATAACTCAGGGGACTTTGTTCCTGATCTCTCTGGAAAATCTCCGACGGTTGGACAAAGACACGACACGATGGGTGGCTTCTACATGGCATATCTGGAGAGTACGTCGATTTACTGCTTTGGGAGAAGTTTTCCAAATATTCTCAATATCTCATCCATGTCTCCCCTTGGCTTCTGTGCCTCCTAAGTCCTCTTCCTCGAGACAAGCTCCACCCCCACGAATTGTCATCTTCGTATTCAAGCTGCTGTGTTTCAACGTGGGGCTCCAGATGCTCCCGATCTTGCATGATCATCTCTGTCCTTGTGCCTGCAGATCGTTTGTCTCCCGTTGCCGTTGCACTTCCATGTTTCTATATTTGGTTCCAGACCTGTACAACGAATGCTGGGGAAACCACCACTAACAGGCTGTACAGGTTTGTGCCGACGCAGAGGATGGCGTGATCCCTTGTACGAGACGTACAGGAGTTCTTCGGGGTTTACCTGTCTGGTACTGGTCAATGGACGAGAATATCAGACAGACCTCGCCTACGAATCGGATGGGCTGGCACAGGAGAATGCAGCTATGCGTGCGTTCATGGTCTGCCGGAACTTTTCGGTCAATGGAGGTATGCTAGCACGCAATGGCGTTGTCCAGGGACTGCCAGCAAATGAGCACAGTGGCAGACGACGAAGAGGTGGTAGCCACCGCCATTCTGTCAATCTGAGCGGCAGTCTCTCCTCAAATTCCTCAACCTCATCGGAATAGAGGACTGATATGTCTGCCGGTAGCCAAGAATTAGCTATCCGAGTACACACAGGCTGATCACTCGGCCACGATGTCCTGCTCTGCCCATGGATAAAACCGGGATTGAGCAGAGACCTAAGACACGATTTTACGACCAAGACCAAAAAAGCGACAACGCATGAAAAAATTGCCCGACGACTTTACGACTGACTGCCAACAATAACGACCTTTAATGACTCATCAAAACGAATTTCCTTGACTTGATGATTAAGACTATGACCGCGGTATTTGGGACCACAGTACCACCCAGCGATCGTTCGAGGCGACTCGATTTACTATCTTTAAGGAGGCTCTTTACGATTTGCAACTGCAAAGTTCTTGGGTGTTGGAAGGCGGTTTTGAACGCTCTTTTCCCCCGCATTTCGTGCATTTAGCAAGCGTGGTGGCAGCGATCTTTCACCTCATGACGTTATGAATTATTTCTTGGGAGGAGGAAGGTGAAGCAATGTTTGGTTTCCGCTTGGAAAAATTCGGTGCATGGCACTTATGATAAATGACTTAGGACGACATAAAAGTACCCAGATACCCCAAGAAGGGCACTCTCGATCACTCGATTCCATTCTTTACCAATTTTTCTCTTTAAGAGACGTGCATAGTGAAGATGTATAGATGTGTGCATCAAGCCCTTTTGCCCACTTGGTAAAATATTAAACTGGACGTTCTCCCGCGTAGCAAAAGCTGGTGGGGAAACAACTGCTCGGATTTGTAGCAACAAACATAGAAGCCAGGACGATCGACAGATGTTGTCAAGTGAATCTGGTAAGTTGAAATAACCTCCTCAGCCTCGAAAAGGGGTTAACCCCACAGTAATAATACTGGCGTTATGATCTCTCTGTCCCGTGGCCTCAACGGCTGAAGCTCGCGGCTGTGGCGTCGTCATGGGCACAGCCTCGATTTTCCAATCTCGTGATGCTCGTATGGGGTACATGGCGAGCAAGAAAAAAGAAAACAATACGAATCGCATAATGGCATCCCACGCCACTGAAAGTCCCAGTACCGTACACACAATTATGACACATGTGCTCACAGGCGCCATCTCTTCGAAATCGCATGATAGGCTCTAGACAATGGGTGCTTTACCTAGGCGCTCCTATTATCACGATCACATCCCCATCCCCTCGAGTCCATATGATGAGCAGAGCGTTTTGCTTTTAATTCAGACAAGCCGCGTGGAACTGTCGTTCAATTGAATCGAAACGTGATCGCAAACGAAGTGACCCAGCTAATCCTGAAATTTGCGCTAGCCCCTTTATTTTTGGGCGACGCTAGTCGGAAAGGCCTGATATCAAGGTGTCTTTTCAAAAACCTCCATAATTGCGACAACTTCTTCCCTTTCTCAATCCAACATTCGCTGATCAAGAAGACTTACTCTTTCACTCCTGGGGGATTCTTCATACATCGAATACCTATCCACTCTTTCTGCGCCGCACAACTTCCAAGCATTCTGCATTGTGGGGTACAGTAACTTCACACGCAACCACATCTCACAAAACCATTACAATCATTCAATATGAAGGGTATAGAATAATATATTCACACAACTGCTGCAGAACACTACTGATATATATGTAGCCCTCATTCTCGTCGGTGGCTTCGGCACCAGATTGCGCCCTCTCGTACGTTCCTCCCCTCTCCTGAGCTCCTGAGCCTCGTCCTCGGATACTCGAATACTCGATCGACCCGCACAATAATGCAATAATGTCACCATTGACTTACGATATCATAGACCCTCACCCTCCCCAAGCCATTGGTCGAGTTTGGCAACAAGCCCATGATTCTGCACCAGGTTGAAGCGCTGGCAGCTGCTGGAGTCACAGATATCGTGTTGGCCGTCAATTACCGACCAGAAGTTATGGAGAAACATCTGGCCGAGGTAAGTTGCAGTCGCAATCTTGCTATTGTATTGGAGAAGACTAACGGGGATTGTGTAGTACGAGGAAAGATTCAATGTGAAGATCACCTTCTCCATCGAGTCAGAACCACTCGGCACCGCAGGCCCTCTGAAACTCGCAGAAGAAATTCTGGGCAAGGACGATAACCCATTCTTTGTATTGAACTCAGATGTCATCTGCGATTACCCATTCGCGGATCTCGCCGCTTTCCACAAACAACACGGTGATGAGGGCACGATCATTGTTACCAAGGTGGAGGAACCCTCGAAATACGGTGTCGTTGTCCACAAGCCGAACCACGCTTCGCGCATCGATCGATTCGTCGAGAAGCCAGTCGAGTTCGTCGGAAACCGCATCAATGCTGGGATCTACATCCTGAATCCCAGCGTGCTGAAGCGCATCGAGCTTCGACCTACATCTATTGAGCAAGAGATCTTCCCTGCCATTTGCGCAGACGGACAACTGCACTCGTTCGACTTAGAGGGTTTCTGGATGGATGTTGGACAACCGAAAGATTTCCTCTCTGGTACCTGCCTCTACCTTTCTTCTCTCACAAAGAAGGGCTCCAAACTCCTCGCCTCTTCCAGTCTACCCTATGTACACGGCGGCAATGTCCTGATCGACCCATCCGCAAAGATTGGAAAGAACTGCAGAATTGGTCCAAACGTTACTATTGGCCCAGATGTCGTTGTTGGCGACGGTGTACGCCTCCAACGCTGCGTTCTGCTCGCAGGCTCCAAAGTCAAGGACCACGCCTGGGTCAAGAGCACCATCGTCGGGTGGAACTCAACAGTTGGCAAGTGGGCCCGTCTGGAGAACGTCAGCGTTCTCGGCGACGATGTGACGATCGGTGACGAGATTTATGTTAACGGTGGAAGCATCTTACCGCACAAGAGCATTAAAGTTAATGTCGACGTGCCCGCCATCATCATGTAGAATCGCACAAACTTCGAAAGATTTCCAACAATGCTGCTGCAAAGCAAGCTATCGTCCTTCTTCTCAGAATTGGGAAATGTTTATTTGCAGCGCTGCCTGGGGCTATACATTCTCCCCTCTTTTTTCTTTTTGCTTGGGTTGCGAGATGGCAGTCTTATTACCTTTTTTGGTACTCTTTTGTTGCTGCTGTTTCTTGGGCCTTTATTCGAAATACTGATGGGATTTGGTTGCATGCACTGCACGGCGTCAGATATTCATTGGGTGGGTGGAGCGGAGCGGTCTTGCATGCATAAGTGAAAAAAGGGCACGATTTCTTCCTCGTGGTATGCGTACTCTTGGGCTTGAGGTCGGGTCCGGGAATCGTGTGCTTCTCTGTACATGCATTATAATCTTAGATAATTCGATGGTTTCGGAAGATCCCGTTCTCTTTTGAGCTTGGTAATTGTGATTGTGCTATTGGTTGCTTGTTGTTTCGGGGGCCGATTTCGAAAGATTGTACTTCAAGCGGTTGCAAACTCATCTGACATTTACAGAAGAGTGTTCATGCAATACTTCATGTCTTGCTCCGAGGATCGACATCACTTCGAGACAGAGGACGGATGTATCGGGAGCTTGGTAATGTCTGGAATGTCATTGGGCTGAGGGCTTCGCATGGAGGACCTCGATGAGTAATCTACACTCTGATACTGAACGAAGTCTTCAAGTCCTGGAACTTTGTCAGAAGAACGGCGACGAGGAGTTCCGGAGCCCTAAGTCTGCGGGAAAAATCGAATTTAGGATGAGGCGGATGACTGATTGAAGATCTCGATCAAACACTTCTGGTAGTTTCAGCATAAGATGACCGGAGCCCTAAGTCTCGGGAAGGAACTGATTGCATTTCTAAGGTAGACGTCAAGTATCTCAACGCGCTGAATGTTTGACGTCGGGACGGTAACTTTGCGTCTGGTTCAGACCGTTATCTCGGACGCACTTATCTTGTTTCTCACAGTTGCTCAATGCTCAAAGATTCAAGAATTGGTTCTGGGTTGCTTCTGTGTCATAAGCCTATTGTTTCTTTGGGAAGTATATCCAGGAAAGCTATCCATGGGGAGATATAGTTTGAAGAGTGGACGATGGGATATGCTTCGGATAGAGAATTTCTTTCGAGAACGGATTTTCAGACAATTCGATCCGAGCCGTGGATTTAAGGTGAGCTTGTTCGCCTCGATGGCTTTTTGGTATCCAGAATATTTACCCTGGAGAGAAAAGGACCTTTGCATAAGGTTCTCGTTTCTTTTCGATGTTTGTTCTTCTCTAAACTTCACGTGCCTGTTTCCATTTTGACGTCCGAAATTTTATACTGTGGATCGAGTTCGGCTTCTGGAAAGCTTGAACTATTCCCGAAAATATGTTTTCAAACCTAGAGCTTTGCACATAGAAGGTACATTTTGATTGTACTGTGTGTGTCTCTGAAGTATGGTAGCTATCCGAGAGTGGAGCCCTAGAATGAAGAATTTTCGGATCCAGCAATAAGAAGGGTCGTTGTTAACGTTTGGCTTAAGGTTGTATGTTTCCTCAAACTGGATATAAGTCGTAAACAAATGTGGACACACTCTTGCGAAATGCGAGAGTAGTGTGGGAGGAGGAGGAGTACAACAATTTGCTTCTCCTAAATTGGAGCTCTTTGAGTTTATGGAGATTTCTGAGTAGGTAGGTTGTCACACCGTAGGCGAGAAGCTTGGTAACGCCACGTACGTGATATTGGGAGAGGATACGCAAACATATCATCTGTGTCGTGTACTTGCGGGAGTGGCGTTTTGACAAGGCGTGGCCACGCAAGGCCACCCATGGTGTTGGCCGAATCGATCATCGAGGACAAGATCTAAGCTTGAAATATAGTGTTAAGATTTTTGGATAGAGGAGTATTACCAGAAAGCAGACAACTTTTGGTTTTGGAGAGAATGAATCAGCTTGAAGCTGACCGTAGTACGCTTCTGAAATGCCACCCGGTACGAAGCGGGAAAGTAAATCTTGTTGAGTACGAGGATCCAAAATGTATCAGTACGGCGGCTCGATCTTATGCATGTGATTTGAAATTGCTCGTTCAAACACATTCCAATTCGTAGAATAGCACTGAGCCACGTGATGCTGCTCTGGCGATCCTGTTTTAGACATGCAGGAATTGCGAAGGATATTTGACGATTACATGAGTACAAAGGCGACTTATTCACTAGGCGTCGAGAAGCTTGAAAGACTGAGTTAATTAGGTAGTCGAGGTCCCTTTCATTTCTAGATACTCACGTGAATGTTCCTCGCCAACATCTTCACGTGGTCGTACTTGTCTTTCCTTTTCCTCGTATTGACACCTGTGCCAAGCTTCATCAAGCTTCGTCGACTTTCGCCGTCCAGGTTCTTTCGAAACTTTCAATTCACAAGGACACTTCGATTGCACCCAGTCACAGCATCATCTAGAACTACAACTGCCATATCCGCCTCTTTTCCCATTTCACTGATCATTTCCTCTTCAGTTGCCTGTGTGCTCTTCCGAGGACTATCTGAGCCTGCGTCTGTTACTGCACCTTGGTCGTCAAAGTCCGGTAATAGTATTACTTGGCAGGTTCGGTCTTCATATAACCGCTTGGCAGATGTCGCCGGTGACATTCTATCCTACAATCTGATGTCTCGATAAGATTTCGGTATCTGTTTCAAGCGCTATCTCAATACCGGACGCACTAGAACTAAGCCTCAAACCACCCGGAGTGATGAATGTCTGGGCACTCCTGGACACTTCGCGGGTCTATGCGCCGTTCCACCATTAAAAGATAGTTAGAGTGTCACTAGGAAACGCGAGCATGTACATTCGCTTCTTGGCAGCTTCACGTTCTTATTCTTATCACCATCAACGTCTATTTTCCCGATGGAGCCCGGGCTCTGATGAGTTCTCTTCCTCCTCATGCAGCCAATCCTATATCGAGTAGCTTGAACAACAAGGTCACTCTGCCAGCGGGATCTGCGACGACGCTCTCCCGAGCGGTTAAAATTCTCCTGCCAAGCGAAAAGAACTCCTTCTCGCATCTCTGCTTTGAACAAGAGGCAAGGATCCTCATTCTCTCAACATCTTCAGTTTACTGGTCCACTACATGTCATTAAGTTCATCCTATTGGGGCACTTATGCTTGAAAGATCCAGATGCGGTCAGGACATTGCTGGGCAAGGCCCAAATTGTCCATAGAGTATTCTTGGAGGTGAACTGGGTTTTCAGACACCTCGATAGTCAATCGTGCGGGTCCTACTTTCCTGTCTTCTTGTTGGAATGTCATCCTCCTTCTACATGACCAACGTGGACTACTCTTCTCAAGTGTCTTGTGTCTCCACATCGCTGATCTTCGCTGTTGATAGACGCAGAAAGATGTTTCGGCGTCGCAAGTACCCATTATCTTCCGTCCTATTTCGAGTACCTATTCTATTGTTATAACGTACCCATTACTCTCGGTCATTGACGAAAGCTTCGAACACAGCAGGATCTGTGAACTCATTCTAATCACTTTCTACTCTACCGATCTCGGAACCACTGGCGATCATGTCTTCTTCTCGGTCCCCTCCTTCTCAGAATGAGGATACCCTCTCGACGTTGACGAACAACCCTCGAGTTCATTGGAATCAACCAACTCGTGACGTGTCTCGTACACAAGCAGCGAGAAGGTTCACGAGTCCTGGAAAGATGACTGGAAACTACAACAGGCACAGCATGCAGGTCTTTGCTGACTTCCAACATTTTGAAAGTCCCCGGAACAGCCGATCAAGTCCGCAGAGATATAATGACGAGGATGAACTGTATGATGGGGAGCCAAGAACGCCCACGGAAAAAATATCGTCTTCAGCATCCAGTACCTATACTTTGGACAAAAGTCTACCAGATCCCCCGTATCATATCTTTACACTTGGCAAGAAAAAGCAGCTGGTCTACATTGTATCCTTGGCTGGTCTATTCTCGCCGTTGTCATCCAATATCTACTTTCCGGCTCTAGGACAAATATCGAGAGTAGGCATCGCCCACTTTCACATTACTTATGTACCGTCCTAATTCACCACAGGATCTCAATGTCAGCTTAGCAACAGTCAGTTTAACAGTGACAGTATACATGATCGTTCAAGGTCTTGCACCATCATTTTGGGGGCCTCTGTCTGATACCAAAGGACGACGTATTACTTTCATTGGTGAGAAGCTTTGATTTGGCCCATGGAGCTCACTAACCCCGACAGGCACATTTGCCGTATACCTCGTCGCATGTTTTGGTCTTGCTTTCTCCAATGATTTTGCCTCATTGATGATCTTCCGTGGCATTCAAGCTGCTGGTAGTGCTGCCACGATCTCTGTTGGTAGGCTCACCTTAACAACGCGAGGTCATTGCTTTGCTAACTTTTCGCTAGGTGCTGGTGTCATTGGAGACATCACTACTGCTCAAGAACGAGGTGGACTCATTGGTGTTTTTGGAGGCAGTAAGTTGCTCTAGAACTATACATGATGTCTGCTAACGTTTCAGTTCGCATGATGGGTCAATCAATCGGTCCCGTCTTTGGCGGCATCATCTCACAGTATCTCGGATTCCACGCCATTTTCTGGTTCCTGTTTGGTCTAGGCGGTCTGACGCTTCTCCTCATCCTCCTCATCCTTCCCGAAACTCAACGAGCGATTGCTGGAAATGGCACAATACGATTAGAAGGCGTCCACCGTCCTCTGATATACTCATTTTCTCCCTCTTCAGATGAGCTTTTGGAGAGGGATCGTACACCAAAGAAGAAGTTTACAATCAAAAGTATCACTGATCCTCTGAAGCTGCTCAAGGAGAAGGATGTCATCTTGACTCTCCTCTTCGGCTCTATCGTGTACACTGTCTGGAGCATGGTTACATCCAGCACAACCGCTTTATTCCAAGCTACATTCAAGCTCAATGATTTGCAAGTTGGCCTCGCCTTCCTTCCCAATGGTGCGGGCACGGTATCAGGTTCTATCATTATGGGCAAAATCATGGATAGAGATTACCGAAAGATGGAAAGAGTATACAAAGCCGAAAAAGGGATTCCCGAATCTACCAAACTGAACAAGAAGGACCTGCTCGACTTCCCGCTCGAGAAGGCTCGGTTGCCACAAATGTGGTGGATCATCCTCCTCTTCATCGTCTCCACGGCCTTATATGGTTTCTCTCTCGAGCTCAACCAGATCGCTATCCCGCTTATTCTGCAATATATCATCGCCTTCACAGCTACGGCGACGTTCACTGTCAATAGCGCATATATCGTTGATCTGTACCCGGGCATGTCCGCATCTGTTACTGCGGTCAACAATCTGGTGCGCTGCTCTGTGGGTGCCTTTGGTGTTGCGATCGTGCAGGTTGTGATTGATGCTATCGGAGCTGGACCCTCGTTTGCGATGTTCGCGGGCATTACGCTGGTTATGAGTCCGATGTTGGTGCTGTCGTGGTTCTTTGGGCAGAAGTGGAGGGATGAGAGGAGGGAGAAGGTTATGAGGAGGGAGGAGGCGAAGAAGGTAAATGATATGGAGAAGGAGGTAGTTGATGAGAAGAAGTAGAGTCTAGAGTCATATTAGCTTGACGAGAAATTGGAAGTAGTTTTGTGAGATGCAAGGCTAGATCGTTAAGTTAGAGAACGGGAAATAGGACATTTGATGGTGGATTGTGGGATTTTATGGCATCGTACTTGGATTGGTGGTGGATCTTTGTTTTGATGTCGAATATTGACGCTTCGGCTTCAAGGTCATATATATATGCAAGTCTTTGACAATAGATATTTACACCCTTGAAAGGAATGACGTGTGTTGAGTGAAGGTGAATGGCATTAGAGCACTCGCGATAAATCCCCACAGATAGCTTATAATTAAAAATAAGCATATTTTGGCTACATGTCTCCATGGTTCATACGTTTAGCGAGTTAACCTGCTGTGGGAAATCCTACCTAACAATACAATTGAGTCTTTGTTACATAGAATATCTAGCACAACGTAGATGTCTTTCGTGCATCGACCGATCTCAGGGGGGGCGTATGAATATGTGCTTAGAAATTGACGGTTCGTTCTATGGGGGGCTTACATTGGCACGGAAGAGCTCATCACTCTTCTGACTATATCGAGAGCTTGAATGGCACATCAACCTCGTCCGCCTGACTTCTGGTCTTTTTTGCTTTACTTATCTTTTGGCTTTCTCTGTTTATTTTTGATATTTAGGTAGGCGAGAGGTTCGCTTATGTTGGATAGATAGATGGATGGCTGGCACAGAAAGCGGTCTTAAGGAGTGACGGATTCATCTGAGCATCTAAGATACAATGGGAGGAGCTCCTAAGATATGCTCTAAGGAATGAGAGACTGGAGACAGTGACAACTTATACTTTGGTTAATGTGAACGATTAGATTAGAGCCTAAAGGAGTAATAATGAAGCTATAAAGATGTGGTTCATGATGTGGCGCTTATCGCGTCAACGAAGCGAGCAGCGGGGTCGAGTGACCCAGGAGCAAGAATACGCGCCTAGTGCCAAGTTCCAAGCTATGTCCAGGCACTGACTCTTCTTATGCAACACTTCTTTGCGGATAAACCAACTTTTTGTATCAAAGGGCGCAAGACATGATATTTATATTCCAGCCTCAGAACCAACAATCTCCTCCCCGAATCTTCCGAGAATCCGCCGTATTGTCGTCGAAGCACACCATTTTCCGAAGCAAACTTGTTGAGCTGCAGGTTGGAGAGGCCTAGAAGCCGAGTTCTCCCTAGCATTTTAGGACGTCAGAGCAACTTCCGATCGCCCTGTCCCTCAGATAAATTATTTCGTCGTGCCACCCTCCCTTCTCTCCTGCGACATATCTGAACATGGCGAAGGACGAGATCCACGAGCATGTGCCTCATATCACCAAGCACAAAGAACAAAATCCCATGACAAATTGGGTTTACGATGTATTCCTGTGGACTTTTTCTATACTGGTGGATCTTTTCTTCCGAGAAGTACACCCTCGCGGATCATGGAAGGTTCCTAGAAGAGGTCCCTTGATCTTTGTGGCTGCACCTCATGCCAACCAGGTAGGTAACATCCTTATGCCCACCATCTGTATTCCACTAAAATATGCTAATTCCAGTTCGTCGATCCCCTCATCTTAATGCGAACACTCCGTACCGAATGCCACCGACGAGCTGCTTTCCTCATTGCCGCGAAATCGATGAACAGATGGTTGATAGGATGGTTCGCACGGAAAGTGGGTGCTGTGCCTGTTGGAAGAGCTCTTGACATGGTGAAGCCAGGATCTGGTACCGTTTATCTGCCAGACCCAATTTCTGATCCTCTTCTCGTCCGTGGAATAGGCACCAAGTTCGATTCGTCCGAAGTACAAATCGGAGGACTGCTTGTGTTACCCAGCGTCAACGGAACCGCTGCGAACTCTGAGATTGCAGAAGTCATTAGTGCCGAAGAGCTGAGGCTGAAGAAACCATTCAAAGGCGCAGCTGCCATGAGACAATTGACTGGAAGAAATGATGTCGACGACAACGGCAGACTTATGGACCAAAATGTCAAAAGAACACAAGATGGATTTGAAGGTTCCAAATACAAGCTCGCTCCAAAGGTCGATCAAACACAAGTGTATGACGCTGTATTTGATCGTCTCAGCGCTGGAGGAGCAGTTGGTATCTTTCCTGAAGGTGGTAGTCACGATCGAACAGAGCTATTACCTCTGAAGGCCGGCGTAGCTATCATGGCTCTCGGTGCACTGGCAGCGAATCCAGATAGCGGATTGAAGATTGTGCCTTGCGGAATGAACTATTTCCACGCCCATAAGTTTCGCTCCCGAGCTGTCGTGGAATTTGGAAACCCAGTTGAGGTGCCAAAAGAGCTTGTTGAGCTTTACAAGGGTGGGGAACGAAGAGAGGCTGTGAGCCAATTACTTGACACTGTCTACCAAGCCCTTGTTGCCGTCACGGTCACCAGTCCTGATTACGATACTCTCATGCTCATTCAAGCTGCTCGAAGACTTTACAACCCTACAGGCAAGAAGCTACCTCTGCCTATGGTTGTTGAATTGAACCGAAGGCTTGTCAAAGGATACACACATTACAAAGATGATCCTAGAATTGTGTCGCTAAAGAAATCGGTAACGGATTACAACAAAGAACTGCGGTACATGAACATTCGGGACCACCAAGTCGAGTACGCGAAGTTTTCCATCCCGAAAGTCATCTTTCTTCTCTTCTATCGTCTGGGGAAGATATCCCTTCTTTCAGTTGGTGTGATTCCTGGCCTCGTTCTCTTCGCGCCGGTCTTCGTCGCCTCAAAAATCATCAGCATCAAGAAATCCCGCGAAGCACTCGCTGCGTCTACTGTCAAGCTCCAAGGTCGTGATGTTATGGCCACTTGGAAGCTGCTTGTGGCTCTTGCATTCGCGCCTATTCTCTACAACTTCTACACCATCCTGCTCACCTACTGGACATATCGCAACCGAGTTCAAGGCTATGTACCCGATTGGGTGCCTCTCTGGGCTGTGGTGATCTTTGGCTATATTTTCTTCCCTGCAATCACGTTCGCAGCGCTTCGCTTCGGTGAAGTCGGTATGGATATTGTCAAGTCGTTACGACCCCTCGTCTTGTCTTTAAATCCTCAGTCAAGCAACACCATTCATAAACTTCGGGAACGGAGAAAGCTTCTGAGTGCTGAAGTGACCGACGTTATCAACACCTTAGGCCCAGAAATGTTTCCGGACTTCGATGCTGCGAGAATCGTGGCCGATCCTTTCCGTGGCGACGATTCAGGCAGCCCTATCTCACCCACAACCAGAGGCTTCCATCGCAGAGACAGCAGCCATTCTGGAATCTCCGATGTAGAGACTCCGCCGCGATTTCAAAGAAGTGTCACAGATGCGTCTATTGGCGGAGGCTCCAGTATGCATGGTGGCCTCCCTCGGAACGAGTCATTTAAGAATCTGGGAAACATCGCCTTGTTTGCAACGCGACCATCTTCTAGAAGTCGAAGTCGCAGCAGTAGTAGCGGTGGTGCTGTTGGCTCCTCGGGCTTTCCATTGAAGAGCTTTAGCACTCTAGACTCTAAGGATGGTTTTGAAGAGGTTAGCATGAAGATAAGAGGGGCAATGAGAGAGAGGGGCCAAATGAGAAGGAGGAAGAGTGAAGAAGCAAGGGAAGAAGAGGATGATGAAGATAGTGAGGATGAGGAGCGCAAAGACGTCTAGATATAAAGATTCGCAAGGAGAGCACACTGATTTCAGCGCCGGCGTTTGGGACAATACCAATACCATTTGTTTCTTCCTGTCGCTATGCTCTATCAATGGCTCCCGCTGTTCCTGAGAGTATGTTGTGATTACAGTGTACCTCCTAATCTTATGTTCATTTCTTGTCCTTCGGGATTTCTTACCGTAGCTTGAAGAGAAGAGATATTATGCCGCTTCAAATGCATAATTTCTCTCTGATTCAAAGTATCCTGTTGCTGAAGGACTTCAAACAAATTCTGTCTGTGCACACATTCTCATTTTCAAATAGCACGTTTCTATATATGCGGTTAAGTAATGAATGGTTTGGCGGAAGCATTGTATAATTCTGTGAAGCCTGCCTCAAATTCTCGATAAGAGCTCCTACATGAGGGGTTGCGTTGGTTGGTTCCTCGTATTACGGACCCCTGACTCGGAAAGAGCCGACTCGCTAATGCACCCCAGGTGAAATCTTAATAGAAGGCCCGATCCTGTGGAATCGCGATTACTTCTTCATCTCCATCGCAAGCAGGCTGCATCCCTCTTCGATATTCGCAATTCGAGAGTATGGGACTACCGCCATGGGAGACCAGCGACAGCCAGCTGTTTGCTTTAATAACAGGTGCAAATAGGTATGATTATTCCTTATTACAGCAGTGTAAAGCTCGAGAACTAGCATCCTCTGAATCTGCAATTGCAACCATTTGTGCATGAATGCAGATGACTCGAGCGTCCATATTGCTTCAAACACTTCGCTAACCCATTGCCAGTGGTCTAGGCTATTCAATTGCTGCTCGCATGATCGACGAGTTTATCACAACTCCAGGTACTTCTCCCAAGAAGCATCTAATTCTCATCCTCTGCACACGTTCACCCATGAAAACACGCTTCACGATCTCAAGACTCCGCGCACATCTTAGGAAACAAGCCGATTACTCTCCATATGCCGCCAAGCAACGAGCGAAGATGGAGGAACAAGGCGCCGAGTACAAATGGGAAGACACAGTGCAGCGTGTACACCTTGTAGGTGTCGAAGCCGACCTCTGTAACCTCAAAAGCGTGTATGCATTGGCAGACAAGCTAGTCAATGGTACCGTTGGAAGTCCAGACGCCACGACGATGGATGGCCTCAAGCTACCTCACGGGTCACCAGGAACACAAAGCTACTCGAAAGACATCCAGCAAGATACATGGGCTTTGAGTCAGAAGCCGGGGTCAATCGGTGCTCAAAGAGCGTGGGGCTGGGGCCTGAGTGGACTACGCATACCGAGACTTGATGCTGTCATATTGACTGCTGGAATTGGTGGTTGGAAGGAAGGCTGGAGAGGGCTTGATTGGCCACTTGCTATCAAGACTGTGCTCTTCGACACCATTGAAGCAGTAACTTGGCCAACATACAAGCTTGCGGATATCGGAGCTGTGGTAAAATCGCAGCTGTCTTCGAACTCCGAGTCCTCAGTAAGTGAGGATACTCAGCCTTTACTCGACAATCAACAGAAGGTTGTGGAGCCTCCTCTGAGCTCAGTGTTTTGTTCTAATGTTTTCGGCCATTATATACTTGCCCATGAGCTTATGCCACTTCTTTCTCGGCCAGCTTCATCTGCATCAACCTCAGGAGGCAAGATTGTTTGGGTGTCCAGTGTCGAGTCATTAGAAGAACAATTTTCCTTGGACGACATACAAGGTCTGAAGAGCACGCATCCTTATGAGAGTTCGAAACGCCTCATAGACTACATCTCTTTGACTTCCGAATTGCCATCTGTTCAGCGAATTTCGGCTCCATACTTTGACCCCTCAAATACTACAACAGCATCCAAGGAGAATCAGGCAATCCCAAAAATATCATTGGTCCGGCCTAAGATGTATCTAACGCATCCTGGAATCTTTGCATCTGATATCATGCCCCTTCCCGGTTTCCTTGTTTTTATCTACAAACTAGTCTTCTACTTTGTAAGGTGGATAGGAAGTCCTTGGCATCCTATTGATCCTTATAAGGCTGCTGTGGCACCTGCTTGGATTGCCCTCACCGATCCCGATGCTTTGGATGACATGGATGGGCATGGTCTAGCAAAACACAAATGGGGATCTGCCACAGACACTGGTGGAGAAGAGAGGGTGATGAAGACAGAAGTGCCGGGCTGGGGATGGAATGGTGAGATAGGAGAGATCGATGCAGAGAAGCGGAAAGGGAGAAAGAGGAGCACAGCAGACGCAACCAAAGAATCTAGGGAAGATTTCGAGATCACGGGAGCCAAGTGCTGGTCTGAAATGGAGAAGTTGAGAGTGGAATGGGAGAGCATTCTAGGAGTCAAAGGAAGCAACGGCCAAGGTAGATAATCACATTGTGTTTCCTGTACGACCGAGTAAGTAATGTAAACATCACCCACAGCTTTTTAATCTTCAGTTTCTGCACATGCATTTATTCTTTCGTGTGTACTGGCATTCGATTTTATGCACATTTCCTGCCAATTGGCCATGTACTTTCCCAATCCAAATCCACAAGTTTCAAAATCTCAACCCCATACGCCGGCGATGCAAATCTGACCCCATCAGCTCACTACTACTTCGCCCTCTTCATTGCCTTCTGGTGATTCTTCATGTCGGTTTTTCTGCCCATGTATGAGAAATACCAGGTAGGCTGACTATGTTGGATCCGGCAACCTGCATCCCACTCGTGCATACGATCATGATCCCAGTAGTCGGAGTCAATATCGCCCGTCTTCGTCATTGTCATACAGTCTAGGCAAAGACCATGGAAATCATTGAGGATCTTGCGACGGAGCTCGGTTACTTTAGTAGAAGACAGCCTCGATCGACAACTAGAACAAGCACCATCGGGAATCGTGCACTGGAAGTTAATCATACCAGGACTATCCAGAATATCCTGCACGGACTTCTTGTGATGGTCGTGGATGGGCCAGATGCCGGTCTTGCTCAAACCGATGTGGTAAGCAAAGAGTGCGTTCGCCTTGCAGTCACATTTTGCCTCGAGGAAGGCAGCGACAGGGTCGAAGAGACCTCGAAGTAACTTTCCTCTCATACTGCCTCGAGCACCATTGAGTCCTCCTGAAACTCAGTTAGCGCTCTGGATAATTTAAGGATCTAGCACTCCTACAATACATACCAATTGCGTTGCCATCAAGATGAAGATGACGATAATCAGTAGGGTTGTACTCCGTCGTGTGTTCAGCCGAGTTGTAAGCCAGCGTCTTCGTCATGGAAGCAAAGCCTTTGGCGTGGTCGAAAGTGTAGCATGGGAAAAGCAACATCTTCAAATCGTCATGATCCAGCTTGACCTTCAGAGCGTTCTCCAGCCACTTCGCAAACCAGCCTTTCAGCTTCAAGACCTCGATTTGGCGATAGCTACAGAACTGAATGATCTCCCAAACGTCAGGAAATGAGACGCTCGCACCGTACAGCTCCTCCTTCATGGTACCGTGAAGAGCTCTGAGTACAACCTCGACGCTTGGGATGTTGTCGACTTCCATGTCGATCGTGCTGGCGTAGGTTTCCTTCCAGTGACCATCGCTGCTCATCATGGCCTTAAAGACTTGAGAGTTGTCAATGAGGACTTGACGGTTGACTTTCATAGACGCAACGACAGTACCCCGCATCTTCTTGCCATCTGCGCCGATGAACTTCTCGTTTTCGTCTTCTTTTCTAAGGATTTGGTAGAGACTAAGGATCAGATCTCCATTCTCGTCAATCACAATGTTGACTAGGCCCTAAAGGATCGCAAGTATTAGCTAAAGTCTTCTTGATTAGAAGGCCTTGAGGAGTACTTGCTTTCGTAGATGCCATGTCGCGTTGTTGTGTGTTGCGGTGTCGTTGGACAAGTTGGTTGGAAAGTGAAGAAGAGGGTGGAGAGGTGGAAAGATGGAGAAGTTCGCGAGGTTGCGAATATGGCTTAAGCCTGGTATGGCAGAAGGCTGTGGAATTCCAGGAAGCTAGCGCTAAAGGAATTGCAAAACAAATTCACCTTGTAGACATCGGAGACAATAACTAAGCAGCCACCAAAGCAAGGTTAAACAGAGTTCATAACAATAGTTTTAGAAGTGATAAGCTAGTGATTTAGGGACAGACAATGAGGAGAAGCGACTAGTATCGGACAGAAGTAGTGACTTCAATACTAGAAACATGATTAGATGAGGATAGGCAATAAGAGCAAGCACTAATATCAAGCAGTTCAAAATGTATAAGTCTTCTCAATTTCACGATCATTTTGACGAAGTGATCACATGTCTAGTAGTATCCACATCTCATCCGTAGCTAGACACTACATTTGTAGTATTAGATACATGAAAGGCACAACGGCTTTGAAAATGACTTCAAATACTCGATTTCATAGAACTTGCAGAGATGAAGTCCTTCGACAGCGTTGGACATGATATAGATAATGGTGTCCCTTCCAGAGCGAGTACGAATAGGACACCAAAAGTTTTGTCGGAACACTTGAAATTTTTTGGATAAGCTGTAGAGATTTAGCTATCGAATTGATATTCTTATGAAGCGCATAGAACAACTCTTTGATCGTGTGTCTACGAAAATTTCTCAGAAGTAGAAAGTATAACTGGTCCATCCCATTGATCAACCCGCTCATTGCATTAATTTGCTGAGGGAACATGTATTCAAAAGATCTTTCACTCGAGGAAAGCGGGTGCATAAGCCGTAACAAGACTCAGGTATTCATCTATTCATATCTTTCAACAATAGAAGCTCAATTACTCTCGCATCAAATAGGCTCTTAAATTAAAGTTCAGACTTCTGTCATTTTCAGAAAAATAAGAGTTATTCAACAAATAATCAACGCTTCTTGCTTGGGAGTATTTCTTTACTATAAAATAGTATTGTCATTCAGTCCTTTTAATCAAGTGTCATTGATATTGCATTGTAATAGATAATCTGAAACAATTAGTAGAATTCATGATAGAGTCGTCGAGTGATTGGACAAGCCACATCCCTCAAGTCTTATTTGCCAATTAGTACTTAGCCCAAGTATATTGTCCCACAAACTCTGTAAGATTAGTATTCCAACTTTTATGACTATTCAGAAGTCAAAGGACTCGAATAATGCGGATCGAATTCTTCATTCAATAGAATACTAATCTTGGGTCATTGTATTGTCCTCCATCCACTCAAAGATCATGCATCAACGTGCATATGATCAATAGTAGCCGCTAACTCTCCTCGCGCTTCTGACTCTCCTGCATCGTTCATCGCCTCGTCTTCATCCCCACCGCCCAAAATAGCCTTCAATGCCAGCTTCGCAGCAGCATCTTTCTTAGCCCAGTATGCCTCAACTTCTTTGTTAGGATGCAGCCGCTAAGTGAAACATTAGTCTCCAAGCATCAAATCAGTCAGTTCATCGAGCTTACGTTTCTGATCTCCTGGCGCAAGGCAGCTTGAAGTCGACCCCTCAAATTGTCGTTGTCCCAGAAACTCTGACCTACAATTTCCTTTTCCCACTCAAATGCTTTGAATGCGTACCATACCCAGGAAGCTTCCATCACTTCTCAAATCCTGAAAGGAAATCCTAGAATTTTGGCCGTATTATCGACTGTCTTGGCGAACGAGAGGAACGTAGATGTCCGACCGCCCAGTTTGGAGAGACTCTGAAGTTTTGGGATAACTATGTCGTCGAATTCGACAGGTGCCATGCTATCGTAGTCGGTGCCGCTCTATGGGTCGCCAAAAATGGCTGTAAAGTCTTCATCTGAATATTTGCCAAGCTGACCATCGACAGTAGTGGCATCAGAGGCGGAGATTTCAGCGTTTGCCTGACTTGAAGATAGCGCGAAGTCTGACATTATTGATGAGGGTATAGCTTTTGTGGTATGAAACTTTCGATTTGAGGTTGGGGCCGATGTTGAGAATAGGTGGAGATATTTTTGGAGGGTTGAAGAAGGAAAGAAGTGGTTTTATAGAAGTCTAAAGCTAAGACCGCGCAAACTAGCGAAAAAGACGTACAGATTCACTGCAAACTTTGGGCGCTAGACTTGAAAAAGACAATAGCATTAATTAGGAAATATGGAAGATTCACCTTGTACACTTGCGCCATCAGCCTTGCCTCGAAAGCTTCCACGCTAAGAGCGCTTTACTTCTTCAAAAGCTCTCCTTTCCTTCAAAACTCCCAACTCTTGCAACTACACCACAACCTTAACTCCAAACAACAAGAGCGCAACCAACAATGTCTTCAACTATAATACCAGACCTCTCTACGATTATTGCGCGCTTCCCGCCCGTACCTGGTCTTTCCTGCCGCCAGCAAAGTATCGAAATATTCTATCTCGAGATAGTCGACCCCGCAAAGTACAAGGCCATCACATTCTCCCAGTCCTTCCGGGACATCTACGGCGAGCCGATGACCTACTATACCGACTTCTTGCGCTTCATGAATACTCAATTCAGCAAGAAGATCGTCCCAAAGCTAAAGTCCCTCTCCGAGTTGGTGAACAACAAAACCTTCACCTTTATCTGGTTTTGCAAGACTGTCGACAACACAGTGAAGCAATTGGGCTTAGCTACTATAACTCGACCAATGATGGAGGCAGCTTGGGTCTACTATGCATTTTCAATGTTCGAGTCTGAGAGGGGAAAGCTAGGCCAAGAGTTCTGGGACAATCATAGAAGGAGGGAGAGGCTTCAAGCTGCGCTGCGTTCGGTTATCGACAGAGTAAGTCCGCTCTATGGAATATTGAGTGAGGCTTAGAAGCTAACAATTCATAGCGATTCCATCCTAATGAAAAGGTGGAGAAGTATTGGATCGAGAAAAGAGAAGGATTTGGTCTGTCTAGAGATGATGTAGCGAGGAAGGAAGAGGGTTGCGATGAAGATCCAAGGCAGATGAGAATCGTGGAAGATGAAGATGAAGATGAAGATGAAGATGAAGATGAAGATGAAGATGAAGATGAAGATGAAGACGAAGACGAAGACGAAGACGAGGAGATGGAGATGGAGATGGAGGATGTAGAACCAGAGAACGAGCGAAGGGATTTGGTAGGCTGTCGAAAACATGCACATTGACTCAAAGTGAAGCATAGAATGAAGAATAAATTACATTCACAATCGAGAACTACTCAAAAGCTCCAATAATTGTGAGCACTTAATAAGAAGTTGATAAATATGGTAGAAAGGAGTGAGCACTCACACTTAACTTGAAGCAGATGAAAAGTGATACAAGCAGGCAATATCGATTTCGACGAGGGAATTCACTCAGAATGTCCGATATAGCATTATTCCTTGTACCATCAATAAGCAGAGAAAGAAGTAGGAGCATCGCTGCTTGTGTAATTATCATCATTGAGAAATATAGCAGATCTCTGGACACTTCTTCTAGGTCTGGCAACGTACTAGATTCAAAAGTCACGACACGCTGTGAAAAACAGCTTGAGACATATCTTCTCATGTTAGAACAAGACTCTTTGAACGCAAGTACAACACAGCATCAAACGCGTCGAACCATAGCAGAAGTAACAAGAATGGGCCTCCACACACTGCTAGATACTATTTAAGCAAGTTGTCAGTCTCCCACAAGACTCTCCAGTCCATATCCGAAGAAGAACACGATAGTCTGTGCTGTGCTGCGTTGTTCACTTTCGAGTCCTGAGGTTTGGCTTACTAGGACGCGACTCACTACTTCTGCCCAGTTTCTCGCTTCACCCCCCTCTCCACTTCTCACCTCCCTCCTCACTTACCACCTCTCAACCGCGACAACCCTCACCCTAACTACGAAAGAAGAATCGACGTGTCAACCCGGCGCCAACCATCACCATGGGTTCCATCTACCTCGCAACCATCTTCGGAAACGCGGAGAAGAACAAGCCCGCTCCCGAAACAGAAGAGCCCATTAACGCAACACCTGCAATCATCCTCGCAGACCCGTCTGACCTCACCATTCAAATATTCCAAGAGACCAAAGATGAGAGATACACTTCCGCAACCGGATACAACGTCTGGGGCAAGCTTCTCGCCACCTTTAAGGTCTCACGGGAAGTTTTGATGAGGAGCTCTGATCACTTTCAAAAGATGCTTGACCCTGCTGGTAACTTCGCGGAGTGCAAGCAAAAGATCGTTGATCTCGAGAACGCGAACCCGATTGCTGTCGAGCTGTGGCTCCGTTATTTCCACGGCAAGCTGGATGATGAGAGTCTCAAGATCCCCATTGGCGAGCTTCGTGCCCTCATTGAGTGTCACCGTCGATACTTCTTCCCGCTGGAGAAGTTGAACAAATGGTTCGAACAGTGGATGGAGCACAAAGGTGGAAAGAAAATGAAGAAGTTCAGCCTCGATGAGCTTAGAAAGTTGATGTACCCGTGTCAAGAGTTCAATCATGCTCAGGGTTTCGCGTACGCGACTAAGAAGTTGGTGTATGAGACTCCAGGACATGTTCATGAGGATACCCCCCTGGCTTTCGGACACTTGCATCTTGAGCCACGCATCATTGGTGAGTCTTATTTCCATCACTTGCATCTGTAGACACAGAAACTGATCGTGCATTAGGGGCCATCAACGCAGCTCGTGGCAGTGTAAAGATGAAGCTCCACGAGGCGCTCTACATCAACAGAGTGTTCCTCAACGCCAGCTGCGACTGCAGAAAGGAAGGTCTCTTTGCGTACGAAACTGCGTTAGACAAGACAGGCGTCTGGCCATTGGAGGAGGTTCTGCACGGAAGGAACTCCATCTCACTCCAGCGCGTCCTCAGTGGTATGAGAAAGTTCGAGTACGAGCCGCCCAATGACTATTGCGAGCTGTGTTCCGAAGACTTTGGCGCCTCTACGGTTACCAGAGCTATCAACATTGCTCAGTCGAATTTCGACGGCTTATGCTTGGATTGCATTGACAATCCCCACAGCCGCGATTGGGACATCGAGTACACGAAGCATCATTCCTTCAAGCTCATCAAGGCCAAGCATATTGAGTGGGACATGGGCTGCCGTGTGAAGCATGAAGAGCCATCATGGTACTTTTCATGGATTGCACGAAAACAACGAGCAGATGCACACGAGCGAGAAGGTGAGAGCCGAGAAGGTGAGAGTCGAGAATGTGAGAGTCGAGAATGTGAGAGTCGAGAACGCGAGAGCCGAGAACGTCAGAGCCGAAAGCGCAAGGCTTCGGAGATGGAGGCGGACGACTGAATATAATTGTGAGGAGTACAAGTATGAACTGTCTGCTGTTTTGCTAGGAAGTGGGCTGTCTATGGATACGGGAGATAAGGATATAACTGGATTGCTGCGTTACTGTATGTGTCTTCGTGGAAAATTGCTGGCTGGCGCTCGAATCTCTGAACAAACCGGATGTGTAAACATGGGGAGACAAATGCAGTACATAATGAATGAATGCTATAACTTGATGTGAACAGCATGGAAGCAGGGAAGACTATGCTGATTCCGTGACCTGTAAAACGATGCATTTCCATTCACTCCCATAAATGCAAGCAACTTTCACAAGTAGGCAGAGAGCTCCGGTAAAGGAGCTTCCCCTGAGCAGTCTCGCTTATATGCGGACACGTGATACATAACTTCTAGTAAATCTCAATCTTGATACAGGGTGACTCGAAAGGTCCTCCTAATATCGAAGCTCTAATGATACCAGAGACTGACTCCCAATGCTAAACAGCCCCGCAATGCAAAAGAGCAAATCAAGGGTATCATGCGGAAACATAACAAACCCACAAGCTATCTGGCCTGCGGAGCATCAATAACTTGAGCAGGGACATGCTGCTCAGCGAGATCCTTCCCAATCGGGCTCTTAGGATTGGAAGACTCTGCTTGACCAACGATAGACTCTCGCATCTCAACAGCATTCCACGTCCTCTTGCCCGCAACGGCGTTTTCTTCCGCTAGCTTCAGCCAAAGTTCCCATTCGTGCGTCGAAGGAGCTGCCCCGCTTCTTTTGACCCAACCGATCTTCTTAGTTTCTCGGATGGCGTACCACATCGTTCTGGTGAACGAAGCTCGTCCTTCGAGAGTTTCGGCTTGGGCTTTGTCCGCATCTACTGCATCTGGCGGCGTTACTACTTTGAAATCGTAGTTGGATAGATTCCAGAACCTCTTTTTGGGAATGAGTGAAGCGCCCCAGAAGGAACCATTCAGTATGATGTATGATGTACCTGTGCCATGAGGTGAGTGTCAGTATGCCACTGGCGAGTTGGGCTGGATTCGCAGGGTAGACTGACCGACTGCGGCTTGCATTGGAAAAGAACAATTTCCAAGAAGAACCACGGAGACCATGAGTAAGAACTAGATATGGACCGTTAGAATAACTTTCTAGACAATGTAGGTAGATGTTCGGCAGAAGTTATTTAAATGACGAAAGGAGACAGATATTTGGAGATGACTTGAAATTTTCCCAGCGAAATTTAAGACTTACAGTACCAAGTCCTACCAACAAACGATAAGTTCTATTCAGCGAATTAGCATGGGTAAAATGCCAGAACTTTGGAGGCCGCTCATAGAGTCAAATCAGCAAGACGGCAAGGAATTGAACATACTGTGTGCCAACATAATACTGACACTCCTCAGTCCCGGTGTATAGCTCGCGAGCAACATCTTCGTCACAAACCACGAGAAGGAAGGCACCTTCTCTAGTTCGGATAATAACATCGCCAGCTGGGACCTTGGACTTGAAGTTTCTCTTCATCAAGATTGGCTCCCACCTGACCACAAACCTCAACGTCAGCATGCCACTTTCAGAAGTTTTGACAAGGGGGTCTATCAAGGAAATGTTCGCTTATGAAAACTCTTCAGGTATTAGGAAAACCATAGAAGACAGCATAGAACAGAAGAGAAAGTTGCCTCTTACCACGATGCATACCCAACAACAGATGATACCAACGATATAGTCCCAAGCGCAACCACAGCAGTCCCATCCTTTATCAGAGCAGCCCATATAATGAGGCCAATCGTTGTGACGAACGACAGCACCGATAGAACATTCAGCGGAGAGAAAAATTGGGGTGGAACTCTTGGCTTATCCTTCTCATGCATGGTAACCATTCTCGTAAACGTCCTTCGAATCGTCGGACGGTCTGGCGGACTTGGCATCCCGCTTTCCATTATCCCAATATCCATGCTCGCAGAAGTAGAGAAATCATTCCTGGAAGAGAGTTTCTCGGTCGAGATATGGAGTTGTTGTCCTACATCGGGTTGTCCCTTGTGTTTTATCCTGATGACTTTGAATTCGAATTGTTTGAGGTCGTCGAGAGGGTGGATGATGTTTGGGAAGTAATTTAGTGACGGTACACTAGTCCCATTGTCTGACCCGAGAATTAGCTCCTGTTCCATACATACATATGTGAATTACTTACGAACTCCCACAACAGTAGCGTTCGTTACTGGCATGCGTGTTGGTCGCGAAGGCTTGAGCAGGACCTGTGGTGCCGGGATGATTCTTGGTAGGATGCAAGTCCAGGACGAAGTGAGTGCTTGACTATGCGACTCGATGGAAGACTCTCCGATAACAGCCAAGAGAGAGACGATATCCAGACGCCAGCCATTATCGTTATTGCGACCTTGTGGAAACCAGTACTTCGCCATGTTGACTCCGCGATGAAAACAAGGAGACCGCCGTTTTAGGCTCGTGCGTGCGCGAAAATGTGGAGGAATCTGGGGTAGAATATATGGGGAAAGGGCTTAGTGAGTATATTCGAGCTTAACTATCAACCATTTGACATCTTAGGAAAAGTTTGCTTCAAACCGTGGAGGAGCTCAACGAAAGGATGTTTGCTTCCCCCCTTGTGGATGCCAAGCCTCAGCCGCACCCACAGAGACAAAATCTCCAATCAACCAGGATCCTTGCAGACGCCAGACATGCTCAGAGCTGCTGAGGATGCTACCGAAATGAAAGCATTGGATGAACGTTCTCGTGAGGCGGGCTGAGACTTCTGTTGTGTCGCATCAAGCAGCAAGCGCTTACTTCTGTAAGGCTGAGAGGTCTGTGCAATGCTTGGCGTTGGTGGGGCCTGACAAGTCCCTTTGAGTCAAGATAATTGAACGCTCAAGTGAGCATGAAAAGAGCCTCTGGGCGTTGACGGCCAGATATAAGGTGCATCATATCAACGTGCTAGGTAGGCCATTATTCGAGGACTCAATCATTCCTTGCACTCAGGGTTCAAGTGGATTTCTGACATCAAGCTTCGATCGCAGGGCACGCTAAGTACCTAGATATATAATATCTCACATGACGAACCGACGTACAAATCAGGCCAATGTCTGGAATTGAAGTTATACAAGTGATACCCAATCCTCAAGGCTTTACAAAAAGGTATCCAAATAACACCAGACGCCGGTCGTACTCATTGACTCTATGTCATCCATTGGTCTGTACTGTCGATTGTCTTTCACTTCTATCCTCTCCTGCAAAGTCTCTCTTTCTTCTTCTTTCTCTTGGAACGACAACCTGGAGGTTCATTAGTATAATAAATTTGCGGGCTGATATGAGGACTTACTTCTCTGCTAAGCCGTTCTCAATTTAATGTATTGTATTTCCTCCACAAGTCGTGGGAAGTAATGAGGTCAATCACGCATGTAGCATCTGCAGGCTACAAGCGACACTTGACTAGTCAATGTCTTCCAGGTCTTGGCTCCCAGAATTCAAGCCAAGAATATTCATCAACGATCCACTGGCAAAAGGCATTCCATTTGCTTTGCCATTCGGCTGTGACTGCTGCCTTCTCATCGGGATTCATGCAACTGTGTTCGAGACTCCACTTTGCAAGCTGCTTCCAGCCAAGCAAGTTCATGGATTCCGAGCCGATTATGACTTGATAGAAATCATGTGATAACGATGATCTTATATGAGTTAGTAAACACTCTTGTCCCAAAATGGAGAAACTTACCTATAGAATGTAGCGTTGTCGCTATTGATTGTACATGGTACATTGTTGGCCAGCAAAATGGGCAAATTGTGCCCCGCGATGTTGGGAGTGAGGCCAAGAATCTCATTGGAGATTGGACATGATTCGATGGCGATGTTCTTCTCCTTGAAGATCTCCATGATCATAGGATGTCTTGCGATGGCGTATCCGTGTCCAATACGCTTCGCCTTTAGAAGTACAGCATCGAAGAGATTTCCATCTACCTTGTCTCCAACCTCAAGGGTTTCGCCGCAGTGGAACAAGAATGGGATGTCGAGTTTCTGCTCTTTGCACTTTTTCTGAAAGTCGAGAAATTCGGGTACGAAGTGGCGGAGCTCGTTTCCCATCTCCTCATGTCCGACGAGATCGAATCCTAGAACTTGTCAATTTGCTATCTTTATCGCGGAGGGACCATCCTACCACAGAGCAAGTCTTTATACTTGTGCTTCAGGTCGATGCACTCGTCTAATGCAGCGGCAACTTGGTCCTTTTGAAAGGATCGTGGCGTGCAATAAATAACCTTCATTCCTCCAAAATAATCGCCTCTCTTGCGAAGCTCTTCCATAGTGCTTTGCAGCTCTTCGTTGATGATCTTCATGATACCCTCGTTTCCAATAGAACCAGTACCATCATCAGTCTTCAAAGAATTGGTGGCCATAAAATTTGGTCTGATCTCGGCGTACTGGATGTTGTCTTTGACGAAATCCTTTATGCATGCTCGAGTGTAATTTCTGAAGGCAGATTCGTAAGCGAATAAACCCTTCATCATTTGAGTTCTGTAGTTGAACTTTTCCCAGATTCTGTGTATTATCAGCATCAGTAATCCAACGTGAATGCACATGACTTACCCATGACCAGTTTGTTTGCAACCATGAGCCTCATCTTCTGAGATAAGCATCTTATGCTCAAGCCATCGTTCAGCCCTCTCCGTTCGTGTCAAGGTTTCTCCAAAGTCTCCTGGGTAGTTGAATAGTTCCTGGAACTGCTTGTAGGGCATCCATCTGTTCGGAACATAATGAGGATCAAAGACGTTCCCTAATGGAGTCTCCTTCTCGTCATCCTCGGCACCTTTAACGTGAGTTGCCTCATAAGGCGTCATCACCATAAATGAGATTCGAGTTGTCGCAAAGTGCTCCGGAGTCGTCAAAGGAAGAGTGCTTCTGATATACATCGCCTTGATATCGCGAGCTTGCCGAATCAGGAATCTTGCTGGCAGGCAGGAATTCCAATGAATGTGCAGATGCGCTCCCTTGGGCATCCGCTTTGCGACCTTCATGAGCTCAGTCTTATTGATGAGGTCGACATTGCCCAAGAAATGCTCGCCCTGGGTCCTTTTCTCGGTAGGATTGCCTTCATCGTCATGTGGTGTCCCGTAAGTGTGATCCCAGTCATAAGCTTGGATCTTGTGTAGCAACGCAGCAGCCCGTTTCTCATTGTGAGATGCCGAAGTCGTGATCTGAAAGTCGAACGCTCTCTCCTTCTCGGCTGCTTGAAGACGCTCTACAGCTTTGTTGTAGTCTTCCACCGAGCTGACATCGGCGTTGAGCACCTTCCTCCAGTCCGACGCGACGGGCTTTGGCTCTGAGCGATCATATTGATGGTACATTTTGTGAAGTCGCCTTGGTGCTGGAATGAGAACTTGAGTGTGAGCTTTTGGGTCGGACCCGGCGTCTTTATCAGTCGAACAGCAAGTCCCCATCCTGATGAGCCACTCGCGTGGTCTCCGCAGGCTGTGAAATGATAGCGCCTTCAATTGACGGAGAACATTTGAGATGAGTGCTGCTGTGAGATCAAGTGCGCGCGACCAGGCACGGGACACACACACAAATCCAGGTTGTCTTGCTCAGCCACAAACAAGCCTATCTAGGTGTGATTGGTCCCAGATGGCGCTCAAGATGACTCGATAAGCAAAAACAAAAGACCAATAATCGCAGCGGTGTCGTGTTTGGGTGCAGATGATTCCTTTCGACAGCGACGGTGACAGCGACAGCAATGACAACAGCAGTCGCAAACGGAGCTGAGCGATGTCAACTCACAGTGAGTGAGATTGTCGCGACGAGTTTGCTGTGTGCGAGGAGATCAAAAGTCGGAGGCCGAATTGTTGGGCTTATGCAGGCGGGTTGCACGAAGGGCTGTTCCAAGTTGCGTTCCTTGCTTCAGCCCCCGGTTATTTGGGCGGCGCAAGCAATCAATCGCTGGCAAATACCGGCTTAGCTGCATGTCGGTCGCAAATTTACAATCGCTTGGCGCCATCAAATCCTCATTTAAAACACGAACGGATCCACCATTGGGGCAGTGCTTGTTGAGAAATGACTGCGACTGTAACCACATTCGCCCCTTGCAAACTGTTGACCGAGAGCAGATTTGCTATCGCCTGCTCCTTTTTCTTTCGTTCTGACTGAGACTTGCGCTTTCAAATTATGCCTTGCAATTAACCTCTCTTGCGACCTCTGATTCAAGATACATTGTTCACGCCAGACTGTATGAAAACAGCTCGATGAGACTGAAGTGAAGCAGACCGAGAACGCCTTCCATGGATTCAAATACGAACATCCAGATTTTGAACATCATCAGTGCGCCATTTCTGACCGAATTAGATCCTGGAGATCCCACTCACAAGAGGGGCAAATAAGTCAACATTACTGGAGAGAATCAACCATCCGCCCAAATTTTAATATTAAATTACATGTGTTCATACGTATCGGAAAGTACTAGTAGTTGAGTATGATTCTAGACATCTATATCCTGACTTGACAGCGTTGTTGGTGAGCCCGCCGACTTCTGAGTATACCACCATTCGATCGTCGACCATCGAAACAGGTCAGCATTTTGGACACGAAGAACAGGTACTTCACAGTCACTCTGCATAATCCAAGATAGCGTAGACCTTCAGAGATGGTATGTCCTTAAAATTCTGTGGGTCGGCCGCCATACCAAGTGTTGTTTGTGGAGTATTTTCCGACATCTGACACTTACTGGAGCACGACTTTCCGGACCTGGAGCAAGGGTATGATATTTCGAATAACCAAGCCTCACTCAGGGCTAACATACGTACTTTTCTCACGTTCACCGAGAATCATGAAGCAATTCCTGAACTCGTCACGAAGATGTTACTGGCACAGCAAATGTCAAGGCATACCTTTAACTCACCTAAATCTTCCATCCATTAAACTAGATGCGTTGGCACTTGTCTCTTTACGTTTATATTCCCGGTTACCGTCGCTTAGATTAACAGATTGTTCCTCAGATGCTCACCGAGGAGAAGAACAGCAGTCCCAGAAGTTCCACCCTTCGACACTTCATCAAAGATCGTTGAACGGACGGACTATCATAACGATGAGCATACTCAAGGCTGTGCATACATACAGATCATGGGTCTGTGGGATGAACCCATCAGGGTATCTTCAAATGACCATGTTCCACTTTCACCGCTCACTATGTCCCAATTTTGACCCACGCCCACCGAAGAGAGGAGAATGTCCAAGCTTTCTTGAGGCTTGTAGACTCTTGGGAAATTGTGGAATACGGGAGATCTTGTTGCCTAGTACTTCGCTGTTTGTCTGCAACAATACTCTGCAACGTTGCGGACTTGCCAAGCGGGCTTCCGTCCCTCGACATCTTCAGCCACGGAAATTTTTCTGGTCAAGGTAATCCCTTACACTTATGACAGTTCTGAATCTCTCTCTCTCTCTGATAAACCTTATAGTCTACACTCATGGTCGAGCCCTTTCATCGAAGCAGGAGCTACCATGCTCCTCGTTCTGCAAACCTTCAAGTCCACCTTCAAGCCTCCCCGAAACTCTCCCGCCTCAGAACATCAGAGTGTTCCTAACCATTCACCTTCAAAATACACTACTAGTCCGATGTTCCCGCCCCGAGGACAGCAACGTCGTTGATAAGACCGACGGTTCAAGCAGGGCTCGAGGTTGTCAACTGTGGTGGCTACAAGATTGAGCTGTTGTTGGGAATGTTAGGCAGCGATTTCACATAGCACAAATTCTCGGTCTAGCATCGACCTCGTCAAATAAGACACCATCAGCCTCTTAAGTAGCTACTAGGTTGAAGCATCTTATGTACAAGTTGTAGCACGCATCGTGTAGCGACGGATATGTAGATTTGGGCGGGCCAGTAGAATGCTTCGAGACCAAAGAGGAAATTTTCAAAGCAAGGTGACTAAGTCCACAACTAACACTTATCAATTAATTATTCCAGTATATAACTATCGTATATTAAAAAGATTATGTTTCGTTGTTCCGATGCAATGCGCAGGTGTTTCGCAGACTATCCTTCGCTCGCTTAACCCCTTATTGAGAGCATCATGAAAAAAGCCCACTCGAGCATCGGACGTCACACAATTCAAGGGATGACAAAAAATGGTTCAGAATCCAGTATTCATGTCTCTAATCATCTACGACATAAAAAAACAAAGCGTTTGCTGAAAGGTGTATCATCATTCATGCCTCCGTTACGCCTTGATGCAACAACCATCTATCGCTCCCAGTCCCACAAACTTTTGTTCTCCACCAATGCTTTCAGTCCTCAAACTTGATGCCCTTCTTGCCGTCAATGTCAATCGGTCCGCCCTTATAGCTTCCCCGCTTCTTCTTGTTCTTCTCCTTCGTGAAACCCTTGCCCTTCGTGACGATCAGATCCTCGTGTGCCTTTTGTGCGTAGTCGTAAGGGACGTAAGCGTTGCTGGCGAGACGGGAATCGACCTTGATATCCTTCGGGATTCGAGAGAATGGCTCGTTGATCTTCTTCTTCTGTTTGATGACTGGGTCCGGAGGCAATGGTGGTGATAGTGCGCGGGTAGTGACAGTCTTAGCAGTCTTTGGCTTCGACTCTTCTTCAGAATCGCTAGATGAGGAGTCGGAGGTGTCAGAAGTCTTCTTGGGGCCATCAGACAGTGTAGCGCTGGTATCGGAACTCAGAACAGGCTTCTTTGTGTCTTTCTCTTCAGAGTCGCTGTCGGATGAGGATGAGTCGGAAGAAGAAGAATCAGAGTCGGAGTCTGGCAAGGGAGTTTTCTTAGCAAGGGACTGAGTAGAGGAATCAGAGTCAGAGTCGCTCTCGGAGTCTGAAGACGAGCCACTTTCTAAAGAGCTACCGGCTGCATCTGCCTTTCCCGTCTTTGGCTCATCGTCGTCAGAGCTTGAGTCTGAAGATGAAGAGGACTCATCAGATTCAGAGACAGCTTTTGCAGCTTGAGCTTTTTCATCACCCTCATCAGCGCTGGAATCGGAGTCGGAAGAAGAGTCACTGTCTGATGAGCTTGTTGTCTTGGTTTTCTTTGCCTTTGGTGCTTCGTCATCTGAGCTCGAGTCGGATTCGGAAGATGATCCGCTGCTGGACTCTGCCTTGCGCTTCAGGTTGTTGACCTTGGGCTTTGGTGAAGATGCTTTGGTAGCAGGAACCTCCTTCTCATCATCTGCGTCGCTGTCCGAACTGCTGGATGAAGTAGACGATGAAGAAGAAGGGGAAACAGATCGCTTGGACGAGACCTTTTTGGTGGGGGGCGCATCGGCCATTTCCACGTCGCTATCATCATCAGAACTGCTGTCGCTCTCACTGCTGCTCAACTCCTTCAACTTCGACTTCTCCGCCGCGACCTTCTGCTTCTTTGCCTTTGTACTCTCCGTTTCGGTGCCGCTGTTCTGACCAGAAACCTTGCCTTGATCCTTCAAGCTCAACCAATCGTTGAAGACCGTGCTGAGAGAAGGTACATCCTCAGATACATCTGCGATCTCGCCTCGAGTCTTGCGTTCAGTCTTGAAAGCTTGACTTGTGTTCGTGAACTCGTATTCGGTTAGGAAGGCTCCGATGAGCTCGAGAAGTTGGGAAGGTGGTGCTGACTTGGGAGGCTCGCCATCTGCGCGACGCTTGAGGAGGTCTTTCGCAAGTTGTTTGTCTTTCTTGTTTCTCGACTTGTCCTGGGCTTGCGCTTTAGGTGCTGCACTTGGCTTTCCTTCTGGGAAGAGCCATGCTGGCTGCTTCTGGCCAGCAGGGGCCTTTCGCTTTCCGATCTTTTGCATGTTAGGGTTGCCAGACATCGTGTGTTGTTTGACCTGGTTCTTACCGGATTCTTATCACGAAAAAAAAAACTTTTGTAAGGAGAGCAAAAGGCGGTGGCAGAATTAAGCTCAAATTAACTAGTCGCCTTTCGTGTTAGTGTGCCTATAACAACCATCCTCTAAATGTCCTCATCGAGGTCAGTTACTATGTCTGTAACACTAAAGAAAACATTTTTGTAGTCATATATGAAAATATTCACTTTCACTAGGCGAACGTGTATGGTCGGTGAAGACCCAGGTTTATAACGCTTATATGTCTTAAGTAGTTTGACCAAAACCCTTGTTGTCAATGCATCCTACCTAGTAGGTCTTTTCTGTCTCCCGCAGCAGGGAAGCTCGAGTGAGTGAACCTCGACCGTTGAATAACTTCACTCTATCATCGACAACACCCATAATCTACGACAGTATCGCGAACCTGAATACGGAGCGACTTCAATACCGATATCCTAGCAGTGATCATACATAGATGACTGAACGTCCAACGCTCCCCCGAGGCGACGTGGCTCCGCTCAATGGAGGTTTCATTACAAAACGGACCTGGCGGGGTTAATGGAGGGAGCTCATTATCTCGGGCAGAGAGGTTTGAAGATGAGAAGCGGAGGATAATCGAAAGCTGCTTTGGGAAAAAGGATGAGGATGGTTCTTGTAAGCTGGCTCTCAGGGTAATGCGATGCAGAGAGACTTGCCAACTAACCTGACCTACGCAGTATTGGAATCATACATCACGCACATAAAGATCACAGAAGATTCCAACTCCCCATCTAGTCCTCCGCCACCCACTTCCGACCCTTCATCGAAAAAGCCTCGCCTGATCATTGTTGCTGTTCGCAAATCCGGACGTGTTCGCATGCACAAAGCGAGAGAGAACGTGAATGGTTCGTTCTCGATTGGGAAAACATGGATGCTCGATGATCTTTCTGCAGTTCAGTCATATAGTGGCGGTCCTGCTGCGAGTCTCGAAGAAGAACAGCAGAAGCAATGGGCCGGAAATGTTGGGTTTACCGTCACAATTGGCAAGCCATACTACTGGCAGGCAAACACCCAGAAAGAAAAGCAGTTCTTCATCGCAAGTCTTGTCAAAATATATACGAAATACACAGGTGGAAAGTCTCCTGAATTATTCGGATTCGATGCCAGGGAAAAGGATCAACTTACTGGAGCGTCTCCTGCTCAGCGTCCGCCGCCGCCGTCTTTACAAGCAGGTCCACCTCAGAATCCAAGTCCATCATATGGATCTCAGGTCAGGCCGACCAGACGTGAGCCTTCGAGGGAGCCACCGATATTAAGAAAGCAACCCAGCCGAGAAGTTGTACAACGTCCTCCGGGTCAGATACCACCTAGTGGAACGTCGTTCACATCCCAGACATCGAGGCCCCAATTTAGAAATCAGCGTATGGAGTCACCAAATGGCAGTTTAGATGCTAGTGGGAATGGCCCCGTACAGAATCAACAAGGTCTGAGAAAGCTAGTTGGGTCAAACCAGAGCCAGGAGTCGTTCACTAGAAGTGATGACGGCTCAAGTCTTCCCCCTCGATCGCGCAATGGACTCAATGGCACACCAAATGCACCCGGACGATTTCAGGATCGCAGCGTCACACCAGGTTCACAGCGAGCTACAACTCCAGACAGTACCTTGTCATCTAGTACCAGAGACAACAACAATGACGTGCCTCCAGTACCTGCTCCTTTAACCATTCCACCTGAACGACGCCGACCGCCGATGCCTATTATCGGTGATGCACGGCAAAGGGCGCAAAATTCTAACGACAATATCGTCCCCGCACCACTATCTAGTCCAGGAATGAGACGAGAGGATTTGAGACCACCAACACGTAGCAGTGATCGAACGTCACCACGTGATAGAGATGCGGACAACACACAAACTACAAACGGATTTAGCAAACCTGACGTACCCCGCGATGTGCCAGTCGAAAAGTTCCAGCAACAAGAACCTCAGAACTTGGTCGTAGATCCTCCTGAGCCAGCCCCAGTCTCTCCCATCGAATCACCAGCAGTTCAGATGCCCGAAGAGCCTGTAGAGGAAGTTCGGCCCGGCCTTGGACCAATGATTAAGAAAAAGTCCAAAGGCGACATCGCTGGATCATTTATGCGCGCTGCCAAAGCAGCAAATGCTTTCAATTCCTTCAAACCACGTGCTGGTGGTGCAGCTGAACGTCTTAGGGAGGCAGCATTGGCCAAATCTCCAGATGGACCAGATGGCATCACCAGTGTCGTACCAGCCCCATCTCTACTCCGTGCTATGAGCGGTGACAGCGGGAAATTACCGACAGCCTCCCCAATAGCAGAAAAAACATCACCTTCAAATTCAGTAGACAACATCCCCGAAGTAAAGATCACTGTTCCTGTCTCTCAAAATGAACCAGTTGCCCCCGCTACATATGATCCAGGCCAAGGTCCCTTGTCAGCACAATCCGATGGCAGCTTGACTGACAAGTCCAAACCTCGGGAGGTGAAAAGAACCAAGACAGCAGCCGAAAGATGTGCGGGAGAACTTCAGTCCATTGGTATTGACCCCATAATTATTGGCGATCGAGGCGGAGACTTAGTTGATGCCTGGGAACAATTTGGTTGGACCCCAGGAGAGGGTGGCGGCATGAGAACGAAGAACATCGATCAGATGAAAGAAGAAATTGAACGTGAACTGAACAAGGTCCAAGCAGGCGGCTGGCTAGCAAGATTGGAACAAGAGGATGATAGAATTAAGGCGGTTCACGATGGTCTCGACAAATGTATCGAAGAGTGTGATGAGCTCGATGCTTTATTGACACTCTACTCTGTAGAGCTTGGTGTAAGTTATGATTCCTTCAAATGCGGGTCAATACTGACATTATCAGACTCTGAATGAAGATATCGCCTACATAGAGGCCCAATCTCAAGGCTTGCAAATTCAAGCTGCAAATCAGAAGCTTCTCCAGGCTGAGCTCCAGACACTGCTTGGTACTATTTCCATCTCCTCAGAACAACTCGACTTCCTCCGAGAAGCATCTTTGGAGAATACAAATTCCATTGAACAGATCGAGACATCTCTGGTGATGCTATTCAAAGCCATGTTGACAATCGATCCTTCTCTGGGCATATCCGTCTCCCGGCCAAGTAATGATGGTGGCAGTCTCAGCTCCGGACGACCTGGTGGTTTCGGCAATAGTGAGCTTGGAAGCATGAGGGTCTTGCAAGAAAAGAAAGATGTCTACAAAAACGAGATCTCAATGTTTCTCCGACGTCTCAAACCTTTCCTGCAAATCAAATTTAGAGCTGCAGTCGCTGAAATCCAGCAGGCCTTGGAACGTGAGAAAGGAAGTCAACTTACCAGAGCTGCTGGTAAAGCTAAGATTGATTCCCGGAATCACGATCTTGGACGGGATCTGCTTTGGAGATACAGTCCTTTGATGCTCTTCTCTCGCGAGGTTGACCGTCTTGAATGGGAAGACCTGTTGAAGATGTACGAAGAGGAGTTCCGCGCCCTATACAAAGATGAGTTCAGAGAAGCCCTATTCTCGTGGAAACGAATCGTCAGAAAGCCGACTGGTGATGAAGCGGACCTTCTTTTCACTTCTCAGACAGAGAAGCAAGCTGAAGGCATTGTTACCACGACACGGAAACTGACAGTAAAGCGAAGTCAAACTTTAGCCAAGAGTCTACGTTCTCCACTTGGAGACAATAGCAGCAAGACAACGATTGATAGGGCTGACGGACGCTTGCAACCATACGAACTTTTTGGTGGCTATCTAGACGAATTGGTCCCCATCATGAGTATGGAACAGAATTTCATTGTGGAATTTTTCCACATCTCATCACTGGAGCAATTCGACTTTGCAGAAGCTGTTGCTGCAACACCACCCAACGCCCGTCGTGGTGCTGATCTTAGGAGGCCCAGAGTCATGGATCCCAACAGAGATCTAGCTAAGCTTGTTGTCCAGTCCATGGAAGAGGTTTATGACTTTTTCTCAAGTGATATGCAGAGTCTCATCGACTGGACATTACAGTCTGATCCATTGTAAGTCCCAAACAAAACGTGTCGCTTCCTGGCTGTGGCTAATAATTTGATAGACAAGGTGTGGGTGTAATTGCGGCTGTGGAACGAAAGCTAGTAACCCTAGAAGAATCAAGCCAAGAGTTCCTTACACGAACATTGCAGAAGCTCCATCAAAGACTTCTTGGTCTATTCACCAAATTCTTAGATGAACAAGTTCGTGCAATTGAGGAAACCAAAGTTAAGATCAACAAACGCAAGGGCGTCATTGCTTTCATTCGCGTGTTTCCATCGTTCTCTTTGGCGCTGGAGACTATGCTCACCACTTCACACGATCTCGAGATTCGAGAGACTGTCAATCACGCCTATGCGCGCATCAACAAGACTATGTTCGAGTCTTTGAAGGTCATCGCGAGAGAAAATCCAGCGGCCCATATCGCCGGCGCCGATCCCGAAGACAAAGAGGCTCTCAATTACCAGATCTTGCTTATTGAGAACATGAATCATTACCTGGAAGAGGTTGACTCTCGTGCCAACCCAGTTCTGGAAGATTGGAAACAAAATGCTGCTCAAGAAATGGACGAGCATATGACGCTCTACCTTGGAGCTGTCATTAGACGACCTTTGGGCAAGCTGCTTGACTTCCTAGAGAGCACAGAATCTTTAATGCTTTCACGGCAACCTGGAGAGCCATCGTCGAAGATCTCTAGCATGCCTAGCCACTCCAAAGCTACATTCAAGAAGGTACTTGCTAGCTACGATTCGAGGGAGATCAGGAAGGGGATTGAGCAGTTGAAGAAGAGAGTCGAGAAGCATTTTGGAGATGCAGACGATCCAAATCTCAGTCGCGGCCTCGTCAGCAAAGTCTTACAGAATTGCGAGAAGTACTATGAGAAAGTTGAGGATCGCATCTTGACCATCAGCAGAGATGTATATGATGGAGACGTTATTGCTGAGTGGACGAGAGCGGAAGTCTCCGCTGCGTTTAGGAAGTGATGATTAAATATGGGCGAGGATTTTACGGGGAGAGAAGGCATCGAGTAGAAGCATCATGACCACGACTGGTTTTGGATACGTCTTTCCATTCACATGTATTTGAGCGGTATTTTACCTTGGCTTCGTGCTCAAGGAATGGCGTTGTGAGGGCTGCATCAAAACGCTTTGTACAATTGTAAGGATATATACCATTCGAGCCGAAATGTAGAGATGTCAACAAACGTCTTTGCCCGATTTCAAGTGCTGCCAATCTGCATTGTTTTGAAATAGCCTCTTTTCGTCGTTAACACTGGTGTTTGCATGTGGTGTGAGAAGAGAGAAAGCAATTCGCCTATATGGTAACTCATTATCCAGAGGTGAAGATTGCGCCCATAGCGCTGAATGCGCGAATTGCACGATTCGCGCTTTTCGCGCAATTTGTGCATTCAGCGCAAGGAGCTGATAAAAAAGTTTTGAGCAGTGAGCCTGAAGAAGAATGAACTGTAGTTATTTACACCATATTCACGTCAATTAGGATTATCAGGAGTAGTGATGTGCCATCTACAGCTGAGCGTATTTTCTTGCAAATTTCAAAGATTTCTAAATGACTGCCGCAAAATTCGAGACGGGTAAGAATATCATATTATTCCAGACTTATGGGACTACATAAGTAGGAAAAACAAATTGTCCGAGATAAAATGGAATATGCATCGTTCTTACACCGCTTTATCCCTCAAATTCCTAGTCGCACTCAGAACTTAGCCCACTTTATTGTCCCATGTACTTTGATGAACCTAGTCATCAACCAAACTTATACTTGAATCGCTACTTATACTCCCCCTTCGTGCTTTTTTCCACTTACGTCGAAAGTGCATAGAAGGCAAGAATCTCCTCCATCCACCTCTAAACCACGATCGGTTCCGCGATGACAAAACAGAACTCGACGTAACGAAGTCCGACTCGGTATCCTCGTCATCCGAGTAGTAATCATCCAGCCTGGTGCTACGCAAGAATTCTTCTCCCAATTTCTCTTCCCCCGCGTCGTCAGCTTTGGTTTCGTCCGCTTTCTTGGTCTGTTGATTTTCGTCTACCACTGTCGTGGTCCATTTCGCCAGCAGATCATCCACCTTCTCAGCTTTAACGGCTTCATTGGGCTCAATGATATCTTCTGCGCCTTGTCGGGGCGGGCCAGGAACTCTGAGACCGTCTTCAAGATGATGGCTCTTCTTCTTCGAGTGCTTCGAAGTACCCGCAACCCATGCGAGGAGAGGACTAGGTGAACTGTGCCTCGGGTGTTTCTTTCTCCTCTCGATGACTACTTGAGGTTCGTCATAATGACGTTGACGATGGCTCAAGATCCCCGGGCGGGATTCCATAGGACGAATGAGATCTGATCTTCGATATTCCCGAATTTGGCGAGTGTGATTCCAAAGGAAGTCCTGCTCGTATTCTAGCACCCATCGTTTGATGAGAACGTAATCTGGATCTTGATCCTATGAAGATTGTCATTAACGCGGAATTTCGCGAATCCGATGAAGTCTTACAATTTCATAAGGTAGCATGTAACGATTTCAGGTCTCGATAGAAAGATGCCGCCGAGCCATTCGAGTGTATGTTGGCGAATTCGAATCAAGGCCTTTGTTACGACCTCGAACGTCCTGGGTTTCGGTAGTCAGGAAAATAAGAATGTATTCCAGATCTGACGGCTCCAAGTTCTCGGCTAATTCAATGGCAGCAAGTATACGCTCCAGCTTGTCCTCCTGTTTGGCGTTGTCGATAGCATAGCTGATTTTGGCTTGATTTTTGGGCGTGAGTGAAATGAGAATGTCCCAGACTGGCTTTTTGGTCCTGGAAAGGACAGCGTCCATCTGTTTCTTGAGCTCTTCTTGCTTCAGGGGTAGTTTCAAGAGTTGATCTCGGTCTCCCTTGAGCAGGTAAGCTTCTAGGTACTGCTCTGGAGTTTCTTTAGATTGTGGCAGTGGTTGTGGTTGAGGATACTCTGGCTCGAGCTTCCGTTAAGTTGCGGTATCCTCCTGAGAGTGCGTGGCTTCAGGAGGCGGATCTGTCTTGTCTGGCTTTGAGTTTCCATCAAATTCAACAGCTCTTGGACTTTGTACTTCTGATGGATCTCCCATTTGAACATCCTTCTCCTCGGACTTCTCGTCACTGGGAGGGGTTCCAGTCACCGTTGACGTCGGAGGAATGATCACGTCTATTTTATCTAGCGTCCCACGGCGTATCAGTCCAGGTGGCAAAGCCGAACCCATAGTTGAGTGTTGTTAGAGGTCAGGCTTTTAGATCACTGATAGAATGAGAACATTCTTACCTGATTTGGACGTATACTTCCAAGGCGCTGGTCGAGGGTTCAGGGGGCCCCATGTGGGTGGCGGAGGTGGTAACGGTGGACCACCCACAGGTCGAAAGCTGAAGGGTCTGCTTCTCGGAAACTTGCTATTGTGATGTATCAGAGGTCGATAAATTGCTTGTTCCAGCGAACGGGTCAGTCGTTCCTCACGAAGCTTCAACCTTGCGATGACGTCCCTAAGCTCTTTATCATGGCTTTGATTGTCCGACTGGTTCTTAGTTGGTCTATAATCGATGAATGTCTGTACCAAAGCTTGGAGAGGCGACTCACCGTTGCTGGCTAGCCAGATGAGCGATCTGCAACATCAACAATAGTCTTATGAGCAATCTTTCCAGTTCCTGCCTGCATCTTGTAATCTTCGGCTCTAACCATGGCCATTTCAAATGATCGAGAGACGATAGTTTCAAGTCTTTTGCTCTTTCCGCGTTTGATAATTCGGCCCCAGGCCTCCCAGCTTTATTCAACAGCTCCACGATCCGTTTGAAGACTACCTCGCATTGTAACGCATTTTTTCCACGGATTTCAAGCCTTCAATACTAAAGACTTTGCCTCTGGAAAGCTTGCCGTCTTGATCAATCACGGCTTGAAGTCTTTAAAGGGCGGAGGATGTGGCACTAATATCGTTCCCGATGTCTCGAATTCTGTCGTCTGCTTCCCGGGTGCCTTCGCCGTATGTTTGGAGGGTCGTTGCGATCTGCAGGCCAAACCCTACGATTCCGACAACTGAGCTGGCTGCGCCTAGTGCCGTAATAGGATCCATAGATCATGGAGATGTGGAGATCAGATCATCGTTTGACAGCATCGACTTTCAGTCTCATTATTTCTGCATTGTCCCAAGTTCTTAAGCTGCTGGCTGAGCTCCTTCGGCGACTGCTGAATCTCTTCATGCAGGCAGACATTATCCCCTGTACTTGGACCAGGGGTATAAGTGGACTAAGCCACAGTGTGTCTTCCTCCTACCCACAACTAACGTCGGTGTCCGTTTCTGAACAGTCTTACCTCACAAATAAGCTGGACTCATGGGTCTCGAACTGACACAACGGTTGTGCAGCTCCCAAGTGCTTTGCAGATCACGTGATCCAAAGGCAGCTTTCTCATATCATCTGCTCAAGGATGGCAATGAAGCTTTTGAGAAGATGATATGGTATAGCAGACTTCGTGAAGACTCTAACCTAAGTGTGGGTGAATTGATTTCGCTTGCTAGTCTTGCAAATTATATCACACGTTCTCACCCGAAGCACAAGACCTCTGGTTGCCTCGTTGAAGAGACACTTGAAGTCAATCTTAGGCTAGAATGAGAAGTATAGCCTTGACTACTCGCAATTGTTACAAACAATAAATTCTTTTGAATTTGTTCTTTCACATCAGCCGAGGGTAAGACGGGAAGAAACGGTCGTCGATCATTTAAAAGTGGGACTTTCACTAAGTGCAATGGAGATTTGCGAATCTTATATATCCTCACATGTCCCATTTCGTAATCGGACATGCAAGTCGAAAAAAATGGCATCACAAATTGACGATGCAGTCACCGCTCCCACTCTCCTCAGTGACTTGTCTCCTCGAGATGAGGAACCGCAAGTCTCGTCAACCGAATCAAGCGATCTCCGTCCCATTACCAAACAGCGCCAGCTTCATGTTCTAATATCGGCTTTCCTGACAATTTGCATTACAATTGGCATAAGCCAGTATGTTGATTTCCTTGATTGCAAACGAGCTCTATGAAACTCTTTGCAATGAGATCTCCATCTCCGCCCTTCAAACGCCTGAGAAAACACTTACTGATTACAAACAGATCTTACGGCGTCTTCCAATCCTACTACATCTCTCCAACTCAGATTTTTCTCCCGCCAAACACCCAGTCAAACAGTGCATTTGTAGCCTTCGTAGGCACTCTAGGCTATGGCTTGACTTGGGCAGGCAGTATTGTAGTCAATCCAATACTTGCTCGTCTTGATCCTTTTGGCACAAGATTATTATGCATCTCAGGCGTCTTACTCATGAGTCTTGGCTTTGGACTAGCGAGTCTAAGTACGCAAGTTTGGCATCTGCTTTTGACCCAGGGCTTCCTTTATGGGATCGGGTCTTCGATGCTCTATTTTCCGATCCTGTCCTCGGCGCCAGAGTACTTTGATGCTCATCGTGGTTCGGCCATGGGTTTCATTCGTAAGTCATATTTTTCGCCTAGAGAATCTTCTACCAGTTGACTAACTTTCCACTCTTTCAGTATCCGGATCCGGGATTGGCGGCCTAGTCTTCGCACCCGCCATCAAAGCCCTCCTCTCAGCCCTCGGCCCCCGCTGGACCCTCCGCGCCCTCTCCCTCATAATCCTCACCATCTCCCTCCCCATCGCCCTGACCGCCTCTCCCTCCCGCTTCGTCGGCCGTCGCCCAACACACATCAACACCAAACTGGCCCTCAAACCCGCGTTCCTGCTCAGCGTCGGCGCCGGCTTCCTCCAGGCCGGCGGAAACGGGTTACCGCTAACTTTCATCTCCGAGTACTCTATCGCTTTGGGATATACAGCCGGATTCGGCGCCACGCTGCTGGCGGTCATGAGCGGGACGAACTCGGTGAGCCGCGTGATGACCGGCTGGGCGGGCGATCGGTGGGGGAGGCAGAATGTACTTATTGTTACGGTATGTATGTGCGTCATTGTCGTGCTGGGATTCTGGCTTGGGAGTACGGGTGGGAACCGGGCTTTGTGGGTACTGTTTGTGGTGTTTTATGGTGCTGCGGGAGGGGGGTACAATTCGTTGTTTCCGACGACAATCGCGGAGGTTTTTGGGTTACAGGCTTATGCTAGTGTTAATGGGTTTATTTACTTTGTGAGAGGTTTGGGGACCATGTTTGGGAGTCCGGTGGGAGGAAAAATACTTGGGGAGAGTAGGTTGGGGAATTATCGGAATGTGGTGGTGTTTGATGCGGTGCTTTTGGGAGGAGCTATGCTGTGCGTTATTGGAGTGCGGTTTTTGGACGCAAAGGAGAAGAGAGTTTGGAAGTGGAAAGCGTGAGACGAAGCTTAAGATAGTTGTGGGATATCATCAGCTTAGAAAGTTTATTTGGGACGGATGTACAGTCCAGATTCTTCAACAATCTACATTCCTCATCAAGCCGCTCACTACATTCCGAGACATGAAGGTACCCATCATCCCTTACCTCTCATTCTTATGACAGCATGACAGAATCGAAACCTCAGAACTCCTGCTATCCTTTTGCTTTTTCGATATATCTCAATCGTCAAGTGTCCAGCGATGCTAACAAACACAAGATTGCGGACCGGCACTCCTCCTCGAAAATTCTACTCCCTCATCCTCGCCGCCGTCTTCGTAGGAGCCATATTCTTCCTTTACTCTAATTATATATGGCAACGCCCAACTGGTCCAAATCCAAGCGAAGATGCAGATCGTATGCCATCAAATAATCCATTCGAACCCATCGCCAAGAACTTCTCAACAACACTCCTCAAAGGTCCAAATCTCAAAGACAAGTTCGGGGAACTGGGACATCGAGTCGAAGTCCTGACATCCTGGTTTGTCCAAGCACAGTCCGGCATTCGAATAGAGAATCAACCTACGGCCGCCAGCAATAAACACAATGCATTGCATCTTCTGGCAGAAAATCTCACTCTTGCGCAGTTCCCATTTCTTCGAAACCCGAGTCAGCCACTAGATCCAACACCAGTAACTAGTTTGAAGAACACATACGTAACCGGTTCTCGCGGAATTGTGATTCCGGTTGGATTTAAAACGCTTCGGTTTGCGATTCATCTGATCTTCAACATACGCACCGTCCTAGGAACGAGATTGCCGATTCAAGTTGTGTATGCGGGAGAGGATGATCTTCCAGAATACTCCAGAAACAAACTCAAGGCGGTTGAGTCGGATATCGAATTTATTGATATCTTGACTATTTTTGATGACAGTAGCATGGGGCTGCAGGATAGTTGGGCTATAAAACCATTTGCTGCTTTGGCGAGCACTTTCGAACAGGTTATTCTGTTAGATGCTGATTGTGTTTGCATTTCCTCCCCAAGATATGGTCCATTGACTAAGTGAAACAGATGTTCTTCCAGAAACCTGAGGTATTGTTTGACGATCTTGGGTATAGAGAAACGGGAGCTGTAAGTTCAGACTTCGAAGGGCAGTTTGCTTCGCCATCCTGGACAAGGCTGTCTGCAGGCTCAGACATATTCTGCGAATCTGCCGAAGAGCACTCTTACTCGAGCTAGAAGAAGAAGCATACTAACATGAATTTGAAAAATAGCTATTCTTCCACGACCGAAAATTATGGCAACACGGTTTGTGACCCTGCTACTCCTAGAGGAAAAGAATACTCATACTCTCCAGGATTCCAAGAACGACACAAATGGTGGAAACTCCAAATGAAAGGCCGAAAACCCAGCGCCACTCTCCTGAAATCCCTAGTATGGAAGGACGACTTTGCCGAAGAAGCCGACTCCGGCGTCGTCGTCCTAGACAAAAGTCGCTTCCCGCTCTTCATGGGCCTCCTCCACGTCTGCTGGCAGAACACCAAATCTGTTCGCGAGGAAGTAACATATAAGATGACATACGGTGACAAAGAAAGCTGGTGGTTCGGCCTAGAACTCTGCGGGGTCCCGTATTCGTTTGAGGCGCATTACGGCAGTGTCCTCGGGGGGGAGAGAAGCAAAACGGAAGTGTGTGGATTTACGATCTCGCATCTGGATCAGAATAATCGGTTGATATGGTATAATGGGTCGTTATTGAAGAATAAGGCTGTAGATAAGAAGCAATTTCAGATTCCGGTTATGTTGATGTATGATGGGGATTGGAAGAAGGGGAGGACGAAAGCGGATATGAGCTGTATGGTGAAAGGGAAGTTGCGAGAGTTGAGCAACAGTGAGATGAAGGCTATTAAGGATACGGTGCCGCTTGCTCAGAAAGCGGACGAGGAGTATTCCTTGCTTTCATTCTAGGATATACTTATGCTGCTGGGAATATTTATGTTGTTGGGGATACTTATACTACTGGGAATACTTATGCTGCTGCGAATAATCATCGCTCTGGTTTTGTGAGAATGGTCCTGTTAGAAACTTGAAACAGGCTTGCGAACTGAGAGACATCAAATCAAAAGTGAAAGTTAGAGACTTGATGAGCTGTATGTATAGGAGAAATAATGCACTTGCTGAAAACAAGACATCGCAACATCGCGCCTTCCGTTTTCCCCGGTTCAAGATGAGACGTCAACACTTGAAGACCGTCCTTTCCACATCTGATTGCCTATCATCTCAGAGCCCAATCTCGTATTCGGCATTTCTTCAATTCTGCTATCTTTCCAACTTTGCATAATCACCACTTTGCACGTCCCGTCCCGCACTCTCTCCTTAGGAAGGACCAGCAGCAACATCACGCCCTTGCTAATGAAAATTGAAACCTGCACCGACTTCCTCCAATTCCGTCATGGATCTAGAGACCCAAGAACTCAGGATCGCACGAATCGAGGACATCGATTTTGAGAGCGATACGTGTAGGTAGCACTTGGCAGGTGACTACCAAGACAGCTTACTGAAAATGCTACAGCTACAGTCTCCGATGACGACTGGGCTGAGGCTGATGCAAATGATTGCAAACCTGAGTCGGCAGATTTATATGATATGGAAGACGTCCAAGAGAGTTCAGATTCCGGTAACTTGTCTTGCCGCTTCCAATTTGACGACCTGCTGATGATCAATAGACTTACCACCTTCTCCAATTCTGCCTTCAGACATGATCGACCCATCACAATATCGCCAGATCGGATTTGTTGTTCGCAGTGATCTCTCCAAGAAGATACAGTCATTCGCTGAACTAATAACTGCTTCACAAGCACTTCGAAAAGCTTGGAAGAGGTTCATGTTACCAACGAGCCAGCAGTGTATGAAATACAGGAGCACAGATCATGCTGATATCCGTATCTTCCGCCACAACAGGACATCCTTGCTACGTGCTGGCGATGACCATGGTTTCCGACAGCTTCAAAAACTTTTTAGTCTCCAAGACTCAGCTCTTGTCATCTCGGGATCGGATGGCCTCACTCGAGATAGAGATGAACTTTGTCGATTCCTTGCGAGTTTCGAGAATGATACTATGATGTACTTCTTCGATGGGGACAATTTTCGCAGGAGATTCAAGTCCAGAGATTTAGCTTCACGGCTGAATCCTCTGACCTCCCAGCGACAACAAAGCACCGATATTCAGAGCTTTGCAAAATATTTGGATGTGTTGAAGAGAATTGAGAAAGTGTATGTCTCATCTTCCTCTTCAACTGTTGGTGTGTAACTTCTATACAGGGCAGAAATGAACCGGGCTCTGACCCGCTTGTGTGATGAAACTGACCATAGACCCATCACTCGTCGTATGGTCAAAATCTTAGGAACTGTCACCGAACGTAGTCTCAATCGTGGACCTGATGGTTTTGCTGACTTCCGTGCTGCGTTCGATCGTGCTCTAAGAAGGGTTGAGCAAGCTGATGACGAGGAGGGAGGGCTTAGCGATGAACATTGGGCACTCTTAGTGGAGAGAGCCGCAAGTTGGAGAGGTCTTTGATAGTTCCAGCTCTGCTAGTTCAGAGAGCTTTTCTGATTGATATTGGTAGTGAGAATGTTGTTGATTGATGGTGGGAGAGATAACCTTGAGAGGCATAGCTTGAAAGGATTGAGAAGGCGTGGTGTTAACAGAAATACTCATCTTTAGCATTGCAGATGTTGGGGTAGTAGGAACGTAAAACTGGGTAGCAGGAAAAAGACATGTATTCTTGTATCGAACGACGCAATTGCAATGGCTTATCAAACAGCAGCAAGACAGCTTTATGCCTCAAATGTAACATTGTATAATGCATTTCACCAGTTTATTTAAGGGTATCAGAGACCTTGACCCTAGTCATCTCGACCTTTCCTTTCAACATTTCTAGCATACGTGACGACTTCGTCAATTGAGTCAAGCCTCGACTTCAATTCGAATCTTTCAATGCATCTAAGACTACGACCTAAACTAAAGCAGGTATTGAAAACATGCGTATGCACTCGCAATCATTCTTCTCATTTCTATGACAAACGAATTCGATCATCGTCCCAGGACAACCGCAAAATTGCCCGAGAATCAGCTAGGCGTTCCGAAGTCTCTAGAACAAAGAATTGAGGAGTAGTGGAGCTAGCTGCTACTGAGGCTCAAAGGATCTGTGTCAAGACTAGAGAGGGATCGAAAGGAGGCGAAACGAAGGAGGCGAGATGGAGCACGCGAAATCGAGACGAGAAGCAGAAGGCGACATGCAGGATGAGGATGAGGCTCAAACGACTGACTACTCACTCCTCCGGAGTGAACGACACGAAGGAGTCTCTCGCCTACCCCGTAGGACTTTCGCTCGCTCGCTCGCTTTGAATAAGCTTGTCCAAATTATGGGGAATGGGAACAGATCTTGTGAAACAAAAATAACCGAAGTAAACAAGATCCCAACAAGACCAATCCACTCCTACGACATCTTGTCTGATTTGTGGGGTCGGCTGTTTTTGTGAAACCAAAATCACAACCGAAGAGAGAAGAAAAGAGGAAAACCAACCGAAGTAAACAAAGCTCCCCCATCTCCATCTCGATCAGATTGGATCTCAAGATCTCGTTCAACAATAATAACAATGATAACTAAGACAAAAGGAAGCTTTGACAACGTGCGCGTATGTACCCCGGACTCACCCTCGCAACATCCTCCGGCAACTTTCCTCACCTCACCTCACCCTTCTATCGTGGATCGACTCACTCACCCAAAAATGCCCCATCAGTAAACCCCCATCCCATCCCAGCCCTACGAAAAATTCCCTCCGTCTCCGGCACTTGACTTGCGTCCATGGAGCGTCCGAGTACCGGTGCGTGTTCCGAGGACACGGGCGGGATGTGATGGAATGGGATGGGAGGGTTCGGATGATAATATTGTGCCTTTGGCTTGCTTGCATCCGCGCGCTGCGGGGATCAAGATTCTCTTCTCGATCGAGTTCTGGGCTTGACATCATAGACTTCAATAGATGTTTGATGAGATGAGATGAGATGAGATGGGATGCAGAATAGACGCGTGAATGAACGAAGGATCCCTTCATCATGAACCAGGTGATCAATACCACAACCAACCCTCTCTACCTACCCATTCGGAAGAATTAAAAACCCGACATTTGACCAGCAAAACCCCAACCTCTCATCAACAAAAACCTCAGGCAAAAGAGCGGTCTGCAATTCCCCCTTCGATGCAGAAAGCGAGGAGACGAGGGGGTTACGGACGCAAATGCACATGCACACTGTACCCCCAAAACCCGCCGAAGGCAACACATCTCCCATCTGCATCTCCAGAAAAGCGGGACAAAGAGACGAAACGAAGATGTGGAGCCGGAGCTAGTGGATGGTTGTACTACCTATCCTATCTATGACGGGAGGGGTAAAAGTCTGCGAGCGAGTTGTACAATGGGATTGCAATGATGGTTGGGGGTCCGTCCGTAATTGTTGTGGTGTGAGGAGGGAGTTGAGTGAGCGTGTCGATCATTTTAAGGTTAAATCGCCGAGGCGTACGCGTGTCACGGGAATTGTGGGGATACCCCTATTTCTTTCCTGGTTAGTGTAGCTTCAAGAATTATTGCATGTCACAATGTCACAAGGCAAGGAATTTTCACAGTCGTGTTGATGACTTGGTTTTTGATTTCTCGAAGAGTGATTTGCTCTTCTCATAATACAGAGATACAGACACGCTATGTAGTAGTAGAGACACCAGTGGCGATCAATTGATCAAGCCCTCAAGTTTCGGTCTGTCTCCCACCCCGTTCTCGCCCAAACGCCCGTGGAAATGCAAATGATGATTGATGATGCTTGCTTGACATACTCCCCCACCCCTACCACGAGGTCCATTTATCGTATGAACACCAAACCAGATTATGCCCACCACCCGTAGCCCACCGGTCATATCGTGCAATGTCGTAATCGCCCCCCCGGGAAAATGACAAAAGAAACTCGTTGTGAATTAATTAGACATATTGTGCTCGCTCTCGCTGCTGCCCAAATACTCTCGAGAAGATGTTTCCACCGTGCTTCGCCTTCTTCGCGGGCTTCTCCTCCGTCGAGGGAAGTTGCTCGATCTCGTACGGTAGTAAGTGTTTGCTGCCAGTGCCGGAGTGTTGCTCGGCGATCTGTACATGGACTACATCTCGTACGACCGGATAAGGACTTTGAGTGTAACCACCGGCTGCAGCGAATTCATCTCCGACGTAGCTACCAATACTCGAGTTCGGTGTCCCAGATCTTGAGATCGACGAGACGTAGGAAGAAGCGGAAGATGAGACGGTTGACAGGGTATCGGCGGTGCCACTTCGTGCGAGACCAGGAACTTCTGTTGAGGGAGGTGGAGAGTCGTATCGGATACTCGCGGGGTAGTTCACGTATTGGCCATTGTACAGCACAGGTACCTGTGGTTGTTGACAACTTGAACGGAAGTATGGATCGATAGCAGCGAATTGTTGACGTCTGTGTAGCTCCTCCTCCATTAATTGTTGTTCCCTCAATGCTCTCTTCTTGGCTTCTCTCGCGCGGGCGTGCTCCTCTCGTCGTTCGATATCGGCTCGGATCGGTACAAGGAAGGGATCGAGGTGGGTGTAGAGATCATCTTCACTGATGTTCAAGTCCCAATCCAGAAGGAAGAGCAATTGCTTCTCCATAAGATTGACTTCTGTCTTTGAGAAGCCGAATGGCTCGAAGCCTCGTACATTGGAGTACTCGGCCCAGTGCTTGTTCTTGGGAGAGGAGTCATTCAGGAACTTGGCAGAAAGGATGAGGGCGGCCAGGAATATTCTGTGAACCGTACATCGAAGTCCCTTCGCAACAGGAGGTAATCTTTGCCGTAACCGCTCCAAGTAGACCAGAGTTGTCATCAGTGTAGGTACTTGGACGTTCGACTTCCGCACCAATGATGTAATGAAGCGCTCGAGGGAGGGAAGAGATGGAGAGTCGGTTGTGGAGTCGTCATGAGGAGGTGTTTGCGGCGGCGAAGGGGGTAATTGGCTGTCTTCTGTTGACTTCTCGCACTGGATCACCTCTGAAGCCTTGAAAGCAAGGTATGCGATCATCTCTGATGTGACTGGACGGTAGATGAAGGTCTCGAGGGCGGCCTCGTTCAAGGCACGAGATGGGTAAGACATTGTGAAGTGTTGACAGAGTCGAATAGAGGAGGAAGATCGAAGTTGCAAGTTGAAGTTGTTGCAAAGTAGAGGAAGCAGGAATAAAAAATAAAAAATTGCGAAAAGGGTATCGTATAATATCGACCGTGCTCCTATTGTAGAGGAGTGTTATTGTGGCCAAGCAGCAGAGCTCCGTATTGTGTTGTTGATAGTATTGTGCTGCTGGGCTTAGACTTCGACGAGGCTGGCGCGAGGCTGGAGGGGCAGGCACGCTAGTCGCAACAATGAAGTCGAGGGGCCGAGAAATGGATCGCAAAACCAGCGAAGCAAGTGCAACACAAAATCAACCTGGGGAAGACTGGCGAAAAGCGAAAAGAGGGAACCGCAACGTGATAAGTCAACTGGCGGTCGTGGATCAGCAATCCGTCCAGCGGAGAGATTCAAGGTTCGGGGCCGAGAGGCTTTACGCAGAAAAGTGCTGGCGCAGCAAGAGAGCTTAGGAGTTTCCGGCCGCAATGCAATGGGAGTTGCTAGCGTGGCTGGGCTGGGCTGGTGGGCTGGAGGGCTGGGCTTGCCGAGAACAGAATTAATTATTGGGACCCCGAATAAATCTTCGCTGCGCTGCTGCGGGATGATGCGTCTGCGTCGTCAAGGGAGTGAGCGAGTCTGCAAGCCTGTCGAGGGGACACCAAACCGCAAGCGACGGACGAAAGCGAAAAGGAGGGAAGAGCAGGAGGAGGACGAAGGATCACAGTGCCTTTAAGACGACGATTGCCTCGCTTGGAGCCTGCGAGTAAGCCTGAAGGATGCTGGCCTGGCCTGCTGATGCTGATGAACGGATTGATCGAATTATTCCTCAATGAGGATCGGGCTGCACTTCTGGTCGACGCCGGGTGCCACGAAATGATATATCTGAATGACCGACTGCTACGTCCGTACTTGGGACGCAACGAATGAAGAGAGAATGTGGGGAAGCACAGACGTCGAATAAGTATGGCGTTCCGTGACGTTTTGACAGTTCGTCTCTTGTCTGTTGCAAAAAGGGGAGCAGAGTCCGAGTGTTTCGTTTCGTCGATGCTAAGGACTTAAGGTACTCCTGAGGGGGATGTGACGGAGCGAGGGGATCTTCTCGGATTCTAGACAGACAGCCGGGTCGTGTCGAAAGTTCGATGCAGATGCAAGGGGCGAGGGGGAGATTTAGGGAGATGGGAGATGGGAGATGTCGAAGAAGTTGTCGAGGAGTGGTGATGTTGCTCTTGAGAAAGGAGGCTTGGATGAGAAGCGGATGGGGGGTGGTATATGTATGTATGAGTGCACACAGCAAGTGCGTATGGAAGTGAAGTGAGGTGAGGTGAGGTGAAGTGGGTATGGCGTTGGTTAAGTCGTTGGGTCTATGTCTGGGCCGAGTGAAGGGGAGATGATACTATGGACTTAATTGTTTTCACACACACACTTTCACGCTCTCTAACCGTTTCCCCTGGCCAGGAACGATTGATTATTTTGGTCTGTCTCCAGTAAGGAATCCGGTCTCTGCTCGAGGATGGTTGGACCAGGTTCGACCGCTGGAAAGTGGCTGCCAAATAGAGACGGAGCTATGCCCTCCTAGACGCTGGCAGAATGCTGGATCGCTGAAGGAGGAGGACCCCTCGTTCCCAAAACGGCCAAGGATGGATGGACCACTCCGTTTCAGCCCGCACGACACGGAGCCAAAGAGCTGTGAGCACGCTCGACTGGCCCAAAGGCGCTGGCTGCGATTGATTTGCCTGGAGGGGCGAGAGAGAGACTCGACTCCAGCAGGGGGCGACCGGGGGTGTCGTAGCACGGTGGCACGGTGGCACTGTGGCACTGGAGATGCACGACAAAGATGCAGCCTGGCAGTGAGTGGCTGAGGAGAGGGGCAAGTGCCTCGTCGTCTTGTCTTGTCGTCCTGTCGTCTTGCTCTCCTACTTGTCGCAAATTTCTGGCTATGCAAATAAGGTCTGGCCGGTTGCTCTCGTCCTGCTGTCCTGCTGTCCTGCAAATCTCAAATTCCCTCCAAATCTGCCTCTGCCGCTGCGCTTGAGCAGTGTCGTCCAGTAGAGTGCGGAGAATGCGATGCAAGGCGGCCGCGAGGATCCTGAAACCCCAAAATCTATTTGTCTCTTTCTTCCGAGTCGCTCTTATATCGAATATCGTCGCAGCACTCACTGTCTCGCCGGAAGCAGCACGCTGCACGATGTACGGCAGGATAGACGTGGTGTTGAACGGAAGGGAAAGGGTCGAGGATAGAGTGGATAAATGGTGCTTCCGTGGACAAACAGGAACGAGCACAATGTATATGTTTATGCAGACCACAGGAGGTTGGAGATATCACGACCAATAATTCCCCCGCATCACAGAGGTGGACGAGATGTATGAATGAGTTGTTCATCTGCGTCACTGATGGGCGGTCAGAGACGCCTTCCAAAGGTTCTTCCCAGGTCACTCCTTCTAGTGCGCGCGATCACGCAGAGGATGTTCCTTGCTCCCTCTCGAGTCAGTAGATGGGATGGCAGCTCGTGATTGATTAATGATGGGTGATCGACCCCCGCCTCCCTCGCTATGCGTCGTGTGTTCACTTCATGCAATTTTTCAAAGTGGCAGGTCAGTGTGCTTGCGATTGCCACCTGATATTACCTACGATGCACGACGACGCGTGAGTACTGAGGCTTTGCAGCCCACTCGCTCGACTCAACCGAACCGAGGTTTGTCGATGCGAGTGTGTGTTGAGGCGAACGAGAATTTAAGCTTCGCCATACAGTACATGTGGAGTCGTCGGCAGTCGCCATGATTGGCACTTGGGATGGATACAGTACTTGTATCTACAGTACAAATTTCATGCAGCGGAATGGGCTGTGGACGGCGCTGTCGATCTTGGGTCCTGACCTCAAGTCGAGATACGAAAGTGCTGAGATGGTAGTGGTGGAGATGTCCTTTCCTTTCTGCCTACCTTACCGTTCCATGCCAGGGCAGCTGAACGATATCTCGGCTTGATGCTCGTCGATATGACATGTCAAGTCAAGTCCAGTCCAGTCTCGTCTCGTCCTGTACTCGGCATCGACGAAGTCTGGAAGGCAGTGAACACTAAAGTGAGAGGCTAGAGGCTAGAGGCTAGAGGCTAGAGTATGGGTGAGTGGATTCAGGGGTTCGGTACAGTAGAAAGGCAAGGCTGGGTTGGGGCTTTGGCTTTGGCTTGGCTTTGATGGGTCCAGCGATGGCGCACTCTGTCAGGGATGCTGCCGTGAAATTCGAGATCTTCAGGGACTTTGATAGGCCTGGACGATCTCTCGTTTGAAACATGCCAGCGCTGCAACCAGTCAAGTCAGTCAGTCAGCCAGTCTGCCCATCATACAGTACAGTACAGTACAGTACCTCTCTCCCACACCCCCGTCCCGCATCTTCACTGCCACACCAAAATTCACCCTCGCTGAAAAGAACGAAAATCTACTCCACTCCAGACCAACCCAGCCAACCTTGAATTGAGGCTGCGATCTCAGCCAAGGCATCGGGTTTTCTTTCTCTCTTTCCTTTTCCTTTTCATCCGAAATTGCCTCTCTCATTCGTCGTCGCCCCTTTCAATGCAAATCAGCTCCCGTTGCAGCAGCGAGAGAGAGCACATTCATTCATCGCAATCTTGCACGTAAATGCTGATCACGGTACGCAGCTGTGGCTGAGTCTTCTTTCAACCACCGCCAAACATTTCACTTGGTCTCACACCTTGGTCTGCCGGACGTTCCGCCTGCTGTATCGTCTCATCTCGGTTCATTTCACTTTTTCTATGATGATGACGAGAATGAATCCTCGCGGCAGCTCAAACAAACAAACAAAGCTTCTCGAAACAATGCTATTCATGAATAGCTGTACAGCATGTGTAGGTAGGTAGGTAGGTTAGACGCGCATGACAGCGCCTCGCCGAAGGATCGCTGCTGGCAGGCGAGCGCCTACCTACCGACCTGGTCGTTTGAGCAAGCGCTCGCTCGCTCGCTCGGTCGGTGGAGACCTACGAGACGAGTTCTTGATTTCTATTTCCATCGCCGAATACTTATTCGGCATCCAACAAACGAACGAACGGTTTATTATCTGTCTGTGCCTCTCTCTGTTCATTTCTTAAAGCGCTGGATGCATCGACGAAGTCTGGAAGGCAGTGAACACTCCAGTGAGAGGCGAGAGGATGGGTGAGTTGTCGGAACAAAGGTCACGTGAATATAACGTGCAGGGCACGTGGCTAGGTGACTATTCCAACACTTGTGCACTAGCCCCCGCCACATAAATTACCATCCAACCCCCCCCCTACACAACCACCATCTATATCACATTGTGATGACTTCACTTCCAATCTTCCACGCAGCGGATCCTGCCATACTCACACGTCGAAACCTTATCCAGCCAGCCGTCCGAAGGCGCCGACAAATATCCAGCTCTCTGATGCTTTCAGAAGCTTTGTCGTCGTCGTCGTCGTCGTCAGGAGAATCAGTGGATTCGGGAGTCAGTCTTCGCCCTCTTCGCCCTTCGTTCACAGTACCAGAGTATATCGAGAGCGTCGAAGCTTTGGAGTACATTGGCTGGGGAGATGAGAAGGCTGCCGAACTTTGGGCACGATGGGAGATCCTCAAGCAGACCGAAAGGAATGAGGCTACATTTGAGACAGACTTCCTCGAGTATGCTTTGTCTGCTGTACCATGTCCCAAGCTTGAAGACAGACAGGAGGATTGGAATGCAGAAATGTTGAATTGGGGAGTAAAGACTGAGCTTCGTGAAGCAATTATGGACGAAGCATACACCAATATTAGGCTCACGGAGACAGCACAGTATTGGGTGAAAGACACCATGGAGATACGCTATCTCAGTCTGGAGAGATTGCAGCGAGACAGTCAAATGAGGGCGCAGACCTCAACCACCTCCACGAGCAACACCAACAACACCACCAATACTAGGGGGAATCCGGTAGTCATACCACAGCCAGCAACTTCGTCGACAGTCCCTGGAAGCTTAGCTCTATACAAGGCGATTGCAAAAGATAGAGTTAGACAAGACTCGACGGGGAAGATCTCTATTGAAAGTCTAGTCAGCGGAATTCCATCAGACTTTCGGGGAGTAGGTGGAACTACACTTTACTTTACGCCTTCTCTACAGGTCGCGGAACACTATCGAGGCTATATCAGAAGACGATACGAAGCCTCAGCTCCACTCATGTTAGCACTATCGATTCCGAACTCCTTTATCGAAGCAATTCCCCCCTATATTCTGCCCTTTGGAGACCTTTGGAAGGAAATTGTGTATACTAGTCGACGTGGGTTGTTGTTAAGGGGCGACTTAAAGCGAATCCACCGGCTACCTTTAATCATCGCTCCTATCGCTCAATCCTATAGTAGAACTATTAGTAGTCTCGATGACTATCACCAGATTTCTTCCCCTCGACATGTTCTTCACGTCGAGGACTCCGAGGCAATTCAATATGTCTTTCAAGGAGATGATATGCTGTATCGCTTAGAAGAATATGGCGAAGTGAAAGATATCTCTTGATGCGAAGAACGAAGCCTAACATTGTAAAGTGCGGCACACAGCCTAAACGGATCGTCCCTCTCCCGTTCTTTCTTCGTTTACCTCATGCATACCTCATGCATACCCCACAACATAATCGCTGCTGCACAACTTTATCCTACCTACCTATCCTCCTCGCTTCTTCACCATACCATACCATACCATGCGATTCGTTACCGAGGATTGATTGATTGATTGATTGATTGATTGAGCGATTCCCTTCCTTGCCGCTGATGAGAGACGGACTCGACGGACGACTGTATATTTAGAGGGCGTGCCGTAGACGGGCATTTGTTGGAGAGGTGAGCTAAGAATAAGCTTTTTGTGGCTGGAGAGGGATGCAAGGGATGTTGGGTTATTGAAGAATGGATGGATGAAGGAAGGAAGGGATTGTTGAAGAATCGATATCAATATATAGAAAATACCTGTGCCTGTGCCTGTGCCTGTCTTCAATGATATTGACAATATTCATTCCATTCAATTATTCAAACGTGGGTGGGGGTATTCCAATAAATATCCTGCTCCTCCTGGAACTGATTCCCTTCCTTCATCTTTCTTTCTTTCAAAACGAACCTGCCGCCGCCGCCGTAGTAAGTGAGAGAGTAAGTAAGAGTATATACAAGAAGATAAATAAGATAGATAGACCCAGACGCCGCTTTCTTTCTTTCCGCTCTTTCTCTTGGGTATAGATGGTTGACCAAGAACACCACCAGCTCAAGCTCAAGACTGATCATCATCCCACCCCCCACACTCCTTCAAAAACCCCTCCACCATCCCCTTACAACCCCCCAACTCCCGCCCCAACGCACTCCCCCACAACTCCTCCACAACCCGAACCTTCTCCTTCAGATCATCCGTAAGCCGCACCTCCTCATCCGTTTCCACCTCCCCCAGTTCCCTCTCGACGTCTTCCTCTTTCTCACCCTGCTGCACGCGCTGCGCTCGCATCAACCTACAATTCGCAGCCGTCACTCCACTCTTCACCTCGTGCAAAAGACACAGTAGGTTAATCTGGCTCTCGATGAACTGATACGTGCTCTTCTCGCAATGCCCTAATAATGAATAGAGATACTGCATCGGGAAATCCACATAACTCTCATTCTCCTCGTACTCTGCGGCCGGAATCTGGATTCTAAATCCGTCTAGATTGCCCCTTGGAATCTTCTCGATAATACGCGAGAGAGAGGGAGCGATGTCCCAGAATGCGGAAAGTTGGACTTCGACGCCACGGACGACGTTTTCTTCGATGACATCTAGGAATTCCTCTGTGCGTTTTAGGACCTCTTGCTCGAACGCCAGTTTCCGCTTCGTGGCGTCGTCGGCGAAGAATGATTCTGCGTTCGCTACTTTGTCGTTGTTGTTGGCCAGGCGATAGGGCGTGATGACCATGTCTTTGTAGCGGTCGTTGCGGTCTGAGAGGAGGTCGAATAGTTCTCTGTGTAGCTGTTCTCTAGCTTCGAAGATCCATTTCAGGAGGGTCAGTTTCTCGAGGAGTTCGGGCTGCTCGTCGCCTTCTTCCTGGGTTGTTGTTGGATTTTGTTCTTGGGCGTCGACGAAGAGTTTGCTTTTGAGTTGGTCGAAGAGTTCGGTGGCTCGTGCTACGCGATCCATGAGGAGGTCATTGAGGGGTATGACGACTTGGGACTGAAAGAGTTCGAAATCGACTTTCGAAGCTTTTTTGGTCTTTTCTGCTTCTGAAGCAGCAGCAGAGGCTTCCATAGCGGCAGCATCAGCGTAGGTCATTGTCCCTGCCTCAATCTCACGAGAAATTGTCTGTCTAAGAGAATTCCGTCGTTTCGTGGCAGCGACCTTTTGCTCTTCAGCCATCTGAGCGCTGGTATGTGTGAAACGTTCTTTGGTTGCTTCTACCTCGGTGTAGTCACTGAGTTGTCGGACAGTGGTTCGAATGGCAGTCAAGTCAGGATGATTGTTGTTAACAGCAGGATGATGCCGTGGATAAGGTGGTGGGAGCGTTACCAGACGTGATACGTCAAGATCATGAGGATTTGGTGTCATGAGGGCGGGCGAGAACATAGCAGGAGATTTGGAAGGGGTTTTCTGTAGTGACAAGTCCTGGTCGTGCCAACCCACTTTCTCTTGTGGATATTCATCTGGTCCATAGTCGCTCCTCTGTTGACTAGGTCCAGACATGTCTATGCCTTTGCCATTCGGCGTGTCTAGAGTCTCGAACTGCATTGCTTCACGGAGCTCCTTTGGCATACCCATGTACTTGGATTCACGTTTGGATCGCTCTAGTCTTGTAGAAGGAGCACCGGTAGAGCCTTCCTGACTGACCTCCCACCATCTGCTCGATGGCCTGCCTCTCGAATCTGATCCATCAGGAGCCTCACTAACACTCATGCTGGGAATTGGTGAAAGAGAAGGCATATAGCCTGTCCACCAAGTCGACTCAGGTCGATTGCCATTGCCATCGGCTGATCCGGGTCGAGAGCCAGATCCAGGCATGGATCCTGACAAAGGCTCGATGTTGGTGTTCAGCTTGGGAGTGTCGTGGAGAGCCGCCGTTAAGGAGCCTCTATGAGACCGACTCGTTGGAATCGGTGACCTTGGACCAGCTGAAGATTCTGGTGTCCAATTGCTTGACCTTGAGGTGTTAGATTCTCTCCGAGAATTTGCATATGGTCGGAACAGATCACGGGTCAGTTCCAATATTTCGGAACCCATGGCGTCAATCGCTGTGGCATATCTTTCTCGACGGAGACGAGACTCGGCTACAATGAAATCCGCAAATATCCGGACTCGCTCACTGTCAGTGGCTGCTGCAGCCTCTTTTTGAGCAAAAGCTTGATGTCTCTCGATTGCTGCACGGGAAAATTGTTCAGCTGGTGATATTTGAGAGACTTGACTTGCACTTGACTGTCGCGAATCAGGCCGTGACGGAACCAGTGGGGCCATGACTGCTGAATCATTGTTGGCTGTATGTAAAATATGGGATACTGGTCGATTGCTGGGCGATCCTACTGAGAGCCGGGACTGAGACTGAGGCTGAGACTGAAGCGGTGGAGTTGGTAATGCTTTCGGCGGTATGGCGGGCGAGTCTTCAGCAAAATCATCGTTGAATTGGTTAGGGGAAAAAGGGGGCGTCGGTGCTTCGAGTCGATTTGACGATACTTGGGGACGTGGAGTAGATCCTCTTGAAGCAGTACTACTTGGGCCCAATTGTACAGGCGTATTGTGCTGGGATACCGACAACGATTCGCCCGTTCTGGGAGTTTCTTCCTGGTGAGACCTAGCACTTCTTGGAGTTGACCTGGTGATAGTTGGTCTACGAGCCAAGCCTACTGTTGGCACGACTATGTCAGATGGTACGATGGCCTCTGCCCAAGGATTATTTGACGCTTCTTCGGTTGCTGCAGCAGTTCTTCTGGTCTTACTTTCATTTCTCCTTTGGCGAATGGTCCGTGGATCACCTTTCATCGCATGTGCTCTTGCCAGACCTGAAGAGCTGGATCCAGAATTGGATTCAGGAGCATTACTCGAGCTGACACTTGATGTATCAATAGTAAGTCCTCGATTTGGTGATCTCCCTCGTCCTGATACGTCTTCGTCAACCCATCCCGCAGGAGTTGGTGGAACTGGTCCTAATGTTGACATTGGCGGGGGCCGCCGTGTAGGCGGAGAGACCACTCGATCAGTCGACCGAGTCATGCTTTGTGATCTCGATTGAGGAGGAGGGGGTCCTGGTGGAGGTGGTGGTAATGGCATTCCAGGTTCCCATCTGTTCGTAGACGAGCCACATGAGCGTGACGATGATGGCGTACTGATAGCACCAGTAGATGCAGCTCTACGAGACGCTGGGGGCCTCGTTTCTGCATGCTGTGATCCTTCTGACTCGGAAGAAGGAGCCTCAATCGAGATGGGCATTGGTCGACGTGGGCCATTATCTCTGCTGATTTCAGGAGATACTCGTGGAGGTTCGCGTGGAGGTTCAGCTGTTGTTCTTCTAGCAAAGGAGGAAATATTATGGAACAAAGATGGCGGTCTATCGGATGAACCTGCTCTCGCCCTAGAACTCGATGGAGGTGGAGGAGGAAAGACAGGGTTCGAAGTTGGCTCGGGAGAAGATCGATATTGATTTGCTGGGGAGATTCGACTTGCAGGAGATACGCCAGAAAGAGGTTCCTCATCTGCTTGCCATAAGTCAAAGCAAATTGGCTAGTTGGATGTGGATACTTACTCATCGAAGTTCGATTACTGCGTGGTGGGGAATATGGAGGGGGAGGTGGAGCAGTCGCGAACGCTAGTGAAGAATTAGTTTCTGGACACAACGACGGTATAAGTAGAACGCAATGCAACCCAAAACAGAAATTGACAAAAGCAAATCTACTCTACCTTCTGGATCTTGTGGCCTGAAATGGCTGCCACTCTCTGGCGTCACATTGGGTGAAGCAGTCCATGCTTGCGGGTTGTACTGCTGCCTCACAGCACTGATGGGAGTATAGCTGGGATTGTACGCAAAAGGAGCGCTGAGAGAACTCGAGGACAAGGCAGAGAGAGGCGTCTGGAGATGGGACTGGTGCTGGGCGACATTGAGAGACGTCGTGATCGGATTCAACTGCATTCGACGTCGAGCTGCAGCATCGCGAAGACTGGTCATTTTCGCGTTGAGGTTATCGGGAATCCGACAATAGAACAAGCAAGCCTATCGTCGTCCAGAGTGAGACTTCCGACTTGCCATGCAGACCGGCTCAGGGCTTCGTCTCGCGGCGACGAATTCGCCCCGAGCTCATCTGGCGAGAGAGAACTTGGGGGGGGGAGAGAAGAACGAGATAATGTTCTCTTGAGGCTCCTGTCGTTTCCAAAACGAGGGGGTCTCGGCCTCCCTTATGGTCTCCCACAGATCCATGTTTGATCCCGTTGCATTCGGTGTGCTTGAGAGACTAGGGGCCGGGACGAGTGAGTGGTCCACTTCTCCTGTCGAGTCCTGCAATGGGGGAAGAAGTGCCAGAGAGCCACAGCAGAGCTTGTGCTGCACACTGCACAGGCCAAGGGTCTTTATTTGGCTGCGCGTGGTGATTCGTCGAGGCCCTGTGACGGGATCTCCAGCGCGCCCAATGGTAGGCCCACGACAGCTTCAGGTCCCCACTCTGGCGCCTATTCTTAGGGTTTTTAACGATGTTCATGCACGAAGCTGGTGAAGCACGATATGAGGGGTGGGTTGCTCCAACACCACACGATTTAAGATTCCGCCCTCGCTGTGATAGTGTGATAAGAGAAACATGGCCTGCCCTGCCATGACATGACAGGACCAGAGTCCCAGAGTCTATCTAAATGTAGAGAGCACACTCGGCCCATCACCCGGGGGCGGGCACACATGCAGTCACCTGCAGAAAGCCGTGCCGTTGTGGCATTTACCAGGGAGCTGTATCAAGTTGAGTGAGCGAGAGCTGTGACTTTTGGCATGAAGGTACAAAGTACCGGCAGCAGACCGTCGCTCAATCCTGCACCTAATAGAGCTGATGGGGATGGCACGACCATTTCGTGACGTGACGACCAAAATAGCCGTGGCATCAATCCGTTCCGGCCCTAGAATAGCGAGAAATCCCAACTTGACCATGGCGGTCAAACGTCCTTCACTCTTCTAGAAAGATGCAATACGGCACGGCAACCCCCCAGACCCAAAGTTGGACCTCATCGTAGTCAGCACAGCTTTGCCAACGTGAATCACAAGATGGTGGCTTGAGTTTTGCCTTATGAGATTTCCGACGTGTGCGTTGGTGGAGCACCTGCAGGATGCCATATTTAGACTTCTAAATCGGACAACTGCTTTGGGAACTTGCATTGTCGAAGAAGCTTAATGTTGCCGCATTGAAAATGTTTGGGGAGAATTAGCATATGGAAGATTTTGAAGGCCCTTTCAGAAAGGACAGTATACTTGTAATGAAAAAAAAGTTGGGTCAGAAAAGGCCGACGAAGAAATCTGTGCGCAGAGCGACTTCCGGTATGCATGTCCGTCATTCTATACATTTTGGTAGCTACCGTCCACCTTCCCATGTTCTATGAAAGCTTGGTGATCCTAGCGTTGGATATCGTCCCAGAATTTTGGTACATCGTTTCTCGGGTTGGAGTGCAGTTCGGTGCTCGTACATCGTACAATACATATTGTCCTCGACTCGTAAGTGAGCACAATTTCGTTCTTTCTCACAATAAAGTAGTCAAGCGTGTGTTCGAGATTTCCCGTTGCCCCGATCCTTTTACATCTCCCACGTATGATTCTCAAAGAATAGCATCTCTCTCCTCATTGATTCTTCCCACCGTCGCCAGAAGTTTCTTCTGGGGTCGGAGCAAAGTACTCCTCTGGAAGATCCATTCCAACCCTCCTCGCAGTCAATCGTACCCTTTCTTCTTCATCCATGTTCATGCCTGGGTTGTATCTTTCCAACAGAGTTGCATACATCCTTTGCGCCTTGACATATTGTAGAAATTGCTCTGCTTGTTCGATAGGAGTGCTTGACTCCGAAGCAATTGTATTGCGTATTCGTGCTTGGAGGGGAGATCGCGATTTTTCGGATAGGGGCCGAGAAGGTAGTTCGCGGAGGAATGATCGATAGATAGACCGTAGTTTAGATGGTGTAGCCATATTGATGATTGGACTGAAGATGGAACTTTGGTGAAAATGGAAAGTTGAGACGAGAACGCGCTTCTAGCTCGGCGGGCTATGCAGCCGACGTCAGCCTCGTCCTCATCCAGAAAAAAAGTTCCCTTCACGCTCCAAGATTTTCAACTCTATGCATCGAGCACTAACATCAAATGTCAGCATCTGCGAAGCTGCAGAGATGCGTTCATGTACGGAATTTCCATTCTGGAGCAGCCGAAGTTATGCAAAGACGCCCTCTCAATGGCAGTCGCGGGCCTCCCAGTCGTCCTGCAGCCCCTAAATTTCGACATGAATCTCTATCCTACTACTGGGACACGATCCCACCAACCCAGGACCAATTGATACACGCATCAAAGTTCTTCAATAAACAGGTTCCCAAGTTTCTATGGTCAGCCGAAAAATTTAAGGAGATGGATTATGGGAACAGCCCGGAAGTCTGCTTTCTAGGACGATCGAACGTGGGAAAATCGTCTCTTCTGAACGCATTACTGCTCAGAAGGTTAGCACATACGAGCTCGAAACCAGGAAGGACAAGATTGATGAATGCATTTGCTGTTGGAGCTGAGGACGACCTCCTGAAGAGGTTGGTCGTTATGGATATGCCAGGCTATGGCAAAGGGGGTAGGGCAGAATGGGGAGTCCAAATTATGAAATATTTGGAAAAGAGGAAAGAGTTGAAAAGGGCTTTCCTGCTCATAGATGCTGAGCATAGCGTCAAACCTGCAGACCGACAAATTATCGAGCTCCTCAAGCAGAAAAACGTTCCATTTCAGATTGTGTTGGCGAAGGCGGACAAAATTGTCTTTCCTGGAAGCAGGACACCAAGCCCTGGCGCCCTCGAAGCTAGATTGACGGAACTGAGGGAGACAATGAATGCGGTGAAGGACATAGTCCAACCAGATACAGAAGATGATGGTGGAGCTGTTGGAGAAATCATTGCCTGCAGTTCTGAGAAATGGATTGATGGTAAACGGATGGGAATTGACGCTGTCAGATTTGCCATGCTCAGAGCAGCTGGGTTGGAATTCAGGCCGAGGATTACGACTTCGAAGCCTGTAGAGATAATCTCTCATGACGAAATATCTGTGATGAAAAACCGCAGTCGAGGCTGACCAGCCTCTTTCCGAGGGCCTCTGTGTGACCCGGAGTACCCGCGAGAATCGAGGTTTGGGTACGCATTTGAACGGAACAACGGTCAGGCCAGTTAAGGTTGATAGGTCAGCATGGAGCCCATCAAAAGCTTCCCAAGATATGCAGCGCGAAAGATCTGCACAGGCACGAGTCCACACCTTGGTTTGCCACAAGAACCATTGTTCAGACCTGGGAAGTCCTTGGAAGTACGAGGTATATTCGCGAATGACTTGGTGTAGAATTGTAAAGAATACAGCATCTCCTCTCGCAGAAGGACTGGAAGACTTCTTCGCATATCTTAGAATGTTCAATTCATAAACCATAAGATAGAAAGAAAAGCTGATTCCAGCGAGATGTGGCTCCAACGGTAAGGTATATCAAATAGTGAATTCCACGTGATTATAAATAGATTTCCCTCGTGGCGGTTGTCGTTAGCGCGCAATCGTCATCACAGACCTGTGCCCTCTCCAGATGTTTAATGCGTCGGCCTGGTCGCATAAATTCATATTATGGATGAGTATTATGCCTATTCTAACAACAATTGAAACACTCTTTCCACTGACTCGAAACCCACTCTAATACTCAAACCACATTTGAGATTCACTTAGTGCGGGGCCAGCTATCACATCTCCAGGCAATCTCAACTTAGCGACGACGACGACCGGCCACCACATTTCCATCAACTCGACAGTGACACGGATTCTGGACCATACCTCCGGTGCGGTCTGAATCGCACAGGCTCACGGTTATCTCCCGAGCCATCCGTACGCCATCTCTGTCCTCTGCGTTCTCTAGCATCGTCTGGCAGAGAGCCTCGTCGCAAACATGTCGAAAGTCATCAGAAGCGTTAAGAATGTTACGAAGGGATACTCCAGTGTGCAGGTCAAGGTTCGGAATGGTAAATAGCATCGTGATAGAATAACGGGCATAGTTAACGCTGAAATAGCGACCAGCAACGATCCATGGGGACCAACGGGCACAGAGATGAGCGAAATTGCTCAGATGACCTTCAACTCGTGCGTTTCATCGTCCGTATCAAAGATTTGGTTCTAAATGTTTGCAAATAGGTCGAACGAGTTCTACGAGATAATGGACATGCTGGACAAGCGATTGAACGACAAGGGCAAGAACTGGAGGCATGTTCTGAAAGCACTCAAAGTTCTGGACTATTGTCTACACGAAGGCTCAGAACTCGTCGTCACATGGGCACACAAGAACATCTACATTATCAAAACGCTGCGAGAATTTCAGTACATCGACGAAGACGGCCGGGACGTAGGAAACAATGGTAAGAAATACCCTCACTTATTTGTGGCCATACTCTGACCAAGACCCAGTTCGAGTTTCTGCAAAGGAGTTGACTTCTTTAATTCTCGATGAGGAGCGATTACGGAGTGAGCGCAGTGATCGGAAGACCTGGAAATCTAGAGTTACTGGTATCGAGGAATTCGGCGGCAATGGACCTCACGAACGCCCTCAACGCCGAGAACGACCCCAGCGTGCGCAGCGTGCTGACGAGGAAGATGCTGAATACAGATTGGCGATCGAGGCTAGCAAGTATCAGGAAGAAGAGGACCGCAAGAAGAGACAAAGCCGAAACGGCGAGCCAGATGACGATGACCTTGCCAAGGCAATCAAGTTAAGCAAGGAAGAAGAGGAGCTTCGAAGACGGGAATTGGAAGACCAGAATGCTGCTTCTCTATTCGATGACGATCCAATTCAAATCGCACAGCCTACTGGTAATCAAGGATACCAGCAGCAAACCCAAGTTGACTGGGCAGGCAACCCAATTGATCAGAGCATGCAACAACAACCTACCGGCTACATGAATAACATGTACACGGGTTATCAAAATCAGCAACCGACTGGTTATCAGAATGGATTCTCCAACGGATTTGGCGCACAGCCTACTGGTTTTGACCCTTACGGCCAACAACAACAACAAATGCAGCCACAGCAAACAGGATACAATCCTTATGGCCAGCAACCTGCGAGTTCGTTCCAGCCACAGCAACCTGAGCCACTTGTTCCCGCCAGCACTAACAACCCATGGGCGAACAACAACCAGGCCCAGACTTTGAAGCCAACACCCACCGGCTCAAATAATCCTTTTGCCTCTGGTTTTGGACGTCCTCAAACAAGCCATACTCCAGCCAAGCCCACACTTGCAACACTTTCAGAGCAGAAAACCGCTACATTCAATAACACTCCTTCATACAACCCTATCACTTCATTTACACCACCCGCAAAAACCTCATTCACTCCACCACCCGCAAAGGAAGAAAACCCTCATCATGCTAGGTTGAATGCCTTACTGTCCACCGGAGAAGGCTTGGACACCTTTGGTAATACAGGTGACCTTCGTATCCCTGCACAGCACACTGCTCCCGGCACTTTCGTCAACAGTGCTGGAGCAGGATTGAATAGACTCAACGCACAGCAGACTGGTACCAACCCTTTCATACACAACCAGTACACCGGAATGCCCCAAACTTCGTACGGCAACAACTCGGCCGGAGGTTTTGCCTCGCACCAAATGCCAGCTGCAACGGGCCCGGCGGGTATGTCCAATGGCTTTGGTAGTGGCTTTGGTGCACAGCAAGCCAGCAATCCTTTTGGGACCAGAGCGCAGCAAGGCTCTAGTGGTCAAGGCGATTTGATACAATTCTAGGAAACTGGAGCTGTCAGAGGGTGAATTCTTGCTTTTACACTCTCGTTAAGAGTGCGACTTAGACACATGCCTCCTATTCTTCAAGCATGCGTGCGAATGATACACTTCGTTGGCGGAAATGGATTGATGGGCATGACAAGTTATCGCTAGGATTGAGGCTTGGGGATTTTCTATGTTATCTGTTAGATTGAGAGACGTGATCAATTCACGCACGCATGGCTTACCTCATGAACATATTGTTGCCTGTGCCATTTGCCCAATGTTCACGTTCGTTTTGTGATATCACTTTTGACCCAAGCATAGCATGACCGTCGCCCAGAATGGTGTTGTACTCGTGCCCAGTTGGTCAGAATTTGACTGTTCGCTTCTTGATATTCACGTATTCGAGCCCGATGTGCTGCCAGATATTCGAAAGGATTCTGTCATTTGATATCTTGTCAGACTCCAACATGAATAATAGAAGAAATAAAGGGCATTTCCATAACGCCCTAACTCCACGCTTGAACCCATAGACCCAAAAATGATAACGGCTCACCTCCGTCAACCCATACAAATCCCCACGAACTCTTCCCTCCCAACGCCCCCTTTCCCCTCTAGGTCAAATTCATCGATCATCGCCACTAATTCATCCTCCTCCAAACCCTCGCCCAATTCTCTCGACACCCTCCTTAAATCGTCTAAACTTATGATCCCTTTATCGTCCGCGTCAAACAGCGCAAACGCCCTTAGTATCTCTTCTCTTGGATCCCTTTCACTTATTAACTTCGCCGCTATACTGAGGAATGCCTGGACCGTAAGGACTAATCGCCCCGGAGGCACAGGATCTCGATTCGAGCCTCCTCCTCCTCCTATTATCCCACGCGATTTCTTCGTCGCCGGATCGGGCGGTATACCGTGTGCGACGAGGAGGGCGAGGATCTCGGATTTGGGGAGCTCGAAGCCCAATGCCTTGAGCGCGACTTTGAACTCGTGGTAGTCTATCCTACCATCTTTATCCACGTCAAAGAGCCCGTACTATCCGTCTAATCAGTCTGGGTCGCGGCACGAAATGGAGAGGAAAGGCTTGTTACCGCTTCTGTGATCTCGTCTCGTTGCTCGTCTGTTATGTTGTAGGGGTTTGGCGCCGGAGCGCCAGCTGCTTCTCGTTGCGCGCGCTCGCGCTCCTGTCTTTCGCGCTCGATGCGGGCGGTGTCGCGCGATGCGGTGTGTGATGAGGCTCCGAATGCTGGGCCGTTGCGTTCGGGGGCTTTGGGTGGAAAGGTGCTGGAGTAGGGTCTTGATGGGAAGTTTGGGTGTGTCGGCGCGCCGCTTGAGGCCATTACTGTTATTCCTCCTTTTGAAATTCGCCTCGAGGCTACTGATGGTGATGGATTGTGATTGTAACCGAAGCTGTGTCTAAATCGTGCTGCCGTGATGTATGCATTAGAGAGAGGCTTGTGGATTGTTGGTGGTAGCAATGCGGCTTAGGAGGAGAGGACGCGATGGCTGGACGCGTGGGGTTCGTGATATTTTTCGAGGTCGCTAGTCGGTTTTCGAGCTCTGCAATGTTTTCACCACTTAGACACGGATCAAGTGGTCTATCAGACATCACTTTGGTACTCTGAACTCGAAAGTACAATTGCTCTGAAGGATTTTCTTCTTTAGGTATTTCAATTAGGTTCTCGCCAAGTTTGCTGTCGAGTGACCAGAGATATTGGATGCACATAAGCCAGGAATGTCCGGGAGACTGTCAAAGATTGGATCTTCACTTCATCTTTGCTCAATTGGCTTTAGACTTCTGGGCTGCTGCTTTGGAAGGCGATGCGATTACGGCAGGCTCTCTGCAGATTTTGGAGGAATCTTGTTCTTGCTTGGCAGGAATAGTGATGCCCGAGTGGAGTAGGGCTGGGTCGTACACATGGACTGGGAATAGTGAGATCACTATTACGATTAGGTCTTTGCTTGATTGTGTTGTTCTTCAATCCATTTTTCAGACAATGCAGTAACTGCTTGTGGATCAGAAGCTTAAGTCGGTACATGATGGCTCACACGTCCGTACACACAGAACCAAAACACATTGGCACTTGCAAACTTCGACATCGATTTTTCCTTGATCAAGCTATTAGCCTAGCAGAATTCGGTATACGTCGTGGCAGAAGTCTCTTACATGGAGATCTTTGGTCATCAGTTCCAATGTTCGGACTCGCTAATCCTATGTTGTTGTTGCTCGAATTCTCAAAATCAGGTCGGACATCATACTGCTGACGCTTCTGTTGATGTGCTAGCCGTCTTGCAGAGCAGTGCAATTTGGATAAGGAGGATTGTCTCATTCAATATACTCCAGACTACCCTCTCCTTCTAGAAATTCGGCACGAAATAGGATACGAATTGATGCCGGAATAGGTAGGTATACAACAGCTGTGGCCGATGAGACCGAACGGTGTTTATAAGAGAGGGACTAAAAGGAACCTTTCTGTTCTTTCCAACTCAATACATTGCGTGTGATAGAGGAAATCTAAATTATATTACCCTCGACCCCGTACACCTACAATATTTCAAAGTAATTCGTGATAAGATGGCAACGCTGGTACCCCGCCATGACTGCCCCAGTCGCTTCATCTACTCGTCAGAAGTTGCTTTGTAATCCAACCAACAATACGAGTATCAGAGAACTCGGGCCAGGAGTCATACATTGAGAACCTAACAATGTGGTGAAACAATCAAGAGCGTAGACACTTCTGACCCAACCAACTTCGTCAGGCAGCAACTTTTCTCCAGCGCATAGCCTAGAATCTGCAACCTGTGAGTCGCACTGAAAGCATTGCACCAATCAGAAGTGCGGAAACTTTCTTAGTGCTGTAAAATACTGCTGCCTGGCGCGGTTTTCTTCCTTCCAGCTGTTAGCGTGGGCTAACCCGTCGAAATTCGCCGCAGCGCTACCTCAATTGGACCTTGCTCCTTTTGCACCTTGGGCGCGTTGCTTTACCATAAATTCTCACGACCGACGACGACCTTCCCTCCTTCAGCCATTCTCTCCTGCAAACATTCCGCTGATGATTCTCGTCACTCTTTAATCAATTTTAATGCTTGCGCGAGATCGACGTCATTGAGCGCGATCGTCTTTCAACTTCAACCGCGTTTCCCGCGTCTTCTGCGATCGGTTTCACACAACCTGCTCTTCAAACAACAAATTCGTACGGGCAGAGCTGCCATCGAAGATGTCAGGCTTTGGGGGATTTGGCTTCGGCGCCAATAACAACAACCAGCAGCCGCAGAATACTGGTTTTGGGGGGTTTGGAGCTGCCAATAATACCACCAACACAGGTACGTAAATATCCTTTGCGATTTCCATCAAACCTGGCATCTGCCCAGGACTAGGGAACTTTGGAGCTCAGCGCGGACTCATCACTTACTCGAACCTTCTCGTCGCGATACAGGCTTCGGCACAGGCAACACCGGTTTCGGAAGCACGAATAACAATACAACTGGTGGACTGTTCGGTGGAGGATCTACTGGTGGTTTCGGAAGCTCTGGAGGTACGTCGACTGCGATTCTCTGTTCTGGGTCGTTCAGCTGGGCTCGATCTACTCGTCTGGCATATTTCCATACCTTTCACGTCAAAGCACTGTGTTGCTCTAAAGTCTCCCCACTCTCCCCGCCTTGTCACTGCTCTTCAGATTTCTGTTGTGACAATCATGGACTCTTCGTTCACCTTCAAAGGATCCTCATCTCAGAAATTAACGAAGAATAATGAACAGCCGCTAACATCAAGTGCTACAGGTGCCTTTGGCAGTACGAGCAATAATGCTTTTGGAGCAAAGCCGTCTGGCTTTGGCGGAACTACTACAAGTGCTGGAACAAGCTTATTTGGAGGTACAACAGCTACTGCTGGCTCAGGCGGATTTGGTGGCTTTGGCGGAACACCAGCATCGGGTTCCTCTCCGTTCGGCGGCAACAACAACACAGGAGGATCGTTGTTTGGAGCGAACAAGCCAGCATTTGGGAATGCAGCATCTACTTCCGGCCCTTTTGGTGGTGGGGCCAGCTCTGGCTTCGGAGGCAATACAGGCGCCTTTGGCTCTCCTGCGTCAACTGCTCTAGGAGCAACAACTGGTGAATGCCAAGGCACCGGAAGCGTCCCATTCCAAGCCTTCGTCGAGAAGGAACCTAACAGCAGCACAAACCAACAGAATGCTTTCCAAAGTATCTGCTTCCAACAACCATACCAGAAATTCTCACCTGAAGAATTGAGATTGGCGGATTACAACCAAGGCAGAAAGTTTGGCAATGCTAGCAACCAAGCTGGAGCTTTTGGCACAACAAATTTCGGTGGATTTGGCACAAACAACACGGCCAACACTGGGTTTGGTGCTGCGAATACGAACACAGGATCGAATCTGTTCGGTGGAGGAGCAAGCAACACATCTTTTGGCGCGAGCCAACCTGCCTCGACTGGATTTGGTGCGGCCAACAATACAGCCTCTACTGGTCTTTTCGGTGCAAAGCCAGCAGGTGGTCTCTTTGGAGCACAACCTGCTGCACAACCGTCTGGTGGTCTGTTTGGGAATTCAAACAATACGGGATTTGGCGCAAACACTGGTGGTTTTGGTTCAACCAATACCACTACCACCAACTCACTCTTTGGCAATTCCAACACAGCCAATAAGCCTGCTTTCAGCTTCGGCGGTGCAGCATCCACACCAGCTTCGACTGGCACAGGATTTGGCGCTTCTACCACCCCAAGTGCTTTTGGTGGTGGAGGTTCATTGTTTGGCGGCAATAATGCACAGCAAACTGCTACGACCAGCTTTGGTACTCAACAACCAGCCGCCACTACCGGCTTTGGCTTTGGAGGTTCTACCACCCAAAACACTGGCAACACATCCCTCTTCGGTGGTAACCAGCAAAAGCCAACTGCTGGACTCTTCGGTGCACCTGCTTCGAACACGGGTCTTTTCGGTAATACTCAACCTGCGGCAAATACCAATGCTTTCGGAGGCTCCACCAACACTTCCACATCAACTGGTTTGTTCGGTAACAAGCCAGCTGGTACTAACTTGTTCGGCAATTCTACCCCACAGAATAATAACTCCGGCAGTAACCTGTTTGGCGGCGGCTTCGGAGCACAGAATCAGAATCAGACCCAAAATCAACCTGCTACTGGTGGATCGACTTTATTTGGTCTCAGCAACAATAACCAACAGAAGCCATCCCTGTTCGGTAACACGAACTCCCAGCAACAGGGCGGTCTAAACCTGTTCGGTACTACTGGAAACCAACAGCAGGGCAACAATCTTTTTGGAAGTTTGAACAACAACCAGCAGCAACAGCCATCGCAACCGTCCAACTCTCTCTTTAGCAATTCGATGTTCAATACCTCCCAGCAAGGTCAACAGAACCAACAAGCCTTGACAGCCAGCATAGGCGATAATGGTGCTTTTGGTTCGTCTTCCTTGTTTGCCAACCTTGCCTCTACCCAGGTCAACAATCCTGGTCCAATTGCTACTCCTCTCTCCAGTTCTGTTAAGCAAAAGAGGGCTCCCGCTGCGCTCCCGATGTACAAGCTGAGTACTCCATCCGCTTCCCGCTTCTCGACCCCAACAAAGCGCGGCTTCGGATTTTCCTACAGCACTTACGGCACTCCTGGAAGCGCCTCGAGCACTGCTAGTACTCCGGGGACTTTCAGCAGCAGCTTGCTTAGCGGAGGCACTTTCAACCGCACTCTCAGTAAGAGTGTCTCGACGAGCAGCCTTCGCCGAAGCCTTAGTACGGAAGATAACATTCTCGCACCTGGAGCTTTCTCTTCCAGCTCTAGCGTCCAACGCTTTGGCAGCACGGGCAGCGTTAAGAAGTTGAATATCAATAGGAGCCTTCGCCAGGACTTATTCTCTCCGCCAAATGCTCCACCCCAACAAAACCCTTCCACTCCTCTTCCAGGTATTCTAAAGAAGCGGGTCTCGTTCGGCGGTAATGGCAATGGATCCGAAAGTCCGCTAAAGCAGGTGGACAATGTAGCTAGTCCAAGCTCAGAAAATATGGGCTACCTTCGACCACCGCCTGGCACGAACGGTACTAAATTGAATGGAACCCATTCTCAACAAGAGATGGAGCAAGTTACCAATGAGCGTAATCAGCTCACCATCGTTAGAGAGGAAGAACCTGCTCCACCCGTTCAACCTCCTACTAGATCTGTCAGTCAAGAGGACCAGGAGCCTGGCGAATACTGGATGAAGCCCACTAAGGCGGAGATCGAAGGCATGAGCCGCGTGCAACGATCTAAAGTCGAAGGCTTCACTATTGGTCGCAAAGGCATCGGTCATATTCGTTTCAACGTTCCTGTTGATTTGACAAAACTTAATATCGATGATATAATTGGCAACATTGTGACGCTCAATATTCGATCTGCCACCGTTTACTCGAATCCTGCAAAGAAGCCACCTATGGGTCAAGGATTGAACGTTCCAGCCACCATTGCTCTAGAGAATTCTTGGCCGCGCAAGAAGGATCTCAAGACACCGACTGGAGAGAAGTCTGGTACTCGCTTCAAGAAGCATATCGAACGTCTCAAGAAGGTCCCAGATACCAATTTCCTGAGTTACGACAAAGATTCTGGTATTTGGGAGTTCTCAGTCGAGCATTTCACTACCTACGGATTTCCTGAAGATGATGATGAGACGGATCTGGACAGAACTAGCGAATTTGGACAGAGTACCCTGAGTGCTCCCCCTGATACTCCTACGCCAAAGACCCGTACGCCAGGCTCCGCTCGCCACGATCAATCTTTCGCTTCTACATCGCAGCTTACCACCACTGATTCTGATCCAGATGATACCTTCGAATTCAGAACCAAGAGAAAACCCCCTCCTGGTGCATTTGATGAGCAAGTGGAATATGTGGGCGATGAAATGGACGAGGAGTACGATGAGGGTAACCAGGAGTCTTTTTTAGATGAGCGCTCCGTGGGTTCGCCATCCGAGAACGGCGTCGAAGAACCAATGGACCAAGACGACGTTTTTCATGATGGCGAATCTGTCAGCATTGTGGATCAGGATATGGCGGGCTCCTATCCCGAGGCTGACAATACCGCGGAGCTTGGTGAAGACTCGCAAGATGATGAAGACATGGATGTTATGGCGCAAACACCAGGTGTTGTTATGAGAGCAAGACTGAGAGCATCAAAGATCGCAAGCACACCAACGAAGTTCTCGGCTGGAGATGATTGGGCGAACACCTTGAAGAAGACGGTCAGCCCGCAAAAGCAAGATCGCGCATTGCTCAAAAGCTTGATCGACATTCACGGCAACGAACAGGGACCTGAACCTACACCGATGCCAAGAAGACATGTCTCTGATGGCCGTGGCTTTGCTACCAGCATCGATTTGATGAATTCTTTATTCGGCCAGGCCCGAAGTCCAATCAAGACTGCAAAGAATCCCGTGAAGCCCAAAGGTTTTGAGGTTAGTGTTCCTTCCCGTGTTTAATTTTGTGATTTGGGGACGAGATATAGGGGCCGTCTGTTGCGCCCACGCATGTACGTAGCAAATAATAGAACAATTTGCTAAAAAAAATTATGTCTTATAGTGGCCATATCCCAAGAGAACAAAAACTGGAGATCACGACATGTCTCCTATGGATGATACCGAACGCGCCTTCCACGACTCTATGAAGCCATCTTGGGGAGTTGACGGCACCTTGGTTTATGCTGCCCCACCAAATGCCAAGCCGTTTGGCAGATCTTCTCGTCGTATCCGTAATACAGATGGCCTACTAGCAGTCCAGATCGGAGGCGTTGTCTCGGAGAATCGTGATGTCCGGTTTGCCAAGTTTTCAAATGAGGTATGTTTGTTACGTCGTGTATTTTGTTTGGTATTAATGTCATTTCAGGCTTCAGCAGCACACTTGGAAAAACACAAGCAGCTGACGCAGATCAACAACTCTAATCGTGTCCCTTCAGCTGGCCTTGACGCACAATTTACGTTCTCTGAACTCATCAATCTTCACACTTCCAAAGAACCAGCTGCAGTTCACGAGAAGTTGGTATGGCAATTGGCCAGTATTCTCTTCGACGAAATGGTCATTCCTGAGGAGCTGAGAGATGTTCCAAAGGTGAAGGATAGGCTCCGGAAAGACAAGCTATCGATCTTCTGGCAGAGCTTGGTAGACGAGGCATCCTCAAAACATGTTGCTTTGGGCAGAGACGAAGAGGAGAAGGCCATAGCATGTCTTTCTGGACACAAGATTGCCGAGGCTTGCGACCTCCTCGTCAACAGCGGAGACTACCATCTTGCTACTCTCGTTGCGCTCATTGGTAGTCAGGACAGCATCAGACAAGACATGCGCCAGCAACTCAATGACTGGCAAAAGTCAAATGTTCTTTCCGAGTTCAGTCAACCCATCCGAGCTATCTACGAAATCATTTCTGGTAATGTCAGTGTGTGCGATGGCCAGAAAGGTGACATCGAAAACCGAACTGAGTCCTTCATCATTTCCAAACGCTTTGGTCTTGATTGGCGACAAGCGTTTGGTCTTCGACTCTGGTACGGTCTTTCTACAAAGGAGCCAATTGACGCTGCTGTGGAGGCTTTTGCTACGGACCTATCTCAAGACAAGGAGACTGCGAAGCCCGTCCCATGGTATATTGAACAGAAGTTACCAGTCATTTGGGAAGATAGGAGACGCCTACAACGACAAGATCTGCTCTGGGGATTATTGAAGCTCTTCAGCTTTGACAACATTGACCTGGAAGACATTCTTTGTCCAGAGAATTCTCAACTGTCTCCTCTCGATGTTCGTTTGAACTGGCAATTATGTCAAGCTCTGACCACAGCTCGTCATGTTCAGTTCACCGAGACCGATGGAGAGAAGGTTGACCGTCTCACACTTTCGTTTGCTGCTCAATTGAGTAACGAAGGTAGTTGGCTCGATGCTGTTTTTGTGCTGCTTCATCTCTCCCATAGTGATGCTAGAGAGACCGCACTCCAAGATCATCTCGCTCGACACGCTGGTTTGATAGGCGAAGCTGACAGCCAAGCATTCTCCACTCTGATTCAAACCTACAAGATTCCTGCAGATTGGATCTGGGAGGCAAAGGCTTTGTACATGCGTAGTGTGGAGAAGGACCCTCGAGCAGAAGTTGAGTGCTTGATCAATGCAGGTGCATACAACGAGGCCCATCGTACATTCGCCAAAGAGGTTGCCCCCCTTGCCGTCATCGAGCTTGATTATACTACGATCCGAAACCTCATCTTAGGATTTTCTGGCAAGGAGGACACGATTGCAGAATGGCACCTTGGTGGCGAGATTTACACGGATTTCCTTCGACTCCTGGATGCTGAGAAGCATGGTAGTGTTGATGATCTTGTACTGGAAAGATTGTTGGCTGGTCTTCCGGCTGTCCTTGAAGAGGCACGTCACCCTTCTTTTATGGAAACAGTGGCCATCGAGACTATCAGTGGAGTTGTTGCTAAGACCGTTGTGGCTATGGGCAAGAATGGAGAGGTGACTTACTCCGCACATTTCTTAACGCTGAGACTTTACTAACATATTGCAGAAATCTAATCTCCACAAGATACTGCGTCTTCCACTCACAGAGGACAAGTTCTTGAAGCATACCGTGGAACTGAGCCTAGAATACTATCGCGGTTTAATGACCAGTGCCCGTTGATCAACGTTCAGCAAGCATGAAATGAGGATAAGCAGAGAGAGAGCGCGACATCACAAATTTGTTGCAATTCAAAATACCCAGGCAATTTTTCATTCGCGGAGGAGGAGCAGCAAAATGGGAATATGGATGGCGAGCAAGGAAATGTGATGGATGAAGCAGCCTTGAAACGAATATTGTATTGTAGATAGATGATTTTTGCCCTCCCGATTACTGCATTGCATAGCGTGCAGGTGAATGAGGGATAGCTGGCGTACCTACTAGTAGATAGCATCGACGCATGAAATGGCTTAGATGACCCCCTTTACATTTTTATTTCTCCGTTATCGAGAATCGTGATTTGTGACTCGGTGTTCATTCGTATACTTTATATATTAAGAGATCGTGGGTATCATTTCCTTTCTCCTCTTCCTCCTTCCCTAGGTAAGTACCCCATTCCCTCTGCTCTCCTCTCCTCTCTTTTCTAGCAGCCAACTCAATTCCCCCTCCACCTCAAACTCCCAAACCAAGCCCCAACAACAACCCCAGCAACAACCACCCCTCCCACACAGAACCCCATCACAATAAGCGCCGTTCCACTACATCTTCTTTCCCTAGCAGTAGCTATCTTCCCTTCTATCTCATCCAGCGACGAAGAAGAGGAGCTGGAAGAGGCGTTCATAGCGCGGAATTGAGACGTTGGGTAGGTCGGGTAGTAGGGATCTTGGATTGAGGGCGTTGGTGATGGGGGGCTTTTGTAGGTTGGTTCGCGGGGGTAAGAGTTGGGTATTGAGGGTATTGAGGGTACAGGCGGGATTTCGGAGTTTGTTCTGGGTGTGTAGGCTGGTGGGGGGATGGAGGGGACGGGTGACGGGGCGCGGGAGATGCGTGTTAGAGGGGACTATGGGAGGGAGGGAGGTTAGTAAATGGGAAATGAGGGAGGGGGTCATAAGGTGCGTACTAGAAGCTCGTCGTCTAGAGCATGGGAGGAGGGGTGTGGGTGGGACATTTTGGTTATCTGGAGGAGGTTGTATGAAGAAGTGTAATTGATGTGAAACTTGGAGATATCCAGGACGGAGAGGTGGAAGAGGGTAAAGAAAAGTACCATAAAGAGAAAAAAGAAAATTGACAAATTTCAATAAGGTGAGTAGGTGTGAGTGCTGGACATTTGGGTTATATGTATGGATCTCTTGACACTGGCAGGGCTATCTAAAATTCAACGATGGATCATCTACTCCCACCACTCTCCTCGTCGCTGGATAGCCATACAAAAATCATCTGAAACATTGTCGGTCGATATTAAATGATCCGAGAAAATGAGATGGGTTTGAGTGTGGGAATGAGGCTGTTTGGTAGGAGCTCGGGGAAATGTTGGGGGTGTGAAGGATTTTGATGTCCGGACTTGATATTTGATAAGTGAGGCTATGGGATGAAATCAAGAAAATTGTGAACCACTATTTTGAAGGAACGCAATCTTCATCGCGATCGCATAGAATCCAGGGAGGAGCAGATTGTCAGCAAGTGTTGAATAATAAAGGCAGTATGAGGATCGATCTGGGAATGAGGGAAGTAGAAATTTGTCTCGGATGCTGGGACGATGATACGATCTAAATTCTCAAAGGTACTCACTTCTTGCCTTGGGTTTTGGGGTCAATTGACTTTCCATAGATGTCCCTCAAGTGAGGTCCAAACAAAACTAAGGGAATGAGGGTTCGTTCAGGACTAAATTTTCCTGCAATACGCTCTACGAGAGCCATGTCTCTCTTTACTCATTTTGCCTCAGTTCATTCCCAATACCCACTTTTCGTTCATACTGCTTCGAAGATTGCCTCTGGAATCGTTAACTGATTCGGTCAGGTTTCCTCCATTGAATGGAGTGGCTCCTGACTCCTCCCTCTGCTTCTGGCTGCTAGGGCCACGCCGGGTACAATTCCTCTCTCGCTCCTCCCAATGCAGACACTGTTGCCTTGAATATGGGCCATAAATGGTTAAGTGACGCATCGAGAACCCCAAACCTCAAACGTCTAGAAGCAATTGTCTTTGCGGGCTGGTCTTCATCTGAAGCTGTGGTATGCAAGGGACTGCCGCAACTGGGCTGAATTATGGTTCTCTGGGTGGATTGCCGATGTTTCACTGGCATTGGGAAGGGGGTGAAGAGAGAGAATTCAATTGGCTTCAGCATCACGGGGCCGCAGCGTTCATGGCCTTCCAATCCACGCAGAGCTCGACGATAACGATAACGATTGGCCCAGCCTCCTCGTCTTTCCTCCATCCTCGCGGAATCGCCAACGCAGCACACCACACACAATGCTACAGTCCAAGAGAGAGAGAGCATACAGGTAGGTAAGTGAAGCTGTCCATCCATGCGCACTGCGCAGGGGCATCGACGAAAACCAGTGGCTGGCAAGCGTAAGGTTAAAGTTTCGAGTGCTTGGTAACTGTACTTCCCTTCGGAGCTCATCTCAACTCCTCTCAACCCCACCTCAAACCACTTCTATCCCTATTCACCCGTCAAACGACCGACATTCTTGTTCCCTATCGCATTCTTCTTGTCCCTATCAATCAGAGTACACAGTCGTGCGCACTAGTGAGCGTCATCCGAATGAGGAGTAGGCAGATTTGACATATCATGCCCTTGTTCGCGGTCGAGAACCATTTCCACGTCGCTCTACTATCTATCACAATCGCCCCAAGTACCTTTCTAGGTTGCGCACTCCTCTTCTTCGCATATAACTACGTCCTACACATTCGAAACAATCCCAAACCAGCACGACCTGTTCTACAACCCATCGATCATGGCGGCGACCATCGAAGAGCTGGAAGGCCTGTTCGACGACCATCCTTCTTTAGACGCTTCTCTGCAAGACTTCGAACCAACAAGCAGCGAGATAGGCCACTCCCCCCGCTTTGGCTACCCTTCTCATCACTCTGGCTTCCGTTCAGACAGCGAGTCGGAGATGGCAGACTCGGTATCGGGAGGCAGATACAGCCCGTAAGAGCACATTCCTTTCCTCTTTTCATCCTTGCTATTGTCCAATTCGTCTGTTTCGTTCTCGATAAACATGTCATCTTATCCAATTCCTATTGTTAAGAGGAAAACCCCGTACTAATTCGCTTTAGTCCGGCATGGCGACGTCTCGACGAAAACGGCAATCGCAGCAGCGGCTTCTGGAATAAGAGACCTACGGCACTAGGCAAACGAAGCAGAGACTCGAGGGAGAGTAGTCCGGAATATGAGAGTGCGGATGAAGGCGACGATACTCTTGCAGCTGCTGCACGCGTGAGGCTACCGACTGGCTCTTTATCACCCGAAAAGCGCAGAAGTCCAAGTCCTGACCCATATCCTGCCGGCGACAAAGACTTCGGTAACACATTCGGAAGTATGATCAAGCACGAAGAGCAGGAGCATGCCATTGATCCGTCAGTTGAGAATAAGAATAACTGTATGATTGTCTTGCGCTTTAGAATTACCTTCTGACTGTCCTAGTTATTCGCTTTGCGCTTAGAGCAGAGGTACAACACCGTACAGAACCTTTCGAAGCTACTTTCTCCTATTTCAGAACCAAATTCGATAGAATGACAAAGTCATGGACTTCCTTATTCATTTCACTTATCATCGGCATGCTGTCCATGGTAGCTTTCCGCTCATTGATCCAGCCTGGCCTTCCTTCTCCGGTTCCAGATCTTGTCAAAGTGGCAGGTCTCGCAAAAGCTTTCGAACCTCTTATATTCTACTCGGAGAATGGTGTACAACAAATCGGAGACCTCCAAGCTACAGGTGTAGCTGTATGGGATCTTGGTGAGAGCGTACGAACTACGAATATGACTTCGGCACCTATCATCGTCAAGGAACTAGATGATTTAAGTGAGAGTCTGAAGACATTAGCCATTGAGCTTACCAGATTCTTTGCCAATGTAGATGGAGATGTCGATGGGTGGGTACTCTCTTTGCACTTCAAAGAATAATCTAACAAGATATAGTATACTCATAGTCATGGACTGGGCCCGTCGCGAACTCTCCCAACTCCAACTCACCCCACCATCCCCTGTAACCTCCGCCTACGACAATGTCCACACCCTCCTAAGCCGCTTCGGTCTCCTCGAAACCCCGTCAGGAACGCCGACGCGAGCCGGCGCTCTCGCAACATCCATTTTTGGCGTCACATCTCAACAACGAACCCGCCAAACCCTCCAAAGAACCTTCACGGAATTCTTGTCCGTCCTCGAAGAATCCATCAACTCCGAACTCCAACACTCCCTCGCACTCTTCTCCCTCTTCGAAGCCATCGACCGCCAATTCGGCAACCTAGCTCGTACCGTAGCCCGCGAATCTGATGCCCAGGACTCGGCTCAAGACGACCTGCTCTCTTCATTATGGACTAAACTCTTGGGAGCAGATGCAGGACGTTTACACAAGTATGAGAAGAACAAGAAACTCCTATCCAACATCCGCGCCAAGACGGTCCAGAACAAGAATATCCTCGAAGACCATAACAGGAAGCTCCTGATGCTAAAGGCGAATCTGGAGCACTTGAGGAGAAAGCTTGTCAGTCCGTTAGTTAGGGCTAATGGGAGTACTCTGGGTGTTCAGGAACAGATCCGGGGCTTGGAGGAGGTTAGCGGGTATCTCGGGGGCGTACGGGAGAAGCAGAAGAGTAAATTGATGGAGTATCTTTATGGGAGCGGGAGTCAGGGTAGGAGAATCGGGAGCGTGGAGAGGAGTGAGATTGAGGGCCGATGGGACCGGTAGCGAGAAAAAGGATGGGTAAGATACGAGTGTCGATGTACAGAGATAGGTAACCAAGGCGCATCTTTCATTGGGTGGTGGTGGCATAAGTGGTGCATTGGAGTTTCTGTTTGTTTGTTTACTACTTCACCCCTTTCTTGTATAGCTCTCTTTTCGAGGTTGGAGACTAATTACTACTGAGATCATGTCTCTGGCGTGCAATAAATTAACATATTCTAGTAAATTCTGTGTATATTTTAAATGTGATGATTCTTGATATATCAGTTTGACTCAGCCCTTCTTCAACACCAAGCTCCTTCTTTTGAAGACTCCCGACTAACACAAGAATCCCTGACATCAGGCACCTGCCTTTACGAACGTTTCCCAATTTCACATTCATTCCCTCCAAAAACCCGACCCCCGCAACCCCACACCTCACAAACCATCCTCCCCTCACCCCACCACGAACACCTTCCACCCCCAATATCCAAAATCAGGGCAGAAAATCATATGACGGCGGCTAAATCCCACATCTCGCACCCCAGCTCTCACTCCTTGCTCGCCACTATCCCTCCCCTCACAAAACGGAAATGACAGCTTGTGAGAAACATCGTATGATTATCGCGCTCCAGTTCGGGAGCAGCCGAGATCTCGTCTCGTGCTTCAGTCAACCCTAAATTCTTGGAATGATGGAGGGGATGGACATATAAACCCGAAAAGTTCCTGCTTTCTAGTTCAAGATCCATTTTTTGATTCCCTCGCGAGAATTTCTAGTCGTGATCAACTATTCCATATCTTCCCGTCTCACCTGCACAAACCCCAAGCCAAGCACCTCGCTAAAGCCCCTTTCCCCCTCTCTTTCACCAAAAGATAGAAAAAATGCCCTTCACATACCCTTCCCCCAACGCGCCCTCCCTCTCCCCTCCTCCCCGCAGTACGTCAAACTCCCTTATTTCCCTCTTCTTCTATGACCCTCCACCATCTCCACCCCTCATCTCCCAAAACCCTACTGACCTTCAATCACCACCAGCCATCGACGGCGCAGGCTTCGGCAAAGTCGCCCTAATAACCGGCTGCTCCTCAGGCGTCGGCCTCGCCACCACGCAAGCCTTCCTCTCGCACCAATACGAGGTCCTGGGCGTCGATATCCACGAGGTGGACTACGCGCAGATCGCGCCCAGGGACGCGGGGCGCTTTCATTTCCATCGTGGGGATCTGTTGAGTGAGGGGGAGTGTGATGAGGTTGTGCGGATTTGTGTTGCGAAGTTTGGGTTTGTTTGTCCTTTTCTCTTCCCTTTCTTTGGAGTTTATGGTTGAGATGGGCAAGAGAGGGGAATGAATAATAGGCTGACTGTGGGGTAGGGAGAAGATAGACGTCCTAGCTAATATAGCGGGGATAATGGACGCTTTTGAAGCAGCGGACGTAATTACGGACCATGAATGGGAGCGAGTCATGGGCGTGAACCTCACTGTGCCGACGAGGATGATTCGCGCTGTATTGCCATTCATGAAAGCGAAGAGGAATGGGTCGATTATTAATGTGGCGAGTAAAGCCGCGGTGAGTGGTGCGGCGGCTGGGTTAGCGTATACGACGAGTAAGCATGGGTTATTGGGTGTGACGAAGCATACGGCGTGGAGGTTTCATGATGAGGGGATTAGGTGTAATGCTGTGTTGCCTGGTTGTGAGTTCTATCTTATCCGTTTTGTAAGAATCGAGCTTATGGTGTGTTAGCCATTGATACGAATATCAATGACTCGATAGAGAAGGAGCATTTTGATGATGCTGCGTTTGCAGTCATGAAGTGAGTATCACAACTTCCTTGACTGAAAGGAAAGGTTGACAGAATGACTAGGCCAATCTGGGAATTACATAATCCAGCGGGAGAAAAGCCATCGATTACAGCTATGGAAGTTGCGAATGTGATTCTGTTCCTTGCTAGTGAAGGAGCGAGAGCCATCAATGGTGTTGCTTTGCCGATTGACAAAGCCTGGGGTGTTATTTGATCTTATACATTGTTAAGATGGCGTTATTGGCAAATGGCGTTGAGGTAAAGCACATATACTAAGCACGACATATGAAGTATGAAGGAGTAAAAGTGGATATGATTGGCGTTTTGGACTTATGAATAAAAAGGTGCACCGAAATGAAGACTTATTCCAGCTTTATTGAAAGTAATGTGCAGGCATTTAAGTATATTGGCCAGCCGTCTCCTATTTAAACATCGAACTTGAAAGCCTGATTATGATCTCCTCAAGAACTTTGAAATTCCCAAGAATTTCAACTAAAATGGAAACTCCAGAACAAATCTCACCTCCAGACCGCATCGTCAACCAGCAAGATAATCTAACAACAAGACTACGTAATGAGGTACAGAGAACTCCGATTGCTTTTGCTCTGAGAACCATCATCAGCAGTGGTAGAGGAAATGGTGGCAGTGAGGGTCCGTGTGGAGTGAGCATGTTCATCGAAACTATTGAAGCCGGAGAAGAAACATATATGGAAATTCCGGAAACAGAGTGGTATACTTGAGACGAGGCATGGGAGTGGAGAATGGCTCGACTGGGCAAAGTCATTCAGTCACTTAGACCTTTCGCAGAGTATGAATGGGTTGAGTTGATGACTGACCAGACTTGTCAATTCATGTAACAAGATAAATCCATTCACAAGAAACTCATCGACATCTGTAGACTTAAGTCCTCGATCTGTGACCTTCTCTCGGTTTGTCTCAATTGAAAAATTTCTTCTTCAAAAGAGCGACTACTGATCATGTCTTCCTCACCTTCCATCACATTTAGCAGGAATGGAAGCAGGAATAGCTCAAGTACACCCAACGAACAAGGGCCAGGAGGAAGACTGCCAGCTGGGCAGGCAGCAAGGAACCACTGGGCTGCTATCAATACTCCTTCTCGAAGAACCACAGGTCGTAGGGAGAGTGTACCGATGGAAGTACCTGGTGTCCCTGGACATGGCATGACGCTGCACATAATTGGGGCGCGAGATAACGAAGAACAGGAGCGCTATCTCCGTGATCTCCTTACTTGGTCACCACCGGTAGTAAGAACAGGTTCAGCACAATTAGTAGGTAGAGCGCCAAGAGAAGATGTATCACTGGAAGCTGCTAGGACTACTGTCGAAGACTTGACGCAGCGAATGGCCAGACAGCGACTATCTGCAAAACGACGAGAACAAGCCAGACGAAGAACCCAGCAAAGTGATACGGTGGGAAGTAGCAGCTCCGCCACTGCTGCAAGTGAACCACGCTCTGACGAACAGACTGGGGATGCGATTAACGATTTGACGCACAGGATTTTAGAGCAGAGAGCAGCTCGAGAGCAGCAGATGGCCGAAGGAACGAACGCTCATTCAAGCAATGCAACGCTACAGAGCGCTTCAATGGCCATCCCAGATACAGGTACAACACAACAAGTCTCTGATGAGAATCACTCAGCTTTATCTCAGGCTGTGGAAGAGGACGAAGTGTTAAGTGACTTGGAGACGACTAACGACTTCACACTTGCTCCTGCTCATGATTCTATCGAAGCCATGATGCAGCGAATCTCTACTCAGCGAGCAAATCTTCCAGTTGATACTGCACAACCAGTTCCACTTTCGACTTCCAACTCTTCTGTAGCTGGGCAGCCACCATCTGATACAGTAATGCCGCCAGAACCAGATGACTGTCCTATTTGCCGCGAAGTTATGTCCCCTTCATCATACAGCATCGCAAATCCTTGCGGTCATATCTTCGACTACGCTTGTGTGATGGAATGGTTCGAACGTAGATGGGAAGATAAACCCGAAGTCGATCGTCTGAATTGCCCTCTCTGTCGACGACGGGTTCTTCGTGTAAATCATCAATTTGATGAGTCAAGATCAACGAGTACACAAGTAGTTCTGGTAGATCACTTTCGGAACTGGACGCCAGCGCGAAGAGTGCGGCGGCGCTCTGTGCCGAATGTTGGTCGTGTCGCTCGGGCTGACAATCCTTTTGGTCGTGTGGGTGCTCTCCCTAGCGTGGTTGGAGGCAATTGGCATAACACTCGACGTGAGACTGACGGATCAGATGTAACCATTCCAGGCACTCAACCAGGGGATTATGCCGACGATGATGAGTTGGCAAGGATGAGTCTAGGGGAGTTTCATACTTTGACATTGAGGAGAGCTGAAGAAAGAGGTATGTAAAGTTCGCGAGTCAGCTTGCTCTTTCTGATATGGGTTGGAGTAGGTGCGGTCAATCAACCTTACGGTAGATTCAATATCCAACACTTTAATTATAATCTAAGGACCCTGACAACGGATGGGGAGCCGTGGCCAGATCTGCCTTTGTCGCCAGCAGAAAGACAAGCAGCGAGACAAGTAAATGACGAATTGTTCCTCCAAGCAAATCAGGCCCTCAGCAACTACCTCCTGGGAAGACCTTTGTCGCCGCGTGACTTGGCTTGGGGACAAGGGCATATGATTATCTTCGTTGAAGAGTTTCCTGGATCAGGGGTTCGCGAACTCTTCGATACTTTGTATGAATTTGGATATACAGAGATGATGGGAGAAAGCTAGGCATATAGTGAGAGTTTGGGCGCTGTTGTACCATAGCACTTTGAAGACTTGAATAGTTCTGTTGCGAAACAATGTACCGGTTCGAGATTTTGGAAGACACAGACGAAAAGTAGGACGTGAATGTAGTGTAGTGACTGGTCGTGTAAGCTCTCTCCTTGGCCATGCTGAAGATTTGAACTTGTCTGGTACAATGCCGCAGCTGAGTTTCCACCGAAAATGTCAATCTTCATATCCAGACATCGAGAAAGCGATGAATTCTCACCTTTACAGCTGCTTTATGAACATTTCCTCTTGTTCACATCTAGGCTAGCGTTTTAGCCGTGAATGTCCGACTCCAGTTCCAGAGATTACAAAGTCGTAGATTTTGACCCCTGCAAGTACATCAAGAATAGTTCCCGATGTCTCTATCCCAGCTAGACTTTTAGCTCGAGATTTTGGAAAATACTTCATCGACTCGAGGAAGGATTGCTTCTATAATTCCTCCTCTTGCGCCATTCCTAGGTGGTTGATTCAAAGTGTGACATCGTCCACTTTGACGGTAAGATGAGAATATATTCAAGAAGTACCTAGGTAAGTGAAGATGTTGTCAAACGAGGAATATAAACCAAAGGCGAAGACCAAAACAGGAAAGCACAATGCCTCGAACATTCCCCATTTCCGAGCGTTTGAATTCGGAAAGATCATCCCAGTACAATCCACTCGCGCCATTTGCGCTGTCGGCGCTGTCAGCGCTATCTGCGCAGATTGCGCCCATCGCGCATGATACAACCAGCACTTGCTGTGCGAAGACTAGCTGAAATAGCACCCTGTACAACATACTCATCGAAACAGAAACCACAGCATAGGTACAAGCACCACAACGTGTACGCAAATATATATATGATCAAGCGTATTTTCACATTGACATATAGACTTCCCCGACCCCAAAAACGCCCACGAAAATGCATCTCGGCGCTTAGTAGCCTACAACAGACAGGCCCCTATTGCCTTTGAGTTCGTTTCAATACAAGCGGGAATGGTTAATATTCCCGTCCAAATCCATCTATGCAACCTTGCGCCCCCCTTATATCAGGAAACGGCTCGGTTCGGTCCCACCTCTTCTCCTATGTTCCAACATCTAATATAGGCCGTCGTCCTTCTCAAACATATATATTCACAATCAAGGGCTTGCCCAGCCGCCTGCAACGTCTACCCATTCAGCTAAGCACGATCCTTGCTTGCCTTCGACGTCCACGATATCGGTGTCACATCTACATCTGCATCCTACACCATTCTCTTTGACCGGATCCCATGAATCCCAGTACTCGTCTTCCTCTTTCCGTTTCTTTTCGTCTAAAGTGGTGCTTTCAAGGAATGGTGACCGAGGCATCTGACGAGCAGGCGCATTGGCAGGACAATGTTGGATCGTGGTGTGTCGGTAGCCAAAGTCACGGAAGTAATGAATATCCCGGGGAGCAAGAAGAGCTCCTGCAGCAAGAGAGTGGATGGGTGCGTCACCCCACTGTTATAGATTAGCTCGACCCCTCTCAAATCATTGGCAAACTTACCCGTTCCATCCAGAAACCTCCGCTCCTATCCATCATCTGGAAGAAATCTTCATACTCCTTGCTTCTGAACCAGGAGAGTCGTGCAATCTCGAAATTCGACCAGAAATGGCACATATTATACTTCTCGCCCTCCATCGCTTCTGGATCGATATCTGGTAAAGAGGCACGGGATGGGTCGCCTCGCAAGATTTCTTCTGGTAACGCTTTGCTGGTGTCTTCCTCCGGGATGTCTTTAGGCTCTTCAGGTTGAGGCTCAACAAACATTTCCCACAATCCCTGAGACGTCAAATTGTTGATGCGTTTGTATGCAGAAGCGTATCTGAAGATGTTGGGCACAGTCTCCTTCAGTTCTTTGACCGCGATTGTAAAGCCGTATGTCTTGTTCGATTCGATCATTCTCAGGAAAGGATCACTGTCTCGCGTTAGCCGGGATAAGGCAGAAAGAACAAAATACGTACTATGTGATGTCGCAGAAATACTTGATCTCTGGCTCCAAGCGCCAGTACCATTCATACTTGGCCAAAAGTTCATGTTTGTAGAAGAATCTGAAATCTGTCAGCATTTCATGCGCCGTATCGCAAGACTTTACGAACCCAGAGTAGAATCTGCACATAGCGTGGTAACTTTCCATACCACCATACATAATCGCAGCATCACCTTGTTTTGCAATGCCCTCTTTTGCAACCTTGGGGTCGATCCAATCTGGGAAGCCCCACATTTTGGGATCGATGGTCCCAAACTCCACTGGGGCGCTGGTATAATTCGTGATCGTCTCCTTGAAGGTCGAATTGAACTCGGCATCGTTGAGAAACACATAAGGGTAATGATACCATCTGTTGAAGTGACGCTCGATAGACTTAACGGATTGGATGACACCATCTAACTCTTTATTCCTTGCCAGCACCACAAATGCTGCATTCGCTCTCGGTTGCGAAGTATCCGGCTCTAGACAACCCGTTACGAAGACTTTGTCGTGTTCTTCACTGATTTTCCTATAAACAGAAAAAAAGAAACATTAGTTTATCTTCCCCCAACAAGCTCGACGGTTGTGTAGCGTACCTGATAGCTGGCGGTGCCCCAGCAGGCATTAAGATACCGACCCCTGATTTAGGATGTCGAACAAACAGCACCAAGATCAACACCACGACTATGCAAGGAAACAATAGAACTACACCAAGAGGTATCGATATGCTAGAATTCCCCTTTAACCTCAGCGGCCGTCGAAAGAAGGCCAACCGCGAAGAAGTCTTCGCTTTCGTCTTGACATCGTCCAAGGATGGCAGATTGGGCGACGAGGGCATCCTTTTCAGGACTCGTTGGAACATCTCCATCGATGCAACGCCGTTCGTAACTTGTTGGGGAATTTTCTTTTCGTTATAGGGGGCGGGTTCTGTGCCCCAGTCGTCAATCGATGTGCACCAGGTCGCAGGTATTACAATAAGTAAACAGAATCGCAGGATTGAATTGAAGAAAGGTCGGGACCCTTCGAGGAGACCCTATCGTCTGATCTGAGGGACGCTGTTAACGAGCGGATGGAGGAGATGTCCTCGAGAAAGAGCAGTTTGCGATGACGCGTCGGACGTTGAGGGCTTCGTCTTCGGCACTAAGATGCAGCAGACGACGCGAGAGAGGTTATGACATCCAATGGGATGTAAACAGGATGTGTCGTGTTGTCGATGTCCCGGACGACGAGGTTTGGTGGTTTAGGACAGAGGACGTCTCCTATCGCAGCCAGAGAGATGTTGACCAGCTTCGCTTAGAAAATTGCTTGGCGGTGCTTAAACTTGCCCCTGGAAGCAGCTGCAGAGCAAAGGCGTCAATTAAAGCTTTTAAACGTGCGGGTTGATTTAGCTGTTGGATATGCAGAAAATGGCAGGTTGAGAGATTTCGTGAGATTATTCAGAGGCCGCATGGATATTCCTGTGTTCGTTTCGTATATCGTAAGCTCGAATGTGGAGCAGGTACGCACTTTTTTTGCCCATCGCCAGTCCGCAGGCCACCGGAGTCTATTTTCATCATCATGCTGATTCCACTAAACTGCATCCGTCTGTCTTCTTTCCAGCCATTTTCCACCTTATCGATTGAGGCTGAATCTTGCATTCAACTTGAGGATTGATTGAGGAGAATTTACTTTCGATTTTTCCAAATTACATCTTATCTTTCCATCGGCACTCGAGTTGATGCTTGCACCTCGAACTTCAAGACCATTACCTGTCAATCCAACGCTCCGACACGGCCTAGAGTAGCGTTGGCTGGGCGCAGGGTGATGACATCTCCGCACGTGGAATGAACAGAGCCTCAATTACAAGCCTCTGCGCCTCTTCAACTCAGTAGAGTGCTATTATACAGCCTCGATCGTCCTTCCTCCTGGCACAATGTCCAAAATTACATCAAAGAACCTCTCATACGACTCGACCCTCCCACCATTCCTCGCTCGTCTGCAAGCAAATAACAACTCGAGGGACGACCGCCATGAGTTTGCAATTGCCCGACCAAAGAAGGCACGCACAGCGGAGGACGAGGCAGAGGATGAGCCTGTATACTTCAATGAGGAGAGTGGTGAAACCTTGACAAAGGGTGAATGGGAAGCTCGAGAAGCTGGAAATGATGAAGAGAAGGCGGACGAGAAGGATGCTGCGCACACTCTAAGTAAAGAAGATCCGGAATCCTTGAAAGCGGGCAAGAAAGAGGAGAAAGTAGCAGCCATTGGGGTAGGGAAGAAGAGAAAGGTTGGGAAGATTGTGGGTGGTGAGGAAGATGATGAGCCTATTGCTGAAGAGAAGAAGGCTCCAAAACGGGAGGGCAAGAAGGTTGAGAAGGGCAAGTCAGCAAAAAAGGCGAAGAAGGTCAAGCTCAGCTTTGGGGATGACGAATGACCCTATGTGAATGCTGTCTGCTGGAGAAGGGGCAATTGGAGTTAAGGAAGGATTGGACTTTTGCTTTTAGATACCCCCTGCTTCGAATAAATCTTTTCACGACACTTACTGCAATCTTTTACTCCCTCTCTTGCCAATTTTGCTACTGGTTGGCTCAGGCTACCATACAATGGTCATTTTAATGTCGGTCCAGCCACAAAGTTGCCGTGCCTAAGTTGTGCATTAGTAGTCATGCTGCTGTCAGGCTTCAAAAGTATGATTTCCTTCTCAAAAGGTCCTGAATGATGTCTGAGCTTAACATCCAAACCGGTCTCCCACAAAAATCACATGTAGTGTACATATTTCATCAAATTCATGTAAACTTTATGCTCTGTGCAATATCCTTTTATTCGTGCCTACGCGCCGTTGTGTGTGCTCATGAGATGCGACAAGCTCTAAGCATCGCTGCCCACATAGATACATATCATCATTAGAATAAGTATCCGCGTAAGCATGATCCTGGATATCCCGGCACCATACCAATCCCTTAGCAAGTCGCACCTATGAAAGCAGCATCAGATTTGTAAAAGAAAAACTTTCTGTGAGAAGGGACGATTGCCATGCCCAAGGCCCTTCCCGCAACGAAACGCCTTGATATCAACGAGGAAAAGTAGAAACCGCATTGCCATGAAGCCAAATCAAAGCCTGCTATGCCCCATGCAATATGAGAAACCGCAATATTCAACTGAAGATCAGATCTCTTGCTTTGCAAAACGACATGTAAGAACCGATTATGTGGCTCGGCTTGGTGAATGGACAAAGTCCCAGAGCATCTTGACCAGTGTATCTGGTAAGGTGTAAAGATCGACGTGGAATTCTCCCTCTTCTGAATAGTCAGCAGGCTACGAGCGGGTATTGGTAACAACACTCACGTTCAATGTCATTCTTGGTATACGTATCCTCCGACTTGTTATCATGGATCATCTGAACGACGTGAAGCAGATCATCCTCATTCAACTTGACTAACGACTCGGCCAGCTTCTCCATATCGATACCCTTCTTTCCCCCAGACTTCGACTCCTTCTTGACCTTCTTGCCATTCTCATCGCCAACAGGGCCAGTTTCCCGCAGGATATTGACGAGTTGTGCGGAGGGGTTCTTGAAGGAGACCGTGTGCTTGGCTTCATACCGAGGCTTGCCGAAGTTAAGATCGTGAGCGAGAGTGTTCTTGCCGCCCTTCTCAGTGGTGAACAAGTCAATTGTCATATCAAACTCGCCCCATCCCTCGTTTTCGCAGCGGAACGGTGGTTCAGTGAAGGCTAGGCGGTCGCGTTAAGTTAGAGCCATATTGCAAGACGGCAGACTCACTTTGGATAGGGTTCTCGAACGAAGGGTGAAGATTGTAGACAACTTTTTGGAAGCAGGTAGCAGGCTTCTCATTTCCCATCTCGTCCAGCATATACACCTCGATGTTCCATGACTTCATAGGGAAGCCCTCCTGAAGCGCCGGCTTGTCGCTGTGACACGATATTAGCATTGCCCCGAGCTCTCGGAAGAGGCAACATTGGCATACATATTTCTCTGCTCTGTGATGAGCTTCACGGTACGCTTGATCTATCCCGTAGTTAGCAGCTGCACAACAAACAATTACACTGTGCGCAGTAATCAGTGACGAAGAGAAAAAGATACACATACTTCGGCGACCATCTTGACGAGTTTTGACTTCTTGGAGAAGAGATCGAACGGTGAAAAGATGTTCGGACGGTCGTCGAGCAAGTGGACGAGAATGATGCGACGCGACAAGGAGGTTAATTCGCGGCGTCAATTGGCGGGAGGTGGGGTTAAGAGAGGTCTTAATAGGGCTTAGCTCCCTGAACTCAAAGCCCAACCTTGGAAGGCTGAGATGTATCAATCACGTGTAGATATTGAAGTTAAGATTTGGTCGAAGTTATTGGTTCATCAGGTTGCAGCTGGAATTTAGCTTCATTAGGAGTTGGTGTTCAAGAGATCTTGACAAGTAAACACCAAGACAGAAATCGGGAAAGAGAACAAGGACCTTTTTAGTTTCGGAACCTTGAACTTGAGGAAGGGTCTTCGGAGAAAATATCACAAGATGCTCGAACGCAAAGTGGGGGCCAAAGAGGGACTGCTATTTAGTCTATCTACGATCTCATGTCCAGTCTTAAGACCAATGACACTTTTCCATATCCTCCACCATCATCGAGTCTATGATTTATGATTCCCAGAAACGAACAAGACCGCCCAGAGTATCCCAGAGGCCCAGGCTACCTCGGGTCACACAACAGAAGTTGCTTTTCTGAATGCATCGCGCTTAACGGGGGATCAGATGTCAAGGTCATGGTTGAAAGAAGGCTTCGTGCAATAAAGGGGGGTTCGTGGCTTTCGTAACAAGGGGGGTATGTGCTGTGCTGTGACTCGAATGCGGTTTCTTGAAGTAAAAAGGTAGACGGAAAACTCAGGAGCCTAGGTAGACTTGGCGAAGAGAGCCTCGTTCTCCTGTTGAGCCTTGATAAATGCCTCCTTGAAGAGATTGGCGTCTGTGATTTGTCAGTGTCTGTGCTCACGAACCGGTGGAGAAGCAGAAACATACTCTCAGGGTTGGCAAATCGAATGGCAAGAGTCTGGGCCTCTGGCTCGCCCTCACTGACATCTGCAGCAGCATTCCAAACCCAGCTTCGGTCACTTCCAACATTGGGAGAAAGCTTCATCTCAGGGACGACTACACAAGGTTAGCGTTGGAGCCATAATACTTCTCGAAAGTAAACATACCATAGTGGTTGGCGCAGACCTTCAAAGTCTTGTCTCTTCGCATAACCAGTCTGGTCTTGCCGTTCTCCTTGTGCTTCAAGAGTCTAACGTCACCAGTACCACGCTCCTTCCACTCGTTGGCCTCACGAATAAACTTGAAGAGCTTTGCGCGCATCTTGAATGTCTGCTCCTCGAGCTCCTCGTTGGTCTTTACCTCAACCTTCTCGGTCAAACGGATAACGGGCTCGAAGTGAACGTCCTCGGATTCAGGCGCCTCATCCTGCGCGCAAATTTATCAGCATATTTCTCGCAGAAAGGATTGTTGTTGTAGCATACCTCTGGGTTCTCCTCGGCATCCTTCTCCTTTTGAGCCTTTGCAGACCCAGAGTTTTCACCACGGTCCTCATCTTCTACCTTCTCTTTCTTCGGTCCTCCGCCAAACATGGAGAATACGTTCTCAGCGACACCGGATGCGGCAGTGGTGACGGTCGTGGCAGCGGAGGAGGCAGCGTTTGTTGCTTGCTCAGTCAAGGTCTATCGGTCTTAATCAGCTTGCTATGCTCAACAAAACCGGTAGAAATTCAGCAGAATAGTATAGACATACCGGACCGGTGCTAGCAGCTTCCTTTGACTCCTCCTTGTTCTCATCGCCATGGAGGGGTTTCGTAGCCAACTCGGTTTCAACCTTGTTGAGTTGGGGTCCAGAGCCAGCGTCCGCCATATTGATTTAGAGTAGTACGATGTAGTAATGAATCAATACTGCGAAAGGAGTGGGAAATTTATCAACCGTAGAATATTGCGGTTGATATGGTGGTCAAGTTCGTGAGTTGTCAAGCAAAAAGACGCCCCTCGTCCATTTGTTTGTTGTGGACTTGCGCCTAAGAAGGCGCTAAAATCCTAGGGCAGTGCGATAGCGCCTATCGGCCCCTGATTTATTTTTCAATTTTTCTGCATACGGCATGATAATCTAACACAATTTGGAATGCCTCAATTTCTAATTCCTAATCTATTATGAAGCGGTAACATGTAGCAATTTTATGATTCATTGCATTCGGGCTGTTGTGCTTTCAAGAATAGCGTTACTTTTGCTTTTATTTTACCCCTCCATCTTGTCACATCCATGATTCACACACGAAGAAAAGCATATCCTCGTGGTAAGACCTCCTAAGGGTATGTTGCAATAAGTAAAGAGACTATGTTAATCCTGTACACCAGTTCTTGCTCCAGCCAGTAGATACCTCGAAGCTAGCTCCTCGAGACCTACCCCCAGCTCTGCGTGGTCCCTAACCTAATCCCATACCACGCTGAATCAAAGCAACTCCAGTGAAACCAGGTACGAAATCCTCCCGCCGAAAACCAAACCAAAGCAAAAATGCATGTGCCAATACTCCCAACAATCAACCCCACCTAATGCTCAAACCCGTGTCTTCTTCACCATTTTCTTGAATGCTCAAGCTTCCTTCTTGGCCGCCAACTTGGCCGCTCGTTGATCCTTCTTTGTCATCCCTTTCGTGGCCTTCCTCTCTTTCGGCGCTTGCACGCTTCCCTTTCGAGTTGCCTCAGCAGCACGTTTCTCGTAGGCACGATATTCGTCTTCCTTGCCCTGAAGCTTCAACCACAACAACTTCGAGCGAATCTGAGCCTTCACAAGTCCCTCATCAAGAGGCTCCCGGAGGTTCTGCAGAGACTTGACTTTAGCAATCTTGGCCTCCACCTCAGCAAGTTGGATTCCAACCTCCTTGGAGAGGATGGCACTTCGCTTAGTGGCTTCGAGAGACAAAGACTTGGCAAGCTCTGTGATACTAGCGCCAGCTGAGGCTGCCTGCTCCATAGCTACACGTCTGAACTCTTCCATATGAGACAGCGTTGATTGCCCTTGATGCACGGCTTCTTCAGCCATGTTCTCTGCGGCTTCTCGCATCTGAGCAAATACTTTGGGATCAACCAAGCTGCCATCTTCGGATACCAAAGCTGAGAGCTTGTTGATCAGACTTTGCCATGCCTGGGATGCAGTAGAACCAAAGTCAACCTGGAAAGTCTCATTGACTCTGGGCTTCTTAGTGGTAATGATAGAAACGTTCAGGACACCCCAGGCTTCCTTCTTGGGGAGGAGAAGTACAATCCCTTCGTCGGAGCTGTAGGCTCGTTCAGTTTCAACAGTAACGTTATCTCTGGTGATGTTGACAGACATGGCTTCTTTGGAAAGCCAGCTGAGCTTGGTAGCTGACGGAATACGGATCAGGATTTCTCTGTCTCCCAACATCTCTGCCGTACAAAAGGATGATTTGTTGACCGGCTTTGGGGTTTGTTGCACTTGTGGCGGTACCTTCCCAAGCTCCATTGAAGGTAGAACAGAAAGACTATTTGGGCCTGACGAGTAGGCTATAGATTGTGTGACAGTAACCGTCCGAGTCTGTGTCTGCACCGATAAGGAAGTGGAGGCAGAGGTTATACTCGGAACTGGCGCGGATAATGTGGTGGTCGGTGTGGAGGATATCGAGACAGCAGGCATGACCTTGCTATTAACAGAGATCGCGGGAGCTGAGTTGACTTGATAGAATCGGTAGCTCGGGACACCGCTGAGAACAGCTGCGAGAACACTCAGGAGCAGGACACTGACAGGCAGGACAGCTCTGTAGATGGCTCCACCGTGTCGATTGCGGACAGACCTGATACTATCACTAAGACTATAGGTCGTCTTCTCGATATCGAGAGAATCCACGGCAAGCGTCTTCTTTGAAGGCATTGCCGGGATTGGAGCATCCGAGGGTTCATGCAACCCAGTAAGGTAAGCCAAATTTCTATTCATTTGTCGAGCATCAATATTCAAGAACGAAGCAAGATCGATTGGAAGTCGTTGATGAACAATGTTTCCTCTGCCATTCGAGTCTCGTGATTCCAAGCACATGTGGATGGAGTGCTGGTCTAGCGACATGCACTGTCCGCGGTCGAGTAGCTGCCTGTGCGAGATAACAATGGAAGGGATGCTATGACGGCTCATGAACTTGCGGGCAATGGTTCGAGTTCGTCGTGCCTCGATGTCATCTTCGTCTGAGCAATAGAAGACGGCTACATGTGGCAGCTCCCAGTGAGGCTCGACAATGAATCCCTGTCCTTCTGGAACAGAGTGATATGCAAAGTTGTCATCGATAGTCAACTTGATCACGTCAGGCTTCTCTGGATTGTCCTCATACTTCAAATTTTGGGCGAAGATACAATCCTCGACCTTGATCTGGTAGCCAGAGGAATGCATAAGCTCGATCTCAGGAGTACGTTCAGAACCAAAGGCAGTCACTGGTACAACATTATAGAGTTGTGACATGGAGTGACGAAGATGATGTGCTCGTCTGCCGCTCTCAACCGAAGCTGTGACAGAGCTAGCAATCTTGTGAATGATGTCTTGCTTAGCAGAGTGACTGCCAACATAGAGTATTCTCAGCGGATCTCGAGTCGATAAGCCTTGCTTGGTCATTGTTTGGCAGATGGTAACAACAACGCGGCTCGGAAGGTTGTGGACTTTCATCCCTTTGAGGGCATCTGCCGTTTGTTCCTCGTTGAGATCTGCTACTGTGTGTTTGACAGAAACAGTTTCTGCCCCAAGGCTGAGAGGTTCGTCGAATTCGATAGACTGCACGAGCGGCTTGTCGAGGTCATCGAGGATAATGGCGGCACTGTGGCCTATTGTAGGAGTATTGAAAGCTTGTTCGACAGCATGTTCATGTCCAGGATAAGCTGGAGACGAGGAGTCATGACGATCCTCATCTTCACTCTCATCACCGCTACCTTCTGTATCTGCCAGGCTCGCAACATCATCTGGCCGCCCGAAATCAGTCGAGGCTACTGATTCTGTAGCACCATCGTCACGACTCTCGCCGTCAGTGTCGATGAACTCGTAGGCAGATTCACCAAGAATGCCCTCGTCCGAAGGGGCTTCGCTGCGTGCTGACATGTTTGCAGCAGATATACTGTCGACCCAGCTACTTACTCGTTCTTCTGTAGCAGGTGTAGGAAATCGAAATGAACTCGATGCAGTTTCGGGAGTGGGTGTCGAGGGATCAGAAGAGGGCGGATAGTGTTCGCTGGAGGCAGCCATGACATTAGCCTTGCGAGATCATATCATGTCATGTCTTGAAGACGTAGACGATAGTTGTAAGTTGCGCTCGCAAAAATAGGAAAAAGGTTATTTGAGGTTGGAAGGGACGAAATGGCCTACGTATGTGGTCAAGTTGTTTTTGGGAATGGTTGGCGTACCAAAGTTTCGAAGGGGACTGACTGCCTGAAGGGTTGCCTGCTGGCAAGTCCGGGCGGGCGCTTCTTTCGAATGTCTCAGAACGTCGAAGCTAATCGCGAATCCAAGGACTGCTGGTTGCGCAGGAAGCAGATGTTGGCATGTAAGATGCTCGAAAGAAATAATATGACAGAGAGGTGACACAGGCAGAGGGATGAGAGCAGAAGGAGGTTGAGGTTGTCAAATGATGGAGGGGTCGAGAATGGATCTAGCCTCATCGGGCTTCTTATCGCCTCGTCACGATTAGATCAGTGAATGCAGGCGGGATTTCTTCACGCAGTTACATGAGCGGCTAATGGAAAACGGTGTGCATTTACATTTCATCAAATCTGCGCGGGGCCTGCACGATGATGCGGCAATTGTGCGTGCATACGAGTCTTCAACTTGTTCGACGTCGAAGCTTCGACGCGACTTGGAGTTTATCCTCATGCATAATCTGTGATCAGATGATAAGGTCTAGTGAATAGCCTAGTTGCTTACAGACGTCTGAAATAGTAAACTGCGGCACATTTCAGATCATGAAGTACTCATCTTGCTATGGATATCTGAAGTTGCTTCGGCCTCAAGGATAATGTCCGACATCGGGATCTTTGCCATCCAGTTGAAGGCAGCATTTCGGACATTGGTGGGATGCACAGAACTTAACGTGGTCGCATGTATGCCCGATTGTTTATATGGTGGGGAGATTAAGTATTAGCAGAAAAATGTTTGTAATTATTTAAAAGTCTTATAAACTCAGGAAATATCCTCTTGATATGGGACAACTACAATTACTCTCCTCCACATGGACACCACCAGACTTTATCGATCACTTGAATTCTCATTGAATGTGTTCTATGTTCTATCATGCATGCTCATACTCATACAACCCATTTTGACCCAAAAGCCCCACTACTCAGCAACCCAAACAGCAGCCATACCCATTCCTGTCCCAACACACATACTGGTAACACCAACCTTCTCTCCTCTCCTTCTCAATTCATAAAGCAAGGTACTAACTTGTCTGGCACCTGTGCATCCAAGTGGATGTCCAAACGCAATCGCTCCTCCCTTAGGATTGATCTTATTCATATCCAGTCCCAACTCATTCGAGCACCAAACACACTGACTGGCAAATGCCTCGTTGATCTCGAAGATATCAACATCATCCTTGTTGATGCCAGTCTTCTCGAAGACTTTGGGAATAGCGGCCCAAGGACCGATACCCATGAGCAGAGGTGCAACACCTGCAACTGAAGCAGCGACGTACTTGCCAAGAATAGTTTGGCCGAGACGCTCAGCAGTTGAACGTTTCATGAGCAGAACAGCGGCAGCGCCATCAGAGATCTGAGATGCGTTTCCAGCATGGATAGAACCGTCTTTCGCAAAAGCAGGCTTGATCTTGCTTAAGCTCTCAGCAGTGATGCCAGGTCGAACACCATCGTCTTTCGAAACAGTGATTTCTTCTGTCTCTCCAGTCTTGGGATTCTCCCATTTGACTTTGAGAGGGGCGATCTCTTCGTCGAAGAGACCGGCTTCTTGTGCCTTGAGTGCCTTTTGGTATGAAGAAGCCGCGAATGCATCTTGGACTGTGCGGGGAATTCCCTTGTCTTTTGCCATCTTCTCGGATAAGACGCCCATAGGTACTTTGCAGTTCTTAGATTCGGGATGTGATTCTAGGAGTTCAGAAAACTCTGTAACAGCATCAGGTCTATATCTTGATTAGTACACATGTAACATAAACAATGGAGAGAAGGGCAAACATACCCATACTGCAAACTCATGCTCTCAACACCAGCACCAACACCAACCTCAATCATGCCCGCACTGATGGCATTCGCAATATCCACACAAGCCTGCAGACCCGATGAACACTGTCTATTCAGACTCTTGACCGCTGCCGAGACTGGGAATCCTGCTGCTAGAGCCGCGGCCCTGAATTCCGTCGCTCCACCACCAGGAGGAAGCACGGAACCGACAGCAATATCCTCCACCAGACCAGGATCGATGTTCGAGCGCTCAATCAGAGCCTTGAAGGCTCCGACTAGCATATCTGCCGCATGTGTATCCTTGAAACCGCCCTTCCCTCCTTTTGTGAATGCAGTTCGCAGACATGCTGTTACGACAATCTAAATCCAGCGATCAGTTTTGTATTTAGGGAAGAGGTCAGGACTTCGTACATCATCAGGATTCTTCTGCAGAAGCTTTGCGCGCCCAGAAGAACCATCTCCCTCTGTAGGAGCAATCTTACTTCCCGAACCAGCCAGATGGCCAGAGACCTGCGTGAGTCTTTTCTGTGCTATTGTTGATCTCGTCAGCCTCGCATTCCCTTCTCTTCATCTTAAACATACCTGCAGACATTCTTTCCAATTTCCAAAATCCCAATCTCAAATGCCTGTGTGAAAAAATGGGAGATAGGAACACGAGGAGAACAAATAAAGAACCAAACCTCGGAATCTCTTCCAGCTTTTAAAGAGAAGACTCCGAGATGGTCGCAGGGCCCCCAAGAATGCCTCGGCTGCACGCTGATTGGTGGACCCGCTAGCTTCGAAACCGTTTTCACATGAAGAATCTGGGGAAAGAAAAGTCACGCGCATGGAAAAGGAAAGGAAAGTAATCAGCGGCGGTGACATTTACATGTGTTAGTGAATTTGGTCGAATCGGAGTGTCGAAGGATGCATTTGTATGGTCACAAGAGTACCTGGATTTCAGAGGCTTGATTTGTCTTGAGTCGTGGCGCTCTTGGGATGAGGTAATTGTCTGTTTGAATTATGATGACTATTGCTGTTTGAAATGTTTGGATTGAAGTCTATTATTCATGTGTAAGGCTTAGCGTAAGTCGAAAGGTCTGGCAAATTCAGGTCCCAAAGCTTGCTGAATGTTTGAAGGCTTGTCAAGGCAACTTCTACAGAATTGTCAAGGAATAATTATGAACATTGAATAGGTAAATGCAGGGCTTTACCTCCCAACAATAAATTCCTAACCACCTGGCTGTGTTTCAGACATCGGGTTAGTATTCTAACACAGAAATGCATCATTGTAGGGCTTGATTCTAGACATTCGGCTTACATGGAATTTGAGTGATGAAATCCTAGCCTCACCACACATATTTTAAACATTGAAATCCTCTATTAATCTAGATAGGGTATTGATACAGTACACACAAAACATTAAAAGTCATACGTTCATAAACTTGGCGATCAGTTCAACCGCCCACTGCTCGCCCAAGATTTAATTCTCCTCCTCCCACTGCTGAGTCCATCCCTTGCTCATCTCCACAGCTTGCTCCCATTTCCGGAACATCGCATCACTCTTCTTCTTCTCTACTTGCGGAGTGAAGATTGTTCTATCTTCCTTGTTGATCTCCTTCAGTTCGTCGAACTCTTTCCAGATATCTACTGCAAAGCCGGCTGCAATTGCAGCGCCGAGAGCAGTTGTTTCTCTCATTACTGGTCTGTCGACGGGTATGCCGATAATGTCGGCTTGTGTTTGCATGCAGAGGTTGGAATTGGACATCCCGCCATCGACTGCCAGACCTTCCAATTTGTGTCCCGAGTCTTTTTCCATTGCATCCAAGATAGCTTTAGTCTGGTAGCATGTAGCTTCCAGAGTGGCTCTTGCGATGTGGCCTCGTTGAGTGTGTGCAGTAATGCCAACTATTGGGGTCAGCAAAATATCCATCGGATGGGTCAGATTCAACTTACACAACGTTCCCTTAGCATCATCAATCCAGTAAGGTGCAAAGAGACCGCTGAAAGCAGTGACGAACACTACACCTCCGTTATCCTTCACCGTTTCCGCCAACTCTGTAATCTTGTGAGAGTGCTTGATGAAACCCATATTGTTCATCAGGAACTTGACACCAGATCCAGCAACCGCAATGCTTCCCTCAAGAGCATAGATGGGTTTGCGTCCATTTCCAAAATCATAAGCAACAGTTGCGAGCAGGCCATATTTCGAGATGACAGGCTTGTCACCAACGTTGTACAGCAAGAAGCAACCAGTCCCGTAAGTGTTCTTAGCCTCACCAGGGTTAAAGCCACATTGGCCCACCAATGCTGCAGATTGGTCGCCCAAGCAGCCAGTGATCTTGGTTCCTTGGAGAATACCAGATGCTAGAGCGCCAAAGGCATCCTTGTCCGAAGAAGGTACGATCTTTGGAAGAGTAATATTCTTCTGGTCGAGCTTGAAGAAATCCAGGAGCTTGTCGTCGTATTTGAGAGTGTGAAGGTTCATGAACATCGTTCTTGAAGCGTTGGTAGTGTCCGTTACGTGAACACCAGCTTCTTTGCCTCCATTCAGCTTGTAAATCAGCCATGTATCTACGGTGCCGAACGAAAGTCTGCCCTCGTTGTAGGCAGTCTTGATAGCATCGACATGATTCAAGAGCCAGAGAAGCTTGACACTTGACGGATATGTGGAAAGTGGCAATCCACAAAGCTGTTGTAGCTCATCTGCACCTTCTCGTGCCTTGAGTTCTCGGACAATTGATGTTGTACGGGTATCTGGCCAGACAATAGCATTGTACAGAGGCTCTCCAGTATTTGTGTCCCAGCAGATGGTCGTCTCGCGCTGGTTCGTAATTCCAATGGCTTTGATCTGCTCTTTCTTGTATCCTTTTTCCAGGAACGCAGCAGTTGACTTCTCAATACATTCGTCGACAGAGTTGACTAGTTCTTGCGGATCATGCTCGTGCCAGCTGCAACGGTATTAGCTTCTAGTCAAAAGTATAATTGACAAGACCTACCCAGATTCCGGATAGATGTTCTCAAACTCAATTTGGTGGTTTGAGATTGGTGTTCCTTCTCCATCAAAAATCAAGAACCTCGAAGACGTAGTTCCGCAATCTATGCTTCCAATAAACCAATGGCCCGCCTTCTCGTCTTCGGTTTGGGAGAGTCCTTTCGGCAAGTGCTCGTGGTGCTCAACAGTCGCAGGCGTATTTACATGCTCGACATGTTGTGTCTTGGTTTCTGGCTCTGCAATTTTCAATGCATCTGCACTAGGGACAGGGATTGGGCGAATTGGCATAGAATCCATTGTGTATTGTTGTCGTGGTTGTCCGCAATGTTTGTTGTTCTTGGTTATGCCGCGGCTTTGGTTCCGGAGGTTTGGTCGCCTTGCAGGTCTTGTGCTACCTATCCCCGCTTGAATTGAGTTTCTCCTAAAAGTAGACGGTAAAAGGGGTGCAGTTCTAGGGTTGAAGAAGGAGAGAGGACGAAGGACAGAAGCGGGGAAGAGGGAGAGCACAAGACTGCGTGGCCAGCTCGTATGACATCGCCGCAACATCAAGAGGGGGAGATCTGCGAGTAGTATTTAATCAATTGCTGACCCCACCACTGCAGCACCACGCAGCTGCACCCAAGACCAGCTCCGGATCTCGATGCAGGCGGAGGCGCATGCTGCATGTGACTGGGAAAATTGGCAGCGAGCGGAGCCAGGGAAAGTGGAGCGGAGGAGAACAGCAAAAAGGCTGGAACGTCACAGTTGGATCAAAAACCTGGGGAGCTGAGCAATGAGAGTGAGAAGTACCACGGAGATCCATTTTTCCGTTGGAAGGTAAGCCGAGGCCAGTGGAGCATCGTGGCGTTCGAGATCAAGACGCCCAACCTTATCCTTCTTCATATTATCCAGAACATCCATCAATCAGCCTCATTCCCTCCCGCAAAACACCATACGGACCTCCTCCGACCTCTGGCTCGTCACCTCCTCGACCTCAGGATTTCTGCCGTGCTCGAAAAGCGTGGATGACAGTCCGAAGACAGTTTTGCCGGAGAGCCTCATGAACTACCGTTAAGCCATTTCTTACCCATAGTCGGTCCGTCCGTTTAGTGTATCAACACGCACAAATTCCCACGATCTTCACATCCAGACTTCGATCCATAATGCAATGCATACGGAACAGGTTCCTGATAAGACTTCCAGGACCCGCAGAAGCACGCCTTTCACTCCTTGTGATCATTTGCCAAGGTATATCCAAAAGCGGGTGATTTTGATGCCACAGCTCAGATCTCATGCCCAAAAGCAATGGTCCACTAGCCACGTATCAAAGGGAACCTCTTAAGTGCGAGATTCTTCCCGATTTTCCCCTATGCATCTGCTTTGCGCTATGTGTTTGACCAGGACGTGCCGTAAGTTGTGTGCGTGGAATAAGCAATTTGAACCATGTATCGTTAGCTCTGACAGTTTGGTTTACCCTTCTGTATGACCCGGGCTTGAAGAAAATAGTGCCAGTCAAGTTGCCTGGGTCGCCACACATCTGCAGAGCACAAGTCCATCGAAGATTATTTGCTGCTTCAGAACATCCTTTCCAAAGTATGCAGTTGCCGGCGTGTTTGAATAGCTCTCATGGTTGTTTGTGGCCCCGACACTGTCGCTTATTTCAAGACTCTATTACTCTTGCTCTTGTGGGTTTCAAAGCCACTGCAACCTGCGGTTGCGAAGCCCAAGTGTATCAGTTATGTAGACTTGAGCCTCCGAAGTTTCGGTACTCCATCTAAAAATTTGGAAACCGCTTCATTCCATGGCATCCAGGACTTGTCGACACTTTCAAGACTATGTGCCGGAAATTTTCTACTTTGTACTGCAACGTGTGTTCAAATCCAAGCTATTTACTGAAGCCATCTACTAAAAGTGATAAGATCCCGCGAATAGGATTTATAATACAATAGTCTATACACGGCTCTTCCCACGAAAGGTGTGGTGGACAAGATTTGAAGCCCAAACGTTCATACCATCTTCGGCTTCGGTTGCGGCCACTATGTGCAGAATACGTTTTCATAGCGTCTCGGATCTTGCTTCTTATTCTCAATGATCTTGGTTCACTTTCCAAACGGGAGTCTGAAGGCTAAAGTTTATTACTTTGCCTGTGTCACACATTCTATCCCAAATTATCGGCGATTTTCTCTATTCTATGTAGCCATTAGTTTACAATTGAAGATCTTTTTCGGGTTCTCCGTTTTCCATTCTGAGACCTACATTCGTCAGTGCTGTTCTATCCATATATACTTTTGCAGATAGTACAATCGAACACCTGTTCTTCCACATATCTATATACATGTACATATATTACACCCCTGGAGACCTTCTACTTCTATACATTTACATCTCCCAGACATTCATCTATTCCAAACATTCAACTCGATACGTGTTCTATCTTCTATACTTTGCCCTTTTACAAAACACTCATTACTCCATATCACGACCAAATTATACGGTACGAAACCAGAGACAATCACCACGAGATAGATCGACAATCAAGGGCATGGTCAAAATTAAAAGCAATTAAAAACTTCTCGGGGTTCTACATGTGAAGGTGAAGAGAAAACCGAATCTTTCGAGCGAACGAGCCACTCTCTGAAACCGAAACAGACAATCTCCTGCCAGAATCCTGTTCCATACTTTCACACTCGCCCATTCCTTTTCAGACAATCAAAGAACTCTTCGAACATCGGACATTATGCTAACACAAGTTTCATCTCTAAAATTCATAAGTCTACAGTCCTAGACAGGATGCAATGCGCTAACCTTTCTCATGAAGCTGGTGGAGCCTGGTTGGTCGATGTCTAAGTCGCTCTATACGTCGTTTGCCCTATACCCGACCTTTTCAACACACCACTTGATGAACCTATACCTTGTCAGTCAAATACTCATCATACGGAAGGAATCTACATACCGAACCTGAATGGCCGCTTTAAAGTCCTTCCATTCCATACACTCATCATCTGGCTCATAGAACTGATTTTTTCCCTCCAGCTTCTTCTGCAGTGCTTCTTCACTCGTCCGATTCCACTTCCACTCCAGATGTGCAGGTCTCTTTGGATCATCGTCGCACAGGGTGCGTTGCCTGAGATTACCGGTCATGTGGTCGAAGACAACTCTGGGACGAAGGAATTCCTCGAGCTTCAAGTCTGAGAGGAAGGCTGAGATGTGTTGGCCATCATTTCGAATCCAGGCCTTCAGAGCAGGCTTCAAGTTCCTGACGACTTCTGCAGCAATCGTTTCATACTCTGGTGGGAAGACGACTCTGTAAAGATAGAGTGGATCATCGATTGGACCCACTGGAGCTGCTGGGACAATTGAGGCCGCCGGGACAACTGGAGCCGCTTGAGCCACGGGAATCATTGGAGTGACTGGAAGCTGGGGAGCACTTGGAGCCAAAGTCAAGGGGTAGTTATCCACAACAGGAGCATCCCGAACAGGAAGACCATGGTAGGAGTTCAACTGTCCAATCATGTCCCTGTCTGGATTGCCAGCTCCTTCAAGAGTTCTCCAGTGAGGATTTGTATTGACTAGATCCGGTGGCAGACACGTAGCTTCCGGTTGAGGACGACCACGGGAGAAGATCAACTCTGGTAGCTTCCGTGCTGGGTCGCCAAGGAAGGAGACTCCTCCGAGTGGGTGCAAGTACATGGGAACTGACGCATTCATTTGTCCGTTCTGCTGGTTGGAAGCCATGATTGTAACCACTTCTGTTGTGTTGAGCGTTATTGGCCAACAGTTATTTGTTCGACGGTTGCGTTGTTATTCGAGCACTGTTGTGAATGTACGTGACGACAGTAACTCCTGATGGAGCTGCGTTGACGTGGATCCTAGTGGATGATTGCCGTGCGTTGAGTTGTGTGTGAATGCGTGTCCTTGTGCGGTGCTTTCAGAGGAGTGATTTTATTTACAAAGCCTTGACAATGACTTTGCAAGTACGTGGTTGAACTAGTGTCGGCTAGTCCAGATGAAAATATATCAGATCAGGTATTGTACCTGACCCGAGAAATGTTTCCGAGTGTTGTGCGGGCTTATATCTATGCGGGGTACAAGGTACAAGCAACATGCAGAGGAAAATGGTTGGATTTATATCTTTTTGTGGGAGTCTTTTGGACTGACTATTCGTCATTAACCACCCGCTACCAAATTTCACATTTGTTTATGGGCCAGCTAAGAAAACGTCTAATGATGTTCGACAAATAAAAATTGAAACATCGTGGGCAATTTATTTTGAGCTTTAGTTTTGCTTTGTCGGGCAGTATACCAGACATGCTAGGACACCACGACCTAGTTCTATGTGTGCGTTTAAGACGACATGTCCAGACTTTACAAGAGTGTGTGAACAAGTGCGGTCCAATGAGAGACCCAGCATCCATTGTCGTCTCCAAAAAAGAGACCTTGAGTCTCCACTTCCTTTGGGAACTCATGAGACTGGAGTTTCGCCGGCGTCAAAGGTGGATCAAAATGCAGCTCCTGTGACTCTGAGGAGGGTCCTGGAAACTGAGCTTTTCATCACGATGAGTAGGTGAAGCTAAACCAGGAGATCACGCAGATGCTAGGAAACAAGACTGTTCAAACTTTCTGTGCGGTGGCTCGAAAGATGCGTTCATTATCCTGAAAAAAGGAAGGCACTTCTGACAGAATTCGCTTAATATTCGCTTCGGATGCAACTTCCCCTGAGAAATATACTTCTCAGGACCATCCCCACGACGATTTGAGATTGAAGTTTTTCACATCTCCTCGATTCTATACACTATCGAGACCATCCTTTTTATATTTAGAAGTCGATATCCGCCGGCGTGGTCCTACGACGATGGTCAGCTCTTGGCACGCTTCACCCAGTCTCCCAATCAATTCCCACGAACACTCCACTCACGTCCAATTCCTTTCGAAAGTGCATGCATCTTTTTCTACAGCACTGTAAGTTCTTCAGGGCATATTCCAGTTATCCACGATGCCCAAAGATCCTCCTCTATCTCTCTCACACAAAATCTGCATCCCAAATCATACCACCACCTCTCATACCCCAAAAATATATTCCCACCTCCCCAACCCAGCGTACTTACCGATTCGAGTATCTTTTCACCCCAGCCTAACCCCTTCACCCTCACGATCGCCGATCCAGAATTCAAAATATCCCATCCGTGCGAGCTACCAACCTCGCTACCCCCAATTCCCATTCCCTGACCTCACGATACCCTCTTAACCTATATCCACCTAGCGAGTGACTCACTCACCACATCGCGAAATTTTGTAAGTATAGGTGGTCTCTTGAGGAGAGGTTTGTTGCATGTCGGACTCTTAAATCCGATACGAGAGCAGGGAGATGCACGTGCGAGTCGGCAGTCGAGAATGTTGCAGAGGAAAAGGTAAGTGAGGTGGATTTTGATAGTAGATGCATGGGTATTGTTTACATGCTAGTTGAGGGCGAAGATTATATTCTGCTAAGGTGCCCAAAACTTGACAGGAGAGGAAGGAGCGTTCCTCATGCTCGATCATCACCTCAAGTTCCTCCCCAGTAAAGAGTTTTGTGAATCTACACCAGCAGCAGAAAAGTCTGCGATTCACATTCACAACAAAGACAATTCTCCCTTGACAATCATCATTTTCCTCTATCATCCAATGTGTATCTCTTCTGCGCCTCTCGGCCAGCTACAGTCCTCACAATCCGTCAAACCCAACCCTTTTCTCTCTCCTATCTTAGGTATCCTCACCTCCATTTCCGCCCTCCCTACAGACAGAATCCTCGCTTTTTCTGCACAAGCATCTCTTTCCAGACTATCCGCCATAGCTGCGAAATCTGATCGCACCACACATCTTTCGAAAGCGGACATCGACAAGCCCTCCTCCCAAGAAGGTCCGTACACTTACGAGCATAGGAAGGAAGCCTACCGCTGAAACTGCACCGCTACCGTATCCCTCAGAACGAAGAACAAGACGACCAGACTAGGAAAGGTTATTGGATGACACAGGACGAATACCTTCTCAGTGCACAACGTTCGCAGAGATATGTAAGGGAAGGACATAAATATTCAGAATAAATTCGGAACTGCGATATAAGCGCAGACAGCGGGGTATGCAAGTTGAATATTAGAGATCGCCTTGTTATTTCCTGTGCTTTGAAAACACAAGGCTCGGAGGAAAAATGTCATCATCTGGAGCAGTACCGTTATACTCGACGACATGTAGTAGGTATGCTTCGAGGGCTAAGATGATGTTCTCCATACTCGAGGGTCGAACTCGAAGCATACCTACTACATGTCGTTGATTCGATCTTCACTACAAGTCTGACAGGCAATGGAACAGGGTGTGTAAGCAAGATCCGATTTGTGGATTGCTACAAGCTCATCGCGCTGCTTCGCAGACCTAAACATCGTATCCCATTGCACCTCAAAACCCCATCCCGCCACCCTGCCTAAACCCTATATGCACTTTTAGACCTCCCAATATGCACACCTCCAGAGCCCCATATAAACACCACTAAGCACCCTGACCCTTCCCCAATAACACCAAGTTCGCCACATTCATAACCGTAATAACCAACCAGATAAGCACCGTAATCACAGCCGTGAACCAGCTATTCCTCATCTTAACACCTTCCTGTGGCACTTCACTACTCTGCACGCTCCTCATTCCATTCCCATCCACGACCTCTTCTTCGTCTGCATCCTCCCTAGCGCCGTGAGGTCTGACAGTCATGAACTTATTCCTACAAGTAAAATAGATCAATGGGGCACTGACGAATGGTAGCACTACACTGAGTGCGACTTGACTTCCATTCAATGCTGCACTCAAACCCTCTCTCCCTACCGCGCCAGCTATGATGATACTTGGCGTGATGCTGATGCTTCTTGTGACCAATCTTCTCAACCACGGTGCTAGAGTCCAGTTTAGAGCTCCTTCACTGACCATTTGTCCTGCAATGGTGCAGACGATGCCCGCAGAGATGCCAGACAGAAGGAGAGCAAGAGCAAATATTGTTCCTGCTGCTGGAGCGAGGGAAGAAGATAGAAGGTCATAGATACCGAAGAGGTCAGCAGAGGCAGCTGTGCTGTTATTTGAGAGCGAGGCTCCAGCAACAATGAGGATGGCGCTATTAACGAAGAGGGCGAATGTGAAGAGTGAAATGGAGAGCTCTGCGATGGAGTATTTGAGACAGAAGTTGATGGCAGGAAGTGAAGGATAATATGGTGCCTTGTCGTTGGCATTGGTAACCGCGGATGATGGCACGATGCCATTCTTGACGTCGTATTCTTCAAGACGAGATTGAACGATACCGCTTCCGAGGTAGAGGCTATGCGGCATGACCGTTGCCCCAAGAATACCGCAGGCTTGGTAGAGGCTGGTGAAATCAGCACTGTGAAAGACAATCGCACTGACAAGAAACTTACCCTTGAGACTGAATAATGGCAGACGATGGAAGGAATCCACGGAAGACTTCTCCGACAGACGTATCTTTGATGAGGCTCAGCTGAATGCAGAAGCATATCACTACTCCAAGAACAAGAGCTACTACAAACATCTCAAAAGCTCGTAGCCCTTTCATGGATCCATTTCGTCTGTAGAAGAGTAGGATGAGAAGGACGTCTGCAATGGAAAGCGCACAACCTGCCACGAGAGGGATTTGCGGGATGAGGAGGTTGATGGCAATAGCTGTGCCAATGACCTCAGCAATATCTGTGGCAATGATCTGAATACTGTCAGTGAATGGTGAACTAAGTGGTACAAGTTACTTACAGCAGCTTCTGCCATCAGGTACAAGAGGATGTTCAACCATCTTGGAAGAAACTCTCTACAAGCTTGAGCGAGGTTCAAACCACTAACCGTGCCAAGTTTGATGCACAAGCTTTGCAGAAAGATAGCAAATAAATTGGACATCAAGACGATGAATAAGAGTTTGAAGCGATACGTAGCACCAGCCGCTACATCGGTGGAGTAGTTTCCTGGATCGATGTACGCAACAGAGATCTATGAATGGATTAGAGTCATGATGAACAGGAAGAAGACGACCGCTTACCATGAATCCAGGACCAACGAATTTTCCATAAGTAATAATAGCCTTCTTAGCTCTCTCAAAATGATGTGAGAGTCTGCCTCCGTTTCCACTTCCACCACCTGAACCTTCCTGAGCACCTAGAGTCTCCAAGGCCATCGTCGTCCCACTCTCTTCACCCACGTGACATCCAGAGCTCTTTGCATCCAAAGCCACGGCTTGCATCCCCTGAGATCCAATGTCTTTCTTCTTCTCAGTATCGCCATCCGGTACTGGCTCCACGACTCCTTCAATGCCTGTACTGGGTATCCTCCTCAACTCTCTCGCATTCGCAATCCCGTTCAGATCATTTCTTGTAGTGAGATCTGCTGACAGTGCACTCGGATTCTGATTGAAACCCGTGCCCTCAGGCTCTTCTGTTCTTGAAGGGCAGTTCATTGTGGCGACATTAATGTTGAAGTGTTTTCTCGCTTCGTCCCAATAAGTGGCAATATGGAATGTCTCTTGACCCCTATCCTCTCTCCTCAAGAATCTTCTCTAGTTGAATTTGAACAAGTGAATAAAAAGGTGATTCACGTTCTAACAAACAAATGCAAACGACGAAAACAAGAATCTGGGGAAAGGCGGAGGTATATGAAGGTTCAGTCCAATGATCTGGTTTTCGTTCTAGGTCGTCGTAGTGTATCCGTCCGGGTGCGATTTCTCCCGTCGTCAACGCTTAACGCAGCGAATCGGGAAGGAGCGCAATGAATGATCTTCAACTTCGTACTAAACTCACTACCGAGCCGAAGAAAAATGACATGCCCCATGCATGAAAGGAACAACAACAATTGGCGTAAAGTATTTTCCACTCTCACAACGTTGGAGGAGGAGAGAGTAAGGGAAAATGAGGAGGATTTGGAATCGTCAAGACTGCTCATTAAAGTCTTTGTGGTTTGTTTGAGGCGTTGAAGATGGTCATCTGTCTCACTCACCGCTCACCACTTACGAGTTTACGAAGGCAATCACCATGATTGATAGGCCCTTTAAATATCGAGTCGGCCGACCTAGACCTGTCAGGATTACTCCATTCCAACGCTTATAAGATCCAGCTTGATCATGTCCTGTTGGCTGAGAATTATCTGTGTCATCGATTGAAGAGAGGGGAAGAGTGGCTTGGCGGCTTGGACCAAAAGCAAAACAGTTCATGCAGGCACATGCTCGGGATTATCCGTTTACAACCTGCTGGAACAGAGTGAGAGCCTTGTGGTCTATATTTTACCAGAATCTTGTACATCCTTTCTTGAAATCTAGAGAACAATTCTATTGTGCTCTGATTCCTCAATCGTTTTCATTCATTGTCCGTCCAGAAGTGAGACAAGTGAAACGTCATCGTACATGGAGAATTTGAGACTGGCCTTGAAAAGTATATATCGAATTCAATGTGAACAATGAGAGACTTAAACTCAGGCATGGTCACGCATTACAATGTATGCTCAAGTCAAGTCTTCATTCATGCTATGATCACGACCTATGCTATGCTGCGTATCATTCTGAAGAAAGCATGTTTCTACCATTTTATAGTAGAAGCCGTCCATCCACCCTGGAAGACAATCAACGCCATGGCCAATGCAACGCCTCGCGAATTATGAGTTTCAAAATACAAGAGGTTGTATCCTCGCAAATTCTACCGCCATCCTAAGTGGCTTACTTAGGATCCGAGTGGTCGAGGTGAAGATATGCTTTTTGCAATGTCTTCTTTGCACGACCATCAGCCTCAAGGACGGAGATCCAATCACGCATTTGTATGTCTCGGCCCTTCTCTTTGTCTTCTCTCCATTGGCCAAGTCGACGAACACCGTCGACGGTATACTTCTCAACCGGTGGAGGACCGCCACCACCAGGTGTACCTGGAAGCCCTTGCGTATTTATGCGTCCTGGTGTGCTTGCTCCGCTTGCAGAACCTCCCGCGCCAGGGGTCATCCAACTGTACTTCTTAGTCTTGCCAAACATACCACGACCACCAAGGAATTGCGATGCGGTCGTATTGGCACTAGTATGAGTCAACGCCTCATTGACCTTGGCCTCGGCCTTTTTCTTCTGCTCCTTCTTGGTCGGGGCTTTCTCTATTACTTCTGGTGCGATAGAGCCGGGTGTACCAGGAACCACAGAAGCCTGACGTTGTGCACCTCCTCCAGCCTGTTCGCTACGTTTTCGTAGTCGTGCTTCCTCAAAGTCTCGTTCTTTCAGCGCTTCGGCTCTCAAGGCAGCCACAACTTCGTTCGTAATCTTCGAACCTGTGATGGGCGTCGCAGACTTGTTTGCAGCGGAGAAAGATCCTAGGTCATGTCAGTACAATACACAAAACCACGAAAGTGGGCTTACGTTTTCGCGGGTTAGAGTGTGGGCTAACAGCACTCTCCCATCCGTAACGTGGCCCTCCCTCCGAAGCAACAGTTGAACTAGCTAGATCGCTGGGAACGGCAACGTCTGCCCATTCCTCTGGAACAATGCCATGAGATCCAGTCTGACGTGCCTTGGCTAATTTAGCTGCATCCTCCACCAAGCCCCGCAGACGATGCTTGGTAGCAATTGACAGAAGAGCAACTTGATCGACTAGCATGGAATCTGCTGGTATGAATCCGCCACTAGTAGAAACGAATGCCGCATCAGGTCCCATAGTAGTTGAGACGCGAACTTCCTTCAGAGGGAATTGGTTTGGAACTTTGAAATATCCCATCGTGCCCTTAGTATCCATGTTCAATGCAAGTCCATGTTCTCGAGTCATCTTCTCCATCTTCTTTTGTAGTTGATGGACTTGTAAGAAGGGGTTGTTCAACTCTTTTTGCCTCGAGACTGCCAAATTGTGAGCAGCGTCATGCCATGCCTTGTCCGCAGCCTTCTTGTGAAATTCGTCCTGGTCTTTCACATTCGCTCTCTCCCCTGCTGCATTTGCAGGGCCCGCGCCATAGAAGGACGCCTCATCTCCTGGAGGAAATTGAGTATAACTGTGGCCAGAGGATATGGTACCAGATTGAGAGCCGGATAGTTGCGAGTTGAAGGAACTGTTGTACATCTGGAATGTGTATTGCTCTTCTTCTCGCAGATTAACACCTGTGCCACCCAATACATCCATCACGTCAATGCCATCTTCCTTCTCCTTTTCGACCGGCTTTGAAGGTGGACCCATCGTGCCTGTACCCTGTGGAGTCGCCATAGGAGGCGCGAAGTTGTTGTATGTGGACTGCTGACTTGGTTGGTTTGCGTTGAAGTTCATCGAATTCTGGTGCTGGAGCTGTTGCGGGTGTTGATGATTTGATTGTGGTAAAGTGAGAGTCATGGGTGAAGTTGTATGGCCATTAGAATACGGAGTGTTGTAGACATTCGGAAGTTGAACGTTCGTAAAGTGAGGTGAAGCGCTGGCAGATGTTGTGCTAGTATTCGGCGACATCATATAAGGCGACTGAACGTATGGCGATCCAGGCTGGGAAGAGGGGATAGGAGACAGACGTTGCCTCTTGGAGGGCGGTACTGGATACTGTTGGGTCGTCGTCGGCGAGCTTCCTGGCGGCGGCGAGAATGCGCTCGGCATGGGATACTGCTGCTGCTGTGGTTGCGCCATGATGACTATGGTCTTAAAGTCTGTTCAGAAGCTTCCAAGTCTCCTTTCACAAGGCAGGCGCAAAGCCCGCTGTTCCCCTGTCGCCTTCACCCATGCGCGGACAAAGATCCTCTTGTAGTCCAAACTATTAATTACGGTGTGCGGTCGTCAGTCCTGGAGTCCTATGAGGTTCGGTGCGTTGGTTGATTCGACTTTTGGATTGAAATTGGTGAAGAAGGATGTCAAGCAGAAGGTATCGCGAATCACTAGCGTGAAAAGTCACGTTTATCATGACCGGGCCGATATTAATCCGACGCGACCATTCAACGACAATCACGACAATCACGAATTCTTGGTTGTACGCAAGCTTTACAACCTTATTGTGCGTTCCTACTTAGAGATGCCGAATCTCTGAATTAACCCTTCTAGCTACGATTCAACTTCTAGTATCAACAACAGCACGGAATCGCGCCCCTCGAGTACATCATGGCTTCGAAACGCAAAGCCGCCGCGATGGCACCTGAAGAGCCCGTAGATCCCTCAGACGAGTTGATGTTCCTGTGTTTGGGTGGAGGAAATGAAGTTGGGAGATCGTGTCATATTATACAATACAAGGGAAAGACTGTTATGGTAAGTGTTGCGCCGTACTTCCTTCAAGCAACTACTAATCCTTCTTGTAGCTCGATGCTGGTCAGCATGCTGGTTACGAAGGCCTTGCTTCCCTTCCTTATTACGATGAATTCGATTTGAGCACGGTCGATGTGCTATTGATTAGCCAGTAAGCTCAATATTCTCCTTCAGTTTCTTATGCGTTGGACTGCACTTGTGGAGGAAACTTGGGCGACGCTTTGCCAGGTCTCATTTCGTCTTGTCTACGGTGTCTCCGTAAAGCGTGGGTATTTACGCCGAGTTCATCTTTCTTTTCAGATTAATCATGTATACGAGAATCAATACAAATCAGTTTTACAGCGCACAAGATGCATGTCTTGATTCCGTGAAGATGACCTACCCAAGCATACACGACTGTACATAGAGCTCCTCCACCCTAGCGCATGTCCTTTGGGTAATACCTACCACCAGAGCTAACTTATGTGCAAGTTTCCACATCGACCATGCCGCTTCTCTTCCTTACGTTCTGGCCAAGACCAACTTCCAAGGACGAGTCTTCATGACACATCCTACAAAGGCTATCTATAAATGGCTTGTTCAGGACAGTGTTCGAGTTGGCGGAGCCTCGAGTTCTTCCCAACAGGTATACAGTGAAGCGGACCATTTATCAACATTCCCCATGATTGAAGCGATCGACTACCACACCACCCATACCATATCTTCCATTCGAATCACCCCTTACCCGGCTGGCCATGTGCTCGGCGCTGCTATGTTCCTCATAGAGATTGCTGGGCTCAAAATCTTCTTTACTGGTGACTACTCTCGAGAAGATGATCGGCATTTGGTCTCTGCAGAAGTTCCCAAAGGCGTCAAGATAGACGTGCTTATCACAGAGTCAACATATGGGATTGCTTCACATGTTCCTCGAGTGGAAAGGGAGCAACAACTCATGAAATCTATCACGGGTATACTTAACCGAGGAGGTCGTGTTCTCATGCCCGTTTTCGCTTTAGGACGAGCTCAAGAGCTTTTGTTGATCTTGGATGAATATTGGGGTCGTCACCAAGAGTATCAAAAGTACCCCGTCTACTATGCCAGTAATTTAGCCCGAAAATGTATGTTGGTATATCATACATATGTTGGCGCCATGAACGACAATATCAAGCGTCTGTTTAAGGAGCGAATGGCTGAGGCAGAAGCAAGTTCGGACACCGCTGGTCGTGGTGGACCATGGGATTTTAAATACGTTCGATCTTTGAAGAACCTCGATCGCTTCGATGATGTGGGAGGATGTGTCATGCTGGCGAGTCCTGGTATGCTTCAAAATGGTGTCAGTAGAGAATTGCTTGAGCGATGGGCTCCAAGTGACAAAAACGGCGTGATCATCACAGGTTACAGCGTAGAGGGGACTATGGCAAAGCAGATCATGCAAGAGCCAGACCAGATCCAGGCAATCATGTCCAGAACAACAGGAGGTGCACGTAGAGGTCCGAATGCAGAGAACGAAAAAGTCACGATTCCTCGGCGGTGCAGTATCCAAGAGTTTTCGTTCGCAGCCCACGTCGATGGAGTTGAGAACAGGGAATTCATTGAGGAAGTCGCTGCGCCGGTAGTGGTGGGTGCTCTTCTCTTCAAAGCTCAGATCAGCCAAGCTAATTTACTATAGATTCTTGTCCATGGCGAAGTGCACAACATGATGCGCTTGAAGTCGAAGTTGCTTTCACTGAATGCAGACAAAGCAAACAAAGTAAAAGTCTACAGTCCTAAGAATTGCGAAATAGTACGTATACCATTCAGGACAGACAAAATGGCCAAGGTAGTGGGCAAGCTCGCAGATATTCCTCCACCAACCTCAGATGCCAACAAATCACAACTCATTACCGGAGTCCTGGTTCAAAATGACTTTAAGATGTCTCTTATGGCACCCGAGGACTTGAGAGAGTTTGCTGGATTGACAACTACGACCATCGTCTGCAAACAACGCATGAATTTAAGTGCTGCAGGGATTGATTTGATCAAGTGGGCTTTAGAGGGGTCCTTTGGCAGCATAGATGAATTGCCCGAGAGCCGATCGAAGCTTAAGATGAATGGCGACACGCATATGAATGGTTCGAATGAAGAGGCTGACGAGGAGTTCTCGAATCTCGCGACTGTCTACCTTGTCATGGGATGCGTAATCGTGCGTCACAAATCCAACGGAGAGGTAGAGGTGGAATGGGAAGGCAACATACTTAATGATGGTATTGCTGATTCAGTTATGGGCGTACTGCTCTCAGTAGAAAGCAGTCCTGCTGCTGTAAAGCGTAAGTTTTTCAATCAAGAATCATGTATTTCGCTAACACGACTCACAGAATCCTCGAGCAAACACTCCCATTCACACGACCTCCCATCTCGAAACTCACATACAGACACGAACTCAACGGAGCGATTAGAGCGTCTATTCATGTTCCTAGAAGCTCAATTCGGAGCTGACAACGTCTCTCCCATCGAATTACCAAAACTCAAGTCCCAACCAGCAATCACCGCTTCTCTGAAACAAGAGAAAGACGAAGAAGCAGCATCAGACGATTCCGCAGAAGAAGAGCACACTCAACTCGAAGTCTCTCAACGCAAGGAAATAGAGCGTCTTCATAAAATCGGCATCCCAGTCCCGGGCGTCGAAGTCAAGGTCGGCAATATGGCAGCTAAGGTCTGGCTCGAGAATCTAGAGATTGAGTGCCCAAGTCGTGTGCTGGCAGAGCGGGTACGGATAGTGGTGGAAAGAGCAGTGGAGGTCTCGGCTCCTTTATGGGTGTGATATTATATGTACTATAATATTTTCTTCTTCTTTACGGGATCGCTTCCATGTGCTCACCTCATGAAATGCCTGGATGGTAGGCGGGTTGAAAACCGGAATCCATAGAAAATAGGCGTTCGTATTGCATTGCAGGTTAGCAACATCAAGAATTCAATCATCACAAGCCTAAATTATCTACTGAACAGTAGAATATACATGGCACTAAAAGTACCTCATCGTGACTTTCGGGTCTTTTATTCTAGAATCCTCACATCGTCCAGTCAGCAGCAGAGGGAGAACTTCGGCCACTGACACAAGGTGTTGTTCCTGTTGTCTACCCATCTCGGCGAATCGTCCCAATTAGCTGCATCTCCGCCTGCAGCAATAAAATTCCCGAATCATGTCGCGCACCGCACAACGCCTGGACGTCATCTTGCTTTCCCCATAAAATCAGCTGCAATCCAGCTCACAACCCCAAAGCATAAAAATTGGATCAACACCAACTAACCAATCCCAAGTACAAGCCAGCAGTAGAAAGGCCCAGACTTCGGATGATCACGACAGCAGTGAGGCTTTCACATGGATACTCCCTTCTGACATCCTCACATGGATAGCGTTTGGACCCCTGAAGCCTGTCGGGTTTTTAGCGAGGTTGTGGTTGTGGCTGGGCAGCAGGTTTACGGGAGCTAGTCCGGGTCAGAAGACAGACATAAATCAAGAAGCTCCTCCGCCCTTCTCCATATCCTGCCGAATCTCTTACACATGCTTTCTCCGTCAAAACTACAGACTCGAATCTGCGAACTTCAGAAACCAATTACAAGCTGGCCAAGATGCCCAATTTCCTCTTCACCCAAGAGAAACGCCTGCAGATTACCGTACTGGCTGCCCTGTCCGTCACAATAATGCTCTTCACGGTCGTGCATTTTAAGCACCTTATACCAGCGAGACATCATGCGTTGGACTGCAATGGGTTCTTTGTGAGCGATTTTGCGGATTGTGTGGGGGAGGGGTTGGAGAATGGAGTTACGTGGGATGGCCGGAGGGCGGGGAAGAAGGATTGGCTTTGAGGAGGGGAGGAGAGGGAAGGAATTGAATACATCGGATAGGAATTGAGTGATAGGTTGGAGCTGAGGCATGGTTATGGTGACTACTGGAGCAAAGTTCGACGTCGAGAGTTCACGACATTGTGAAGAAGGGGGATCTTGAAGTCACTATACTCTACCAGCGACGCGAACACGAACGGAAGTCACCTTGCGGCGGATGCACCTTGGTTCCAAATGTTGCAAGGAAAAATCCGGGTCGAGCTATAGCAGGCAGGAGAACCGCACCCTCGTTCTACTACTGCTCAGCGATAGCAGGAATCCGAAGGCTAGAAGCGGGAACCTCGAGACTGGAAGTACAACTGCCCATCTCAACTGTGGACAAGTTCCGAGCGCTGAAGTACTGGGCAAAGATCAGAGAGCGGCCACGAAGGAGGATGAAGGAAAGCTACAGTACATGGAGGAATGAGACTTCAATTAGCTAGGAAACTTGTTGGCTGAAGAATATATGTCAATGATTTTGTTCAGGTTGACCCTCACATATTTGGATACAGTCTCCTTCGTGTCCCAAACCGTTCGACTAGATCAGGTCTTCCAGCTAACTGTAATCAAATAGACCTCGGCTTATATTCTACAGGTAATATTCCCCTTCAAGTGTTTTGCTCTCAAAAGATTCAGCTTCCTTCGTTTTACTCGTCAGTATCATGGGTATCTGCATCTTGTCTCTGAAACGATACACCCATCAACGTATCATAGGGTGAAGCTTCGATTTTGAATCAGAAGTTATTGCCTCCATAGCGATGATAGAGGCATGGAGCTCGCGAATTCATAGAATGCTTCCTCCGACCAGCAATACCCTAAAATGAGTTACGAAGAACTATATTTTGATCAGAACTGTGTTGAGGAATGATTGCTACTGTGATATGCAAGTGTTATCATGCAAATTCCTTTTGGTGCGCGATCGTGAAGGAAGCAGAACACTAAATCATTGCTTTTCTGCCCATATCTGAATAGCTCAGTTAATTATAAGTGTAATAGAGTTTCTCTTCCAAGTTTCAACCCCCCTTTTTCCCTTTCTCCGATATTTTTTCTTCTTCTCGCGCCCCGCTTGCGCTTCTAGAGACCTAGAAATTCCAAGTTCTGTGTGTTAATCTTTGGCTATTCAGAGAACCAAGTGTTGGACTAGCCGCGGGCTTGAGTAACTGTTCACAGTTTTCTTCATTGTGAAATTCATACTGGCGTTATGTGCTTCTTACAATTTAATAGCATGTATAGTAGAAATTGGATTGTAAGATGATATTGTTCCAGAATGTCGAAGACAACATGAGTGGACTAAATGGTGTGACTTGGGACTGGAGTTATGAGTCGAATGTCAATCAAGCCTGTGTGAGGAACCATACAGATGTTTGCAACCTGAATTGTTTGTCTCAGGGAAGAAGAATCAAAGACAATGGATGCATATTCGATACTTGGCACCTGAAATGCAACGACGATGAGAGGTCGATGTTGGTTTGGGGAGGAAACATTGCATATTATTTTTCATGTGCAAGTATTAACTGATATTCAAATCCAACTACCGGACTTCCAGATTAGAATTGTCCGTCGAGAGCAAAGTACTTTGAGGCTAGTAATGTCGAATGCGCGCTTGAGGCAATAACTTGTTCATTTTCATATAAGTGAATAGTGATAGCTGATGTCTGGCATCTGTGAAGCATGGCTTTGGGTTCAAAGTGACGGACTGGTTTGTGAGCTTCGAAATAATTTCATTTATTCAATAAGAGTTCGTTCTTCGTCCCGTTCTGCGTTCTTTTGAATTGTTGATTGTGAGAGCGACTGAGGTCAACGGGACAAAGAAAAGTTGCGTTGGAGATATGGTATATTGTTCGATGATTCACTGATAAGGACGACATCATTCGCCGGCAAAGCTGAGCGGACAAGTAATGAAAAGTGAACGCTCGAACACGGACTGACCGCCACACATTGCATAGAGACATCACCACACTTGGAGAGCTGCCTCAGGTGCTTAAGTCTCCATGACAACGACGTACAAAGAGCGGGTTCTAGTCATTGATGGAGAAGCGGATAGTCATTCTCTGGCTGGAAGGAGTTTTTGTATTCAGACAGCCCAAGGGGCTCATTCGTTAATCTCTAAGTCTCCGACTTCTTGTTGCTCCCATTGATGGGCGTCTTCTCCAGCGATTCTTGCCTAGCATTCTCCTCCCGGACCGCAACCCTGATGACAGAGTCAAATATCAATGTCCCCTGCGCCTTTGCACGAATATCCTCAGCCCGCTTGAAGTCCCAATACGCGTAGGCCTCCGAGCTTGTCATCTATACCTCATTAGTCTCACACATCCACAAGCCAAGAAAGTACGACGAACCAATTTGAATGCCCTACTTAGAAACGGAACCCGCCTTTCCTCTGGTAGCCCACCCCCTTTCCTCGGATCACTGCACCATTCATGGTACAGACGAATCACCTCACTCGTATACAACTCCTCCATCTCCCTCTGGGATACCCGGCCGTGGGTGGTGAGAAGTACGCGATTGCAATCTTCGACGTCCGCGACGAACCCAAGGAACTTTCGATGACTGTATATGTGGAAGAACCCTGAGAGGGTGTGGGAATAGTCGGGAGCTTGGAGATTCGGGGACTCGGTCGCCATTTTTCTTGAAGTGAGCATGGGTTTGTACTTGTGAATCGAGATCGTGGAAATGTGAGTGTTGAGAAAGGCGAGGAGAAGATCGAGAAAGCGGGATCCAGATTTTTTCGGTTTGATATCGGCTTCCACATCCTGCTCGGCCGCTCTTTGGGAGACCGATTGTAGTTGCTGGACACCGAGGACCTTCGGTTGTCCATCTGGCAATAAACGAGGCATCAACCAAGGCTAAGTGGGCGTGGATTTGAAATGTCGCTCTGAGCTTGAGGCTGGTCTCCAGCTCCTTTCCATTATCAATGCCAAAGAGCCAGGTTATAAGCATGTTGCTTGCGACTCGATTCTCATTGTGTATCTGGAGGTAAAGCTTCTTTCGCAACTTCGATTGCTTTACCACTTCTCCTGTTTTGCCTGGAAGGTCCTACACCAACACCAACAAATCTCATGACCCATTCCCTGGTACGTCTCGTCTTTTCTACCTGTGGTTGAACATGCTCTCCTGACAGGAGATCGGCGGCAGTGTAGCATCCACCCACGTCATCTCTGTCTACTCGATTCCTATATAGAAGATGGACCTTGGTCATCTCTTTCCTTAGACTCTGTCCATAAACTCGTCTTTTGAAGCTGCTCAATGCCACGTTTCGCATCAACACAACGTCCTGGGGTCTGAGACCTTGGAGAACACTTCTCATGTCTCCAACCACTGGTTGGGATGACGAAAGCCAGAAGTTGACGGCAAATCCGGACTTTGTCTCGTCGCCCACAAGCACTTCGATGAGTTCCACGTTTGCTCCACGTCGGGTCTTGATATTTCTTGGCTGGGGCATCGAGATGATGCCCACAATAAGATTGACGGTCATCGTTTGAGGTTGTATTGAGTCCAAGTGGTTGGCATTTGGCATATCTTTGAGGTTGCTCAAGTGACCTGCAATGGGTACATTGCCTCGAGGGCGAGATATGGAATCGAAAGACGCGGACTCGTATGAAAGCTCATCGCTGGTGAATGATGACCCAGACTCGGATGCTGGGGCAATCTGAGAGGATTGGACATCTTCATGTCTGGCGTACGATTCTTCGTAGAATTGGGACAAGACTTCCTCCACGGACTGGAGACTGGAAGGTTGATCTTGTGACTCCACGTCTTGTGAGAGCTGTGAAATGAGAGATTCAACTTGCGAAGTCGTAAAGAATGAAGCTCCGTGTGATTGATGTTGCCATCCACTTTCGAAGACTTGGTGTTTGTCAAAGGTCTGGCTCAGCCCGGTAGGTAGTTGTTCCCGTACTAATGGGAGAGACCGCCATGCTGGACGATCCTCGAAGGTAGCCGGTATAATAGACACTTGTGCAGTAGTGTCGAGGCCTGTAAATCGAGCAATTGGGCCCTCGAAAGTCTTCAGGAGATGGTCTTCATCCCACTCTAAGGACTCTGCTGGTGGAGCTCCCGTGAAAAAGATGAGGCTTGGAGGCATGGTAGTTCCAAGTACTCAATCGTCGTTGTCCAACCATCGTCGGGTCCGAGTTTTAGAAGGCGGAATATCGGAATATTCGCGTTTCTCACGGAGATAAGGTGTCTTTGACTAGGTTGCCTTGACGTTTTAGGAAACATGCAGGTTCTCTGCAGCGGTCGGTCAGCTTCAGTTCCTAGATGACCGAGTATATAAAAACCTTGCGACCGAAGTACTTTTTGTTTGTTTGTTTGTTTCTTCTTGCTATTCTGTAATGGCTTTTTCTTTGCTTGGCAGTTTACTGTAGGACGTTCAGATCGTTCTAGTAGCTTGATTTGATCTAGCGCCCTCAACTAAAAACGCGGCTACGGAATTCGGATTAACATACCCCACGGTCCCGAGCTACTGCCCCACCATGTCCTACAAAAGGTCAATATCTGCCAAGCAGGATGTCCCAAAAACACGCTCAACGATGGCGACATTTAAGTCTCTTCTCTTCAATGCGAAGAATTCGTTGACAGGTGTAACACCAGAACCCATTACGAATTTATTCCCCAAGGTAGATCCAGAGATCGACGGAGAAGATTGCGACCATGATTGCTCTTCATGTGTGGTGAAATGGCCTAAGGGATTTAAGATTGATGAGGAGGATGAGTTATATGGACATATTAAAGGATGGTCTACACATGTGCTGGTTGCGACTGGGAAGACAGATTGGGTTCGGGATGTTGCAGATGAGAAAGGAAGTGTTATGGAAGCTATTGAGAAGAAGGCAGATGTGAAGCCAAGTAATGGAGTAAGTCTTTCTTACACCTGTCACTACATTGTTGCTAACATACTTCCAGAGACTAATGTTATCTGCCTCGAACATACCGACCCCGAACCATAATTCAGATTACTCAGAGCCTACAACTGTCCTGCTTCTTCCAGCCTTTACCATCATCGAGAATGTCTCCCCCAAGAACGTCAATACCTTGATGTCTGAATATGTCAACAAAGCACCTACAAATACGAGCCCTCTTGAGCCAGTTTCTCTACCTGCGTCATTACCAGATCCTCTCCCTACAGCCGAACAATTGACATCTCGTCCATGTCCACATAGGGCTCTTATTCTTCTCTGTTCTCAAAAGACTCGAGATGCACGATGTGGTCAATCTGCGCCATTACTGCGAAAGGAGTTAGAGAGACATCTGCGAGTTTGTGGACTATTTCGAGACTTGGACGATGAAAGACCGGGAGGAGTTGGGGTATACTTCATCTCCCATGTTGGTGGACACAAATACAGTGCCAATGTAATGGTATATCGCAAAGCAGACGCGTTTGGTCTGGATACTATTCAGAGAGGGAAGTTGGACGGAGATGTGTGCCCGCCACCAAGAAAAGAGGAAGGAGAGGCTGAACAAATGGGTGCTGCACAGTGTATATGGATTGCTAGAGTAAGACCTGAAGATTGCGAGGGGTTGGTGAAGTTTACGGTCTTGCAAGGGAAGGTCGTAAAACCAGAAAGGCAGCTCAGGGGCGGATTTGATAGACAAAGAGGAGTCTTCAGCTGGTGATACTCAGACAAGATGGTAGACTTTGATTGCACAGTTATGGGAGCTTGGCGTTGGTTAGATTGCACATGATCAATGCTCCAGAGCTGAGCCTAGACGGAGTCGCTGCATATAGAACATTTTTGCATATGAAGGCTTCTGCTCCTAACAAGTTTTCAAAACTCCTTGTGACCATCAAGGAACGGTGAGGAAAGACTGTGGTGGCTCAAGAGGAACATACTGTATGAGCCCCTTTTCATGTGCAGCGCTTATTCAGGGGAGATGATCCATAGTGTGGAGAAGTTTTCCTATTAGACGACTCATCCCTCAGCTGGATTTATGCAATCTGTACAAAACAGAGGTCATATTTCTGCATGCTGCAAATAATTGTGATTTCTCCTGGACCCCTGCATTCGCACGTGCGAGAATCTGGTGGACCGTGCACCTGGGCAGACTAAAAGACTCGCTTGTCGCCCCTAGCAACCCAAGAACCAAGTCAACACCGCTTCGTGGAGAATTCCGAAATCCAAACCTACCTCTATTATAGACATGAAGATCGTTATTTGACCTCTTGGAGCTTAATTTTGGGAGCTCTTTGAGATTCTCTATCATTGTTTGCCAATATGGCTTCCCAATATCCATTGCCAGAGACATATTCACACAGGCGCACAAAGTCGTCTGTCTTGTCCAACTTATCATTCATGCACAAGAGAACTCCCTCGACGGGAGCCACGCTATCTTCAAATGTATCTCACGTCTCTCCTCATGTGTCTCCGACATTTGAAGCGATGCCATTTCTCCCGCATGATCATCCGCATTACAGAGCTCTCGGCGAAATTCAACAGAATCAACAAACGCAAGCACAACCCTTGCCGAAGAAGTCTCGGGACGGTGGCCGGCCTAACACGAGCGAGACTGGTTCCCGACCACTTCATAAGAAGACACTGAGTTCGATATCCCTCAAATCTCTTGCTGGAAAAGACGGCGAGAAGACCTCGAAGACGAAAGAGCCCAAACCAAACAAGCCGAAGAAGACTAAGTCATCGACGAATCTCGCAACTCTCCTCAAGCGCCCAAAATCGTCGAAAGACTTGAACAAGGAAGCAGTGGAAGAAGCAGCTCGAGTCCAAAAGGACAAGGAGAACCAAAGCCCTACGTGTGCTGATGCGCCTCGACCTCCGCCAATATACGCACAATTCTCCAGCGAATTCTTCGCGAAGCAGCCATTGGGAGGAAAGTTCTTGGAGGATGAGATAGACCTATACACGCCGGAGAACTATTCACCTCGAAAGCAACGGAACTTTTATGAAGGCCCTGGGTACCAGCCAAGCTTACTCAAACGCGACAACGGCTCGGCTACCTCAGGCTTCCAACGTCCAATGTCGTACCTACCAACGAGCTTCAGTATTGGGGATATCGGCAGGAGAATTAGCAATGGCTCAAATCACAGTGTCGAGCTTATGAGGAGAGTATCAGGAGGCAAGAGACCGAGTTTGGAGAGGAAGGCTACTGCTACATCCGCGAAGTCAGAGAAGTCAGCCAAGTTAGACAAGGCAGCTCCAAATAAAGGCCAACGGGTACTGGCAGCGGTCTCGGCGTTGGGTTCAAAGCCAGCAAAGTCTCCAGAGGCTACATCTGTGCCCGTGGTTGATGATAAAGATGTCGATCGAGAATTTGAAGCTATGCTGGATAGGCGCAACATCCCTGAACATCAACGAGGAAAGATGCGGAAGCTTGCGATGACAATGAAGAAAGACTTCATCAAGCAAGACTGGGCTGAAGTAGCTGCGGCGAAGAACGGCAGACCGGGAACCAACAGTAGCGACTCAAGTGCTGATGCTACCAGCGGTACCCAAGACGTTCCTGCCGCCAAGACCAAGAGACCGAGGAGTCGAACATTTACACTATCAAGAAACCACAAAGACACTACGGCGGATAACAAGAAGGCGAAAGCAGAGGGAACGATTGGCAAGCATTCTCGACAGCCATCTACAGAGAACATCAACAGTGGGACTAGATCATTCACAGCATCGAGTGTTGCAGTCGCACAAAACCTGGTTGCCAGAGCAAAGGGCCAACTTCCAGATGATTTCATCTCATACATGAGGAAGGTGCAAAAGCCGGAACTAGTTGAAGTTGGTAGACTTCATAAGCTGAGGACTTTATTGAAGCATGAGACTGTTGCATGGACAGACGAGTTTGTTACCCAAGGTGGAATGGCTGAAATAGTTGGCTTGTTGCATCGAACCATCGAAGTGGAATGGAGGTATGCTAGCTTCCCTCCCATCATTCTCCAGTGATCTAACATTTTTACAGAGAAGAACATGAAGACGCGTTGCTTCATGAGGTTCTCCTCTGCTTGAAAGCCCTTTCCACTACGGCTCTGGCATTCCAACACCTCAGCATCTTCCAACAGACTCTCTTCCCTGCTTTGATCAACATGGTCTTTGGCGAAGACAAGAAGGGACCTAGCGAGTTTACGACCCGAAACATCATCTCTTCTCTGTTGTTCACTTACTTGAAGTCAGCACCACTTGCGGAACGTGCAAATCGAGCTAGGATCCTTCTTGGCTACCTCAAAGATCCTGAACCAGTCGAAACCGAACGACCAGTTGGATTCGTCCTTGAAATGAGAAAGCCACGTCCATACCGAATTTGGTGCAAGGAGGTGACAAATGTTACCAAGGAAGTCTTCTGGATTTTCCTCCATCATGTCAATGTCATTGCTCTTCCCGGATCTAGATTCCACGAAGAGGAAGACTGCGACTTATCAGCTGGCGGTTTCGATAGCACCAATCCTTACCATGTGTACATGGCTAAGCACTTTCCTCAAGAGCAGCCTCCAGTACCAGCTGCACCATATGTTGGTGGCGTTGAATGGGATGCTACGAATTATCTGGCTTCGTATCTTGATATTATTAATGGTATTATGGCAAGTCTGCCCACCAGAGAAGAACGAAATACTCTTCGCGAACAAATGCTCGTTTCTGGATGGGAGAAATGCTTTGGTGGTACACTGAGAACTTGCAAGGAGAAATTCTATGGTGGAGTACATGCAGGCCTTCGATGCTGGGTCGCTGCTGCCGTGGAGGATGGTTGGGACACGAAGGATGTTCGCTGCGGTCCTTGCATTGAAAGCAAGAGCTCACCAAAGAAGAGTCCCAAGAAGGCAGCTCCAGTCGAAGATGCCCCTAAGATTGACATGAAGTTGGATTTCCTTGGTGGCGGAGCTGCAGGAAAGAAGCCTGTTAATGACGATGTTTGGTTGTAAAGGACTTGTACGATTCTTGTTTATTGTTTTGTTGGGTAAGATTGCATGACTCGAGACTTGAAGGTCTCCTTTTTTCTTTTTGTGTTATAAGGAGTTCGGCTTGGATCCTTCTTCTCTTATGATTCGCATGAATAATGATGATGATACGATGGGATACTGTACATAAGTTGAATGTTATGAATCGAACTCTACGTGTCTATTGCAATTGCGTGCAGTGACAAACATCTGGTTGCTGATGTGTTGTAATACCTTACTGGGAAGAGGAGTCATGTCTGTCTTTAAAATTTAAATGACTAGGCAAGTCTTCCTAGTTATGTTTAGACTCAAGTGATATCTGTAGTTGGATGATTGAAAAGTAACCGAGTTCTGATTTGAGGGATTCACTTGTTGTGAAAATTCGAAATTAAGTCATTCACCTCTTGAGGGTAATCGAGTCTGAATGTGACTGTTACGGAAATTCGTGACTGAGGCACCATCAGTGAATGATTCAGGCAATTCTGAATATTCATAACAAACTCATTCCAATAACCATCTTGTATACACAATCACCTTGCTAAACGATCAAAGAAAATGTATAACTTGACATCATTTCAAGCTGTTTATGTTGTTTTTACCACTTTCCTTCATACAAACATCTAATTTCCAGAACTACCAGCGCTACAGCAACTTAAGATCACAAAGAATAGCAACATGAACCAACAACACCACCATAATCTCCGTTCTCATCCCCATCCTTCAGAATCACCCCAACGTACCCCCTCTCCAACCCGGTGCCCCATCTGCCTCGAGGACCTCTCCACCAACACCGCACAGTTCCTACCATGTACCCACAACTTCGATCTCCCCTGCACCATCACCCTCTTAACCGGCCCACCCGGCCCCCAAGCCCGCCAATGTCCCCTCTGCCGCGCCAAAATCGCCGCCGTACAGTACAACTTCGTCTCCGCCCCCATCTCCTCCTGCTCAACGCATATTCCCGGTTCCTCGACCTTCGATTCCGGGCCCTTTATCCGGCCAGACGAGACTGTGACTCCGAGCATGAGTGAGTGGGAAAAGAACAGGAGGAGGACGTTGAGGGCGTTGAGGTTGGTGGAGGATTATGATCCGTCGCTTTGGCAGCTTTTTCATATGGGTGTTTTTGTGAGGGAGGGTGGGAATGTGGTTTTGGTGGAGAGGATGGTTAGTTTGAAGGTTATGCAGGTGGATGGGACAAAGACGGTGGCGTTGTTGGTGAGGAGTTTGAGTGTGAAGGTTGTGGAGAAGGGGATGGTTGAGGAGCCGGATCTGGATCAGGAGGAGGAGAGTCCCGAGGATGTTGAGGAGGCGAGGGAGGAGGTGAGGCTTTTGTTGAAGGCGTTCGGGGTGACGAGGGAGGAGGGACCTTGGAGGGATTGGGTGGAGATGAAGGTGGATGATCCCGAGTTCAAGGTTTTGAGGGATGGGAAGTTGTTGGAGGTTGGCGCGAGGAAGTTCTTGGTAGTTCAGAGGAAGCATGGAGCTGAAGACATCACAGTAAGTTCAGCGCTATCCTCCACATCGAATATAGGAACAAGTCCAAGAAGGAACGAAGAATCGAGACTGACTTACCATAGATCACAAATTGCACCTCCCTCACCGAGCTCTTCCCTGCAACAACGATCCTTTCTTCCAACTGGGCTGACGAAGACTACGACTCCGATTCCAACCTCATCGACGGCATCTCCAAAGCTGCTCGCGTGCGAGCCGTCAGCCTCGCACGGCAAGAAATTCAGGGCGTATTCCAATTGTTCAGAACCCTCAGCAGTTTCGAAGACATCCGCGATCTAGAACGTGGAAGCACGGGAATTTTGGACTCTGTGAAGCAAGAGGATCTGGAATGCGAGTACTGCGAGGCAAAGCACCGGAATGGCGATTGTAAGCTTCCGAAAGCCGCGGAGTTGACTGGGGCGTTTTTGGTAGAAAGGATGGCATTGTAAAATGCAGGTATGCTGTAGAAATTGGATTTGGTAATCTTGTTCTAGACTTGGTAGGACAATGAAATGGCTAAATTCCAAGTATAAAATATAATTCATAAGTGAAATAGTTCAAGAACAATGTGAAGAACAATGGGAATTACTTTTCTTCCACAGATTCCGCTTTTCCTATTTATATTGTCCCATAAGCTTTGGAACATTATTATGTTGAATTCCAATTCATACGGGCAATCGAGCAGTGCAATTGGACAACGAAGATATGTGAAGTGAAAGGAAAAACTTGAGAGCAAAAGTGAAAAGCGTGGCTGGCAATGCGTCGATCGATAATCAATAGTGGTGTTTTGTTTATGATGACGAAAAAAAAAAAGTAAAAGTCAATAGAGCAAAAACATACTAGATGTTCTTAACCTCTGTCGAGTAAACTCGTGCTTGGCAAGCCAAGGTAGGAATCAAACCTACAACATAGAGGATTTTGGGCTATTTCAAGAGAGGTGAAAGATGTGTTGAACACCAGACTTTAGACTCCAAAGGCAAACCCTCCGCTACGACCCCGAAGGGGAACTTTGGGTTAAATCCTATGTTACTCGCTTAAAATATTTCCTAAATTGTTAGTAAGTTGTCCTCTCCCACTTGAGCCAGCGTGACTCGCCCCGCTTAGTGGGAGAGGACAATAAGCTTTTGCTTAAATAAATCTATAGAGGGCGGACCGCGAAGCTTAAAGGTGACTCCCAGCCTCGCAACGCCGAACATTACTCTGCCTTTGTTTGGAACCTGAAAGTAATCAGGCCATTACGGGATCATACGCATTCATACCCTGATTAATTAAAGAAAGTTATTACTATTTTGAAGCCTCCTGAAAATTACAAGGCCTCCGCACCTCCGCGCCTCTGCACTTCAATATTCCAAGACTCCTGCACCTTTTCATCTCTGCCTAGAGCCCTAGATTGCTATAGTGCCACCATGCAGGATCCTTCGACCAAGACCCTTCAAAAAACGATTCACGCCCTCTCGCAGAGTACATCAATTGCGATCGTAATATAGCCGTTATGGCTTCCACTTTTATCACCAACGTTCATGCTGCCCCAGCACCGGACGGTCCGGTGCGGACCGCGTTCAACCACTCCGAGCGCCTCAGATTGTTGGTGCTGGATGCAGTGGTGGTAGCTATCTGTGTACTATCCTTCACTATCAGTCGATAACGGTTATATGAAAGCCTCAAGTAATAGCAAGGAAGAGAAGTAAGCTCATTAGACTTAGTAGCTGTGTATTTACGGAGGAGAAACGTACGACTCGATGTATTGCCATTTCGTCTTGCGAATTCGTGCACGACTTTGACCGCTTCTTCGTCCAAACCTTTTCCCAGGATTTCTTGAAAGATGAAGCCTGGCGGCTTGGTAGGTTTATTGGGAAGTTGTTTGCGCCAAAGAGCCTACAAATTGTTTTTATACATCTATAAATTTATGTATAAGTCGTAATCAGATATCAGACATTCTAAAAATGACAATATTTGACAGAGATACAGTCTTTTCCTTCGACCCAGACTCTCTTCGATGGTGGGAATAAAATCAATGCGTCTAAACGGCGTAGGGAAAAGATCTGGATCTGGCATACATTGAGCCGAGGGAGATCTACGAAGAATGACCCCGAAGCAGGCCCGAAACTGGCTATTACCACAAGAGGTGAGGGAAACTTCTGCGCACCTAGAAATGCAACCTTATGGAGCTCACTAGTGTCGGCCTAATGTGTTGGGATACAACAGTGCACTAGATGTTAAGCTTCTGTGCTGAAATGCCGAAGTCCATGCGTGAATGGAGGGGCCCCTCTTTGTAAACAGCAATCATTTAAATCATGCTTTCATAGGAATTGGGATTAGAAAATGATGTCCTAAACTTCGTGGGACAATATGAATAGGTTAAGTAATAAGTAGACACCAAATTGTGAGAGAACAAGTGACTTGTTTTATCCGGAGAGAGCCTGCATAGAGCCAAACACTTGACGAATACAAGGCTTTCGCTATTTCAAAACTCAAATAATTGCTTGTTTTACGTACTTCTGTTATTTTAGAGCATATATTTGACTAGCAAAAATTTGATTGTAATATGCTTGAGTAATTTTCAAATGTTTTTGATGTGCATTTTTTTGGGTGGGTGCACGGTTCACTCCTACGGAAGAAATAGCATAACCCAAATTTCTACATTACCTCGAAAATTTTGATCATATCGGAAGTTTCAACTCAAAACAGCCTCGTCGCCATCCTCTTAGCCAGCCTCGCTGCTATTTTTACCGCTATCCTCTTCGCCCTCCTCGCAACCAAACCTCGATTTCGAGTCTCAATGGCAGGAATCTATTTCCCCGGCTTGACGAACTTCAAGACGCCCAAAATCAAGAAAGGATTCTTCCAAAGCGATTCTTCCAACTCGCTTTCGGCGCTAAGCCCAACGGATACATTATGTGGCCGAAAGACGCCGACCATCTCAACAAGACCAAGTACATTGATCGCCTTAACATGGAGGCAACGTGGATATCTGAGATCGACCTGTACTTCCCAGTATGGCGCAAAGGAGAGGGATGCCGAATGTCAGAGGAGAAGGCTTAAGAATTGCGCAGAATTGAGCTCGAGCAGGTCAGTCATCTTCTAACTCCATTGTTAGATGCTCATAAGGGACATTAGATAAAGGCAGACGATGTTAAGCGGCATTGGTCGGAGAAGATTGATAAATTCGGCGTCACCGATTTTGATAGATACGCGCATGAGGTGTGTGTGAATCTCGGTCAGCATAAAAGAGACTCAAGCTAATGGCCGAGACGATCTGGACCTTCCATCACTCCTCAAGTATTGGAGTCGTTTTGAAGAAAGGTTGCTTTTTTATAAGTATTCTATGTTGAGAGCCAGCTGAAAGTGATTTCGTCCTCGCGACGCGAAGATGAATTGACGTGAACCTCCTAATCCGAGCTCCTGTTGCAGATTTCGTTTATGTATCTGTTCTATTCCATAGCACTTCAATGTATCGACTCATCTACTAGGAAGAAACATTATGGCAACCCGGCTATGCCAAAGGCCATTGTGGCGAGTTACAGTCTATAGTAGCAAGCCCATTGTCTGGAAAAACGAACTGACTTTAACCTAGTGTATATGTGATCAAGAAATCTCGAATATCCAACCGCATGGGCTCCCCTCACTACACCTGGACTTGATAAAGAAAGGTTTCCACAGAACCAAGACATTTGGACCGTTGATATCAAGTCAAAAGCACTCACTGGAAACGTCAAGCGTTCAGCTAACTTTATCAGAAAGCGTACTTGACATCGAAACTATCGGGTTGTTGTACGCTCTCAAACGTGAGATTGTCAAGGAACTTTGTGATACAAACCAGCAATGGCACTGCTCCTGACAATTCCGCGCTTACGTCTTCACACACTGACCCAAATGATGAGACCAAGGACAGAATATCCAAAGTAGATGACATCAAAAGCATAGGCCTAAGAACACATTCAAAATTCATCATCCTCGCCAAGCTCCCCATGATCGGCAAAAATCTTCCGAATCTTATTCAACTCACAATCCCCATTCCTATGCCCTCCAAGATCGCAGTGCTCGCAATGAATACCAGGCCGAACATCTAAGATCCCAGTAGCCGTAGGTTCCGACAGGATAATCGTCGGATTTTGAATGAATGCGAATTCCAGCGCCCCCTCAAATTCCTCGCGTGCTAAGCGAACCACTTGTTCCCTCTTGCTGCGTTCGATACCATACAACTTGTCAGGATCTGCAGCCGGTGGTCGTGTAGCGTAGATTTCGTTCATTTTCAGTGTTGATACGATCAAGATGTCCTCACCTCCGTTATCGTCCTTGACGATTTGTAGAGTTTTTCTGACATTTATTCTAAGACCCTTATCATCGTAAAGGATCTTGTACAACAAGCCGTTCTTGTGGAACCGCGCGAAATCTTGCTCGAAGCAACCCACCCGTGCCAGAAGGATTTTGACGTTATCTCGGGCTTGAGCTATTCCAGCTGGGTTTAGCGGGCCAAATCGATGCACGTACGCCTCGCTCTCTGCGTCGATTGGCAGAGTTGCTATCACAAATTTGCGAACCATTGTAGAAGCTGTGCCAGCGTCGTGCGGTACTTGGTCGATTCTTACATCGATACAGCTGTGCATAACGATGAAGTTATCGCCTTCTTTGGTATGAATGCCCCGCTTCGCAAGACACATCCTAATCCGACAACCTCCTCCTTGTCGAAGGCGGCGGAGCTCTAGCACGCGGTCACGCTCAGCGGGAGCCATGTCCGTCCTTAGTTCCTCATCTGGTCGAATGAAAGGTCCGGACATGAGTGGGGACTCTGCCCGAACCGGCCCGGTAATATGCTTCTCATGAGTCCCGTCCTCGAAGTTATAATGAATCTCTTCGATACGAGATCGACATAAAGGACAATTGCGCCCTACAATACCCGAGCTCTTGAGAAGCCTACTGGTACAAGCCAGATCGAACTCGTGACCACAAGGCACCATCCGTGCGACGTCTGAAGATCGATACTCCCTAGCAAGTGCAAAGTCAGTAATTGACTGGATAAATCAGGGAAGGACACTCTTACATGCAGATGGAGCAACGGACAGGAGATTCTGTTCCAGACTCCATGGGCGTGCCAAGTTGTTGGATTGGGATGATGATGATTAGATGAAAAACGATGGTTGATGAAGGGGATGAAGGGGCATTGTATCTCAACCAAGATTATATGCTACCCTCGCATGTCTGATTATATCTTGTGAATCAAGCAGCGACTACGGTCAGAGCAATGTGTAGCGCTTGCAATCATAACCCCTGCCTTGGTGATTAACATACAAAGAATTTTTGGAAATATTCATAGGCATCACTAGATGGACACTGCATATGGGAGGAAAGGCAAATTCTGGAGGTTTACTTGAGCATGGTCTTGAGTGGATGAAAAGCACGCAGCAGAACGTCCAGCAATATCTGGGAGCTTCGGGGAAGCAGAAGTGCGGAAATCCTCGAGCTATTAGTGGGGTTTGAATAGCACTGGCAATTGGCATTTGCACGTCAGAAAACCGAGAAAAGACACGGCAAAAAGTTCAGCAATACACCAGAAACCCTATGAGGGAACTGTGCAGAAGAGGTTTTCGTCAATGATAAGTGACCAATATGTTCGGATTGAAAGGCAACAATTACTAAATGGCAAGCACACCACCATTCTCAGCGTCTCTACTTGCTGTACGTTCCTTATCTGCTTCAACTCTGCGCATTCGGGTATGCTTCCGTCTACCGAACAACCCAAGCATGAGTGGCAGGGGTACGACGACCAGCGCAATGACCGTCTGAAATATCAGAGGTTTGTACATATTTCCAGGCGGTCGAGTGGTATGATTATCGGCTGTTCCGTCATTGGGCCCACTAGCACGCAGTGCGTCCGAAATGATAATGAAGATACCACCAAAGAGTTGGCCGCCTGTCCAGCAAATTGTACTGGTGACCTCGGGAGAGACTGGATGTGTAATCTCAATGAGATACTCGAGGACTACAGGTACCAAACTGAAAGATGCTGCGCCAAGGATGGATAGGATGGCGTATGGAGCTGCAAGATTTCTAGTTTGAGGAGCCCAGGTAAATGCCAGGTAGCAGATACCAATAATGGGTACTTGTAATTTAATGGCAAGGAGGAATGTCTTCGTCTTGTCGATGATGGGTGATGTGACAGCAGAAGTTACCAGCCCAACCACAATAAGTAATGCTCCAGCGATTCCGGCGTCGTTCTCGGAGAACGAGTAAGGCTGGAGGATCTGGTTGATGAGAGACGAGATACTGTTGAAAAGACCAACGTAGATAGTGAATGGGATCATGATCATGTAGAATTCTGGTGAGGTAAACAGGAACTTCAATGATGGCACAAGAGGCTGCTTCTCATCATGCCCAGTCGGCGAGGGCGGAGTTGGAGGGTGAGCCGGGATGAAGAATGACGGGATCGTTGCAACAGATGACTATGACTGGTTAGAAAAGAATGGTAGAGGGAGCAATGACACTTACAATAATTGCAATGTACAGAACCATGTTCGGGATATCAGAAGCACTATTGGCCCAAGAGGGATCAATAAGCTGAGCTAGAGCTCCTCCGAATGGATTGGCCAAGCTCATGATAGCTGTTGCAGCAATTCTTCCACGGTTGGTAAACCACAGATCCGAGTATCTGGTGGGGGCTGAAAGGACGAAAGGCTGAGCCAGCCCAGTCAAGATCTGTCCAAACATCACTCCTCCAAAGTTTCCATGTTCACCAGATCTCGTAGCCCCGTACCTTATCCAATTACCCAACAGAATGAGCACCGAGGCTGCGATGATAGAAGGCTTTGGGCCCCCATGGTGAAGTGTGTAAATCACCACGGGCGAAGCAGCTACAAATGCGAACAGAAAGGCAGTGCTGAGCCAATTGACGGTTGACGGCGTAACATTGTAGTATTGTGAGGTAGTAGTTGAGTTTGCAGAGAAGGAGAGCCACTGTTTTGCATAAGCACGACACGATTGAGGCTGGCTGGATTGTTTCCAAAGAGGCACTTACATCCCAGCTGACGATGATGTTCAGTAACACCAGCTGTACCAATCCGAACCATCTTCTCTTGTAAACCTTGTATACACGCCCGGTCGAGGTTCCATCCGCTTGGTTCGCGCCATTGCTCTCCAATCCACGGTCTGCAGCGACACGCTGTGGGGAAGATCCATCGTCCTCGGGGCCAAGCAGCTCGTCGTCGCTGCGGACTTCATGCAAGGCTTCTACCTCCCCAATCTCGCCAGGGTCGCCAGTATCATTGGTAGATGTGACCTTGAGTTCGTCGTTACCTTTGCTATCGACGCTCCCGACGCGGTTCCCATTCGAGCTTACATGCGAGCTGCCGTTGGCAGAAGTAGCCGCATCCCCTTTGCCTTTATGCTTGAGACCCCTCATCCTCAGAGGTCTCATAATTGTCCACCCTGGAAGTGTCTCCCCTGCCGATTCGGATTTCTCATCAAGAGCTGGGTCGACCGACTTGCTCGCTGGTACGCGACTCGGTACCTTTTCTGTGTTTGACACTTCGTGGCTTGCTGACTGGGGCGCCATAGCGCTACGGCCCCGATAAATAGTGGATTAGAGTGCTGACCAGCCAAGATCCTCTCACTGATGAGGCTCAAAGTCACCCTTCACAATGGAAAATGAGCGCATTCATAACCTAATATTGAAGTATCTAAGTGAATGTATTATAAAGATTCACATAGAGAGGGGAAGCGTAAGCCGATAAGGTCGTGTGGACAGTCCGGGGAAGTGTGCTCGAAATAGTAAGGCCGATATCAGCAGATCCATGAGCTTGCTCGGATGGGACACCGCAACGAGACCGAAGAACTTTAGGACCCAGAGTACCACGGCTTGGCTGTGCATGTTTGGCTTTTTTGTCTTGTGATAATCCGAGCCGGCTCGAAATACATGACGGCTTATCTCTAGACTCTGATAATCTGATAAATCTCGGAAAGTATTATCCGACTCTAATCAGTAGACTTTCTTCTCAGATGTACGGTGCTTTGTTTGTTATCCGAGGTAAATAGCACCAAGTGAGTAAGTAGCACGAGTGTTGACTAGTTCAAACCATGTCTTACTCTCTTGTAACAAACCATTCGGTAGTTGATTGATAGCCACTTGCTCGTTTGGGACGCGTTTATAGTACCGTCTATGAATTTTCCTATACTACATGCAGAACCGCTCAAAAGGGATGCTTATGCGGTAGTACAAAAAAGGTGATTCGAGGGAGAAATTTGTACAACCACGATCCTCCAATCCCCCATCTCTCACATCATCTATGTCTGGGCAATGAATTGCAGATATTGTCGATTTGAAAGGCCAAAGACTCTACTTGAGAGCAGCCCAGAGCTTTGGTGCAGCGCACTGGTTCGCGCAGTGAGCTAAGTGGAAGACTAGAACATGTCAGTAGGTGGCAAATCCGTAAGAATAGACCAGCATACATTCTTCAACACAGTCTTCGTTGGGGTGCTTCTTGTCCACTGGCTTCCCCTCATCGGCACCGGTAACTCGCTCAACACACTCATCGAAGTGGTGCTTTGCTGGTGAGCATTGCTTTGACTCCTTGCATTCTGTGAAGAGTTAGCAACAGTCCTAGTACCTCATATCCATGGAAATAGTGTCGAAAGAAGCTGCAAAGACTTTGTTCAGATGACAACCGGCTCTGAGGAAGCAACTCAATTGAACATCACTACTCTTCGGCGACCTTGAGACGAATACAACTAGCATATGGAACACCCGTGAAGGTGGGTGTCAAGTACCACTTGACTGGTATCCAAATTTACTCAAGTAATTCAAGTAATTTGGATGTGCCACTCGCCTCAAGGTATAAGCTCAGCTTCCATGCATCCAAAGCCGTGACGCAGTGCATTCGAAGTCTTGCCCTGACATCTCAATTGTGTATCGGAGCTTGCAACCCCAATATCTCTGCAGGTCTATATATGAAATGCACTCACCCTCCTCGAACTTCTCCTTAGGATCCTCGGTCTCTGGCTCGTCCTCTTCCTCTTCTTCCTCTGCTTCTTCGGGCTCGTCCTTGGATTCCTCGTCTTCCTTGCCTTCCTCTCCAGATTCCTAAGTAACAATGATATTAGCATATGTACGCAATCATAGCCATGTAGCAGACGGATAAAGCCCTCTCAGCCCCAAAGCTCCGCACCACCCGCCAAACTCAATCCCGTCTCATCCCTCTCTTCCCAAAGCTCAATTGAGACTCAAACTCCCTCGCACAGCTCCAAAATCTCCAATCTCAAGAAACCACTCTCAATTCACACATAGAACCCCTCAAGCACCAAGTAAAGGCACAAACATACCTTCTCATCATCCTTCTCCTCCGGCTCAGCAGCCTCCGCCCGAGCCTCACCCCACGGCAGCGCCGCCTCCAGAATGTCCGTAAAAGTATCAAAGAAGCCCATCGTGCACGATCTCAATCTCTCTTTCTGGGAGACAGGCCGGTGGAAGGTCAATGGTTCGATGTTGATGAGGTGGTTGAAAGATTTGGCGAACCGGAACAGCTTTGATTCGGAGACGTATGCGTTGTGATTGGTTGAAGAAAAATTGAGCTAGGAGGTCGAGATCAGCTGATCTGCCTGGTTGTTCCGAAATTCACTGGGACAATTTTTTGGGAAGATGGGGAAATTCATTGTTCGAAGTCAGTTCAGGTTTTGTGTGATCAAAATGTGTAGAATTCGTGCTTCTGTATCTGGGACAATCTACTACAATCCCAACCTGAACACCTTGCATCATAATGTAAATGAGCGAAGAACCGCCGCAAAGAAAACGCTTTCCTAGGCGCCTCTTCAACCCTAGATTTACTTGACAGAAGAATATTTTGAGAGATCGTTTCGTCCCCCCTACGCTTTTATGATATTTAGCTACGGATTCGACTCATCATCCCTATCTCTTTGCCGTTCGGCCTCGTCCCTCAATCTTCGATCTAAGTCAACACCCACGGCTTGTGCCTGAGCTTCCTCATAACCTGGCGGAGGTTCGTCCGGAGCTGATTGTTCTAGCTTTGGTGAGTCCGTCTCAGGTGGACTTCTCACTCCATCGATGCCACTGTCTCTACCTGGCCGAGTTGGTATTGGACTCAGAATCGTGGGTCCGTCATCCTCCGGCTCAACTTCTCGAGCAGGCTCATATGCTGGCAGTTGCTCCAAGTGGACGTTTGCCAGGTCTACATTTCCTGCTCCATGTTGTCCACTTTCTCGTGCTACAGAATATGCTTGCTGTAGTCTCTCCTTTATTTGCTCAAATGTGGTGTGATAGTCGAAAGCTCCTCCTTCTCGGAAAGTAAATTTCAGTTCGACGGCCGCATGAGCTGGTGGTATACCACCCCCAGAGACTGGTTTACATGTTCCCACCCAATAATTCGCTCCAAAGAATGGTGCTCGTACATAGGTATCTTGAAGGTTGAGGATGGGTGACGAAAACGATTGGAGCGCTGGGGTGGGTGATGATGGTAGATACACTATCTAATCTCTGGTCAGCAAAGTATTGAAGGGTGGGAGGCTTCTCGTACTCGTTGATTCGTGATATAGACAATTCCAGCATCGCTCTTGATCGATAATGGCTCGGCTCCTGGGAATGTATTTGGTGTTGAAATCTGCAGACTAACTCGTGGGGGCGATGTGAAGAGTATCCGTTCGTTTGGTAGCTTGACAAAACTATCGGTGTTGGACGTGGTCATAACCCAACTTTGATTTGATTTTAGCTCTCTTGCTTGTGCTGCTTGCAGAGCATAGGAGTGTTGTTCTTGGTGGAATTGATACATTATGGGGGTAACGGAAGACGTGGAAATAAGGCTGGAGGAGAAAACAATAGAAGGATGGTTGATCCCAAGAAAACTTACTTGATTGACATCTTGTCTCTGCTACCTGCCTCTGCGGCAGATGTGACGGGCCCAGGTATGCAGTGGGGTGGGTCGCCTCGAGTCGAGCCGTAAGTGCTTCTAGGCAGGTAGTTCGCTCGCCGTGGGAACCTGCTTGGGGAAAAGGATGTGATGCTTCTATGCACGCAGCAGGGAGGTTAGGCTTCTCTGCGAATAGTAGAAGGATGAAGGCGCAGATATGGCGTCGTCGAAGACTTTCCTGCCACGGCTGGGGTAGTAGAAGCGGAAGGTGATGGCGGGGCAGGTTGTGGGGGCTTTCGGATTGGACCTTTTTTATCCTCGATGCGGAATGACGGCTAAAGGCTGAGGATGTGGTGTTGGGCAACTCACAGAAAAGGCAGACAGAGGAGTTAATCAAGAAAAGTGCATGAGATTCCTAAATATCAGGACGCCAGAGACGGCAAATGGAGAGAGACAATTTTTTTAAGTTGCGGGCTGTTCCCGCCCCTTTCATCGGCCTCGTCATCTGCCCACCGGCCTACCTTCAAGAACCTAGTAAATGCATTTCTCAGTAGTAAGTCAGAAGGTTGGCTTATCAGCACTTGAAGAGCTAGTCGGCTGTCCTAAGATATTCGCCGCTATAAGGTCAGTGGGGGCTTGCTACCTTAAAACAGCGACACCACCACCTCCTAAGCTGTAACCGAGGTGGTCATTTCCTCGTCGCCCTCATCTTCGTCACCATCATCTTCGTCACCCTCATCTTCGTCGCTCTCATCCTCATCTTCATCTTCATCGTCCAGGAAGTCTGCAAGGTTCAGATCGCCCAAGACGGAAGCCTGTGGCTGCACTACATCAGCTTGCATTTCTTATACTGACCAAAGTTTACACATACCTCGTGGTAGTAGTCGGAAGAGTCCTCAACGCCAAACTTGGCTTTCTTATCTTTCCAGTATGCTTCAACAGGTTCTCCGTTCGTCTAATGTCCCCTATCAGCATCTGAGTATCGAATTAGAGGATGACTGACCTGTTGGATGGCCATTGTGCGTAGATCCTCAGCACGCTCCCTTGAGACATTACTTCCCTCTTTTTTTCGCCATGTTTGGAAACATGCGTTGATTTCAAGAACCCATGCTTCCTCCATCATCACCTGATCAATGTATTGACCGCCATTCATGTTGTCAACATCTTTGGCCCACTTCAGGTATCCGTTTTTGGCATTTCCGAAACCGAACGCCAAGTTGTAGAAGCCGTGCTTGACCTTTGGCGTCTTGCAGCTCCTCAAGAGCAGGTGGTTGCTTGTTGACATTGTGTTGAGAGATCAGTTCTTGATTGTGCGGAAGCTTTGACGCGTGCAAGTTGTATTGTATGGAAGTTGTGTTGCGTGGAAGTTGTGTCGAAGAAAGGTTGCGTGTTTTTTTGAAAAGTAGTTTTTGGCGAAAAAGGATATTTTATATAGAAGCCAGCTGAAGGTGAATTCATTTTGCGAAGATAGATTCACGTGAACCTCGAAAACGGTGGTCCCATTGTAGATTTCCAGTAAATGGTCGTTTATGGTCATTTAAAGACGAGGGATATTGTTCAAGCGTTAAGAGTACGACTCCCTACCTAAAAGCCTGAATGATGTTTGAGCTTCAATACCCAAATAACTCTCCATTAAATATCACACGTAGGGTACGTATTTATTAATCTCATGTAAACTTTATGCTCTGTGCAATATCCTCTTATTTGTGCCTACGCGCCGGTGAGTGTGCTCATGAGATGCGACAAGCCCATTTCGAGGTAGCTTTCAGGCACTGACTGATCTTAGGTTGGTCAAGAAGCACAGAGACCAATGATTTGTGTCATTCAAGAAGCGATTTGCTGGGATCAATAGCAAATAGCCAATGATTGTATTGCTGTTTCAAGAGTTGAGATCAATTCAAGCAGCATGCTCCTTGAGGTTTGGATGAATATAACATTACATTGGGATGGAGAGCACACCTTACGGGAAGAAAGATTTAACTAAAGATGGGAGAGATGGGCCATAGTGAACATTGACGAGGGCGAAGATATGATTTCAATACGAAATGAAGAGGGGCCTGAGGTTCTTGCGGTAAAGGGAATCTTCATCCCCAGTATGCTACTTTAGGACTTAGCAATGTCAATTTTGTTACTGCAACGGAAATCTCAAGTTTGACAATTCGAGGTTGTTTCCAGGCACTGATCTTAGGTTGTTACTTTTGAGCTTCTAATGTACTCCCACTAGGTCGTACATAACTTTCATTGAGCAAAAAAAAAGATCCCTCGAGAGACTTTTGCGGGATAGAATGTCAAGTAGCTCTCGAAAACAACTTCGTGGCATTTTCAAGAAAGATATTTAGCTCGAAAACATGCCATTGGAGATGCCGAGTGTAAGGTCCCCCGTAGACATAACCCACGCCAACAGAAAGCCCTTTCCACGAGTATAATCCAGTATCATTTCGTAATACAACGATGTTGTTTAAAGTGAGCAGGATTGTGTAAAGAGGTAGGAGGAATCAGTGCACTTTGAAACTAATGTAGACTAACTGCCTAGCTTTGTCAACGACCTAAGATATCGGGATGAATAAGGCAATTTCATTACATCCTGAAGATCGGAGTGCGCAACAAAAAATAAGCAACAAAAAGCCAGACTTTAAAGGAAGAGATGTAATGTATCGAGGAAGGAAAGATGTCGGCCAAGAAATGGCACGGACCACACCCGCAACAACTTCCGCCTCCGCTCACAAGACAACTATGGAATCTTCTTCCTCGAAAGCGTTTCTGTAGCTTTCGATATTTCGCCTTCCCAAGCTTCGCAAATTCCTGTACAACTTCTGAGATGGCGTGGCCATATCCATGAAGTCGTTTGCCACTTTTGGTCTAAAATTTAGTAACGAGTAAGTAGTCTTTAGTGGGGCAGGCAACCACATTCTCTTGGACACAATACACCTCCGAAGTCTATCAAATCTTGTCTTTTGAAGATCTCCTTACGACTATCCACTCGAGCTTCGATGCATTCTTCTGTAAGATTGCAGATATCTTCGACACATCATACAAACGATCCTCCCAGAGCCGAGCTCGGACATCGCCGCAGCAATGGCGACACAGAGTGAAGAGAATCAACCAACCTTGGTCGAAATCCGCAGCACTGGAGATATATTGCTGGATGTCCATTTCAAGAATACGTCGGAATGCACGAAGTCCATCCCAAAAGATGCTTTGCGAAGCCTGCGAACCAGGAAACTACCTATACCTTCTCCACGGATTCTATACCGAGTCCGACTCGATACTCTGAAGAAACACTCGGAGTACTTCCGAATCATGCTGAAACCTCAATTCGCAGAAGGCCTCGCTGTTGAGAAAGCTTTGAAGGATCTCGCGGATGCGAGTCAGGTTGCGTCGGAACTTGAGCCAGAGAAGTTGCCACGAGTGAGCATCATAGATGAAGATACAGCTACAAAGACCTTTGGAAGAGAAGCGGTGTTCCGGGACATGCTTCGGATCATCCATGGTGCTGTAAGTACCGTGTTCATGTTTCTGGTGGAGACTGGTTATTAACGAATATTAGGATCCAATCACATCTCCGATCACAACCCAGTTCCTTACTGTACTTGTCCTCATGGCAGATCACTATAATGTTACATCCACAGTCTCTCGTCATATGCAGAAAGTTCTTGTTGCTCACAAGTATCCCATTACTTTGGATAAGAATGGAGAAGAGATTTTGAGGCAAAGGGTTCTTATACAATTTCACACAGACCAGGGGATTCGATTTGCCAACTCAACCAAAGACTTGATCTTGAAAGGCTCTACGAGGTGGACCGGGATGGAAGATTTGAGAACGCACGAATACCAAGCTTCGTGGTGGGATCTCCCATCAGGACTGGAAGGTATGCTTCCTCAACTTTGTCTCAATCTCAAGATTCTAATAGAGTCTAGCTGAACTAACATACCGCCGAACATGTGTTCTTCGAACAATTGCTTCTATCCAAACTCAATACCTAATAATTTACAGTTCCAAGGAGCGACAGTGTAAACTTGGTTATGATTCAAGTGCGAGTTGTGACTCTTTCCAACTGGGCGAGATGGTCAAGTTCCTTACCAGAAAGGGTCTTCTGTCGTTGGTGCCCTTTCAAGCCGTCTCACCAGAAGATCCAGAGTACATCTGGCCAGAAGCATACTCTGGTGATATCGAATACTTGATTGGTGTTCTCCGACAATGTCCTTCCTATCAGATCGACCACAATCATGGCCACTGCGGATTACGAACCAGGCTTTTGCCAGCACTGGATTATATCAAGAGCTGCATCGACACAGGCCTCGGCATCAAACTCAATCGCTCTAAAACAGGACCGGCCTTTGAGTCGTGGATCCCATCCACTTCCGTACCTAGAAAGAAATCATTCTGGGTCAGTGGCAAGGATGGCGAGGATGTTGATGTCGGCGGCTATAAAGCAAAGGAGTTTGAATTCGTGCCATCTAGATCAAAGACAACACTTGGTGGAGGTGGTAGAAGTGTAGAGCGAACGCCGAAAGGATTGTTCACTGCTGAGAAATGGAATTGGGTCAATGAGCCCGAGACACCTATGATGAGAACAGGTGAGCTTAATGGAAATCGTCTCTTTATTGGGCATATTTGACTAACCATTACAGGTCCTACTCTTGATCTTGGCAGACGGTAGGGGCGTGGAAGTGGCGGGTACTCAGTGACACATGTACTATAATGTCGCTAGTCGAGCCAAACAAGGGGCAAGCGAGATTCACCCCAAGTCAGAAGCGTGATGGTGGAATTTTTCTAGCTATGCACGATAGAAGCGTGGATTGAAGGGTCCATCTGAGCTTGGATGTCTGATCGCTTTGTAATGACATAATGGCATTCGAATATGTGCCTTACTGCATCAAATCAACAGAATTAAACAGAAACGATGACCCGCATGTATTCTTCTGTTCGTAATTTATGTCTACGTGCCTTCCTAGCCTATGGCTCAACCTCACCATGTATTGGCCAAAACGACCCGCCAAGCAAAATCCCCGTCCCAACTTTAACCAGCTACCCCATACAAAAAAGACTCCTATGCTCGCAATGTTCCCTAGTAGCCATAGCCTCCAGGTGGTCCAGGTGGGTACTGACCGTACGGTGGTTGCTGACCTGGGTATCCGCCCCCATAAGGAGGCTGCTGGTAACCTGGTCCACCTGGTGGAGGGGGTCCTTGAGGCCAATAGCCGGGTCCTCCAGGAGGAGGAGGCCCTTGTTGGTACCCACCTGGGTATGGAGGATACGGGGGCCGTTGCTGGTCAGGATAAGGAGCACTTTGGTATCCTCCCTGATAAGGCGGTTGTTGATGGTGCCCATGTCCATGCCCATGTCCGCCATGATGTTGTGGGCCAGAATGGTAGCTACCTGGTGCGGGGTTGGGAGCTAGATATCCGCCTGAAGAAGTGGGACGGTCGTAATTCGCGCTTCCGGGACGAGGAGCATTGTTATTGTATCCAAAATTTGGGGAGTGGTGTGGTGCTGGAGATGGTGGTGCAGGTGAGGAAGACATGTATGAAGCTGCCACGTATCCATCCGTACCTTCCATTGCTCCCAGATCTCTGCTCTGAATCTCGCTCCAGATAGAACCGGATGTCTTGCCGTGACCACCTAGAGCACCATGGGAATGATCAAGACCTTTCTCGCCAATGGTCTTGTGGTTTCGACCAGCTTTGACGGACTCGGATGACAGGATACCGTTTAGTGCTTGGCGGTCTGATTGCTCATCTACCCACTTGCGGACGGTGTTGAACATGTTTCGGTGGATCTCAATGGACTCGTCGCGAAGGGCTGGGTGGTGGAAGGCTCGGAGGATGTCATTCATTACTTCTTCCACTGGGACACCTGGATTCTCCCAAGCATAGAGAATGCGGCTGTGATATTTAGACGCAGCAGGAAAAATGAGCGAGTGAAAGACTTACGGTGCTGCGTATTGAAGAATGGTGGTTGCAACTCGACCAGCCACCCCATTCAACTTGTTTGAAAAATGATCTTTGGACAACATGGAGTGAGTTGGATTAGAGCAGTGAGGATCATTCCAAGGCTCAAATTGCTGGTTAGCACTGGGAAAAGTTAGTGTTGAGAAAGTTCACAGAAGCTTTGGACATTACCTAGCCTCTACAACAGTTGATGAGCCATCCTTCAATGTCTTCGAGACTGCCTCGATGATAGGCCTGATGAATGGCGCCAAAAGAGAAAGGACGAATACTGTCAGAGTCTCACTAATCCTCTCAATCAGTGACTCTAAGCCAGGAATCTTGGCAATTGTATTATTGATTGCTTTCACAACCTTGTCTCTGAATTCAAGGATTGGGTAAATCTGTTTAGCGGTCTTGATGGGATCGAAGTTCGGACTCATGCCAGGAATGGTGGAGGTGGCTCCAGCAGCACCACTAGTGGGAGGAGCAGCAAATTGAGTACTGGCATCTGCTCGAGCAGTCTCGTTCTCGAACTCTTGCGCAGTGGATTGTGCTTGCAAGTCTCTAGCAGTTGATGCAAGACCACCGCCTGACAAAGTCAGAATTAAACTTATGACATCAAGTGGAGGGGGACACTCTAGAGGTCTCTTTGAAGATAGCATCAAGGAAAAGAGACTCACCCATCCCAGGTATTTGAGTCAGAAGGCTGACGAAATCTGTTCCTCCTCCAGAACCAAATATTCCACGCTGGCCATCGTTGAGCTGACTATCACTTCGGTTTTGAGCTATCTCTGCACCTTTCAAGGCAACGTCCATTTCTTCAACTTCCGATTGGGTAAAGTGATCAGTGGCTTCACCAAGAACAGAATGGATAAAGTCAACAGCTCCGAATGTGCCTGTGACAAGTGGAAAGATACGATGCCCTCGAATATTGACCTCTGTGGCAATCCCGCAGTGAGGAAAGACGTCATGGTAACCAAGTTCACGGAGTGCGAGTTCTGTGTAGTTTGTGTGAGCTCCGAAATCCTTCACCCTGTCAGTCAATATGTACTCTAGAAGCAGTTGTAGACTTACCTCCATGCAGTGTAGTCCTTGGCCGAGACAGCTGTCTCATCAGTGCTATTCTTAAATAATGCTAGAAAGTAGAACTCACCGAAGAGCTTCACAAAGATCAGCTTCTTTGCCTCGCGTGTTACCAGAGCCATTGGTGTAAACTCTTCCAAAATGAATACTTCTAGCAAAGCTGAACTTGATATAACCAGCACTGGTGGCCCAACCACCACTCTCGTTGGCTATGTAATTCTTCATACCAGTGTTCATATCAACATCAAGCTCGACCTGTTGAACGGGACCTCTTAGACGTGGATCAAATTCTCTGGCATCCTTGTTGTCGGCATAGTCTTTGGGATTGTCTATGTGCTCTTCTGGCCTGTAAACTCCCAGTCTCTCTTCGGTGACTTCGAATTCTTCCGTGGCATAGCCGAAGCTCAAGAAACTCAGAACCCAAACTAGGATCCTGATAGTTGGCGCATTCACACCTTTAAGAGACCCTACATCAACTGCTTGGCTGTAGTCACGTAGCCAATTTCCAAAGTAAACTCTCTTGACCATCATGGATGTCCATTTGTGGCCCTGTCGTTGGTGAGCTAAATGCCGAATAGAACGGGAATGCTTTGAGTCTAGGTGTCCTTCAAAATTCGTGCAAGGAGCGAGTTGATTGAGGGTCCCAGAGTATGAAGAGATATAGCGGGAAAGATCTCACCTTGATGAAAGCAACAGTCTTGAGCATATCTTCAATGTCTAGATTATTGTTAGAATATGGGCCGATGAAAAGTATAAGGACATATACTTACCTCCATGGCGAAAGTTAAGGCCTTCTACTTGAGCAATACTTGGAATATTACCAGCACCAAAAGCTGCAGCAGGAGCTGGAAGAACGAGGATCACCAAGCATGCTATGAGAATTAGAGAACCGGAATTCCACGGTGAGAGAACCATTTTGCAAACGCAACACCAGTCTAGTAGATACTTAAGCTCTTGATACGACAGGGATTTCCAAATTCCCTTACCGTGTGATTGCAGAGGAAGTTTTGTTCACGTTCTCATGAGGTGGGGTATAAGAAACGAAGTGACCAGGCAATGACCATAAGTCGCAAACGTCGAAGTATGACGTGAAAATGAAGTGTTCTAGGTAGCTTGATGAATATGATCAATTGTTGCCTTTGTTGATGATGTGAATAATTACAGCCAAGAGCTGATCTTCACCAAGCCACATCTGAGCTGCTCAAAGTAGCAGGATGATGGTCATGTGACTGATCTTAGCTAGATGTCTCGTTTTCAAGGCTGAAAATATTCGACCGGCCGGGTGGCGTTTATGGATCCGACGCTCCCGGATTTTGCATGGAATCTCCTGAGTCCTCACGCGATTTTAATTTCGAAACACAAATTGACCTTACGATTTCTCGACCACAGAACGACTAGAAAAGGTTGGGTTCGCGCTGTGCTGAGTGTCGTCCTGTTATATTCTGAAGCCGAGAGTCTCAGTTCGCTCCTTTTCCGTATCCGACCACCTCTCCTTACTTTTATTTGCGAAACACCTCTCGAGCCTCCACCTTGAGGCTCCTTTTGCTATTCCTCATTTCAATTCATACAACCTTCAAATCATGTCTCCATCTCGGACACTTCCAACCCTCCTGCAAGCCGAGGTCGCTGCTCATAATTCCTCGCAGAGCTGCTATGTTACAATCGGTACTAAAGTCTACGATATCACAGACTTCCTCGAGAGCCACCCAGGTGGCGGGGACCTTATCCTAGAATATGGAGGCAAGGATGTTACTGAAATATTGAAGGATGAAGTTTCGCACACGCATTCCGAAGCAGCGTACGAAATCTTGGACGAGTCATTCATTGGTTTTGTTGCCACTCAAAAAGTCATGGAAACTATCGTCAAGAGCACACATCCCGACGAAATTGTACCTCTTCCACCCACACAAGAAGGTTTGAAAGAGCTGCAGGCTGCTGGTGCAGCCGAAGGTGTATATGCAGCGACCGGGATGGCATCTGAAGAAGACTTGAGCAAGGAGACTGATCTGGTCAATGATTACAAGACGCATAAGTTCCTCGACCTCAATAAGCCCCTTCTAATGCAAATTCTGTTTGGCGGATTCAGCAAGGATTTCTATCTCGAGCAAGTTCACCGCCCACGGCATTACAAAGGAGGAGAGTCTGCGCCACTGTTTGGCAACTTCCTAGAGCCTCTTTCCAAGACGCCTTGGTGGGTTATCCCGGTTGTATGGCTCCCACCTGTTACATACGGAACATACCTATCAACCTTTGGCGTATCAAGCAACTTCGAGGCAGCAGCTTATTGGTTCCTGGGAATCTTCTTGTGGACCTTAGTGGAATACATACTGCATCGATTTCTTTTCCATCTCGACAAGTATGTTACACTTCTCTATCCATGAACGCGACTGACAACTATAGATTCCTGCCCGACCATCCAATTGCTCTCACGCTTCACTTCCTACTTCATGGCATTCATCATTATCTGCCAATGGACAAACTCAGATTGGTTATGCCGCCGACCCTCTTCGTCGCCCTAGCGACCCCTTTCTGGAAGCTCGCACATTTTGTGTTCTACTGGAACTGGTCAGTGGCTACTGCTGTGTTCTGCGGAGGTATATTTGGGTACATCTGCTACGACTTGACGCATTACTTCTTGCACCACAAGACTCTGCCTGCATACTGGAGAGAGCTCAAGAAGTACCATCTGCAGCACCATTTCATGGACTATGAAAATGGTTTCGGTGTTACCAGCAGATTCTGGGACCAGATCTTCGGCACTCAATTGGCACCACCCCCACTCAAGCAGAAGTAAAGCTTTGGGGCCACTTTGTACATATCAGTGTATAGTTGTGCTTACCAAGAGCGATGATGTTACGATGTAGAAAAGATTGATGTGCATTATTCGGCGTTGGTGGGTCAAGGTCTGGCCTTGGAAAGAAGACGAACAGATCACATTCGTTCATACTGGCTTATCGGTAGCCTTTTAATACCTAATTATATTCAATTCCACAAGAACTTCACCAGTAAACCCTTGACTGTTCCTCTCCATGTTGATATCGGTAAGCTAACCTTGTCGTGCCTACCTTTGCCACTACCTAGGCATACACTAGCGTAATCACGTGAATATAAAAGATCTACTTCGCTGTTTCGCGAAATCCTTCTGACGCTCATCGGGCCTCGACATCCACTCTTTGAGATCGGGTTTTTCTACCATCAATACAAACTACTACATAACTTAATATTACAGAGTAAGAAGCTCTTTTGCGCTTGTTACAGTCCTGAAGCTGCGCTACAGCAAGTCTTCACAATGTCAGCCCTTGACGTTGAGGCGCTTTTGGACTCAACTGCAAATGGTACTCCAGTCGAAAATGGATCCTCGAAACCCAAAGACCTAGATGACCGCCATAGGAATGAACGAAATGATCGTCGCGATCGAGACCGAAACCGAGATTCCAGTAGAGACCGTGATAGGGATCGCAAGCGTCGGGGCGACCGAAGCAGAGACAGGAATCGCAGAGAAGTCAACGGTGATAAAGAGTTGATTGGGACACCTACAAGCGATCATGGTAGCGCTCATGGCAGTACCAAGAGTAGGCGCAGAAGTAGAAGCCGAGAAGACCGACACTCACGTCGCCACAGAGATAGCCCTGACGAGACCGGCCGCAGAGATGGAGACTTCTACAGAGGAAGTGGGCGCACTCGCTCACGTTCTAGGAGCCCGAATAGATACTATCGTCCTCGAGGTGACCGCCGAGATCGGGAGGAGATAGATGCCGGCAAACCAAGAGAAGACCGTCGGAACAGAAATGATCGACGAGCAAGTAGGAGCCCAAAGAGAGAGTCTACACCTCCTTTGACTGAGGACGAGCGTGATCGTCGCACAGTCTTCGTCCAACAACTTGCAGCTCGTCTCAGGACTAAAGAACTGATAGCCTTTTTCGAGAAAGTTGGTCCTGTTAAAGAGGCTCAGATTGTGAAGGACAGAGTTAGTGGTAGATCCAAAGGGTATGTTCTTGCCTTCCTTTGAATGTCCTTAAATCTTACTAACATACAATGCAGTGTTGGCTACGTTGAGTTCAAGAATGAAGAATCGGTCCCTGCTGCTATTCAACTCACTGGTCAGAAACTCCTAGGAATCCCCATCATCGCCCAGCTCACGGAAGCCGAAAAGAATCGTCAAGTACGCAACACCGAAACCGCCGGCAGTAACCCCAACCAGATCCCTTTCCATCGACTCTATGTGGGTAATATCCATTTCAGTATCACTGAAAGCGATTTACAGAATGTTTTTGAACCTTTTGGAGAACTTGAGTTTGTGCAGCTTCAGAAGGAGGAACAGGGCCGCAGCCGAGGCTATGGCTTTGTCCAGTAAGTCATATATGCTTTTCGGTGCAGCCTCAACTGACGAATTATAGATTTCGTGATCCTAATCAAGCTCGTGAAGCTTTAGAAAAGATGAATGGGTTTGACCTTGCTGGTCGACCAATTCGTGTTGGTCTTGGCAACGATAAGTTCACTCCTGAGTCTACCGCCAGTCTTCTGCAAAGATTCCAAGGCCAGAGCCACCAACAACAATTCCAGGGTTCTGCTTTCTCCGGTGCTGGTGGGCGTGGTCCCCAAGCAGTCGGCGGTAGTAATTTTGACCGCGCAGGTGGCCGCGACAACGACAAAGGTGCCGGTGGTGCCAGTGCTCTAGATGACACCGATGTTGGTGGGGTAAACTTCAACAATTATAGTCGAGATGCATTGATGAGGAAGCTTGCCAGAACAGACGAACCTGCCCCCGCCACTAAAGGCCGCGACGAGAGGCGCGAGATCTTGAAGCCCAAGACTGAGACCAAGCCGTTGCCAGTCAATGTCAATATGGCCAGCAGATGCGTCGTCCTCAAGAATATGTTCGATCCTGCCGAGTAAGTACATTATATTTCCCTGCAGAAATTGCCTATGCTAACACCAACCACAGAGAAGAAGGTGAAAACTGGGAAAAGGAATTGGAAGATGACGTTCGAGCGGAGGCCGAAGAGAAATATGGCCATGTTGTTCACATTGCTCTAGATCCCAACTCCCAAGGCGACATCTACCTTAAATTCGACCGAGTGCAAGGAGGCGAAAATGCCATCAAGGGCCTCAACGGCAGATATTTTGGAGGACGTATGATTAGCGCTACGCCTGTTGTGGATGCAGTCTACAGCAGTTTGTTCTCACGCACAAAGGCTATCTAAGATGCTAATCATGGCCTCATCTCTTGGTCTTAGGATGTTATTCAGGTACGATCGTCTTGGTTCTCGTTTCTGTTCATTTCCTAACTGGCTCCAGAACCCCCGACAACCACAAAGTCTTATCGCCCAGTAGTCCGTCTTTGCTCATCGAGAAGCACCGCTTTCCATCTCCCTCAACGCCCTACACCACAACTATAGACCTTTCTCCGGGAGTCGACTCTAGGATCCAGAAGCAGATCTTCCCTAAAAACTCGCTGATTTCTCACCCACAGGAGCTGTTTCTTGAACGACCTTCGCCTTTTCGGCGATATTCGAGCGTGATTTGGCTTGCTGATTGCACATAGGGCAGTAGTTCACTTGTACACAGATTGGTTTATAGTTGCGAGATCCCTTTCGTTCATGCGTTGCATTTAGGTAGCGAATACGAAATGATTCCTTAATTTTACAGATTAACTTGCAACAAGGCAAGAGTAAGTTAACATTACAACTTGAAATGTACCATCACTGAACATGAATGTGGGAAAAGGGTTGAATTAGAAGTCTAGCTACCTGGCCTAAAGCTGAGTATAAGTAGAGCTTCTCCCTCCTTTCATCTTATCATCACTCAAAGCCCCTTATCCAACCAACAATAGAAGCTTCCTCAAAGTACGTCTACTACATCTAAGAAATGTCAAGGGACCTTTGTTTTCAACTCTCCCATTGTCTGAGATCATTTCTTAACATCGGCTTCCTCCATTCCTTCCGTATGCTCCTTCAAGGTCTTCATGCCCATCATTCTTCGAAATTTCTCAAATGGGCCCTTTGCCAAGATGTGATGTGACGTTTTCATTGTAATTGCGTGCTGTTGTAAGGTGATGGGTTTCTATGCATTCTGCTGTGAGATTAATTCTACCAAGCAGTAGGCAATGACTCGACGGCCAGATGTCCATGTGGTCTCTAAGTCGGAAAATCCGCCCATTAACCCTATGCGAACTGCAACTGCGAAAATATGCTGGACATTGAAGACCCAAGCCCACCGAACAGACAGGTCTAAGCTCTCCAGCACCGTGGCGATCGTTGTAGAATGAAATAATGATAGGAAGAGTATCATAGGAAGCAGGGGGAGATCATACACAAGAGGTAAAGTATAAGGCATAGCATCATTAAATGTTGATGAAAGTAGAATCATCTCACACCCTGAAATATTATGAGCATAACTATTTAATGTAAGTAAACCCCAAGGTTGTAGTACCTGTTGTAGACTGAGCTCATTTAAAAGTCCACAGTAAAAGAAAAGCCATTCTCGAGGTAAGATGCCGTCAATATCAAAGCCATTGATCCAAGATAGTCTAATTCCGAGTCCAATGTAAGTCTTCAGACCAAGAGAAGTAGAGATTCAGATGGATGATGTATTTCAATGACAGTACAGTGGACGATAGAGCAAAAAAAATTGTAGAGAGAAGTTAGTAAGCTGGTAGAGAGGTAAGCAAATCGATTATTCTCTTTTCATGCACCAATCTACAAACAGTTAAGCTCTTATCTCCTGGATATCTACAAGAGGGGAAGAATGGTACAGGAATCTAAAAGCGAGTGGTAAGGATCTTGGCCAATAAAACCGAGTTGAAGAGACCGCGTTCTGCCAGGCAATGTAAGCAAACGGTCAATTGACTCATCCCCGACCGTGTTCCAGCCATATTCTAGGCCATAGATAGATAGCCGTCATGCAATCATCCCTTTGTAAGACTATCAAGGATCGACTGGGTATGAATATACGGTCGGAATTGGAGCCGGCGAGTTGCACCTATTCAGAAGCTTACTCCTGAGCATCTTCAAGCTGTCTCTGAACCGTTGACTTTGGGCTCAATTACCCATGATTGAGAAGAGCCGTCCAGGTCGTGATCTGTTTTGCCTGGGAGAAGAGGGACATGGCAAGCTAGCTAATTCGATGATGCCAATTAGCTGATGAAAGCAAAAGGGGGACGAGGCTATACTAGCGCCGATTTCCGCCTGGTCTGGTCGTTTGGTTTCTCTGCAAGGTGTCCAGGTAAAAACCTCCTAGCCTCCTCATTGCAAAATCCCGAACCACCTCAATCATAACACCACAACACAACACAACACCAGAAAGCATCACCTTGCCGATATGTCGGCGCAAGAGCAGTATTCGCACTTAGAATAGTCTTCGCAGTCTCCAGTCTCCTGTTGCTGGAGACTGCGAAGATCGTACTTTGCTGCTTGGTTGGCATCTTTTCGATTTTGGTCATCTTTTCGGTTTTGGCTTGCTCATCTCCCCTAGGCCAATTCGAACTTCCAGGACGCGTCCAACAGCTAAGTGGAATCCGACCTTACCAGCTAAACCATGGTAGAGATGATGTACAACAGGTAGTTGCTTTCACGGACGCGATTTCCGACCGGGTCGTTGTCTGGTCCTGGGATCAGTTCGGTTTCTCCCTGGCAATTTCCCAGGTCGTCCAGCACCCTGGTTAGATCCGACAGATCCAGGCCCGATAGAAGTCCAGCAATGAGGGCAGTGGACTCCGGCCTTGGTTGCTAGATCAAACAGAGGTAAGAAGTTTTCTTTCCCTATGATTGTAGTCTGCTTAGAGACTCCATGAGACCCCACCAACCTCCTGTGTACAACAGCTTCACCACAGCTGACCTGCATAGCGATCGAAGACCTGTTACAGCATGGCTAGCACTCCTTCAACGACGCCCCCACAACTGCCAACTCACAATAGCGACCAAATTCTGCATGATTGGGATAATTGAGATGACGCTCTCCTGAGGCTGGGCTTGAATGCAAAGCTAAAGATCTCAATTTGCTGATCTCTTGTGTCGGAGCTTGGATTGTCCCACGGTTGCTTTCGTCTGCAAGCAGAGAACGACTGTGGCCATTGTTGCCGCTCGGTGGTGGCTTGGTGGCTGTGTGATCATCGTCCTTTATCCCCGCAGAATGACCTCGAGGTGCGTTCAATACCATGTTTCTCCTGGACTTATGCTGATAACTGGGTGCCAGGGTACTTCTATTCATCTCTAACGATCCAGAGGGGACAAGCAATTAGCCGGGTTGCTTATGCTTGAAGAAAGTGGGCGGTGACAGTCTACCACAAAGGAGAGCTTCAAAGTTCTTTAGGCTGCTGTCATCTCGCCAGGCCGTTGTCATCTCTTGATGGACGCTTGCCAATACATCGAATCACGCCAAACTACTCTTTCTTATCTCCGGCATCGTCTAACCAGTTTCACAGAGCTTGAGCTCTGGGCTATCAGGTATATGACTGCCGAAGATCAGTCAGTATAGTTCTTGATGTAGCTGTTGAGGGAGGAAGACATTTACGGCCATACACACCAACCCCGGCTGGAATGTTCTCGATCAATGGCGTTGTTCGATGATCAGGAGACACGCCCCAGCTTGATCTGCCGGGATGCCTCCCCTCCATGGATTTTCCCCTCCACAGTTCCCTACTGTCATCCTACAAGACATGAGTGGGCGAAGCTCCCCCAACAACAATAGAGGACCTCATGCCTCAATCTGCTAAGCTAATTCTCAGGCATTATCAGAAATCAACATCCAAGTTGCTTTTGTCCGGCTTATGTCAGAAAGCGACTTGCCTCATAGGTCAGCATAGTGGATATCAATTTGTGATCGTTCTTGCCTTGGAATAGCCGATCTAGCTTTAGGAGGAAAGCGTTAAATCGTTCTTTCCTCCGTTCAGAGTCGGTTATTGTGTTCGATCGAATCGTTCCTCCCTCCCTCCAGAGTCGGCTATTGTGTTCGATTGAATCGTTCTTTCCTCCCTCAAGCATCGGCTGTACGGCTATCTTCCGATGACATCAGGATATAACACACCTTTCCGGGCTCAGAGTCTCCCACGATGCAGACCCATACTCGCTTTCAGTAAATCCAAGATGCTAATTTCCGTCCGGTCTCGTCTTCAAACTATTATCCTTGTTGTCAACATGATCAGGAACTCTTCCACCGTCCGAAGTCTACAGCTCATTAGTTTGTGCTCCTTTTGATAAGATGTCCGAGGATATACTTTACATGCATCAAAGCCTGCGACTTAGCCTGTTTGTTTGCTCTCGTCTTTAGTATTTGCCAGAGGCTATACTCTTCCACTGTCTGAGGTCCTGGAGAAGATTTGCCTGTCTGTTCTTGTCTTCCAGGAGTTTCTAAGACAATCCTTCCGCCGTTTAGGATAGCTTTCCCTACGATCGGAGCTGCCAAGCTGATCTCGCTTTGATGCACCACCAAAGATGTCCTCCCGCTTCTTTAAGACATCTAGTATTTTATTCAGTTAGCTCTAGCCTTTGTGGGAAGAAGGGGGACTTGCTCTCGCCCTTTCACGATGTTCTGGGTTTCAGAGCTATCAGATAGCTCTCGCCTCCATATACCAGAGAGGATGTGCTCCCGCCATTATAAGACAGCTGGTCCCACACCCAGGTTGCTCTCGCCATTCTGGGATGTCCACGCTGAGATATGGAGCTATTAGGTTCCTATCATCTCTATAAGCCAGGGAAGACGTGCCCCCACCATTGCATCTGGTTCCAGAATCGGGTTGCTCTCGCCATATATCCAGACTGAGGCATCGAGCTAAGAGGTTGCTCTCGCCGTTCTAGAATATCTTCACTGAGGCATGAAGCTATCAAGATGCTCTCGCTATTTCAGGATATCCTCACTGAGACATGAGTTATCAGGTTGCTCTTGCTTCTATAAGCTAGGGAAGACGTGCTCCCGCCATATTTGGATATCCGGACAGAGGGGCAGAGTACCAGCTTGCTCTCGCCTTGTTGAGCCGCTTGCCTGCTTTACGTGTCAGCATGATCTTTGTGGGAGAAGGAGTGCGTCTAGGACCTAAGATAAAAACTCCCCAGACGATACTCCTGAATGCTTATAGGCTCCTTGTGTTCTAGCAAACCCGGTTGAGCCAACAAAGGATAGCCATAGTCATTTGGAACGAGGAGTCTAACTATTCTCTGAACCTGCGCGAAGAAGTAGCGGCAACTGGTACGGCATACGAGACTCACACTGCTCCGTTGACGAGGACCCTGGCAGGAGATTGATAGCAGATATTCGAGGAAGATCTGGACGGTCATCTAGGAACTCGGGATAGTGAAGCTATCACGAGTTTGGCTGATTCGGACTGGCAGTTGGGACGAAAAGGCTGGCGCGCTTTAGACCTTAGTGATTCAGGACTCCAATATTCGGAAGAAGTCGGCCAGTCAGCAGCCTGGTTGGTGGGTGGTGACTGAAAACGAAGCTAACTAGCGCGACGCCCATCGTTGACTTTCCTTCTCGCTTTCGGATCCTGTTTACAACACACAACCACATCCAAATCCTTCACTTCGACGTTGATACCTCAAAAATATCAACGGCGATCCAAGCGGCAGTATCGTATCAGCGATCTGTTCCTTCCACATCCTCCTCATACTTTCATCACTTCCCACGGACGCAGTCCAGAATCTCAGCAGCGAGAAGATCCAAGCTTCTTCGGAAGCGCAACACCTCTCCATCGACGCACGTGGTCAACATGTCGAATCGAAACAAGAATCAGAAGAAGGCTCCGGCGGAAACACCAGCTGGCTTGACAAAGGCATTGGAAGGTCTTGGTCGCATTCGTGGCAGCGCAGCTACTCCGCAACCTACAATGCAACCTTCAATGCAGCCGTCGGGTGGTATGACTTTCAAAGACAGGGACGCAATGGCCAAGGGCGAAGGACAGCAAAACCATCCTCAAGAAGGCGGTTCTAGCAGTTCCGACACTTCTGGCGGTGGGGTCACTCTGACTATGGCACCACACAAGGTGATTCCTCTCCCTTGCACACACTTTCGCAATGCTGACTTCCTCTAGCCACCCACCATCCTTGAAGTCGCAAGTAACTTTCAGGAGCGCTTGAATACTCTCATTGCCCAAGTCCAACAAACCAAGCTCTCCCAGACCGTGAAGAAAGAGCTCACCGAGGAGATCAAGTCCATTGCCAAAGAGTTTCGTGATCATTTCGTGCGAATCCAACAGGAGATCAAATTACTCAAGGATGACAAGCAACACTACCAACGTCAGCTCGTTGACACTGCTCGGCGTCTAGATGGCGACCTCGAAGCCTCGCGCAAGGATATCGAGAAACTGCGCCTCGAGATCAAGGAGCTACGGGAACAGGCGAAGCAGGCTGAGGACAACTTGGAGAACGCCAATCTTCGCTTCAAGGAAGAGACCGATCATCTTAACGCGAGACTTCAAATGCAAGATGAGCAGATCAAGGGTAAGCGTGCCCTTTGGTTGGAGTCCAATTCCGCCTCGGGTGCACGTCGCTCGGCAATGACTCCGGTTCGAAACCCATTCGAGTCGCCTTCGGCTCAGTCTAGCTTCAATAAGGGTTTTGGACAAGGCATGATGGGTCACACGCGCTCACCTTCTACTACTACGAGCCCTTATAACAGCTTCGGCAGCGGAATTGGCAATCTCCCATCACCAAGTCCGGCAAGCACGTCATTCGGTTCCAACGTTGCTTGGGATGCATCTCCTCCCAAGATGCGCCTTCCAGATGGATCAGCTTCCCGCCGTGCTCCTGGCTTGCCGTATTTAAAGGCTTTACCTGCGGCAGAATCCCCGAGTGGTATCATTAGTAATTCCGCTGCTCGCCGTATCGTCACTGAGGCTGGAGATGTCCCGATCAATCCTAACTATGGAGCCCTTGTTCTGTTCAACGAGAACGCGGATGAAGATCTTTCTCCCGTATTCGAGGCTGATATCACTGTGATCTTGCTCGCCATTGAAGGCTGGGTAAAGGAATATGCACATGTTCCTAATCATGGTGCTATCCAGAACATCATGATGAATAACAAGGACCTTTGGGACTACATGCTGAATTGCACATACCCCGGTAACCGTCAGGATGCCTACAATCATACTATGGCTCTCGTGAATGATCGCGGCTGTCGATACTGGTTCGTTATGCGCATGATCGCCCATTATGTGTTCACTGAGATGTTGTCCATCGAGGCTTGGCATGGCTTTGGTAACAACCTCGATAAGATCCTAAAAGACGTTGCCAAGCAGCTCGCCGACAAAAAAGGTTTGTTCTTCATTACCAATAAGATCGAGTCACACTAATTGAAATTTAGGCCTTCTAAATGACAAGCGCCAGCACTTGGTCGACCGACGAACTACTGCCGTCCAAACCATTGTGAATGACCCAATGTATAAGGAATGGCGTTCTAAGCAGCTTCATGACCATTCGAGGCGTTTACGCAATATGCTGGGACCAATGCTCAATATCGACAGCGACCGAACTGATGCTGGAAGAGATCTCGGCACTCTGGCAATCCAAGTTTGGGACCTGTCAGCGAAGATGCACACTACTCCCCTGACGTTTCAAATCTACTTCCCAGAGACAGGTACCAAATTTGTGGCTGCCCATATGATCGCTAAGGACAGACCCAACATTGATCCGGTGTCAATTCAGGTCAATCAACCTCGCATCAAGCTCGTCATTACTCCCGTTGTAACTCTTCGGGATGACCATGGCTCAAAGATTAAGGCCAAGAATTTGCACCATGCAGCTGTCTTGCTGATGGGTTGAAATCTATTCCGCAACGACCATAGACAGATCATTCTCCATATCGCGATCTCGTCGTTAACAACGCAACCACTTTCGTCAAAAACACATTCACCTTGCATATTTCTTCTTCTATGTCAACATCAATATCAGTCCTTCTGGTCCGGGATTCCATCTCGTGGTTTGCATTCAGTACCCGGTAGAGCTGTCGTTGTTTGGTGAATCATTTACTCATTCGGCGACTGCAAAATCGAGACTAGTAGGCTGTTACTCAACCATCGGAAGCCGGCAAAGGAAAAGGGTCTGTCAACAACAGTATCCAGCTTATACTTCCCATCTTTCTTTGCATCAGGCGTACCTATTTTCGTTCCTTTGGGGGCGTTTTAATGTAGCTTCGTGCATTCTTTCCTTACGAAAAACGACTTTGTTTCCTGCCGCACTTACATCGAAAGACGCGTCTCTATGCCTGTCTGTCCTCCGAACGGCTATACATCATTCTCTGCTGGTTCTACATTCGGCGAGCGATGGCGTTGGGGTTTGGACTGAACGTTTCGCGGTGTAGAGCGTGTTAATCGATGGCACATTATCTTTTTGGACGATGAATATTCTTCTCACTACTGGCATCTTCTCGATTGCACGGTATCTCCGGATATCTTGCTCATGCGTCGACACTGTTCTTGCAGGGAGGATTGCTTCAGTGGATTAATGGCACTTATGTTTCCGTGTATCAGAGGTTGACCAGTGGAGGCAGGCTTGCTTGCAATCTACCAGTCGACCAGACGAGAAAGGATTCGCGAATAGATGGCAAATTGCTTCTTAAAAGTGGTTTCCATACTTGCACATAGCCCAACAAAAAAAATTAGCATCAATCTTCGTGCCTCGATGTGATTTTTGCTCCGTGACATGAGGTAAATTTGCAGCAAGTGAGCGTCGAGGGGGCTAGCCACCTTTAAACATTTATTGAGGGCTTTAAACCTATTTGACCCGCAGATTTTGAACATTGAAGCACATCTGGAACCTTCATGGTAAGCATGGAGCGAACATGAAATCGAGGAAGCAAGGTAACATTCCCTGCCATTCGCCGTATTCCCCACCATCATCCTCGAATCATTCGCCTGCGGCACAGGGCGTGTTCCAAGGATATCTCTGGCTGTAGAGTAACTGTGCCAGAAGATAAAAGAGTCTAAAAACCACCAGAGTCTTGATAGTCCTGGCATTCGAGATCTAGCCCCGGTCATGGATTTTGATTTGAGAGATCGGACAAGGGGAAAAGATATTGATATCTGCCTTATCAAACATGTAATCTCGCACGTAAAGTTGTCAGGATGTTCACGGTTGCTTCCATGCTAGGCATTTTTACTTGTGATTTCCATGAGTCTAGTTTATGGTTTGGTATGAAAGCGTGGCTTTATTTCTCCACGGGGGATTTTTGACAGCGGTTTAGAGCGGAGGTAGGAGGATGAAAGTGGTGAAGCTACTTTGGGAGTGAGGGAGTCTGGGTCATGATGAGAAAGGACAGGGCTGGAATACGTTGAGTCTAAGGATGGCTTGATGGAGGGGATTGGATGAGTAGGATTGTGGATATGTGGTATCTATCTCGAATCAAGGAGCTGGTTTTGGTACTTGCTTCGCTCTTGAATATACACTTGAAAATCTCAAACAATATAGTCCCAAAGTGCTCTTCTTCAACCAAACATTCTCGCTGCTCAAGAGGGAAACTATTATCAGGAAGCAGTTGAATAGATTCACCATCCCACCAACAGCACGCTAGGGTTATCCACCAATCGCAGCCCTCAAACTCTTTAGCATTGTATATTTGCCATTATCCTCTGAGACAGCGGCCTCCAGGGTATAGATGCTTGCGACAGTGTTCGTGCCTCTCTATATTCTCGTGTGTGCCTGAAATACGAATGTCTTATGATAATCTCCTTTAAACCCCATACTAGCTATGGTGTTGGACACTCCTTCGGGAGTGAAGTTTTTGTTTTTGGTGGATAGGGATTTGGTGTTTTTAAGGGTTTTGATTGGTGGATTGAGGAGTGGTTCTTTTTTAAGCGAGGTCGGATGAAGCGAGCGGTGGTATGGCTCTCCATCTGTGAAATTCATGGCCGATTTTAGAACAGGGTTTAAAGTCACAAAATGTAAAGCATTGCGCACAACAAATTAAGTTTACACTTAATGTTTTTAATGAGAACGTAAAATAGCTTCTTCATAAGTCAGAACTTAAGTCTAATTAGAAACGGACTATGCACTAGTGTGCAATGCTGGAAGTGGTACTAGACATTTTAGTGTTCACGAATGCCAAAATCGGCTAGGAATTTCACAGATGGAGAGAGCGTTGATGAAGTGTGTGAAAATTTGAAAGATATAAATCCAGAGGTATCCTACGCAATATAATGTTCTTCAGTCAAGCAGATAGAGGATCACGGAAACCATAATGTTCGGAATGTAACAGGATAATGGAGCTCTGTTTTATGAAGAGATCTAATGAATCTTCTAAGTCTTGGGTATCATTCTCTAAACGACCCTTGTATAGCTTCTAGGAAACGCCAATCCATGCCAAACTCCTCAGAGAAGCCCTTATGCAGAAGCGAAAATATGATGCAGAGAAGTAAAGAATGAGAACAAGTGAAACCTCAACCACCCACCAACCTCTAAGATCTTCTGACCTCTCCACTTGCCCGTCTGCGATCGAGTCTCTTTACCACAGCGCCAAGTACGCATTTAAGTATGCCGTCGCCCGTAAGACCAACTCCTCCCTCACTGCTGGCCACACCACCAGTCCAAGTAACAGTATCAACCATATCCCTCACACCCCCCTCAACGAGCTCACTAATCCCATCATCAAGCTCCTCCAACGCCTCCTTAGCACCCTCCTCATTGCCGACCTGGAAAAATTGCACACCAACCTGGAACGGCGGCGCATCAAGCTTATCCAGCTTCTTGGCAGCACTCAACAACACGCTCTCCACGTCATCAGACGGAACTCCATCCGTCAGCACAATAAGATTCAACGGCTTCATTTCCCTGCCCTCTGCCGTCTCCTTCTCCAGCTTTGCCAAGTATGGTTTTAGAATATTGTGGATCCGAATACCAGTTGGAGTTCCGCCACCAGGTCGTACTCGCTCGAAGATCTCGGTGATGGTAGCAGCCCGCTTAATGCCTCTGTATCCGCCGGCAGCGATGCCGTCGTTGACGGCGCCCGGGTTTGAGGATTTGTGGTTCAGGAAGTAGATGTCGATGCCGTCGCTGTCATGCTTGGTTACGATGGGAGCGATGGTGGAGAGGGCTTGCGAGACTTCGCGCCAGGAGCGGCCGGCCATGGAGCCCGAGTCGTCAATTAGGAGGGTGGTGTCGAAGGTTGCGAGGAAGGAGTAGGGGTCTTCGCCGCCGCTGTGGTGGGTGGCTACTGGCGTTGGGACTGGTGCTGAGGAGGCGGGAAGCTCGAAGGTTTGGGCTGCTGTGGGGGTCGTTGGGGATGGGGTGTAGGCTGGTGGAGGCTCGTTGGAGGGAACGGTGAAGGCGTTCATTCCTGGACGGTCTGGTCGTCTGGTTGCTGGAGAGGGGTTGGAGAGGGGATTTCTTCCTACGTCTTCTGGTGAGAAGGGGTTACTTCTACCCATAGTGCTCGAGGGTGATGGTGTCCGTGAAGGGTTTGAGGTTGTAGAAGCGTTGCTGTTCTTGCGACCAAGTTTGCGGAGAGAGCCAAAGATGGATCGATGAGGAGCTGCGTCCTGTGGACTGAGACTCCATGCTGATCCGGAAGGCATGATGATGTTGTGGTTGGACATAGGTGATTGTGTGGTGGTGTTGTTGCCTAGAGTATTTAGCTGTAGTATGATTGCTATGATGAGTGAATAACAACTCTGGATGACTAGTGACGAACTCTTCTTATACCGTTTGCTGAGAAATTGCCTCCGGCTATGATGATACAAACCCCACAGATTTTTCTATGCCAAGTGCGACTATGAGTCTGCCAGCAGCGCCAAGGGCAGTGAAAGCGTGTGGCGAATCACACGCCACTTCAGCACCCAATGAATTAAATTGCTACCTGCTTAATGACTTGAATCTTCTTTGAGCAGTCGTGGTCGACCGTTTGAGGGCTGTCTACTCTTATTGGTCCGTTAAGCGAGTGACTTAACTCAGCCTCGCTACGCAGTCACTGCGCCCTCCATCAACCATCTCACAACCGGACAGAGCCCAGTTACACTGAGTGACCTCAATATGGCTGTGTTCGATCTGCCTTCCCGGGAGCCTTCCTCGTGAATGTCATCAGATATCCCCACATACGACGTTTCGGGCCCTGAAGTTCATGCTGCTCCTGCAGGCGATCGACCGCCACATGCAGGAATTCTCCGAAGGCCAATAAAGAGATGAGATGATTTCTTGCAGATGGAACGAGACAGTATCAGAATGCAGGTACTAGCTGCTCCGGTATCCACAACCTCCTGCTTGGAGGGGTACATTGAGAGGTACTGCGGCCTGGCAAACTCACGAGGCATCTATGCAGGATCAATTGCTTGCCCATGGGATGAGGCAATGTTGTTGATTCTCCTGATGGGATGAGGCGACCTGTCAGAGAGTTCGAGGCCGCAGTTTGGGCTGTTAGACAAGGCTCTGCAAGTTCAGAAACGTCGATGTAACAAGAAGGCTGATGTTGGGGAGGCTGGAGCCTTTTAACGCAGCTCATGTCTGGAAGGATAGGGCAACAGAGCTGATGTGCCAGTTTATCTCCTAATTTGACGACGGGCGAGTGTAGCGATGGCGGAGCCAAGAGAACCTCGTTTGCGGCTTTCCGAAAGTTTTTTCACACCGAGATTTCAACGTTTCTTTGATGTCATTCACGGCGGTTAAGAGCGCTAGACTTATCACGAGGTACACATAGCTGGTTGGCTGTGCTGTCAGCCATCTTCTTAGCGTTGAAGGAGAAAGAGCCTCAACTCCCTTGGGACATTCAATTGCAGCTAGTGTCTGTCAAGATGTGAATAAATCACAGTTCATTGTCTTTGCGTATTCCAGTATGTGCAGATGTTCAAATATGTACATGAATTTTGGCCCTCGTCGCTCAGAATCTTATCTTCCTTCTCATAGCTTTCGTACAACACCTAGTTGACAACGGTGCTGTACGCCGAGGTTGTGAGAACAGCAGACGAACCTAAACGTTGTTAATGGCTTGGCTCAATTACTTGTAGTTAGAAAACTCACCAGTGAAAGGCTCGGTTCCAGCACCAATGCTAAGCAAGTATTGCGAAGATGGGAAGCTTTGATAAGTCGTCAAATACGTGAAGAAGTTCTTGATATCTCCAGAATATGAGGTAGCCTCGCTGGCAGCAACGAAAGAGTAAACGGTAGTTGAGCCGTTGGGTCCCTTGAACAGATTCCAGCTCACGCTGTTGATTGTGACAGTAGCAATCGCTGAACCGGTGCTAGAGATAGGTCCAGCACCTCCGAGGGCTGCAAGCCAGATCATGATCTCGTACTCGTTTGATCCGGTGGCGGTGGATGAGGTGAACATATCGTAGGAAACATCAGCGACAATGGAGGATCCAGTGTAGCTTGAGATATAGGTCAGTACTTATATCGGTAAGGGGCGAAGCCTGTCTTACCTCCACTTCCATGTAGATGGAATGCTGGTGATAGCTGAGATCTGCTTAATGGTTGATTGTGTGACAACGGCGTTGGCGTATGACTTGACAGAAGATGATCCTCCAGCCCAGGTCCATGAGGTGGACCAAGCAAGCGTTGTGCCAGAGACTGAGTTGACAGTCGTGCACTGCGATCCAGAAGTTGCTGCAGATTCACCCCACAGGTCTTGGTAGACGGTATATGTGCCTGTAGCTACCGAATCCCATTGTCCACAGATGGTGGTGGCACGCTTGTCCAAGGTCGCAGTAGGAGCTGCAACCGCGACAGCAGCGAAAGCAAGGGGGAAGAAAGCTTGAATGAACTTCATGGTGGTCAAAAGTAGAGATTACCAGGTTGAGAAAAGAAGTTTAAAGAGAGTACAAGCCAGACCAAGAAAATATTACTGAAAGGCGAGCCAACTTATTTATACTCCCAGTCGCGAGCTCGGAATCCGAGCTCGCATTCATCGTTCCTAGAAAACATTAGATGAAGAAAGGAGAAACTGGATCCCATCCTACCCCGCAATCGATCGCATATAGATGAACATCACATCTCCTTTTGTCGTCACCACCGACAGGAACAAGGTCACGTCCGGCACTTCCTGTTCTCGAAAAGTCCTTGCATTCCGGCGACAAGTGGGGATGGGAATGGCCGAATAGCTCCCGAGGTTTCAAGATTCCAGATTCCGCCAATGAAATCTCGAGATGCTCATTTTCAAGAAACGAAGATCTGAGGTTTATCTGAGTGAAGGAGGGCTAAGATGGGTATTTATTCCGTCCTTTGGGGGACGCCTCTTCTGATTTTGAGAGGGTCTTGTGGACGGGTTATAGTGTGCTTTGCAGATTAGGGGACGGAGATGATTGAAGCTTATTCTAGCTTCTGGGTAAAAGGGGATAAATAGATCTAGGGCGTTCATGTGAGCTTATATGAGGGGCATGGGACGATGGTCATTGGGTGAGTTTACTTCTATAGAAAAAGATCGGAACAGAAGGGAAGTCACGAGATATAAGGGTTTACTCACGTGATTTGGACGCTTCTTCCTGGGAGAAGTGTAAAGGTTCTTCTTTCAACATGATGATATATCTTGGTATGAGTGTCTCTTAGCTTTACAGGGAACGGTCCATCAAGAAGAGACTTTATTGGCTCAACTTCAGTCAGGTGAGCTTTAAGAATCATGTGATGTGTATCTTCCTACCCGAAACTTTTCAGCATTGGTATTAATATCGTTCACTACGATCAGTAGTAGAGATATGATTTACCAGTCAACATTCGGTCTTGATTCAAAAGTATTTTGCTTGTCCAAGTTTGTCCGTTAATCAAGATTTTTATTGTCTGTCAGTCTGCTCGTCACAGGTATGAATGTCTTCAAGATACGCCCACGAGAAAATCCTTAAACGGGGTCGTTTGAATAGGTTCAAAATGTTTAAGAGGTAAGAGCAAAAGGAGGATCGAGTTAGTGTTGCTCTAGACGAGCCAACCGCTCTCGCTTACAGTTTGTAAGCGCGTGATATTGATGATGACTGCCTTTTCCTCTTCAAAATGAGCTTCTTACTTTACATTCAGGCTTTCCCTCAAACCCAACAGCTTAGTGTTTCGTTGCGATTTCGGTCAGTTAATAGAGACCAGCCTTGGCTGTCAAAATGTTATCGAACAGAGGCACCAAATATGCCCAAAGCCAAGACATTCCTTGGGGATTCGCTCCTGGTGGCAGTGATCGATACGACAAAGTATCAAATCCAAATGGAGTGATCTCCTTTTCAATGGCTGAGAATGTATGATGCAATATCTTTCAGTTCCAATGGCTTGACTAATATGTTGCAGAGTCTGGTGCATCAAGAACTGGAAGACTTTGTCCCCAAAAATGTACGTCCTGCAAGAACCCTTCGAAAAGCATCGTATGAAAATCGGATACTCAGTTTTTAAAGGTCACGATCCCGGCCGAAGCTTTCGCATACCGTTACAGCGCTGGAGGTGGCCTACGATTTCCCATCGCAATGGCAAATCACTTGAATGAGTACTTCGATCCTCATTCTCCAGTGAATCCAGACGATATTCTTACGGCTGCTGGCCTGACAGCAATCGACGAGATGATTGCTTTTGCTCTAGGTGACCCTGGCGATGCAGTTTTAGTTTCACGACCAATATATGGGAGATTCGAACTAGACTTTGGGAACACGGCTGGATTGAAGATTGTGTATACTGATATGGAAGGTGTTGATACCTTTGCTCCAGAAATTGTTGGAAAGTATCAGAAGGCTTTAGATGCTTCGAATGCAATGGGAGTTAAGATCAGGTTCCTTATGATTGTCAATCCTCACAATCCATTGGGTAAGTGATACTCGTTCATGTTTTGACTTCTAAAGTGCTGATTGGAGCAGGGAGATGTTACCCCGAGACTACGCTGAAAGAAATAATGAAATTCTGTCAGACGAACGACATCCACTTGATCAGCGATGAAGTCTACGCCCTTTCGGTATACGATACTGAGAGCGACTTGCCGAATTTCACCTCAGCTCTTTCGATAAACCCAAGTGGGCTCATAGACAAAGACAAACTGCATGTCCTCTCTGGAATGAGCAAAGTGAACATCATTCTCTTTCCTTCTAGTCCACATCTGACAGCAGACATAGGACTTCGGATCAGTAGGTCTGCGTGTGGGTAGTCTAATCACCCAGAACGCTGAGCTTAAAAAAGCTGTCTCGGCAAATATGAGGTTCCACAATCCCTCTGGAATGGCGATAGCTGTAAGTACAGCGATTTTGGAAAACCGCAAATTCGTAGCTTCGTTTCTGGAACTTGCGAGACAGAGATTGAGGGAGAGTCGAGCATATACGGCTGAGGTGCTTGACAAAGCAGGGATCAAGTACGAACCTGGGTGAGTACTTGCCATGAAAGTGCTTGAAATGGCAGGAGCAGTGAGAGATGATGACTGATAAGCGACCATAGGAATGCTGGGTTCTTCCTCTATATTGACTTGAGCCTTTACTTACCGGATCTCAAGTCAACTGGTCCAGATGCTGAGCGTGGGAAGGAGTTTGCACTTGCGCAGAAACTACTCGATGGTGGAGTTGGTCTGCATCCTTGTGAGGAACAGAATGACAAAGCAGGACATTTCCGTCTGGTGTTCAGTAGTTTCGACAGAGATACTTTAGCTGAAGGTTTGAGAAGGCGAGTTCTCGTTCCTCTAACTTAAACAGCAAGTGGGCTGACGGTAATAGGCTCCTTTCTGTGTTGGAGATTAGGATCAGTTAGATATATGTGGTCAAGTGCCCAGCTTCAAAGATGGCGCTAATGCGCGCCCTGCGAGATCCGCGCTCCCAGCGCAATTTGCGGAGTAGGTACTACATAACACCTTGAATATTCCTCTACTTGACAAGGATTCTCTCATTCTCCTAGTAGAGATACTAGAATGTCTGTATTCCCTAAAAGACTGGTCTTCCTTGAGTTGTCCCATTATTTCACCAAACTGAAAAAGTGTGTGACATAGACTTGACTTCAAGAGCACCATCATGTCTCCCAGACTTTCAACCCGTACAAAGTCTGCCTGCCAAGATCACCAAAGGTACCAACAATCCAAGCAAAGAGAAAACAACAAGCCTCCAAACGAGTATTCCCAACATGACCTAAGTCTGCCTTCGCGATTCCTCAGTTCTCTTCGCATGAATACTGACCTGATTCGCATTGCTTTCCCACCCCAACCCATCTCCAGTCTCCACATCCTCACTCTTAACCGGATAGGTCTCATGAACCGTGATACCCTTCAGTCTTTGAATGATCAATTCCTGGCTATCATTCCCCATGCTCTGCATTCTATCCAGACTCTCCTCACTCTTACTCCTAATCTTCACATCCCCAGCCTCAACATCCCAGTCCCCAGACCAGAATCTCTTGCCTCCCGCTTTCGAACTCAGCTCATATGGTCCCTTATTCGAGCGCTCTTGTATATTCCTCGCTGTGCCATGCAAGTACGAACTCGATTTGAAAGAGCCTGTTGTCCAGAAACTCTTGCTGAAGAGTGGCTTTAGGATGGGCATATTGATCGTTACGATTCCAACAATTGTTTCGCGCACACCCCAACGGTTTATGTTCAGGGCAGAGGGGTTCGAGCCGAGGGTCAGCACGACTCGGATGATCGCTGCGGTGATGACGAAGAGTCCGGAACAGAGGAGGGCGGCGATGACGAGTTTTCGGTAGTTGGGAATCTTGAGCTTCCAGAGGAGGGGTACTGGTACTGCCAGAATAGCTGCATCTGTTCTGATGGCGATATTAGAAGATGTGGTAACAGAAGAACGAAGAAAGACTCACACGACGTTGAGCACCACTGTAACAAGGAAATTCTGCATCTTCAAAGTGCATTTTAATCCGGGATCTGGAACCACTCTGTATGAAATCAGCTTCGTTGTAGTGCTCAAACTCAGTGACCACTGACTGCCAATTCCTCTGAGTTGGGAAGCATCCAAAAGTGAGAGTGCAGACTACAGCGATATATGCTACCGCACAAGCTCCACCGAGGCACTTGACGTATTTATGTTGCCAAAGTCCGACGGTGAGACGATGAAAGAAGAATAACATTGTAAATTTCATGGTCCATATAAGGGCTGTGTAGCTGTACCTGAGATTCGAAGTTTCAAAGTCAGTCCTTACTTCGGACGTCCAGACTTTGTAGATGTGTGGTTTGAGATCAGGAACTTACCAGGCGGCAAGCTGCTCTTTTGATCCGTACGTATACATAGCAATTTCCTCGGACGTCAATGGTCTCGTTTTCTGCACCACACTCGCTTCCACATTTGTCCCAGTATAGTATATAATATGCACACTAGAGATATGAGGTATTAGTGCTTCTGTGTGAAAGATAGGAAGTTCCAGGAGAGCTGTAGTTAGTACAAATGAATGCAACGAAACAGCGGAGCGGAGCATCTCCCATCGGCAGAGGACGCGGGTATAGAACATATCAAGACATCCTTACGTTGCTGCATCCATTGTGAACATTGCCAATGTCAAAATAGACATGTAGTCCTGGAAAAAGTCAGTATTACCACATCACACATGCCAATTGAAATAGCCATACGGCTCAACATGTTGGGTGATTGTGTTCATCGGATGAACTTAAGCGACGTCCCAATCATTTCCCCAAGAAGGATAAATGAAAGAATGGCCTACATCTCCCTGGAAGCCTCGAAACCCAACTGTCCTGATTCTCGCGAAAAATCGAAGCAGAATTACAACAACACCGATCCCATACAAAGTCCACTCTTCCCTGAGGAACTGAACAAACGTCAGCAAGTAATTTTCATAGCAGGAAGTAATCGAGAGACATACCTCAGGATCCTGTTCAAGTGAACCCATCTTTCCAATAGCCCCGACAAAATGTAATGTGCAAGAAGTAAATATGCGGGGAAAGAACGAAGAATGAAAAGCAATTATCAACCCCAGATCTGGGATGAACGGCCAAGATTTAAGACAAACGCAACTCTTGACTTTTTCCCCATACAAGTCATGTTCTTGGAACCCATTGGCCACGACGGCCTGTCAGTCTGCTCGGAACATCTAGACTTCGAACCTGATTTCATAGCGTCAAGACACTCCAATTTCGGACGGGAGGGCCCTTGAAACTAATAGAGGATCAAATAAGAGCTTTGATCAGGACCGGATTCTCGCCTTGCGAGCAATCCAGGAATGCCATTGAGTGTCAAAGAATGCATTTCGCAAGGAGGATGCCGGAACCAAGTGGGCATACAGGTCCGTGCGGCTGAAGATCGCATGTACGTCGGGGATATTCCTGGTGTGAATCGTGGAGTCAGAGCCCTGCTGTGGCGCAAAGACTGTCTGGGATAGAAGAATAGTAGATTATTGCGGAGATCCTGGTTGTCGATTGCGAGAAACTCTATTGTTGAATATGCAGCCAATTCTGCAAGCGCGATACGTTTCAAGAATGTGTCTGTCTGTCTTCGAGAAGTCGAGTTGTGATGTTTGCGTGAACTCAAAACGGAGCCTTGTCAACCGGCTCGCGGAAAGCCAGCCACACGGGAAGGTAACACGTTGTCTAGGGGAAGCGCTAAGATAGTCAAACTTAGCTGCCCGTCTTTAGTGTTTGGCAGTCTATTGAGGAACTAAATCCTTTGATAGTCCGGCATGGATAGAGCTTCTAGCGAACCATAATTTCCTATCAACGAGCTGGACATCCCATCTATGAGCCTCATTTTCATGAGTGGGTCGAGTAGATCTTGATTACTCTGCCAACGCTGCATGCCAAGAGGATGAAGCAAGTGGTCTGACCTTGAGTTTGTCGTTTATGACAGTGGAAGAGTGGAGAGTCCTTGAGATGAGTTCATGGCGCAAATAAGGTTCTAAACGGATTTGCAAACTGTAAATTCTCACCCATCTAGCAGCTCCATGAATCGGGATGTCGTGACACTGGCTTTCAAGCCCTCGTCCTGACTCGTTGTGATTCACGACTACACTCTTCAAAAGTGCAAACATTCTCGAAGCCTTCCACAGGTTGAGGTGTTGAGGAGTCTGGGCTTCCAGGTACAAGAGACGATTTGCATAAATGAGACGGAAAAGCATTAGGAGCTCAATAATGGGACGATAGGAGGCCTTTCCTTGGCAATACCATCCACATATAAGCATATACGCGTCCTTTATGTTTTCGACGAACCAGAGATCAAAGCGGGATCAGTGACGATGATGCGCGAGCTGTTCCACTGCAACGGATCCTAGCCATGTTATAGAGGGAATCCTGGTCGAGGCACTTGCCTCTGTTCACTAATCGAAGGATCCATTGAATTGACAGTGATGACTACGTGCTCAGACTTCTTGGAATACTTTTTCCCCAGATCGTATATTCGTCGATGCTTGAATCTACACGACGCTAAAACGACACGAGCACCATTAAAATCTCTGTTCCAGTATACGAATTTGAGATGAGAGCAATATCTGGTACATTTCGTATACAAACTGCGATTGTGCGGCGATGTGGGGTATACATGTGCTGAACCATATTTACATCAGTACTCCTTCGCGAGGATCTTCTTCAACGCCCCGACTTCTTTCGTCCAGGCCTCAACCTTTTGTTGACTTGCTGCCAAGTTCGTCAAGAGAAACTGAATCCGGGGTCCCAACTCCCTCTGGCGAGGTAGGCCTCCAAGCATTGTCAGCTCATTTTCATACTTATCAATGCTCTTCGTCTCAATTGTGATCAACTCCTTCAATACTGCTAGATCAAGACGAGATCGCAGAGCCGTATCGTCAACGATCTTCTTGAATGACTCCCTCAAGAGTGGTTTCCCTGGGAGAATGGTCGCAGGACGACCGTTGTGAGTCTTGATGCTGATCAATTCAGCTGCTGCCAGCGCTTCCAAGACGCCTTCACCATTCGTCGCAGCAGCCGTGAGGGAGGATGCGAATGTATTCGAAAGCAACACCTCGTTATAGCGTAGATTTTCCTGTTCTGCAAGTGATTTTACTAGAAACCAAGCTTGCTCGGGGGACCATTTGCGGTCTCCTTTGTCAAGTGTCAAGAGATACATCTTCATTATTTCGGAAGCACTTCAACAACTTAGCACAATATTACCGATGGCATAATAGCTAAGAATGGATGTCTTACCTCTGCTCAATGATCTCTGCTAAAGCCTTCTTAGGTGTTTGTCCAGTCTTCAAGCGACGTGCAAGAAATTCTAGATCTGTAAGTCGGCCTCCGAGCACTGCAATACACTCGTCAAGTTCTTCCAAGTCACGGTGTTTTATGCTTGGGGACAGTTTCACAGCTTCTCCCGTGGGGTCGTGCTCATCTTGGTCAAGATGGGTTACAACGAATTTCTTCGCTACTTCTGGAGTAAGATCTCCGAGAACTATCTCTCTAAAGACTCTGTCTGGTAAGGCTTTTGTAAGAGGCTTTGAGTAGGAGATGTCATTCGTCAAGAAGATAATATGCGAGATGTTTTGTGTCGTAAGAGCAGCTGCCCATTCAGATATCTTGTCGTATACCACAGCGACTTCGTCAGTCTTGAAGTTGTCAACGACTATGACTGGCCGAAATTCGGGATGAGCTTCCAACCAGTCTAATGAAATTCGAATTAGTAAGTAGACTCGTAAATAAATTCACGAAGAGGGAGCTTACCATCATCATTAAGGGAAGCGTCCTTGTCGTCTTTGTTCCTGTGGCTAAGTGCTACCTGCTTCAAAGCTGTAGCAGTAGTTTCGAGTATCTTTTTGAGCTGGCTGTCCAGAGTTTCGGAAAGTCCGCTTTTGCTTCCAATGGTCGCTTGGGATGCTAGGTCAATGAGACTGCTCATGCTATTCAAAATTGCGAATAATGGCCGATATCTAGAATGACAAGTCAGAAGGGTGCATATCTCTGGAAACGCACAATATCGCTTGCCAGTGCAGACTTACCCAACCTCACTTGCTAAAGTAGAAATAGTGGCACTATCTCCTCGTGCTTCTACGATTCTCTTGCAGTCAAGATTTAGTATGTTTGGTCGTCCCTTCAGAGCCTCATCTAAGACCTCCTTTTTGCCAGATCCGCGAGGACCTTGGATGATAATGAAGGTTTCGGCAGTTCTTGAATATCAAAAATTAGTCAAGTGCCCAAGATATAAAGAAGTGGAGGGTTCTTACTCCATCAGCCATGTCCTGAGTTGATCAATTACTTCTTTTCGATCATCGAATATCGCGCCAAGGCTAGCTTCCTCACCGCGATGCAATCGGAAGGTAAAAATGTCGCCCGCTTGATTTTTGAACCACTTGTAGATCTTATTGTCCTTGAGATGGAAAGCATGCTCCACATGAGCTCGGATAAAAAATGTCCTCATTGGGTCAAAGACTGCAGCTGCTATGATCGCAGTGAGAGCAGCTATTGCGGGGATGACAACACGTGGATGGTTGAGTAACCAGTCCCAGATCCTAGAAGAAAACATTAATACACACTTCCGTACATTCAACTTGTAAGTGGAGTAGAGGGAGTTCGTTACTCCGTGCATTGGAGACGTACCAGTGTGTTTTCAACTTCTGCTCATAACTCAATCTCAATTCAGTACCCGCTGCTCCACCACCTTGAGCTTCTGAAATCTTAATTCCATGCATACAATTTCTTGCCATGATAGAATGTCGAAGTCTAGCAAAATCGAGGTATGCGAATTTTGGAAGAACCTTTGAGTCTGACGCTTGTGATGTGATCTCAGCAAGTTTGCCATATTTCCGAAAGAGACTATAAAGGGTTTCTTGAGATAATTCTGCTGCTTGTCCTCCTGGGCTTGTAGGAACGAATTCGACTTTTATCCGGCAACTTGGAAATCTAAATGGACAAGTAGTTAGATTCAGCTGCATGTGTTTCTTGAGGAGACTTACCGGTGTAGGTCCTCCAGCCAAGGCTTACCAACAACCAATTTTGTACGAATTCCTCTAAAGGGACTGAACCATGGCTACAATGTATGTTAGCTCTTACCAACAATACACCAGATCCATAGATACCTTCACTGGGTTCTCTTCCAAATAGCGTCCAACAAGCCCCTCGACCTCTTTCGCTGTCACAGCATCTGGATGTGAGAATTTGACGAATGCCCCGCCATCTATTGTATCAGAAATTTAAGATTAGCATATCTTTTATAGCTTGTGTAGACTAATATTCCATGTCTTGGAACTTATAGAAGAGAACTATGTAATGGTCTGCATTGGGCCTATTCCTCAAGAAAAGTCTTACCCTTCAACCGAGGAAGTATCTCCGTAATTTTCAATGGTACCGACGCCGGTATTGCCTGCTTAACAAGTCCAATTGGATCAAGAACTGAAAGAGTCTGACTATGGAATCGATTCAGAAGGTCTGGAAGGTTTCGTTCGGAGCGTAATGGATATCGTAGAAGCCATGTGAGCTTCAGAGGAAAGAGGTTGTCGAAGAACAGAATCCCCTCGTTGAACCCAGCAGCAATATGCCCTGACTGATCCTCTCCCGTCTCCGTACTTTCTCTGCGTATGCCTCTCCACACATCTTTCCTCAGTCCCACCCTAGGTCTTGGTGTGCTTCCGCCATGGTAGAAGTCTCGTCGCTGCGGTTTCGTCCTCAATCCGGGGAGGCTGGTCGGATTGAAGAATATGCGTCTCGAGGTCTGCATCTTCGTATCAATTCGATGCCACGGCGACGATCATGACTTGAGAGTGGCAGACCGCAGAGGAAGCGCGTCAATCAAGGAAGCTCTCATGCTCACGCGTTTTCGTCTTGTCGTGTCCATGAGGTCATAAGGCTGCAATTGATACCCCTGTTAGCACCAACCAATCAGATATCTCAAAGTAAATATTGCTTGAGAACTCACGTACCTTCACACATCAACAATCTTCGACCAGGAAACAGACATTCGACGTTTTCCTACCGCAGACTAAGTTTCAAGTGAAACCTTTCCCCGCCCCGCCTTCTCCAGCGAAGCTGGTTGGTACGAGTCGCTGGTTATCTTTCTGCACAATTGATTCTGTTACGAGTATTGCTCTTCTTGATTTGACTGCAATTGATCGGGTCATTTTGTTCTAAAGATCTGTGCCACTGTGAAGGGGGTTACCCAGTCTCTGTTTGACATCGTCTTGACCGAAAGTCTCTTCTGTAGAGTTCGTACGATTTCTTATTGGAAGAGAGTCTAGACTTATCTATTTGACATAATTCAGATGAACACCAAGCTTCACAACATCCATGCTTCGAATTCTTGGCATGAGTATCCTTGTAGCGCTAGCTATCAGTGTGCTACTTTGCATTCCATTCGTCAATATCCCAGGATCTCAGGACGAATAAAAGCCCTTAAAACCACGCCGTTGAGATATAATTGAGTGCCGTCCAACTAGAACCAAAAATGGTGGTTGGGGGCTGCGACCAAGTTTCATATATATACATGGAGTCTTTCATACCGAGTTTCCAGTTGCCAAGCTTGTTCGCCGAGTCTCGCTGTGCCAACTCTTAGCCAAATGTCACGCTGTTGTAAACGCACGTCGTCGAAGATCCTGAAGTATGGCTCGCACCTCCTGATACAGCATACTTGAATGAGCTGCTAGCAACATATCTGCGTATGTCAGAGATAAATTTTGAGATGCGAAGAGGGCTTCTTACGCTCCGTTACACCAAGACTGAGTGGTTGATGCCGTTATAGACAGACTAGACCACTGCACTTGACCGAAGTCCCACACTCCACTGTTTTGCAACTCGATAGAAAGGACAGCCTTCAGACACTCAGTATTTGTCAAAAAGGTTGGCAGCGCAAATCAAACATACCTTGTCAATCGTGCCTCTGTTGGCTATAAGAGAGAAGAGTTTAGCATAGAACCGTCCTTGGAAATCGAGAGAATACCTACAAAATGAATTCCCAGAAGATCCACTCTGCGCAGTTGCGCCTGCAGCTCGTCCTGCAGCTCCGGGCGATATGGACCAAGTGTCAGTCCACTGAGCATTCGCACCGACTGAGAAGGTGCTGGTGATTGAGTCGCCAGGATACACTACTTAATTTAACGTCTTGCAGTACACCCATTTCTTTTGCAGACTCACCTCTGACTGATGTTGCTTGATAGTCCGGACTTTAGTGGAATTAGATGATGTCTTGTTCTCGAAAAGCAGAGAGGACTTCCAGTTATCGTTTGACTTACTTGCAACAATATTCCACAAAAAATTGCCATGTCCCAGGAACTCTTGAATCGCTCACGACACTTTGGAACACAAATGTATCATCATCGTTCTGAAGTCCAGGCCAGACTCCATGGCTGCCGAGTCCACGAGATATACTCGGCACGATCATTGTGACCTGAAACTGATATCGCGTTAGATGGCCGTCCTCGATGGCATGGGACCACGAACCTTTGTAATACCAGCATCTGCGTTGAACCAAAGGGTATCGTTTCCATGCACAAAGCTCAGGCCGAGACAAAACCATAGCACAAGGAGGCCAGCAACATTCCTCATCCTGTGGTCAATGTCGGGACGGCCAGTTTGACAGCACCAACAAGAAATGCTATGAAGTTATTCGAGTTGGAGAAATGTGATGATCATCCATGATTTGAGATGAGGACATGTCTTGAGGAGAAGTCATACAGTTAGTGTTTGTTCAAGAACAGGAAGGTGCATCTGCACCCACACCACAACGACAGAAGGAAGAATCAGTCAGAGCGAAGGAGGGTGCCAAGTCGCGAAAGTTAATCCGGGTTCTGGTCTTTGATCCCTGATACTCGTCCTTGTCGATACCGAATTACCTCTTCAGTCGGATGATCTTGTGCCGTTTCCTCCGCGACTTCACAAGGAAGGTATCTAGACAGGGCTGACAAGTTCCAAGCCCCAAGATATCACATCTCGCTGAATGGCGACATCTCAGTCCTCAACATTTTCTAGAAATTCACTTGGCGTTAGACACATCCTCGACTTTGACTTCTTGGTCTGCGGAATCAGTTCCTGAGGTCCGTCTGCACGGCCAAAATGATGGGGCAGAAGAACCGATTGGGAATGAAACTTTAAATCTGCCGCACGAGCATGCAGTCTGATATAGCCGGAATCTGAAAGCCGGGTAGGATCTTCTTTGGGTGCGGATGAAAGATGCGATCGAAACGTGGAAGACAGAGCCGAGGAGGGGAGGGGTAGAAAACTATTAATAGACCATCACGTGGGGAAACCCCTTTCTATTACATTTGGACATTTGGACATTTGGACAAAGCATGTAGGTTGAGACTGGCTATTGGCGTAGTATTAGCCGCCGTTGTTACTGCCATCTCGGACGCAAGAACTGCTTGTAGCCTCCGAATTGAGACTGCATGAGGCATGTTTGACAGGTCAGACTAGGGCTTCGCCTTCTTCAACCGTATTTCCGGAGAGTAACTTCATGTACAAACATATATTGATCTTAGGACTTCTTCAGTCTATGTGCCTCATTTGCAGCTTAGCTTCTTTCAACGTTGCAATGAAATATACACAAGAACAAGGTTATTGCTCTTAAGATTGCTGCTCACTGAGTGCTTCCCTCTCCTGCATCAACCTTCGGAATAGAACCAAACAAATACTCAGCCATAAAGTCCTACTCGCTTACAGCCTTTTCCAATTTCGAAAACGGATAATGACAACAAGGTTCTCTCATCAGTCCTTCCAGAGCAGATTCGCTTCGACTCGCCAAAGAATTGAACAAAGTTCACCACGAAGGTTGGGAGACGGATTGAATAGCGAACAGTACAACACATAAACTTTCATGTGATTTTGTCATGTCTGACAAAAGTCTGAAGTGAGAAATGTAGCTTTTAATGTGTCTGCGGATGCTTCCTTACAAAATGGTGAAGTTATGTAAGTCATAGCTGCTCAAGAAATTGAGGTCGGCAATCTTCTGCGAGGCTCCGAGCCGACCTCAAGAAAAAGTACACCTCGCAGCCTCATCACTTCAACATCTTCACACACACTCAAGACCTCACAATGGGGTGGCTTTGGTCTTCGACGCCCGAATCGACATCATCTCCTTCATCACAAGATCCCAAACCTCTCCCACCACCCCAATCACTCCCAGAGACTCTCACGACGTCCACCGCTTCGAAACCTCTCTCCCGCGACGAAGTTGCAGATCAAGAACTTCAATCCTTCCTCCAAGAAATTGCTACCGACACCGCACCCAAGAAACAGAAATACAACCGCATCTCCCGCGCCGCCACCAATAATGGCATTCCCACCACCAATTCAGACTCCAACGAACCCCTAGGCGACCAATTACTCCCCACAGATATGTCCTGCAGACAGGCCTTCGATGAAGCTTTCTACTGCAATTCATTTGGTGGGCGATTTAATGATCTATATCGTTACGGCACATTGCGGTCATGTTCTGAGCACTGGAATAATTTCTGGTTCTGTATGAAAACACGATCATACACTGGGCAGGGGAAAGAAGATGCCGTAAGGGAGCATTATAGGAGTCGGGAAAGTATGAAATATAGTAAGGATTTAGGGAAGGAGAGCAGTGAGAATGTGTGGAAAAGTAGGGATAAGAAGGTTGCATGGGGGACAGCGTTCAATGAACCATTCCCTCCGCAATATGAGGGCAGTGATGAGGAATGGAGACGATTAGAGTTGGCCGCTAGGAAAGCGAGGAGTGGGCGTGTTGATGGGACTATGGATTAGAATACACATGTGCACTTTTGGACGGCGTTGAGTTTATATGTGCCTAAGGTACGATGTTGGGATAAGATATCAGGCGTTTGGTATACATCTCATGTCTATGTGCAAACTCCATGCGTCATGCTGTCGATGCAGCGTCCAATTCCAACGCCATAACCACCATCGTGCTGTCGTATACTAAGTAAAGCCAAAAAGTTCGTACCACATGCGCCACGCTGAGAAACTCACACCTTGACAGCGAAGTGCCAAGGCCAGCCATATTATGTCCCCGATGTCAAATCCAACCACAACGCCGGGATATCTTACAATAGGTGACTACATGCCACCCCCATTTTGCATTCCATTCATTCTCTGGGCTACTGCCATTTGCTGTCTCGCTCTATAGCTTGCTTCAAACTGTTGTCGAGCAGCCGCAGAGCATCGTTGCTTCAGACTTTGGTCTACGTCTGGAGGTAAGCCTCCGGGATATTGTGCTGCCATGCCTTGACGCTGGCTAACATAAAGCTGATTTGCCATTTGAGCAATTTGTCGCTGCATCATCTGTTCTCGCATCATAGTCTGTTGATCTGGATGCTGCTGCTGCTGCTGTTGTTGCGCTTGCTGCTGCTGTTGATGCAATTGCTGCTGCTGTGCTTGTTGGGCAGCTTGTTGCTGTATCATTTGCATCTGCTGCAGACGTTGCATTTGTTGCATGTTCGCCTGAGGATTCGAATTGACGTTCATGAAATTCTGGTTCATGTTTTGCGGCATACCCGTTGCCTGGTTCATCTGTGCCAGGCGTGCTGCATATTGTTGTGCCATTGGATTACCTTGACCAAGTTGCTGGTTAAGTTGCTGAGCACGCATTGCCTGCGCCTGAGCTTGCATCATTTGTTGCTGGGTCATTGGGTGACCCGTGTTCAGCATCCCTCCCATTCCTTGAGCAGCCGCAGCTTGATTTCGGAGCATTTGCTGCATTCTCTGCTGTTGTAGAACTTGCATCTGCTGAGCACTCATCTGCATAGGTTGACCATTCATCATCGGAACCTGTGGCGTTTGACCCATTGGACCTTGTAGCGGGCTTCCTTGGCTCATGCGAGGTGTCTGGCTCATTTGTCGATTCAACGGTGTGGATACTTGAACGTTTGGTGTGGAGCTCGGCATACGAGGTGTTCCAGCGTGACTTTGCTGACTCCTCTGAGGTGCCATGCCTTGTGATGCAGGAGCACCCATCGGATGATGATTTTGTTGTACAACGGAACCGGGACGAGGTGGACTGCCTCCCATACTCGAAGTAGAATGCTGCATTGGCGCATTACTCATATTGTTAACGTTAGGCGAAGAGTGGCTGTGCGGAGTTCCGTTGCGAACAATAGGCGACGATGTTTGAGCTTGGGAAACTTGTTGTTGATGAAAGCGCTGTGGTTGTGCGTTCATGCCATTTGCAACAATACCATTTGCTTGTGGATGTGCGTGGGGTGCTTGGATCTGGGTAGGCATGCTCTGATGTGTCTGTTGCGCTTGTTGAGCCAACCGACGTCGCTGGGCTTCTTGTTGCAGTTGTTGCTGCTGTTGAGCCTGTTGCATGGCAGCGGCAGTGGCACGATTCTTCTCCTCCGCAGCTCGCTTATTGTTTTCTTCGAGCTTATTACGCTCTTGCTCCACTCTCTGCTTTCTCTCTGCCTCTTCTCGTCGTAACTTCTCTTGTCTTTTATTCTCTTCGTGATTAGCCCGGATATTCTCGAGCGTCTTAAATCTCTCGAAACGCGGTTCGAAAGAAACTCCAGCTGGTCCATCGCCATTGGCGGGATTGGCACCACCTGGTGCACCTGCAGTATTCGATGCTAAACGTTCGTCAAGGACAAGCATGAAACGCTCTTGGTCTGCTGCCAGAGCTTCGTCTGCAGCCATTTCCGCTACAGTCCTCTTTCGGGTCTTGGGTGCGGGTGGTTGTTCAGAATGCATTGGATGAGCCAAAGATGAGAGCAATGCTGCAGACTCTGCTGCATTGGCTACAGGCTCAAGCTTAAGCTCAGCGGTCCTGGCTAGTGTAACTTGGGATTCAAAGCCATAGACATTACTGATGTCTAATTCCGCTTTCGTCCTTTTGACGCGCTTCGCCGGTGGTGCCATGTTCAACTGCGGGGTTGGAGGAGCACCTGTCGTTGGAGTTGGGGGAACGGTAGCGGACAGAGGCCCTCCGTTAACCTCTTGACGTGACCCTCTTCGGTCTTCAGGAGAAGCATAGGCCTCGCCGGCTTTGATTGCCAGGTCAATGTGATTGCTGAGCGGTGTTGGATGAAGCACGACTGTTATGACTTTGGGCTTTCTAGGCGGAGATATCGACTTGTTGCGTTGGATATCTCCGGGCAGGTTTGGAGCTGGCATATTTTCCTTGTCTTTCTGCTCGGCAGTTTTAATTTTGTCTTCAACCTCAGCATCTTTGCCCTTGCCAGTCCCGATATTTTGAACCGGGTAGGGAACATATGAGGATGGTGTGAGAAATGTGTTGTAGTTATGGACCGAAAATGGGACAGTCTTGCCTGGCCCTGTAGCTGTTCGATTAGGACCTTGAGATGGAGCAATGGATTTGTGGTCGTGAATCTGTACAATCATGCATCCGTCATAAAATTGAACATCTTGCATGAACTCCAATAAATCGTGGGGTACAGTCCGTTGCCGTATATGCTCAAGTACCATCCTCATGGGCGATTTATAGGTAAAGCTGCCCTCTTGCTGATCAAATCGAAAGTGTGTTGGGTGAAGATGGATAATTAGAGAGGGCGGATGCCCTCGATACTTCTTGAGGATATACTCGGCGGTCAATACTATAAAGGTTAGTACAAATGCTTATCAATCGGCCATGAAAAATCAAACCATATGGTTGTGGCTCTGCAGGTTGAGCCATAGCAACTTCTCCAACTATACTCGCAGAGCGGAGCCCAACACTGCTATTCCTCTGCCCGCGACCTAGAAGTTGAGGTGGAGCATCGCGCCTGATGCGATTTGCAGACCTCGATCCTGTGCCATTACTCCCCATGCCCCCCGATGTGAGATTTGGTGAATACTTCGCAGCAGCAGGTAGTCTGCTGGCAGATATTGAAGGTGAGGGGGATGAGGTGGAGGAGTTTATTCCGTTCGTTTGAATTCCGGGAGGGACTGGACGCTTGACTTTAGAAGACAGCGACTGTGTCGCCGTCGCTGAGGGCGCCATCGACCGCACTGCCTTGCCCAGGTCGGCTTCCTTGGTGAAGCTTTGAGTACGCGCTCACGGCTCTCCTTCGCTATCGGTGCCTTAATATGTATGCCTCCATACAATGCGGTTCTCGAGGCTTCGATCGCTGTTCAGTGGCGCATTCGTTCGTAAAGGTTCGAGGAGCTATTGATGCATATTCCAATGTGATTATGCGATATGCGATCGATGTTCAAAGACGCCTTGAATGTGAGAGTGTGGGGAGGACAAAGAGCCGCATGACTAGGTTGGTGAGGTGCGAGCGATACGCTTACATAAGCTAATATCATAATCAACTTCATCACGGTGAATTTTCTTGGTTGCAGATTCAAACGTAATATTTGACAAAAAAAGGTACCCTATTCACATTCTAAATGCGACCAGTGATATTTTGAGGTGGCTACCGCTTCCTCGGCAGGTACAACACGGTTATGCCAGTCCTCCTGTAACCGTGCAGAACCTGGGTTGAGTTTTGGACAACAGATTCTTCAAGAAAAGATCGTACAATATGGAAATGAACAGGTGAACCTGTCCTTCCGAGTTCAAATAACTATCTAAGATGCACGCATTACAGACTCAGCAACCATACAAATCACGTTGCCTTACCTGGTGATTCAATTGAAGTGCTTTCAAGTTACAGGTTACAGACATTCAAAACTGTGGAGTCTTCGACAACCTTTTGAGCTTTCAAGCTGTACATCATGCTCGGTCAATAAACCTTGATTTTTACACTTGTCTGCTGTGTGTTTTCAATCTGTTTGGATACAGCATGTGTTATTGTGCTTTTTACTATCCTCATTCATTGCACTAGAAGAAGATAATATTGCGTATTGAAGCTGTTATTCTCGACTTCAAAAGTGAACACAAGTTCCAGAAATTGTGTTGTTTGCGAGACTCAAGTAGAGATCAAAAGAGCACCAACATATCAGAGACGTTTCTTTTTCCTGTCGAGTAAACTCGTGCTTGGCAAGCTAAGGTAGGAATGGAACACACAGCATAGAGAACTAGACAAGCGCCCTAGCTAGCTCATGGCGAAAATGAAGCATTAGAGTTCGGTTAGCCTTTGGAGGTGATGTCCGATGGTGAGGCAGCAGTCAGGTCCCTTCATGGGCAAGTAGTAGAGAGAACTGTATACAGACTCTAAACCAAGTCGAAAGTCCGACTCTTGAGAAGGCTAAGAACTATAATCTTCATAGAATAACAAAGCGCCAGCTTAAAAGCTTCAGGTTTGGACAGACTTTCTTCTTCTTGGTCTCTTATCATGTCCAATTACTCATGTCTTTCACTTGTATTCTGCATTCCCATATTCTAAAAAAAAATTCACTATTTGATCCTCAGCTGCACAAAGTGAAAACGACCGTATTGAATTCCCAGTGCAAGTCCCTCTCCAGTCCAGCTGGAAAAACCTTCCATCATTTTGTTACTGAACTCATGGCCCTCAGAGAAAAGAACGCACTTTGAAGGCCACCGATTTCGCGAAACTCAAGTCCGACAACCAAATGAAATGTATCGACGAAGGTGCCAGTTTTCGCTCGTTGTTGCATCAGAAGAAAATTCTAACTGTGGCTAATTGACTCCAAAGCGGGGCAATGGCTTCTTTGCGCACACTCCAGAGACCCCGTAATCTCATGGAAATACATCACACGCTGACAACACAAAGGAGAGGAAGTCGGGACCATCCTTGCCAATATCCGCAAACTAGACTCTATAGTCTTGCCACCTGTTTTTCTTTGCAGCCGTCGGAGACTCTTCGTTTCCAACTGCCTGCCGCTTCTTTTTTCTCATCTCCTTGGCTCTTACGCGAGCTTCAAGACTGAACGGATTCGAATCTGGGGTAGGAGGGGTGTAAGTAGAAGTCTTTCTCGTGGGTGTAGATGTATGAGACAAACGAAACTTGCTCATTGACCGCTGTGAAGATGCCGGTGTGTATTCAGACACATTATCATCTGAATCATCCAGAATGGTTACTTTCTTGGGACTTTCATATGAGAAGCTTTGTATCTTGCGCTTCTGCACCGTCTTTGACGTTGTAACCACTTGAGTGTAGAGTGGCTCTAATCGAGGGCTACTACCTATGATAGGTCGTGGCTCTGGGTACTGGGTGTGGAAATCCGGAGCCTCAAATTGAGCAATCGGCTTAGGTGCCTTTGTCTTCGGCGTGTGAGCCTTTGGCGGCGTCGGGATCTCGACAACGAAGCTAGGTACAGTCTTCTTTGGCGTGGCTCCGTACTCAAGCATCATATCCAGGGCTTCAATTATCTCTTGATGGTCTTCTTCTTGGACTGCGTGCTTTGGGTATATGTCAAAACCGTTCTTGTCTTTCTTGGGCGCGACCTCCGCAACGTTGTCCATGATAACAAACGTAAACTTTATGCCCGTGAATGTTTCAATGAGTTGCTTAAACTCCTTACAAGGGCCGCAAGGGGCTTTGCTAAGAACAAGTTCGGCTTCGAACGTTTCTCCTATCTTGTCCAGGAGCCATATACTTTGAATGACCTTTCTGACGGGTGACTTGATCCCAAAGACCTTGGTCGCCAGGTGGTACGCGTAATATAGCATCAATGTCGGCTCGACATGAGACGCATATCCGTCGCCGTCTTCTCTGTCATTTGCTTTGTCCCAACATCCGGATCGGAAGTTATGATCGAGTGTTTCCGCCAAGTACTTGACTTCGTTGAGCCAGAACTCGGTATCCAGCATTCTGGGATGGAAATCCAAAACATTGGTCCATCCTGATATGGCACATTGAAGTGGGAAACTGGTACCCTTTGCTCGGACAAAGCCAAGTGTCTTTCGCTTGCTGTACGCGCTGTGATTGGCCTTGAAAACCTCCGCCACAGAGAGCAGATACAAAAGCTTGGATTCTTTGGGCCCATACAGCACGTATTTGCCGTAGTATGGCAGAGTACTGGCGACAGTGACGTCGGGGATATCAGGCATATCGGCGATACTTCCAAGATGCTGAAGCGAAGTCTTAATGACATGACAATTCTTGTGGAGAGTCGAGACGATATCTGCATGGAGCACATCATCCTCGGCTAGAAGAGTCTTCACATCTTCCGGGTCGCCCACTGTGGTTAGAGCTTCTGCAAGGTTTTGGATAAGTTTGATCAAGTCGAGTTTTGATGCCCTGTTCACCCTGCCTGGCTTGCGCCGACGAAGAGCAAGTGAAGAGCCATTTTGGGAATTAAGAGTGTGATCTTCAAGAGCAACTTTCTTGGCCTTCTTGGCCTTCGGCTTCACATTTGCGGCTTCGTTCTCGACAGAGGCCTTGAACCTCTCCTTCTGACGATTCTGCATCTCTTGAAGAGTCGATGTTTCATAATCCGACTCTTCGCTCTGGTATCGCTCTTCGGCTTCTCGCTGAGCGAGTAGTTCAGCTTTACGTTCTTTGGAGTGCCTACCCATGGTGAAGTTGTCACTGTTATCTGGAGAATTGTGAGTCTAGAATTAATGATGGAGAGAGAGAGACAAACCCGAAGAAGTACTTAGTGCTAGAGACTGTCAAAGAAATAAATGAGCTATTGATTGGACAACGACTTTGCAAGCCCAGTATCTGTTTGCTGGATGTGGAAGTGGTCGTATTTGAAAGAGAGGTTGAAAGGTGAAGGCTGGATATGGTCAGCCCAGTCGCAATGGGATCCGAGATCCTCGGCTGCAAAGGTGAAAACTTGCAAAGGCAAGAATATACTGACTTGAATTGTGTCGTGTAGATTTCAAGATTCACCAACGGAATCGAGAATTTCAAGTGCGGGGTAATGTCGTGAAAAGAAGAAAAAGCAAGTAGAGCAGGGTGTGCGAGAGTGAACGTTGGAGAGTTTGTGACAAAGTGGCGAAGAGGAAGACGAAGTGAACCAGAAGTTGGAGAATGGTGTGAATAGAGAAACTCTTGGAAGATAGACGTAGATGAATTTTAGTTTGACATGGAGCCGAGTATATCTCATGGATCGAAAGTGAAGCTCTCGACTAGGGGACCTGTCATATGTGGCTTCCCGCCAAGCATGAAAGGCTTTCACAACCAACAGGCAGCAGAAGTAGCGGTGTGCGAATTTCATTTGAAACTTGAAAGATCTTCGAAGCCCGTTACTCGAAAATGCTGCTTGCATTGCTTGGGATCGATTCAAAGGATGATCGAAACTCGGTTGAAGTGAAGCATGCGTGACAGGCCTAGCGCAAAGTGCATCTTCATCTGTGAATGCATCCCGCCCAATATCTTTTCGTGTTACTATTGTTGTAGACATTTGAAGTTGCCTAACGCATTGACCCGTCATTGGTTCTGGTTTTTCAGGAGTATGGTCACACAAGGGAGAAGCTAGTTGCACCAAACTTGTCGAACTTGTAGCTAAGTGAGAAGAGACGTTTTCCAGATTGGAGGAGTCAGTGATTGCAGAGATGAAATTCATTAAACTGCAAGATCCTTGCCACAATGAATCGTTGAGCAATGCTCCTAGCCATAATCGATCACTTAGCACCTTTGAAAGTCTGCGTTTTGCGTTCGTACTTACCTATCCATATCTCATAAGACCTTTTAGAGAAATATGGAGGATCCGAAATTCAGGTGCAAACTATGTAATGATAAGCTATCTTCAACATCCTCAATTGATGCCGAGCTGCACTGTCTACAATTAGTTTAAATTCAAGTTCACCAGCAGTTATGTAGGGTTTTGAGGGAACTAGGTTTATCTAGCCCGGAAAAGCCGACTCCCTGAAAAGCAGTAAGCCATTCTTCAAAAGCCTGAACCACGGCTTTGTGCCAATTGGACAATATGCGGGGATTACCACTGTGGCGGGCGTGGCTTACCAATCGCACCAGCAAACATCATACCAATTTTCTTTTGTTTTTCATGGCTTATTGGCTTACTTATTACACAATCTGTTGTGGCGCACCAAAAGATGTCAAGAAATCAACGAAGGAAATACAAAGATCACGCAGGGAAGAAAGAACGAGAACAAGTTAAATCGTGAGACACCTCCGAATTTGTGGCCACTCGACCGAGATCGAGGCGAGAAACAGAGATAGAAGACATAGGAAGCTGGATTCTGGATTGTGAACCGTCCTTGATCGCCAGCACATGTCCTTTGAGCAAAGGGTGTGATTAATTCAACATACAATGAAAACATCAAATCTTGGATATCCTATCAGAATCAAGCATGCATCAAGAGACTAAGATACTGGATCAAACCGTGCTCAAAGGTAACGGTGTGACGTGTTTGATTTGTAGGTCAATGCTTCAGGTCGCCTTCTAGAACCATGAATGTCTTAACAGTGAACTACGCATGTCTGATTTGTCGCCTAGACATAAAATCAAGGAGCTGAGATTAGTCTTTCGAGACACAGGAGAGAATATCTCACGAAGCATCACGATCACATACGGCATTGCAATGGTGTCAGAAGCTTTTATTCTTCGCGAATACTAGAAGCCAGATGCTGCCAACTCCAAATGCCTAGACCGAAATGAAGTGATTTACTCATCGTCCTCATCGTCACCCTCCAAGGATTCTTGTACAGTCTGTGCGATACGATCTAAATCACGCTGACCGCTTTGAGTGATACGTCGTCCTCTAGCAGCACGAGTTAGCATTGTTCATGCGGCAGCGTTTTAGAAAGAAGTCTTACCCCTTTTCTTCATCCTGCTCCAGAACTCCAATCTTCTCCAATGACTGCATAACCTTACGGTCGACACTGCCGCTGGCTTCACGATGTTAGGATATGCTCGCAATGTGCACTTCCAATGCTTACCGTTGACGTGGTGGGAAGGTCGGGATCCGCGGTTCTTTGGCGAGCCGTGTACCTTGCGGAGTCTGCCTACGCCGACAGTCTTGCGAAGATAGACGTGCCTCTGGTTACAAAATCAGCAACATGAATAGATAGATAAAGCACCGGTTGAGAATCGAGAGGTATCTTACAGCAATGGCAGCTGCGCGGACGTAGAACCAATCAATCGACTGAGGGGGAAGTTCCTTGGCAGGTCCACTGTACTCGAGATTAGAATTCGAAGTTATGAACGGGGTTGGTCTCCTCTCACGTCTTGACTGTATCAACCCAACCTGGAATGGGGAGCTTTCCTTGTCGCTTCTGTTCGATTCTTAGCATCCTAATGCGAAATCAATATCAAATTGAGGAGGGACGAACCAGAAAGCTAGCATAGTTCTCGATGAACTTCTGCGCCTATATAGACCATCGTATCAGCAAGAATTCCGTCACAGGAGCCTTTGCAGGCCCCTCCACGCCTGCTCGGTTGTGTTCGAAGGAGAAATCATCGCAAGACTTCGATGTTCTGTATGTCCTCCCACTCAGGTATGCTCAAGATGGGATCCATCGCAGGTATTCGATTCGCCAGTGTGGCTTTTAATTTTGAAGGTTGAAGGTACTCACATCGACGTCGCGAACTGAAATACCGCCGGCCATATTTGCGGAAGTTGTTCGTTCGAGGATTTATCGAATTGTCGTGGTTGAAGGTCGAATTTTGAAATCGCGAACTTTTTCAAAGTTGTGTGGGCAGCCTCATTGAAAGCGAGTCCCAATTCGTCGTAGCTCAAAACCTAAAAGTCGGCTCACGTGATACGGGGCTCCTCATTCAATGACAACGGGCAACTTTGCTTCTTTTCCTATCTCAGACACCTTGTGTCGGTGGACCGAACATAGACCCAGAACAATCCTTTGTAGTCATATTTGCTTCACTGTGTCGTAACGACTGTCAAATTGCATTCCATACTTAACACGCAGGTGTGCTGGACCGACTCCTATTTGGACTGCGGCACCAACGAGAGGGCTGAAGGATCGTCCGCCCAAGCTCCTAAAAGGCTCCCATAATGTGGAGGTTTCGAAATCAATGATACTCATACTTGTCAGTCCCAAGTAAGGAGATTTCGGGGCTGATTTTGGAAGATGTCTCACCCTTATTTTCCTTTCCACCACGCTCCCCTTCGGGGTGGCTTTGACTCAAGTACGCGATTTCCTAATGGAGAACAACAATGGCGAGACACTTGGACAGTATGTGGATTATCGACACTTGCTTTTCTGTATTAATTTCCTTTCCGTATGTTGTTCGAGTAGGTGGCTTTCCCTATAATAGGGACTTTGTCTCCCCTCATTCTTGTAAGCTCAAGCACATTTCACTCGTTGCCAACCTGTGCCCAAGTTCCTTAGGATGTTTTTTCCACTTCGACATGCAGCGGTCTTTGGACTCTTCGGAGCTGCATTCGCCTCTCCAGCTTATCACCCAAGACGACAGGCAGCTGCATCAACTGGTTCCTGTCCAAATACGGTCACAGTGTTTGCTTCGGCCACTGATGCGTTGACAATTACTGTTACAGAGACTGCCAGTATTGAATATGTGACCATCGGGAGTGTTCAGACTATTACTTCTACATTGAGTGTTTGCTCCCTGTCCGAATACTCGTCCTCTGCCGCGGCCTCAACTCCGTATTCTTCGTCTGCGGCTGTCTCATCAAGCTACAGCTCCCAAGCAGCTAGGTAATAAATGCTTTCAAGATTACCAACCATGCAGACATGCCCCAGGGTCGGGGTCTCAATTGAATGTGCGGCAAGGCTGATATAATTTCGCTCTACAGTTCATCTTCCAATGCAGCTTCTTCCACACTCTATTCTTCGTCGTCTAGCCCATCCAGGTAAGTACTTTTCTTTGGAACCAGAAACCGTCTATCTTGGTATAAGACGAATGCCTTACTGATTTTTTCTTCTCTCTTTACAGCACCTTGGATACAAGTTCCTATGCATCATCATCGTCATCCGCTGCCGTTTCCAGTAGCGCTTCTGCCAGGTTAGCAAAGTTTATCATATCATATCATGTTTCACGCGGTGCTGCGAGTCGACCATTCGGATTCGAGAGAATCGAGAGTTGTCAAATTCTCCATGCACCAAGATATCCACATTCCGTACACGACTGACACAGTTACAGCCAGAGTGAAAGCTCTTCTCTATCTTCCTCCGCAGCCGCGTCCAGCGTATACTCTTCCAGCGGTAGCCCTAGGTAATAAACAGACTCTCAACATGCTTCCATCTTCTACGTAGCCAATGAACTGACAACTTTGGAAAACAGCTCTAGCTTCTATTCGAGCTCATCTGCCGCGGCAAGGTAAGAAGAACCATTCAATGTTTAAGACCCGGTCTCTTGATAGAGCATAGAGTCTATGCTTCCCTGTGCCTGAAAGTTAATCATACTAATTTTACTTGCTTTTAAGCTCTACGCAGTCATCACCAGGGTCATCAAGCGCAGCAGCTTCGTCCAACGTTTACAGCAGCTCAAGTTCCGCAGCAAGGTTTGTGCAAAAGACTACTCCTCCAAATATCTACGTTGAAAGATCCACCACTAACTTGTCATTTCTAAAGCAGCTCTTCCGTCTCTTCCTCTGGGGCTCAGAGCTCTAGTGCGGCTGCTAGGTAACATCTTCTATATCATGTGCGAAGTAAACACACTAACCTGTTTTCTTCGACACAGCTTAAGCCAGACCTCTTCCTACGAGTCCTCTTCTGCGAGCTCAAGTGCCGCCGTGAGCAGTTCGGCATATGCTTCAAGCACAATTTCGAGCAGCGTGCCCAGCTCGGCCAGCTCATCAAGCTCTGGAGCGGCTAGTTCATCAGTAAGGCTACTTCCTATCTAATACAGTTCGCAACACGATCTGATGCATTATAGGCTGTATCGTCCAGTTCAGAATCGAGCTCAGTCGCCAGCTCAAGCTCTGTACGTATTCTTATTTGTCACTATCACTCGACAGATATTGTTCGATACGACTCTGTCTTGATTGATTTCCATCTTGGGAAACGGAGAACACTTCCCTTCCGAGCATAATCCAAGAATCTGATCGTAAACTAACCTCCTTTGTAGGCCGCTGCCAGCTCGAGCGCTCAAGTCTCATCCTCTGCTTCCTCTACATACGTGAGTTTGTTGATTTGTATTACATATGGTCAAGTATTGACTCCATTTTAGGGTGCTAGCTCGTCGAGTGCCGCAGCCAGCAGTGCCGAGAGCTCTTCAGCGTCGTCCAGCCAAGCTGCCAGTAGTAGTGCATACTCGTCTAGTGCTGAGAGCTCTTCGGCTTCATCAAGCCAGGCCGCCAGCAGTAGTTCGTATCCGTCCTCGTCCAGCCAGGCTGCCAGCAGTAGCACTGAGAGCTCAGCAGCCTCGTCTTCAGCATACCCATCTTCAGCCTCGTCCAGCCAAGCTGCCAGCAGTAGTTCATACCCGTCATCATCAAGCCAGGGAGCCAGCAGTAGTGCGTACTCATCTAGTGCTGAGAGCTCTTCGGTTTCATCAAGCCAAGCCGCCAGCAGTAGCACTGCGGCCTCGTCCTCTGCATACTCGTCTTCAGTCTCGTCCAGCCAAGCTGCAAGCAGTAGTTCTTATCCGTCATCCTCCAGCCAAGCCGTCAGCAGCAGCACTGCAGCTTCGTCTTCTGTATACCCGTCTTCGACCTCTTCCAGTCAAGGCGCGAGCAGTAGTGCATACTCGTCTAGCATTGAAAGCTCTTCAGCCTCATCTAGCCAAGCCGCGAGCAGTAGCTCATACCCGTCATCATCAAGCGAAGCTGCCAGCAGCAGTTCATATCCGTCATCATCCAATGAAGCTACCAGCAGTAGTTCATACCCAACCTCATCAAGCCAGGGCGCGAGCAGTAGTGCATACTCGTCCAGCGTTGAGAGCTCCTCGTCTGTGAGTAACTCCCTTCCTTACGCAGCGAAGATATAGTTGGGAAATCATATCATGGCTCGTGCTAACACTTTCCAGGCCGCTGTCAGCTCCTCAAGTGCTCAAGCCTCGTCGTCAGCTTATGTAGGAATACTGATACGATTATGATCAAGTGACTTCAAAGACTAACTACTATTACAGGCCTCTAGCTCTAGCGCTACTAGCTCCTCTCAAGTCGCAAGCAGCTCCTCTGCCGCTGCTGTACGTATTCGCTTTCAATGTTCTCAAATAAGGTTTCTAGCTAATTTTGATACAGCAATCGAGCTCCCAGTCGAGTGCCTATTCCACGAGTACGAGCGAGCCAAGCTCCAGCGTAAGTCCAAATTTTTCTTTTTCTTCGAAATGATATCCTTTATCGTGCTACACTTGAGCTACTTCATTTCCCGCAAGACGAGCTTCATTTTAGAAGGCGTAACTCTGACAACACGGTTGTCATGCATGAAATACTGATTTTCATACCCCCGCACCTTCAATGTTCGATATTGGGTATTAGCAAAGCTGATATATTATCTAGTCCGCCGCCGTTTCGAGCTCTGCCTATAGCGCTTCATCTGTATGTTCCCTATCCTTGTATCTGATTTTAGCAGGGTAGATGACAAAACTAACGCATCAATTAGTCCGCAGCCGTTTCCAGCTCTGCCTATAGCAGTACCATTGACACGTCATCTGTTAGTTCCTCTCATCTCTACTTCATTCGTCTGATTACACTTTGTTATAGTGATTAGTAAAGCTAATATATAATTCAGTCCGCAGCCGTTTCTAGCTCTGCCTATAGTAGTACCATTGACACATCATCGGTCAGTTGGCCCGTTTTTCTATTTGAATTTATCACATCAAACAACGATGCTAATATATCTTCCAGTCTGCTGCCGCTTCGAGCTCTGCCTACACCAGTTCGGTTGCTAGCTCATCTGTTAGTTCCCTTATCCTTCTACTCCGTTTCGTTGTGGCCCTCGATGAAGCTAACACATTATTTAGTCCGCCGCTGTTTCGAGCTCTGCATACAGCAGCACCGTTGATACCTCATCTGTAAGTCCCTAGCTCATAAGCACTCTTCTCCTACTTCGTTTCAGCATGGCAATTGATAAAGCTAACATAATTCAGTCTGCGGCAGTCTCAAGCACTGCCTACAGCAGCCCCGCTGCTAGCTCATCTGTTAGTTCCCTTCTTTTTACCTCATTTGATAACGACAATCAGAAAGATTAATATAGTATTCAGTCCGCTGCTGTCTCAAGCTCTGCCTATAGCACTCCTGCGGCTAGCTCATCTGTTAGCTCCCCTCTTTATCCACTTCATCGTTGTACGAGGTTCGGCAGAGCTAATATGTCCTTCAGTCCGCAGCTGTTTCTAGCTCTGCCTACAGCAGCAGTACCGTTGATACTTCATCTGTCAGCCCCCAGCACTTAACTCCTCCCCTTCTGTTTCATTCCAGTATGGACGATTGACCAAGCTAACATGTCACATAGTCCGCGGCCGTCTCAAGCTCTGCCACCTCTAGCCCTGCTATTAGCTCTTCTGTTTGTTTCCCTCTTCTTTACTTCATCTGATCACGATAATTGATAGACTAATCCATCGACTAGTCTGCTGCTGTCTCTAGCTCTGTCTCCAGCAGCTCTGCTGCCAGCTCATCTGTTCGTTCCCCTCTTCCAACCTTTAGTCAGATCATTTTACAGAACTAACCCCCCTATAGTCCGCTGCTGTCTCCAGCTCTGCTTATAGCAGCACCGCTGATACGTCATCTGTTCGTTCCCCTTTCTTATATCTGCTTCCTGCCCGTCTTCTATCATGACAGAACGTCACAGGTAGCTTTATTATTGTGATGAGGTTGAGTCATGGGATATGCCTATTGTCAGTTGGAATGCCTCCGTACTGACTCTTAGAACAGGCCTACAGCTCCTCCTCGGCAGCCCAAAGCAGCACGGCTCGAAGTAGCTCATCTTCTGTATGGAACCCCATTCTTCTTCCACCTCTACTCAGCCGGCATACGCGAAAGAATTCCTCCAGATTACAATAAACTTACTGACGGAACGTTCTTTCAGGCCGCCCAATCTTCAAGCGTTGAAAGCAGCTCTTCTATCTACCCATCCTCAAGTTCATCGGTTCGTGACCTTCCTTTCTTTCTCAAACAGAATCATCAAACGCCTTGCCACCAGCAATTCCATATGCATGATCGTCTCGAATTTTTGACGGACATAGTTGGGCTCAGATTGCTCAAAATGACGCAGGATAATGCATGCTAATCTATCGTCCAGGCTGCTGTTTCCAGCTCAAACCAGGCCCAATCATCAAGCTCTGCGAGTTCAAGTTTCTCAGTGAGTAATTTCCTTCTTTCGCTCCCCGTTGCATCAATGTGAAAGGCTCATATCATTTGCGATGTTATTCACATGATGGCACGAACGAGAAATGACAACTAACCCTCTTTTAGGCCGCTGTGTCTTCAAGCGCTCAGAGCTCTTCATCCGCCGCAGCCGCCCAGAGCTCTACAGCTACTCAATCTTCCTCGAGCTCTACACAAGCGTCTTCATCAGCAGCACAAAGCTCGACATACACTCCCGCTCTACCTTCTAGCACTTTGGCGACCTCAACACTCGCGGCCTCGTCCACAGTATCCGCTGGGGTACCTGAAGTCACTATCTATTCTACAATTATAGTAAGGGACCAGACCACACTTTTCTCTGTTTGACAACACAAACTGACTAATTCTCTTTCCAGGACTATGTCACAAACGTTCAGACCGAGGAATCTACAGTTTTCGATATTGAGACTTCCGTTATAATTGATTGTGCGTACTCTCTTCCTAATGAACTTTGCTTTGGATTCAACTAATTCTTATCACAGACACTACTCAAGTGGATGGTCGGTATTTTCAAAGTGTGGGATGAGTTCCAGTTACTAATCAAGTGAATAGTGGTCACGGTCTATGCTACCGCTCCAGTGTGCTCGGCCTCTCCTACAGTTACTAACCCCAGTTTTGAGACTGCGCTTGGATCAGAGTGGGCAATCAATACTTCAGGCGCTTCTGGATCAAGTGTTGAACGATACCTCGATACGGACTATAATGATCCAAACCAGGTTCAGCCTTTTGATGGCGATTACAGTTTGGAACTCAATTTCCCTGCTGGATCGACATCAAGTGACATTATCACCATCACCCAAAGCGGTATCACGGTGTAAGTCTTCCTCCAGGCTTGTGTTATGTTATACTAACCATCATCTTCTATAGCTGTCCTGGACAGGCTTACGGTTTCATCGGTTATGGTGTCGCTGGCCCTAACGTTGCCGGAGTCTGTAAAGTGTGGTTCTGCGGTATGTTTTCTGTCTCATTTACGCCTGGACCTTGTGCTGATCGAGATGATAGTTACCCCCGAATTTGGAACCCAGAAATGTACTGCCAGCAACAGTCGCACGAGAGTGTTCGACAACGACATTACCGACGAAGCCGACTCGTGGGCTCCTTTCGAGTTGGAGTTCTTCAACTCGAACGATTTGTCACTCACTCTCGACCTCGAAATCAATGCTTACTGTACCGCACCAGGTGGTGTTCCGGCATCGATGTACATCGATCTCGTCACCGTTACCCAGTAAGCGGCGACTTTCACTCCGCGGTAGATTCAAGGGGGCGTGGGGGCGGCGGTGGAAGAAGTTTGACCACAATTCTGTATTCGTACCTTTGCATTTGTATCACGTGGTCATATCACATCTTAGAGGAAATAGATTTTATTGACCAAATATCTTTTCCCAATCTGTCCAGCTCCATGTGCCGATGTGAGACTTGATAATTAAAGATGAGAGGTTTCAATTACCACTTTGCAGCCAGGTTTCTCGGTTCCGAATGTGAGGGTTATTGGTCTCAGGCGGCGTTGCTTTTGGCTTTTATGATGTTTCAGTGTCGCAAGGTCTTTTGCTGGATTGGGTGTCCAAAGTCTCAGTTGCCCCTGGAAATTTTCCAAGGAGTTGGTCTCTTATTCAAATGAGTCATCGTCTTTTAAAGGTCTGAGTCCAGAATTACAGGGGATGTATCTCACTGATGTTGGATGATGAAATCATGAATGTGCATAATATTGTACCCGTCTTTGGGTAATCGGAGTATTTGTGCGTGGTTCCAAAGGCGTTTAGCCTTCCAGAGAAGCTGGAAAACGGTCAAAGTGGGAAGATTCTTGAACTCGAAAACGTCCATGTTCAAAATTGAATCTGAGTATGCCGTTCTCAAAACACCACCATCTCGTGCCTCTGCTTGAAACAATGCCCCATACCCGGACTTTAAAAAGCGAGTATGCACTCGTATTCTCTCCCACACGCTCAAAATCGCCGCGCCACTTCAAGTAGATAACCATACAAACGACTTCTTCTGAGAACGAACCGCAAGAAACTATATGTCAGATGTCATAATGTCCGATTCGAAATGATTGTTCCATGCTGTAGTCCGGAGTCAAGAGTGCCCTAGAACAAGGATGAACAGGCAGAAGTTGGAGCTGAGCGCAATCTTTCACCATGTTTCTTCTTCAAGTGAAGCTTCACACGTGACGAGAAATCGCTGCACCTCCGGAAAGTTGTTTAAATCGTACTTTCGGCATATCCAGCTGCCATGAACCGTAAGCGGTTGATATGAAACCAGTAAGCTTCAAGAACAAGACGGAGAGGAGTTGTGTAAGTTGGGTAGTGGCAGAATTGCGAAGAGAAGTAGAACCAACTATGATTGAGATTAAGGAAAGTGATAACTTGCTAATAAAATTGCGTTTTGTGTATCGAATGGACAGTATACTAGACACAGGTTGCAATCAGAACGTGAATAGGAACGGACTGGGACATAGGGAACCTCTTGTAAAATTTGATTTGCTACTATCCTCATTCAGCATCTATGTACATGTGAGGCTGTGGTCTGTGTTGGATCCAATGACAATGATGTGATGTTCAACAAGAACTGAGAGCAAAATTGCCTCAATTGTCGGGGGTAATCGAACAGTGGATACGAGCAGTTCTTGCAAAGTAAACATGATTGGATTGGTATCAAAGAAAATCCATGGCCCACCAGGCCGTCTGCTATGTTCTAAGTTCTAAAGCGGTACTTATTGATGAAATCCTCTATATAGCGGCGAGATGTTAGCTCGAGATCTTAGTCATGGTCCTAGACCGAATGTACCATCAATTGCTGTACTTCCAACGTCTGCAAAATGTAGCATGGTCATTGGATAAAGCTGTTCACGTGACGAAGAAAATTGCTGCTTTGGGACAACTCGTTGGAATGCACCTTTCCAATACCAACTCAGAGTGCCGGAAAGAGATCACCCGCAAAATATTGGCATAAATCGACAAACTTAAGGGACAAAAAGAATATGCACGTGAAAAGACCTTCTCAAAATCTTGTCGCTTTCATGCCCCATATGTCAGGCTCTCAGTCTCACCCCTAAACCCTTTCCGCCATAGAAGCTTCTGTAGGCTACCATGTTTGCCACCCTGCAAACGGCCCAGCCTTGAACCCAAATGTCCCAAACTTTTGAGGACAATGATGCTTGATGTTAATAATCCGTATACATACAAACAAAATCAATCAACGTGATTTGGTTTCTAAGTTCATGCGACGTGGTAAGGCATCTGGCGTTCATCAGGCGATGCGTTGGGTGTGCTGGTGTTTTGCCTTGATTGAGGGGCAGTGGAGGGGCATTATGTGGGTAGTCAGCCCGTCGTCTAGGCGACTGTCGTCATTGGGTGGCGGTGTAGATAGATGACTGTAGAATCCGTATCAAAGAATCAAAGAATTCATTTTGAATGTCCTCATATTCTGGAGACGATTATGGTCGAGAGTCGTTTGCAGCTACGTAGATGTAGATAGTAGGCACCAGAAGCACCTGCAAGCAACTAGCGTTCTTGAATCGCACAAAATAGAAGTATTCAAAGAAAGAGCAAAATCTCAGCCTCGCGCTAACGATCAGTTCTGGAAGATTCTGCTGCTCCAGAGGCTTCTTGAGTGTTCAAGCTCCTTCTTTTCCCACGCAGCCTCTGTTATAAAACTCGGCTTTCGTACGCACACAACTTTTCTTCCTTCTTCATACCACAACAAAATTTCTTTGACGCACACACTCTTCTTCAAGTCTTCAACCACAACGAAGCAATACACCACACACACCTTCCTTCAAGTCGTCAATACTCTACATACCTAATCATCCATCATGGCTCCCGCAATTGGTAAATGCAACCCGCGTCCTCTTCAATCGGACAATGTTAACGCTGACTTAGGTCCCGCGATAGGTATCGATCTGGGAACTACCTATTCCTGCGTTGGTATCTTCCGCGATGATCGAATCGAAATCATTGCCAACGACCAGGGAAACCGAACCACACCTTCCTTCGTTGCCTTCACCGACACTGAGCGTCTGATCGGAGATGCCGCCAAGAACCAAGTCGCCATGAACCCTCACAATACAGTCTTCGATGCCAAGCGTTTGATCGGACGCAAGTTCGCTGATGCTGAGGTTCAGGCTGATATGAAGCACTTCCCATTCACTGTCATCGACCGTGCCGGAAAGCCAGTCATTGAAGTTGAGTTCAAGGGTGAGAAGAAGCAATTCACACCTGAGGAAATCTCTTCGATGGTCTTGGTCAAGATGCGTGAGACTGCGGAGGCATACCTTGGTGGAACTGTCAACAACGCTGTCGTCACTGTCCCAGCCTACTTCACCGATTCACAACGTCAAGCCACAAAGGATGCTGGTCTGATCGCCGGTCTCAATGTCCTGAGAATCATCAACGAACCAACCGCAGCCGCCATTGCCTATGGTCTCGACAAGAAGGTTGAAGGTGAACGCAATGTTCTCATCTTCGATCTTGGTGGTGGAACTTTCGATGTTTCCCTCTTGACCATTGAGGAGGGTATCTTCGAGGTCAAGTCCACTGCTGGTGACACTCACTTGGGTGGCGAGGACTTCGACAACAGACTTGTTAACCACTTTGTTAATGAGTTCAAGAGAAAGCACAAGAGTGAGTTTAAGCCCTCCCTGAATGATCTAGAAAAGTCGGACAATGCTAACTGTTTTCTAGAGGATCTTTCTTCGAACGCCCGCGCCCTCCGTCGTCTCCGAACTGCTTGCGAGCGTGCAAAGCGTACCCTCTCTTCATCCGCACAAACCTCCATCGAAATCGACTCACTCTTTGAGGGTATCGACTTCTATACCTCCATCACCCGTGCTCGTTTCGAGGAGCTTTGCCAAGATCTTTTCCGATCAACCACCACCCCAGTCGACCGTGTCCTCGCCGATGCCAAGATTGACAAGTCGAAGGTCCACGAGATCGTTCTTGTCGGAGGTTCCACTCGTATCCCACGTATCCAGAAGCTCATTACCGACTACTTCAACGGAAAGGAGCCCAACAAGTCCATCAACCCTGATGAGGCTGTTGCCTACGGTGCTGCCGTCCAGGCTGCCATTCTCTCTGGTGACACTTCATCCAAGTCTACCAACGAGATCCTCCTTCTCGATGTCGCCCCATTGTCTCTCGGTATCGAGACCGCTGGTGGCCAGATGACCAAGCTCATTCCCCGCAATACCACTATCCCAACCAAGAAGTCAGAGGTCTTCTCTACCTTCTCCGACAACCAACCTGGTGTCCTCATCCAAGTCTTCGAGGGTGAGCGTCAACGCACCAAGGACAACAACCTGTTGGGCAAGTTCGAGCTTACTGGCATCCCACCCGCACCCCGTGGTGTTCCACAAATCGAGGTCACCTTCGATCTTGATGCCAACGGAATCATGAACGTCTCTGCTCTCGAGAAGGGTACCGGCAAGTCCAATAAGATTGTCATCACCAACGACAAAGGCCGTCTTTCCAAGGAGGACATCGAGCGCATGTTGGCTGAGGCAGAGAAGTACAAGGCTGAGGATGAGGCTGAGGCCGGACGTATTTCTGCCAAGAACGGTCTTGAGTCATACGCCTACTCCCTCCGAAACACCCTCTCGGATTCCAAGGTTGACGAGAAGCTTGATGCTGCTGACAAGGAGTCGCTCAAGGCTGAGATTGACAAGACCGTCGCCTGGTTGGACGAGTCCCAACAAGCCACCAAGGAGGAGTATGAGGAACATCAAAAGGAGCTCGAGGCCGTTGCGAATCCTATAATGATGAAATTTTATGGTAATCTAGATCCTTCGCACAATCCGAATAACTCCCAAGCTAACTTTTATCCAGGTGCAGGTGGCGAAGGTGGTGGAATGCCCGGAGGTATGCCAGGCGGTGGACCAGGTGGCTTCCCAGGTGCAGGCGGAGCTGGTGCTACACACGATGATGGCCCAACTGTTGAGGAGGTTGACTAGATTGATTTCTTACGAATCTCTTTAGTTGGTTGTTCTTTGCATTTGCGGGGCTTTTCATGTGGCTAGCTAGACTTCCTCTTTCTTGCGGGTTTTGCGCTGCTGCTTCTCCTCTTTTTTCGCACACACTACCACACATGTATTGATGCGGAGATACACCTTACAAAAAGTTAGGGGGTCTCTTCGAAACATGGTGTAATGAGACCTGTGCCTACATCTTGGCAGCAGGAAAATAAATAAAAAATTCTCAAGTACCTATTGTGTTCCTCCTTGACTATGACTTGCGATCCATCATGATGAACCTATTCCCTTGAGCATAGTTGCTTTTCTTCTACCTAGTTCTTAACTTAAAATGTCTCTTATTTATAGGACAATCAGGAGCGTGTTTCTTATTTATCTCGATTTTTTGTTTACAATATCCCATAATTGTGGGACAATCAAGAGTATGATTCTTTTCTATCTCAGCTTTTGATCCACAAAGTCACTGGCTAAATGCTAGTGTACTACGTAGTCTGGGTAATAGTTCCAAAAGCAGGGGTCTGTTTCATTCAACGCCGCTCTAATATTTGGTGTACCAGCCGCCAGCATCAATGACTGCTTGGCACCTCTCTCTCATGCTATGTACAAGCTCTCTAATTCTATCATGAGTGATGGATTCCTAGGCTTCTTGCATTGCTTGCCTCAATTTCTTATAGCTACTGTGCACTTGAGGGTAATGCTCTTGGATCTAGTCCTTTATGTTATTCCAGATGGTCTCAATAGGACTGAGGTCTGGGGAGTAAGGTGGCCACTTAATAACCCTTAATCCTGTAGTTTTAATGACAGACTTTGTGAAGGCAGAAGCATGCCCTTTAGTATTGTTTTGTTGGAAGTGCAAGTCTGGGTATTACTACAAAATCTCGTCCACCACAGGATTAATAATGCCAAAGTAAGACCCCTCATTTACAGTCTTCTAATCCTTCTCCCAAAACAGTCTCTTATATCGTCCGTATTTCCCACTTATTAACCCCCAAAACATCCATCCAATCTTCCTTTAGTGCCGTGGTTGCACACAGTTTGGGTGCTCTAGTTCATTATCTTTACAAGTGACCTAGATGCGAGTATGCCTCCCAGGTTGTGCCCATGTCTCATTACTCCAGAGGATCTCATCCCACTGCTCGTCCGTCCATTTGACATGCTCTTTTGCCTAGTTAAGCCTTTTTTTTACATTAATATTAGAGAGAGGGCACTTCTTTTTAGACACCTGGCGTCTATACCCTTCCTTTTTGAATGCTGTCTTTATGGCAGCTTTTCTATAATCCCAACCCAATATTCCTGGGATAGTTACCTATAGCGTTTCATGGTTTTCCTTAGAAGCTGTCACCCATTGGATTAGCTTCTTCTTTTGAGGAGTGCTGAGTAGGACTCTCCTGCCAGACTTGCGCTTTTGAGGGGTAAGGCGGTGCTGAATTGCATAGTAGACCTGATTATAAGTGTGTCCTGTTTGCAGGCAAATTTGGGAGCGTATATAATTAGCGTTAAAGAAAAAAGTTTAAATACGTAGTTTGTCATCTCGTGTGAGCTTTAGGTGCTTAAATTGCTTAGGAACTGGTACTCTGAAGGTTGATTTCATGGTGTTGCAATGTAGTGAAATTATGGAGGCAAAAGCAGCGTTAGATATTTTATATCTCATTAGGTGTGCTCCCCTGCTAGCGTAGAATATGCCAGAAGGCTTGGCGGAACTATTACCTAGAGTATGAAAGTACTAAGTCGGAGAAGCGGTAAGACATGATCGCTGCCTGGTTCGTCGACTCGTTTGGCAGCTTGGCTGGCTGGTTGGGCTACTGGGCTGGCTTGTTCGGCAGCTGTGCCGGCTCTGGGGCGATCAGAAGTTAAAAAATCCGGGGTTCTATAATCCGAGGCCCAATTGCCGTCCAGCCAATCGTTTTCTATGTTAGCATGCCCTGTGAGTCGACAAAGGTTGAGGCAGAAAAAGCGAAAGGTCGATGCCAGATTGACATCTCGCGTGTTCACGCAGAGGATAAGTGGTTAATTCCTCGGAGTTTCTACGGGTTTCTATGAGCTTTTATTGCACAGTCCTACTATTTGACTAAAACCACAGAATATTATCTCTAAACATCTGAATCGGAATTAAGATGTACGGTGCAATTGACGCGCTAAGTGAAGGATGGCCAATTATTCGATTTTAACTTCGCTAATGCAACGCTATCCACTGCTACTATATGCGCTTGCAGTGCATGATATCGAAGCTAAGAATGGGGTTGACTAAGAGCCCCACTGATGGCCCACTGATAACCAAACAGCTAATATCGCATTCGATGCCGAGTCTGGTTAGCCGTGCTAAAATGCCCTAAGACGAGAGTATCTAAGGAAGACATCTCAGAGTTTATACTTTCCTTTGCTAACTCATCATCGCCATCATAATATTCTGCTGCGCGATCGCAATCTCACATTACGACCCCACCCCCGCATTAGCTATACTTAGAGTAGTTGCTCCACGAATTCTATTTAGCGATGTAAATTCGACAACATTACATATCTGCAAGACTGGTGTGCGTGATGATCTTAGTGCTATATTGATTGTAAAATTTTCCCCGACTTCTTCTCTGTTAGATCAGAAGACCGTATTGATAGTCCCGAATATAGGCAGTAACACTCTAAGCGTGCTTTGTCTTAGCACGCCCTTCTTTTTCCTCTCCTTTATATCCTTTTTGTTCGGTATATTCAAATTCAACTCCCTGTACATAGAAGACATTGACCTTATTGACGGCCATTTATACTTCATTATCGCGGGTGTGCTCTCCCTCGACTGGCAGAATGTTTTATGAGCCTCTAGGTCATTATGCCGATAGTGATTTGGAGTGTTATTTTGCTTCTACTAATTGGGTATTTGTTTTTTAAGACGTTTTTCTAGGGATATACTGGAGATATAGGCAAGCGATGAGGTTACAGAGAGAGGCCTTGTGGAAAACAACAATAGTTTGTTGTCGAGGAGAGACAGTGGGCGATGTTGAGGCCGGAGGAGAAGCTGTGGAAGGAGGGGATGTAGAAGAAAGAATTAACGAGGAGACGCCATTAAGGAGAGATGAAAGGAGAGACGAAGGGAGGATAGGATTAGATGCTTAACGTCTTGCTAAAGGATGGATTGGGACTACGTAGCTAGATTTATGTAAAATCCTAAGGTGATCTTTAAACATCAATTCTCTAGTTAAGTATGCTAATATGTGTATTAATGGCATATCGTATGCTGTATACAGTAAGAGGCGAAACTTGTGTTACACTGAACTCTCTGTGATTTTATTTCTGACTCATATTTACCCGGCACTAATTACCGTTATAGCCTACCTGATTTCAGACCCTGTATTCCCTGCTCTGTAGGGGCCAGCGTCGTGGAAAGCTGCCTAAGGACATATGATATATGATAATTATGTCTCTGCCTCAGAATTAAGGACTGAAGAGCCTATGACACTTGCTGACCAACTTATCAGGGCAAATTCTGGCTCTTTGATCGTGTCCTCCACTCTGTGCTTTGCTTCGAAGTGTGGCTACCATGCCCAATATCAGTGTACCTCATGGAAGCTCATTCTCGAGCCATAATCCCTTGCAACCTCGGCAAGCTTAGTTACGATACTGGCCACGTCCGCAGAAGACTCTATTGAAAATGGTATGTGTGCATAGCTTTGATTGACTGATCTGCTGGCTCATATAGCAGAGGGCTGGCTATATATATACACAGAATAGGCCTGTGGGCCCTAAAGTAGTCTATGATTCATAGTATAGTTACTATGATATCATGTGACATCACACTTATTAAGTGATATTCCAACAGACTCGACTTGTACAACTTGGCTTTGGACCACCAAGACTATAGCTACTCTATTCTCACCTTCTTAATTCCTACTACTATTGTCCTGCGGTCACGCTCATTGGAATTGGAGTGGTAAAGAAGACGGGTATATAAACTTATGCTCCCCTTGACTTTGTGAATTAAAGTCTTAGGGATACAAAGAAAATCGTATTATATATATGTAAAGAGGATTACACAGCGCCTGCGTCACGAAGGCATTTCACGACAGCGAGGTGGCCTCCTTCTGCTGCTGCTTGGAGTGCTGTTCTTCCGTTATAATCTGCTGCTCCTGCTGCATTGACTTCGGCCTTCTCTTGGAGCAGTCGCTCTACGACGGCGAGGTGACCTCCTTTTGCTGCCTGTTGGAGTGCTGTCCAACCGTTATTGTCTTTGAAGTCGACCTCAACCTTGCTTGTCTCGAGTAAGAGTTTAACTACAGCTTCGTCCCCTCCCTTAGCCGCCCACCAGAACAGTATCCGATTATTATTATCCTTAAAGTTGACCTCAACCTTGCTTCTCTCGAGTAGGAGTCTAATTATAGCTTCGTGCCCTCCTTTAACTGCCCACGAGAGAGGTGTCCAACCGTCATTGTCTTTGGAGTCGACCTCGACCTTGTCTGTCTCGAGCAGTAGCTTGACTACGGCTGCGTGCCCTCCCCCAGCCGCCCACGATAGCGGTGTCCGACAATATTGACTATCTTGCAGGTCTGGATCAATACTATTCTTCGCAAGTAGCAGCTTTACTGCCGCATTACACCCATTCCGTGCGACCCAAGACAGTGGTGTTACACCGTATTGGCCTTTTAGTACATGCAGATGCTCTTCCCCATTTGCTATCTCATAGCCCTTTATTGCTTCTCGAAGCCTCTCTTCTGCCTTTCCATACTCTTTCAAGTCTCCTAAAACTAGTGCAACATTCCATATTCTTGTCACCTCGTCCAAATGATCTCCGAGCTCTGCTTTTAAATCCTCTGGTACTTGACTAATCTTTGTCCAGTTTTCATTTTTTCCTTGTTCTTGCGTGTCTTCTAAATGATCTTCCCAGTCCCAAACAAGTAGGAGGTCACGCGAGAAATGTAGTGTTGATTTTGAAAGTTTTGGCTGTCCAGTACTTCCCCTCCCATTGAGAGCAATGGCTGCAATTACAACCACGGCAAAGTAATCCCCGCACAGCCTAATGATTGTAGGCTTTGAAGCTCCTTTCAGAAGACAGACGATATCGCCCTTTCGGACAGATTTCGCTGACGCTTGAAGAGACCATTTCCTCAAGGGCCAAGCTGCATTTATTAATGCAATATTCACGCTCTGTCCATGATCGCTTTCAACTGAGGACACCTGGCCAAGAATGCAGCCCTTGCTCTTAATCGCCGGCTTTCGGCAAAAAGCCTCCACGAGTGTATCTTTGCCAAGGATGAACTTGACAAGTTGCTGAAATAGAACTTCCCAGGAAATCTCATAATTCGGCTGCAAACCAGCTTTACTAGGATCGTCGGAGCTCATACCAAGTAAAGCATATACCTTATCGCGGGGATCAGAAGCTTGGCGGGTATGGAACATGTCTACCAGCTCGGCTAAAGAACGTATCTCTAGGGAGTACCTCTCTGACGAATTTGTTGTATATTTAGGTCGGAGGCCAGCTCGTTCTATTAGGTTGGTTAAGGCAGGGAGACTCTGCAATCTAGGAAAAGCTGTATCGGAGAGCTCTTGTGATTTTCGCAATGATTTCAGTCCTAGGCAGAAGGCATATCCGTCAATCTCCGTGGAACCACACATCATTACGACATGTCGAGCTGCAGCAACCTCTTGAAGGACCTAAATCAATTCTGTTAACGTCATCTGGTAGTTTTGGTTTGGGTGTCTACTATCTTACCCAAATACGCTGAAACCATTGCCGTTGAAGTAGGTTGGAGATTGCTTTCTCGTTGATTTTCTTGTTCGAGACCTCGGTAGACTCCTCATTAGCAGCACGTTGTATATCTTCGAGTGCTCCCTCTATATCATCTGCCGTCTCCCCCAACCAAACAAGTACACGATGTGCTTTGCTATAGATCATTGCCATAAGCTGAACTTGTTGGCCTCGCTCCTCCGGGTCTGTTTGGTTAATGCAAATAGCATCTATCCATAGTATTCGTTCCAAAGAGTGATATCGAAGATGCAATAGCGCTGCATAGAGGTTTGTGGTAACATTCAAGTTTTTCTCGTTGATAGTGATAGAACAGGGCTTTTCCTGCCCGCCCCATGTGTAGGATAAAGCTTCGTATAGATGAGTCCGTTTTCCCAGATCCTGTAGAGAGTATTCGAGAAGCTCGCATTGTAATTTGGTCCTCTCTCCACTCTCGTTTCTATATGGCAGTAGCCGAAGCAAGCGAATATTCTTAGCGCCCGGGGAAAGCGGAGAATAACTATACGTCTCGGGCTGAGACATGGTGAAAGAGCTCGCACACGGAGATTGAATTAATGGATATTTCGATGAGCATAGTTTTCTCGTTCGATCGATTGCATGGCTCGTAGCTGCTGCCTAGTATGGTAATATTTGCGTAATCTTGTAGCCTTACGTTTGATCGCTTATACATTGCATAGTAATACTTTCTAATCAACGCAACGTATTGCGCTAGGCTCAGTACGGCATAGGCGTTTCAGAAGCAAGGGTTATAACTTTAAATAACTCCTTCAAGGGCAAGCCGGTTGTGCAAGCAATTGTAAAATTAGTTGAGTTGGTTTGGGAATGTTATTTTGATTATCCAAACTTGCCGGATGGAATTTAAGCGCCGATTTTTGTGACGGACCGGTAGTCACTGTAGGGCAAGCTGTACAGCAAGAGGCGGTAAGTGCTTAGAATTCTAAGGTGAAGAGCTCTTAAAGAGAAGCTCTGAACTAATATACAGGTCTGAGGTCACGTGGTGCGGCCGCATCGGTCTAGCTGTATCGGACTAGCGCCAGGGCGCCAGGGCGCCAGTACAGCACCGTAACAATTTTCGCATTGTTAGTTGAACTTTTAAGCAGCAAATCCACTTTTAAAGCATAAAAGCAGGGGGATATTTTAGCTAAGCCGTAATAGTTTTAGCGTAATTCAAATATAGGCCCGATAATTAAAACAAAGAGAGTCTAGTGCGACACTCGTTTCGCTACCTACTATAAAATGTAGGTAAAAAATCAAAAATCATTAATAGTTAGAGATTGCAGAACGGGTAAGAATTAGCTCCGCTGTGATGACCCTGTACCTTGGGGTACAACCAAGCGAGGGTGCACAGCCACAAGTGTCAGGAAGTGGAGCCCGCTTAAAAAGGTTATCTATAAAATTAGCGACACTCAATCCGCCTTCTACTGTAGTCATGTGAGTAGAGGTATGAACTAGAGTTCTACCGCTCGAGTGGTTCACCTGATTTCTGTGGGTCGTTCTCCAACGCACCGACCGTCCGGTGATTCTTAGCCACAGTATCTACTTACAGTACAAACTTTTTTACTCTACGGTTCTTCGGCCTGCTCTGTCCCTACAAAACCTCAGCGACGGACTCAGTACCACGCTCAGGCTAACTCGATTCGATTAGGTGGTGGCAGGGGACAAAATGGCACACTTAAGCGAGTATAATGTGCCGGTTTGCCGTGCTCTCAAGAGATAAGGTGTGGAGCAGTTTTGCTTTCCCCGGCCTCTGTCACCTTCTATCATCCTTCCTCTCTCTCTTTCTCTCCACGCCTGTTAACTTGCGCCTATTAACTTGCGAAGTATGGCCCGACCAAAAGTAAACTTTTAGTACTGATTCCAATGCTTTTGAGTGCATTTTTATGGTGTGGAAGTTCATCAAATGGCTTATATACCGAGCTTTGGAGAACATCAAAAGTGTGACAGCACGGTTGGACTCAAGTACGTAGACGAGGAATCGATTAGGCTATCTCTTAGAATCTAAAGGTAAAGAGGAAAGAAAGGAAGGAAGCGCCGGAAGGCAGGGCATATATACAGGCGAGCGGTCACGTGAGTATTTCGTAGCGGGCACGTGACTCCATAACCGTGACAAAAAGACTCAATTTTTTAAGCTAACAAGGGAGAGAGACTAAAAGCTTTAGCCATGTGGATACAAGCCCATGTCAAGTGCTAACGGCATTAACACCGGCCCCTGGCGAGTGGAGACTGGCTCCCTAGTAAGTGCTGACGGCCCTTGGCGAGTGGAGACCGGCTCCCTAGTAAGTGCTCTTAGCCCTGGTCAAAGGAGAAGATCATGAGACTAACCCCTTCTTAAGCACATAATAAGGCATAATGATTGGTTCTTAAGGAGAGGAATACTCTCGCTTATAGCCTTGGCAAATTTTTTCTCGTATTTACCCCTAAAAAAGTGAAATTTAAAGTTTCGCCCATACAAATTTGGCACTTGTGCAATTGGCAAAATAGCAAAATTTTGGTGAGCGTGGTACTGAGTCCGTCGCTGAGGTTTTGTAGGGTGTCTTTGGCACAGGAAAATTCAATGGTAATGTCCGAATCCTTTAGTAGCTGCTGCAGGGAGGCATCCTCATATGCTCCTCGTTCCCCACCCCGCAGTTACCCTTTTTGCTATGATAAAACTCCGAGAGTGGTACTTTGTTGTGATGGGAAGTGCGGTATAGTTTTGTGGGTCTGACCATGACTTCAATACCGTAGACCAATTGTATGATCGCCTCCGCTGCGTAGCCATAACCTCCTCCTTCGATGGAGTCTGCATCCGTCGTTCAGCTATGTTCGCCCCATCTTGGCCCATATCATAATCAAGGAGTGGCCCTAGCTGTTCCTCCACGCCACATTGTCGACAGAGTTCCACACCTCGTTCATAATTGATCCAAACTCCTTGAGATTTACCGTATCCACCTTATATCTTCTCCTGTTCCCCGATTAGAATCTCTTTCTCTATGCTTTCTGCGCACTGTCTTTTGGCAAATCTTGCAACCTTTAGAACTTGCGTTGCATTTAACCAAGAATCTGAACTTCGGCGCAAAACTACTACCCCGTGGACTTCCATTTTATACATAAGGATCTTTGAATAAACAGCCTGTGGCTAGATGGAGTATTACCCTCATATTTTACTTTTGACTAGATGTTTTACGGTGTAGATTTAAGGAACATTTAGCTTTATATCTTCATTTGATGAACTAGGGTCACCCGCCAATATCCTAGATCTAGAAGAAACTGAGTCTACCATGCTTAAAGAGTAGTTCCGCTACTTATGTAGTGGGGATGTTAATACAAAATTCTTGTGAACGACATATACTCGTCAGAAGTCGTGTATCTGGTCTTTATCCTCGTTATCTTCGGGAGCTTCTTCCGCATTATTATCAGCGCTTGCGACAATCGACTGTTTGAATCTTTTCTTAGGCGACAATGGCGTGACTCTTCGTTTGCGCTTGCCTTGTTGGCTCTTCGGTGTACCGAGTGGTGCTTGTTGAAGCGCGTCTACCTCGACGATTCGCTGGTACCACATCTTGCAGTCTATATTAAGACTAAATAGACGAGTGTTAGCAATTGACAGTCAGAACCGTAAGTGAATAGCTATCGAAGAGCTAGGAAGTGCTTTCATACCATTGAATCTCAGATTCTATATTGCTACCTTCGATCTCATTCTCAGTATGACATCCGGGACAAGATGTCATAGACATATGTGGCCTACGAAACACCATGCTCATAGTCATCTTTCTACCTAGGAGGAAAATAGAATCCCACGAGGCAGTAAGATCAAGCTTCCTCTTTAAACTTGAGTCTTATATTGTGTATTCAATGTTCTCCACTTTCTTCAATCCCGGGACATTATGAAATCGGACTTCTATCACGGCTTGAAACGCGTCGAATGAATTGATAAACTCAGTATGGAATGGAGCGATCCGTCCGTGGGCATCCTCAAAGTACACAGATTGTTGACGATCAACTTGCAGAGGGAGTTTAAACTGGAGTGTCTGCATATCCAAGACCATCTTATAGATTTTCATATTCGTGTCGAGGACTTTGAGCATAACCAACTGAAAGTCTTCAACTTGCTGGCGAGTTAAACAAGATGCGATATTCTAAGAAATCATGCGAATGAGATCTGCCTGTGTGCTCAAAAGACTATGATTCTGCTTTGCCAAAGATTGTGCCTCATCGGTTGCCTTGTGGTGTTCCTTCGTGTCTATTTGGTGACTCTTCGCTGATTCCGTCTGCAACGCTGTGGCTGATCTACAATCCAACCTATACTTAGTTTCCACTTGTGCTATGAGGTGTATGGCTTTGATCACTCACAAGTGTATTGTCGCCAATAGAGTATTTATGGTCAAAGTGTGTCCCGTTATCTTAGCCTTCAACTTGTCAATAGCATCTTCTTGGCACATAGCCCATTGTATCTTATGTAAATTGGCTCGCCAACTCCACTTTGAGAAAGTCGTCTGGGCACCGAGCGTCGTGTTGAACTTCGCATTTCGCCTCAAGAAATCCTCTATACTCTCTTGACATTGCATTGTTATTTGCTCTAATGCGATCTTCTGTGAAACATGATAGTCGTCGACTTTGAGGAATCGGACTTTAGTCAATGCGCGTTCGAGATTCATTAGCTTGGTGATAAGACGTCTGTATTGCAGTTTGGCTCCACCGCCATCTTGTAGAGCTGTGACAAGATCTCTCACGAGGCCAATGCCCGCTATAAAGTCGCCAAAGGAGAAGCCGAAGGGACCACCATGTCTAGAGCGGCAGGAGGAACTCGAATTCTCTATCGGCAAAGTGCCAGAGGTTAGTATCACATTTAAATAGTTGTCAAAACCCTTCTTAGTGTACAGATACTGTATAATGTTGTAAATCGCTGTGAAATTAACAAGCTTGAGGGGCTGGAGTTATAGCGAGTCTAAGGCTGTGTGTTAGGCATCACTCTCGTCCAGTTTATTGCTGCCTCAGAAATATTAAACCGATATAATGTTGTTGTACGAATGTGGTTAGGCACGTAAACCGGAGCTGTAGCAAGCTGACTAACCGAAGCATGCTAGCGATGAAACCCAAATGGATGCTCCTGGATAATTGATAGAGTACAGCTCTGACCCGTGGCTTAGAGGAGATTCAATCCTTTCGAGAACAACTTTTATATCGCGGCAAGGGCATAAGTCATCATCTTAAACGTCATTTCAATAGCAATAAACTCAACCTATACTGTACAGTCGCTTGCAAAATCGGTTTCGCTTATAATAATTATGAGTAGACCTACATCGGCGTGGCTCGTTTGTCTATGCTCTTGGTCACCATAAGCATTTTATATGAGGGTGTAGAAGAAGAAAGGTTGTAGAAGTTGGAAACTATTTACATGTCCAGAGAAAGGGTGTTGCCAGCAACATGAGAAACCCAAGAGGCATGATTATGAAAAAAAAGACCACACCCTAGCCTACCAAGGTATTGTCTTAATCGGATGGGTAGCAAGAACATCCCCAAGGAAATCAGTAGTTCTATGCGGTAATAACAAGACAAGAGCAGCCTAGCTTAGCATAGGCGAAAGCAGAAGGGAGTTGGAGTTAGGCTGAAGAGAAGCTAGTCTAACATGGTAAGGTCAATAGTCGCTGACTGTCTCTTCTTACGCTGACTAGTAAATGGCTGATCGGTTGTTGAATGGCTTGCGGCGGCTGACATGGTATTCGTGACCAAGCCAGAGCGGCGTGCTTGACGCTGGAGAATCTGCACGTCGATGGCAGCATTAGTGGTTAGGATATGAGCCGTGGTCGGTAGAGGACTGAGACCCGCTCGACTGACTCGACACTGCTCTTGCACCACTTCACGATGCAGCCAGGGCAGATCAACGATGACAACCTCTCGCGCGCGCCAGATATCGGAACCGGTACCGAGCTTTTTAGCCGTGCCAAGAAGTATCAAAGGGTTTTTGCCATTTCTGTCTAGGCGATCCTCGGTGAACCGCTTGACAGCATTGTCACAGCCATTGACCCAGGGAGCAGCAAAGTTGTGGGGAATGTCCTCAGACAAAAGATACTAGAGGCACGAGTCAGTTTAGGACAGAGGAAGGGAGGTCGAGGGCCAAACCTGGTGAATCACTTCAGCTGTGGCACAAACGTTAGCCAATATCAGTCCTTTACAGGGAGTTCCATTAGGATTCAGCGGCGCCCGCTGTATAGACTTGTACCAGTCCCCAGTGATCCAAGCCAGCTTCGGAGATTGGCAACAGATATCCTTGAGGTGAAAGCCACGGTAGGGTGACTCCTCCACATTATCACGACGGAGTTGCCTCAACTCCTCTACTGTAAAGGTCCACCCGTGCTCCGCAGCGAGGGAAATAACAAGAGGGAAGGTTGCTGACATACGAAGAATAATGCTGCTATTGAACAAGCGCTTGTTGAGATATGATTGAGCGCCAGTTGGGGAACGATGCTGGATCATCAAATCAGACAAGGCTTTGTTAAGGGCGAGAAGCTGCTCCGGTCCGAAAGGGAATGATTTGTACAGTACCGTGTGCAAGGGCACAGAACCAATGGTTGGATAGGCGGGGAAGAGCCAAGGAGAGGTCTGTTGGCGCTTGATTAGAAGGAGTTCACAGCACTTGGACCATGCTGCTTCGAAATCCTTTTAGCTGAGCAGAGACGAGGAGACAGCCGTCTTCGGATGCGTAGCGTTATCTCCCATGCTAGACTGCACGAGAGCATTAAAGGACGAAATGAGGTTGCACAATGCCTTGATAGAGAGTTGTGTGCTCGAAGCGTGGAGAGGATCTGTAGGGAAGAACTTATCAAGCTTAGCCGGCACACGGGTGTGCGTGAAGTCTGCGTGATACATAGGGAACATGATGAGGTAAAAAACGAAGGTGGCCAATGTGGTTTCCCAGGGTGTGGCACTGAGAAAGGCGAACCACGTAACCCAGCCTTGGATGATAGTGATCTAGCGGAGGGCTCTCATCTGGGCCGTGGCCATAGTATAATCTAGGTGGAACTCATCACGACCAACGAGAGACCAGAAAACACGGGGATGATAGTTTTCCAGGCGCTTCTTTGGATCTGGCCACTCTTTAGGAACAGGAATGTGCTTGAGAAATCCATGCCGTGCTGGATCACGCTTTGCCATCTTCTCAGCCCACAAGGCCTTCTCTGCAGGCGTGGCTGGCCGGCCGAATTCCTGGACAACGTTCTTGAAGAAGGACTGAGGCATGGTGAGGACAAGCTTGGCGGTGGATTTCGGATTGGGATACGTAGGACCGGGCCCACCCCAGTTCGCCCATAACTGAGGCTTGGAGGAGTCGGGGCATCTGCGAGAGCCATGGGTCTTCTTGGAGACTTGTATGAAGAGCTCAGGCTTGACATTCCATTTCTTCCAAAAGGCGCTGTCAACATCGATGAATTCATCAAACTGCTTCTCCCAAGTCTGAATTCCCTCGTCGTTGTGGCAAAACATCAACGCTGGGCCCAGGTTGCCAAGGAAATAGCGGGTCAGGCTGCCGGGCACGCAGATACATTGGACAGGAAATTGATCCTGGGATGGACAGACTGAGCCTGGTGGCGCGTCTGGCGGTAGATGCTCACAGCCGCTCTTTCCAGCCTCGAAGAGCCGAACCGAGGATTCACAGATTCTGGCAAATAGGTGGGTAAGGTACACGAGTATAAATACCCGAGTCTTGCCAACACCAGGATCATCACAGCAAAAGGCACCTCCACAGACCCTAAAACGAACGAGGAGCCAAAATGAGCAGAGTAGCTGCTGGAGCCAAGCATGGTTGCCCTTCGTGCCCGGTAGTGGGATCTTTTGTCGAGGACTCGCCTGAACGTTGGTGAACTTATTGGCACCCGTATAGAGCTGACATGTGGCCTTGTATACCGAATGGGTCATGTTCTCGCAGCGCCGGGTAACTAGATCTTCAAGGTTCTGCAACCTGGCGGAGGAAGTTAGCATGTGACTCCTAGTATGGAATGGCAAAGGAAGCTTACATTTCGACTCTAAGATCATCCTCGTCCTCAAGCTCGGGTGGCACTGCTTCTTTCGCAAGGATGTCTTCTGCAGGCTCTTCTTCGTCATTGGTATCACTGATGTCACCAGTAACACCATCGTGCTCAGGGGGAGAGGACTGAAGACGCTTCTTCGGACGAGGGGTCGCGGAGTAGAGGTCGTCAGATTCAACATCGTCAGGGACACAAACCACGGGCCTCTTTCGACCACGTGAGTCGGGTACTCGATCCTCTTCTCCCGGACCGCTGGTGAGACTCGACTCGAGTGGGAGGGTCCCATCACTAGAGGTAGTTGGAGAGGGAGATGGGTGGCGAGAGCCTGCGGCAAGAGGATTATCACCAGAAGAAGATGCACTTGCTAGAGCGGCCTCCGTGGCAGCAGAAGGGTCCAGGCTCGAAGTCGGTGTGGCAAGGAGAGTTCCGCCGTTGGAAAGTCCTGGGGCAACGGTATTCTGAGGCTGTGAGGAGGAGCGGTCGAGGCCCGAAGCAGGGGAGTTGGGACTCGGTTCGGCTCCGGCTTCATTGGAGAGGTCGGTTTGACCCAGGCGTTCTAGAGCAGGTCGGAAGGGAAGCGCAAGAATAGCCGAACCCCGGCGCAGATAGGACTTGACATAAGTTGTCAGGCGAAAACTGGGAAAGTATTAGCATATGCAGTAGGGCAGGAAGAAGGGAGATCATACGTAGCGCTGGGCGAGGGGGGAGGAGGACGCTGAGGGCGGTGGTCCTCGCGAGCAAAAAACGCTTCACCATCATTCGTCCCTTTCAATCGAACCACGAAGGGAATGTAAGCTTGTCGGTATGACTGAGCGCGGGACAAGACCGACTCAAAAGGTGAAGGCCCATCAATGCAGCAGACAGTCTGATCGTAGATATTATACGACACAATCTCGTGTTTTGCCTCATCGAATGATGGGGAGACTACGGCAAGGAAATCACGACGCCATGTGTCGTAGGGGGCCTGGCGAGCGAGGATATTTTCCAAGTCTACCTTGGGAAGCAGATCAGATGGACAGTAGTGTGCGACATTCATTTTTCAAAGATGAGTAGGATGGTCGCTTCTGTAATTGATGAAATATATTATTTTCCAACTGAAGATACCATTGCGGTTAGTACCAGGCAGCAGATTATGAGGAAACTTCGAGGGCCTGAGATCTAGGGGAGAGGCGGCAGGAGTATTAGTGGTGGTCGGAGGAGGCTGGGATGGAAGACGACGATATGGGTTGTTGGCTTTCTTCGCATCATTTAGCATGGCTCTCCAAAGAGACTTGAGGAAGTCTGGTGACGCTCTGGAAAGGTCGTAGGAGGCCGAAAAAGTCTGGGTATTGGGCATGGATAAGAGACCATTGTCTTCGGAATAATGCGTGAATTGCATTCGGAAATGGTCGTAGAGAGCGAGAGGTATGCCCAGGCCTTGTGAGATCTTGATGGCATTCCCACCCGAAATAAGCTTGAGAATAGCTACATCCTTATACCATTCGGCTGGAGGTAGAGGCTCGACTGATGCCATGACGAGGATGTGGATAACGGAATTGACAAGCTCAAGAAGTGGTGGTGAAGGCGACGATAGGGGTGATGGAAGAGCTGTAAATCGTTAGCCAGTTGGAAGTGGGGGATAGAGGGAAAGGAGAGGGAGGTGGGCTGAGTGAAGCGTACAATGAAGGTGAGGCCAGAAATTGAAGTGTTTGCCTAATCCCGCATTAGCGGGAAGGAGTAAAAGGTGAAGGAAAACGAGGGTGATGGTAAGGACTGGACGCGATCCGTGCGTGAGAAGGTACAATGCTGGCGACAAATTGAGATGCTGTACCTGGCGTTGATGGCTCTTACGAGGGATACCGTGGATGGGAGGAGTATGAAGGGATTGGGCGAGAGCAGACGGGAAGAGGGGGTTAGATCTCTTTACGATTTTGCTAAGACACCAACGAACCGAGATCGAAAGTCGTCTCGGTGATCGAGAGCGGCTGTGTGCTGATAGTTCGGCTCGTCAATTCAGGTACGACGAGGATCGAATTGGGGTTGTGGAATGCTAAGGTAAGAGTATCGAAAAGAGAGATATGGTGAGTTGAAATTTACGAAAGACTGTTGGGGAAGAGAAGACGAGAGAAAGATAGACCGAGGTGGCAAGATCTGAGGGGAAGCGAATAAGAAAAGAAAAGAAGAAAAAAAAACGGGCGATATAATTGGTGATGTGAAGTTTCCATCTGCACTCGACCGAAGGTGAGCGTGTGTGGAGAAATTTCTGAGGGACTGGCGTTGGATGAATTAGCTAGACGAGCAACCACGCTCTAGATATAGTTGCGACGAAATGCAGAGACAATCATGGTCAAGGCATCGATTTAAGTTCCCCCTAATGAATTTGGAAGAGGATTAAAGGAGCTTTGGGAGGGTAGCCTTGAAGAGGGCGTCGAGGAAGCTGTTGCACACCAAGAGCGGGCAGTCGGAGACGCTAACAGCAGAGCGAAGCCAATCAGAATACTGGGGTGCGGGGACGGGCCGCATTAGAATGCTGATACAGTACGGCATACCGACGAAAGTACGCCGGGGATTCGGTAGCGAGTGCATGTGACTAAGATTAGTGTCAGAACACGTGCTGGGACTCATATAATCTCTTCCCTCCCTTTAGATTCTTGTACAGTAAATGTCGAAACCGGTGTCAGTCCGAACATTCAATGATTTCGAGTTCGGTCGTATATTTTTCTTGCGCTAGCGCTATCATGGCTGGCAGTAGCCTAGACCTTGTGTTAGCTTACTTGTCCTGCTTTTGAGTGCACGTGAAAGGTACATTTCTGCCTAAGGTTTCGCTACCGTCGGAAATAGGTTATCAATATCACGTGCTATTAATAAACCTTTTGTGAAAGACCGCTGAGAGTCTAATTTTGCGCACGGGCGTCAGTCTCGAACAAAGCTACACCTCCGAAAAATTTACAGTACTTGCTGTAGGACTACTCCAGCCAGAGCAATTCGTGGAATGCGTGTTAGCACACTACGAATGGCTTTACTAAGTATGAGCGCCAAGTGGCCAATCGCAGCCTCCTATGCAAGCTCGACGTGGCCTATGCATCAAGCCCAAGTCTGCCCAGCAGGGCGCAGGATCCAGCCTTGTGATGCTGAGCGCAGACGACATGGTCTGCGAAGCCAGCTAGGCAACCTTTTTTCATTCTCCTGTTTTCTCCATTTTCCTCTCTCTTAACCTTCCTTCTAGTGTGCTCTTGATAGAGCTGTGCTTGAAATCACGATGAGCTTCGGTTTCAGTCTAGGCGACTTCATTGCGGCAATCGAGCTTGCCAATAAGATCCGGAAAGAATTCGTTGACGCGCCGCGCCAATTCAAGGCTATTTCTGACGAGTATGCTATTCCGGCTACCTTTTGAGCAATGCTAACTCTTTTAATGGAACAGGGTCAGAAGCCTTTCGATCGTCCTCCAAGATATCGATGTTAACCTATCGAACCACCAAATCAATAATCAGCAAGAAACACACCTACAGGAAGTTTCCAGTAGCTGCCGAAATGTCCTAAACGAATTAGAGAAGACGGCGAGGAAATATCAAGAACTGGAATGCAAAGGTGGGAGTTGGAGTACAAAGGCGAAGAGGGTCTGGAAGCGACTCAATTGGGAGCCAGATGACATTCGTGAGCTTCGAGATCGAATCACATCGAATATCCTATTGCTTAATACATTTCTTGGAGGAAGATCAAGGCAACTTTATCCCATCCCTATATAATGAACATTTAATAACTGATCTGATATAGTCAAACAATAACTGAGGCAAAACGTGGCGTAGATCAACTGAATCGGAAACAAAATGATCAAGAACGATGCATTATTCTCGATTGGCTTACCACTATCGATTATGCTTCTCAACAAAGCGATTTCATCAATCGGCGACAAGCGGGGACTGGACAATGGCTTATTGATTCGGAGGAATACCAGACATGGGTGCACACGCCGAAGAAGACGTTATTTTGTCCGGGGATTCCCGGAGCGGGGAAGACTATCCTTACTGCGATCACTATCGATGATTTGACTATGCGGTTCCAGAGTGAGGCAGACGTTGGCATTGCGTATCTCTATTGCAACTTCCGGCAGCAAGACGAACAGAAGACCGATCACTTGCTTGCAAGCCTATTGAAGCAGTTAAGCCAGGAGAGAGCTTCTTTGCCAGATAGTGTGAAGGCCCTCTATGAAAAACACAAGGACCAACGAACACGACCATCATTTGACGAGATATCGAGAACGTTTCAGTCTGTGGCTATAATGTTTTCGAGAGTTTTTATTGTTATCGACGCACTCGATGAGTGTCGCACGACTGATGGCTGCCGAACCAGACTCTTAACAGAGATCTTCTTAGCTCAAGCTAAGTCAAGAACAAACGTTTTTGCGACCTCAAGGTTTATGCCCGAGGTTACGGAGAAGTTTGAAAGGAGCATTTCACTAGAGATTCGTGCTGGCGAAGAAGACGTGCGAAGATATTTAGAAGGCCACATGTTCCGGCTTCCAGGATTTGTAGTTCGGAATCCTGAACTACAAGAGGAAATCAAGACGAATATTGTTAAGGTTGTAGATGGGATGTATGTAATTTATTTCGAATACTAATCGGATCACGCTGACTCTGCTAGGTTTCTACTTGCACAACTCCATCTCGAATCCTTAGCTGGGAAGAGAGCGCCAAAGGCTATCCGAACTGCTTTGAAGAATTTGGCCACAGGATCTGGAGCGTATGATCACGCGTATGAAGATGCTATGGAACGGATCAATGGCCAGATCAAAGACCAGGAAGAGCTTGCTAAGCAGGTTTTGTACTGGATCACCTGTGCAAAGCGCCCGCTCACGACTTCGGAACTTCAGCACGCGCTTGCTGTGGAGATCAATGAGTCTCAACTTGACGAAGACAGTATTCCACAAACCGAAGACATAGTATCTGTATGCGCTGGTTTAGTCACAATCGATGAAGAAAGCAGCATCATTAGGTTAGTCCACTATACGACTCAGGAATACTTCGATCGAACATGGCAAGAGTGGTTTCCAAATGCACAGACTGATATTGCGACAATCTGTGTTACATACCTCTCGTTCGACAAGTTCGAAATTGGAATTTGCCAAAACGACGAGGAATTCGAAGAAAAGCTACAGTCGAACCAGCTTTACGACTATGCCTCACGTAATTGGGGATATCATGCTCGCGAGGCTTTTATATTAATCCCAGAAGTAATTAGCTTTCTCGAGAAAAAACCTCAAGTGGAAGCATCGAGCCAAGGACTACTAACCGCGAAGCGATGGCTAGGTCTCGTGGGATATAGCCATCAATTCCCGAAGCAAATGACAGGACTCCATTTGGCTGCATACTTTGGAATTGAGCCTGCCGTTAAGCTGCTGCTCAAGAAGGGCGCCGATATAATGGCGGCTGATAGTGGCGGATGGACGCCACTACACTGGGCCTCTAGGGGCGGGCACGTCGAGGTCGTCAAGCTGCTGCTC